GGGTTTTCTATTTTATGGAGGATTTTTTCTTCCCTCTGTTTAGATTTGTGACAATTGGAAACTGGAGGTGACAAGAACAAGAATTGGTTGCTATAAAAAGAACGGAGATGGAATTGAATAATATCATGTTTGTACAGATTGGGTAGCTTCGAGTAATTATTGTTGTTACAGAAATTTACCCTAGTGTAATTGGAATAGGAATTGGTACTTTTTTTAAAAAAGTTTGAAGATAGGCGGCATCCCGAGATGGGTATCTTGTTGACGTTATGTTTGACTGAATTGCCCTTCTCATTTATACAAAATTTCGTACTACTCCCTTTTTGTTGTGAAGCTAGGGTTGTCAGTCGGTCGGTTTCGGTTTAACCGAAAACCGAAAACTTGGTTATCGGCTAGCCGAACGATCCTCAGCGAGCTCCGACAACCGATCGACAGGGGAAGCACGGTCAACCGATCAACTGACGGTCAGTTTCCGGTTTCTGGCTCGGTTAGCCGTGCAACCGACCGACGGAAGGCAATTAACTCGCCCCTCTGGTCGCTGCGGCAGCCGGCAAAGAAAAGATGAGGAAGGGGGCGAGTGGCCCGCCGTCCGGCGGAGTGGAGGAGCGGAGGTCGTGGGGGCGAGCGGCGGGGGCCTGCCTCCGTCCATTCTGTCTTTGCCTCGGTCTCTGTTCGGGCGATTGGAGAAGAAGAGGAAGGAGCGAGGCGCAGGTCGGGGAGGCGAGGAGTTGGTGAGGCGGGGTTGGGGAGGCGCGAGGTCGGCGAGGCACGGCGGGCGAGGTCGTCGCCGGAAGCGCGGGATCTCGAAGGGGCGACGGCAGGCGGAATGGGAAAGGGGTCGATGAAGAAGGTGTTTAGTTTGGAGGGTGGAGGCGACGTAAAATGAGGGTGGAGGCAGAGAGTGATGATTAGGGTTTCAATTAGGTTAGGTTTTGTTTCTTTTTTTTTATAATTGGAGAAAACGACCTCGGTTTGGATATATTTGGGCGGAGGTCGGTTGCCTTCGGTTAGTCGGGTAACCGCGGTTAATTGCCTTCGGTTACTCGGCTAACCGGACAACCCCTATCCCTTTCCGCCAACCGACCGACGGTATATTTAGTCTATTTCGGTTAGCCGCTAACCGGTGGTTAACGGTTAAACCGGCCGGTTAGCCGCTAACCGGAAACCGACCAGCCACCCCTATTGTTGTCAACCAAGATTGTTGACCCGGACCCGGTCGAGCTAGTGGATCAAGGGTTAATGGATCACCCGTTTTAGCCCGAAAATATGGAAAGAGTCATTATATTGTATTTATCTTGATAAATTATACCAAATTTCATCTAACATATGAGTAATAACATATAACATCGCACCAAAGTAACATATCCTACTTAGATCCAACATATAGTAAAAATTCACACACACTTATATAACATCAATATTCAAATGTTCAACTAAGGATTCCAAAGATTGAGTTAGGCGAAAAGAAAAATCGGAAAATAGGCGCATTTCTCAAACAAAAAAAAAGACACAATTTGACCTCCAATCCGATACCTTGTAGCGGTCGACCCAGCGGGTGCGTGCAACTCTTTTTTTTTTCATAAAATCAGAGTCAAAGTGGGTCGACCCGTGGGTCAACCTGCGGGTTGACAACCTTGTTGTCAACTTACCATGCTACAAAGCAAAATAGTCTACAATGTACCTTGTGACAATCGGGTGTGAAACATGTTTTTGAGGTTATCTCCATCTTTATGACTATTGGGCAAATTTGTGAGAGTAGGTGAATTAAGATTATATTTTTATTGGTGTTCATTAATTGTCGTTTTCTGAAATGATAGGATGTGTGAATTAAACGATGGAGCACACAATCCTAGCCGGTAACCAACGTGTATAACTACCACTTGAAAATTATCACATCTAAGGTGTTCAAATGGTCTCATTTTTTGTAGTTTTTTTGGTATTAGTCGAGCCGAGTTTAGTATGCTGGTTTTTCTGTTAATTAGATCTAGTTTGACTATTGTTGGAGATATTCATTTCAAAAAGTTAATGCATAGTTCACGATTCTATCACAACTTAATATATTGATTTCGGGCTGTTGTACATACATCCTCGTCTATAAAATCCCAATAGAGTGCTCACTCACACAACAAGTTAGTTGTGGTTGTCCATAAGTAAAGTGTCAAAATAATCGATACTCTTCCTGACATTAAGTGTCTAATATTTTTCGCTCTACAACACAATGACACCTAAAAAAAAAAAATTTGTGCATATATTCATAGAATAGTGGATAAGAGAAAGATAAAAGGATCATGGAAAGAAAAAATGCTTATGTTAAACAAAGAGCACCAAACAAATGCTTCATTTCCCTAAAATCCACCTTCTCCACTCACAATAAACAACATAAGAAATGGTACATAGCTAGTTCAGGCTTTGCTTCAAATTGGTTCCAATGAATCTTATCTTCCACCCTTCTCTAGAAAAGGCTTTTCATTCTCTCTTTCCAATGCTCAGCAACAACCAACAACAACAAGGTACAAAATTTGACAAAACCAGAAAGCAAGGCAAATGCACCACCCAATTGTCTACATGCAAGGTGGTTGACATATCCATTTGGCCTTAATTTGGTGCTAAGTTCCATTCATCATAATGTGTCCCCTCATCCATTCATCCTCTCTTGTCACATTTTCATGAACAAGTAGCAATGATGGTTCATTCTTGCTCTTGGTAGTTTGCCAAACACAACAAAATTAGAGGTGGCAGATACATTAGAATTTTGGGTTAATATATTTGTAGATTGGATTTGTTAACCGATTATATTTTTGGATCAAGCGGCATTGACTTTCTTGATCATTTTATAAAATTTAAGTTACCAAAATGTCATGCTATAAAATTCGGGTGTTAAAAAGTAATTTGAAAACATTTTTGTTGCAAGAAATCAATGATTGAAAAACCGTACCATACCGGCGGTTTGACATGAAAAATCTCATTTAGTAGGCTCAACCATATGGCAATATTTAGCGCTAAGAAATCAATGCTTATGTAATGTAAATTATAATAGCTAATAGATATTGAATTGTAATTTTATTGATATCCATCCCAAAACTCATCGACCAGCTATATCCATTAGATTTGATCAAAATAGATTTGAATTTGAATTAGATTGGTATTTAATGCATGCTTTAGATTGCCATCTATCTATCTATCTATCTATCTATCTATACATAATATTATAGCAATTCAAAAGTAGTTTGTTGCCACATAAGCATTTGGAGAATTTACAAGGTGCCATGGTGGACAATTTTTTTACAAACAAAAAAGTTAGTTAATGATCATTTAATGTAGAGCTATCTATCTTTTTTAATATTTTCTTTTTATTTTAATGATCATTTATGTAGCTATCTCTATCTTCTTTTAATGTTTTCTTTTTTATTCAATAATTGTATTTTCCAATATATATGTGTAGCAGTAGATACTTATGTTTGGAGAGTGACATATATTGTAATGCTTCAAAAAATATATTTGATTAAATCTGATCAATTAATTTTTCTTTTTCTTTTTATTAGAACTTAATATCTATTATATTTCGATAAAAATAAATTAAACACACAGATAAGTAATAAAAAAATTAAAAAAAATATAACGAAGGAAGTTTAGATAATCAACATTTAATAATCAATTGAATTTGAAAAACCAACTATATAATTTTATGTTTTGGTTATCAAACGTTGTCTTTTTCTAATATTTATATCTATCAACGAAAACAAGTATTAAATAGCAAAATGCTTCAAAAGTTGTTTTTTCATTTTGATAGAAAATTGACGAAACCATAATATAGTACCTGATTGTACAAATATAGACGATAAAGAAAGACAATGTTTTTTCTCTCTTATAATGCATGCTTCCATACCTTATTTTCTCTTACATTTGTTCATACTTCCCCTTATTTTTCTTAACAGTTTACATATTTTGGTCAAACTAAGGTGTTAATTACACTTAAAAATACATTAAACTCTCTTTCTATATATATATATATATATAAAGAGTTTAATTATAAACAAAAATCAATGGTCATGATTCGTTAAAATCTATGCAACAAATTACATGCACAATCTTAGAGGTTAAGCTCTATGATTAAGATAACTAAGACCTAGGGTTCACTCATCAAGGGTTAGGGTATAGTATCATGCCCACAAATCCGGTTAATGCGCGGTCCAGATATCATTTTCTTACTTAGAGTATAAGATCATGCTTAGATATTGACAATAAATGTGGCATTACACCAACAAAATGAAGATATTAGTATAAGTAGTGGATTTTTTATCTCAAAAAAACACCAAAGATAAATAAATTTTAGCAAATGCATATTTGATAAGTTAGAAAATTATACAACAATGGACCATGTTAAGATTAGAACCCTCGACAGTGTGTGAGTATCTTGGACCGATTCTAAACCAACATTTAAACAACGATCATGAGTTGAGGGTTAGTCTGTATTAAACTTCAGGAATTAACAATTGGTACATATTGTATAAGATATTAAATTGAGTGTCTTGATAGACAAATATGATCTTACACTAAGACAGTAAAATTTCAATTGGGATGACCAAATCTATGTAATATTGAGAGTCTTGGTACATATTAAGTTGTCGTCATCTGAGCAACATCATTGGTTGAGAGTTCCTCCAAACTCGACATTCATTGAATGACATATATTGTATAAGACAAAAAAAAAATTGAGTATCGTTATTGACAAATCTTGACATAAGATTCTATAAATTTAAAATTGAGTATCGTTTAGAATTTTTAATTTATAGACGCACCGCATACTCACCAAGAAATGCAAATGTAAAAAATTTAGATGATCCAAAATAGTTTAAACAAATAGATAAATTGATTAATGTAAATGGTAAAATTAAACTCACCGGCCAACAGGCCGGGTAAAAAGCTAGTTTGGATATCTAAGCAAAACACTCCCTCTGCCTACCACATATAAATTTAGGACACTTACAATTTGTAAATAAAGAATAAAAGAGAGAAGACATAATGATCGACAATGAAGCTCCAGTTATGTTAATTAATAAGAATAAGAATGGTTATTAAAGGTTGCTTGAGGACATAATTGAGCACCAAGTGACTCCCTCCCTTCCTTCATTTATCAAATTAATAATGCGATTCCGGGGCCCTAATTAATCTCTTTAATAATTAGCCCTGTAATGTGCATCACTCACTGTGACATTTTATTAGGGTTGGCTATTTGGTCCGGTTTTTTTTGTTTTATTCGAAACTGGATTGTATAACCCGGACCGAGATTGCACCGGGACCGGATAATAAACAATCCAATCCAATATTTGGGCTTAGATTTGAGGTAAAAAATCGTTTGGGACCAGATTGAAAACTGGAAAAAGACCGGATAAGAGAGCTAAACACCCAAAACTTCAGGGTAATTTGCATAAACGGTCACAAACCTTTGCACTTAGTACAAAACTTAACCAACTCCTCACCCTTTCAGGTCTTAGACCACTCAAATCCCCACAAAGTCAATATAAAATCAAGACCGAATTGGGACCGGACCGGGTCAAGACCGGACTGTATCCAATCCAATCTTTGGTCCTTATATTTTCAAAAAGACCGGACTGAACCAGATCAATTTGGGCCAATTTAACCGGACCGTATAGCCACCCTTCATTTTATACCAAAGATGGATGATAATAATTAGTCTACGGCTACCTATTGATAACAAAGATAGATATGGATGATTGATATATTATGGACGGTTTGTGAAACACATTTATTACTTATTTTACAACTCCAATATTTTTCAATACATATACACCAACAGTCATTGATATATTAGTCACTAGTCTGATTTTTAATATAAATTTTAATCAAACTTTATAGCAAAAGGTTCATTTCATTTGTATCTAAAGAGGCATCAATTACACCTTTTAGAATTATACTATAGATCCTAATTTCAAATTTTTATAACGAAGATCATGAAATTTTTACGAAATTGCGGATGGAAATGTGTCGCTTCACACACCTGCTCTTAACCTAGTTTCGCCTAAGGGCAGACCCAAGTGAAGACCCAGGGCACCCCTAAAATTTGGGAGAAAATTTAAAGAACCCTCAATAGTAGTTTGAGTATGAGAAAAAGGAGGAAAAAATGATAGTAATGTATAACACTGTAGTTATTATTAAACATCTTTTCTATTTTACTACACTTCATTTGTTTTTGTAATTTTATTATAAATGTAATTATAAATGTGTAACCATTATCACCAAACTTTCAGAGCCTAAAAGTGAACCCACGAACTACCCCTAATCCTCGTCGTATTCTAATTTATAACACAATTTTATTATGAAGAGTTTGGTCATATTTCTCATTCTTTTCTACTAATGATTTTGAGCATTGTTATCACTGTGTTAAAAATGGTGAGTTATTTTGTAAATTAAATTAGTTGGAGTTTATGGTAGAGAAAAAATTGAATCTAGCTACCATAGACATGAGTATATTTGCTCCTCAAAGTTGTATTGATTTTACTGATTGCAACTCCAAGTGTCGAGAGAGATTTTTCAGCTTTGGGTTACATCAAGCACAAGGTTCGAAATCGAATAAGCGATCAATTCGTGAATGATTGTCTAGTATGATATACTGAAAAATATTTGTTGAGCAATACAGACAGTGAGTAACACGTCGTGGACTTTTTGTCAATGATTGAAAAACCGTACCATACTGGCGGTTCGACCTAAAAATCTCATTTAGTAAGATCAACCAAATGGCAATATTTAGCGCTATGAAACGGTTAAACCACAGTTTCATACTAAAATACCCTACTACTAACTTTTTTCGCTACAACCTCCTGTACGTATTATAATCCTTACTTTTTGTTGTAATTTGCACTAATCCGATATTTATTTATTGAAGTAAATGTTGAACTTTAATTGTTATTTTGATATAATTTTTTTCAAGGGACACCCCCTAATACAAAATTTATAGTCCGCCACTGTTTCGCCCCTCATCCAGACGACTATATACAACCAGACAAGGCCCAGTGAGAGTTGGCCCGCCCGTTTGCAAACGACAAACTTGGCCTCACTCAAACCAAGAGAGGAAAGGCCCAGCCCACGTAACCCATTTTAGAACTGAAGAATCGGAGGCAGAAAAAAAGTGGAGATGCGGGGTATCGATCCCCGTACCTCTCGCATGCTAAGCGAGCGCTCTACCATCTGAGCTACATCCCCTGATTGTTGTGTTATATGTAGTTTAAATTTTTTTAAATGTATCATTAGGCCTGCTAAGACGATTACTAGTTGAACAACCATTCAGGATTCAGAATTAGCAGCTGGTACTGTTAGCATTCATGACCATTTTCACAAATCAGACAGTTACTGCATTTGAGAAGGAGATCATCATGTGAATCAATCATTCATTTTCTTAAAGTTGCTTGAACATAACTCATGATGAACACTTCCCCTATATTAATAATGGTCGTGAAAACTAACATTTGTGACGATTAGTTGTAAAAAGTCGTTGAAATTTTTTTTTTTGTGACCATACAAATGATCGCTAAATGGTTCGAGATTAGCATATAGTAGTCACCAGCTGATCAACTATTCTTCGACGATAATCTCTTTAATGACCATTAATTGTCCGAATTCGATACTGATTTAGTTATCTTTAAACATGACTTTTGCTCTTTATTGCTGATTTGAATTTGGATCACATCTATACAAACTTTGTGTTTTTCCATGATACTGTAGTATCTTTAAATCATTTTTCATTGTGTTAATTAATTGCATTATAGCGTTTCTCGAATTCACCGGACCAAAATTATACGTACATTTATTAGTTTTTCCCCATGTATTAGTAGTTTTACTGTTTTATTTTAGTTTGTCAGCCAGAAAATAGGGGAAAAGAAGAAAATTAGAAGGGAAAAGAAAGACAGAATCCAAGCCCAAATTCAACTGCCGAATTGAAGAGGATTTTTTCTATTTTTTCAGTTTGAATCTCTTCGTAGTCATCTTCCTCCTCTCTCTACCTCTGGAAATCAAAAGCTTTGAAGAAGGGAATTGGGGACATTTTTCAAAGAAAGGGGGGAATTCTTTTTTTTTTTTTTTCTTCCTTTTCTTCTTCTCCTTCTTCCCCAGCTCCCCCCGTTACCAGCTTCATGAAGAAAGACCAAAAATTTCATCTGTGATTATTATTTCATTGTGTTTTAGTGCAAAAATTCCAGCTTTATTTCTATTGTAAACGAAGATTATGATGATGCGCTGGTAAAATTGCCTCCCCGCCTCCCTTTCATCGGCTCTGGTCATGATCGAATTTTACCCCTTTTGAGCTTTCAATTAGGGTTCAAATTTCGATTTTGACCGATCCCTTTTTTTTATAGCCCCCGTCTCAATTTCCTTAATGGGTTTTGCTCGACGGGGACGAAGATCGTCTGGGTTTCGTTTGTTAATCAACTCGAGTTCTGGTTAAGGCTAGGGATTTTGATTCATCAACCAATTGGAACCGAGATATTCCCTCAAGAATTTTCATCGGGAGCTTTTTCGGTTTCGTTTTCACCGACAAAGTATAGCTTCGCGGAGGTGGTGGGGGGTGATCAACGGCGGCAAATCGGAAAATTTGCTTTGCTGGGTGGTTTTTCGATGCCAATGATGTGTTAGGGTTTTGCATCTTCTCGATTGAGGAGGGGTTTATCCGTTGGGGAAATGAGAACGAGAGAGCACGATTACGATGCGGATTCATCAACTCATTGTTCTTGTGAATTCAAGGTTTTCGTTACTTCTGGTCTTCCTGCTATGCGTTTCTGCCGTACGAAGCTTGGAGCAGAGAGATGTAGCAGAGAGATTAATCGTTGGGAAATTGTTAAACCCAGTGACAGAGGAGGTGGATGAGCCCTTGGTAAGGAGAAACCTCTCGTTTCTATTTTTGATTTATGCAAATGTGTTTAACCTCTAGTTGTTCATAACTTATAGTTCAGTCTCAAACCTAAATAGGTGTTGTTTGTTACAGGCAAAACTACTATGGGACACTTGCAAGCTAGATTTGATCCATTTGAAAGAGGGTGATGAAGATCTCAACTTGTGTTTCCTTGAGGAAACATCTGCAGGACCCGGTGAGCTCGATTCAAACTGCTGGTCATTGTCAAAACATAATATGCAGCAGTTGTTCAGGTCCCCGCGCCCACAATTGAGAAAAGCTCTGTTAGATTGTATAAGAAAGAATGATCTTTTGTATGTTATCTCTAGGGAGGAGGAACGTAGGTTTTCTATGCCATATATCAAGCACCTCACCTCCTTATTTTTTAAGTCCTCGATTCCTTCCCGGAATTTGCCTGAAAACGCAGCAGAGCGGCCAACATCTGCTCGGGCTCCTGGACCATCAAGATCTTCTAGTGTGAAACCAACTTCAAGGAAACTTCATGCTGCGTCCGATGAATCCGAAGATGAAGGTGATGAGGCTGAAGAAACAACTGATCAGAAAGTTATTATTGCAGTGATTATAACGGCTGTATCGACATCAATATTTGCTGCTCTATTATTCATTTGCATTCTAAAAGTATTTGGAACAGGCCCTGATCCTGGGCTAAATGACGAGAAGCCACTCCTCAGTCTAAAACTGAGCGACTCTGGTTAGTATGTACCTTTTGATATGTTATGTTTTCCATTATCGTTAATATTAGTTCAATACTCATTTTGAATTTCTGTGCGTTTTAGGTTCTTCGTACAAGTCTTTCAGTGTAGGGGGTTCTTTCACTGAAGACAAGCTTGGTTCTCAATCCTTAAACAGCAACTCAAGCCATCATAGAACAAATTCATCTGTAGATGGCAACATCCTCTCTGATGATGTTATCATTGGTTCAGTGGACGGTGTCGGCGGTGTTTCTAACTCATCTGAATCTACTGGTGCCTCTGTGACGGGTTCTGGTTTGCTACCACTTCCTCCAGGAAGGACAGCTGGTCTGCCTCCCTTGAAGCCTCCCCCAGGGAAGGCAATTCCTCTTCCACCCGAACCTCCTCCTCCTCCTCCTCCGAAGGCTCCTGCCAAAGCTGCTCCACCACCTCCTGCCCCACCTCCACCTCCACCATCAAAAACTTCTCCTGTCAGTGCGGGTCCTCCACCTTCTGGACCACCCCCTCCACCACCTCCTGCTCGTCAGGGCAAATCTGGTCCTCCACCTCCGGCACCTCCTCCAAAAAAAGGTGGTGCTCCTGGTCCACCCCGAGCACCAATGCCAGCAGGCCCAAAGGTTCCTAGAGCTCCTGGTATGAGAGGTCCGGAGGGAGATGATAGTAAAGCCAAATTGAAGCCATTCTTCTGGGACAAAGTTTCTGCTACTCCGGATCAGGCGATGGTTTGGCATCAGATTAAATCAGGATCTTTCCAGTGAGTTGTTGTCTCCTTTTTCTCTTTCCCATTGCTTTTTGCTACCTCTCATTTGTGCATCACCTTAGTGTTGCATCATCATGATGCTCAATTAATATTGCAGGTTCAACGAGGAGATGATCGAGAATTTATTTGGGTACACACCACCTGAAAAAAACAAAGTTGAGAAGAAAAAAGACTCTTCTCAAGAACCTGCTTCGCAGTTTATTCAAATTTTGGATCCCAAAAAAGCTCAAAACTTATCAATTCTACTCCGCGCTTTGAATGTTACAACAGAAGAAGTTTCTGATGCCCTGCTTGAAGGTGATCGTCTGCCAACCATTCTAGGCAGTGGGATAGGGGTTGGGTTGTACTCATGTATATGGTTTTTGTTTGGGCACATGAATTTGGTCCAAGTGAACTCATATATTTTTAGACAAAAAACTGCAGTACTTTAGAACTGGAGTTTGATAGTTTCTCCTATGTTGTATTGTTATGTGTTGGGTGGTAAATGTGTTATATTTTTATTCAAAGCATCATGGTCTCGTTTGTTGTGTTAAAAGTTGCAAATTCTTTTTATTTTTTATTTTTTTGTTGATAGATAATTTGTTTGTTTTTTCTTTGCTTATTCAGGAAATGAGCTTCCTGCTGAGCTCATTCAGACTTTATTGAAGATGGCACCCACATCCGATGAGGAACTTAAACTGAGGTTGTTCAGCGGTGAACTTTCTCAACTGGGCCCTGCTGAGCGGTTCCTGAAAGCATTGGTTGATATCCCTTTTGCTTATCATCGTATGGAAGCTCTACTTTTCATGGGCACTCTAGAGGAAGAGATTGCCAGTGCTATGGAATCCTTCAAAACTTTAGAGGTAATGCTAAATTTTATGTACTTGTTTACATGTTCTACGCTATTCATTTTTTTTAAATGGAAGTTTGTAAACTGAACTTCTCGATGCAATGTAGAAATATTTTCTTATCGACATGATGATAAGACATGTTTACACTCTATATTCCATGAGCAGCGATGGTAGATTTTTTTCTCATGCTAATTGTTTCTCAATTGACAAGGTAGACACATGTAAAATGACAATGGTTGGATCAATTAAAATTTTTAGTACATTGTGAAAGCGTTTGTTTTAGTCGGCTCATGGTCCTAGTGAAGTGTTTTATTTTTTACCAAGTCAATGAGCACGCACATGTAGAGAAGTGTTCGTACGTCCATTTACAGGCATTAGTCCATGTGTCTGCTACTTTTGAACATTAGTCGGATAGAGGCATGGTTAGGCTTAGCAGATCAAAATTAAACTTACCGCTAATATGTGAATGTTGGATCCATAATGATTTTGTTATTCATCCTTGCTTTTTTTGGTTCATAGGTTGCTTCTAAAGAACTCAGGAACAGCCGGTTGTTCCTCAAACTTCTAGAAGCTGTCCTAAAAACTGGAAACCGAATGAACGATGGCACCTTTCGTGGTGGTGCACAGGCTTTTAAGCTTGACACTCTTTTGAAACTGTCAGATGTTAAGGGAGCTGATGGCAAAACCACATTGTTGCATTTTGTGGTCCAAGAGATAGTTCGTTCTGAAGGAGTTCGGGCTGCCCGTGCTAGGAGAGAGAGCATGAGCTTCTCTAACATGAGTGTAAAAACGGAAGATCTCCTTGAGGAGATTTCTCCTGACACAGAGGACCACTATCGCACCCTTGGTCTTCAGGTGGTGTCTCGTTTGAGCAGTGAACTGGAAAATGTCAAGAAAGCAGCAGCTATTGATGCTGATGGCTTGACAGGATCTGTATCTAAACTTGGTCATGCACAACTGAAAACTCGAGACTTCTTGAACAAAGAAATGAAGGATTTAGAGGAGGATACCGGGTTTCATGAAGTGCTCAAGAGTTTTGTGCAGAGCTCTGAGGGTGAAGTCATGTCACTGCTCGAGGAAGAAAAGAGAATTACAGCCTTGGTAAAGAGCACTGGCGATTACTTCCATGGCAATTCAGGCAGGGACGAAGGGCTGCGGTTGTTCACCATAGTACGAGACTTCTTACTGATGTTGGACAAGGTGTGCAAGGAAGTAGAGGCAGCGCAGAAAAAATCAGCCCAAAAAGCACTTAAGAAAGAGACTTCTACTGCATCATCAACTTCTAGTACTACTACACAAAGCCAACCTCCTCCTCCTACCGATCCTCGTACAAAACTTATGCCTGCAATCGCAGAGAGACGGCCCCAAAATTCAAGCTCAAGCTCAAGCACGGAGAGTTCAGATGACGATAGTGAATGAGAAGTTCTTGCACGAGAGGTTTGACCGTGATCGATCTTCATGGATCATCACGCCCTCCATTCTTACCTAGGTACGCAAACATCACCAATTCTTTTGGCACTATTCTATCTAGGATTGCTGCCATGAACGAAGTGAAAGAAGATGAAAATTTGCATCTTGAAGCCCTGCTTTGCTGGTCTTCTATGCCGCGGGTGAGCAGTTTATATACTAGGGGAACCTCGATCAGGAACTTGAGCCATGTTCATGATTGGGAGGTTAGTTCAGGCAGATATGATCGGATGCTAACTTGTGCATAGGTAGGAAATATTCAATTGGTGTTTAACCTTTTCAAAATTTTACCTTATTTTCTTTGTGCCATAAGTGTAAAGATTCTATTCATGTTTTTTGAAGAGAGAAAAATTGGCCCTGCCTTCTGTGGTGTGGTGCTTCAGTCGTTGGAAGATGAGAAGCTAAGCTTGTTTTTCAATTGATGAGTATTGGAGAGTAATGTTTTTTATTATGTTCGAAGACATTTGGTGTATACGTACGAGGCTACCATACCCCTATGAGTATTTCACAATCCATGAGAGCGTAGTATTCGAACTTGGGACCTCCAGGTTCACTACTGGACCAAGTCCTTGTTTGTAACGACTCCTTCTTCTTGTGCTATAGAATAGTCATGTTAATTTGTTATGATTAACTCCTTGATCCGGAGCATTCTATTGAAAATTGGTTGCAGTGGATATCTAATTTATTTGAGAGCGTCCATACATTTCATAAATTAAATGGTCAACGAGACGACCTATTGATGTCACTATCACTGTAGAGGGGAAGCAAAAAATATCCTACATTACATAAGCCAAACCATTGTCACACTTATCCATACCCAATTCCACTTTAGTATGCGTCCAGTTAATGGTCACGAAATATTACAAGTATGAAGAAGCGATTGGAGTCCACTCATACTGGCCAGGCTAAGTAATTTGTCTAAAAAGAAAGTTGATTCACTTTTTTTTGCTTGTTTTCTCTTTACTAGTAGAGGTTCCCGTGATTCCTACGTCGCCGCCTTTCCTAATCTTTTTCTTTTAGTACTTCGACACGAATTCCAAAAAGTAATATCAATTTTGTTAATTTTGCAACAAATCACCATGTTCACATCTTCACTACATCATTGTCACCTAAAAACATTGTGGTCACAACTCACTAGTCAGATATCATGATCAAATTTGACCTATAATGAACCATCAAACTGCATTCTAATTACAATCAAACAAATCTCCTACGATTCGACACGTGGCCTAAAACTGCATGACACGTGGCGCAGCTCTCAACAAGCTCCCCAGCGCATTCGATTCAAACTTCCTAGCAAACATATAACAATACGACGTCTCCCTCCCGTTATAAACACACCGTGTACCGTTCCTCATCCCTTCCAACAACCGCGGCGTGACGTCCTTGCCCGAGAAGCTGCTCGGGTGGGGCCCGCCTCTCGACCAGTCGGTCCACGTCAGCGTGCGGTTGGAGTTCCGGCGGCCGAACCCCGTGACGTGGACGAAGGTGGGGAGGTAGTGCTCGTCGCCGTAGCAGATGCCCGTGCAGTGGCGCTGGAAGGCCGGGAAGTAGGCCCGGTCCGAGACCACCTCGACGGCCAGCTTCCGGTCCATCTCGAACCACTGGGAGCCCTTCCGCCACTGGGCCGGCCAGATCTTGGGCCTCATCCGTGGGCTGTAGCGGCCTCGGCCCACTGGGCCCGGGAGGTCATAGAGCTCCACGAAGGTGTGGGCTGAGTTGAGGAGGTAGTTGTAGACGGTGGTGAAGTTGAAGAGCGGGATGCAGGATTCCGATAAGAGGACGAAGCGGTGGTTGGCGGAGTCGAGGAGCGCGTTGGCGACTAGCCGGCGCTCGGCTTCGATCATCGACGGCAGTCCCCAGCCGACGTCCTGAAGCAGATAGCAAAACCCAATTAAGCGGCAATGAAATATCTTTACTAATTTGGTCAAACAGGAGAGTTGACCGACTGACCTTACTCGGGATCCTCCGGCCGTGGAAGACGGAATCGAGGGGATCGGTGTGATTGTAATTAGGAAGGTTGTGGACGTAGACGGAGTAGAATCCCTCATGCCCTTTGAAGAAGAGCTCCCACAGCGGCGCCAACGGCAGCGCCCCTCTCGTCAGGAACATGAACGCCACCTTCGCCACCGGCCGCCGGAAGTACGGCGGCGGCGATGCGTTAACCCTCGGAACCATCGAAGCCCTCCGCAGTAGCTCCTCGTCGTCCATGCCGTGGCACACCGTGCAATTCTGCCCTTTTTCCCTCCGCCGCCGCCTCGAATCGCCGGCGCCGCCTTCCTCCGCCTCCGCCGGAGGAGACACCAGTGAAGACGGCGTCGTTTTGGATTCCTCCCGCGAATCAATCGCCAAATGCGGCGTGGAGGAAGAGGAAGGTATGATGACGGAGGAGGAGACGGAGACGTTTTGGGCGGCGGGCGGAGGGGTGTGTACGGAGAATTGGTAGAGGCGGAGGTAGAAGGAGATGTCGCGGAGGTAGAGGCAGGCGGTGACGCCGAAGGCGAGGCCGCCGACGAAGATGAAGAAATACAGAACGAAGCTTTGGAGCTTCTTCTGGTCGCTCTTCCTCTTCATCATTTCCCTCTTCTGGGTTTAATTTCTTTCTTTTGTTTTTAAATTGGGGGGGATAATTTTCTTCAAATTATACCCCAATTATGAAGAAAAGAAATGATGAAGAAGAAGGAGCCTATCTTTCTCTAATCCTCTCTGTTACTTTCTTTCTTTCCAAGATGGTGGGGATTTGTGTGTTGAATTTAATTAGTTTCCTGGGTTTTGTAGTTGATTGTTTAATTAAAAAAAGCTAATTGTGACAACTAGTGTGTACGTTGTTGAGGGAATTGAAGAATTTGAATATTTGCAATGTGCGGTTCTTGGCTTTTCTGTGAACATAAAATTTTGAATATTTGAAGGAGCGTGGGAGGGAAGAAGATCCTATGTGGAATGGAATGATGATGAGACTTGGGAGTTTATAGAGGTACTTAAACATTTACTAACACTAATGTTGTACCTGATCGGGGTCCTTGGTAAGCTAACATCGACGAGAGTACTATGTGGTCCTAAACTTGAAGTATCGTACTAAACCCTATGTATCTAAAGGGTTTTGTGGTCCAATTTTTTGCCAGGTGGGGTCCTAGGACCCATCTCCTCCTCACCTCCCTCCACCACTGATGATATTAATGGTTAACCCATATAGTTTTAGGTTGTAATTAATTATATATATAGTCAAGACTAAACGTAATCTGGATTAGTATAGTTTATGTGATTTGGAAGTTTTATGCACACCGATAAACTTCGATCAATCAGAAGCATCAAGTGTATATAGTGTATGAGCATAGGGATCACTAGACCGGTTGGCATGTGGGCTTACCAACCAAAACTCAATAAAAGAACCATTAGGTTTTGAAAGACCGAAACCAATTAACTCAACCGAGTGGCTATTCGTGGGATACGCAACATGAGTACCCATGGCTATACAGATATAATCGTGAATAATATCCTTTGAACAAGCACGTTCCTTTATTATTGAAATACTCCCCACAACTGCATGTCATAAAAGTGATAATATATGATAACTTTCACAAAGTATTCATGAATTATGCTTAGTTGGGCAAACCAATTTTCATCCAATGCTAATCGGCTTAGAAACCCAAATACAAAAAAAGTATTATTGAAATACTCCCCACAACTACCGTCATAAAGTGATAATATCTGATAACTTTCACAAAGTGTTCATAAATTACGCTAAGTTATGCATGCCAATTTTCATCCAATGCTAATCGGCTTAGAAACCCAAGATACAAAACGACGTCGTTTTATCATTGCTGCAAGTCGGGTGAAACGCAAGCGAAATTTTAGTCAAAGTGTCAAACCCACACCTAGTAGAATCCATCAGTTTCAACTGGAGGTTTATCTGCATCCGTTCCGAAACTCTGACAACTTTGGATTTTGGTGATGACTACACAACTGTTTAGTAGCTTAACCAAGAAAGATGAAGATTATTGTCCATATATATTAGTTTGCTTCATCATAGTTTATACTTCGTCTATGTCGTTTATCTTACCTTAGCTGTACGTAGCTATTTCTTCTGTGATCAATGTGGACTCTGGAGTCTGGACTGGATGCCCAATTTTGGAGGCTCTGCATTTAGCTTACCAAGACCAGAAGGGTTCCCAAATTTCTCCTGGCCATATCGAATCTGTTTGTTCTTGTGGGATATTAGAGAAATGAATTAAAGTTGCATCGTCCAATGCCCAACACAAAGCAACAATGGCGGGTATCTACTCTGGCCAAACAATGGACCAGCTACAGACCAAGAAAAAACCAGGCCAGAACCTCTCTTGGAAACCCTAGTTTGCGTTCAACACTCGAGGCTCCGTGGTCAGGAACAATGGCACCGTGGACTGATTCACAGAGTCATGCGGGAGATCGAGACCATGGCCTATTCTGGGAACTCAGGGAGCTGCACGATTACTCGAGCAGAGGGCGCGATATTTGTAAGCTCAGGAGGTGGATCCTTCTCGCGATTCACATACAGATCCTCCTCTGACCAATGGTTTGGATGAGGAACATCGTCACCAGGCAAGTCGTGGTCATGTAGCAAGTTTTCGTACGCGTTTAATCGATTTGAAACGATCTGGGTTCTTGGTACTGGACTAAAATAGCATGGTGTGTCGGGAGTCAGTCTCTGTGAGACTTGCAGATAATACAACTTGTTAGCTTGTGTATACACTCATTAAGTATGTGTTGTTCCTCGTTTAATTGCTTGCATATTACCAATCACATCGACACTGGGAAACGAACAATGAACGAATCTCAATAGATCGAAACGCCAGCTAATGAACACAACAAAACGGTAGGAAAAAAAAAAAAACAGAGTAACTCAAGACAACAATAGCTAGTGAAGTGAGCGATTCAACACTGAGATTTGGCCAGAGTCTCCATCTAACAAGAACACTTCAAGAGGAACGTAAGGAGAGCCGTCCATTACCGATCCAAACCTGTACGTCGGCTGCAATATTTTACTACCTTTCCCGCACTGAACGGCCAGAATACGTCCTCCGGTTCTCATTTGCCACACCTAATTAGAGATCATTAAGGGTTCAGAATCCTACTCGATAGTATGCGTAAGCATCCGACACGACAAGGAAATGGAAAGCTTAATTACCTCCACGATTCCTTTCCGTGGTGCATGAATAGCAAGGCAGAGGCAGTAATCACTCTTCACAGGTTCATAATAAGATGAAGAATGGCTTCCTGGTTTATCCTTATTAATCAGCATTTCCATGAACAAACAGCTTGCATCGCGATATCCCTGGTGTACAAGTTAAGTTAGAAAGATAAGAGCGCAGATTCTCGGCTTGCAAAACATTCTGAAAATTAAAGAGATGGATATGGGGAAAAGACCTTCCATAGTCTGACCACTACTAAGGCTTGAGTGTCTAACAGCAATATACGGCCAAGAGAGTCTGTAATTGCAGCCAAAGTGCCGCTGGGTGACAAGGTTAATTTCTCCCCTTTCCTTGGCTTATCTTTCAAGCAAGTAAGAACAGATGCTGCCATAACAAACAAATGGTGTTAGTACACTTAAACAACATGACCTTTGAATCAATATACATGATACCATCTGGAACCCAGAATGGTGAAACGAACTACAATATAAACCTGATAGCGACAGCATTTTCATTAATGAGAGGAAATCACATAAAGGCTCAAAATTCAAAATGGAAACAATAGTCTTAAAAAAGTGGCAAAGGGTCTTGAAACATGGAAAAGTTTAGAATATAAGCCATGCAAGGTGCTTATATCTGATAGAGAAGCAGTATTAGAAAGGCTAAAACGCCTTACCTTTGGCAAATGACTGAGTTTTGGCTTCTGACTTTTTGGGTGATGGTTGTTCACTCCGCCATATCATTTTAGAAAAAGAAGTTATTGTTGAATACGCTGCAGGAACAACTTTTGACAGAATAGCACCAACTAAAGACCTGCTCCTGTCCTCCGATAATCTTCACCAAAACGTGAGAGCAATTGGTCAACATGAGAACATAATATAAATGTATACATACAAGAGTTTTTCATTCATCGTATTAATGCAGAACAACCATGCTCACCACAAGCTCTAAACTGTCTATACCCTCAAATAGGTACACAAAGTAAATAGGATTAAGGATGACAGAAAAAGATAAGTTTGTCTGGAAGCAAACAATGGAGAAGAATGGAAGTGGAGCTGCTAATACCTCTACAAAATATAAAGGTCATCAGATCACCACCATGTACCCTTAAGACACTATAACTTGTGAAAGTTACATAGTAATATATCCAGTTCTCTCCCATTCAAAGAGGCAGGTTTATGGTATGACTGTACAATTTCTTTTATTTCCTTTTTCCGCTGCAAGAATCCTTCCTGCCAGACAATGTCAACAGTATCCACCTTCTCATCTATTCTACTTCACTTCAGATCTGCCACTCCAGCCCTCAGGCAAGAAATAAGCAATAAATTCTAAACTGATTCAGTAAGGTGGCAGGAAGGAATCAAAGACATTGGATTTATGATTCTTGTATTACTTTTGGGTGTGTATTTTTGTCATACTGGTAAGTTTAAGAGTTACGACCATTCATTTTAAACAAGAGAAAAAGTTTGTATAGTTATGATGTCATCCTCCCAATGACCACACTTACAATGGAGGCTACATTTTAGCACATTTCCTTCAGTTTCTAAATTTTGGCCAAAACAATGAAGATGAGAAAATGGTCACCTGCAGTTGTAAGATGATCCCCTAGCCAGTAGGCACAGATAACAAATTAAGGGAATATAGAGCAGCACTTATCATGTGATGATGGAGACAGAAGATAATCCTCCTCTCCTTTATCCCTAATTAATGGCTGAGGAATTATGGGTGACTTGAGTGGTGGAATGGAATTGGAGTGACTGCTTACAGTAATTGGGTTTTTAACTGGCATACAAATGCCAGAGACATAATAAACAGAAGGTCACACAACTCAAGGAAGGGTCATATACTCATGTTCAGTTTGAGGATGAGCTAGCGTGTGATGTACTATCAGTTCTGGGTTTCCTTTCCTTATTTTTTCTCCTTCCCTTTGTCTTAATGAAATCACTCATCAGTGTTGCCTCAACTACTGGTCTGAAAGAATAAACGGCACAAGTCTACATCGGAACTGATAATTTCACTTCAGCAGTGTTATGCATTATTGCAGGATCAATCGTAAAAGAACGATGGCAAGGAGGATAAAGTAATGGCCAAACTTACTGACCTGTAAGCAGCAATTACCGCATCCTCTCCAACAGTGACTGCACAAAAGTAACGCTGACTGGACTGCCCTTCAATAAAAGCAGCTGAAATCAATTTACCAGAACAAATACATCACCAGCAGTTCTAGACAAAACTAGTCACTCTACACTAGACCTAAAAGCCAACAAAAGGAACTTAAAACTGTTATAAATATCCTCGATCATTCACCCTGGGAAACCAAAAGAGCATCCACAATCAAAGAGGCAATTAATGGTGAACATCTTCAGACCAAAATTGCTAAATTGCGGACAGGAAGGAGCTCAAGATTGCTAAATTGCAGCAGGAGAAGGAGCTCACGATTCCACATGCAGTGTTTCCAAGAACTGGACTGAATGAGGGGGAAATGGTATAAATACCTGAACTTCAAGAAGTGGTGGTGGCATTACTCCACTAATCGCGGCATCAATACACAATCCATGCTTATTAACGCTCCATAACTGATAAGGTAAAGCTTTGTGAGAGTTCCCTTGGTCCTCTTGGTCTCTCTTTTTCGAAATGTCGTCCCAAAACCGGGAATTCACATCTTGAAACCAATCTCTAAGCAATTCCTTCAGCATATTCAATCAACCAACCATGGAACGGGTAAACAAGTCATGTTATGGTCAATCATCCATCAAAAGGAAAACAGAACACATTATTGTCCTCCAAGCAGACACAGAAATACCTGAATGACAGTGCCATCGAAGCGAGCAATAACGCCTGGCATAACAATGGAAACCTCCTCCGCTAGGGAAGTATCACTCATCATATCTTTCTTAGTTCCACGGACCCTCAATTTCAAAATTCGCCCTGAATAGACCAACTGCAAAAGCACCACAATTTGTCAAATCCCAAGCACCCAAAATGCTGTCCTGGAAGAAGAGCAAAATAATATGCAAAAAGGGTTCAGCAACCTGTCTATGAACCAACTGGCCATCCAAAGTATAAACCAGGAAGTACCCACAAGAGGTTCCCACTGCAATGGCTCGAACCTCATCAAAAACCAGCCACTCCATTGCAGTGATGTGCTCCGACTCGATCGGGGACAACTCCGGGCGGATCTTGAAACCGGGGCCGCCATCCCATCCTGTAATCACGACGAGAAACTTGTTGGCGAGGGCAATTGATTGCGTGTCAAGTGCGCAGAGAAGGTTGGGATTGTCCACCAGCCATCCTTCCTTTCCGGCCCCTAGTTCGTCGAGCTCCTTGCAAGCTATACATCCCAGTTCCCTGATGTGGCTCCGCCTCGACATGGCCTGGAACCGGCTACGCCGTGTGATTTGCAGGCAGAAATTGCAGAGGAAAAAGAAGGAAGTTTGTATTTGGATAGGGGAATCCAGACGGAGCTGCAGCAGCGGGATGCAGTTGGATTGGAGAGGAGAAAAGGAAATTGAATCGTTCGAGTGACGTTGCTTTCCTGCACAAAGCTAAAATGTTGCGATGAAGGCAATATTGAGAATCGACAGAGGAAAGCACGGCGGCGAATGATGGCGACACGGTGGTGTAGGAGATTCTCCGGCTGGGACTAAGGTTAATAAGTAATAACACCAAGCTGGTCAAACCGGTTTAATGATCGGATCAGATTCAAAATCTTTAATACTAAAAAGAGTATGCATATATTTAATATATTTTAAAAAAATCTCGCTAATTTACATTCATATATTATTAAATTATTTTTTCAAACGAAATATATATTACAAAATTATCAATGCTCATCTTCAAATCCAGTTTTGATTAGTCAGACCATTCGATTTTTAACTGGTTCAACCTGGTTTTGACTAATTTAACCCAATTTTGATTTTTACATAACCGTCCATTCAAAGTGTATTCCAACCGTTTAGATGATCGGTACCAATCACACCCGGTTGAACCGGTCAGCCGAATACTGGGTTGACAACCTTGAATAACACTACCCGACTATAATATGTATCTCAAGTAGAGATGACAATTTTGTATCTAATCCACCAATTTGTATATAGCATTAGGTGTCTCCCAATAGCGGATAGAGTAAATGAGAAGCAAAATCAGTACTCTCTCTAAAATTCAAAACGCTCTCTCCTCTCTCTAAAAGTCCCTTTTCAGCTCTTCCTTGAGGGCTGCGGCCGGCAGCTTCCGGTGGCGGCCCTCCCTTCGTCCTTCCTTTGTATGCACTTTTTCCAGTTTATGCGTTTTCTTTTTCTGTTTCCATTCCCCTGTGTGGGTTTTCCTTATCCCCCTTGTGGGTCTTTTCCTTGTTCTGTCTCTTGGGATGGATCTTTCCTCGTTCAAGTTCTGTTCGGAGTTTCAGATCTTGAAAGCTTGGAGCTTTTGGTCCAGTTGGAGAGGGGGTTGTTGATTTTTCTCCAACTCATCCTCTTTCCTTGAATCTTTCATCTACCTCCTTGTTTCATCCAACAGATCGCGATGATCCGGAGATGCAGTAGTCTTCCTTTGTGAATCGGCTCGGATGCGGTTCTTGGAATCGAAGATGGGCACTCCTCACTCAGAGATCGTTGCATGCTTTGTTTCTAGGTTCTGCCAAGTCCTTCAGTGGTCATCTCTTTGTTGAGGGTGTTGCTTTGTCATCATCCACGGCTCGTCGTCTGCTGGGTTTGCAGTTCCCTGTTTTCCTGGTCGGTAGCTTCTTTTGGTCTTGGCAGTTTGTTTTTCTCCGCAGCGGCGGCGATCTCTTTGTGGGGTTGCATTCCAGATAGGGTTAGGATTGGCTTTCCTCCATGTGGGCCTCCATTGTGAGCTTTCTTGTGTATTTTCTGGTTTGTGGTGGGCTTACATGTTTTGGGCCTCTCCTTTTGCCTTATTTGATTTGAATGTCTTTCTTTGGACACAGTCCACTACTCTGTAATTGTTTCTCAGTTAATGAAACTGTGTTTGTCAAACAAAAAAAAAAGGTGTCTCCCAAGAATAACTATGTTCTAAAGTTTGCACAATTTAGATTCTAATGTCTCACAATATTCTATAAGTAGCTTGATGAAATTGAACATCGGCTCCTGCAGCTATGATTGCCTTCTTCCTTTTGGGGCACCTTGCCATGACCTACAGGCTACAACTAGACAATAGGGTTCTCAGAGAGAGGAATAAGGAAGTGACCCAACAATAAAGATAATAAATGGATACTGATTAGAACGAGGGACATGTCTGTTCTATTAACCAAACAACGACACAATCTCCTTCGATTCTAGGAGAAACAGATGCAACAACTTTATGACGACTTTTCGTTTCACGGCTAGTTGTCTTCCATTTTGCTTCGCATTGTGTAGCAATATGTGTCTTCTTCTACTTCGATTCACGACGACTTTCTGTTGGCGAGATTAGATCCGACTCTAGTGTGATGGTGACGATAATGAGATTTTTTGTGACTTTGGAGAACATAGACGAGGCTATGGTCGAATGGGAGGAGCAGGGGAGTTGTGGTTTTTTTCTTTTTGCTTCTCTGTGAGATACATGACTCAACATGAGGGAGAGGAAGGAGGAGATGTTGATGAGGACATTTGTGGAATAAATGAAAATTATAAGGGAAACAAATTTGATACACAATCTCCACTTAATAATCACATCTTTCAGTAGAAATTGTCAATCCGTCAATTTGAGTGATTAGAGGTAGGCCTTTAAAAAGTAAATACTTGTATTCTAACGTAAATTAAATAAAAAATGTCTTAGCTAAATACAACTTTAAAATCATAACCTCCAACTTAGCTAGATAATTAATATTTCACTCGCTAAACCACTAGTAAAATACTAGGGTCGTTTGAAAGTTGTGATTGTTAAATAGATGTATTGTTGAGAATGCATGTATAATATTATACATGTATTGTCGAATTTGATGCATTGTAGAATACAACGTTTGGTATGTGTGATTGTGTATGTTGCATCAACTAAAAGCTGAGATAAAACAATCTCAACTCAACTATCTCAACAATCACAACTAAAAGTTGAGATATAACAATCACTCAAAATGAGTGATAGTTTCTCTCACATCACAGAAACAATTCATGTATTGTTTCTGCTAAAAAACAAAAAAAAAAAACAATACATTGTAAACAATACAAAACAATCCCAACTTCCAAACAAACCCTAAAATATAAGAAAGGAAACTAAAAGGAAAAGTGTCTGGCTGATGGCTGCACTGCATTGAGTATTTTTTTTTTTTTTACTGTGATTGATGGACACTGTAGCTCTGTTGTTTACAGCAGTCGATGAATTTAATTATTTTTACCGTACCTACATTGCTTCCTTTACGAACTCTGTCTCTGCCTGAGATTCAATCAATGAACCGAAATGACTGTGGGTGAAAACTGAAAAGTAAAACAAATCCCCCATTTCCTTTTCTTTGAGCAAAACAAATGCCATTTCCGTATCTCTGCGGGTTTGTTCTTCATAATTCATGCTACCGCTACTTTCTTCCTCCATAAATGCCCAACATTTACTTATCACTTTATTTTATGCTTTGTTATGGCAACGCAGAGTTGCAGACCTCCATGGATTTCTCCTTGTTTTCTTTGTCATCGTCTCTTACCAATCGCCAAAGATTCTCCCTCTCCTTAGAAAATTACAAAATATGATTAAGTTCCTCGTTGCAAATACTTATTTTGTTTTAAGAAAAAAGAAATAAAGTTGTTGTCTTTCTGGCTTTTTGGTTCATGGGTCCATTTCCCCTCTCCTTTCCTTGTCTCATGGCTCACCCATTTTAGGACAAGCCTCCAAAACCGATGCTCGCTGAAGAGATGATGATGATGATGATGATGGATATAGCTATGTGGTTCTCCAATACCCCGTTTTAATTCTTGGCCATGAAAGTTTCCGGCTTTTGATGTGCAACATCACATTTCCCCTCTTTCTCTCACTCTCACTCTCCCTCTCTCTGTCAATGGTGGTTTAGTTCTTCAAAAAAGCTGGCATCATTCATCGCCCTTGATGGGTCAGTTTGCTGGAAACAGAAAGGAAGTTGCATGGTGAAGAAGAAAGTGGGTGGATTTGATACTTCATTTCTCCCAGCCTGTTCAAATCAAAATGGGAAGGCAAGCTGATGAACTAACTCTACAACAACAGATTAGTGTTTGTCTGATAGATTGCCAAAGCCAATAATCAGAAGAAGAAGGGAAGTTGGGGTGTGGGAGAAAGAAGCATGCCAACAGTGTGGTTCTCTCTGAAGAAATCTCTGCACTGCAAATCAGAGCCAGCAGATGTTCACGACCCAAAATCAAGGAAGCAATTGAGCACAATCTTGACCAGAAAAGCTGGTGGTGGGAGGTCCGGGTGTTCAAGGTCAATAGCCAATCTGAAAGATGTCATCCATGGAAGCAAGAGGCACATGGAGAAGCCACCGAGTTGCAGCCCGAGATCCATAGGCAGCAGTGAGTTCCTCAACCCAATAACCCACGAAGTGATTCTGAGCAACTCGAGGTGTGAGCTCAAAATCACTGGCTTTGGCGGTGGCGGTGGGTTCCAAGAAGGGTCTGGTGGTGGTAATTTGAAGGGCACCAGTGATGACAGCAGCGGTGGCGGTGGTGTTGGTTCGAGTTATGTTGGTACCTTAAGGCCAGGGACGCCAGGTCCTGGAGGGCACCCTACAATGCACTACTTCAATCCTTCCTTTAGGAACTCAGCAGCCACTCCAACCAGGAAATCTCCTTTCCTTGTACCAGACAGAGAAGGGTCTGGATTTGGTGGAGGAAATCATGGTGGTGGTGGCCATTCCAGTACAAGGGTTTCTCTTGATGCAGATGCCAATGGCGGCTCTTCTTCAATCACTTGCCACAAATGTGGAGAGCAGTTCAGCAAATTTGAAGCTGCTGAAAACCATCATCTTTCTAAGCATGCTGGTATGTCTGGTTACCACTCAACACTCCCTAATTGTTCATCATTGCTTACTTTTCTTCTCTAATCCTACTTCCACAGTAGGCCTCTCACCTTTCACCCTTTCATCACCTTTTTTAAACTTACCACGCTCCCTGGGATACTCTTTTTGACAGTATATTCTGTTTTCCAGTTCCTTCTTTTCCTTTTACCTTTTGTTTTCATTTCTCCAATGTAGAGTAGTACAGTTCTTGGTCTGCATTTACTTGTTCTTCAGAAGCTTTTTCCTTTTAAGATAGGCTAAGTTTCTTTGATGATTAGCTTAACTATGGATTCCTTTTATGTCCTTGCCCAGTTACTGAGCTCATTGAAGGAGACTCATCCAGAAAGATAGTGGAAATCATATGCCGGACGAGCTGGTTAAAGAGTGAGAGCCATTGTGGCAGAATCGAGAGAGTACTGAAAGTCCACAACATGCAAAAGACCCTGGCTCGATTCGAAGAGTACAGGGAAATCGTGAAGAAGAGGGCCAGTAAGCTCCAGAAGAAGCACCCTAGGTGCCTAGCAGACGGGAACGAGCTGCTGAGATTCTATGGAACCACACTGGCATGTTCACTTGGCCTAAATGGCTCGTCGAGCCTGTGCATATCGGATAAATGCTGCGTGTGTCGGATCATCAGAAATGGGTTCTCGTCGAAGAAGGAGCTGAAAGGTGGAGTTGGTGTGTTCACTACTTCCACAAGTGGGAGGGCGTTCGAGTCGATTCAGATATTCGAAGAAGAACCGTCTGCTACGAGTATGGTGAGGAAAGCTCTGATAGTGTGCAGAGTCATTGCTGGGAGAGTCCATAGGCCGCTGGAGAACATCCAGGAGATTGCTGGGCAGACTGGGTTTGATTCTTTGGCTGGCAGAGTTGGGCTGTATTCCAATATCGAGGAGCTCTACCTGCTCAATCCTAGAGCTCTCTTGCCTTGCTTTGTGGTAATCTGCAAACCATGAAGACCAAGAACCAGGTGGGAAATGAAAACCATCATCATCCAGTTATTGAACCAATCATGGTAGAGATTTTTCTTTTCTTTTTCTGCATAACTCATGCCACTGTATTCTGTCAACCATGTCAACTTCCATTTTGTGATTAGTTCCGACCGAAGACAGGTCGTTTTTTTATCAGCAGAAATCATGCCTATATTCTATTGGTTCTATGTTCAAATTGATAAGGATGTGTGAGCAAATTTTTGGCTAAGTGCCAAATTGTAGGATGACCCGTGAATCTGGGGCAGGACAAAAGCAGTGGTGGGTGGCTCTTTTGGTCCAAGGCAGAAAGATAGATAGATGGGTTGATAATGATGACTATCTCAATCTTCAGTTAACTTACAAAGTGTTCATTTGGGGAAAGAGGAGGACATGACCTCTCAGTAATTAAGTGAAAGTTGCAGTTTTGAATTCTGTGTTATGGTGTTGGGGGAAGCTTCACTTGAAATTTGAACCTTCACTAAGCCATTAATATTTGACGAGTACTTCCAGGTCTCGAACCACATGTTTCAGGAAACCCAGGAGGAAGAAAATAATGTAAAGAAAACGGAAGGCAGTCGTTGCTGGCTTGCTGCTACTGCTGTGGCTTCTTCTGTTACCATTTTAAAAAAGAACCGTTTTCTCTGACTAGCAAACAAGGTGAAGGTATAATCAACGTGCAAAGATCCCATTATCTGTAATTTCACTAGAATTCAAACTGTTGAGGGGACTTTCAGAATATCATTATCATAATGCTGTGCAGAAACAAACATGTTGGGCAGCCATGGAAGCTTCCTTCCTGGAATGTGATTATTTACTGATTTAGGGGGTGAAGTTTGAGAAGTGTAGATTTGAAATGCTTCTAGTTTATAATATAATCATTTGAAGTAGAAGACAGTGGAGGCCAGAACGATGGATGGATAGATGGATGCATCAGCTAGCAGTCCAGTACTGTGAAAAGTGCAGCAAGTGGTCCTCCTCCAGTAACCAATTGGTTGGTTGGAGTGGGGGCTGGTGCAGCTTAAAAAAACAAAAGGGTTTGGCCAAAACCAGAAGACAAAAATGACTCAGAACTGAGAAATAACAACTGCCTTTGCTTGCTTCTCTGCTACATGGAAAGGTAACTGTGAATTTGGCAGTAGGGTTTCTTTTGCCATCATTATATTTTTTTGAAGAAGAGTCACCATTCACCATTTTTGAATTTTCTGGTGTTGAAATTTGAATGCTTCCTTCAGGTTTTTCCCTGTGTCCAGTCTGGACTCTGGAGTCTCTCTCTATATTGTTTGTGTACTAGATCTTCCTGGTCAAGTTGCAGCTAATATCTAGGATAATGAATCATTTTCCCATTTCTGAAGCTTTTAATGCTGGCACATGCAGTTCATAAATGTAGGAGCAAGAGCAACCCTTCCTCTGAGACTGAGACTCACATCTCTCTCTCCCTCTCTCTATTGCTGATGCCACAAGGAACCAAAGTAAATAAAGAAAGAGGTTTATCAAATGGGAATTCAATCTTTGCTGAATCTTAAATGAGGGTGAGAGAGAGAGAGAGAGAGAGAGAGAGAGAGAGAGAGAGGGAGTAGCTATGGGAGGAGCAGTAGTCGGACACAAATGCTGCTATTTAATTTGTGCAGTTGGTTGTGGGTAAAGGCGGACCCTCCTGCCTTTTGATTTAGACTACTCTTCTGCGGCATTGGTTAGCTTGGTAACCATAAGAGAGTTAGCTTCATCATAGACTAAGCAAGAGCTGTTGTTTTGCGTTGGAGTTGTACTAGTAGCGGTACTGCACAAAATCTGAGTTGTAATAGTCTGGACTAGTAGTAGTACAATCATAGTTGTAATTGTAGTAATTATTTTTCAGAGTTATAGTCGTTGTTCTTTGCAGATGTAGGACTATGAGTCTATGACTACTATAATTTATGGTTGTGTTAGAAACATGATTTTTGAGGTATTCAATTATATGGATCATGGTGTCGATTTGTTTATGATTTGCGACTCTAAATGCATTTTGGACGTTTTTGGAAATTATTTGAGTATTTTGGATATGAGATTAAAGAATCGCTAGTTAGTAAAAATTAGTTTAGTTTATATTATGTAATTGTGAGGATTTTCACATTAAGTAAAGGTTAAATGGACAAACCTTTCAAACTTTTCAAGTTATTAGCCAAACCTTTCAAACTTTTCAAATTATTAGCCAAACCTTTCAAAATACAAAATATTAGACAAATGTTAACTTTTTATATGATTTTTGTTAGTAATATTGACATGACAACATGATACTGACTTGGAAGAGACACGTGGATGTCAACATTCTAAATTTTTAGTATTTTAACTAGAAAATGAGTTGCATAATTACTAACGGTAAAAAAATGGATAATATTTTGATGTGTTACAAAAGATTGGGCTAATAATTTGAAATGTTTGTGTTTACACCAAAAATAAATCTCATTAATTGTTAGATGTATGAACAGTTTGGCCACTTAATTGGTCCATATGTACTTGGTTGGTTCAATTTATCTAGTTGGCCGTAGGTTTGGTGGATAGTAGCTCGGTTTGAGGTAACTATCCAAGATGGTTAAAGTACCAACCATGGTAGCCATCCAACCGTATATTGGATGGTACTATCCCATATGCAATTGATTCAATCCAAACCTTGTTATGGATGGTACCAACCCATTTATCATGGATATCATCTCAACCCTATGTTGGATAGTATCATCCTAAACATCATGGATACCATCCCACCTCTAATGGATGATACCATCGCAAATATAATGGACACCATCCAAACTCAAAGTGGATGGTGTCATCGAATAACATGGATACCATCCAACCTCAAAGGGATGATATCATCTCATATCATGGACACTATCCAAACTATTAAATTGATGGTGTCATCCATGTTATGGTATGGTGACCATCTAGTATGGTTACCACCCATGGATTGTTGTCTTAGTCAACATGGATACCATCCAAGTTGATTGGTGTATGGTGACCATCCAATGGTTCATACAATTGGTACGCATGGTTGATTGTCTAGTGACATGATGATGTGTCGAAGGTGGTCACCTCTAGCAGCAACTGACTAACAAAGGGCGCTCGTAGAGGAGTTAGTGGATGCTATGTGGAGCTTATTTCAGGAAGAGATAGAGAAGATGGTTAGAGGATGAGGCACAACAAAACTTGCAACAAACTTCTGATGGTGAGATAGACAAATCAAACCAACAAGTCTCGTCAAATTTTATCTTTCTCTCTCTAGAATATTAGTCGTAGCAATAGCACCAGAGACCCTCCACGAGGCTTCTCTGTAGTTGTAGCAGTAATTGCAGAGCTCTCAAGGAATTTCCATAGGAGTAGAGGTAACAGTTAGCAGATCCTTTGATGTATGCATCGAACACCCTCGTTCGAACAATGTTTGAAAATATGTGAATTGAGTAACATCGTTTTAAAGTTTTTTTTAAGTCATGATGCATTGATCACACGAAATTTACCAAAAACAGTTTGAAAGATTTTATTAATATATTGTATTTGCCCTTAATAAATATTAAATACAGAACAAACATTCAAAATTATAATTCTCTCTCCTCTCTCTCTAAGCTCGGCCGAACTCCTCCACTCTCTTTCTCTTTCTTGTTCTTCCCCTAATCTTCCCCTAAATTCTATTATTCGAATCCCTAATCTCACAACCCCCCCAATTTTCCTATTATCCCCAATTGATGGTCTCCTTTTCTACTCTTCTTTGGTCGGCGGCCACGGTTGCTTTTGCTTGCAGATGAAATGCATGCATCACTCTTTTACTCCTAGGAAATGCTTTGTTCTCTGACAATTCTTAGGCAATTTTATTACCAACCCGTGAGAAGTTAATTGAATCAAGCCAAAAGGAAATTCCAATGTCTTTGTTGCTTTTTATTTGGTTTTTCTAAGAATGTCATGACTATCTTGCTGATTTTTAACATTTTATTTCTCTCAAACCAACTCTTATGAGATTAGGTGGGGAAAATTTAACAGATGTTGCAACGATGGTGAAAATTCAGTATGATGAAGAAGCATCACGAATGTAAAACCATTTTCATTCGAAAATTGACCTACAATTTCTAAATGTGGTCCCTACAATCAAATCATCAATTTTTCTAATCATTAACATTCCTAAAATATGTTAGCGATTTCTAATTTGGATCCCACCAACTATTTAAATTTACCAAATACTAGACAATTGAAGAGATGGTCTAACTAAGAAAAATAGAAAAGAAAATAATTACAAACGTGACATTGCTAAAGGACTTTGCAAATAAGCAAGCTTGCTAATTTAGCAACAATCCCTCCGTTACTAGCAATTGCAAAAACTTTCTTACATAAGCTCTGTCTCACTTTAACAATTGTTAAATGTTAGGGATTGAGATGGTCTGAGAGGGCATACCCTTTCTGTCTTTGTGATGAATATGTGTGTTTATCATTTGATTGCAAATGAAAAACATGTTTCCCTATCTTACAAGTAAATAAGAACATATTTAAACTTTTGTGGGCTAGTTTAAACCCAAGAAAATTCAGATCAACTTCAACGATCACCACTTATATAGTAGTTGATGAAAGCAACGAACTCATTCGATCAAGTCATTATAAACTATTTGCGGGCCAAAAAGTTTGTTGGACTAGTAATTGATACTAGTCAAGTTGGATTCAAGCTCAAACTTAGAAGTAGAAATTAGCTTTGCCAACATGTCAGCCGATTTTCATATGTCCACGCATCTTGTTGACCTTCGTATCACATCTAATGTAGTGATAACTCACATCAACGTGTTTTGTTCCATAATTGAACATCTAACCTTTCATAAGATAAATAATGCTTCAAAAATAAAAAAAAGTGTCGTAATGTATTATATACTTCTAAAGCTCGGTGAAGAAAATGCATATCCAATAAACTTCTTTAGAAGCTTTTAAAATAGTCATATACTCGACTTCTGTAACAGACAAGTTGAAAATAACTTTTAAATTTGTCTTATCAAAATCTATAGCTAAATCCTAATGAGAGAATCCTTTTCAAGTACTCCCAAATAGTAGAATGAGTGAGAAAGCTTCAACTAAAATAGCAATCACATGTTGGATAGTGTACATATCAAGACTATGAGGTACATTCTCATTTCTCATCAAATCATTTGATTTAGCTACAAATTTTCAAATTATGTACCTATGACGATCTCCGTGTCAGAAGTCTTTTGTCGCATCGAGATCCTTCATCCCAAATTCTCTTTCCAATTGTGCCTTCAACTGAATGCCATTTCTAACTTTGCTATGCAAACTTCCCCCCTTCCTCTCTCTGTCTGTGATGAAATTGACAAAAAGATTAGGAGGTTCGTTTGGGGAGGGCAGGAGGGTAAAAGAAAGACCCACCTGGTCTCTTGGAACACTATTTGTAAGCCTAAGAGCCAAGGTGGTCTGGGCCTCAGATCTGCCAGAAACTTGAACATGGCATACATGATCAAGTTGGCTTGGCAGATGCTTAACAACGATTCTGAGCTTTGGGTGCAGGTCCTACAAGGGAAGTATTTTAAGCATAAAGATGGTGTCATTACCTCTATGAAGAAGAGTAATCATTCAAACTTGTGGAAGGCGATTGTCAAAGCAATGCCTCTGATGAAAAGCGGCTGTTGCTGGAGCATCAGGAATGGGGAGTCTACAAGTTTTTGGTCTCATCCATGGATTGACTGTGATCTCAAACTTGAAGATTTCCTCCTTGACGACCTGACACCCACTGAAAGAAACTCACCAGTGGCAGCATGGGCTACTGAAGAAGGTGAGTGGGACTGGAACCGACTCAAACCACTCCTCCCTGATGACATTCTTAATCTGATTGCAGGCATGGAAGTTCCGAATGCACAGCTTGGCGAGGACAAAACCATATGGGCAATGGAACGTGATGGGAGGTTTAGACTCAAATCGGCCTATGCACTTGCTGCAGGGTTGGATGAGGCTGATGATGATCAAAGCTGGACTAAACTATGGAAATGGAAGGGACCAAACAGAGTTAAGCATTTTTTGTGGCTGGTGATGCACGATCGCTTAATGACTAACAAGGAGAGAGCGAAGAGAAAACTCACAGACAACCAAAACTGCAGCCAATGCAAAGATGTGGAGGAGTCGATCGAGCATATTCTACAGCAATGTCCATCTGCAAAACTTACATGGATAAAGTTCAAAGACAAGCTAAAGGTCAACAGAACTGGTATGGACTTCAAAGAGTGGATGATGAAGAACCTCTCAGATGAGCAAAGTGGGATAGATTTTGGAATTGTGTGCTGGAATATCTGGAAGCAGCGGAATGAGCATGCCATGGAAGGAAAGGCTTTCAACCTGCAGAGTCTTACCTGCAGAATTCAGGCATGGTTCAATATTGTGAAGCAGGCTAAGCTTTTGGTCAGGAAAACTTCAACTGCAGGCGGCCCCTCTACCTGTAAGAAACATGTGTCCTGGAAACCACCACGGGAAGGGTGGATTCAGCTCCAAACAGACGGGTCGTTCTACTCGTCCACGGGCAGTGCTGCTGCAGGGGGCCTGCTTCGTGATCACCTTGGAAGATGCAGTAAAGCATTTGTGTGCAACTTGGGCACCTGTTCGATTACTTGCGCTGAACTGAAAGCGGCTGCAGTGGGTCTCAAGATTGCGTGGGATGAGGGGCATAAGAAGGTGGAGTTGAACATTGACTCGGAAACTGCCATTGCAATCATCAAGAATTCTGTTGATGATGATCACAGACACGGACTACTTGCAGCAACTATTAACAAACTTTTGAGCCTCGAGTGGGAGGTGAAGATTACCCATGTTTTTAGAGAAATGAATAGTGCAGCTGACTATCTTGCAAATGTCGGTCACTGTTATTCTTTTGGTACACATTCATTCGATGTGTACGAAGTCGGTCTTAGACGCTGGCTCTTTCATGATGTAATGGGGATTTCCCAAGACCGTGTTATTACAGTAATGAATTAGACGCACTAGCGTCACTCTTTCTACCAAAAAAAAAAACTTAATGATATTTGCCTTGTCTTTTTGTAGGAATCAACATAACATCAATACATAGGATGGAGAGAGGATTTGGACTATAAATATTTTAAAAATAGACATAACTATGATAATTAGACTTCCAAGTTCCTCAGAGTTCATGAAATTATTACACCTTGTTCCTCTTCCTCCCAACACTAGTATTTATCATTCACGTCTTTTTTCCCCCCAACAAGGAGTAAGCTCCATCCCATCAAAGACTGTTTTACAAGCTAAACTGATTACAGACGGGAATGATAACATCCATGATAGTAATCCATGCATGAGGTAGCGTTCTTCTTGCTGCTTTTTTTGCCATCCAATCTACAAGCCCCTAAAATGCGCCAACTGAAAGAACTCAAAAGAGGGTGAATATGACTCAGATGAAACAAGTTACATACACGTAGTGTTTGAATCCTCAGAACCTCCCCATTCACTTTTCATAAATTTTCACAGATCAAGGAAGGGAGTGCAGCAAAAAATGACTACAACAGGCCGGAAGTGGAGACACAAGTGCATGCCCTCTAAGACAACCACCAAAATGTCAGTTGTACCATCAAGCTGCAGCAGCTGCTTCAACTGCCTCGCCCTTCTGGCTCGCTTCCTTCAGTTTCTTCCAGTTCTCTGCAGTATCGATGATCTCACCCGTCTTGATCAAGTACCGGACTCGCGTCCCATCATCCAGCACTTTGTGCCCCACCCGGCTCGCCACGTTCTGGTCTTTTGAGTACAGCATTACGTTTGAGCTGTGAAGGGGTGCTTCAATCTGGAATATGTGGAGATGCAGGTTAAGTTGGGCCTCAAAGACAGCAGAATATGGAAACAAGAAATGCAATATCCAAAACAGTACTAAAGTCTACACATACAATATTCAGTCTTTCAGAAATATCAGAATACAATAAAATAAAGGCAGAATCCTTTCAGAACTCATGCATACTCCAAGATATGCACCTACTTCATGCAAACTGCAGAGAAGATTTGCTACTGATGTGCTTAGTTTTGTGTCGGTTCAAGAGATAGCAAAGACTGCATTTTACATACGAAAAAGATTGCGTATCCCAAGTCAATCTTGCTGCATTCATGCAGAGGTAAATGTAACCTATGCTATGTGTGTCTACAGTTTTCATAAGGATTGCCTAACAAAAGTACGACGGTGGAATCACCTTAATGATTTGGCCAGGTTCATCCTGTTCTCTGCTCTTCATATGCTTCGTCTTTAAGTTGATATCTTTGACGACCACAGTGCTGTTGTGCCTGAAGATCTTTGTAATCTCTCCAACTTTCCCTTTATCGTCTCCCGCAATCACTTTCACCGTATCTCCCACCTTGACATGCATCTTGTGCAAAATTGGAAGGCTGTTTGGTTTGCACTCCTTCCGCTCCCATCGTTTTAGCTACAAGTAAGCAAGAGACAGACATACAGCAATTCATTAATATAGGGTTGGCCCTCAGGTTGAAAACAGGAGGTCCTAAATTCAGCAAGCTTCTCAATCTCCCCTTAGTCACAGGCTCAAAGCTAACACAAACTCCTGTTGTTCAATGGACATTGCACTATCTCATCTTCTCCATAATCTTATACTTCAACTGTGAGCCAATAGAAAATTCACTACAGCTCTATATGATTGAGAAAGTCCCTACCTTTACAACAATGAGACATGGCTTCTCCGGCGACTTAACCTGCGCGGGGAACGTAAAGCAGATAAGATCATCGTCAAACACACATTAATCAAACATTCTCACATTGCAAATTGAACAACAAATGACAAGGGCAAATTGCTCAACACACACAGTACACAATTGACTGAAACAGCTCACCCATCCTGCTGAATTTCCGCACGGGAAATCAAGAATCGAAAAATAGAAGTGGAATTTCAGATGGGTACATGAAGGAATCGAGGAATGTCAAGAAGCTAAAACAAAAAAGCACAGAAATTTGTTTGGGGGGAGAAAAAATGGCGTACAGTTAAAGGGGAGAAGGTACACGGAAACGAGAGGCGGTAGCCGAAGAAGGAGCTCGAGGATATCGAAAGAGAAGCCATGGAGGCTTGAATTGCAGCTGTGGCTGCCATTTTCGCTCTGCTGCTGTAATGCTGCTGGCCAGCTGCTGGTGCTTCTTCGTCTTCCTCCTTGCAGTTCTTGCGATTGATAGAGTTGAGTTGAGAAGATGAAGGAATGGATAACGCCTGCTCGGCGCTCGCTATCTAGCAGTTGGCAGACGACAACCTTCGCTGCCGTATTAAGTATTAAGTTCTAGCCTTTTTCCTTCTCACATTGGGCTTAGCCCATTGATCTACCAAAATGGGCCTTGATTTGGGTCAGCGTCGCAAATTTATCCACGTGAAACTAACGGGTACGGCCCTCAACCAAGATATCCGCAAATTCTCTCCTTCAGAACTTGGGTCAATGCGAACATTATCCATCCCTTAAAACCATGAACGTATTCATAACCAAAAAGTCTCGGCACACTAATCATGATCTTTAAAGTTTAAAGAAACATCTAATTTTATCTACAAAATTCTCTTAATTTCATGATGTATACGAAACGAATCACAAATTGCATATAAGAAAGCGAACTGTTATTTTGAAAATTCTAGGAAGTAATAAAAACAGCGGTAACACGACTCGTGTGGATTTTTATCGTAGAAAAACGGATCCAATGCATAACTCTATATTTATCATTTATGTAATGCTCCTAATTTTTACGCAATAAATAATTTTTAACAGGTTATATGTCTCAAAAATTGTAATATCTCCTCTTTTGTTGTGTGCGTCATGTACGTGGGCATCGGGCCGTGCCGCCCACAGGCTAGCACGACACGACACGGTTAGAGCACGACACGAGCACGAGCACAAAATAAATGGGCCAGCCCGGCACGAGCACGAATAATTTATGGGTCGTGCCGAACCTAAACTTCATGAGCACGGGCATGGCACGGTATATAAGTGGGTCGTGTCGGGCCTAATATTTTCGAGACTTTATTGAGTATAAGAACGGACATGACATGAAAATAATATTTATTTGATAGAAAATAAGTATAAAAAGAATTATAGGTTCAAATATTACAAAACACAAGTAGAAAAATAATTATTTGTTGTTGTTAGAAGTGTCATAAAGATAATATATGTAATTACTAATATAAGTAAAAATGGAAAAATAATTAAACAAAGCCAAATCACACTCGCTATACTTTCAATTTTCTTTCCCCCCTATTTGTTACTTTTCTCAAACATTATAGGTTAATACTATCTTCCCCGGTCAAATTTTCATCTTCTTATTCATTCTCTCTTTTATTTTCGTCCTTTTCATTAAACACGAATACCAGCATGGCACGAGCACGAATAGACACGGCACGATTCGAACCGTGTCCGGACCTGAGCCGGGCCTAGCAAAGTTGACAAATGAATTTGCATGGCACGGCACGAAAACTGACGGGCTATGCCAAACACGACACGAAATAAATGGGCCCCAATCGTGCTCGTACCGTACCGGCCCAAACACAGCCTAGCGCCCATGTACATCAGTGCGCATGAACAAAAGATGGTGCCTCCAAGACCGATACACATGATGTTTCTCTTCACCCGCACATGCTGCATGCAAATGGACTAACGTGTATGATCCGCCATCACGTGATGATGAGTGATGAGGAACATTCCCACTCAGTTAGAAGGCTGTCAAGTTGCCTGGTCGGTTTTGTTGTCTTGTTGCTGTATATCCATGAGAGAGGTGACACCGTCACCTAATTCTCGCAATTTGGTATTCGTTCACGCAATTTAGTATTTATTCGGATAAGAAAAGAAATCACGTTCCTTAGGTTCGTATCTCTAGAAGAAAATTAAGAGAGCATTTTCATATATCCATTTCCATATGTTACAAGAAAACCCTATCCATCAAAACACAAGAGACCCAAAACTTCTCACCTTGTGATCATGTCTTCCCTCTGCTCTTGCATACTAACAACCAAGCCAAACTCATGTACAAATCAAACCAATCAAAAAAGAACCAAGAAGAAGAAGAGACCAGGCATGCAATGAGAATGCATCATCATCATCATCTGAACTTTCACAGAGTGTCAATACTGTCCACTGACTCCTCCCTCCGGTGTTGGCGTTCAGATGTTGGCGTCTTGACTTCAGGCAGCTCGATGTCGATGGAAACTTCCTCCGGCGTGGCAGAGAGGAACAACTTCCTCAGCTGGTGCTTCCTGTTGTGCCTCGCCTTCAGGATTCTTGACAGCACCTGCACTATGTCCCTCATCGAGGGCCGCTTTCTTGGCACGCGCTGTATGCATTTGTACGCAAGAGCTGCTACTTCGTTCAGCTCTTGCATATCCAACTTACCTTCCAGGCGCGAGTCCACTATTTCCTCCCATCCCACTTTTCCCTCGGAGTTCATTGCTGCCTGGCAAAGTAAACCAACACAGAGAAAACAAAAAATGTGCTTATTGTTCATGTCATGATGATGGCTGGTAAGTAAGGATTAGAGAGCGAGAGAGAGAGAGAGCATACAAGCTCAACGTATTCCATCAGACCCTGCTGAGGATTTCTGCCAGCTATAAGCTCAAATAGCAACACCCCGTAGCTGTAAACATCGCTCTTCTTTGTGAACGTCCTCGTGGATATATACTCAGGATCAAGGTATCCGAACGTTCCCCTTATGTTGGCAGCGTGTTTATCGACCATCTCTTCTCTCGATAGTCCAAAGTCAGCCACCTACTTAAACCACGCACCGCATACACAAACGAGATTTTTCCAACCAGTTAGTGTCTAGGAGGAACAAGAAAGGTTTTAAGTACACAATGCGTGATTCAGCATAATGTTGGGATCTGATCAAGGCATTAGAAGACGTAATTACCCTGGCTCTCATCGAGTGATCTAGCAGGATGTTGGATGATTTGATGTCTCTGTGAATCACAGGTGGCACTGCCTAAAGATAGGAATAGGGTGTTAAGCATACAGAGTATAGCGTGGCTTAAATTGATCAGTGCAGAAGAGATGTGCACACAATGAAAAGAGTCTAACTAAAAGAGAGAGGCTCACCCCATCATGGAGATACTCCAAGCCTCTTGCAACATCTAGAGCAATATTAATCCTTACATCCCACTTCAATGGTTCATGGTTTTCACCTGCTTGGAGAAGGGGGGAAAAAACGTCATTTCAAGGAAACTATTCTAACCCTTCTTCTAGGCTTTCAAAATTTGTGAATCAAGGTAAAACCAGCCTTCTTCAGTTCCTCGGCTGTTTGGCTATATTCTTCTCTGGAGCAGATCGATAAATCTTACAACAAAAGGTTGAAGATGAAGCGTTCACACCAACTTACTGTACAAGTGAGAAGATAAGCTCCCTTTGGTCATATACACATATATGAGTATGTAGACCCCTTTCTCAGAACAGTACCCAACCAAATTGACTAGGTTTCTATGATGCAACCTTCCCAGTAGCATGACCTAGAAGCAGTGGAAAAGGAAAGTAGGGAGTTAAATAGTGCTCACTGATGCGGATTGGCACTAAGCCTCCGGAATTAAAAAGATTTCTCAGTGAAGATTAAATTGTTAGAATGTCTTCAATATCACTTATGTCCCTCAAACCCAAACCCACACCATTTCACTACCTGTTGCAAGAGGTTAAGCTGACTACTAGCCTTACTAAGCTTAACCTCCATTAGCACGGACCCTATATACTGTTAGAAATGAAAATCACAGTGTCCTTACCAAGCATATTGTCCACGAAAACCAAGTAGAAAGAAGCAAATTCACTAAAAATTCCATGGAAAGTTTAATAAGCAAGTTGTAATAATATTCTTCACAATTAACAGGCAATGCTGTTAGAGCAACTGTCGTATCTATCCTTCCACTAACTCAGGATTTATGGCATTACCTCGGTCCGAAACTCTTTCTCCCCTTGTTTAGAATCGGTGGCCAGCACTTTGGCTGCTACAGTTTCGCCAGTCAACATTTGAGCTTTATAAACAGAACCAAATGCTCCTTGTCCAATCACTGTAGTAAAGTTACTTGTCGCTTTCTGGAGATCCCTGCATTGTGGTGAGGTTATCATTATGAATAAAACCACAGGCAAAGAGCTACATAAAAGACCTAACAGCCAGAGGTGATGACAGTTGGGAATACACCAATACATGTAGGTGATGGCACTTTGTTGCCATATGCAACCAACATAAGCCAATCCCAACAGGAAACATCAAAAAGGAAGAAAACCTTTAAATAACAAGCAAAAGGGCAAAGGAGAGTGTGAGAGGAGGATGAGAAAGGGAACCAGTGAACATACTTGTAAGAATACTCGGGTATGCCAGAAACCGACACACCATTGCTCTTCTTAAAGGTTTCAAGCCAAAAGGAGAGCCCATTTCTACCCCCGGATTTCATAGGCGAATCGGGACCAACAGTTGAATCTGACATGATGGTACTAGCATCACCCCCATTTTCTCTGATAGGTATCGTGGCTGCTCTCCTAGAACTGCTGTTACCAATCTGGGATCGCTTCCTGTGGTACCTAAAACTGAAGAACGCCAGAATAGCCAAAAGCACGCCAATCACCACCCCAATTGAAATCCCAATGATCAACTGAGATGATTCCCCTTTCATATCTCTCTGTCTCTTTCCTTCTGCTGCTGCTACTTGCTACTACTCAAGCTTCCAATCCATGTCATCATAACCCTGCAACTCATCACCAATTCACCGTGTTACTACAAAGGATAAACGATGCAATTTCCATCGCCTGTCACAATTCTAGAGTTTGACCTTTCAATTACAAGCCAATTCTCAGATTGGTTGGGACTAAAATTTGCTCACGTACCTGTCACTTCTTCTATCCAATGTTACTATTATTAATATTGTCGTTGTTTTAAAATCAGCAAATGGTTAACTGGAAAAGTCAAATGCAGAACATGTGTGATGTGTCCAGCATTCTGCATAAGCGAGAGATCTCTTTCTTTTTTAAAATGAGAAAAAATCAACTGGAGCAGATGGATTTTCCCTGAATTGTTCAACCCAGTGCAGAAACCCAACACAAGCACAAATTCTGAAACTTTTTGCCAAAATAACCCTAACAAAGAGCAAAATTCACTAGTAGAACGCAAAGAGCAGCAGAGCAGAAATTTGGAAAAATGAAGGTTGGATAAGACCAAAGCGAGTTGTCCTTTGTTTCCCGTCCTGGAGTTGAAAACTAAGGAATCACGGCAAGAGGGAATTCGGGTTAGTACTGACAATAACAATACAACCTTAAATGGCACCTTCCCAAGAAAGTAACCAATCAATCCGTGCAAACAGAAACACGTATGAATTGATTTGTCATTTCTTTCTTTGACTGCACGTTTGTTTGTTCTGGGTTTGTCCGCCCTCTTCTTAAATGCTAGAAACCGTATGAGTTAGAAACCGCTAACAACAAAGTTAGTGAAGAAAACAGATGGGATATGGGTCAGCCTCTCAGCCATTAATCTATGTTAGTTTAACAAGAACACACTGAAATCCCACCCAGATATCCTAAACCCAAATCCACACTGCAACTCGTGCATTTTCAACAAGGGCGGAAAGAAAGAAGAACACGTACAGTTGAAGAAACTGACAGATCGAAGGCGTAAGGAAGTCATTTCAAAATAGAAACATTTCTCCATAATTGGGTTTTTTGCCCAGAGAAGAGAATTTACCTGCCGGTCGTCGTCGTCTTCTTCGGCAACTCTTGGAGTGAAACAGCGTATTTCTGGACCTCTTCGAGGAGAATGAGAGAAGAGCAAAAACCCAAAAGAGAAGGAAGAAAGAGAAATGCCCTGAGTGGGATTGAAGCAAAAGTGAGTGACGGAAAAGGATCGAAGGTGCAAGGAAGGAAGGACCCAGTTTGGAAAATTGAATTTTGAGAAGAGAGAGTGAAAAGGGAGAGGGCGTAGGACTGTAGGAGATACGATTTGTTGGTCGATGGCAATGGAAGAGAGCAGAGTAGCAGACAGAGAGGGATTTTCAGACAAGGAAATGGGACGACGAGTGAGAGTGAAAAAAAAGTAGTTTTTGTTGCTTTCGCTTTCCGGGGCTCGACGCTTTTACTTAAAAAAAAAATATATATTTTTTAGGGGAAAAAACGCCTCAGAAACTCCGGGATTGCTGTAATAATAAATAAAAAAGCTGCCTCGTCATCAAATCAATAAGGAGGTAGGAGCTAGGAGGATCACTGGATCACTAGATTCAAAGTGAATCATAAGTAGGGATGGTAATTTCGACCTGACCCGATTTATCCGACTTGTTTAATCTGTTTGGGGCGGGTCTGACCCGCCCCATAGGCGGGGCGGGAATGGGTACCTCTCATCGACCTGACCTGCCCTGACCCGCCCCATTCTCGACCCATTCTGGCTTAAGTTACATGTAATCTTAGCAAATTACTTAGGATTTTCCTCTTATTACATCATATTTTAGGTATAATAAAGTTGTAAATAAGTTACAAACTCAATTTCTCCTATAATTTAACTACATTTTATCAAATTATGGTTTCTTTCTTGGTCTTTTAATTAAAATAATGAATAATTCTAATGTTATTTCGCATAAATTATATACCCAATGGGTCGACCTGTCCCGAGCCGCGCCCCATGATAAATTACCAGACCCGGACCCGAACTGCCACGAGACGGGTATGGGTATCGAGATACCCGCCCCGGACCTGCCCATTGTCATTCCTAATCATAGGTTATGTTATAATTCCAAGTTTTTGTGGGGAGAATAGAAAAAAAAAACGACAAAAATGATTGAGCATGGGATCTAAGCTCACATGATATTGGGGAACACGATGATAATGGTTCGGGTTAAGATGGGTATCGTCAAAACCGTTATTTATTTACATTATCAAAATCACTCCTAAAAATGGTACATTTAATTTGTCAGAAGACTTTGACAACATACAGGGGAATCAATATCATCTACAAAGTACACATTTCAGAACTAAAAGATTAAAATTATCACGAAAGATAGGATAAATGAGAATGCGGAGATAAGAAAGTGGTACATGTATTACCAGCTTTTACACGATTTTGGGGCAAATTGAATAATTATAAATCGCATCGAGCAACAAATAGGGGGTGCGCAACAGTTTGGTCAAGTTATGAGAACCACAGTTCATTTTTTTCTCTCTCTCGCAAAGTCAGTGTTGAAAAGAAAGTCATAAGAAAGAAGAAAGAAAAGTACGAGAGTCTACCAATAGTCGAACTCCCGATGAGAGGGCCTTTTTGTGCCACATGATGGGCAACCATATTGAGTTGACGGGACCACAAAACAGTAAGAGTTACTGCTAAACAGTAAGAACCACGGTTCATTAGTGAAAGATATCTTAGGATCAAGGACGGGGCCATCACTGCATTCGGTCCATTTGATCCGGTTCGGTCGGATCCAAATATCAATTCGGTCCATGTTTTCTTCGGCAATTAAACTCAAACGGTCCGTCCAAATGACGGTTTGACCTGGCACGGTCCGGTACGAACCGACCCCCCATATTTGTGTGTATGAATTGGATTGCCATCCTTACTGAATAATGCTTTTTTTAACTTTCTATTAGATGCAAAAAAAAAAGTTACAACTAAAAATACATAGCTTTTTGTTAAGTAACTATAAATATACTCAATGATGGGTATAAATAGGAAGAAAAAACAATCACAAAATTGTTGGTTGAATGCAAATCAAAACAAGTATAAAATGGATTAGTAATTTTTAAGGGTGTCCCATAAACACCCCAATAAGCCAATACCGTTTATGTCCCCAGAAGGAGTAGCCCTCCCTTCCAACTTCAAAAGACACATAGTCCCAAAAGCTGTCCATCTACATATATGTCTAGACTGAAAATCCATGGCGCCAGGGGATTCCGATTCAGCGGCTCCCCGGCTGCCAGTAGTGAGGCAGCATGTTCTCCCATGTTACACCGTCTTCGTTACGACTTTCCTGGTAGACTGCCTCGTCCGTAACGTTCCAGAACGAGTGGAACTCGAACTCCCTCTGAGGATCGGCCTTGTTGTACGCCTCGAAGGCGACATGGCGATTGTTGTACGCCAGGTAGCACCAGAACATCGTCTCCTTGATCACGTCGGGCTTGAATCGCCACGTGTACTCGTTGTCCACGGTCACGTAGTGTACCCCGAGATCGTCGTCCTTGGACTTGCAGTGCACCAGCAGCACTGCCTTGGGGTCGCTCAGCTCGTTCACGATGTGGACGTGATGGTAAGGCCAGAAGCTGAGACCCGCCTTGGAGGGTTGCAGCAGCACAAGCAGGATGATCAATACGGGCAGAAACACTATTGGTTTCATGAGGAAGCTAGGAATTGTAGAAGCCATAGCTTTTGATCTGGTTTTTGTTTTTTCTCAAAGGTTTTGGTTATATGTAGGCATTTGATGTACCATTTCCACCTCTCTTTTTAAGCACGAATCGCGCGCGCGGATCGATCGAGTTGAAACAGTCTTTTTAGACAGAACAATTTCTAAGTTTAGGGGAAATTTTCCCTTGCTCATAATTAGATTGGTTTGACTGTAAGAAAGTGTAGAATGGAAAATTTTGAACAGAAGGAGAATATACAAATACAGATGTGCATTTTTTCTTTCTGGCGGTCGAATGTTGGTTCCGAGCGGCTAAATGTAAGAGAAGAATGTGCTCATGAGCTAGACAATGGACAGTACTGTGCTTGAGTTATGCTCTAATGAAGGAGTGCAATTCACCATCCATCCATCGCAGAAGCGATATCGGATGTCTCGAACGCGTTGTGCGTTACATTTTCCACAAGCTTATGGAAGTTGGAACACATAGTTAGTTTCTTATCTGATGTCCCCATTCGGCCTTTACAGCATCTCCCCTGATCTCACTTTGCTCCTCTGCAATCACCAGCAGATTCGCGCTTTTTCAACCGACTAAGCGCTTTGATCTTAGTCGATCGATTCAAGACAGACAGCGGCCTTCAACTTCGAGCGTGGCAGGCAGATTTAATGCCAGCTTCCTCTCCAGGTGGACATCATGAAACATTTTTGCAGAAGAAAATGGGGGGAAAATGGAATTCAGTTTTTACTTGAAAAATATAGAAATCAGGCTTCTATTAAAGATTTCACAGTTTCTCCTAGGCTAAAGATCAGGTCTCTGAAAAACAAAAATATTCTGAATTAAGACTACGGCTAAAAATATCATTTTCCTTAACAGCTGTTGGCAGGGAAAATGACAGGAGTTTTGAAACTAAGCGAAAGCTGCAAGCTGATGAAGCGTTCAATATGGTGGACTTTGAAGAAGAAAGGTTGGATCTTTGTGCTAGGGAAGTTGATGTTTTACAGCAAGGGGGAAGAGGGTTTGAGGGCTGAACCAAACGAGCTCCATGGATACGGAACACATGAGAATCGCCTTCTTCCTGCAAGTTATGGATAAAACTGGAACTGGCAAGAACAAAAGAAATCGAGGTGTTTGTTGACGTTTGTTTGGCTTGTGGGTTTGGTTGTAATACGTTAACGAACTTCCTAGTTGCTAGAAGTTATTGATAGTTCGCGCCAGTAATGGTAAAAATTCCAAAAGTATCACTGTTTAAAAAAAAAAATTCAAAAATACCACCCTTTTTCAAAAACCGCCACCCCACTCTGCGGTTTACACGAAAACCGTTTGTTGGAGGCGCGGTTTTCTATGCAAACCGCGGGCCTAGGGAGCGGTTATTAAAAAAAAAAAATTTACCAAACCGCTGGGTGGGGTGGCGGTTTGACCCAAAACCGCCACCCCACCCAGCGGTTTGGTCCATTTTTTTTTTTTCCGATCAACTCCTAACTTCGGCCGAAACTTCAAACGAACGTAACTTTTCACTCGGGTATCCGATCGTAGCGATTTTTTTTCATTTCGCATAACTTTTCAAGATCTACAACTTTTACTAGGATGAAATTTTCAAAACTGGAACTATTTGTGGATATACGGGACCTTGGGAATAACTTTACCTTTACTTTTCACAAATCCATGTATATTTTGAAATTATGATTATATTAAAAGTTGTAGATCTTGAAAAGTTATGTGGAATCAAAAAAAAGTTCATGAAATTCGGATTTGGGAGCACAAAGTTATAGCCGCCTAAAGTTTGACGAAATAAAAAAAAAAGGCTAGTTCGGGGTGGCAAATGACGTTTTTTCGAGACGAAGGCGGGACCCGGCGGTTTGCGGCTTGCAAGATCTCAAAAATTTATTCGGATTCAAAAAATGGAGGCCGCAAACTTTTTGAGATCTTGCAAGCCGCATACTGCCTGGTCTCGCATTTCGTCAAACTTTGGGGCCTCCATTTTTTGAATCCGAATAACTTTGCGGCCTCCATTTCGTCAAACTTTGGGGCCTCCATTTTTTGAATCCGAATAAATTTTTGAGATCTTGCAAGCCACAAATCGCCGGGTCCCGCCTTCGTCTCGAAAAAACGTCATTTGCCACCCCGAACGAGCCTTTTTTTGATTTCGTTAAACTTTAGGCGGCCATAACTTTGTGCTCCAAAATCCGAATGTCATGAAATTTTTTTTGATTCAACATAACTTTTCAAGATCTACAACTTTTAATATAATCATAATTTCAAAATATACATGGATTTGTGAAAAGTAAAGGTAAAGTTATTCCCAAGGTCCCGTATATCCACAAATAGTTCCTGTTTTGAAAATTTCATCCTAGTAAAAGTTGTAGATCTTGAAAAGTTATGCGAAATAAAAAAAAAATCGCTACGATCGGATACCCGAGTGAAAAGTTACGTTCGTTTGAAGTTTCGGCCGAAGTTAGGAGTTGATCGGGAAAAAAAAAACATTTGGACCAAACCGCTGGGTGGGGTGGCGGTTTGAGTGGCGGTTTTGGGTCAAACCGCCACCCCACCCAGCGGTTTGGTCAAATTTTTTTTTTTTTATAACCGCTCCCTAGGCCCGCGGTTTGCATAGAAAACCGCGCCTCCGACAAACGGTTTTCGTGTAAACCGCAGGGTGGGGTGGCGGTTTTTGAAAAAGGGTGGTATTTTGGAAATTTTTGGGGTTGGGTGGTATTTTTGGAATTTGTTTTTTAAACAGTGGTATTTTTGGATTTTTTCCCCAGTAATGGGCTCGGCTGGAAATTGTAATGTCGGTATTTGCTAGCAAAGTAACAATGGCCACCAGGGCTGGCCATTCGGTTAGCGGTTAGCAGTTAACCGGCCGGTTAAACCGATAACCGCCGGTTACCGGTTAACCGACTAACCGAAAAAGTCAGTGTCGGGCGGTTGACGGTAGCGGGTTTTACTTTGCCGGTTAACCGGCTAACCGACGGTGGTAACCGCCGGTTAACCGGCTAACCGGCCAGCTAACCGGCAAAACAAAGACGACGCCGCTGACTCAAACAATCCACTTCCACCCGACTAACCCTAATCGAAGACGAAGGCAGCTCAGCTCCTGCCTCCTCTGCAAAGTGCAAACGGCCTCGCCCTCCTCAGCAATCGACCCTCTGCCGACTGCCTCTGCTGACTGCCGCCCGGCCGCAACCCGCCGGCGCCGCGCCACTCCTCTGCTCCGCCGGCGTCGCGCCATCCTCTGCTCGCTGCACCCCGCCATTGAAATGTACGTGTTTGTAATTAGACCTGCACTCCACTACTTGCCGCCTTCTTGCTTTGTGTTGCTTCTGCTGAAGACCTCTCTTCTCGCCTTCTTGCTTTGTGCTCGGCTGCTCGCCTTCTTCCTTTTGCTATCGTATGAAAGTCTTTCGGCCGAAATGCATTCGAGTTTTGCGTAATCGTTTTTGTGGGGGGTTATATCATTCGAGTTTTGCATTCGAGTTTCGGCCGAAATGCATTCGAGTCGAGCAACTAACCGGTAACCGACCGGTCAGTTGCCGGCTAACCAACGTGTTCCTTCGGGCAGTTATCGGTAGCCACGCCGCATGTCTCGGTTAACCAGTAGCCGGCATTTCGGTTATCAGTTATAACCGAACTAACCGAAATGCCAGCCCTAATGGCCACATACATACACCGCTCTCGTGAAAAGTCAGTTGCTGGCTGTTACAGGTCAAGAACGTCCTTAAGCAGCAGCAGCTGCTGTGAATTGAGAAACCTTAAAGCCCCGAAAACAAGTATTTTCCTTCTGATTAACAAACGCTTTCTCGGCAGTAGAGAATCAACATTCATCCCGTCGAAAATAAATAGGAGAATAGATTACTTTCAAGTTCTAACGACTGCGGCAGTACTGCAACCTGCATGACTAGCACTAAGTCCACGCAACATAAACGGTACATAGCTCTGCACTTTCAAGTTCAACTCCAAAAGAGCGATCGAACAAAACCATGAGAACCACAATGTCATTCCGTAGAGCAACAAAAAGTATCAAAACCTCTCTAAAAAAACTGCAACAAATCCATCTCTTCAAAGGTCTTGCACGCTCAAACCTGCAACAAACGAACACAGATGTGCATTAGCCAAAACCTGAGTGACATGTGCGGCAAAACGTTCAATTCCCAGGTGGTAAGTACCAAGTACAGTGCAACCAATTGATTCTTGGTTTCCTAGGGAAAGCATGTGTTACCGATGCTAGCACAGTGCTATTAGATTACATCACCAAAACCCAGCAGATGGTAAGAGAACTGCCAACATTCTCCTACCCCACACAAGTAAAAGAACAAAAGAAAAAGACTCCATACCTGGGGGAAGAGATTGCTTCAGCTTATCGGCCTTCTCGTTGTCAAACACACATAGGGTGTAGAGGTACTTTGAGCAGCGGACCTTGAACTTGACTACATCTTTGCTCCTCTTGATCTTGACAGAGCGTGCATCCTTCCTTCTTGCAGTGAGAAGGAAGTCCTTGATCTCATGGATCTGCTTCGGCTGTTCATCACAACAAGCAACCAGCAAATGCCATCATCAAACAATGGTCACCAGACAAAACGGACAGCCAAAAGAAAATGTGCCCAAAATTACTGCATAGCTGATGCGCTGTCGCGCCATGTACCAAAGGCAGAAATCATTTGCTATCCCTACTTCTTATCTTGAAACAGCATCAAGCTGCCTAAGGTCCAGACTAACTACACTCAATCAAAAGCAGCAGTAGCACTTGAAACAGCCTAATCATACAAAATTTGCTGCCAAATATTAACAGAAGCCATCGGCTTCAGGCAGGTAAGGGCTTGGGACACGATGGTCAACACTCAACATCCACCATTTTCACGAACAGTAACTGTATCAACTACAAGCATCGAGGTGGACACCGGACTATAGGAGCCTGGGATTTTCCTTCGACCCAATACGAAAACAACATAAAACTGCAGACTTTCAGGGTTTCCAATCAACTATCTACAGTAATTTACCCGGGTTCTAAATCTGGAGGACACAGAGGAACGAAAAAAAGAAACGCAATAGCAGAGAATATGAAGATGGAAGTGAGTATTCGTAACCACCCCTATGGTAAACTGACGTTGAAAACAAATATTGCGAATTGGAGAGGAGACGAGATTAGGGTTTACCATTTTGTTTCGTCAAGATGAGCTCCTCTTCTTCTGGAGCTGATTCTGCCCTCGCTGAGAGTAAAACAATGCAACCGGAGTTTCCGAGCTTTTATATACGGGGACGGTGATGGCAATTGTAAACCCTAGGAAGCAGAACACTGATACGACGAGTCAAGGTGTCGTTTTGGTGCCCCAAGTCCAAACTGTTCCTGGTACGCCACCGTTTGGGCTCTGTAGTATAAACCACCAGTGGGCGTTAGTGGAGGAAAGCATGGGCTTTCAATATTGGGCCTCGTAGATAAGAACAGTGTTTTCTACTTATTGGGCCCTCTGTCCCCGTAGGCTCGTCCCACTGGGCAATTAAGAAAGTAGGGGATTTTGTTATTTTGCTCCCCCGAACTTTGGGATTTTCCTATTGAAGCCTTTTAAAAAAAAGTTAATATATTTGTATGGTCCAAACTTTTTACATATTAAACACACAGTCTAATCTTTTCGATCTATAACTTCGTGGCCTCGACTATGCATTAAAGTAACGAAATCGGCCAAACTCGAGATTTGACCATTATCTCTGACGGTCAAATACACTGACTAACAGACAACGCGTCGCGTCACTACCAAATCAACACAAACTACTTAATATTTTGGTTTTTTTCCACCTATTATCATTTATCTTCTTCATTAGCAATAAGACTGTGTTCAAGTCAGAGTCAAAGATAGCGTGGTGATAACCATTAAGGATAAGGACGTTGTGATGGTAACTAAAAATGAAGTTGTGGCAACATACATCAAGGACACAAAAGGTAGGGATGACAATTTCGACCTGACCCAATTTACCCGACCTGTCCTGACCCGCCCCATTTTTTTACCTGTTCTTGCCTAAATTACATGTAATTTTAGTCAAATTACTTAGGATTTTCCACTTATTACATCATAATTTAGGTATAATAAAGTTGTAAATAAGTGAAAAACTCAACTTCTCCAATAATTTAACTACATTTTATCAAATTATGGTTTCTTTCTTTGAATTTTAATTAAAATAACGAATAATTTTAATGTTTTTCGCATAAATTATATACCCATTGGGTCGACCTGCCCCCGACACGTGCCCCATGACGAATTACCTGACCCGGTCCTGACCTGCCACGGGGCGGGTATGGGTATCGAGATACCCGCCCCAGACTGGCCCCATTGCCATTCCTACACAAAGGTGTAGTCGTGGATGCAAAATTACAAATTAAGGACTACAATTGTGAATTATGTGATCAACACCGTCCAAACTACAATGTATACAACGGTTTCATGTAAACGAGACGGTTTTGAACCCTAAATTCCGCATTGAATTAAAATCCACATCGGAAAATAAAACACTAGAGATGGCTTAGTGAGCTTAGGCTGGCTCCAACAGAGTCTTTATATTTGGGGAATCGCCAAAAATGCCGATAATCGCCATATGCTCCCCAAATTTGGCTCAGGAAATGGCAGCTCCTCCATTTTTGGGGACCACCGGGTGGCGGGTGGCGTTCTTTTTTTCTTTAATTAACAATTTTGGGTTCAATTGGGGGCTAATTAGGAGATTAATTATAGGTTTAATTAGATTAATTATTTTCAAATGTTGTGTGTAAATAAAAATTAGGTCAATCATTTTTCGAAAAAAAGAAAAAATCTCAAAATTTAGCAAAATTTTATCAAAAAATTTATATTTGAAAATGATGACAAAATATAAAAGAATTAATGCATGAACAAATTGTATTAAGCCTTCCATAATTATATTTTTAGTTTTTTTTTTTGTAGAAAATGGGACGCTAAAAGGGCGCCCCTGCCTGATACTTAAATTAACCGGTTTTGGGTAATCCCCAAAACGTCATACAAAATCCAGAAGTTCAGACCCGGGTCTGCACTATCAAGAACATGGAAACCTATACTAGCTGAGTGGCCTTTATTAGCTAGAAAATCTGCCACTTTGTTACCTTCTCTATAAATGTGGGAAATTTTGACTTCCCAGTTCTGCTGAAGCAATCCCTGAAACTGAAGAACCAGATTATGGTACCTGTGCTCTATTTGATCCTGCGAGGTAAGAATGTTGATGGCAGTAGTAGACAATGTAGTCAAAATCCCGATTTTAATCTTAAAATCTTACGATTTTAATCTTAAAATCTTACGATTTTACGATCTTACCTATGGGTTCCGATCCTGATTTTACTGTAAAATCTTTGAACCTTAAAATCCCGTAAAATCCCGATTTAAAACTCTAAAATCCATAAAATCTATGATTTCTACGATTTTGTACGATTTCAAGGTTCATATCAATTGAATCAAAATTAGGCCGGTCAAGTTGGGTTATGCCCATGAACCGAGTCAAATTTACTTTTCCCAACCCAACATAATGAACAACACAACCCCAACCTGATAGTTAACCCTCAATTTATTTCATTCTCTTCCTCGTATCTTCCTCTTTCGCACGTCGGCGCCCAACTCCTTCCATCAACGATATCTTCCACCCTCCCAATTAGCTTGTAGTTTGTTCCCACCACCCTCACAATAATCCAAATCTCCATTACATTAAAAGCTTTTGTTCATCTCCCAATCCTTCGGCACCACTAACCCGACCTTTTATCAATTAAGAAGGGAATGCATCCATCAATGAGTTATCTTTTCAAGATGATGGTAATCAAGGAAATATGGTTAATGGTGAAAGTACTTCAAGTGATCATAAGAGTAATGATATTAGTCCTTAAACAAATAAAAACGATGAGAGTGAGGGTGAGGTTGAGGTTGAGGATGATGACGATGATGTGTAAGTGATGTTAATGTTGATCCTAACGATCTTATGTGATTTTCTACTATTAACAATTAATAAACAGTGATATCTATAATGTTTCAGGTTTTTTATTTGTGTGTTTCTATTATGTACAAGAAATATATATGGATTAGTTGTGTTTATTTAGCAAACAAACTTATCTTGGGAAGTAATTATGCTTTATATGGTTGATTGTTATTCAAGGTATGCATTTTTATTACTATCTAGTGTTTTAAGTATTTATTTTAATATGAACCTTAAAATCTTACGATTTTACGATTTTAATCTATGATTACGATTCTACCTCAGTTTTCGATTTTACTTAAAATCTAGATTTTGACTGCATTGGTAGTAGAATCCAATTGGAGGAGGACTTTCCTGTACTCGTTCTTCCACGCCATTTGCAAGCCTCGAATGGCCGCCATAATCTCCGCTCGGGTAATCGTACAAACACCGAGGTTTTCCACAAAGGCACCCATACATTTCCCCATCCAGTCCCGGATGATCCCACCCTCTGCTGCTTCCGATCCTGGCTGCTTCACTGAACCGTCGGTATTGACACACATCCAATCCTGTGGTGGCGGACTCCAAGCAAGCTGTTGAGTGGTCTTCCTGGTTACTTCTTTATGTGAAGCAGTGTCATTTTCCTGGGCTTGCCTGATAGTTCACGTCCAGCATCCAATGCGTTGCGCCAAGACCTGATCCTCCTGGGTCAGGTTGTGAAAGACCTTCTCATTGCGTCTTTTCCATAGATACCAAGCTGCCACTCCAAACAGAAGCCCTTCCTGATCCCTCTTGAGATGTTCATCAAACCAATCTGCAAACCCAAGGCCGCAAGTTAGAGTTGTCTCCTGAATACCCAACCTATGCCATACCTGTATTGAACCCGGACAGTGGCGCATAATGTGTTCGGTAGTTTCCGGTCCGTTTCTGCACATCGGGCATGTATCGTCCGTCGTCAGTTTCCTCCTCTTTCGCTGGGCATTCTTCATTAGCCTGTCATGAAAAACCAACCACAAAAAATGTTTAATACGGTTCGGGCCCGCCCATTTCCAGAGTCGCTTCCAGTGGTGGTGGTTGTTCGCCTCCTCCGACTCCCTCTCCTCGTCGCTCAGCCATTCCACAGCCGCGGAATAAGCTGAACGCAGCTTGAACTTTCCGTCTGGCTCCATACCCCACGCAGTAATGTCTTCGCCCAATCCCGGCCTGGGAGGGTCCGTACCTGCAATCAAGGCAAGCAAATTCTGAGTCAGGTGAGGCCCCAAATCCTCCCACTTCCACTCACCTTCAATGGTAACCATCTCAGCAACGGTGGCATGCCAGTTGATTCCCTCGCCATTGCCCATGATATGCTCACTCAAGATCGTTCCCTCGGCAAGCCAAGGATCCATCCAAAATCGGACATTATGACCTTCTCGAATGTCCCACACAACTCGCTGCTTAAGGATAGGCCAAGTATCAACAAGTATGGAGAATGTAGCATTAAAGCAAAAGAGAAAGAGAATAGAGAGGATCTCTAAGTTTGGAGACTAGTATTTGACTGCGGCCTTACGAGCAACACATGACAGTAGGAATTTGACTCTGGGTCGTCGTCCCCGGTCAGCACCGAAAATGGGGAAGACAAGAAGAAGTCCGAGTCAGTCACTGACCCAAGCACACAGTCCAAGCAGTCAGTCCCACGCGGGAGGGGGAATTAATACTCTTGAGCTTCCCCATTCATCTTTGGATTCACCAATCGCCGGGAGAGAAGTCGGGGGTAGGGATGCTGCTGCTGCCGCCGTCACAGCTCCTTACCCCCCAAGGTCCTTCCCAATTCCCAACTCACCGGAAATCGAATTCCATCTTTAATACCCTTCTCCCTCTTGTTAAAGCCTCTGGTCCTCTTCCTCCTGGCCTGCTTAGGCTTGCACACTTTACCACCAGTACCATATGGAAGCTGATCACATGGACATTGATGCTCCTGATCACGATGACCCTTCTCTTCCCTTCGCCAGAAGGTAAAGACCAGACATTTTTTTTTGTGTGTGTTGATGTGGGTTAAAGATTACTGCTTTTTTGAACCATTTTGCACAATTTGTGTGTGTGTGTGTATCTTCTGTGCTAGTTATCAACTGGAGGCACTCCAGGTGGCTATCAGGCAGAACACCATATCGTATTTGGAAACTGGGTCTGGCAAAACCCTCGTGGCCATCATGCTTCTACGTTACTATGCACCTTTTCTGCGGAAGCCTTCTCCTTTCATCGCCGTTTTCTTGGTTCCTCAAGTTGTTCTGGTCCGGCAGGTAATATCTGCAACTCTGCCATCTTAGCCCCTTGCATTTCTCTTAACAAGCTTGGCAACTAACCAGCTGATCATATGGAATTTTGGGTGATCGTAGCAAGCTGAGGCTGTTAAAAGTCACAGTGACTTGAAAGTGGGTACTTACTGGGGTGAGATGGGTGTTGACTTCTGGGATGCAGCTACTTGGAAGGAAGAAATTGACAAACATGAGGTGATATGATTCCCCATTTCAACTTTCAAGCTTGGCCTTATTATTATTATTATTTTTTTTTACTTTTTCCTCTGTTTTCTTCTTCCAATTCTGATCGGCCTCCCTCGATTGTGAAGGTTCTAGTGATGACGCCTCAAATTCTGCTTAATTGCTTGAGACATAGCTTTTTCAAACTCGAGTTTATCAAGGTTTTGATATTTGATGAATGCCATCACACTGGTGGTAAGCATCCTTACGCCTGCATCATGACGGTAAGATCTCTTCCACGTTTAACAACAAGCATTCAGCTTTGGAATTTAGCTCTACATTTTCTCAAATTTGATTACATTTGCAGGAATTCTATCACAAGTTGGCCTGCAAAAATTGTGACCTTCCAAGGATATTTGGGATGACAGCTTCTCTTATCAAATCAAAATGTATGCTTTTCAGAAGTTTCGCTTGCCAGTGTCCATCACTATGTTACATTATTAACCTTGAAATCTTGTGTGCATAATTGATCTTCCAGGTGGAACATCCGAATCAGAGTACTGGGAAAAGATTAAAAAGCTAGAAACAATAATGCATTCAAAGGTTTCTCTCAGTTTCTGGTTGACTTAATTCTTTGTATTTTTCTTTTTGAACTGATTTGAATATGATATTCAAGGCTGATCAGTTACCTAGGAGTGATAGAAGGAATTGCATGTATGGTAGCAGTTTATTTTTCTTGATTAGTACTGACTGTTCAATTTCTTTTTTTTTTTTTTTCGCACTGAAGGTTTACACTTGTGTTAGTGAGTCTGCTATTTCAAAATACGTACCAATTTCAACGCCCAAATTCAGATTTTATGAAGCTTTAGATGTACCGGGTGATCTAGTTGCTCGCTTACGGTTTGGTCTAAACAACTTGAAAACAAAGGTGGGTTTCCACTTGTTGATGATGTTGATGTTTATTTAGTGTGATTTGGTGGTTCTATGATGTTGACAACAGACATGCCGTTCCTTTCAGCATGAGAATTTATTGACTAAGATGGATCTTACTACAACTTCCTTGGAATCCACGAGGAAAAAACTGACTAGAACTTGTGAGGCATTGCTATATTGTTTAGACAACCTCGGCCTCATGTTGGCCTCCAAGGTACGGCAATCATTGTTCAATGTTATTTTTTTCATTTTGTGTTACTGTCCCTGAACTACAACATGGTTACCGTTGTTAATAATCTGTCACAGGCTGCCAAATTCCTGTCTAGTTGTGATAGTGATGGTATGCTATCGGATAAACTGGATGTCTTTGGTGAGAGAGTTGTTAAAAAGTTCAGTACAGATGCGTCAATGGTATTTCAAAGCTGCATTTCGACCGGTAATTACTTCCCGAACTGTTTAATAGGAGAGTATTGAATTCAGGTTCTTTTTGTTTGTTTGAGTCGTTTCCCTATTCATGTTTTATTTATGCGGACTACTTGTCTCCAGAATGGACCCTTGGTGGAGATGCAAGAGCTCATGTCAAGTCTGGATTTCTAACTTCCAAAGTGGCTTATCTCATTCAGTGTCTACTGGACTACAGGTGGGAGTTTATTTATGATCTCACTTTTAATTTAATCCTATCTTGAAGCTTGCCTCTAAGTTGGTTGCTAAATCAGATAATCTTCAGATTTTGTATGAGTTCGCTTTGTGGTAATTTTGTTCCCATTCTTTTGTATGTTAGCTAACCCTGTATTGATGAATTTTCTTTTCATTTGGTTAAAAGCAGGAATTTCAAGGATATCAGATGCATTGTTTTTGTAGAAAGGGTCATTACTGCTATCGTTCTTCAATCATTATTGAGTGAAATTCTTCCTGAACATGTTAGTTGGAAGACAATGTACATAGCAGGTAACAACTCAGGGTTACAAACGCAGACAAGAAAAACACAGAATGAAATCGTCGAAGAATTTCGCGAAGGCATGGTATGTATTATACACCCTTCTATTGTATACAATAGATTGGTTTTTTCTTCTTTTCTTTTCTCTTGTCTGTTTTCTTTTGTCATGTTTTTTTTTTTTTTTTTGTTTTGTTTTGAATGCTCAAGTTTATCTGTTGGATGATATTTTCAGGTAAATATAATTGTTGCTACCTCAATTCTTGAGGAAGGTTTGGATGTCCAAAGCTGCAACTTAGTGATTAGATTTGATCCCTCCGCTACTGTGAGTAGCTTTATCCAGTCACGTGGTCGTGCTAGAATGGAGAACTCGGATTACGTGCTAATGCTCAGAAGGCATCGCCCACTTAACACTTATCTTCATAATAATATCAGTTAGTTAGAAAATGTTCAGTTTCTTCAATTCTTCACAAGTGATTGTTCTTTAAATTTATTATGCAGTGGCGACATTTCTGAACAATGCCGCCTAGAGAAGTATCTTTCTAGTGGAGAGATAATGCGAAGTGAGTCACTTCGACATGCTTCAAATCCTTGTCCTCCTCTTGGAAGTGAATTCTACGACGAAGAGATTTATCGGGTTGAAAGCACTGGTGCGGTTGTGACTTCCACATCTAGCATTTGCTTGATACACTTCTATTGCTCTCGACTTCCTTCAGATGGGTTAGTTATTAACTAATTTAGTTCTTAATTATGGTAAGCTTGAGATCCCATGCGTCTAAAATCTAAATAGTATGCTATTGTTTTAGGTACTTCAAACCAGCTCCCCACTTTGTTATAGACAAGGAAACAAGCCGTTGCACACTTTACCTTCCAAAGAGTTGCCCACTGCCACCTGTTTCTGTTGAAGGAGACATTAAGTCACTGAAGCAGAAAGCATGTTTGCAAGCGTGTATAATGCTCCATAAGATTGGTTCATTAACCGATAATCTTGTTCCAGATACCGTTGCAGAAAAATTGGATGATCGAGGACTTTGTGAGTCGCTTTTATTCATAATATTTTTGACTACTTTGTCTTCAGGCGATTCGTAATTTATATATTGTTTAAATATCCAGAAGCTATTCTGCAACTCTTAATGTTTCTCATTACCTTCCTTGATGACAGGCGAAGAATGCTATGATGATGAATTTCCTGTTTACTTTCCACCGGAGGCTGTGCGTAGCCATGAGAGCTGCAGTCAGCCTGGAAGCGAAAAATATTACTGCTATTTGATTAAACTTTGTCCCCAATATGAAAGTCGGACTGCTGTGCAGGATATTGTCCTTGTCATGTGCAGTGAACTTGAGACGGAGATTGTAAATTCAAATTTCAATTTAGAAGATGTTAGAGGTTCACTGAAAGCTACCTTGAGCTACATGGGATTTCTGGATCTTACACCAATGCTGGTATGCCAAATTTATCTCCACGGTCACTTCCTTAATTGTGGGTCTAACTAGATTTTTGTCCTTTTGGCTTTCTACTATGTGATTGTAGGTTAATCTGTGCAGGATGTTCCAGATCACTGTTTTTAATGTTCTTATACATCATAGCTTGGATAAGCTGAAAGGAAAAATCCAAGCATTGAAGCATTGTGATCATCTGGATTATTTTGTGCTACCAGCTACTACTTCAGCACAAAAAGCCAGCATCGATTGGACATGTGTTAGATCTGTACTGTTTTCGTATAAACAGGCATGGGAGGATCATAAGAAGTACCCCTTGCAGTGCAATGGTGCTGGTGTGGTTGTAACGACAAAGGACGGACCAGCATGCAAATGCATGCTACAGAATTCATTGGTTTACACCCCTCATAACAGAAAACTGTATTCTACACTTGGTATATCGGATAAATTGTCTGGAAATTCCTTCTTGAGCATGCGTGATGGAGCAAGTGTCACATACAAGGACTACTATAAATTCCGGTGAGAAAATTTTCCTTGTTATTCATGTGACACCTTTCATCATTCTGCCATATGACACTTTGTTGTGAAGGCAACTAATTTGGATGTTTTCAGGCATGGCATTAAGTTAGACTCTAGCCACCAGCCATTACTCCATGCAAGGCAGATATTTCCAGTCCATAATTGCCTTCTTAGATGTAAACAACAACGAAAAGAAAAAGGTCCTGCTTCTTTGACCATTTCCCACTGTTTGCGGCAGACTAATGCGTTAAGAGGGATACGTAGGTCTTATCTAATTTCAATCCCTCATATCCCTGTACTATCTATTTGCAGAATCAGGAAATGCCTATGTAGACCTGCCCCCTGAGCTATGTTGCATACTTATGTCGCCAATATCTATTAGTACCTTTTATTCCTTCACATTCATTCCATCAATTATGCATCGTCTCGAGTCTTTGTTGATTGCTTTTAACTTGAAGAAGATGCATTTGCATAGCGGACATAATGTTGATGTTCCGTTAGAGAAGGTAACTTGCATTTCTTAATTGAATCAAAACTAATGATTGCTCGTTTTTACCTTCTTCTTTTTCTTCCTCTCTGTATTGATATTTCATCGAGTTTTCTGGCAACTGAGGTAATTAATATCAACTTTCCATGGTAGGTTCTGGAAGCAATTACTACGAAGCAATGCCAGGAGAAATTTCACTTGGAATCATTAGAGACTCTTGGAGATTCTTTTCTCAAGTATGCTGCCTGTCAGCAATTGTTCAAGACCTACCATAGTCACCATGAGGGCCTTCTGAGTATCAAGAAGGACAAAATTGTGTCTAATGCTTCGCTTTTCAAGCTAGGATATGACATCAAACTTCCGGTAACTAATTCATTCCATGTACTCTCTCACTTTATGTCTATGCTGTATACGGCTTGTGATATCGTGCTTCCTACTTATTTGAGCACAGGTGGTGAAACAGCAAGTTTACTGTTTATGGACTGGATTGGTATAAAGGTAGAGTTCAACAATAGTGTTCCAAGTGAGAGGCAATTACAGGTGGATCCTGAGAAGCTTGTAAATATACCTCATTTGGAGTCTCTATTGAACTATTCCTTCAATGATCGATCCCTTCTTGTGGAAGCATTGACTCATGGTTCCTACATGCTTCCTGAGATCCCAAGATGTTACCAGGTTTATTCACAACTTTTTTCCTGACGGTCAATGATTGCAATTGCTTAGACACTATAATAGCTTCTTTGTTCTGCTGCTAAATGTTGTTCCCCAGAGGCTGGAATTCCTTGGCGACTCGGTCTTGGACTATCTCGTCACCGTGCATTTATACAAGAAGTATCCTGATATTTCGCCAGGCTTATTGACAGACATGAGATCGGCTTCCGTGAACAATGAATGTTATGCTCAATCGGCTATTAAGAACGGGTTGCATAAGCACATACTCCATGCATCACAGAGACTCCACAAGGACATAAGTCGCTGCATTTCGAACTTAAAGGAAGTGCCTTCTGGGCCAAGTTTCGGTTGGGAATCTGAGACTTCCTGTCCCAAGGTTGGTCATCCCTGAGCTTTCCTTTTGCATCATATTCTTTCATTCCTTTTTGGTCACTGCCCATGTTTGTAAACCATTAGTGCATTCTCGAAACTGATCAGTACTTGTTCTTCGTCGTTAGGTTCTTGGAGATGTCATAGAGTCTTTGGCTGGGGCTATACTAGTTGATTCAGGGTACAACAAGGAGGTAGTTTTCCGGAGTATAATGCCATTGTTGGAGCCACTAGTCTCTCCAGAAACACTCAGGCTAGAGGCTGTGAGGGAGTTGAACGAATTTTGTCAGAGAGAACAATTTTTGATGAGGATGCCTGTTGTCTCCCGCGAGGATGGGTTAACGTCCATCACGATTCAGGTGGAAGCTGATGGTGCCATGTTCAAGCACACATCGACCGCGGCCGATAAGAAGATGGCCAAAAGACTAGCTTCCAAGGAAGTATTGAAGGCTCTGAAGGGAATCGGCAGCGCTCGCCTTCATGGTGAATGACGAGGCTTCTGGGTTTGAGTTGCACTGCTTGATGTTAACTACAATTAAGCAATTGATGAAGTACATCTGATTCTTGCCATTGTATCCACCATTTTTGTCAACAACTCATCAATTGCTTTGATTAATTGAAACATGGGCACTTAATCCTTTAGGTTTGGCAAGTTGACTGGAACAACTTAATTTAATAAGTGAAGTCAACTTAATTTGACAAGTGAAAGTTTAATAATCTGTGTGTTTCGTGTGGTCACTTAATTTGACAACAGAATTACAACAACAACACCATCAAACGAAAAACATAAACGTGTGCAGTGGGTAATTTTGAGAAATTATGTAACTTGAGAATTTTATGTGTTTAACTACTTCATTATGCAACTTATAAGATGTGAAGCTAAAACTGCCAAGAGAAAACACATCTCCTAAACGCCTTCTGTTCATAATAACGCGTTATAAAAAAAATCAAGCTTGAACAGGGAGCAGACCAGTTTAAACACTGATAATGAACACTACGCAACAAGCCTCGCAACAGATGCTTAGTTAGATGCCTACATCGTACGCAAACAACACAAAATGCAATGGATGAAATCAATATAACCTTTCATCCAGTGCTAACATGGTGTTCTGAGCCCTGGATGAAGCATTTACTACAGACATGCAGCAAGAGAGCTGCTTCTTTATACACAAAGTGAACGAACCATGCTGATCTCCACCAAAATGCACGACGCCATAACAGCAGGCAGGAAGATACCCTTTTACTAACAGGATTTCATGCTTATATTTGACACAAGCCACCAGAAATTGGTCCACTTTGGCCAACTAATCTATGCCTGGTAGCTGCAGACTTGCTATACGATTCGAGTTCAGATTCGCTAATCCTCTGAACATGGCAATCTTAACTACTTGAGGGGTCAAATACAAAATCATCACAGCCATTATACATGAGACCATTACAGACTAATGTGTTATTCGAATTTCACGACGGAATGTGCACAAGCATGACCACCAGGATAACTTGCAACCAATCATATACATTATACAGCATATCTATGCCAAATTCACTTCTGGTTAGCAAGGCATTAGATTCAGTATTCCAATTTGAGAAAGAGTAACTCACAGAGCAAAAAGCAACCGAGACCCAGCACAACACAACAAAATCAAGGTTGTCAATGGAAGTGAATCAAGTGAAAATAAACCATACACATCCACAATATCAGTTAACACAAAAATGGACCTTCAGGCTTGACAAAGTCTCAACTTTTCCAATATTATGCAGAGTGTACACACAGGCAAGGTTCGAATATAAGACGCTCCAGAACGAACTCAATTCGCAGTCATGGTTAAACAAAAGATCAAACAGAACCAAATTGTTTTCAGATCAAAGCCCTTGTCTTTTTTTTTTATTTCTTAGCGTTCCCTTTACCTCCGGAAGATTCCCCTCCGGCGGCCTGCGCCGCTTTCTTGGCCGTCTTCTCCTGCAGCGCCTTGGCGTCCCTGCGCACAGAAAAGCAGAACCCAGAAATTCAGAATCCCTACAAGCAGCTCGAAAAAGGGAATTGGAAAAGCTTAAAACGAAGGATTGGATGGAGAAGGGGAAGAGAAAGACCTCTCGCGGCGCTGTTCAGGGGTCAAGCCATCATCTTTGCCCTTGGCGCCCTTGCCGCCGCGAGACTGAGCTCTTTCGCGATCTTTCTCCCTCTGATTTCCGCGTGGAGGATCAAACCAAAACAGGGTCAAGGAAATCACAAAAGCAGGACCAATTGAGAGAATGAATGAATGAAACAATTGCAAACTCGTTAGATCTGAAAGCTAAGAGAGATTGGAGGAGAACGACATGAGAAGAAGAAAAAGGATATGAGTCATGGCGAGGAAGCTGCGATTGGAGCGCTGAGAGAGACTGGGGAACTGGGAAGGGATTAGATTCTCGAGCGATTGGTTTGGTGGTGGTGGTGGCTATGGCTGCCAGGGCAGACGACGAGATCGGAGACTTTTTATTATTAGCTACGGCGAAAGTCAAAAGGGGAAAATATAACTGGAAGGAGGAATCCTATTTTCGCTGTTTTTCTCCCTTTAGTTTTGGAGAGGAATCCTATTCGCTTTGTAATAATGCGGGTTCTTTTTTTTTTTTTTTTTTGGATTTCAATTGCAAAAAATTGATTTTCAAAATAATTTTTGAAATAACCATTTTCATTTATTCTTGTAATATGTTGGCTTATTTCAGGCATATTATTCGAGGTGTTCTTGTGCTAAATTATCTTGAAGATATATTTAAGTTCTTATTCAAATGGTATTTTAGGTAGCAAGTTGCAAAATAATATAGGTACTAAACTGTAATTTGCCAACAATCCATGAATCTAATTTGATTAAGATCAAATGGATTGGATTAATTGAATATTTTAATCGATGGATTGGATTGAATAGTTTACTACTATGTCCGTAAATATTGTTCATTTTAAGGAGCTATTTGGACTCTAATTATAATGAGGATTCAAGTATCTAGTTTTTTCTCATTTAAAAAATGTAATGTTGCAACAAGGGTAATTCAATGATGGTTAAATTAGAAGTTTCATAATTATAATTAAAAGTTTAAATAGAAAATAATTCAATTTTCGGCCAACCATTACACTCCACCTTTCACACACTCACAAATTCATTTCCCCTCTCTTATCATGTGCGATAATTGAAAAACTACACAGATTAAGTGCGTTATGTATAAGAGTGATGGATAGGTAAAACACTTATCTTTCTCATACCAAGCTTTTAGATTGATTGTACGAACTATTTAACTTTTAATTTTATTCCATCACGTCATTTAATGTTTAGCTTACGAAAAATAATTCTTTGTGTGCAACCCAATACCATATCGGATTCAATAAAAAATATCATATCGAAAAAATAAGTGAAAGATTTCTCATATATTAGTGTCCACCTACCCCAATTAGTACAATTTTTTTTGGAAAGGTACCCAAGACCATATTCGTATAACCTTGACTAAGAACAAACAATATCGTACTAATGTGCATGTCCGCTCTCAAATGATAAATCCAAATCCTTTTATATTTTATCAAAAACATAAATGGGATCTCTCTTTTTTTTTTCTCAGCTATATATTTAGTTTACTTAAAACCAGATTTTTAAGGGGTATATATGGGAAATGTATCCTACATAACCATAAATATTGGTCAGCTAATATGAACACAATCTAGATTTTGCTCCAACAGAATCCTTATAAATAAATAGAGAGCTCTCATTACTCTATAAATTCAACAACATTGTGGCTAGTGTGGTATATATTGAGACTATTAGCACAAGTAATTATTCTCTCCCAAAAATCAAACAGGTCTCAAATTAAACCCCAAAATATGAAGACCTCCAATATCTTCCTCCTCTTCTTACTCGCATCTTTCGTTATCATCGGTAAATACCTTGGAATCTTATCCTTTTTTTTTACTATGATTTCACGATAGAATTGAGATATAACACAGGTTCTAATGATGCTAATACGAAATCCAAGTGCACGTTGTATCGTACAATATGTATTTTCCTTCCAATCATCTAAAAAAATTAGCAAATTGTTATTATAATACAGGAAATATCGAAGTGGCTATGGCGACGCGAACGATTGAAGAAAATGGAGGGAAAAAGTGTGAGAGAGGAAGTGTGGACATAGTGAATGGATGTGTTGATTCCGACTGCGACAACGGATGCAGGGTGAACTATGGGAGCACAGCTACTGGTGCATGCAAAACCAAGACTTTATGTGTTTGCTATGGCCCGTGTTAAATTAATTAGTAGTAAGTTACTATGGAGCTATATCGGGTGATACGATTCTTACCATAATGATACGATGTGTTTTTTACCATAGTGATTGAATTTTGGAAGAGAAAGTAATAGAGATAATCATGCTCCTAATTTCATATCTCACATTTCGTAAACTATGATTTACTACACACATTTGCCATGGTCTAGGTCTTTGCAACACAAAGTACCGATAATAGGGTTGCAGCACCAACTGCAGAATGGAAACTTCCCTTCCGCTCGATAATTCGCCATTACGGCTGGCTGTCCTTTAACCGTTATTGCTGGTGTCGCGGCCACGGTCATCGTCTCGAGAAGTACGTTTCTCGCTGCGCTACAAGGACGTTGTTGTATCGCTACAGAAAGAAGCGGTACACATATACACTGAGAAGGCTATTGGAATGAGCTGATTGTTGGTTTTTCGACATGAAAATTGAAAATCATGAATGATTAATATACGGTATATAGTTGATGACGAAAAACATTATTTTTAAGGTACTTACAGATGATAACGAAAGATGTGAGTAAGAAAAGAAAGAAGATGTTGGAGATCTTTATACTTTGGGATTTGATTTGGAACATGTTTTCTTTCTGTGAGAGAAGAAGTGCTCGTGCTGATAACCTTGATCCCACCAGTCACAATCACAAATCACAATATTGTTGAATGCACATGGTCAAGAGAAATGAGAACTCTATTTATAAGAATTCCGTTTGAGCAAATTCTAGATTGGGTTCATATTAGCTTACCAATCATTAATATTCCATATATATGAAAAAAAAAATCTGATTTTTAAGTAAGCTAATAATATATTTGACAAAAAATAAATCATTAATGGTGTAGTATGAATGTATGATACACTTTCCAAATATAACAAAAATCTGATTTTTTTAGTAAGCTAATAATATATTTGAAAAAAAAAGATATAGTATTAATTATGATTTTGGTATACATTTTTTCTAACATAGGTAGTAAAATAAGGTATAGATATGTTATGGTATTAAATACGTACATATTTCATATAACATGTTTGGACTGAGAAAAGGTAATATCCAAATGTATGCAATGTTTACAATCCATGAGATGAGATGATGATGATGTAAAATGCGTAAAATGTAATAAGGAGGAATATAACTGAAAATATACCTTGTAACTATGTTGAAGTCTAATTCCTTTCTCTTCTCTTACTTTTTCCCCTGCATAATTGCGTTTCAGAATTAATGATTATTTTTGTGTAATTGCCCCTTAGTATTAACAAGAATACAGCCAAATTTGAGAAATTATTTTCCCATAATTAATAATGATTGAGTTTGCAGAAAGAAAGAATGAGAATTGTTCACTTGAGCATTTTGTATTTCAATCTTGAAATTCAACTGAAGCGCATGTATACAACTATACAGGCAGTGCGATGTGATTACAGTGTTGATCAACGCCTATTGAATGGGAAAACAGAAGGTTCCATTTCAAATTTGTCACTCATCTACTATATATATAAAGCAGATTCATAACTCACTTTTTGTCCATTTTGAATTTCTGGCTCTAAGAGTGAATTACGGTAGGTTATATTCGTCATTAAACTCCCAATTAATGAAGTTGTGCGATGTGATTACAGTGTTGATCAACACCTGCTGACTGGGTAAGAAAGGTGGTCTGGTTTTTAAGATTGACCTCGAGAAGGCGTATGACAGGTTGAGATGGGATTTCCTGCGGGATACGCTTATGGAAGTTGGGCTATCCAGTAGCTGGATTAGCTGCATCATGTATTGCGTCGAGCATAACCGGGTGAGGATTAGATGGAATGGCGAGCTTTCCCAGCCATTCACACCGTCTCGAGGAGTGCGACAGGGAGACCCTCTTTCTCCCTATCTTTTTGTCCTTTGTATGGAAAGATTATCCCATAAGATTGATGAGGCGGTTGCTAGCGGACAATGGAAAGCCGTCAGGCTGACCAGTTCCGGCCCGCCACTGACTCATCTCTTTTTTGCAGATGATTTACTTCTTTTTGCAGAGGTTGAAAGCCGCCAAATCCGAGTCATTAAACAGATCCTGGAGGACTTTTGCTACAGCTCTGGTCAACGAGTGAACTTCAGCAAGTCGATTTTATATGTCTCCCCCAACATCCCCCGGCGGAAAGCAGAGCTTCTTAGCACGCGTGCAGGGATCCCCCTCAAGGCGGCTTTGGGAAGATACCTCGGGATTCAGGCTATCCATGAACGGGTTACTAAGGGGCGGTACCAGTCACTTCTGCTGCGTATCCAAAAGAAGATGGCTCCCTGGAAGGCTAAACGCCTTTCTTTCGCCGCCCGACTCACGGTGGCAAAATCGGTGACTGCTTCTCTCCCTGTTTATAATATGCATACAGAGTTGATCCCGAGTGGTGTGTGCAGGTCAATTGACAAGATCAGCAGAGACTTTATCTGGGGAGATGAAGAGGAGAAAGCTAAGATGCATCTCGTGGCTTGGGAAACTTTAACTAAGCCGAAGGACTATGGAGGTGTAGGACTAAGACAGACTAGACAAGCCAATATTGCTATGCTCGCTAAAGGTTGTTGGCGGATGCTTCAGGAGAAGGAGAGCCTTTGGTCCCGTATCCTCTACTCGAAGTATGGTGGGAAGCGACAGGGTTTGGACATCTTCCGCAAGAGTCAGGGAAGTTCCTTCACCTGGAATAGCTTATTGAAAGCTGCGGACCTTTTTAAGAAAGGTTGTGCTTGGAATATTAAGAATGGGAGACGGACTAAATTCTGGTTGGATCCGTGGATTTTGCAGGTACCACTTAAAGAGGAAGCCAATGGAGTTATTCCGGGAGACATGGAGACGGCGACTGTCGCCGATTTTGTCAGTGATGAAGGCACCTGGAGGACCGAGCTGTTCACTGATCTCTTGCCCCCAGAAATCAGCAATAAAGTCCTGAGTACGGCGGTGGACACCCTCTCGCAAGTTGAGGACTCTCTGTTTTGGCACGAATCCACTGATGGTCGCTTCACTACAAAGTCGGCTTATACGTTGTTGACCAGGCAGGATGAACAGGTACACGATGGAATCTGGAAGGTTGTTTGGAGGCTGGCAGTGCCGGAACGGATCCGGGGTTTCGTTTGGCTGTCTTTGCAGGGGAGGATCACCACCAACGCCATGCGGTTTGAAAGGAAAGTTGCGGATTCGCCTTGCTGCATCCGGTGCATTGGGCAACCTGAAACCATAGTCCATTTATTGAGAGATTGCCCTCCAGCAATGTACTTTTGGAGCAGAGTTGTCCCACAGCAGAATCAGGTCCTGTTCTTCTCGACAAATCAGAAGGACTGGCTGCGCAGTAATCTATTGAGCAAAGAGGTCACGTCTTCGGGCATTGATTGGGCGTCCTTCTTTAGCATGTCTATCTGGCTGATTTGGAAGAATCGAACGGTGGCTTCGTTCAAGGGAGTTGGGGCAGCCTTGACAGCTCCATCCCTCACCCATTCGATTCTTGTCAAGAGCAAGTTGTGGAATGATTCTTGGCATGCTCCGAGCCTGTTGTTGAACCATAGGATGCAGCGGGGTGATCGTGTGACTGTGAGTATCGGGTGGAACCCCCCGTCGGAGGGTTGGGTTATGCTGAACACCGATGGGGCTTCGAACGGCAACCCAGGGCCGGCCGGAGCTGGGGGCAGTGTGCGCGATCATCTGGGGAGATGGCTGGGTGGTTTTGTGGCGAATATTGGCACAGCAACGGCGGCTGCTGCAGAGTTGTGGGCCATTTACTATGGCCTTGAGATGACTTGGAAACTCGGCTTTCGGATGGTGAGGGTGGCATCGGATTCACAGCTTGCCATTCATTTGATCCAGAACCGACATGATCCTATCCACCCTTATGCTACTTTGTTGGGTCTTATTCGCAGGAAACTCAGTCAGGATTGGTTGGTTAGCCTTTCTCATACATACCGCGAAGGGAATAGAGTCGCGGACTGGCTCTCGAAGCACAGTCTCGTCTATCCCTACGGGTTGCATGAGTTGGCAAACCCGCCTCCTAGTGTTATCCCTTTGATCCGGGAGGACGAGATGGGTACTACCTTTGAGCGCCGTGTTGTGGCGAGCTCTTCTTCCTCTGCCTATTCCCCCTTGTAATCTTCTTCTTGGCTTTGGCCTCCGATTAATGCAAAAAAAAAACACCTGCTGACTGGGAAAACTGAAGGTCCCAATTCAAATTTGTCGCTCACAGGCATAGAGACATTTTCAAGTACAATTATAGTGATCCATTTCAATTCTCATTGTCAAATTTGTCGCTCTTCCTGTCTTTGTGAGTTTGGTGGTTAATACACTATGCGTATTTTAATTACATTGGATGGCCTCTATGGATATGTTGTTACTATAGGGAAAGATAAATCCATCTTTTACCACCAAAAAGATGATTAGCAACGATTTGGAGTGTGGCGTACTCTCTAATAATGTATAAACAATTTATAAGATTCCAAATCATTTAAAATATGAATAACTGATTAACATAAACAGTAAAAGTAAAATAAAATTTATCCAACATCCGACCCAATAAGTCGGGTTAACGATAGTATTCAAATATAGTGAGATTGGTTTCATATTAGATGTTAAAAAATATAAGTTACCGACAGTTTCTTTGTATAATTATTATTTTTTTTTGGTCATAGATCGGGAATGAAATAGATATTACAGGACGCTAGAAAACCAGACGCGACAGTCGACATAATATTGAGCTGTCGATGAAAGGGCATCAGAAGCCACTAAGTGGGCAGCCCTGTTGTACAACCTCTGCGTAAAAGTACAAATAAAGAAATTAAAAGACACAGACGCCAAACAAATCTCTTCCAAGATCGCTCCACTTGTCGCATGCGGCACAACACGAGATTGAATCATAAAGGATAGATACTTGTATGGTCAAGGGAAAACTACGTGCCCCCTACAAAAACAAACAAACACACAAGCGCCCATAGAGGAGGACAACTCAGCTCCAACGAATGGACTTAAACAAGCCCTGGAGGCTTAGTCAGATACTCCGAATCAGAAGCTAACAAGGACAAACGAAAAACATTTTTAATTACTTACTTCTTCCTTTTTTTTTACAGTAAAGTTAATGAAAAGATTATAAATACGAGCAGTTAAGGAAAGAAAAAAAAATTATATAAAAAAGATTATAAATATAATTCTTTGTATAATTAATTTATTGATGGAACATTTGTTTATAACTAAACAGTTACAAAGGCGTCAGGACGTCCTAACGTTGACAGTGGTTCCAACCTATGTTGGGGCAACACGCATTACCGACGATAGGATTGCAGCACCAACTGCACCATGGAAACTTCCCATCTACATGATGATCTGCCGCACCAGCTGCCGTCTTCTCAAGAAACACATCTCTCGTTGCTGCTTGATAAGTACTGATTCTCGTTGCAATGACCACTTCATTTCCTATATAACAAAGAGAAGATATTGTCAATAACAATACGAGTATGTGGTGAATAAGGCTTTGTTCTAGCGGTACTATTGCTGGTTTTCAAACGAGAGATCTCATGGTTAGATTATAGGGCGAACCCCCTTCCCACAAATCCCCTTCAATAGCATGTAAAAGGAAAATGATTAAAGAACACATAATCAAAGAAAAAACATTATAAAGTAATTACCGATGATGGCGAAATATGTGACTATGAAGAGAAGGAACATGTTGGAGATCTTCATACTCTAAGATTTACTTTGGAACCTATTTTGTTTTTAAGAGAGATTAAATGTTTGTCCTGGTAGCTAAATACAACTAGTTGAATTTACAGAGTCCTAGAAAATGAGAGATCTATTTATAAAGATTCAGTTGGAACTAATTCTAGACTATATATTAACTGACCAATAAATGTAGTTAGATACATTTTCCATATATACAGACAAAAATGAAATCTGGTTTTTAAGTAAGCTAATTAAATATTTGACAACAAGAGATATAGCATTTATGGTTTATATAAATTGTTGCCCTGAGAAAAAGAGAAATGTGGAAGGGCAATCAATGGCTTAATTGATTGCGTGGATTTTATTTTTGGAACCAATTTTGTAACTATTTGTAATTAGAGCACTTCTACTGTACTATATAATATCGGTGCTATAATGTACAGTTTAAAGTTGTACAATAACATTAAATGTATAAGTTTAGGTTGTACCATGAAGGAATTTGTATCATTATGTTATGGTACAACTTTACAACTTGAAGTTGTACCATAAAATAAATGTTCAAGTTCAAGTTGTACCATAAAAGAATTTGTACAAAATGTATAGGTACAATCTGAAGTTGTACCATAACTTTAAAGGTACGATTTCATATTGTATCATAAAGGAAAAAATCTATAGCACCAATACTATATAGCATTGTAAAATTTCTCTCGTAATTAAAATTCATAACTGACTATTCATGTATCTATATATTTTATAAATTAATTGAGGTGAGTATTGGGTGGTTGAACCCACAAATCCACCCACAATTGACAACCCATTATCATGTGGGTGTGAGTTGTAAAATAGGTGACCCACAAAAGAATGGTTGAGTGCGGGTGGATTGTGTTGATCCACAACCCACTCAATTTTTCAACCTCAAACCATCAAGCTCTAAGATTTAGCTTTACCGAAAATGAAACCCTTATCACAAAAAATTCTCTCAATTTCGATCAAAGGATTGTGTTGTGAGGTGTGCTTAGGCAATTGGAGGTACACTTAAGCATAACTAGTAGACAAATGGCAGAAAAAAGATAGTTGTCTTCCCAAAATGACACCATCTCAAACTACCACCGACTCGTCCTTCATTCCTTCCATCACTTTGGAATTGTAATTTGCGACTATAGGTTAAAAAGCTATTTACGCTCACAACGCCTAGGCAAATGAGGCGCTATGCAAGACCATGTTTATCAGTTGAATATTTTGTAATTTGTGAACAATTGCCAATACCAATATTGTAAAAAAAATGATTCACCTAATTTATGAATTATACATTATTTAGTTTGAAATTTTCTTTCATTTTAAGTGTAAACTATTGAAATTATGTGATCATATGGAATATATGTTGTAAACCCATCGAATCCATCCAACCACCCATCATCCACAATCACTCAACCCAAACCACCCACATGTAATGCTTGGGTGGATATAGATCATTTACTATGTGATCATATGGAATATATGTTGTAAACCCATCGAATCCATCCAACCACCCATCATCCACAATCACTCAACCCAAACCACCCACATGTAATGCTTGGGTGGATATAGATCATTTACTCCTTCACCTACCACATGGTGTGGGTGGTTCCAAACCTATCCAAACCCGCACAAAAGCCACCTACTGCTCATCCATACAAACAAATCCATTAATTATTCAGATTCTCCTCTCCAAAAAATAGAGAAATGGAAAAAGCCAAGCAATGATTAATTCTCACGTTGAATCCCTAGCTAACCCATATTATCATAAGGGTAATGAGTCATAATATTCACCACATAACTAAAACTATAATTTCTTAATTATTTTCCCACTTGATTAAACTTCAAAAGAGATCCAAGTAATAATAAAGTTCATTCTAGACGATGATAAATATCAATATCAATAATGATAAGCAACTGTATCCCTTCCACTAAAACATTTCTAATCGAGCTTTCACCACATTCAAAAAAAAACTACTAGTTAATGGGTGTTTTCGCATCATGTCATTATTTAACCAACCAAACAAGCAAATAAGGATAGCTCATTAAGGTTTTTTTTCAAAAGAAGTTCATTTAGATTGCGACTGGGCTCAGCCCAAAAAAGAAATGTACAAGCTACAATGTAATAGGATTAAAAGAAAGACCCAAACAACAAGGCCCAAAGACAAACCCAGAACCCAATAGGGCCCGAGCCCAGGACCAAAACAAGAAGGACCCTTTCCAAACCCTAACACACGAGCCCCCTCTGTTTCCTCCGGCCGCCGCGGTTGGTGACCATCTCCGCAACCAAACCAGCACCGCCCTCAAATAGGGAGCCCCACCGCGAGCCAAGCAGAGAACTGCACCCACCAAACCCGATCGGCGAGAGGAGGAGGAGAAGCCTCCGACCAATCCACCACGCTACATCCCGCCGCCAAATCGCAAGGGAACCAGCAGAGCAACCAGACGGTCGCCGAAGGAGACAGAGGGTTAGGATACATCTGTCCTCAAGCTCTTCCCACCGGATCCACGTCAAGGGTTGTATCTCCGAATCGCCAAGATCTGCAAGGCAAAACAGGGAGGTAGACCAAAGGAGAGAAGAAGAGAAGACAAGCCGCATCTGAAAGATCCAACCTCCACCGTATCTTGAACCGGGCAAACATCTCCAGATCTGAGAACCAAATCGGAGGACAAAAGGTACATCCCATAAACGAGGCAAAGGAACCCTTCACAAGAGGAAGAAAAAGGACCACAAAGACAGAATAGAGACCAAGAAATGGTCAGAGAAAGCAGCAGCGGGAAATGGAAAAAACAAGAAAGAAAACAAATCGAACCAAAAGGAAAGAGTAAAGAAGGCAGAAGATGAGGATTATGGGGGCAGAGGGCCGCCGCCGGTCGCCGGAGGAGCGCCGGCAACGACACTCATAGGTGCCTGCTAGAGAGAGGTCAGAGGAAAAGAAGGTTTAGAGAGAGAGAGAGAGAGGAAAAGCGAATCCTGTAGCTCATTAAGGTTGACGAGCCCTCAGGGAACCCTGTTCCTTGACTGGTTCTGCTCCCTTAAAGATGTTATTCAGCATAGTTCCTTGATCCATATTGTGTTCCTGTGCTGGAATATCTGGAAGGCGAGGAACGAATGCTCCTTCAAGAATAGAAAACTGTGGCCTCCGCAGGTGTGCCAACTTACTTATAAAGAGCTTTCTGAATGGAATTCATGCCCGAGGCACCCTCCTCCCCTGCCTTCCCTGCCCACTCAGCTCAGGGGATCCCAGTCTCATACAAATCCACCGCCAAGTCATCATTCTTTGGTGATTCACTGTGATGGGTCGTTCATTAGCGACTCCCAGCCGGCGGCATATGGTGTTGTGGTTGTTAACCACCATGGACAAGTATGTGATGGGCGAGCTGAGGATCTTCTTTGTTCCACCCCGATTGAAGCTGAAACTAAGGCCCTTCTTGAAGGAGTGAAATTAGCTCAAGAATATGGATCCGAGTGTACGGTCCAGTCCGACTGTCAAGTGCTGGTGAAAGCCTTGGAATACAATCGCTCTCGTTGGCCATGGAGATGTGCAGCATGGATTGGGTCGATTGTCGCAATCCTTAGGACAAACCCTCACATCAAAATCAAAGAATTGCCCCGAGCACTAAATGTCAGAGCTTATTGGTGGCACGATCAAAAGCTCGAGCAACTCTCCCTGATGATTGGATTAATATTCTTGACCTCATTTCTGATCTTCTTTAAGATTTGTAACCAAGTTTCTCGTCTTTCAGTTATTTGGTGGAATAAAAGTCGGTAATCTTTGTAAAAAAAAGCATCATCCTGAAACCGGCATTTGAAGATTTTGGTTTTCATTCTCATTCTCCAAACATGTAGCCAAGATTTTGACATGCTCTAACCGAGATAAGCAGGCACCATGTAATAAAGGTTTTTGTAAAAAAAAAACTTTCTTTTTAATTAATTATACTCTCTATGACAATGTTGAAGGTTATATAATTTCATTTCTTTTCTATGATTGTTTTTGCATAATTAACTATAGTTTTCATGTAATTACCACTTCATAATAATAAAGCAAATAATGTGAAGTTCTTTTTCAAAAGTTAATAACGATTGTGTTTTAGGAAAGGAAGAATGAGAATTGTTTGCCTGAGCATTTCATATTTCGATCTTGATATTCAACTGAAGCATGCAGAAAAGCAGTGCGGCTACCCCAACATAGCGTAGTCGCCACGCACACAGTGAGATTACCGTGTTAATGTTGAAAATATGGTGAGACTGGTCTTATATTAGATGTAAAAAGGATAAATTACTGGAGGTTTTTTTGTATAATTTATTGGCAAAACAATTAATTATATCTTAAAAATTCAAAAAGAAAATCAATATCTTCACTACGCTCTGACTTCAGCATTACAACCATCTTTTGGGCAAAGGGTACAATTCGCGCAACATAATTTCCCGACGACAGGATTGCAGCACCAATTGCACCATGGCCATTTCCCATCTAAATGATAATCCGCCGCCACAGTTAACCACCATTTCACTGTTGCTGGTGTCATTGTTGTCGTTTTTTCAAAAAACACATCTCTCTTTGCAGCTTCAGTACCGATTCTCGTCGCCATGACCACTTCATTTCCTATATAACAAGGAATAAAATATTATTATTAATTATACATGAGTATGTACTGAACAATGACTTGTTCTATCCCTGATTTTTAAACTTTGGAGGTCCCATGTTTGGATTATAGGGGTGACTTCCCCCCTTGGTAACGTATAGAAAAATGAAACATTTAAAGTTCCTTTCAAAGAAAAACATTCTACGGTATTTACCAATGATCATGAAAGATGTGAGAAAGAAGAGAATGAAGACGTTCGAGATCTTCATACTCTGGGATATAATTTGGAACCTGTTTGATTTGTGGGAGAGAATTAGTATTTGTGCTAATAGCCTTAATACAAATAGTCACAAGTCACAATAATGTTTTTTTTTTTTAGGGACAAGTCACAATAATGTTGAATACACAGAGTCCCGGGAAATATGAGCTCTATTTATAGACATTCAATTCAAGCAAATTCTTAATTATGTTCATATTACCAGATATATTTTCCTTAAATACCGACAAAAACATATCTTGTTTTTAAGTAAACTAATTATATATTTGACAATTTTATATATATATATATATTTGACAAAAGAGAGATGGTATTTAAGATCTTTCTATATATTGCTTTGAGGTAAATTGCAAGTTTGGTCACTGGAATTACTATAAAGTTTCATGTTTGTCACTAAAATTAGTTTATTCCATTCATGGTCACTAAAACTAGTTCAACAGTTCAAGTTTGGTCACTCTCCGTTAGTCTTCGTTAACTTTCGCCGATGTGACAATCAACTTTGATAGTTAACCGTTAAATGAGTGATGTGGCAATTAAAAAAATATAAAATATTTTTTTTTATAATTTCCGCCTCATTATCACAATAAATTTTAAAAAAGAAATATTATAATTTCCACTCTACTCCCTTCTGCAGCCCGGCGTCACGGAACGCCACTGCCTTCTCTGATTCCACATCTGCGACTCCGGAAGCTCGAGTCTAACCAGCTTTCTTTTGAGCCAACTCAGCGGGAATAAGAATCAATCTCCCTCTGAGTTCAATCATTCTAATCTTATTTCTTGCGATTTACTGCGCAGAAGAGCAGCATCAGGGGGGATTATGTCGATCGCTTCTTCTGCGAGCGCTACTGGACTTGCGGCGGCTCCCTCCGCAACGTCCCCGGCGGCGGCGGCTGCAGGAAGAACAAGCGCCTCAAGCGCCCCTCCTCCATTAGCAATTGCAGCAACCCTCCCCTCCAACTTCCACCAACTTTCTCACCAGTCGGTTCAATTAGGCCAAAATGAAGGTCATTTCCACCCTCAACAAAGTCTAGGGTTACATGAAATTTCTTCGTAGGATAAAACTGCCACCACTGTAGAATCTAGACTTAAGAAACTAAAGCACACTTAGAAGTTTTTGATTGAAGAAGAAGATTGTATATATTTTTTTATGTGTGTCTTCTGTCCCCCACAACCAGCCGAATCCCTCTAATTTATAGACTGCCAAGCGTTGCATTGAAGGATTGTGATCCTTCAATTTGATGGCCGTTATAATCAAAGGGTTGCATCCTTTCAAAGACAACCTTTGATGGTGGAGACTAAGATCTCATGCTGCTGCCACATCTCCATTCGTTGCTTTGGTTTGGACGTCTTGCTTCGTGCAATTTGAGTTAGAGGGAAGTTGGCATGTTTTCAATTCAAAACATATCCAATTAAACCAAATGCTACAACGATTAAGTGCAGAGTAATCAATGGGAAGTTGGCATGTTTTCAATTCAAAACATATAAAAAACCAAACTTTATCCAATTAAAGCAAAGATCATCACACGGCCAAATTGAAATGGGAAGTTTAGCCATTTCAAATGAAATGATAAAATTGAATTAATTCAAATAGAACTTAGGTTGATTATCTCAGTTAACCTCAACAATAATGTAATCAACTTTATTATTACAATTTTCCAACATTCCTCCCCCGTTTTAGTGTATTTGAATACACTAAAATTATAATTTTCAACATTCTTCCAATAAAACTTAAGTATAAACGAAAATATCGCGTCGATTGAATTTTCATCTTAGTATATTATACTTGACAAATATTCGAATACAAAGGGTGTCGGTGACGATTGAACCCATTGACTCATATGAATATCAGAAGATAATATACACTTACGTTTTACAAACTTCCAAGTGACCTTGACACTATTATCCGCCATGTGTCCAATCCTTCTCGTACGCGAACACGAAACCTTAATAAACAGAAGTTAAGCATAACTATGTAGAGACATAATCCATCCCAATGTATCGCACGCCCAATTGGTCGTTGCTTGCCGGTGAAAGATCAAGCGCTTAGGGTTCCCTTTTGGCACATCATAATCACAAGGATTTAAGGTGATTTACTTTCGTTTGCAATAATGATCCTTGAAATTAACGGATATTTTGCAAGCAAATGCAAATGGTGTTTAAAGAAGAAAAACCAAGAGGCGACAATCATTGGAGGTGTACGAGAGTGTTGAAGAAAAAATATCGTTATTCCCTGTTGCTGGTAGTACTATGATTTACTATACACATTTGCCATTAGGGGTGGGATTCGGTTTGTCGGTAAACGGTTTACCGTTTTACCGAATCGTTTACCGACGGTATCGGCGACCAAACGTGCCAATGAGTGTATCGGTTTACCGTTCCAGTTTCGGTAAATTACCGACGGTAAATCGGTAAACCCTTTACCGGGAAAAAACGACGTCGTTTCATGAATCACCAAATCTATACCCTCTCCTCTAAACAACGAAACCTAGCTGCCCTTCTGTTTTCTTCTTCAATCGAAATTCGCAGAGACTCCCCACCTCTCTTCTTCTTCTTATCGTACTCACCGGCAGCTCCTTCTGCCGACGACGGCGACGAGCAGCGATTCGGCGATTCCCACGAGCCACGACGGCGACGACGGAGAGCCAGACCTTCGCCCAGCCCTGACCCTCCCATTCTCTTCTTCAATCGAAAATCGCAGAGACCAGAGAGCCACCTGCCCACCTCTCTTCTTCTTCTCGTATTCGCCGGCCGCTCCTTCTGCTGACGACGGCGACGAGCAGCGATTCCCATGGGCGACGACGGCGACGAGCTTCCCGCTGCCCCACCGACGACGGCGACGAGTTTCCACCGCTGATTAATAGGTAAGTTTGTGGTTGCCTGTGCTTTTTCGACATGAGACTCTCCTGCTAGATTAAGAAAGGGCCACCTGCAGCTTTACTATAGTGTGGGTCAATGTTTCTGGATTCAATCATGGCTAAAACATGTTTTGTGGACTATTCTGGTGAGCGAGGGCCGAGGGGTGACAAAATTCTCAGTTTGTTTTTACACTGAGAAATGAGAATTGGTGTAATTGTTTTAGACTTTTAGTAGAGAAGTAGATCCTGTGAGTTTGGTTCTATTTTAGCAGTTTTGAGTATGTTTGAGATGGTTGGACAGTTGTTTCATTTAGCTAGTAGACACAATAATTTTCCATTACTTGCATTTTGCTTGAAAGAAAGACGAGCCCAACTAATTGGTGTTTGATTGTGTTTATCTTACTTTACAGGCACTGAGTGAGGAACTAAAGCAAACATTTCGAGCTCCACTTATATGACATTAACATATAAGATATAACATATACTTCATTATTCACAAATATTACATACATCATGAGAAAAATATTAACAATAAGAGTTACAAATGATACATGAATGTAAGTAAGTGTAGCCCTAAAAAAATGTTATAAATTATTAATTACAAAAATGAAGAAAAAAACTAATAAAATCAAAATATTACAACATCTTCCCCCACAAACAGAATTTCGGTTCGGTAAATTTTCGATAAACCGAACTGAAAAACCGTCCCACGTCGCGCTTTGCGGTAATTCGGTAAACCGGTTTGTAACCGGTTCACCGGTAATTCGGTAATCGGTAAACCGGTAACGGTAACGGTAAACAGTTTTGGCCAGTTCGGTATACCGAAACCGGTAAATTCGGTAACCAATTTACCGTTTACCGACCGATTCCCAGCCCTATTTGCCATAGTCTAGGTTCTTGCAACAAAAAGTAACAATGATAGGATTGCAACACCAACTGCACCATGAAAATTTCCCTTTCTACTCAATAATTCGCGGATACAACTGGTTGTCCTTTTACTGTTGCTGGGATCTTTGCCTTCGTCTCAAGAAACACATCTCTCATTGCGTTACACGAACTTTGTTGTATCATTACAAAAAGAAGCAGCATCGCTAATAAAGTCGTTGGAATAAGCCACGTTTTATTTTTCAGCTTGAAAGCCATGAATGATTATATATATATATATATATATATGGTGGCGTATTCAGTGCACCCACTTTTTTGGGTACACTCAGCGCACCCACCTCATAATCATCATTCTGAGCATGCGATTCATGTAAAAATGGTATCAATTGTTGCTTATGATATTATGAACAATAAGCCCATGAATTTAAAAAAAAATCATTTAAGATTTACTTTAATTTGAAGGATTTAGTATTTAGGGGTTTAGGGTTAAGGTTTAGGTTTACAGTTTGAGATTTTGCATTAGGATTCAAAATTGAAGGTTAAGGGGTTAGGGTAATAGATTGATTTGTTATGATTCTATGTCATATCATCATGTTAGATTGAGAGTACTAATTAAAGTTCAAAATTTGATGTATTATGAACACTTTTAGAAATGGGTGCACTGAGTGCACCCAAAAAAGTGAGTGCACCGAAGTAGCCACCATATATATATATATATATATATGGTGGTGTTTTCGGTGCACTCACTTTTTTGGGTGCATTCAGTGCACTCACTTCATAATCGTCATTTTAAACATGAGATTTATGTCAAAATGATGTCAATCATCACTTATGATGTGATGAACAATAACGCACATGAATTTGCACAAAAACCCTGAAAGATTTGCTTTAATTTGAAGGATTTAGAGTTTAAAGATCTAAGGCTAGGATTAGGGTTTACAGTTTGGGGTTTAGGAATAGAACTCAAAATTGGAGGTCTAGGGCTTAGGGTAATCCACTAATTAGTTGTTATCATATGTTATATCATCATATTATACTAATTCTACAAATTAAAATTCAAAATCCGACTCCTTAAGACTAGTTTTTGAGTTGGGTGCATTGAACGCACTCATTTTTGTGAGTGCGCCGAAGTAGTCACCATATATATATATATTGCTCTACTCAGTACATTAATATTCAGGAGCGGAGCTACAGTAACTATAACACCCCCGTAACACAGGTTTCTATAAAAAAACTCTTTCTTTTTAATTATACTCTCTTTAACTATGCTAAAGATTATTTATTTTCTTTCCAATGATTGTTTTTTGTATAAATACCTTTTAATTAAATATCATTTTTATGTAATTACCATTTAATAATAATACAACAAATAATGAGAAACGTTTTTTTCAATAATTAATAGCAATTGTGTTTTCGGAAAGGAAGAATTACAATTGTTGGTCTGAGCATTTCATATTTCAATCTTGATATTCAACTGAAGTTGCGCAATCGCCGCAAGCAGCACAGTTACCGTGTTTATGTTCTAAATATGATGAGATTAGTCTTATATTAGATGTAAAAAAGGGATAAATTGCGAGAAAATTGTTTTCATAATTTATTGACAAAACAATTAATTGTACCTTAATAATAAAAAATCAAAATCAATATCGTCACTACGTCCTGACATAGCACGACAACCCTCTTTTGGGCAAACATTACAATTCATGCAACACAGTTTTCCGACGACAGGATTACAACACCAATTGCACCATGGCCACTTCCCTTCTAAATGATAATCTGCAGCCACACTTAACCACCATTTCACTGTTGTTGGTGTCGTTGTCGCCATCTTCTCAAGAAACACATCTCTCTTAGCAGCTTCGGTATCGACTCTTGTCCCCATGGCCACTTCATTTCCTATATAACAAGGAATAAATTAGTATTATTAATACATGAGATGCAGTGAATAATGACTTGGTTTAGTGGTACTATTGCTGATTTTTAACTTGGAGATCTCATGTTTGAATTATTGGGTATATAACGACAAACTTTCTAAGGTGCTTACCGATAATCATGAAAGATGTGAGAAAGAAGAGAAGGAAGACGTTCGAGGTCTTCATACTTTGAGATATAATTTGCAACCTATTTGCCTTTTGGGAAAGAATATGTGTTTGTGCTAATAGTCTTAATACCACAAGTCACAAGTCACAAATCACAATATTGTTGAATATACAGAGTGTTGGAAAATGAGAGATCTATTTATAGAGATTCAATTGGAGCAAATTATTGATTGTGTTCATTTAGCTTACCAATAATTAATGGGTAGTAGGATACATTTCCCATATATACAGACAAAAAATAAATCTTATTTTTAAGTAAGCTAATTATATATTTAACAAATGAGGGATGGTATTTATGAGTTTTCTATATATTGCTTTCTAATCGTTAACCTACTATTTCCTCTTAAACAAGTTGGAGTTATTTGGTTTGGTTTACGCAATATCAAAATCTATGGAGTATGAAACGTTTAAGATCCATGGGAAAATGTTTCTAAAAAACAAAGATCCATGGGAAAATGATGTAAACATATAAAATTTAATAAGGAGTGGACATGGATTTATCATCTTTTCAGATTTTTTTTAAGGTGAAAATTAAATAAATATATTTTCATCCTTGTTACATATATAGATTAATAGGCTTAGGGGTCGTTTGGAAGTTGCGAATGTTAAATCGTTGAATTGTAATGAATCACAACAAAATAAATACATGTATTGGTACAATGGATGCATTGCAATAATATATTGTTTGGTTGTTGAGATTCTACTTTATGTATTGACTTGCATAAAGTTACTTTATGGGGAAATGTCACATTTATCCTCAATTTTTAGTATAAGACAAAAACTAATAGGGATATAAATAAAAAGAAAAAATAGATACAAATCTAAAATCAACAACCACAACAATCTCAACTTTTAGTTAAGATTGTATAATGCATGATTTTTTGTGATTGTTGGTGGGACCTACCTGAAACAATACATGCATTGTTTTACATTTTGACACTTCCAAACATTGTATTGTGCACAATGCATGTATTCAATAAACAAAACTCTAACAATCACAACTACCAAACGACCCCTTAGTAAACAACGGGAGTGTTTGTGTATCTTGGTTGGCTAGTGGAACAAAAGTGATCTATGGTTAGTAAACAACGGGCTTAAATGCAAAGGTTACAGTTGATAGGCTCCAAGAGGATCAATGGAAACACGTTTGTGGGGGAGTGGTCGTTGGTGATATCTTGGCCTTGAGGAGGGAGTTTGATCATATGGATGTTATAGATTTATTGGTCGTCGGTGTAACAGGATTACCCACTTGATGGCATGTAAAGTCCTTTCATTGTTCCCTTCATTAGTTGGGTTCGACTTTCTTTCCTGACTGTTTTCGGGCTCTTGACTCTTATGTATCAGGCTGTTTATTCGGTAATACAAAAGATCTTTTGGCACACAAAAAAAGACACGATAACAGAAGGAGAGAGTGGAGATGCTTGACTAGTCAAAGTCTACAATTCCTAAACTCCAATTTTTCTTAATCAGGTGATGTCTCGTTCGTTTTAACAGTGGATCCCCTTGCCTAAACTAGTCTGAGCAGAGAACTAACCCACCACCCCACCATTAAAACCTACACTAAGCTTAGGGTGGCAATGCATATAGTAATCCATTTAATAAATTATATCGGGAAACTCAACCTCTAAGACTGTTAGAAGAAACTGACAATCCACAGAGTCAATGGTTTTCATCAAGTCCACTTGGACAACACTACGAAGAGAAATAACTTTCTTATATAGTTTTGAACCATTTCATGAGCTAATAAGATGTTTCTCATGTAACATTGCCTTTAACAAAGACAATTTGGTGTTTAGTTATTATCATTGACAAGCATTCACTCAACCTAGAGGATATGGTCTTAACAATGCACTTGTAGAGGATGGTACAAGCAAGATATTGGTCTAAACATCTTCATATCTTAAGAATTTTTAGTTTTTGGGAGAAGAGCAAGCAAAGTAGAGTTTACCTATCTTAGAAAAGCTTAAGTGACAAAGTAGTGTTGTATGGCAGCAACAATTTTTGGCCCTAAAATTTTCTCACCCTTAATACCAAACATGGTCTTCTACTCTTCTTTACCTCGTATGCAGTTACCGGCTCACAAAGTTCCGTCACCTGATCTAGTTGGAGTCTCTTTTTCAGTCTTTACTCGTGGATTTAACTTCCCTAGCAAGTTCATATAGAAAGAAACAACTATTTCAATCAAAGCATCAACTTTAGTGACTCAAACCATTTTCATCAAGCAAAGATATGATAGTATTCATTTACTAATGAATATTCACTAATATGTGGAATCAAATAGGAGGTATTTGAGTCCTCTTCAAGCTAAATTTCCCTTGACTTATAACGCAGGAAAGACTCCTCTGCTAATTTCATTTCCTTCTTCTTTAAAGATTTTTGTTTCTCATATTCAAAAGTAAGGATTTTTCGAGGCCTCCACTTGAGCATACTAGAGCTCAATTTCTTTATGTTTTACTCTATCTCTTAGATTAGAGTGAACTTCTCTATTCAAATTCTTTAACAATTTTTTTTCAAAATTCTCAATTTTCTACACTCTCCCAATAGGAGAGCCCTCTACTTTAGAAGACTAATCTTTTTTTACTAACTTTTGAAATCGAGGATGAGCAAACGAAAACTTAAAAATTTGACAGGTTTAGAGAGAGCTTTTATTGAGCTGAGCGTTTAAAGAAATTGGATAGTGATTAGAAACTGAGGGGTCCAAGAGGTCAACCACACTATTTGCTCAAGATTTTAACCACTTCAAGTTAACTAATATTTTTTCCAGTCTTCCGACAATGGGATTACCAAACTGTTTATCCATCCAGTACGCCCTTTGATATGGGTGTAATGTTATATGTTATATGAGGTTAGATATAATTTATAAATGTATGAACAATATAAATTTTTTCATAGAACTAAACCAAACTAAACCGATAGACCATTAACTCTCAACCCACTATTCGCGGACCAACGGGCTAAATGCCTAAATCGGGCCGGCAACCTTGATTTGCAGTCGACAGCCAGGATAACTGGTCGCCGCAGTAATTAGCTTTCTACTTCTCCGAGCAGTAAAAGGTTTTTTAAAAAAAAAAAAATCAAGCGAACCCAAAAGACAGTGAAAAAACAAGCGCAGTGAGATGAATGATGCGGCAAACGCAAATCCAAACCTAAACCCCTCGTAAGCGGAAGGCCACCTCCGCACTCCTTTTCCTCTTCCTGCGATCCTAATCTCGCAGTCGCCTCCCCGCCCGCAATCCATTCTCTCCCTTATGCGCACTGTCTCCCCGCAAAGCTAAATATCTGACTGCTCTTTTTCTTCTTCAGGTGAGTTTCAATTACTGATTATCATCGGTGTTATGGGTCAGCCTTTTCTAGGCCTGTTAATGCGCGATGTGTTCGTCTTGCTCTGCTTCTGGGATTGCTGTCAAGCATCTTCTGATCGAGATTATCGTCTGGGTTCATCTCTCAACCATCGAATGTGTAATGGGTTGTGGAAAGTTTTCAAATTTGTTGTCTGAGTTATCTGTTAGTGATTTTATGGGTTGAACTTTGGTGGGTGGTAGGTTCTATCTATATCAGGGCTTTCCCGTTCGTTTCTGCTAAGTTGCAATCCATGCCTGTAGATGTGATGTTGGACAGTGATGCAGAAGGGACTTTTTTTTTTGCTTGATGTTTCGTTAGGATGAAGAAGAACTTGCCCCTTGCATACTTTTTAGATGTTAAGTTCTTGTTGATGGTGTCAGTTATTGTTGCTGCTGCTGCTGCTTTCTAGGTTTGTGATTTCAATCGTAGTGAATGTTTGTCTTAAGTTGTCATCTGTGTATTTGTCTGTTTGGCTTACAGGTAGGGGACTATGGGGAAAAAGGTCAAGAAAAAGAGCCGTGCACCTCAGAAGGAGAAGAGGGTTGCTGGTCACTCTCTGAGTAAGGTACCTCAGCAAAGCAGTCTCAGCATAAGTGATGGCAATGTTGCTGGTGATGGCGTAGTAGTAGTTCGTAAAGAGCGAAATCCGTGTGCACATTTGGACAAGGGGTTTGATCTGACCAAGTTCTCTGATAAAATTAGTGGTTCAGATTCTATAAGCTGTGAGGATTGTCGGGAGGCTGTTGCTGATAGAAGGGGCGGTAAGGGAAAGGGTAAGCATGGGAAGAAGAAAGGAGCTGATTCCAAGTCTGATTCAAAGGCCATTTGGGTCTGCTTAAATTGTGGCCATTATGGATGTGGAGGGGTTGGTTTGCCAACAATCGCCCAAAGCCATGCTGTTCGGCATGCTAGACAGGCTGGTCACCCCTTGGTTATCCAGTGGGAGAACTCTCATCTTAGGTGGTGCTTCCAGTGCGATAGTTTTATTCCAGTTGATAAAACAGAAGATAGTGGTGAAAGTAAGGATGTATTTTCAGATGCTGTAAAAGTAATCAAGGCCCATGTGTCCCATCCGCCAACACTGCGGCATGGTGAGGATATCTGGTTAGGAAGTGGCAGCATCTTAAGTGAAGTAAAAGCTGAAGGCACCATCTCCAAAACTTCAGAAGGTAATGGTGGTTATACTGTGAGGGGCTTGGTTAACCTGGGAAACACTTGCTTTTTCAATTCAATAATGCAGAATCTTCTAGCTATGAATAGGTTGAGGAGTTATTTTGTCAGCGCAGATTCTTCTTTTGGCCCTCTTTCTACTGCTTTGAGGAAGCTTTATGATGAAACTAGACAAGTGACAGGTGCGAAGAATGTGATTAATCCGAGATCCTTTTTTGGGTCTCTCTGTTGTAAGGCCCCTCAATTCAGGGGATATCAACAGCATGACAGTCATGAATTGTTGCGCTGCTTACTTGATGGATGGTCCACTGAAGAGTTGGCTGGAAGGAGACAAATTAATGCTTCTGATCCAACTGGTGTTGCTCCAACAAATATTCCTACATTTGTGGATGCCACATTTGGGGGACAGATCTCTAGTACTGTATGTTGCATTGAGTGTGGACATTCCTCAACCATTTATGAGCCATATTTAGACCTCTCGCTTCCAGTTCCGACTAAGAAGCCTCCAACTAAAAAGTTCCAGGCTGTCTCTCGAGCAAAAAAGACCAAGCTACCACCAAAGCGAGTTGGAAAAGCTAGGCAGAAAGTGAGCAAAGATACAGCAGATACAGTGCAGGGTGTAAGTGCTGCAACCTCTTCCACAAGCATTGTATTGGGGTGCCAACCACTATTGATAACATCTAATACAGATAATGTGGTGTCTTCCTCGGGTGATACTACAGTGTCTGACTCAGCTGGTCAAACTTCTGACTGCTGTGAAACAGGCTTAGTCGCAGGAAATTTTCTTGAGGTTCCGGTTTCTGTGGACAAGGAAGTTGTTGGAGCTGAGCTGGAAGGATCAGCAGCTTCTGCTGAACCTTATTCATGGATGGATTTTATATCTTCCGAAACATCAAACGAGAATGACTTGATCTCACAAGTCAATGAGTTATCAATCATTGAACTTTCAGCAGATAAAGATGTGGTTTCGAATGGGAAGGAGGAGACTCCTCCATTTGATTTGGTTCACCAAACACCACCATATTCAGAGCCAAAATCTGTCTCTATAGATCCTTGGGAAGAGGAAGTACCATTGCAGGTACAGAGCTCTGAAGTTCTGTTGCTTCCTTACTATGAAGAGGGTGCCATAGGTGGGGAGGATATTATTTCTGGAGAAGCTGGGGCTTCATCTTCTTCAATTGTGGGATCTGGACAGGATGAAGCAGCCTTTGATGGTTTTGGTGATTTATTCAATGAGCCAGAGGTTTTTATTGGCCCAGTAGCAGGGCCTGTTCATTTAAGCAATGGAGTAGCGGGAGAAACTTGTCCTACTGCAGTTGGAATTAGCAGTGAATCGGATCCTGATGAAGTTGATGATTCTGATTCTCCTGTATCCGTGGAAAGTTGCCTGACCCAGTTTATAAAGGCAGAGGTTCTCTGCAATGATAATGCTTGGGAATGTGAGAACTGTTCCGAAACTTTACACCTCCAGAACCTGGAGGCAAAGAAGAAACTGGGCAGAACTGTGTCAGGAGGAGATCTAAATGGAGGTGATAGTCGGCGCTTAAATTCAGACATCTCATGTTCTTCTGGAAGTGGAATTGTGAATGGAGAAGCCATTGCTGCTGATACACTTGTCAATCCCAAAGATGAAAACTTGGTTTCTAATGGCGAAGAGATTGAATGCCTAAATGAAAATGTCATGGTAGTTGCTGAAAACGGTCAAGTGGATATGCAGAAATTGTTAGTTTCACCAATTGCTGAACAAAGATGTGACATGGCAGCTGCTCCTCGCTCAGTGCTACCACCTTCTCCTGGTGGTGGAGAAGAACCAGCGAACGAAGAAGATGCAAATGGTAATTCATCTGTTAACACTTTCGGTATTGATGATTCTGTTTCTACCAGTGCTGAATATGCTGCTGGTTCTGCTGGCAATGAAGAGAACGGCTTGAAGTTGCCTAGAAAAGTTGAGTCAGAGGATAGTGAAGGCAAAGAACAGAAAACCACAAAGAAAGCGATTGTGAAGAGGGATGCAACTAAAAGGGTCCTTATTGACAAAGTACCACCTATTTTAACTATTCATTTGAAGAGGTTTAGCCAAGACATTCGTGGTCGTCTGAGTAAATTAAGTGGGCATGTCAGTTTCAGAGATACACTTGATCTTAGACCTTACATGAATCCCAGGTACAATGCTTCACCTGCCTTGTTTTCTCGGCCAAATAACCTTGTTGAGTGTGAACTATTCTAATGGCATAGTCCTCGTCTTATGTGCATATTCTCGAGTTAGTAAAATCTGAATGCTTTGTTTCTCGATTCTGGTGGTCTTTTCTTTGTCATGGTCCAACTCTTGCAATTGATTGGGAGTAATGGGAAGACATGTAGCCTCCAATCTATTACTCAAGCTTCTACGTTTTGGCTATAGTGGAAGACTGACCCGGTCGCGAAATCACCCACCCAATAATACGTGCCTTCCAATCCTTTGCAGGTGTGAGAAAGAAGATGAAGAGAAAACAAGTAGTGTCTACAGATTGACAGGCGTGGTTGAGCATATGGGGACGATGAGAGGAGGTCATTACGTCGCATACGTAAGAGGAAGGGAGAGGAGCAAGAAACAAGTAGGAGACGAAAATGGTGGTGGTGGTGGGGATGGTGATTGGGTATGGTATTATGCAAGCGATGGCCATGTGAAGGAGGTTTCGCTGGACGAAGTTCTTCGCTGTGAAGCATACATCTTGTTCTACGAGAGGGTTTGAGAATTTAATTCATTTTTTTTTACCTTACATACACACTTTTTTGAAATGTTGCCGGGGGTACCGGCTCGAGAGCCAGCACTCGTACAGACAGTCACCCCCAAGGCCAGATTGCATTGTATTCTGTTCGATATGATATGATCTAAACGTTTGATATGATACTGCCCTGAGCAATCTGTTGTACACCCCCAAGTTGAAATTGTTGGTAATGGTAGGGCGAACAGAATACAAGTAGTGATGGCAATTTCAACCCGCTCCCGCGGGTATTACCCGACCTGACCCGTTATGGGGCGGGTATTACCCGACCCGCAGTATCGTGGGGCGGGCATGGGTATCTATTTCCGTCCTGCCCCGCCCCGTTCTAGACTCATTTTATCTCAATTTCTTACAATATCTATACATATTTCTCCTATTTTGACTTTTCTTGAACTAGTTAGAGTCAGATCTTTCAACTTGTTAGGCTCAATTATCCATTCTATTATCAATATTTTTCATTCTTAAAATGTTTTTCCCTACGTTTTATTGTAAAAAGTAAAATTTACTTGTATTTTATTTTTGAACAACATGTAAGCGTGGGTCGACCCGCTCCGCCCCGTACCCGCGCGGGTTTTGCCCGCCCCGACCCGCCCCATTGCCATCACTAAATACAAGTAACCAAGATTGCATTATATTCCTGTAGCGAGTGAGTAGTGTAAAATGGTTAGTTTTTATTAAGTAACTGATTAAACAGAAATATTGACATCAAAGTCGCTTTGGCCGAGTGGTTAAGGCGTGTGCCTGCTAAGTACATGGGGTTTCCCCGCGAGAGTTCGAATCTCTCAGGCGACGAAATTAATTTTTTTTCCTCTCCAAGTAACACTCCCACTTCCCATCCATCATATCCTTCTTTCCCCTGCCATCCTCTGCTTTTTACTCTGTTTCTGACTTTCTGTCTATGGTTTCTCTTTTGCTTTTGCACTTTGCCAACTCAAATCAAATACCAAACAGTACAATCCTCCATACGCCAACTTCCCCTTTCCTCCTTTTCCCCCTTTTTCTTTAATCTCCACTCTTCGCTATAACACACTCACTTGCTCCCACTCCCCTGTTTTTTCCCCAATTTCTTTTGCCTTTCCACCCACAACTCCCATGGCGGCATTGCCATCGCTGCTCTCTGCACTGCTCCTCCACCACTTCCTTCTGGTCGTGGTGGAAGGATCGTCGTCGTGGTGCGTGGTTCGAACCGACGCAAGCTACCAGGCGCTGAAGGCGGCTCTGGACTACGCGTGCTGGGCAGGGGCGGACTGCACGCCGATCCAGTCGAACGGACTCTGTTTCCTCCCAAACACCATCCAAGCTCACGCTTCCTACGCATTCAACAGCTTCTACCAGCGCAAGGGCATGTCCCCTGACTCATGCTACTTCTCCGGCACCGCGAACATCGCCAGAACCGACCCCAGTCAGTCTCTACTACTCACTTACTCTGTTCTTCCTCTGTTTCCTTTTCCTCTTATATACGTGGGGATGTTTCATTTCCTTCATTGCAGGCTATGGATCTTGCGTCTATCCAGGATCTCTCAGGTATTTTATGTTATGTTATGCATCTTTCTATCTTTTTCTTACCAATTCATAAGTAGCAACACAGTGTCAGAGCCAAAGTTCAATGGAGTTGTAGAGACTCCATCACAGTTTGTTCAAGTTTCTGTAGCAGCAGCAGCAGCAACTTCAACTGTTGTGTGTATTATGCCAAACTTGAATGATAAGTTCCTCAGATTACTGTAGGCTTTTGCTAAATACCATATATGATAATAAAGCTTGTTTCTTTAACTAATTAAATCATGATTGCCACCAAACAAAATCAGTGATTTGGTTGTTTCAGTCCTAAAAGAAGAGGTTAGAGTTGTGACAGGATCTCCTGGTCCTAGAGATGGAATCTTAAAATTGCTGTTCTAATTCGTTGTCGGAAACATGTTAGATTCTCTAAAGGTGAACAGAATCATGTGCCCATGTTAGTATAAAGAAAAAGCACACACAGTTCTTCATCCCTGCATCTTTTCTGATACAAATATTCTCTTCCATCTCCATTTTTCGGGTTTGGAGTGCGAATGAGTCTGCATTTCAATAATGCTGCTGTTCTTCCATCTTCAAGAGAATAGAACCTAATTCATTATCTGGTGAACTGTAATGTTATCCAGTGCAGCAGGAGGGGCAATTCCAACCCCAACACCGCCAACTAAACCCTATTCATTCACACCGCCAGCGACCACCACCACCACTACTCCGACCATCATCACCGGCCTTGCTCCACCGCTGCCTACTGACACCGACAACTCCAGAGCTTCCATCGGGTTCATGGATGTTGCGGTGCTACTGCCTGCTGCCTCGGTGTTCGTCATCTTGTTTAGTTTCTGAACTTCAAACCAACCTGTTGAGTCAGGGAAGCAGCTACTCTTCCAAGCACTGGAAAAAAGCTGCCACAGTTTTGTAAGGAAAAAAGGGTTGCAGAAAGAAATCTGATTTTCCTTTTCTTTTCTTCATTTTTTCTTCTCTGAACAATTTTTTTCTTTCCTCTCAGATGGTTAACAATTGTATCTATAATAACCCTACTGTAGTCACAATATTTCTTGTAGGTGTACAGTACAGTACAGTACATGTTCTTGAATGTGAAATCATCTTGATTCTCTCTTGATTCTTACAGGCTTCATTCAGTCATTTGGTGCTCCTAATGAAATCCAGGACGTGGTTTCTTCTAATAAATCACTAATAATGTAAATTTGATTCTCTGTGTTCAATAATTCTGTTGATGCCAAGCTCCGAGGAGCCTGCTTCAATGTGTTTGAGGTCCGGTGAGCGCTGTCCTCCTGGCCAACGTCGGCCGCCAGCCTCCGAGATGGACACCTGCAAAAGAAAAGAGGAACCCACCGGCGGTGTGTCGGCGGGGACCTGCTCCGAAGCTCAAGTCAGTATTGAGAGGAGAGTAACCGGGACCGGCATAGTAAGCCGGCTCTAAAGAGAGTTTTAGAAGTTTAAATCGAGAAAATGAACTGCCTAGAAAGTATAAATGAGCGTCCTATTTATAGGTGCCTCATGCTTCTAACGTGGATGGGGTGTGATAAATAAATTAATATAAAAATACTTTTATCTCACCACCAACCTAATGTGCAATGGTTGGCGTGAGTAACACATCAAATCACCCAACCAACCCTATTAGGTGCAATGGATGGTCGGGTCATTTACCAAGTGCAATTGACTAAACGAAAGATACTTACATAATTAGCACAATTTATTTATTGGTGGGTGAAGTCATGGAGAGTTAACCCAAATCCTTCTTCAGCTTACCTTGGACACCTAGTAATGAGGTGGCAAACAAGGGATTTTCACTCCTCGTTGGTTGCTTATGCACCAAAAGTGAGGTGGCAAAATATACTTTCCTTTTGTTATCCATGTCACCATGTGTAATGAAGGGAATCTTTTGTCATTGTGTGTGTTTAAGTGAGACAAATTATCTCCCAACCAATTAAATGGGAATGAAGAAACACTTACCACCTTCCATCTGCCATCCAATTCATAGCCCACGTGTAAGTTTGAAGTGGGATTTGTTTGATGGGGAAAGGTTACCTACACATCCAATTAACCTTGTTGTTCTTTCTTACTTGATAAAAAAGGCCAGGTGGAGGGTCAAGTAGGAGACTAAGCACATGTTTACTTAATCTCTACATACACATATAATTTGGGGAGGTAGGGGAATTTGTGTTTTGTTTAGATGAGGTGTTAAATGCTTGCACACATGTAATTTGGGGAGATGGGTTATTACAGTTTGTGTTTTTAGGGTAAACTATCCACCCATCCAAGTATATAAAGAAGCACAGCTAGCTCCTATGTATGATCAGGATAAAGAATGTGGTGAGATTATTTGTTGGTATTTTTAAGATGGTGGAATTTTGGGTCCATCAATTAATTCCTTTGGGAAGAAAGAAGATCTCTTTCAGGTTCTCTAACTATGAAAACATTGTCGCCAGCAAATTCAGCAAACTCCAGATTCCTGAGCCATCTCCACAGAGCATATGTATCATTTTTCACCTGCAGGATAGAGAGAACGAGAAGAAATCGGTTCAATCAAACAAAGAAAAGTTTCATCCTTCCTTGCAAGTCACTAGTTTCTTCTTCTGTTTTTTGGGAAGATAAAGGGATTTGGATGGATGGTGGAGAACAGGTAGAGAAAAAACCTCTAGAATCCCATGACCAAAGCTAGTTTCTCTGTATGCATTATACTCAGGCTGCTGATCCCAGCAGAACTTCCCAGCTGAAATGCTCTCTGAAGTTAAGTCGAAGGCACAGAACCCACCAATATCAGTGTCTGGGGTATGAGATGGATCTGGACAGCAACCAGGATCATCAGCACGTATTATGGCCATCATCTCACGACTCCCTCCAGCTCCCACTGTCGACACTGTACAAATCTGTTTCTAGCCATTTATACTGGTCAGCTGCAAAACAACAAAGAAAGAGAAGAAAGAAGAGAAGAGAAGTAAAGTGAAACTTCATTACAAAAGCCACCAGGAATAAAGTGATCTCTGCATTTGGAAAGGAGTTTAATTGTAGGGAGAATATACATGACTTATCAAAAGCAGTGTAGGGATTGAGCATCACTAAATCGACTCCTCCTGCATTGGAAGTGTAATAGAGCGTGGAAGATGATCCACTCTCTTCAGAAGGGAACACGAATCTGTAACTGTATGAAACGAATAGTCATCAACCTGTGGTTCTAGCTCATGTTTCCCACCAATCATTTCAGCAACCTCTGATGCACAATTGTTTTACAAACATGACCAGTGACCAAAAAGGGATAAAAGAACATGATACAAAAGGAAAGCACAGGATGCGTAACGTATTCACCAAACAATTCTTTAAAATATAAAAGCTGGGTACCCTTTATTGGCCCAACTTCTCTATTACTGTTTCACTATTTGTCGTCTAGCGAAAGGAGAAGTTAAACAGCCTCTTTATGTTGTTCTATTAACACCTCCATCTCTCCACTGTCGTGCCGTCCTTTCACCCGCGAATTGATCCTCCTTCGACTCAGGGACTCTGTCCTCCCACCCCTTTCCCAAATCTCGCCATCCCCGTGTGCTTTTCAATAGTACAACTCCTTCAACCCACTTCACATGCGACCCAATTCAGCACTCCAACGTCCACCTCTCCCTGTCATTCCTCTTTCCCAACACCCAATCTCCCATTCGATAGGTCTGGTCGATTCCGATGACGAGATTAGCTTTGTACAAAATCTCGCCATCACCCTTTTCCTCCGACCAAGATAATTTTCATCCCTAAAAATGACTGCTAGAAGTCAGGCATGCTGGCCTCCCAGCTCTCCGCTTCATCCATCGTCGATGGTGACTGCATCTTTTTTTTTTATGGGGATTGCATCTAAGGTGCTCCATTTGACCAGAAAGTGACGGCGGGTAGATCTCAAGTCGTCGTCGATGGTAGCATAATGGATCAACACTCAACATCGTTGTGGTGTACCTCCGCCACCTGGACAAAGCCAAGAAAATCTACTCCTCCCCTGCCTCCACTCGCTATGCCCTGGACTTAAACGCCGCCGCGTAGCCCTACCTCAAAGCAGCAGTGAAGCCAAAGGAGCAAACTGTCCATGGAATGCTTATGATGGCAGTCATGAAGGAGGTTGTGCGCCCAGCAGATGAAGAAGAAGCATAGAGCAGAACTCTCTGACGTGGAGCCCTCCATCTACCCACAAAACCACCAACCGACCGAGAGAGGGAGGAAGCGAGGGAGAGCAGCAGGCACCCATCTCTGCATAAATTTATGTTCTTTTCTTGGTTTAATCTTCGTTTTTCGGAATTTGCTGGTTATAGTTCAGGGTTCGAAATTTCATTTGGGTGATTGGATTTCCAAGTAAAGAAAGGTGATTAAATTTATTTGACCAGAACAATCTGCATCTGTGAGATGGCAGGGAAGGGTACCTAGCAGCCGAGAAGACAAACTGGAGAGATAGGACGGGATGCTTCTATTCTAGCGTGCTGGGATGGAGAGAAAGAGGAAGGCGACTAAGTATATGGATGAGGTGTGAGCCTATTAATGGCTTTGATTTTGTAGGGTGGGAGTATTAGTTGCATTGACCAAAACAACCTGCATTTTATAGAATGGCAGCTACATTTGGAGCTAAAGTAGTTTCCTTTGGTGTTCTTGGAGAAGATGACTACGGTAAAATATCTCATGCACCCCACAACTTTTGTTGGCCATTCAATTTGTGCTACGCTATTTACAGAGCAATGTGGTGATAGGAGGCTCAAGTTTCATATTATGGCATTTACAGGTATGATTGGGACTGGATTTGGCCATTTTGGTTTTGCAGTCGAGGATGTAAGCTTCGATTATGGTATATAATGCTTTAATTCAGCCTCATTACTGCAATTTCCTACGGCCTAAGACTATGATTTCTCATCTCTTTGATCGATTCTGCATAACAGATTGACTAGATGCTGAACATTGTATTGGATCATCAAAACAACAATATTTGTCAAAGTAGAGTATGTGGGATGTTGTTGCTCAGTTTGGTAGTTTGAAAAGGTAAGTTTATTTTCTTTTATGCTTTTTTGCTCAGCTTCATAGTTAGTTGTTTCATTATCAAGACGGTTTTTGTATAACTTGTGGCTGTAGCATGAGAAAGAGAAAGGTGGGAGGGAGTTGAAGCAACAACAAGGACCTAACGAGACTAGGCAAGCGACGAAAGTGAGAAAGGTGAACATTTCAATTTGGTGACTCATTCTCTTGCTTTATTATGTTCTTTTTTATACTGTTGGTTTATAAATGACATTTTTTTCTCGCTTTTTCCAGTTGTAGGAAGATAGATGAACCCTTCAATCGAGAAAAAGTGTCTACTCATCACCTGAGGCAACAGTAGAAGCCGAGGGAGGAGGTTGGATATGAGGTGTTTTTGCAGCAAGATAGGAAGCAGGGTTGATTGCACAGATGTTGCCCGTCGAACTGTGAATCCTCCTGCTGCATGACCTGTATTCTTTTATTCGTTAGCTTCTTTGTGGTATCTCTACTCTAGGGGATAGTTTATGGTATACTCGAAATTTGTTTGCAGGTTTCGAAGGAAAAAAATTGAGGATATTAGAGCACAAGTCGTTGGGCACACATGCACATCGTATGTGGATTTTGGTGGAAAAGAACACCTGAATCCTGGCAGCCCTTGACGACCATGAGATTTACAAGCTACCAAGGCGAGTCTCGGCTGACATAGTTTGGATTTTGTGAGGGTGTTTGTTGTTGCCTCTGAAGTTTCATTACCACAGTATGTTCAACCTGAAGTGTTCATTTTTACAGTTCAAGGATAAATTTGTGTGAGGGTGTTTGATCCTTGCTTCTTAACTTTTCTTCACTTAATTGAAAGGTGAGTTTCTGTGCAGTTAAGGTTTCTCATATTTAAACGTTGTGTTTTTCTCTTCACTAATCTGCAAGGCTTGAGCAGGAAGCATTCTAGGTTACAGTGTACGCTTTGCTATTTTCAGTTGTATCCACGTCTCGGCTCTTCAAATTCACTGGAAGCCCTCAATTTCATTTCCTTTTAATCGCTTCTATGCTTCTAGGTTTTGTAGGTCGCTAGTGGATGGATGTGAGTCAAAGAAGCAGACTAGGAGCTGCAATAGGGAACGGTGTGTAGTAATTAGAGCACAAGTCGTTGGGCACACATGCACATCATATGTGGATTTTGGTGGAAAAGAACACCTGAATCCTGGCAGCCCTTGACGACCATGAGATTTACAAGCTACTAAGGCGAGTCTCGGCTGACATAGTTTGGATTTTGTGAGGGTGTTTGTTGTTGCCTCTGAAGTTTCATTACCACGGTATGTTCAACCTGAAGTGTTCATTTTTACAGTTCAAGGATAAATTTGTGTGAGGGTGTTTGATCCTTCCTTCTTAACTTTTCTTCACTTAATTGAAATGTGAGTTTATGTGCAGTTAAGGTTTCTCATACTTAAACGTTGTGTTTTTCTCTTCACTAATCTGCAAGGCTTGAGCTGGAAGCATTCTAGGTTACAATGTACGCTTTGCTATTTTCAGTTGTATCCACGTCTAGGCTCTTCAGATTCACTGGAAGCCCTCAATTTCATTTCCTTTATGATGAGTCAAAGAAGCATACTAGGAGCTGCAACAGGGAACGGTGTGTAGTTATTAGAGCACAAGTCGTTGGGCACACATGCACATCATATGTGGATTTTGGTGGAAAAGAACACCTGAATCCTGGCAGCCCTTGACGACCATGAGATTTACAAGCTACTAAGGCGAGTCTCGGCTGACATAGTTTGGATTTTGTGAGGGTGTTTGTTGTTGCCTTTGAAGTTTCATTACCATGGTATGTTCAACCTGAAGTGTTCATTTTTACAGTTCAAGGATAAATTTGTGTGAGGGTGTTTGATCCTTGCTTCTTAACTTTTCTTCACTTAATTGAAAGGTGAGTTTATGTGCAGTTAAGGTTTCTCATACTTAAACGTTGTGTTTTTCTCTTCACTAATCTGCAAGGCTTGAGCTGGAAGCATTCTAGGTTACAGTGTACGCTTTGCTATTTTCATTTGTATCCACGTCTCGGCTCTTCAGATTCACTGGAAGCCCTCAATTTCATTTCCTTTTAATTGCTTCTATGCTTCTAGGTTTTGTAGGTCGTTGGTGGATGGATGTGAGTCAAAGAAGCAGACTAGGAGCTTCAACAGGGAACGGTGTGTAGTAATTAGAGCACAAGTCGTTGGGCACACATGCACATCATATGTGGATTTTGGTGGAAAAGAACACTTGAATCCTGACAGCCCTTGACGACCATGAGATTTACAAGCTACTAAGGCGAGTCTCGGCTGACATAGTTTGGATTTTGTGAGGGTGTTTGTTGTTGCCTCCGAAGTTTCATTACCACGGTATGTTCAACCTGAAGTGTTCATTTTTACAGTTCAAGGATAAATTTGTGTGAGGGTGTTTGATCCTTGCTTCTTAACTTTTCTTCACTTAATTGAAAGGTGAGTTTCTGTGTAGTTAAGGTTTCTCATACTTAAACGTTGTGTTTTTCTCTTCATTAATCTGCAAGGCTTGAGCTGGAAGCATTCTAGGTTACAGTGTACGCTTTGCTATTTTCAGTTGTATCCACGTCTCGGCTCTTCAGATTCACTGGAAGCCCTCAATTTCATTTCCTTTTAATTGCTTCTATGCTTCTAGGTTTTGTAGGTCGCTGGTGGATGGATGTGAGTCAAAGAAGCAGACTAGGAGCTGCAACAGGGAACGGTGTGTAGTAATTAGTATCTTTCAGTGGAAGAGAGTTGGTCTGTCGTGGACACTTCTCCAACGTGATTTTGCTTATGGAAAGTTGTGTTCTTTTAACATTTTAATTCTTTTAACTTCTCAGTTTTGTGTTCTTTTGGCATTTTAACATAGACCAGGAAACCGGATCGTACCGGCCTGTTCAACCGGAAATTGGACCAAAAGCGGTACGGTGGGCTGATTGTGCTGATTTTACAGTGTCGGCCAGTTTTTTCGGTTTGACCGGTTGAACCGGCCGGTATGATCCGGTTTCCTGGTCTACGATTCAGCTTCATTTCTCCGTATTCTCGTCCAATATGTGGAAAATAATTAAAAAGAATATTATTTTGCTATTTTTCTATGTTGAAAATGGGTCACCGTGGTTGTATAATGCTCTATTTGGTTCTTTTTTTGATGGATTATATTTTTTATACTATCGCATTTCATTTCTCTACCAATAGTGAAAAACGGTATTTACCGGTACAAAACGGTTGAACCACGATCGTACCACAAAATACCATACCAGATAGGAATCCGGTATGATGTCCGGTACGGTTTCCTTTACCATGCATTTTAATTCCTTTGAGATTACTGGTATATTTTTCTTTATACACTTTTGCTTCTTTTCCCATGTTCCATGTAAGCTTCTGTTTCTGATCCAAAGTCATTGGTTTCCTTGGGGTACTCTTCAATGTTGAATATGTATTAGGTATGCTACATATTCTGTTGTGTGCTTATTGATTTGAGTGTTAATATCTTTCACTTCATGCATCAACGGTTATATTGTCAAATTTAGTTAGGGAACTCTTCAAATAATTTTATAGTTTGCCATCAAAGAAACTGGCCATCATATGAACATGTTGCTGCAAATTTAGTTACCACGGCGTAGCCGTGGGTATTGATTCTAGTATGACTAACATTGGCGCAACAAGTCTCAGATTCCCAACCGAAATATGGTCCTGAAGGCACTTCCTTCATGTTCAAAATGCAACGAGTTATTTCCTAGCCAAGTTTTTGCAATGCATAGAGCATATGCTATGTAGTCCTTTCTTAAAAGCTGATTGGACCCAACATTCATTGTTCAGCGAAGCCCTTCATGTCTGTTAATAAGTCTGTACCACCTTGTCTCCTGGTAATAAGCAGATCACCTTCAGGGCTTCACAGGAAACTGAGGAACGTGTTCTATCCATCACAAGGGCAGAAGGGCGATTGGGTGAAGTAGCATGATCGATCCCTCACCAATAATCCTGACACGAACAAGATCCGCCTTTGAAATGATGGAAACGGTTCCGATCCCGGATAATGATTTCTCTCTCGAATTTTCTCGAAGCATGCTTCATGAAGGAATGGCAATCATGACATGTCCTTAGATTTTTCATAATCCTGATTGTTCTTCTCCTATCTGTGAAGTTCAGAAGGGCAAATGAAACTGCCAGCTTTTCACTGTGGAACCCAACACTCTGCTCCTTCTCCTCGTCCTCAATGTCATGGAACACACTTGACTTGTGCGGCTCATAACCTTCAACTCTGAGATTATCGATCATCTGCTGTAAGAAGTCTCTGACTTTCTGTGTATATACCAGAAGACGAGCATCATCGCCTCCTGATAGAAACTCATGAATCTCATGACCCACGACAAGCAAACTACGGCCAGGGGTTTTGGCAATTCTCTTGTCTTGCATTGCAGCTCTCAACTCTGCCTTCTTGGTATATGAACCAGTCCCACCATAAGCGTTTGATAGAAGCACATAATCCCCATCGTGATGAGGATCTAGCTGAGACAGTTTCTGCTTCACTTGGTCTGCCAATGCAAGATTGTCACCATGCTTCACACAAGCTCCCAGCAAGGTCCTCCAGATGACAGCATTTGCTTGACAGGGCATATCTTGTACAAAATTAAAAGCATCATCAACTAAGCCAGCACGGCCAAGGAGATCAACCATGCAACCGTAATTCTCTAGAGTTGGTTCCATACCATATTCTTCCTTAATGGAACGAAAAATCTGCCAACCGTTGTTAACAAGGCCACCATGACTGCAAGCGACTAAAGCAGCACTAAACGTGATGTGATCAGGCCGCAAACCAGCTCCCTCCTTCATCTCACGGAACAATCTCAACGCTTCCTTGCTGCGACCATGCACCGCTAGCCCATTAATCAATGCAGTCCAAGTCCTTATGTTTCTCTCAGGCATCCGTTCAAAGACTCTCATCGAATCATTTATAGAACCACAACGTGAGAACATGTCAACCAATGCAGTACCTAATGCAACAGTGAGCTCCAACCCATTTCTGGATATATAAGCATCAACCCACCTCCCCAACTCCACTGCTCCGATGCTTGAAATGGCAGAAGCCAAGCTAAGCAGCGTAACCTCATCAGGCTTCACGCTGCCATCAATCTGCATCTGTTGAAACAGAGCCAGGGCCTCTTGCACAGAACCGTTATCGACAAAGCAAGCGATCATCGAAGACCAAGAGACCACGTCCTTCTCAGACATTTCCTCAAACACCTTCAAAGCATCCGCCACCCTGCCGCATCCACCATAAACCCCGATCAACGCGTTCTGCACATAGACATCCGAATCGAAACCCATCTTCAGAATCACCGAATGAAGATGCATCCCCAGCCGGAGACGAGCGCAGGCCTTGAGAACGAAGGGGAAAGTAAAGTGATCCACCGACACTCCAGGACGGCGGCGCATGTTGCGGAAAAGGGAAAGAGCCAAGAAAGGAGAGGTAGCAGCATGAGCTCGAATGAGGGTGTTGTACGCAACGGTCACCCCGCCACCAAACAGTCGACTCCTGAGCATTCCCGGTAATTCCCTGTTCGTTTTCTTGTGAATCTCAGCTTAGAAAATTATTTGCTTAGCATTTTCTTAGTTGCAGCTTGGCGCCTATGAAGTTGCAACAGACAGCAAAAAATCTTGTCCTCAAGCTCCAAGGGACTATCCCTTTATCCGCACGAATGTAATGGCTGGATATATATGCTGCTCTATCTTTCATTTTGGACGGTTTGCCATTTGATCTGAACCATTTGGCGGCAAAATGAAGCAACTGGGTGACTTGCCATCTTTATCGTCCCAAAAAAAAAAAAAGGAATCTTCAAGCTGTATACAGACATAATCTACCTAGTACGTTTCAAAAAGAGAGGAAAAAAGATCTCCCAGTAGTGGAATCGCTTTGATTCCTTTCCTTCTCGACCACCCAAATAACCCACCGAGTCAGTCAACCACTACTCAGTGTCCCACCATTCCCCTTCGACATAATTGCTTCGAGGAGGAAGAAGAAGAAGAAGAGTAGTACCACTATAATTAACAGTGACCGCGTCTTGAAGCTGCCACAGTTTTCTTCATTCACACTCTATTCCTTCCTTCCTTCCTTCCCTCCCCATTATCTCTCTTTCTATTCATCTCTCTCAATCTCAGCCTCCTCTGTTTCTAGTTCGGGACCCTGAATCTCGTTAATGAAGGAAACAGAGAGAAGAATCGTGGTGGACGGGGGATTCGTGCATCAGGAAGAGAAGCATTTCACCGTCTTCAAAACTTCCCTGTTCTTCGCCAACGACGGATTCACCGTATACGACTGCAGCAGCGGCGAGTTGGTCTTCCGAGTCGACTCGTACGGGCCCGACGCCCGGGACAGAGACGAACTCGTCCTCATGGACGCCCACGGCCGCTGCTTACTCACTGTCCGGAAGAAGGTAAACCCAAATTAACAAAACCCTAATTTGATTTCCATGTCGGCTAAACTGAGCATTCCGTTTCTTCTTTTTTAATTTCCCCCAATTTGGCAGAGGCCGAGTCTGCATCAGCGGTGGGAAGGATTTCTCGGGGAGAGGAAGGAAGGGCAGAAGGCGATGTTCAGCGTGAGGAGGTCGTCGATGATCGGACGGTCAGGGATGAGCGTGCAGGTGTACGACAACCCAGGGGAGGAGTACGAGATCGAAGGGAGCTACGGGAGCCGGAGCTGCACGGTGGTCGACGCGGCGAGGGGAGCGGCGGTGGCGGAGATCCGGCGGAAGGTGGACGCGTCGACGAACGTGGTGCTGGGGAAGGACGTGTTCTCGCTGGCGGTGAAGCCCGGGTTCGACGGGGCGTTCGCCATGGGATTGGTGCTGGTTCTCGATCAGATCTGCGGCGGTGATTTGGCGGAGGATGATGGTGATGGTGCCGTTGATGTTGTTCACGTGGGACATGAGGAGGAGGAGGATAGCGGGCCGCTTGTTGTTGATTCAAAAGCGATGGGTCGGTAGTTTTGGGCCTCGTTGTTATGGGCTGTGGGCTGCTGCTAAGGCAGGCCTTGGACCCTGTTTCCTTACGTAGTTCGGCCGCTAAATGAAAAATAATGATGACGAATTTGAAGCTCAAAGTGTAGTCTTACAACCGAGAGCGGATCCCATGACTAAGGAGATCCTTAGTCATTTGACTAAGCCCCTCCTAGCCATTAAATCTGGACACTTCAATCCAATGGTTAAAAAGTGGGAAGGGCTATTTAATTAATGACAGGAATAGTTTGGGTATTATGAAAAATTACGAAGTATACAAACCGGATTTACAATCAGTACAAACCATACAAACATACGAACAGTACAAACTAGAGCGACAAAACATACAAACAGATTTACAAACATTACAAATGTATGAACTGTACAAACAATACAAACTAGACCGACAAACAATACAAACCATAAAAAAAGAAAAAACAACCGGGTTGACTTTGGAGGCTCCATTCCTATATAGAGGGGCTTAGGGGTGTACATGGGTCGGGTGGTCCGGGTTTAGGCATTTTAATCACCCGACCCATGCACTACGGTTTGGGAAATATTAAACCCAAACCCACCCAAAAAAATCTAAACCCTACGGTTTGTTTCTAATTGGGTTGGGTCGGGTTGGCGATATTTTTAAGTAAAAACCCAACCCAACACAAAATATGTAATTATTCTACATCATAAAAATATTTTATAAAAAATTAAAAATTCAAACGAATAAACCGAGGTGAAAGGTATCAAAATTCACAAATATTGTTTGAATTTTAATAAAACTTGATTACTTCAACTTATGTCTAGTTTTTTTCATGCCATTTGTTGAAATAGGCTAAAAAGGTTACAAATGAACGCATCCATAATATGATATTCTTTTAAAATTGTACACAAGAAAAAAAATACGTGAATCATAGCTATATTAAATATATGTCTAAACTTTAAGTCGAAGAATGCATTAGATTAGTGAGACTTTAATAGAAAAACATGGCGAAATATCTTAATTTTCTCATAAGTATGACTATATACGACATAAATATTTTTTTGGATACGAACTCATACCAATAATTGGAACACGGGTTGGGTCGGGTTCTACGGGTTGTGTAATCTAAAATCCAAACCCAACCCAAACAAGGCGGGTTGTACAATAGAAAACCCTCACCCAACCCAAAACCTTCGATTTAGCGACAAATACGGGTGGGTTGGGTCGGGTTGGACGGGTGGGTCGGTTTGCGGGTGTGTTTGTTCACCCCTAGAGGGGCTCCTTCCCAAAGTCAACCCGGGTGTTTTTTAGACATACAAACAGTACGAACATGGTGGACAAAAAATGACAAACTATACCGACAATCCATACGAACTGAAAAAACACCAGGGGTTGACTTTGGAGGCTCCATCCCTATATAGAGGGGCTCCTTCCCAAAGTCAACCCGGGTGTTTTTTAGACATACAAACAGTACGAACATGGTGGACAAAAATGACAAACTATACCGACAATCCATACGAACTGAAAAAACACCCGGGTTGACTTTGGAGGCTCCTTCCCAAAGTCAACCCGAGTGTTTTTTAGATATACAAACAGTACGAACATGGTGGACAAAAATGACAAACTATACCGACAATCCATACGAACTGAAAAAACACCCGGGTTGACTTTGGAGGCTCCATCCCTATATAGAGGGGCTCCTTCCCAAAGTCAACCCGGGTGTTTTTTAGACATAAAAAAACATTACAAACATGGTTGACAAAAATGATAAACACGGTACACAAAAATAACAAAGTTTACAAACATTACAAAAAAAACCGACAAACATTACAAAATAACAAAGTTTACAAACATTACAAAAAAACCCGACAAACATTACAAAATAACAAAACGTACAAACATCATAAAATAAACCGACAAACAATACAAAGCATACTAACAGTACAAAATGTCACTAAAAATGACAAACAATACAAACCGAATCTATACAAACATTACAAAATAGGTAAGCAAACATCACAAATCCAACACTGTCGCCGGGAAATTTCCTCCGGTCGCCGGAAACCTCTCTGCCAACAAATAATCCCAGGGAGCCAAATAATTCCCCAGCAAAGGAATGGCAGGACAAAGGAATAAAAATGGCAGGGGATATTCCCATCACCGGCGCCGCTGAGTAAAAGTGGCCGGCGGATGTTTTCCATTAACGGCGCTGCCGAGAACATAGCAGTCAAAGTGGCCGGCGGAGTGAATACGAGCGGCATGGGCACATTATTTTTTAATTAATTAATAATTGAAAAATAATAAAGTAATGCAATTACTATATTGTCCTTCATTAAATTGAATTAATCTGAGCCTTTGAATTTAAATGAGGTTGGATGGCTGAGATGCACTTAGTCACATGACTAAGGGACCCCCTCTTAGTCACCTGATCTTGGCCCCTTACAATCTCCGGTGATGGGCCCATCAAAGGTTTTGCAACTTTGTTCGGTCGGATCGGAAAAATTTAATTGGTTGAACCAAGGATAAACCACGATTTTAATACAAAAATTTTATTCTTGGTTTTTCGATATAACTTCTGGTGCGATTTCACAATCTTTGATTTTTCATCGAAGACCCATTTTACAGTACGACAAATTGCATGCATAATTTTCTGGAATCGTCGATACTAATTTCGCAAGCTATCCTCTTTATGATTTTCTGTTGGGAATGCAAATAATCACACGCTACAAAATGCTTTCTACAACCACACATACCAATCTTCGTGGTCACAAAATTGTTATTGATTTTGATTCAAAACAAATCATCGAGAGTGTTTCGTCAACTTAAATCGTTCTTAATCGTATTTGATATTTTATTTTCTTTATCTCGAATTCAATAGAAGAAAGTTGCACAACATTACCATGGCTAATGAATGGGGATACATTGTAGAATTATTGTGCCCTAAGACGTATAAGAGCTTAGAAAGGGGAAAACAATTATTATGTGGTGACAGAAGGAATCATAGATCCAACGAAAAAGCTTCTAACTTTGGTTCTTGGGGTTCTCCAATCTCGGCTTCCTCTGAGTAACACAAAAGAAAACCAACAAACAAAGAGATATCAAGATATCTTTCTGGGTTCTTCTTTCATAATCTGTATCCACAACTAAATTGAAAAATTTGTACTGTACCTTAGCTTTAACAGGGCACTCCTCTGGCTGCCTGACAATGTAGAGCTGATCCCCTGGAGAACTATACATGTCCTGATTCCGGTGCCATGTCCACAGAGCATGAGTCTCGTTCTTCACCTCCAGAATGCCATGGCCGAAGCTCGATTCTCTATACGCACTGTAATCCGGCTGTCGGTCCCAACAGAAGCTGCCTTTCGCCGGTCCTGAAGTGAAGTTGAACGCACAGAAACCTCCCATGATCTGGTCCGGTGTCGTGGCCGGGTCAGGACAGTTACCAGGCTCGTCAGCATGTGGGATCGCCATCTTCTCTCGGTTCCCACCGTCGCCCACGGTTATGTAGACCGGTCCGCAAGGATCGAGCTCGTAGTTGTAGACGCGGTTCGATCTCTCGTAGGCATGTACCTGCAGATTCATCAACATTGCCGTTCATAACCATCTTCCCCTCTTCCTGTCCAGCATACAATGTACATACTTACATGTCCATTGAAGACCATATCGACCCCGTGCTTGTAAAGCAAGTCTTCCATTGCGACCTTCATGCACTCTGCCTCTCTGTAATGCGCAGCGTAGCTGCTGTACCAAGGCGCGTGCCACGTAGCCACGACCCAGGGGGTCACCTTTCGATCGACGCTGGCCAGATCTTTCTTCAACCACTTGTGCTGATGTGCTGCATAAGAATGAAACTAATCAAGTTTACAGCACATTATGATTCACTAACTAGCTAACTACATCTGCTCACTAGCTTTGTGTGTTCTGTAAAACGTTACATTTCTTGTGGTAACCGATGTAGGAACCGAGCATCACGAAATGAACCCCTCCGGCATTGAAAGAGTAATACATTGTGGAGTGTGATTTGCTCTCTTCCGAAGGGAATGCGAACCGAGCGCTGTAGGACTCGAACACCTTCTTCTTAACCTGCGTTTCTAGTTCGTGGTTCCCTTCGATCACCATGATCGGGACCCTGGAGATCACTGGCTGCATGTACCTTCCCCAGTAGTCCCAGCGAGGCTGGTGGGTTTCGTGGATCGGACTATCGGGGAAGGCACAGGTGTAGCAATCTGCCCCGGTTCCATTCGTGAGGTACAAGTTGGCATAACTGACGTCCCCAACCAGCAGGATGAGATCAGGATTGTTGGAGGCCATATGGTCGACTGTGGAAGTAGTGTTGTAGGTAAGACCCAGGTCTCCCACGATGGCAATTCTGGTAGGGTAGCTCTGCGAGGACGAAGCTGGCATCGTGGTGAACGAATGTACATCGCTCATCGCTGATAGGGAAGGGTCGCCGCATTGGTAGAAGTAAGTGGTGCTCGGATTCAACCCTAAAAATATGAGCAGAGAGTATGTCAAATCCAACTTGGTGAAGTACCAAGATAATATAATTTCATAGCAGATGGAAATCGATTGGGATTTGAATGTATGGTACCTTGAAGACGAACATGGTGGATGATTCCAGAGGTGTAGTTCTGGAGGCCTTCGAAAGGGTACAGCTGACTGTAAACAAGGGAATTCCCATTAGCTGCATTGTTCAATGACGAGTTGGTGGTTCCATATTTCACCACGCTCGCTACAGTTTTCGGGTCCAATGGCTGAATCTCCTCCCCAATTTGGAAATCCCCTGCATTCACACAAGAAGAAACGCAGCTCATTTTGGCGAAACGAAGAAAGAAACAACAAAGAAGGACAATCAAGAAGATGGATGGGAATGGAGACCTGTGATCCAAGAAACCCAAACGGAGTCATGGGTAGCAGAGAGGGAGACGGAAATCTGCTCAGGAACGAAGCCCGTGACATTCCTCTGCACCCGAGGATCGGTGGGCGGCAAGTCGACGGCGTTACCGCGGAAGCTTGTGTCCAGAGGGATGGTGACCGGCTTGAATGGTCCATCCAGAGTCGACGGTATGCCGCCGAGAATTGCTGAGGAGAAGCAGCAGCTACTTATCGCCAGAAGAAGAAGAGCAAGTGCTGCTCGAGACGAGCCGGAAAACCCCATCTCCGGCGAGGATTTGTGGGATGAAGATGAAAGTTGGCGGGATGAGGAACCATGTGAAGCATAGAAGAGGTATTTGTAAGGAAGAAGAGAGGTGAAGGATAAGAGACATGGAAGCAGAAAGGATAGAAGAAAGAATTGTAACAGTGAGGAAGGGGTTTTGCAGTTGCGGCACGCGGCCAACTCTGGCGGGAAAAGGCCAAGGGAAGGGAAGGGAAGGATGCTGCAAGCTTGTTCAATATGAATCCAATTCCAAACTGAAAGTAATGCTGCTTTCTTGACTTTTACTTTTTGTTTTCATTTCTTTGATGGTTTTGCTAGAATGCTTTCTCTCGTTTTTAGTTGACATGTATATTTTGGACAGATCACGTAGGTCATAGTTCATACCTATCTTTAGAACACAAATGGAGAAAAAGGAGTCGGACAAGAAAGTCTCCCATCACGCCAAGGACCACAGACTTGCTCTTGAAAACAGGGGCAGTGGCCATGTTTCTCATGTCGAGGTCAACGTGCTTAACGGTTCGAGTATCAGACTAGATCGAGAGTCACCATTGTACGTATTCACGAGTCATTTTCGATATGAAAGGATCCTTCGGACAGGCCAAAAGATGGGCACACCAGTTAGAGGTGATGAATTCCTCATCATGGTTGACATTTCACGCTCTGCTATATTCATCAACATCGTGGATGAACTCCTCATCGACCCAAGCAAGCTCTTGGTTCAGATGGGTTCACAAGGAAGTTTCACTACAAGGACTATTTGAAGGGAGGAAATCTCATGGGAAAAGCCAGGTAGATGACTCGTAAGATGGATACGGGAGAGAGCAACTACAGTAATTTCATACAGCACTCGGATTGGGAGTTCAACCAAGTCATAAACCACAAAAGAACCAACCAGAAGGACGAGAACTCATAATTATTGGCTTGTAGACTTAATTCTGAGCAGAAATAAGGACTTGAAACATACTATATCAAACTGACAAACACCAAGATCCTACGTTAACTACCTGAAACCTTACTCTCAATCAATCCATGAAGAAACTCCTGCAGTGCAGTAGCTGCGAGGTATGGGGCTAGGTGTTGTGTTTACAAAGTGTTCACCATTCTCTTCATCTCCGCAGACCTCCTTTGATCAGGCTCTTCAATTGCCCTCTCGGTGAGCACTTGCTTGATGCGACACATTGACTTCCTCACCTGAGTTTTCACGAATCATACGGAAAAGATCAGACGTGAGAGGTTTAGGAGCACGGCATTCCATAACAGTTCATTTAAGGAATACCACCCAAGCAGTTACAGGAACAATATTGTCTCAACAAAAAAGGTAGCCAAGTCAGATAACTTTGCTCGTGGTAGCAATTTCAGGGGCATGCATCAAAATCGTTTCAAGAACGAAAAATAGAAAAAGAAAGGGGGAAAAGAGAACGGAAAATAATGACAAAACCTACATGCTTAATAGCAGCTGACAAGAGATATGAATTTCAGCTAAATCTTGACCAGAAGTCCAGAAGTATATGAAATTATCTCTAACTAACAAATTAACTCTGACATCAACTGTCCGACTGTAGTTTTAGCAGCCAAGAAAAATGCAACTTCATAGTTGTACTAAACGGAGAATAAAGAGTCAATACATACCTTTGGCAAGCGCTCGGGATTAGGAAATCTCAAGTTTTGAGAATGAAGCATCTGACGTTGAGTCATCAGCATGTTTTTCTCCTTTAGAAGGACATACCATAGCTTCTGTAAATCATCCCAAGACTTCAACCGCAGTTCAGAAGCTTTCCAACTTCGACCTGGTCAGGGAAAATTGGTCGAGAACATGTAAGGCATGGAGCATACCATCTTCAAAGTTTTTGCAAGATTATAGTTCGACATCACCAAAGACAGCTATAGAACCAATCTAGCATGTGCATTTCAGCTCACTAGTAGCAAACCCCAAAGTAATTCATGTAAATCAAATCGTAACAAGCTTATCACAGAAACACAAGCAAAGGCCCACATACCATATACGATAGGCTTATCGTCATCTTGGATCCTATCTTTCTCAAAGAATTCTTCAAGAGGATTATGCCCAGACCTAGCCGTTGTAGCACCAGCAGCAGCAGCTGCTGTTGTTGAATAAGTTTGAGAATGAGCAGCAGCAGCAAAGAGCCTTCTCCCGAAAAGTCTTGCCAACAACATGCTTGATTAGTGATTACTATCCCTGCAAATCAAACCAATTCCGATCCTTTTAGTCTTACGACTTGCATACCTCAAATCCCCAAAACCAAACAGAACGAATGAATGAATACTCTGCTGTCATCCAGAACCTACAAAATCATCTAAACCCTCCAAAGTCCGACTATGGTTCTTACGAGTTACCAAATCCATTTGGGTTTCCTAAAACCCTCCTCCCCCGTCAATGCTAGAAAACTGTTAAAACTAAAACAATCACCAAAACCCTAAACCCAAGAATTGAAACATTTACGGAGAAAACGCCACTCGATGATTTCCAAGCACCAGGATAGACATGAAGAGACTCGATCAAGAATTAAGAAAGATTTGGGGGGGGAACACTGCTACCTCTGGGAGTTAGAAACTTGCAGAGCCGACACAGAGGTGAGCGAGATAGATAAGAGGTCTACTGCATCGAGAGTGGCGGCGAGCGGTGGGTGCTTTGGAGAAGAATGACGAGTTAAAGGACTGTGTCGACTCGGGGCTGCGGCGGGACGTTGGGGAGGAAATGGGCACCGGGAAGGGATGGACGAGGTCTAGAGTCTCGACGGAGGTGGGAGAGGGAGTCTGAATTTGGGCCCCGTAAGTTGGCCCTCCAAAACCATAATGGGTCGGCCCAATATGATCTGGCAAGGGTTGGATGACCCAAGACCCAATTCTTTTTGTCCAATAAATCTTTTATTATATGTAACATAATGGTAATATTCTCAAAGTGCCATAAAAGACCGAGTGAGAAAATGAACCACACCCATAAGGATTTGGATGAAAAATGGATTAGATTGGGGGTTTAATTGGACTTCATTTTAATGTTTAATCTTGACATCAATGTCTTTTTGTAGTGATGACATTTGCTTTTGGTTGTTACAAAGTCATGGATTCAAACATGGAGCTCTTAGGTAGATTTAGTGATTTACCTTAAGACATTAGATTGAGTATAAAAAAAAGCCACAAAGATAGCCCAGAACTGATCCACTGAGTCTTCACAAAAGACCAAAGTGTTATCAGCATCATAAACCGGAGTTACCATATATAAAATACCTTGGAGAAATTTTAATATCTAGAAATTTTAATATCTAACCTGATCCAAAAACTTAGAAAGAACCTCCATAACAATAATGATAAACAAGAAAGGTTTAAGAGAGTTTCATTGCCTCAAATTAGACACATCCTTACTAGTTTCGCTCTTCGGAATCAAACAAACGAAAGTACTATTAACCATTACGAGAATTGGGAAGGGTCTCTTGCTCGAAAAAAAATTTCTTAGCCCACATCATGGTTAATAACTAGTAAGTGTCTCTTAAAAACACCACATTGAAACCATAAGGTGTTGGATTCTTATCACCATTACTACTAATTAAAACCACGGCCGAGAGATTCTACAAAGGAAAATCATCCCCACACACCACACGAACTCAAATCTCATCCCTACTACTCGTAATAATCCAATACTCGTCTTCATTCGCAATCCAATATGATCATCCTACTCGTAACTCTTTGTGATCTTTTTAACAATGACTCTTGAAATCATTCATTCAGATTGTTTTGATGGATTTTTAGATAGTAGTCAACATATTAAAGAAGCAACCCAGATGAACATATTCAGGCTTGCAGGGGACATGACACATTTAGCCAGTGTCCTTGTTCTCCTCCTCAAGATCCGCACCATCAAGTCTTGTGCTGGTACACCTTCTTTCCTTCTTGTTTCCATATGTTGCAAGGGAATTTTCGTGTATTGGATGCACCATCAAATGCTTTCTTTGATATGTTTTCTCTCAATGGGATGCTTGGTTGATTGGAGTAGCAAGAGGTTAGAGAGAGAGGGAGAGAGATATTTTTCCATGTATGTATTATCGTAATAACTATTATATAAGATGGGCGCAGGAGTTTCTTTGAAAACCCAAGAGCTCTACTTTCTGGTTTTCGCTACACATTATTTGGATCTATTCACGCATTTCATCTCGTTGTACAACACAACCATGCAACTTATATACCTAGGAAGTGCTTTCTCCATCATTTGGTACATCAGACACCACAAACTGGTCCGAAGGTCGTACGACAAGGACCAGGACACCTTCCCGCGATCTTATTTCGTTCTCATCTCCTTTGCTTTAGCTGTCTTTGTACACGAGAAACTCACATTCAAGGAGGTACAGACTTCTACCGCCATTTGCAATTTGTTAATTTCAGAATGTTACAGACTATATATAAAATGCAGTGTCTTTCTGTATTGCAAAATGTTTCATTTTATTCTAATCATTACGTTAAAACCACATACTCATCCACTTATTATAATTTGTAACTTATCAACTGTTTGGGATTTAGGGTTACTTTCAATTGTATTTTTTTTCCAAGTGGGTTGATTTTCTGGTATTGTGGCAGGTAATGTGAACATTTTCGTTGTATTTGGAAGCTGTTGCAGTACTGCCCCAACTTCTGTTGCTGCAGAAGACTAGAAATATAGACAACTTAACAGGACAATACGTTTTTTTTTACTAGGGTAATATGCTATAATAATACTCCTAAGGGAAAGGATAATGTACAAAATACATAATTACAAAATCTACGAAGTATCTTACCGCTCCCGATATTAGCTAATCATACCATAATAATACGATCATATCATGAGATGAGTGATATGATTAGTATAAGGGGTGGTAAGACACGAGTTTTATAGGTTTTGTATGGTAACCCATGCCCCTAGTAATAATGAATTCTTTTCTTTTACGTGTTTCGATTGTAGAATATACAATCACACGAGAAATTGTAATATTGGTGGTAATGCAGGTCATACAGGGCATTGTACATATTAAACTGGATTTACCGCTACTTAACTGAATACCGATCTATTCATTGGATAAGTAGGTCACTAATCACCTGAATTAGTCTTCTTAATCAAAGCCAAGTAGCCAACACTGTGTGTCATTAAGCTAATTACTTGTTTCTTTTTCGAACAATGGTTTACAGCTTGGGTATCAGGAGTGGGTATTAGGAGTGAACTGTGAAGTAATTTGTGTGAACTTATATATACCAGTCGATGTACCAGCAGCATGTGAACCGTCTCCATTTAAAATTTTCATATGAGAATAGTTCATCGAAATGCTTCGTTTTAATATTAGTTAATTGGTGTGAAAATAAATCGATCATCGATAAATAATCCCTAACTCTCCTTGTCCTTGCCATTGCTTTCAAGTTAAGTAGAAGCAACAACTTAGGTATACTTAACCCAAATCACAATACCCAAAACCCTAATGATCAATAATTCACTTCCATTCCCAATCCATGAAATCGCAACAATTATTCACACCTATCATAAACCTAAAGCAAGAGGGAAACAAGGGCTTAAAACCCACGAAATTGAAATTCCACCTAATACCGCTACCGGGAGAATAGAACATCTTTCTACAGATCAAGCGACGGCCGCTGAGGAGCCAGCGACGACGACAGCCGCGGCGGAAGAGTCTTTGAAGAAGTTACGGAGGTCGGGGACGAGGTCGTGGATCTCGTCGGAGAAGTGGCCGACGATCTCGCAGCAGAGGTCGTGCTTGCTCATCCTCCCTCCCTTGTACAGCCTCCAGCACTCGACGAAAGCGCCGTACGCCGCCTCGTCCTTCGCCAATCGCTCCTTGATTTTGCTCTCTATGTTTAATTCCGCTACTGACACCATCGTCGTCTTCTTCTTCCGCTCCGATTGGTCTTCTTCGAAATTTCCGACGGCGTGCGGCTGCAGTATTCTCCGTTTCTGGTTCATTGTCTAGGAGCGGGCAGGTTTGTTTATATATAGGTGTTAGGTGGAGTGGCGGAGAGGGCAGAGCTTGGTCCTTCTTGTTTTCCACGGAAAGCCAATTCCCAACCAACAATCAGAAATCGGATCACGGGAAAAACAAGGACACGAAAAGGACAAATATTGTAAATAACTAAACATTCATTTTTCCCTAGTCCGTTTGGGCCTTGGGTTTAGTTGTTGACAGGCCGATCCTATAGATTGGTCCCGGCCCAAAATCCACTCAGCGGAAAATAATACAACATCGGTATTTTGGTACAAAATATCAAAATTCTGAAAGTCAAAATGATATGTTAAAATTAATGATAATATTAAAAAGATGGTTTGAGCACCCCTAATTCGAAGTATTTTATAGGCATGTAGGTTTAGTTTTATGATTAAAACCTTAAACCTTTTGTGGTGAAAGTTGAGGTGAGAAAAAGACTAATAAAACCTAATCAAAGTCACAACTCAATTTAAGTGTCTTGAGTTTGACTGCAACTAAGGCAGTGGCATGGAGAAGGGAGGAAATGTTCGATATCTCAGTTTCTCGCTCTAGATAGTTTTTTATTTGATGGATTGGAGGCTGAGTCGCTGAGAGATGACTAATGAGAATGTTCGGTTTTTGGTATTTAAAAAAAGAAAAGAAATGAGAGTGACACAAGAAAAAGGAAACCAAAGCTTGGTTTATATGCAGTTTACGAGTTGTCAAGACTCAAGAGTGAGAAAAAAAATCTCTAGTTTAGCGAGAGCCTAAGGCGGCGGAAACCCTAGGTTTTTTCGGATTTTGTATCTTTGTCTTCCAATCCTTGTGGAAGAAGAATACCGTCTCCGTTCAGAACTAGTTCTGCTTTACAAGAGGTTAGAGAAGTTGCTACTTAAGGAGGAACGCTGCTTGTTTTTTTGACTATTTGTGCTGAAAACGAGCGAGAAAGTTTGTGCAAGAGGAAAACCCTAGTACAAGGAACTAATAGGGTTTTGTGCGAGTAAGGTATTAGGTTTGTGGCTTTCCTTGAAGGCTGAACCTGTGTTTCTCTACGCCATGGAGAATAGAGAAGAAGCGTTGAATGACACAGCTACGAGCAAGGAACGTCAGACAACAGTGGAGCTAGAAAACCAGGTGAATCAGATCACCCTGGAAGATGAAGACGATGAACCTCTGGAGGTGGAGGACTCGGATGTTGATGTACTGAGAATGGAAGCGGTGCGTAGACTGGGACTGATGGGGCGTCTACTAGCTGAAAAGGAACCCAACATGAAGTCAATGAAGATAGCGTTAGCAAAAGCTTGGAAGCTGAAAAAAGGATTCCAAATCACAGAACTGGGTAATATGCTTTTTGCTTTTCAGTTCCTGGACATGGATGACAGGAACAAAGTCTGCTATGGGGGTCCATGGCATTATGAAAACTCACTAATAGTTTTCAAAGCAAGTACAACGATACAGAAGCCAAAGCCAGAGGACTTGCATATGTTGATTTGTGGATAAGAGTTGAGGGATTACCAGCGGAGTTGAGGACTCAGAAAATGGCTGAAAAAATCGCCTCGAGGTTCGAGGGGCTAGACTGGTTTGACAATGGGGCTGGAACAATGTGGGATGAGTACATGCGCTTGAGGGTGTACCTGTCGATCAACAACCCGTTAAAGAAGAAAATCAAGTTAAACATATCAGGGCAGTTAGTGGAATACCCAATTAAGTATGAGAAGCTGTCAATGTTCTGCTATACGTGTGGGAGAATTGGGCATCCTAAACTAAGATGCAAAATGGAACCAAAACCTGAACGAGATCCTTTTGGCTATGAGCTGCATATGGCAGCTCAAGGACAAAGGAACTGGCTCTCCTATACAGCAAAGAAGGAGAATGCTGAGGTATGGGCAGCTCTAAAGCAAAAGTTCGAAATGGAAAGCATAGGGTCTAACTCTGACCATGATATGGCTTTGGAGATGGAGGAAGCCAAGCAAATGGAGGAAGACACACCAAAACAGAAAGAACATGAAGAAGATACGGGACAGAGGAAAGCAATCAGTACTGACAAGGTCCCACAACCTGATGCAGTACAAAAGGAACATCCAAAGGTGCCCAAAAAACCAAAAATAACAGATCAACTGCATAATGGAGCCCCGAGGAAGTTTGTGATGGGCAGCACTGATGGTATGAGAGTGGGAAGGCCTACTGCTCGAGTTTGGAGGAGACAAGATCAAGTCTCATCGAGACCAGCTACTGGGATCCAAATAACTCCCCAAAAGAGACAGGCTGAATCACGTGAAGAGAGAGGAAAGACTGAAGGAAATACAACTGAGGCTGCAAAGAAAGCGAGGACCCTGAATTTCTCTAATGTGGAGGGATTAGATGCTGAGAAAAACAATAACAAGACAATGGATGGCGATGTGGCGGAGCCTGCCCAGGAGGAGGCCCACCCAGCTCAATGAGTTACTTGAGCTATAATTGCCGGGGTTTGGGGAGTCCCCTGGCAATTAAGAGGCTGGATCGACTGATCCAAAGAGAAAACCCCAAAGTAGTGTTCTTAATGGAAACCAAAAAGAAGGAGAATGAATGGCAGGAAGTGGTAGATAAGTTCCAAGGATACAAGGGTACTGGTGTGGGATCTAGAGGAAGGGCAGGTGGCCTGTTAGTTCTGTGGCAGGAGGATATCAAAGTGGAAGTTAAAGAAAGGGGCACAAACTACATTGACATGAAAGTTGAGGAGGATGGGAAGGTTTGGCGTTTTACTGGTGTCTATGGTTGGTCTGAACAGGGAAAGAAGCATCAAACGTGGGAGCTATTAAGGTATCTAAGTACTCTAACAGATTTGCCTTGGTTGTGTGGAGGAGATTTCAATCTCATCCAACATTATGCAGAGAAGAGAGGAAAACAAAAAGCAAGTGGGTATGAGATGGATGGTTTCAATAAAGCCCTTGAGGATTGTCAACTGGAGGATTTAGGCTACTATGGCAAACCATACACATGGGATAATAACCACAAGGATGAGACTTTCCTGGAAGAGAGGTTGGATAGAATGGTAGCAACTGAATCGTGGAAGCGTCTATATCCTGATGCTGGGGTCTATCACCTCAGAAGGTGTGGATCAGATCATAACCCTATTCTGTTGAAAACAAATGTTTTGGTGGAGGACATAAAATGGGGTCATTACTTTAAATTCGAGGCCTACTGGCAAGATCATGAGGACTGTAAACAGGTAATTAAAGAGGGATGGGAAGAAGCAGGGCAGAGTTCGATTATGGGGAGGATCCGAAGATGTGAGGAAAGATTGCGCATTTGGAGTAAGCAGACGTTTGGGAGCTTGAAAGCTCGACGAAACAAAGCAGAGAAGGCCTTGGAAAAGATAGACAGAAGGTGTAAAAATGAGGCAATATTAGCACAACGTCGAGTGCTTGAGAATGAGTTAGAAGATATACTGCTCCAGGAAGAATTGATCTGGAAGCAAAGGTCCAGAAATGATTGGCTCAAACATGGGGATAAAAATACCAAATTCTTCCATCGAAGGGCCTCAGACCGAAGAGCCAAGAATATGATCAAGAAGCTCAGGGATGAAAATGGAAGGGTCTGTACAGACCAAGAGGATATTGTGAGGTGTATTGTTAGTTTCTACAAGAAGTTATACACCTCTGACTCAAGAACCGGATCAGGGGCAGTGATTGAAGGTGTTCCACAAAAGGTTACAGCAGCCATGAATGATGAATTGTTGAAACCTTTTACTAGAGAGGAAATATGGGAGGCATTAAAGGTGATGGGGCCTCTTAAAGCCCCAGGAGCAGATGGAATGCCTGCTCTTTTCTTCCAAAAGAACTGGGACATCCTGGGTGAAACTATTACTACAGAGCTGCAGAGTTATTTGGAAGCGGGTAGTTTCCCTCAGGAACTGAACCACACACTAATAGCCCTAATCCCAAAGAAGAAAAATCCTCAAACCCCTGTGGATTTCCGCCCTATAAGCCTATGCAAAGTACTATACAAAATTCTCTCAAAAGTACTAGCTAATCGGCTTAAAGGGGTGCTTAATCAGGTAATAGTACAAAATCAAAGTGCCTTTGTCCCAGGAAGGCTCATCACTGACAATGTTATAATAGCATTCGAGTGTTTTTCATTCTATGAATGCTAAGAAAGCTGGGAATAAAGGTTTCATGGCAGCGAAGTTGGATATTACTAAAGCCTATGACAGGGTTGAGTGGGGTTTTTTGGAGGCAATCATGTTAAAGCTGGGTTTCCATCAACAATGGGTTCAGATGATAATGACATGTGTCACATCTGTTTCTTTCTCTACTTTGGTGAATGGACATCAGACTGAGAGTTTCTATCCTAGCAGGGGATTAAGACAGGGGGACCCTATATCCCCTTATCTATTTCTGTTTGTGGTGGAAGGTTTATCAGCTCTAATAACTAAAGCAGAAAGAGACAAGCAGATTGAAGGAATAAGAGTGAAGAGACAAGCACCACAGATTACTCATCTACTCTTTGCTGATGATAGCATCCTCTTCCTAAAGGCTACTAAGGCAGAATGTGAAAAGGTTAAAGCTATCTTGAGCTTGTATGAAGCTGAATCAGGGCAGCAGGTAAATCTTCATAAATCTGAACTATCGTTCAGCCCTAATGTGCGACAGGGGAAAAGGAGAGAACTAGCAGAGTTGCTCAACATGAAAGCAGTGGCATATCACCAAAAATACCTAGGCCTCCCTACAATGCTAGGTCGGTCAAAGAAACAGGCTTTTGGCTACTTGGTTGACCGAGTTAGAGCAAAGGTTAAAACATGGAAAGGCAAGCTACTATCAGTAGCAGGGAAAGAAGTTTTGATCAAGGCTGTGGCACAGGCACAGATGACATATGCTATGTCAGTGTTCCAGATCCCACCTAGTATCCTCAAAGAAGCAAAACGAGCAGTGGCACAATTTTGGTGGGGACAGTAGGAGGAGGAAGGAAGGACACACTGGATAAATTGGAAGGAACTTTGCAAACCAAAGAAAATGGGAGGAATGGGTTTTAAAAACCTTCAAAGTTTCAATCTAGCCCTGCTTGGTAAGCAGCTTTGGCGGGTCATTCAGAACCCTGATACCCTAGTAGCAAGGGTCCTAAAGGCAAAGTATTATGAGGATCGAAATCCTCTGGAAGCAGAAATTGGAAGAAACCCGAGCTTGATCTGGAGGGGTTTACTGGCAGCGAAGGAGTTGGTGAAACGGGGAATGAGATGGAGAGTTGGTGATGGTACCAAAATTGATATCTGGTTGGATAAATGGGTGCCATCGAGCACAACTCAGAAAGTAACATCCCCAGTTGCAAACTGGGATGTTTCGACCTCAGTAGCTGAACTAATTGATTTGGAAGGGAAGAGCTGGCGCACAGATGTGCTCGAGAGGCATTTCAATCCTAGGGATCGCATAAACATACAGAAGATTCCCATCCCCAGGCAACCTAGTGAAGATAAGTTAATTTGGGGAGTGGAAAAGACAGGGAAATACACAGTGAAATCAGCATACAGACTGTGGGAAAGTAGAAATGAAGAAGAATTGGGGGAAGTTTACTTGCCAGTAAATTGGAAAAGGTTCTGGGGCCTAGGGATCCCTCCTAAAGTGCGGATCTTTGCTTGGCGATGGCTAAGGAATATAATCCCTACGGGTGCTAGGATATATGATCGAATGCAGAAAGGAAGTGAACAATGCCCCTTCTGTGGCCTCAGAGAAACGCAAAACCATATCTTTCGAGAATGTGATTGGGTTCGAAGGGTTTGGAGAACTAGCCCTATGGATCCATACATAGCAAGGGGGGAAGATCTTACCTCAGAAGAATGGTACTGTGAGCTCCAAGAGTCGGAATCTGACGAAATGCTGGGCGAATTCCTTGTGGCGCTTTTGTACATCTGGGACCAGCGCAATTGCCATATGTGGAACAAAAAGAAGTTAGAAGAGTGGGAAATTTTGCCCAGGGCGAGCAATTGGCTGAAGGATTACCTGGAGAAACAGTCGAGCCCTCGATTGACGGCAAGGAACGAGGTACAGGGATGGAAGCCGCCACAGTCGGCTCCGGTGAAGATAAATGTTGATGCAGCTTGTATATCGGACAGAGGAACGGGGTGGGGTGCAGTAATTAGAGACGGAGAAGGGAGGTTTTTGTTCGCTGGAGTTCGACGATCCAGAACCCAATGGAACCCTGAGGAAGCAGAGGCCATGGCGATCGGATTTGGTCTGGATTTGGCTAGAAGGTTTGGGATACTAGAAATGGAAATGGAATCCGATTGCCAAGGAATAATTCAACAACTTCGAAGAGAAGAAGACAGGGAGACTGAGAGCGGTTTGATCTGTGCTGAACTACGGGCTGTAGCCCAAACCCTGAACCATGTTCAGTGGAACTTTGTGGGCCGAAAGTTTAATGGACCAGCCCATCTGATGGCCCATGTTGAGTGTGATTGGGAGAGTGAGGAGATATGGGTGGATAATCCAACGCAATTTCTTGTAACCCTTCTTAGGGAGGACATGGGAGGAAACTCCAACTTTGCATTCTAATTAATTAATACAGTTTTCATTAAAAAAAAAAGACTCAAGAGTGAGAAAAAACTAAATGGTTTTGGGCTATGTTTAATTAAATAAAAAAATTGATATTTTTAATGAATATATTAGATACCAATCTCAATCTCGTAATCTCGAGAATATCAAATAGTGCGGACCCAAAAATCCATATACAATAATACGAAATAATATGATACCCTACTCTCTTGTCTCTGCCATTCGCCTCCCTAGTCCGTACCATTCTTGGATGATTCCTAATCCTAACCGGCCACGGTAAATTCCCTGCTGCAATATTAGGACTGCCGGTCGACGGCGATTGACAAATTGGCGCCCTCAGGAGTCACATATGTATACAATCCATTGATTCTATTTCTTTTTTTTTTTCCTTCGCAGAGTCCTGGAACTGAAAGTGAGAGAGAAGTAGTCGGTGAGAGAGATGGAGAGAAACGGCGATTACAGCGACGGTTGCCGGCGTCTGAGGGAGTTACTTCCACCGCAAGCCATCACAGAGGAGCGATTAGGGCAAGCGATGGACTTCTTGGACGAGGTGAAGTTCCGCTTACATGGGAAGCCAGGAAATTACCGGACCTTCTGCAGCGTGCTGGAGAAACTCGCCGATTCCCCGATCCGATTGATCGCCGGCGGCGGCGGCGGCGGCCCCGACTTGGCGGCGCTGCGTCCTGAAGATCTGCTCTGGGTTGTCAGGAAAATCCTCTACGGGCAAGAAGATCTGATCGAAAAGTTCAATTCCTATCTTTCTGTTGATCCGGTTTCAGTCCTAAAACCTGGAGAAGCCAAGGCTGCGCCAATCAGGCCTGCTATTGCAGAGGAGGCGCCGCGGGTACTCCCTACTGTACCAGCAGCAGCCATGGCGGATTTAGGAATCCAGACTTCGAGTTCGCGCCAAAGAAGGCATCCTGCTACTAGTGGATTTGTGCCGGTGGTTGCAGGAGCAGAGCCACCACAGCCTGCGATTCCTCTGTTTCCGAGTGGCGGCGGCTCCGCTCGCAGAGAGGAAGAAACCTGTGACAGAAAGACTGATAATAATGACACCAGGAAAGCAGATCGAGTTGTTGCAGAAGTAGATGGAAAGTTCAGGGACCGATTCGCAGGCGAGAAGAGCCGATGTCTGGGTTGGATTCAGAAAATACGGAGGATATCACCCTCCTCTTCAGAGATTTACCAGCAGCATCTGCCGAACTTGTATCGCTACAGTCTCGGCAAGACCCCTGCTGAACTGGCGCCAGAAACGGAGAAGAGACGGCGACCTGACGAAGCAGAACAGAGATGCAGCAGGACCAGGAGGATTTCTGCTGCTGCTGCCACCACCCCGGTGAAGGATAGATTCCAAGCTGCCTTGCTGCAGCAGCGTCCACCGGCGGCTGAGGCACCGGAGGAACGGGAGGTTAAAAGGCAGCGGCAGCGGCTGGGCGAATGTCAACAGACGGAAACAGTTTTTCCGGTGATGGAGGAAGATGCGGACGAGCTTAAGGAGCGCCTCCTATCCGTGGCTCGTTACATCGACGAGAGAATGAACAGAACAGACAGAGGCGACGGTGGCTGTGAGGACGAAGAGATTGGAGGGGAGAAGGGTCGGATCCGATTCCTGAGATGCGTGGAAGCAATGTACGGTGATAAAGGGCGGGAAATGGTGACGATGGCCGACGCAGAGCCGGAGAAGCTGCTGCCTGTGGTGCGGAGAAGGCTGCATCAGAAGATAGGGGAGCTGGAAATCGCCAGCCAGAAGCAGGAGGACTACTACACAATGGCCAGAAGATGAATTCTCAGCCTGGGGATTCAAACCAAACCCCAGTTTTAGTGCTTTATATTGCGAATTATTGTTAATGCTATCATGAACTCGAAATGTAAATCAAAATTTACGAGATAGTGTGGTATTTTGCGGTTTAACAAAAATCAATTAACCAAACCACATGTGTTTCGCGGATTAACTGCGATTTGCGGATTAACTGCAAATCGAACTTTCACTATTACAAGGGGGTAAGCAATGAATCTCACACTTTTGTTTCCTATTAATGAGACAAAAAAAGGGTTCCTAGTTCCTACCTAAGGAAGCAAAGAGAATAAAAGGCATTTAAGTAGAATTCCTATGGGTTATGGGGAGAGGTGCTGCAACAGAAGAAGAGAAACCAAAACATTGCACCTGTGTAAGAAGAATACAAGTACACTTTACAGAGAGACTAGTTGCACACTTTTTTTACGGAGGGTGCCTCTGAATCACGATTCTAAAAACTCGGCAGATTGAACTGTCCTCACAAGCTCCTTCAAATTAGCTAATACATGGCGCGGCCCTAAACTCTTGACACCAATGTAATTCAACAGCTGCTCCAAATCCTACAAACATCACCAAGGCATCGTGTAGTAGGATTAAGAACCAAGAGACCGGCTTTTCGAAACACACAGAAACATGTCGACACGGGCATTAGCGCCTCACCGATGTAAACAAGGAAAGAAATCATTTGTTCATTCAAGCATGGTCATTTGATAACAACAGCTGTAATTGGTATTACAACAAGAGACCCCATCCTTTGAAAGCATGCGAAAAAGTTGTAAAGTTAAAACTAAGGATGAAAATTGGCACTCAGGAAGTTCAGGCGAACTAATTAGGGTTTCGAATTTCAAGAAAAACGGGGTTCCATTTGAAACCTAGGAAACAAACCGGAGAATAATACACCCATGACAGTAGAAATATGAGTGAGACTAACCTTGTTCAACAGGAATACCGCATAAGCTGCTCGTGTTGTATCTTGACCATCTAGAAAGAGGGGGAATTCAACAGGCTTCACAGTGGATTGAGATGTTGACTTTGAAGACTCCACTGATGATGATATGGGCTCTATCGAAGGTGCAGGATCAATTATATAAGAATGTGAACCACCCAAGCGCACAGGATAACGGATGGGAACTTTTAAGTAAGAGGATACAAGTGACACAGCCTGCATAAAACCCAAAACAATAAAGAAGCTTTCTGAATGACAGTCTAATCAACAAAAATTAAGCGATTAAATTCACAGTAAATAACTAAAAACATGGCACAGTCAAAGTAATGCCTTCATTAGGCCATGGCGCAGTAGAAGTAACTCTCACTGGCATATCTAGTACAAAATGTTTTCAGGATATCTTTCATGTATCAATTCTAACATGATTCGGTAAGATTAATGTCAGATACAGACAAAGCAAATTTTAAACATGTCGCAGAAAATGAAAATATCAAGGACAAATGCCATGTCAGTAAGTTGAGCAGAGAGATAGAACACACATGAGCAACATAACCTAGGGCTGTTGCAGACCTCTGCACCTCCTTCTTATTGGAGAAAAAACTCATCTTTGTGAAAGGAAGCACAGTCAAATGCAGACCTAAAATCGTCAAGGATCCTGGGTTAACAAGTTTAGATCCAGCATTGTTCTCTGAGAAAAGCACAGAAAAGGTAACTAGTTGAGATACAACTAATGGTCATCTCCACAACTAAGACTTGCATTAAACAACCAAACTAGGAAACAGTTACTGTCATCAATACATATTCAAAAGCTACATTTGTGTTGTTCTTTTCCATCTTTTGGTGTAACTATCTTGAATTAGCGGCAAGAAATCAGTTCAGGGTCCTTATCAGAAGGCACTTGTACTGAAGATTGTAATCAGAGCCATGCAGATCTTGCATGATCACATACTAAGAACTTGCAGAATAATCTTTTACATCAGCTAATTGGATTGACAGCCTTTCAGCACCAAACTTAAATCACAAAAAGTCATTGATTTAAGAACTTACAAATGACATTTAAGAACAGCTAAATTGGCAAATGCATAGAGTGATAGAGGGCCAAGCCAAGTCAGCAATGAATTTCCAAGCCAATGATGCCTCATCCATTTTGCCTACAAACTCAGTATATCTTCCATTTCTTCCAAGCTATACCACTTTAGGTAAAAGTTAAGTAGACATTCCTCATCTCATTACCTGATTTACTAGTGCTAGGCAGTGATTCAAGTTCTTGATCCTGTGAAGGACCTCGTGACATCTTCACAGAATAAAGCAATGACACCTGTGATATCATAAACTGTTGCCTCAACCTGAGCATCTTCTGCAAGTTTCTGAGGCGAAGAAATCCACTTTCTCCAGCAAGTGACCTATTTGATTCCTGTAGCAAGCGGTATGACTTATTTCTTGTATACAAGTCATCGTATATACTTGAAACTGACAACACGAAGCTTAGGATGAATCATGAAAAATGAGAAAGAAGCATCTTCATGTTGATTTACGGAGCTATCATATGTACAGAAGCATCTTCATATTGACATAAGAAGTAGTGCCCCGAAAAAGATTACTCTAAAATGAGCTAGCATCAATAAGTGTGAGTCAAACTCCGGACTAGGAAGATTTGGTGAAAGGAAAAGAGAGGTATGGATCGCCAAAGCATATATATTATTTCACCAGGAACAATTAGTCTTCTTCCGCAGATGACCTAAAACCATTTTCAACTCCAGAGATATAACTCAATTTGCTTCTGACGAACTGTGCCAACATTTCCTAAAGAAGAGTAACTTGTTTCTGTACTTAACTGAAAGAAAGGATATATCTTCTAGCCATCTCATGATGATACAGTTATGTAATCAGATTAAGTACCGAAGTTATGTGGACAAGATCTAGTTGCAGTCACCATCATGGTAATCCATATGGATGAACCTTATGGAGCATTATGGAAAGAACAGAAAAGGAGAAGAAATAAATTTAATCTTATGCAAGACCTCATATTTCGGATAGAGAAGCAGAGTAGGTCCTACAAATGGAAACTTAGTAATTCCAACAGTTGGGCTTTTCAACGTATCATATGAACATTTATTTTCATCAGTTTCGTTCAAGTAGATGTTAGCAACCACCTTTCAGCATGCTTTGTAGTTACAAATTGAAGAACTTACAGTATATCTATAGGTTTTGTAGCACTGGACGTGATAATAACAGTTGCTCCTGCCTAGGACTAGCCAACTCAAGTCTTATCATCAATCTTCACAACTACCGATCGAACAAACTGTAACTATGACAGTCTAGTAAGTTACTATTAGCCGAACTAAGTTGGTTTCAGGACACACTGGGACTCTCAGAGAATTACAAGAGCCACATTATATCGATACAAGATGTTTCTCAACTGATTTTTTCTGAAAAACACAGCAGCAAGGCAGCAATGGAAAGAGCTTTCAAATCCACTTAAGGCATCTGATTAAGTATTGCTCACAAATTACCTCCAGTTTCTTGTTAGCCACAGAAAGAGCAGTTCCTGCAACCAAAAGTGATCTAACTTCTGCACCAAGCCTTTCTTCTTCCTCCTTAGCTTTCTCACCTGCTCCCTCCAAGCGGTCAGATAAAATTTCCATCATCTTTTTCCTAGCGTCAACCCTCTCCCTTATCTCTTCAAGCACACTCAATCGATCTAATGACTCAGCTTCAACCTGCCGACCATTTCACCGCCCGCTAATCCGCGGGCTAATCAATTAAGGCCCAAGAAATGGCACGGTGGTAACATAACAGATGGTAATTCTATACCAGATTTGCTGAGAACTTAGGTAGCACTAAATGTATCCTCTCAAGATAATCAAGCAACGAACCTGAAACCTCAACTATGTCTCAGCAAACTGCATAGGACTAAATACTTCAAGATTAAGAACTATCTATCGCAAGGTCCTACCTGATTGAGTGAATGAAGCTTCCCTTCCAGAGCTTCCTTCTTCTCTCTAGCTTCCCTAAGAGCAGAGGAAAGGCTCCACAATCGCGCAACTTCCTGCTCGTAATCCTCCCATTCGATCAATTTCACACTCACCAATTCGCTGCAGCTTTTCTTCTTCTTCTCCTTCGTCGTTGTTGGCTCTGAAGAGAGGCTGTGGCGGCGTTCCATCAATAACTCGAAGAAAATACGTGATTCTCGCGTTCAAGAAGAGGTCATGGTCTGACCTCACCATAGCGAGCGATCTTCAACAATCCGAGATCATCCCGAGCTAGCTTCTCCGCAACAAATTCCCGAGCTAGGGTTTGAGGAAGCCCTGGATTTTTTTCTCTCGTTACGATTCGAAACGGTTTCTCGAGAATCAAACAGAGAATAGGAAAGTGAAAATGTGAAATGGATGGCCTCTTCTTCTCTTTTCTGTGTCAGAATCTTTAGACTTCAGATCGAGGGAGAAAAAATGGCGAGATGGTTTGCTCTGTGCAAACTGAGCGAAATCGTTGCCTGCAGTCAGATAGATCCAAACGAAAGGCCCACACCTCAGTGGCCGGTTTATAGTTGGACCGAAAATAGTGGGCTTAGCTTACTGGGCCCAATAACAAATTTAATTCCCTTTTCGATTTTATCACCAACCCGTTTCCTCTCCGACAAGTAAAGAGTGATGATGGAACTTATAAAAACAACGATCCGAATTCAGCCGACCATAGAACCCGAATTCTCTATCCTCCGCCCGGAGTCGGCCGCGTTTGTTCGTCGCCGGCAAAGTTTAGAAGTCCCCGGGAGCTGCTGCTCCTGGTGATTGGCGGATCGATCAATGGCGGGAGTTTCCTTGAAGTGCGGGGATTGCGGCGCCCTGTTGAAGTCCGTAGAGGAGGCTCAGGAGCACGCCGAGCTGACCTCGCACTCCAATTTCTCCGAGTCGACGGAGGCCGTTCTTAACCTCGTCTGCTCTGCTTGTGGAAAGCCCTGCCGATCGAAAACAGTAGGGTTTCAATTGATTTGCCTGTGTCAAGTTTTTGTATCTTGATTCGAGTTTGCATCGCCTCTGAAGATTTGGGTTTTAATAAGGAGTCCAGTTACGGTTGCAAATTTGAATTGGGAAATTTTTGGGCGAGATTGAAACGTATAGTACTGGTTAAAAAGGATCCGTGGGTTAATCTCAACATCTCGAAACCGAACTCCAGTTCTTAGAATGTAGTAGATATTCTGGATAGGAAAATTTTAAGCTTTTATGTCAAAAGGTTTAGTCTGTCTTGGTTTGTATTAGCGTTAAGTTTTTCAATAAATGAATTTTAATACATTGAACTTGCATTGACTTGTAAACCTTACTAGACTTGGGTTTATCTTCTAGCAGATCTTTGTGCAAATGGAATGGAATTCTCTTGTGGTATGATTATTAAGCTGATCCTGTTTCTTCTTTTACCCCTTGAAGGAAACTGATTTGCACACAAAGAGGACTGGTCATACAGAGTTTGTGGACAAAACTGAGGAGGCTACAAAGCCTATAAATTTAGAAGCACCAAAGGTTCCAATGGATGTGGATGAGCCTACCAGCAGTAGCGGACAACCTGAAGGTAGGGCTGTTAGTATTTCCGTTTTTTTCTCCCCATTCATTCTTCATGCTTGTGGTACAGATATGTGGTAGGGGCCATATTGTGAGAGGCATTTGCAAGTTCAATCAAGTGTTTTGGTAAATCAATGTTTGCACTCATGCGGGTCCTTGGTTCTGGTCTTTGGTCTGCTTGGCTTTAGCTTCTCTTTTTTTGGTCACTGAACTAGTCAACAACCAGTAAAGACCTATTTATTAACACATTACAGACTTGTTATGTTCGCATGAGAGTGAAATTCCTTTAGACCAGCATCTTCTAATCATATTTCCATTCAACTTTGTTATGAAGAAATGGTTGCTCCAGAAGTTGATGCAAAGCTTCTTGAAGAACTGGAAGGAATGGGTTTCCCAAAGGCACGGGCAACCAGAGCACTTCATTTTTCAGGTGAGGACATTGCAAACCATATATCCATTTCGTGCATTTTGTTATGATGTTGAATGGGAATAATTGTACTATAGTTCTTGCTACACTTCTGTAACTTCTTTTATGTATTCTGTTAAATGAAATATGTATATTGAAGACTGCTGCTGGAACATGGCAATTAGTAGACTGTTGCTTCCAAATCATGAAATACAGGTTGTCTATAGACTGTGAGAAAAAAGGTTCGGACATCTACTTGGATTGCTGTATTCGACTATTGGGGATGATAAATCTTCGGTTTGCTCTTGGCACACTTGATTGTTCTTTCTTGGGTCCTATTGAGAAGGACAAATGATTATCTAGCTTTTCAGCAATTCTATTTTCCTTCAAAAGCATTGATACCTTAATGAAATTCAATATGAAAGCTTCTGCGGTTACTAAATTGTTATGATGGCTTTGTCTTCAGGTAATACCAGTCTTGAAGCTGCTGTGAATTGGGTAGTTGAACATGAGAAAGACCCGGATGTAGATGAAATGCCCCTGGTAGGAAATTGTTAGTCTTTTTCTCATAATTAAATATGACTTACGTCCATTATTGTTTCATCTCTGCCCTTCTCTTCTTATTGCTCTCTCGTTGTCAGAGCTTCGTGTCATTGTACAGGCAAGAAGTCCTATTCTCATTGAATAATCTTTCCCCCCTTGTCCTCAGGTACCAGCCAACACCAAACTTGAGGCTCCAAAGCCTGCTCTTACACCAGAAGAAGTGAAACAAAAAGCAGCTGAACTGAGGTAGGATTTTGTGAGCCTGAAATCAGGACCTTTGTGGCAGTATCTTTTCCAGTTCAGTCCTTTGTTTCTGTGGTCATTCTCCTTTTGGATTGAATCACTTCGCATGGCTTATATATGGTTTCTTCTCCACAATCTTAAGGGAGCGTGCCCGTAAGAAGAAAGAGGAGGAAGAGAGGAGAATGGAAAGAGAAAGAGAGAAGGTATGGCTGGACCTTACTAAGAATCGTCTCTTATCTGTATAAATTTCTGATTTCAGCATTTATGTTTATTTTTGTGCATATCCATCGGTTGAGCTATGTAGCTAGCAAGCACTATTTGTTTCATGAATGCTTCCTTTTTGCTTTGTCACAACGACTTTGTTATATTACCTGTGCTCAACTCTTATAATACACATTGTTTCCTGCTTTCAACATTCCTTTGAAATTCGTGCATGCAATCACAAACTGCTGCATGGGGAATGTGACACTTGTAAAGTAGTTATGGCTTTTCTTTTTCTTCTTTTCTGAGGGCATCATATGCACAGGTGAATTTGCTTGCACTCCCATGAAGTCATAAATTACAAGATAATATCTGTCATTTTGGTTTCTTTCCTCTTTCCTTAATTTGCTACAATATTTCTTCAACTACATGGTCCACAGTTGTGCTCCTAGAAGTTGAAGTATCATCGAATTTTATATCAGAATCTGCTGGGGATGCATTGTGTTTGAGCCAATATTTCAACATAATTTATTTACTATCCTATCTATACCTGATGGACATGAATCTGTCTTTCTTAGGAAAGGATCCGTGTTGGCAAGGAGCTCCTGGAGGCCAAACGAATTGAAGAAGATAATGAAAGAAAACGGTAGCTTCTTGCATTTTGTTTCCTGTTCATTCATTGTCCTCTTAGTGTAGTACCTAGTACTGCTTCTTTCCCTATCCATCTTAATATAAGCAGCACATTTCCCTCTTTTCCAGTATAATGGCCCTACGGAAGGCTGAGAAAGAAGAAGAGAGGCGAGCCAGGGAAAAGATTCGTCAGAAGCTGGAGGAAGACAAGGTTACTGCTGCTTTTTTGAATCATTCCCTTTGCTTGACTGCTTTTTATTTTATACTTATTGTCATCTTGGTTGGTAAGATAACCACCTAGACTGTGTGCAACTTCCTTCTTACTTTGTCATGTTCATTTTTTTTTTCCTTACAAAGGCGGAAAGAAGAAGGAAGCTTGGGTTGCCCCCAGAAGATCCTGCTACTTCAAAACCTGCAGCACCTGCGCCTGTTGAGGAAAAAAAGGTACAAGGAATGCCTCTTTTTTTTTTTTTTTTTTTTTGGGGTACTTGGTAGATTTTTTGTTTTCTTCTATATTATGACTTCATAAATGTTTGCAGAGCTCATTGCCTATCAGGCCAGCCACAAAAGCAGAACAAATGAGGGAATGTCTGAGATCTCTTAAGCAAGCTCATAAGGTAAAATTACTTCATGATACCCATGTTTTCTCTCTTTACTCTGCCTACTTATCATGATAATTTCATCGATTAAAGCTATAGGTCTCCTGCAGATTTTTGTATTTCTTCGAATTTTTAATGACCAGTTGTATGTCTCTGCTAGGCTAATGGTTTCTTTTCTATTTTCATCAACTTTCGGGAGTTGACTATAGTTCTGTTACAGTTTGATGATCATTATCTCTGAAAGTTTTGCATCTGCATCGAAGGTACTGATCGATGTAATATGTGGTCTCTAACTTCACTTGTTGGTTTCTGTAGGATGACGATGCTAAAGTGAAGAGAGCTTTCCAAACTCTATTAACTTACATAGGAAATGTAGCCAAAACCCCAAGTGAGGAGAAGTTCAGAAAAATTAGACTCAGTAACCAAACTTTCCAGGTATGGGATGTCGTCTTATTTCATATGTTAATTGCAGATGTCGATAACATTCCTTATTCCATCCTTATTCCGGATGTCAAATTGAAACTTTTCTATTGATCAATGAATCAACCGGAACAGTGGGGGAATAGTTATCTATCAAGCCGACTTTCTGCGCTTTCGAATTCTAATCGCTGCTTGCTTGAGTGGCCTAAGTGCTGATCAATCGTTCATTGCATCACAACAGGATAGAGTTGGCGCCCTGGAAGGGGGGATCCGGTTCTTGGAGCTGTGCGGGTTTGAGAAAATCGAAGCGGGTGAGTTCCTTTTCCTGGCCCGGGAGAAGGTAGAGATGTCCGTGCTGAACTCAGCGGGGTCAGAGTTGAACTCCGCCATAAACAACCCCTTCTTTGGAGTTCTTTAGAATGTAGTCTGTTTTGCTTGAGCAAGAAATCAGCTCAAGATTGTTGCTCCTTGTCCCATATGCTTATTTCTGTTGGATGAAAATGTTATCAGCAGCCATCCTTTTGAGCTTTGAGTTGCACCAAATTTGCTTCTTTGCTGGATCATTTTGGAACATAAAACATAGTTCCTCCAAAACTCAATGGTTGTGAATCGTTTGCATTTGATTCAATATCTAACAAAATAGAAATTTATATAACCTGGGGTGTATGATTAGAGCATTTTTGTGTCTGATTAGAGAAATTGTTGAGTATGTTTTTTATGCTTATGGGCATGGTGTAACTTGTGTTCAACAGGAGGTTACTAAACTTTTTTTGGGAGTGAAGACTGAAGAGATTACTAAACTGTATATAGTAGCCAGAAAGTTGAAGCCGTTTGATTGAAAAAGTAGTAGAGATCGTTTGGATTTTGTACGAGGATGTTTGATGAGGGATTTCATCCGAATCTTTTGTTTATCGGTTTTTTTCAATTCCTTCGTTTGGGCCGAAAGTTGAAGCCGTTTGATCCGAATCTTTTCATTCCTAATTTTTTTCCACGGTTTGTCTATCGAGTTTAGGGTTCGCCGTTCGGGTTTCTCATTAAGGGAAATGTGAGGAGGTCGGGAGGAGGCGATGTTGAGTTGAGAGAGAGGTCTGTGATTTGCGAATTGTGATTTGATGAGGGAGGAGGAAGACGCTGTTGGGGGTTGGAGTGTGGCGAGGTAATTACTTGTTGTGCACCGTTGAGTAATCGGTTATTAATCGATAACCGATCGGTTAGGCTACTGCCACTAATCTTCCAACCAACACTGATAATCGATATATGTCTGACGACTATCAATTATTTGGCCAATCGCTAATCACAGTGAAAAAGTTGGCCAATCGACTAACGAATAACCCTTTAGGTCTAAAATAGGATGCATAACCCTTAATTGTATACTTACATAACCAGATATGAACTCGTGGTTTTAAATAAGTCCAGATCAAAAGGTGAGATTAAAGAGTTTTTTATTTTATTTTTCACTCGATTTTTTTTTGTTTAAAAATCTATGCATAGACTAACCCTCCTAATGCGCTACTAAGGTTGTCAACCCGCAGGTCTACCAACTTGTTGACCTTGACCTGGTGAAGAAAACGTGTCACACAAAATTGATTTTACCTTTGGTTTGTGAAATGGCCTCTTTTCCGATTTTTATCTTCGCCTAACCCTATGTTGGGAATTCTAATTTGAAATCTTGAATATTGATTTTATATAAGTATGTGTATGAATTTTCACCATATATTGGATCTAAATACTACATGTTATTTTGATGAAATGTTATACGTTATTACTCATATTTTAGATGAAATTTGGTATAATTTATAAATGTATGAACGATATAATAATTTTTTCATGTTCCGAATTAAATCAGACTGAAGTGGTCAGCCCATTAATACTCAACCAAGGTTGTCGACTCGCGGGTTGACCCACTTTGACTCTGACCCAGTGAGAAAAACGGGTCGCACGCACCCGCCGGGTCGACCGGCACAAGGTACCGGGTTGGAGGTCAAATTGTGTCATTTTTTTCTTTGTTCTGCGAAATGCGCCTATTTTCCGATTTTTCTTTTCGCCTAACTCAATCTTTGGAATCCTAAGTTGAACATTTGAATATTAATGTTATATAAGTGTGTGTGAATTTTCACTATATGTTGAATCTAAGTACGAAATGTTATTTTGGTGTAATATTATATGTTATAACTTATAGGTTAGATGAGATTTGATATAATTTATCAGGATAAGTACAATATAATGACGCTTTCCATATTTTCGGGCTAAACCGGGTTAAAACGGGTGACCCATTAACTCTTGACCCACTAGCTCAACCGGGTCCGGATCAACCCGCGGGTTGACAACCTTGTACTCAACTCACTTGTCGACCGTGCCAACAGGCTAACCCAAAGGATACAGAGCATGGTTGTCACGCCGGCCGGCGTGCCACCGGTTGTACCGGGTTCAACCGGTACCGGTCATAAAACCGGCGTGACACCACCAGTATGACCGGCATGATCGATATACGAATCTCTAAGTAAAATGACCTTATTTTAGAAAATTTAATTGATAAAAATTATGTTATTATTTATTTTATGAGTATAAAAGTTAAATATTGATGTTATTTGTTGGATTCAAATATAAATGTTTAGGTATTGACGTTAAATGTCATGTTTAAATATGAGTATTTATAATTTTATTTATAATATTGACCGGCATGAACCGGCACAAACCGATATGTGCCACCGGTTAAACCATTTCACTTGCTAAACTGGCACACTGGCATAAACCGGTTTGACAACCTTGATACAGAGGTATCGGGCCGACGGGCTAAACGGGGTGGGAAGCACGTAAACAGGAAACTTGTCGCGCTATGGGCCTGCCTTAAGATCCATTAAATGACCGCCTTGTCACTTTACTCCCTCCTTTTCGACTGACGGCATCTCCCTTCCGCTGAACAGAAGAAGACGAAGAAGAAGCAGCAGCAGAAGCAGAACCAAACTGAAAAAAAAAAATCCAGCACTTCCACGAGTCAGCTGAGCCATCAGCTTCCTCCTCGGCCCATCCAACGCTTCGCCCCGCCTGACAAGACTCGCCGCCTTTTGCGATGGTGAAGAAGAACGTGCCGGATTGGCTTAATAGCTCTCTCTGGACCACTGCACCTTCCTCTCCTTCCGCTTCTTCCTCCGACGATCCCTCCAAGCCTCACTCTTCCTCCTCCAAGCCGGAAATTTCCCCCAGCAAGACGAAGAGTGAGCCTAATTTCGAGCCTCCGATTCCCGTCCGGCCTCCGACGGTTACGAGAGAGGAACAACCGCCGCCACCGCCTCCTTCCCTGTCACAGAAACCGGAGATCAAAGATAAGAATTCTCGGACTAGTATTACCAGTAATGCTAATAGCAGTAGCAGTAGCAGCATTGACAAGGATGAAGATCGCGATGGCGAGAATGGCGCCTCTCCTGCTGCTGGCCCTTCCGCGGAGGATATTACGAAGCAGGCTCAGTTGTTGACCGAGGTGAGTGAGAGATTGGGAGATTATTGAATTGCTTGCTTGTTCTTGGTTATGTGGTTGATTGAACTGTGTGAATCATGTGTGAAATGCAGTTGTCGAAGAAGGTAGTAAATGTGAAAGAATTGAGGAAGATTGCTTCGCAGGGCTTGCCTGATGGCGCTGGCATCCGTTCTACAGTTTGGAAGGTAATCATTGGCTGCTGCACTGTTTAGGGTTTGGACGATTTGTTTTCTAAGAAATGTGGATGATGAATGGGAAAATGAAGTTTGGTTTGATGATAACTGATGCGCCCTTACTCTGAGAAACTAGGAGAAACAGACTATTATTGTTCTCGATTTTGAAGTAGGGTCTTCACTGTGTTGTATTGTTTTATATGTGAGATGTGAATCTAGAAGTTGGATGAATTCCCAAGTCCAGTAGAGTTTATTGATCCATAGAAAGAAACCATCTTTTTTGCAGCTTTTGTTGGGATATTTGCCTCCCGAGCGTTCGCAGTGGTCATCTGAATTGGCTAAGAAGAGGTCTCAATACAAAATTTTCAAAGACGAGCTTCTCATGAATCCTGTAAGTTCTGCTATGATGGTTGCCTTAAATCATGTGGATTTAGTACTCAAGATTCGTAAAAGCTGCTTGCCTGTCGATCCTTTCTTTTCTCGGGTTCTTTTGTACTAACACTGTCAAAATAGAGGGACTTTTTGAAGTTCAAGAGCTTCATGCGACCTACAAATGATTAATAGAAATTTAAGTAATGAGTATTATATGATTAAGGTGAACAACAGAACAAACTAATTCTGTACTGTCAGTTGTAGTATGCCCTGAAATTGTGCCCGATGAGATTTATGCTGCACTTTAACATATAATAACGTCATACTGCACTATAGTATGTAATAAGGTCATGCTGCATTAGTCTTCATATTTAAGCCAAATACATATTCGCATTGCTGAACTTCTTTGTGCCTAGTTAGTCAGAAATCACAAGGAAGTTGGAGAAGTCTACCCTTGATGACGAGCCAAAGTCCGAAAGTCGTTGTGTGCTATCAAGATCTGAGATAACTCATGATGAACATCCTTTGAGCCTTGGGAAAACCAGTGTTTGGAATCAGTTCTTCCAGGTACAAGGATGCTTGGTCATTGTTGCTGTTTGAATTAGTAAAGATGGATCTTTTTGGACATGAGGCGACTTTAGTGTGGCTTCGGTCTTTTATATTCTCTTCAAATTTAAATTTTGTAGGACTCTGAGATTATAGAGCAGATTGACCGAGATGTGAAACGTACTCATCCTGATTTGCACTTCTTCTGTGGAGATTCATCTTTCGCAAATTCTAATCAGGTCCAGAGCTGCATTCTTGGTGGACAATTATTTTATTTGATAGTGTAGTGTGTCTGACATGTCATGTTCCCTTTTCTTTCTTTCTTTCAGGAAGCTTTGAAAAGCATATTAGTTGTGTTTGCCAAACTAAATCCTGGCATCAGATATGTTCAGGGGATGAATGAGATTTTGGCACCTTTATACTATGTATTCAAAAGTGATCCTGATGAGGACATGGCCGTAAGTAAATTGTTATATTTTCCAGCTTTTCACTCTGGATTGTTCTTAAGTTGGCGTTGTATTGTATGGTCTTCCTCATCTTTTGCATGGTTGGTTTATTACTCCAAAAGGATTTGTTATTAAAAGTTTCAAAAGATTTGAAGTTGTTGATGCCTTTAATCTACAGCCTAGAGTAGTTTACAATGTCGCCAGTGATCCATGGCAGAGCAACATCCTAGAACAAGCTCCTCTGATTTACAAAGCAATGGACTGATTGTTCTGCTGGCTGACTTTGTGCAGGCTTTTGCTGAAGCAGACACATTCTTTTCTTTCGTTGAGTTATTAAGTGGATTCCGTGACAATTTCTGCCAGCAACTGGACAATAGTGTTGTGGGAATCCGTTCAACAATTACAAAGCTATCCCAGCTTTTGAAAGAACACGATGAAGAATTATGGCGTCACCTCGAGATCACAGCCAAGGTAAGAGATGGTTCAAGTGTAGGTTTAGATTTGTGCATAACATGGGGAGGTTATCAGTTTCTTCATATAAGAGGATTCAGATTCGAGCAATAATGACACTTGTATGATGCAGTTTAACCAGTCATTTAAAATGTGTTATCGGCTGAGATACCTAATCATATCGACACTGGCTGTTTTTTCTCTGAGCATAGAGCTTCTTGTTGTTGGCGATTGAACAGGTGAACCCGCAGTTTTATGCATTTCGGTGGATCACCCTCCTGTTGACACAGGAATTCAACTTTGCGGACAGTCTTCATATCTGGGACACCCTTCTAAGTGATCCCGAAGGCCCTCAGGTAAAACTTTAACTTCCACCGTTCTCTCTACACTGTCATTGTCATAACACCTATTACTCTCTTTCCTTTATCCCCTTGGGTATCTGAATCCAAACATCCCAAAAACTAACAAGCACTGTGGCGGGAGATTTGCAGGAGACTCTACTTCGGATATGCTGTGCAATGCTAATTCTGATCAGAAGGCGGCTCCTAGCTGGGGATTTCACCACCATTCTCAAGCTTCTGCAAAACTACCCGCCCACAAACATCAGACATTTGCTTTATGTTGCAAACAAATTGCGTCATGTACCCACTTGCTAATTGCCCCCAGTATGTTGTCAATCAGCTTCGCTTTCGTTCGTGTTTTGCTTCCTCTCCTTGGTGGGGTCTTGATGTAAATTATCGACTAACCGACACTCTGTGTGTTAGGGAGATTTTAGATCCTTGTTAACATCCCCTGTTGCTTCTTTCGTTGGTCACTGAAATGTTGTGTATTCATCTTTTCATTTGTACCTAAACGCCTCTAGATGTTTATTTTGTGTGATGGAATAGCTTTGTGCTGGCGGTGTCAATTTCGCATTGTGTTTCCATTCACAATAGATGGAGCAGAGGGATCGATTTTTTCCGGCATATCGGATACAAGTTACAAGCACTAGCAAGATTCTTCATATGAGAATGAATCTGGAAAGAATGGTATTCACTATTATATCCCATTAACAAACAAATCTATCAAACGCTTCTGTAGATAGTTCACTACTATTTCCCATCTAACTATCAACCAGTAGGGTGGTTGGTGACCTTTGGAGGATGTTTTAGCCTCGAGCTGCCGGACCAGTGTTACGACGAAATCAGAGACGTGAAACTGACTTCCTGAAAATAATCAGAAGGGCAGACTTGACAACTTCGAAGTGGTAACTGCGACGCCTGTACAGCGTAGGAAAGACTACAACCTGAGAGCAATATGATACCTGAGACAAAAATATAGTATGATAAGGTTTGGGATTGTGCTCCCAAATTGATGAGTAGCAGTCATTCTAAGAGAGCTGCAGTTAACAAGCTAGCTAGAGGCTATCACACAATATTCTTCATCGAACCATGGAAGAAGTTCGATTCCCCCGCTGCTGCTGATGAGGATCCAAGTTGCCTGTCATCTGGCTTTCCAACTGGTTATGAAGAACTTGCAGAACATTGTCAGGGGGGCATCTATGAGCAGGATTTCTTGCTTCTGTTTGGCAGAAACACTCTGGCCAAGAGTTGGTATAAAATGACTCGTTTCTGACCCGCTCACGAGGACTGCCAAAGCTGGTATTCATCATCACACGCCTAACGGCTTCTTCAAAACCGGCTTTTCTCCCTTGCGCCTGAGCTATGAAGGCTGGGGCAAGTCCCTTCCTGTCAGGTCTAATTGTTGTTCTGAAGCCATAGTAAAGGCGATGGCCCAGGAGATTGTTGGCAAAGTTACTCGGTCCATCGTATGTTGGCATGAAAATGTCTGCCAGAAGACAAACCATGTAATCCACAGCGGAACCCAACAATCCCTGGCTTTTTGTAGATAGGTCCTCCGAGGAATCGACAGAACTGTGATTTTCTAGACGCGGAAAAAGAGCCCTGAAAGGTTTCATATATAGTTCCCCACCAAAAAGTTCACCAGCTGCTAAAAATATTCGAGTTGAATTATCAAAACCCATAGCTCGTAGAATAAGTCCAACCTGCAGCATGAAGTGATCTTAGTTGCTATCTCGGCACCAGCAACATAAACACGACAAAGCTATAGTCAGTCATCTAGATATATGCTCTGACAGAATAGGTTACCTTTCTAAGCTCAACAAACTCAATCGCAACAGGAGAAGAAACTAGGACAGCCATGATGAACAGGAGCTCACCTCTTCTGGAGTTAGTGGGCATTTTCCCATGAGTCTCCTCTTGTCAGGGTTTAGGTCCTTCTTGGCAAAATTTCCATCCCGATACTTCTCCAATATTGCTTTTTCTTCACGACTAAATATGTCAAAACACCTGTAAGTAGACCACAACGAAAAATCACGACGGTACCTTGCCACTAAATACAAGTCCCGAGCATAACATAACGAGCTGAGAATGAAGAAAAATTCCTGAAGTTCATAGTGATGAACATAAAGGCTTCCCCAAAAATACCATTGAAGTGGTATCTAACAGGGACTGAAATTAAACAACAGCATACGGTTCACTGGATTTCTTCTTTACCAAAAATTCTTTCATTCGTTATTGCCGCTTTCAACTACCCAAATATGAGGCTCTACTAAATTTTCATGCAATCCTAGAGGCTGCTAATAAGCCCAAAGCTTCGAAGCATTTTCCAACTAGCGGAAAGATGAGACTTAATGTGATATTCCTCTGCATCTCAATTATTCGTTTGCTCATTGAGCATAAGTACCAACTGGGTAAAATATTTAAAAGGACACCAATTGGGAGCATACCCTGCAAATGAAAGCATATCCATCTCGAAACGAAGGTGAATAGCCATGAAGTGACCTTCTGTACGTAGCTTCTCAACTATTGATTCACTTAGCTTCATGATATGTGGTTTAAATCTTAAAGCATGATAGTTAACTCTGCATCTCAGACGTTGGTACTCTGGGTTATCAATTTCCTCAGCCAAACGGTGTGAAAAGGGAGTTAGATATATGGCTCCATGTTGCTTCATTGTCGCGAGGGCCTCTGTTGTGTACCAATCAACACCTGCATTTCTATCGGGCCGCATCTGATCAGGAAACAATGAATTTTGCAGCTAATGAGAAGAGGAAACTTCTGGAATTTTTACGAATCTGGTGGGCACACTAAATTTTGCCGATGAAGAGAAAAGATATGGTATGGCTCACCTGAACAGCCTTCATCTTCTTTGTTTTGCCATTTTTACGAATTTCTGGAATGGTTTCAACAATTCGTACATCGTACCTCAATGAATGAATAAAATGCTCCACGTCATAAATGCCATGGAATCCACTACACACAGCAGGAAAAACAAGTCTCAATACATAACTTGACAAATTTGAAGAATTGAAGAAGACAGAGAGCAAGAAGAGCCAGAACATCAATGCTAATAGGGGCATGGCGAAAGGTAACTCCCAGATTTTGCAAAACTTGATTTATAAGCGCCAGAATGCAGTGCCCTTTTCATTCATACCGGTAATTTTCGGAAAGCAGCTGATACAAAAACTTTGATGCAGTAGAAGAGGGATACAGGAAAACAGATATACCTGTCATCATGCCAAAATGAGTTTGCGTCCAACTCAGGGAGCACAAGTGTAGCATTCATAATTCTAGCAGCAAGAACGGCATTGCAGATCTGTAACATTCAGAACAACATAAAAAAACTAATGAATGACCATAAACAAATATTGACAATCCTACATTGCTTCACAAAGAGAGCTTCAAAGACAAAATCCACGAACCAGGTTTAAAAGAGGACAAAGCAAAAGATGAAAGATTTGTTTACAGACCGCACTTCGCTGCTGATTCAGACCACCATTACATCGAACACGCAGATATCCATTACTCTCTTTCGGAGGAGCTGCCAGATATCAATGGTAAGACAAGAAAAGAAAGTTAATTGCAACCACGGTTTTGCTAATCCTTCCCCACATACTCAATGCTAATTAGAGAGAAATGAAGCACAAGTGCGTACGAGGCCAGTGAGATCTTGGAGCTGATGACGGCCTCCATCCACCCGAATCAGCATTTTCCCATAGCTGTTCTACATCAATCTGCACACAACAATTACATCCTCGAACATCAAACCGAAGAACATTCACATTGAAATCAATGACAATAGCGACAAAAGCAAACGGACCTCTGAGGGGACAGTAAATCCATTGCTTCTGGTAAGTGTAGTGGAAAACAGAAAGGAAAGAGTGCAAATCAAGAGTACTACAACGGCAATTGACAACTTCGCCACCGATCCTCTCAGAGCTCCGGCTCCCTGCCTGAGCGACCTGCTGTGGAGGTGGTGCCTACTCGCCCATGCACATAAAACAAGATAAAATTGGACCAACGGCGCCGATCAGAAGACATGCGAAAGCCGAACGAAGCATACAAAACGGAGAAAATAGTGCACTAGCTCCATGAGCTTCCGTTTGTCTTTCTCACTCGAATTCAAAGGAAAACGACGGAAGCTTTACCTCATTGTTCGGAAGACGAAGCTGAGCATGAGAACTTGCCGACGACGATGGAGGAGGAAAACTGGAACTTCCCGTCAAAGTTGTCTGAGACTGGTGACGGAGAATGGAAGTGAAGTGACCGAGTGAGGAGAGACCAGAGAGAGACAGAGTTTAGGTTTAGCTCTCTCGTTTCATTTTCTGTTTTGGCGTTGAATTAGCGACGGGAGTTTGGTTTTCGGGACTGCGAACGGCGGTGGCGCGTTCAGAATTTATTTAAACGCGTAAAGTTTAATATGGTAAGTTTTAATTGATTAGGGAATCAGTAATGATTAATGAAATTTATTTATAGAAATTCTACCTTAATGCTTTTGTAATTGCTATATATAACTACTATCAAATTCTGGCAATTTAAACTTTGAATTGGATTTACCAAAAAAAAAACATTTGAATAGGAAATAAATTATATTCTTTTTAAATAAGCACAAAAAAATAAATTATTCAGAAAGTCTCGTTGAATCGACTCAACATTTGTTGTCGTGTTGAATTCTCTATGATTATGAATCAACTCAACAAGCACACTGAGTACATTATATCTCATCGAGTTTTTGTGACATAAAGCTAACTCCAATTTTATTGTATGTACTCTCTTGGATTAGATGGAATTCCATCACTTCCATTTGTCCACTTGACACCTCGTGCAATTAGATTTCTAGCATAGTTGCACTCAAATAGGTTAAACTTTTCCAGAACCTCTTTAGTGTACTTTTGTTGGGATACGAGAACTCCTTCATTTTGAGTTATTTCCACTCTAAGAGAGAACTTCATGTGTCATAGATATGTCATCTCAAACTCACTTTCCCTTGAGGTCTTGAATTCATTTATCATATAAGAACTGTTGTTGGTGTATATTATGTCATCTGCAAAAAGACTAGCCAACATAATTTTACTTTCAGTTTGATCTTAATGCCATTACTAAAAAAAAGCTTTAATTATGCTACACTAAACTCTTTGATAAATGCCATATAATGCTTTATTCAACTTGTAAGCCTTATTTTCCTCCTCCGCCACCATCAATCCTTATGGTTGTTTAACGTCTTCTAATAGTTTTCCATACAAGAAGACACTCTTAACATAAAGCTGGTAGACAACGAGTCCGTTATGTGCAGTTGGTGCTAAGAGTTTCCTAAATGTATCTCATCTTGCAACAAGAGCAAACACGTTTGTATAATAAATCAAACCTTCTTAAGAGCATCATTTACCTACATGCTTGCCTTGAATTTATCCACTGATACATCTTCCTTGAGTTTTCTCTTGAAAATCCATTTTAAGCCAATCGGGATTTCACATTCAAGTGGTGTAGTGATGATCTGGGTTTTATCCATTTCTACTGTTTTCATATCTTCCTTCATTGTTTCTTCCCATTTGAATTTGATGTCATTCATTGCTTATTCGTAAGTCTACGGGTTATACATATCAAGATGAGCATGTGCTCTTATTGCCATAGGACCCAATTATGAGGTAGCTAGTCTCAGGCTGTCAGTTGGTGACTCAACATCTTCCTCTTGCAATTCAATCGGGCGGATTCTGGTTGATGTGTGGCTTGAGGGGTTGTTGGCTCGGGACTGACATTGTCCTTTTGGACTTGTTACAGTTGTTTTCGATGAGTCTTCTTCAGTCTGTATCATTCTCATACAAATAATCCTCACGTCCTTCCCATATCAACTTGGTAAGAATAGGTTGTACGTGAAAGTTCCACTCCCACCCTTTAGTTTTATCAAACACACCATTGAATCACCACCTTTTTAACATTAGGCTTATGAAACTTGTATGCTTTGGGACTCAACTAAAATACCCATAAAGTGACACATAACACTCTTGTTATCTAGCTTCTTTCTTAGCTAATATGGAACATAACAAATGCAACACAACCAACACTCTCTAGTGAGATTGATGGAAGATGCCTTATCGAAAGTTTATGAGGTGTTTACCCTTGGCTAGCAGTAGTTGTACTTTTATTTAGGATTTGTGTTGCCCAATATATTGCCTCAAGCCAGAACAAAGTATATACTTTCCCATCTTCTAGCATACACCTTACCGTATTCATAAATGTCATGTTCTTTCTCTTGCTAGGGAGTGAGAGCAGCAATTAACTGTCTACTGATCCTTATTTTTCACACAAATCCTTAAATTCATTCAACAAAAACTCCCCACTCCTATCTATTCTCAAATATATTAATTTGTTTTTCTCCTTGCACTTTAAATTTTTTGAAATATTCCAATGTTTCAGACTTTGCAGCCATAAATTACACACACAAGTTCCTACTAAAGTCACTAGTTAAGGCGATAATATATCTTTTTACCTCCATTGTGTGATTGGACCATATAAATCAACATGTAGTAGTTGAAGCCTATGTGTTTCCCTCCAGTTGCTCTTGTTGGAAAATGGCCTTTTGTGTTATTTCCCAATTAGACATGTAAAGCAGACTCCCGTTATGATAGTAACTTAGGTAGATATTGCACTAGGTTACTCTGTTGGGATTGTAGGATAGCTTGTGGGCTCAAAGTCCATACCTTCAATGTCAAAGTTATAGAGAAGACTCATTGACATCTTTGGTGTATAAACATGTAATGATGTTGCTCATGTCTCCTTGAAGAACAAACATCCGATTCTTCTGCATTTTTTATTTGCAAAATAATCATTTTTCTCGAGAAATACCTTACAAGATCACCCTTTGAAATAAATCCAAACCTTTCTCCTGAAATTGACCAACATTAAGCAAGTTAGTGTTCAATTATGGAACATAGTGGTCACATCAAGTTTAGAATGATTTCCATGTCTTACACTTCTTCTGGAACTTGAATCCATGTCTGTGAAAGAGTTATTCGTTCCACACATGTGATTGTTGCAACCTTGAATCCAAGAACCAATAGTCTTCATTCTTCTCCTTTTGCTCTTACATAAAGATCATAAGTGACATATCTTCCTTCATTTATGGGTGTATTGTGATCAGTTGAAAGATAGTTGACGTAGTTTGCTTGTTGATTATTGTGTCATTTTGGACATTAATATATGAAGCGTCTCAATTTATAGCATTTGTAGCACTGGACATCTTCTATATGCCAACATATTCCTTGAAAGCCACGCGTTCATTGTCCTTTACCTCCTTTTCATCCATTTTCATAGCCCACTCTCATAGTTGGATCATCCTCAACACCTTTTTCTTACTATACTTTTGTTCAACATAATAAATGAGCTTTGAAGGGCATCAACCGAGAGCTAAATATCCTTAGATTCTTACAATTGAGCATACCACATAATTGAACTTTTCTGTCAATGTTCTAAGTATGTTTTCCACAATTTGAACATCATTCAGATTCTCACCATTGTTTCTCATAGAGTCAGCCACTACGATAACTCTTCCAAAATAATAAGTTTTTGGTGTCACATTCTTTCAAGCAGCTCAAAATTCTTTCTTAGGGGTTGTACTCGTGCATTCTAACTCGAGAGCTACTTTGGAACTTGGTTTTCAAGGCATCCCACAACTCCTTTCATGTTCTCTTGTTGGTGATGGTCTTAAGAATTGATATGTCAATTGAACTGAAAATATAAAATTTATCTTCCATCAAATCTTTTAGCCTTATGACCTTCAAGCTCTTTGCTTGAACAAGTGATATTTCCCCATTGGTTGTTAGGAACACAAGCTCATTTGTTTCTACATAAGATCCCTTTTGCTCAGTTATCCTTGAGGCTTCACTCACCTCTCAATATAGGATCCTCACTTATCACACTCGTGTTTCCCAATACACAAATCTACAAATTAGACTTGCAAATTTTCTAAAATCACAAAACTACTGGTTTGTACTTTGCAGAGTTCTTATACCACTTTGTGAACTCAACAAATGTGGGCAAACTAACAAAAGTCTTATGCTTGAAACAAAGGAACATTAAATATATTAGTTTATTACTTTTTTCTTCAACTCTAATCGTTCCCTCTAACCCCCTATCTCTTGATTTCTGCTACCATGACTGAACTAACAAGGCTAACAATCATCCACTCTAACTTCAAGCTTCCTACTAACATGAAATATTGATGGACCTTTGACACAAAACATAACTTCAAACTAAAATAGTATGACGTCACACAATTTTGGTTATTGTATTCAAACATAAACTTTTCCGCTTCTTGACTCCAAACATCAGTCAACTTGGGTTAGAGCCTTCCTTCATACTTCTCTTTAGTTGATAGTAGCTCGTCTTGTGGCAAGAATAATTTTTATTTGCATACCATGAAGAGGACAACTTCATATGACCAAAGGTTCAAACATAAGAATTTATGATGCTATCCAATTGCACGGGACCCAAAAAATTATGACAATAATCATAAGCTTACTCACGAGCCTATACAACAATAAAACACTCAAACGCAATAAAGATCACTTAACGAATGAACAATGACAAAAAAGAAAGGAATGTATGAGATTTTAAGAAAACAGACGGTCCAAACTTATATGAATGAGAAGAATGATGTATGTCATACCATGAGTAGGGATAACAATTAGAACGAGCCCATTCAAGTATAATACCACTTCGACTTGGGCAGGAGTGGTGCGTGAATTACTACTTCTGACCTGCCCTGCCCGTTCGTCCCATTATTGACTCAAAATTTTTCATTTTTCTTCAATATCTATTTGTATTTCTCAATTTTTGAAATTTTTCAATCATATTCACCCAAGTAACTTTAAATAGGTGTGATACTAGATCTTGACTAATTTAATTATCACTAATTTCATTAATAAAGTGTTTTCCTTTATTTTCTCATAAAAATATTTATTTATGTTTATTTTCTTTAAATAACATGTGCAAATGAACCCGCACGAATATTACTTGACATGTCTCATACTTGGAGCGAGAAGGATATGAGTATTGAGATGCCCACCCCGCCCCAGTTATTTGTCATCCCTAATTAGAGGTGGGCAACGATCCGATTCACATCGGGTCAAATCGTACCCAATCGATGTTTGCCCAACTCGATCGAATATGTTTGATTTTAGTCCTGTGGATTATTTTAAGTATGAATAAAAAATGGACCAAAATTGAATTTTTAGTTCATAACCAAATTGAATTGTTCCGGTTCTGATCCTCAATTTTCCTTTATTTTTGGTTATGTTCTATTTCAATTCGATTTGGGTCTTGACCGGTCATCGATACCCACCCCTAACCCTAAGTCTAACCATGAGGCTCATTCGCCATCTCCAAACGACACCGGACCGTGCCAACCCTAAAACCCCCCCCCATTGCTGACATTTAGAAAAACCCCTAGCAAACCAGATGGTATAAATACACCGTGAAATAAAAACTCAGGGGAAAGCGGAAACCACCTGTCTTCGGCTGTTTCTTCTTCCTTCTCAATGACCGGACGCCGTCCTCCCTTTCGGCCTCTCGGCCAACAGCCACCGCCACCAGGAGTTCCGCCGCCGCCGCAACCCCCTCCTATGAATGTCGATCCTAATTTCAACCTTCAGTTGCAGAATATGTATTTCCAATACTTAGCCAACACTCTTCTCCAGAACCTCCAGCTCCAGCAGAGCATCGCTGCCCCTCCCCCTCTCAACCCTAATTTTCCGGTTCCAAACTTTAATCTGCCCATTCAGAATCCAGGTATGTTCCCTCACCAGCAACTCCCTAGTAGCTCAGCTGCCCAGCTGCCGCATTGCTCGCCTGCGCCGTCATTGCCACCGCCGCCGCACCCCGGCGGTTCGGTTGACCAAAGGCACGAAGACCCAACCAGGGAACCGTCTATGAATAAACCTGCAACGGCCCCTTTTGAGAGAACCCAGCCCTTTGCAATGAAACATGATAACCTAAGCAAGAATAAGTCTATTGAGAAAATTGACCGGGCAGCGGATAAGGCGAGGAAAGACCTTATTGCTGCTGGGGAGGGCGTTACGTCATGGAAGGTTTCCCAGGAAGTATTGCTGGCATTGCAGGTTGATTCATGGCAATCTTTAGGGTTTAGGATGCAGGAGATACCGGCTCTGCACCGGCTCATTCTCACTGAAGGGAAGGTAATGGCAAACTTATTCTTGTTTCCCCCCCTTTTTAGAGCTTGCTGATAGATGCTGTGTGTGGGTTTTGGCGGGTAAATAAAGCTTGCAAGTAAGCAGGGGGCAGAGCTCGATATGTCTTTAACGATCATTGGAACTATTACTACCCTGAGATCAGGGGATAAAGATCATTGGAAAGTTCCTGACCATGCATTTGCACCGTCATTTGTAGTCCTATTTTGAATTTTATTCACTCTGGATATGAGGTTGACTTCGGTGCAGTTGAGACTTTGATCTGCTAGCTGCTGAGTTGTCAATTGTCATGGATGTGTTTGTTGAACCTCCATTGTTATAATTGCAGTGTACACTGTATGCTATTTCTGGTTTATGCTTTTTTCCATGGATTATGTCTTGATTCTTCTATTTAGTTTCTTACTTCCTTTGTTCGTGTTATCAGGTAAATGCATTCATCCACTGCTTTGTTGCAGTCTGGAGGATGACCTCATTGTATGACCTAGAGGTGGCACTGTGCCAAAATGAGGGTGTTGAGCAGTTTGAAGATCTGGATTTGGGACCGCTGTTGCAGCATCCTCTCATCTTACACTACTTTTCTGTCAATTCTAATGTCACTAAAGTGTTAAAGATAACTAGGGAGGACATACTTGCTGACCTTCAAGAGTTCATGCATTTCCATACAAAGAAACATATAAAAGTTGATGAATTTCTAGATTTCGTCTCTCAGAAGCGATCTATTGTGGAAAAAGAAAAGCTTGGAGTCCGTATTCAGAACTTGGGGTCGGTATTCATAAATTTACAAGTGCTCTGTATTATTTTCTCTCTTCTCTTTCCTTATCTCCCTTCCACACTCCAAGAAAAGGGTTCAAAACGGCCTTCAATCTTTTCAAGTCTTCCCCACAATTGTTCATTTTATGTTTCATTGTCCGACTGATTTTGAATTCCTCACTTTAGAAAATAGTCATTCAAAGATTATTTTTCTGCTATCTATCGTTTTTGAAAATCTATATATTTTCATAATACATCCATTCCTACAATCCACCATCCCAACCACCCATTATTTTTACTGAGTTTTAATTGTTTATATGGAGGGCATTTGGTTGTGGTATAGACTGATAGGATGAGTTAATATGTTTTTAACAAAGATGGGAAGGTCAATTCAGGTAGCAGCATATGCACAATCTTTGTTCTTTTTTGTTGTTTTCATCGGATAACCCCTATTTAAGAGTTCTAGAGTGTACAATGTCTCTAGTAACTCACAGTGAGGGGCATATTAAAGGAGCCTACAAATTATGCTGCTACTTCGAAAACAAACAGTTTTTGCCTGAGAAACTAGAAGGAACTTTGTTTTTGACAGGAAGAATCCTGTTCAATAGACAGCAGTTTAGGGTTTATTCTTTTTCCCATGGCATAACGTAAATGTAGCTTGATGCTGATCATGCTACATTTTCTGACAATAGGATGTATATTTCTTTTATCCGGGATGCCAAGAGGTCTGAAGATGAGGCATTGAGGATGGCGAGACGGAAAATAGGTTTTGCAAGGAACACTGTTGGCACAAGTACAAAGCAGCCTCCTTCTAACGACCATAAGAACCTGGAGGAGCGTTTTTCCACTATATGTCGTCGGGTTGAAACATTTTCCTCTGTACAAAATGTTTTCTGTGGGAAGCACATTCGCTTTGGTTCATCAAGCTCTGAGGATGAAGAAAGTGACATTGGTTCAAGTGAAGATGAAATGACACCAAATAGGCACAACACTGATATGAAGATACCATTACAAGATTTCAGTGGCTCCTTTCGTGTAAATAGTTGTCCTTATCCATCTGCAACTGAGGAGAGGTCGCGACTGGGGTTGAAAGGTGATGTTGCTTCCCAGTCTTCTCATGATGCTGAGAGAAAACACAGTGGGTTGGGAGGTAAAAGAAAACTCCCGATGACAAAAGGCACCGTGTCACCACCTTCCAAATTTCGTAAAGTTGACAAGGTAAAAGAAAATGGTATTGCAGATTCTAATATACCGGATGACGATTCTGCTCTATTATCTGATTGCTCCATGAAAAAGTTCATTGCGACATGGAAGGGGGACTGTAAGGAGCACACTCTAGTCAAGGTATGTCCATCTACAAACATTCACCTAATGTAAGTACACTTCTGTGCTGGTTGTGTTGATGCTGGATGTCTGTGCCAGAGGTCTCCATTTCTGAATTTTTCTGTGGTCTTAGTGTGGCAATTTGATATGGCCACTTGAAGGTGTAACAGTCTAACTAGCTACGAGAGAAAAAAATTTACATTTGATTTTGGTGGTTTGCCTTGTGTGGTTTTGTTTCTATCAAAGATAAATTTACTCTGACCTCAATTATTCACACACATAATCGGATATCAAATAGGCTGAACTATATATTCTCCATAGGCATCATGTTTAGGCCACATGTCTCTGTCATGACTTTGCAACATTCATATGAAGATAACTACTTTAGTGGGATGATAAGGAAGCCATCATACTTTGAACATATATGTCAAGACAACTCCACTAGAATGGAGTGACGAGGATCCAAATGTGGTGGAGCGTGATACAAAAAACTATGGTTTAAATGAGGTCACTAAAACTTATGGATTATATGCCATCACCTTGTTGGTTATAATCCACCTATGATACAACAAAATGGGATATCCCTATGCTACTCATTGAAGCTTGTGATTTCTATTTTCCTGTGTTAGGTGTCTACTTTGTATATTAATATTTAGCAAGCTGTGTACACTGTAGAGGTGATAGGTGCTGATATCTTTATTGAATTTTGCTTTCCTACTTCCATTTCAGTTCTAGATATGTTCCTTAACTTGGGCACTTTTGGCTTTTCTCTGGTGCTTCTAGGTCCTTGACAAGATGCTTGAGTTTTATGTCCCAGAAAACTCCAGGACATTTGCTAGACGCAGGAAAAAAATCAAGTCGACAATTTTGTCTCAGCCTGCCATTGGATTGCTTAATGTTGCTGTAAGTCAAATCCCCAACTTACTACATGTGGCATCATCTGTGGGATGTTTTCATCTTGCTCACAGTACTACTGGCAGTATGGTGGTGAATCTCCTCCTTTTGTCCGTGTTCCTTGTCTTTTGTTTGATTTCCTGTGGCTGCGGTTCATATTGTGCAACGCTCCTAGTATGAAAGGAATTTTCCGCTTCCCTTCTTTGTTATAGTTCTAGAGTGTCCCACTCCGTTCTATTTCCTCCGATGTATATACTAATAGCAATCTTTCTGTGCCTGATTAATCATTTTCATTTCATACATTGCATGGCAAAAAGAACTATGCTCTCAAACTGATAGTCACATGCTCACATCACGAATGGTGTAGCATGACTTATTTTTGTACTTATCTTTGTTGTCAGTTGTCACTGTACTGTTTGATGTATTGGCCGATGAAGAAAGTTGATAATTTTGCAGATATCATCCATGAAACTTGGAATGTGGGATAGCATTTATGACACTTTTCAAGGAATTAATCAACAAGGGATGCAGGGGCATGAGCGCATTGATGTTGAAGCAGAAGAAGAGCACACATCTGTCGATGTTGAATTGGATGGAGAACACGCACTTGTTAAGTCTGAGCTGAATCAGCAAACCATGAAAGGTTAGTGCTACCTTAACTGTCGTGAGTCTTTCTTTTTAGCCTCATGTAACCTGCCCCCACCTCTTTCGGCTTTCCCCTAGTTCCAAACCCCAACTCTTTTCACCCAAGTCGGGGAAATTAGTCTATTTATTTATGTGAACGAAGAAAATAACAAAACTATAGGTTAAGTCATGTGTATATCACCTCTTAGTGTTACCCTGGGGATGTATTCGGTCAAGTTGAAATGATTTATCTTTAAGTCTGTTCGTTATCACTTAAGTGGGTGGCGACGAATCTAATGTAAGGTCTAGGGTGTTATAAATTGATTGAAACAAACATTTAACTCTCTGTCACAATTTGCATAAGAATCCACCTATAGACATTTCTTTACTTGGTTAGCAGATGCTGCCTTCTAAAGTTAAGTAATATAATGTAGCAGGTGTAGCAGTTGAAGACATTGTTGCAAAAATTTCTACCTACTGCGAGCTTGATCATGAGCTCTCGCGCACCAGTAAGTCAAACTTGGAAAGTAGATTTATCTTTCTGCAGAAGCTTTGCTGTTGCGAGCGTTGGTTGGTTGACCATTTTGGCATTAAAGAATTCAACACCCTCGGTCATGGTGAGTTCTTTGTTTTCCTGGAGAAACACATTTCCCTCTTACCGGCTGGATTCCAGAATCTCTTGGTTCATGAACCATGTAGAAGCCCTTCACTTGAGGTTCACATTCTCCAGGATCAGTTGATTCTGTTAGTTGTGCAAGCTTCAAATAATTTGTGGGAGAATGAAACCATTACGACACAGATGATCTCTGCAATGCTTGCAAGGCAATTTCCTTCGTTCAGTGCCAATGTTACTGGAGACTGCTCTAGTGAACGTTTTCTAGGTATCGTGGAGAAACGTAAGAGTAACGTTATCTCCAAGAGCATTCTGTTTTCTGCAACATTGTTGGGATCTGATCATATTGGTAGCCACTTGGGTCACAATGAAAGTGGCAGATTAGCAACCTCTGGCAGTGAGAAGATGTCCCTTTTGTCTGTTACATCCAAGGCTGCCATTGACGTTCTACTTCAAGCTCCCATGTTGTCTGATTTGAAATTGTGGTCTCACTGGGATCTGAAGTTTGCTCCGTCTTTTGGCCCTCTCCAAGATTTTTTGGTGAGTGAAGTAAATACCAGAGAGCTGATATGTCTTGTCACCAGAGATGGAAAAGTGATTAGACTTAATCATGCTGCTACTGCTGACACGTTCTTGGAAGCTTTTGTTAGGGGATCTCCTCTCCTAACTGCCACAGAACTTTTGTCTTTCTTCTCACTGACTGGTGGTGAGAAGCATGTTCCTTTGTCCCTTCTCAAATCCTATGCGTGCAATGCATTTGGTGTCATTCTGAATGATGCATCAGACAGTATGGGTGTTCAGGGATATGCAACGAACCAAGCGATTGCTGTAATGGGATCAAAGGATCCGAGCTTTCCACTATCTGTTGCTTCAAGGTTTTTCCTTGACTGCATTGGTTACGTGCCTGCAGAGTTTCGTGGTTTTGTAGCTGATGTCTTGCTTGCTGGAATGCAGTCTGTAACTTCTGATGCCTCATCAGCTATTTTGCTCGAATGCAGAGGAGTAGAACGTCTCATGCTTCATGAAATAGGGCTATCCATTGACGTAGCAGAATGGATAAAGGACTACCATGCATTTTCTACTGATTCCAATTACTCAGCCAAATTCTCTGGATCGTTATGTATGGATGTTTCCATGTCCGAGTCAAGCACAATACAGAGATACAACCAAGATGGAACTGATGAAAGACCACTTGCTTCTTATGGGGATTTTTCATGTGATAAGGGAGGTACCGATGGCAGTCTTACTGTAGGTGAGGCAGTGATCACTAGTCACACAGGTTGGTCTGGATTAGAGAATAATGATAAGGAGAAGGATGCAGCATCCATTGTTGACTCTATTAGGAGAGAAGAATTTGGTCTAGATCCAAACCTTTCAAGCATGGAGAGTGATATGTTGAGGAAACAGCATGCTCGCTTGGGAAGAGCACTTCACTGCCTATCACAGGAACTGTATTCCCAAGACTCCCATTTTCTTCTTGAGCTGGTCAGTATCTTATTATTCTCCTGATTTACATGTGAGAAAGTTACTGATAAAGATTAAGTCTCAATCTCTTGGCTGTACTAGGCATTTTCTCCTCATTTGTGTTATTATTTTGTGCCCATCCGTTAGACACTGTCGTTATTTGCCCAAAGTAGATTCTAAGGCTTCTATTCCGTGCCACATGAAAAGAAAAATTAAAGGGAGAGTTCAAACATTGTATAAAAGAAGAAGGAATAGGAACATGGATATAGGATAATGAATGTGGAGTATGTCCATCTATACTTGGCTGAGAATTATTACGGTTTGTTGTTTTGCCCCCTGTAAACCGTTTTTCCCCCCTATAGGTGACGGTAATAAAGTTTGAACCTAGGATGGGTTGCACATTTTCCATCCTCATCATTTATCTGAACACTCTTCGTAGCTGTCCGTTTATCCTGTAGTAAAGTTCCTTTTCTTGACCAAGTGTAATGTTCTGTGAGGCATTGTTATAGTGGCATGTGTTCATCTTGCATTAACCTTAAGCATCTGGGTTTTCCTTTTATGGATTTTGATCTTAACCTTAGGTACATTGTCTCTTCAGGTTCAAAATGCAGATGATAATACCTATCCAGACAACATGGAACCGACCCTTGTGTTCATCCTTCAGGATTCAGGCATTGTTGTCTTGAACAACGAGCATGGATTTTCTCCTCAAAACATCAGAGCACTATGTGATGTTGGTAATTCAACCAAGAAAGTATCTGGTACTGGCTACATAGGACAAAAGGGGATTGGCTTCAAATCTGTGTTTCGGGTAGGTTTATTAAATCCTTCTCTCTTGATCTGCTTGTCTCTATCTTTAATATCATTGGAATGACAAAGATAAGTTAGGATTAACCTCTTGAAATGATTAAATCCGTTGAGATATGTAAAAATAGTCACTATGTTTCTATCTACCAAAAATAGTCACTAGGTCCATAAAAATTCTGGATTTCGGTAAACATTTACAAATTTAAATTGCATATATCAATTTTCAAAGTTGCAAACTCAATTTTCAAAATTGCATATATCAATTCTGGGAGTTTCATTTTAGATCACTACATATGTTATGACCGTCGCTTCTGCTTGTACTTGTTTGAAGGGCTTTGTGTCTGTAAAATTTCCATCAGCAATGTTTATATAAAATGTTCTTCATTGCTTTTTTTCCTCAATGTCAAAATGTTTCTTATGTCAAGTTCACATTTTGCTGAAGAGTAATTGTTGCTTTTTTTTGAAGGTTACAGATGCTCCTGAGATCCATTCCAATGGTTTCCACGTTAAATTTGATATAAGTGGTGGACAAATAGGGTTTGTTTTACCAACAATTGTGCCTCCTTGCAATGTTGATTTCTATAGCGGGTTGGTTTCTGGTGGCAGTGAACGCTGGAATACTTGTATCGTGCTTCCTTTTCGGTCAAAATTATCTGAAGAAACCACTATGAGAATGTTTTTGGATCTTCATCCTTCCTTACTACTCTTTCTTCACCGCCTCCAATGCATCACTTTCCGGAACATGCTCAATGACTCGCTTGTCACTATGAGAAAACAAATTGTGGGAGATGGTATAGTAAATGTTACATGGGGAGGAGATAAAATGACCTGGCTTGTAGCATCTCAGAAGCTCCAGGCTCATTCCAGCCGACCCAAAGTACAGACAACTGAAATTGCGGCAGCATTTACTCTTAAAGAGTCGGACAATTGTGACTATACCCCTTGTTTGGATCAACAACCAGTTTTTGCGTTTCTTCCCTTGAGAGCTTATGGGCTGAAATTTATTCTCCAAGGCGATTTTATTCTCACTTCGTCTAGAGAGGAAGTGGATAGGAACAATCCCTGGAACGAGTGGTTATTGACAAGTTTCCCTGCATTATTTGTCTCTGCCGAGAGATCATTTTGTTCCCTCTCTTGTTTCAGGGACAAACCAGGCAAAGCTGTGACTGCTTATATGAGTTTTGTTCCACTTGTTGGAGAGGTGCATGGGTTCTTTTCACGGCTCCCTAGGGCAATTGCTCTGGAGTTAAGGAGGACGCCTTGCCTGTTCCTTGAGGGGGACACCTCGAAGATGGTTTTGCCTAGCAAGGTGCTCAGAGGTTGGAATGAAGAAGCTCGTATTCTCCTACCTGAATCCTTGCTGCAAGAGCACCTTGGCCTTGGATTCTTAGACCACAACATAGAATTGTGCGACTCACTTGCAAGTACTTTGGGTATTATCGAATATGGACCTGAACTTCTGGTTAGATTCCTGACTTGCTTATGTCCCACAGGAAATGGACTGCAGTCCATGGAAGTGGGGTGGTTCTCGTTGCTGTTAGATGCTCTCTATCAAATGCTACCAAATTCTTCTGCGGAAGGTGCTCTTCTGCACAGCCTTCGGGCTCTTCCATTTATTCCTCTGTCAGATGGTACGTACAGCTGCACTGCTGCAGGCACAATTTGGTTTCATTCTGATGTTTTGAGCTCAGGCCATGGGCTTGAGGCTTTCCCGAAGTTGTATGCTGAGCTTCGGATTGCAAATCCTGTCATCCTTTCTGCACCAGCTGCTGATGGAGCTTCTTCACAGAACATTGTGTTAATGCTACAGAAACTTGGCGTTCAACCATTGTCTGCCCATGAAATCATGAAGGTGCATATTATAGATGCTCTATCCGATTTTAGCAGGGACAGACACTCAATGATAGACTATCTTTGTTTTGTGATGATCCACTTGCAATCAAGTTGCCATATATGTCATAGTGAAAGGAAATCAATTATGTCTGATTTGAGATGTAAGGCATATCTTCTGACAAATAATGGATTCAAACGGTCAAGTGATACCCCAATTCATTTTAGTAAAGACTTTGGGAATCCTATCGATGGAAGAAAATTTAGTAATGTTCTGGGGATGGAATGGCAAGAAGTTGATGTTACCTATTTGACCCATCCATCAAATGGGTCACTTCCTGGTGCACTGACAAAATGGAGGGAGTTTCTCATGGAGATCGGCATTACGGACTTTGTTCAAGTTTGTCAAACGAACAGGAAAATTGGTGATTTATCTGGTCCATCAATTAAAGAATTGATGAGCGATGTTAAGCTGATTTCTCCAGAGTTTATTGCCAAAGATTGGGAATCAAAGGAGCTGGTGCAGTTACTGTTTCTTTTGTCAACCAATGGTGATGTACAGTGCTGTAAGTATCTCCTGGAGATTCTTGATAAATTATGGGATGATAGCTTCAGTGATAAAGTAACTGCATACTGCAACGGTAATACTAGTGACAATTCTAGACCTTTCAAGTCTTCCTTTATAAGCAGCCTCCATGATGCTCGGTGGGTTGTCTCGAGCATGGATAATGAGCTTCACTACCCTAAGGACCTCTTCTGTGATTGTGACACCGTACGGTCAATTTTGGGCCCTTTCGCCCCATATGCTATTCCAAAGGTAAGATTGAATTTCGAAGCACATGACTTGCTCATTTTTTTTTTTTTAAATCTTATTATTGATACCTTTGGCACTGAGATTATGACTTGTGAGTTGCGAGAGGTGTATAACAAGTTGATTTCTTGAAGCATCATGTGATTGTTCCATCCTATGGGGCTTATTTCTTACTTTATTCCCGTAACATATCAGTGTCAACATATTGTTGTGGGGGCTCGGTTAACTTGCTATTGGGACCAGAGTTTTCATGTGCTTATAGATTTTTGCATGGGAGTTGTTACAGCTGCAGTGTCTTACATTTTTTTTAATATGTTTCCTGAAACAGGTAAACAGTAGTAAGTTACTGGCAGATATTGGCTTTAAGACCAAAGTCTCTCTGGATGATGCATTGGAAACTGTAGCATTATGGAGAAAATCAAATACTAATTTCAAGGCCAGGTACTTTCTCTAGTCTATCTCAGTTACCTCGCCTATGGTTCTGCTTCTGAATGATGAATCATATAAAGCAATGCTTCGTGTGAACATTTAGTTTGTACAGTTTATAGTCATGTGTGGATGCAGAACATGGAATTTGCTTAGCATTGAGGCTTTGTTAAAACTTTATCATCTACAAATAATGACCAAACTTCTTTTCACGCCTCCATACTCTGGATGCTTTAAGTGAAATTCCTCTGGTGCAGCTGCAAAGTCTTGTTTTATGGAGAATAAACTAATTGGATATGTTGTAGGCATGCGATGTAATAACATTGGGTTTTGTCTGTTTTTTCTATTTGCTCATCCCAGCATAGCACAAATGTCCCTGTTCTACACATTTCTCTCTGAAGAATTGGCTATCTCTAAGAAGAATATTCCGGAGGCATTTGGCTCTGAACCCTTTATTTTTGTTCCCTCCAAAACTGCAACAAGGCATGGCAATCTGGTGCGAGGTGCTTTTTCACATCCTGAAGAAGTTTATTGGGATGATCCGACAGGCTCTTTTCACGAAATGAAGCTCCGCCATCAACGGAGCTCGTCTTCAATTACTCGTGAGCCATTGAATAAGGCACTGTGTAATGTTTATCCAGGCCTTCATGACTTTTTTGTTAGCCAGTGTGGTGTACGTGAAAGCCCTTCTTTGTGTGGCTATCTTGATATCTTGAGGCAATTAACAGCTCTTGCACCACCTTCTGAAGCTGCTAGTGCAGTAAGTATAACCTACTAAAAAACAATTAGAGACAAGCGTAAATTTGCTATGCTGTAAATTAATCTCTCTTTCTCATACAGGTTTTAAAAGTCTTCTTGAAGTGGAACAGTGAATTCAAATATGGTTTGTTAAGTTCTGAGGATCTGATTCACTTGAAAGAATGTCTCATGAAACTTGAATATGCTATACTTCCTACTGCACCAGATAAGTGGATGTCCTTGCATCCCTCTTTTGGTCTTTTGTGCTGGTGTGATAATACAGAGCTAAGTAGCGACTTCAAACATCTGGACAATATCAATTTCCTGTACTTCGATACCCTCAACGACAAGGACAAGGAGATACTTCGTAATCAAATGTCACAATTCTTTAAAGAATTGGGGATACCTGCTCTCTCGGAGGTGAACTCTTTTTCCTTTCTCTTCTTTTTCGCTTCATAAGTTTTAGCAAAAGGTTGTAGATTTATGACTCGCACTTATTTTCTCTCTGGTTTGTTTGCATTGCTGTTGTCCATTGGGTCATGTTGTTTAGAAATAAGCATGTTATAACCCCTTCCCAGTGTTTCTGAAAATGAACTAAATAACCGGCAAAAAATTAATAGTAAAAAACTAAACAGAAGCCAGACAAGCTGGACGATCGATTTGACAAGAAAGTCCTTTAAGCTAGTGTTCTGTTCTGTTGTCACGATTCAAATTGCTGATTCTGGAGCGTGTGACCATCAGCTGGTTCCAATTAGGAACTTTGTCGTCAACTTTCATGTCCTCCCCCTGACTGATGAGATGGTGCGGTTTATAGATATCTTGTCTTTGAAGTATAGAAGAGTTTGTAGTGTCACCATATGCAGGCTAGGGAATTTTAATTGTATTTTCTGTACTTGGCATCCCAAAGTTCTTGTTCAAATTTTCCATTGGTCGGTCTGTTGTGCCTTTGTTCTGAAAAACAGGTTGAAGCAAGGTCCACAAAATCATATGCTATTGTCAATTATTTGTTCAGGGATATCTTGGATACTATTCTCGTTTTTGTGTGTCAGTGACTCTATTTGTTTCTTCACATCACTGCAGGTTATTACTCGCCAGGCAATATACTATGGTCCATCAGACTCTAGCTTCAAATCTTCTCTGGTTGATTGGGCCCTTCCTTATGCTCAGCGCTACATGCATGGCATTCATGCCACGAAATATAACCAACTCAAGCAAAATGGTTTTGAAACTGTGAAGAAGCTAGAAATCATTGTGGTTGAGAAGCTGTTTTACAAAAATGTCATAAGAAGTTGTGGCAAATCATCTCGGAGCCGATATGAATGTAGTTGTCTTCTACAGGTATGAAACTTTTTTGCTGCCCTGTCACGCAGAAGGGCATGGTATGATGTTACATGAGAGAAAAGTCTCATCTGTGTGATATTTTAGCAAGGAGTTTTATTCACTTTTCCTATATTTCTGTTTCCAGGATGAAACTCTGTACTCAACAGTAGCAGCAGATCCCCATGCATTATTCCTGGAGCTTAGTCGTTTATTCTTTAATGGTTTTCCAGATCTGCACTTAGCAAATTTTCTTCATATGGTCACAACCATGGCTGAATCTGGCTCTACAGTGGAGCAAACGGAGTTCTTCATCTTGAACAGTCAGAAGATATCAAAGCTGCCTGATGAAGAAGCTCCCTGGTCACTCTCCTCCGCTCCTGCTTCAATAGGGAGTGGTGAATCCCTGACAACAGATATTGTTTCTATGTCAACGGATGGTGAGGATAAATGCTTGGTACCGAGTGAAGTTTCAGCACTAGAAACTGGATCAAAATCATCGAGATACCAGATAAAAGCTGGATTCGGATTGAGCTGGCCTCCTGCAGATTGGAAAACTGCACCTCGTTTTGATCCTCACGCAAGGGACCTCACAACTCAGGCGTCTACATCTTTTGGCTTAGCTAAGGACCCGTTTAATGATGACGTGAAACAGATGGAATGTACAAATAATGGCGAATGGACCATTAGAGAGGATCCAGGAACATTGCCTACTCCTGCCTGTGAATCTACAGACAATCATATGGGCATTGCTCGTGAACAAACCCATCCGGCGTATGGGACAGCTGATCCTGCAAGGTTCAGTATCATGCCTGATCGCCCCGAGCCAATGATGTCACTTGCATTTCCCAAGAGAGAACAGTTTAATATCACTGCAGGAGGTAGTAATGAGCATACAGCAGCGACGGGGAGATTGGGCGAGGAGCTCGCTTTCAGATACTTGAAAGCGAAATACGGGGAGGAAGCTGTGAGGTGGGTTAATGAACAGAAAGAGACCGGGTTACCCTACGATATACGAACAGTTGGCAAAGAGCACGGTGGGCAGTATTTCGAAGTGAAAGCCACAGAATCTGTGCGTAAAGACTGGTTCTTCATATCAGGAAGAGAGTGGCAAATGGCAGCTGAGAAAGGTGATGCCTATACCATTGTCCATGTGCTGTTGGGGAATCACAATGCGAAGGTCAGTCTGTTCAGGAATCCGGTGAAACTGTGCCAGCAAGGAAACCTCCGGTTGATTGTTGTGATGCCAAACCAATTGCCGCAGACGTAATTGGGACTTCTTCCTTGTTTGTTTGTATGTATAAAAGGAAGAAATATTTGTGTTATTGAAATTTACAATAAAAAATATTCAAATTTGTTGGATTATTACTATAAAATTAGTCATTCTCCATTCTGTTTATCACAACGGTGTGCAAGGATTGGACCAAACCATGGAAGCCGCGTTCCAAAGTAAATGAAATTTAAGAATGAGAGTCGCACCATCAATGTATGTTAAGATATCGACTAACGTTCACTTTTCTTCAATATTAAAGGATGGAATTCATAATAGCAAACTATATTATATTTAGTTTGATTTTGATATGGTCAAGAATGAGTTACGCGCAGGGTGTACAACAAGTCAATTTATATCGGAACGCACCAAATCAAACTGATACTTGAACCGGACGACCGAGTGTAACATGATTCGATCTACGGTCCCATGAATTATTATTCTTTTAGCTCTAACACTGTACGCAGAGCAGGAACAAATCCAAACCGATGCCAATTTGAAATCCCATTTCGTACCGGACCCGATGAGATCAAAATGAACAGAGTCTAAACAAGCAATCTACTTTTCTCCTCTACTTATTCTGTATATGCATAATGACGTGCTAATTAGTAATTAGAGGGGTTGAATATATATACAGAAGTTGATTTCTCTCTTACAATGGTGTGCATCTCATTAGCTGTGGTGTTCTCTAACCTTCATCCCTCCGCCGGTAAGGCTATCAACGAGTATGTCCTGCCCGCCTTTTCTCCATTATCGGTTAATAACTCGCGCTTAATGGCGGTGAGTTCTCCACCACCAGCACAGCGAACAAGACAGCTGCTGACCAAATCGGTAGTCAGTAAGAACTCCAGACCACGTAGAATGAAAGGACCACTAAACAACCATGGCAACTGATCCTCAGGAAACAGAGGTTTCACATTGCTATTTCCGACGCTGCACTGCAATGTACAAACTCAACAAAAAGATTTAGCTACCTTTGGTTGAATCTTCACTCCTACATGGATCAGAGGAAAACATTCATCACATGCAGGAGCAAAACAACGACAACAACATACCAAGTGTACGATTAGAAATGAAGAGGAGCTTGCTCCTGAAGTTTCTCTCTAGCTGTTAGTTGTTAGTAGTGGAATGTTGCCCACTATTGGGCATTGGCAGTTCCTTAATTCACTTCTTTCAGTTCCTTGTATACCGCAGCACTCTGCTGCTATGTACTATGAAGCTATTGATTGAATAATGGAAAACTTAAGCCTTGGGCTCTTCATAGAATCAGAGCCCCTAATACTCTAACGAGTCAATCTCCTCCTCTCTTCACTTTATCGTCATTTTTTCCCCTCCCTGTTTCTTCTCCCAAAATGGTCACCGAGTCATCCTCTGTTTCTGCTACTTCTGCCTCCATTGATCCCACCACCATGCATGTGTCGTCGTTGCCTCTCCCGATCAATTCACAACTGACCGTCAAACTCACCCCGACAAACTATCTCTTATGGCAATGCTCAGATAGCTCCTCTCCTTCGATGTCACCGTCTGATGGGTCATGTCGCCGGCTCCCTACTTGCTCCGCCCCAGCTCGTCGACGGCAAACCCAACCCCGCCTACTAGAATTGGTACGATCGTGACCAATATGTTCTCACCTGGATCAACCTTTCTCTCTCTCTGAAGCCGTGCTGCCCAATGTCGTCAACAAAGTCACCGCCTTCGATGCGTGGACGGCGCTGACCACCATTTATGCATCTGGTTTCGTCGTTTAGATTCAGCAGCTCGCCAAACAACTGCAAACCATTCGTCGGGGCGATGCCTTGATTCATGACTATCTTCAGGGTGCCAAATTCTAAAAGAACCCTCTTGTTAAGGATTCTAGGGACTGATCTTCGGCACCCGTAATTATCGTAACAATTAGGGATTTAGGGATTTAGATGAGAATTGGGGATTAGGGATTGAAGAACAGAATGGGGTTGAGATAGAAGAATGGCCGACGGCCTTTAGAGAAGAGAGGGACGAGATTTGAGAGGGATTAGAGACTAGGGTTCGAGGGATACTATCTGTAATATTATTCTTGACTGATTATGACGTAAACCCAAAGTACATATATATAGGAAATAACCCCAAAACCCTAATGAACTAATCCTAACCTAATCGGCCTAGGTTAGCCGCCAAACCCTAACATTATTAATTATTATTATTATACTAATTATATGTCTAACATTCCACCCTCCTTCGAAGCGACCTTGTCCTCAAGGTTGCAGTCAACTTTCGTCTTCTTGATCTTCCGCTTTCTCCGCTTCCAATTGCGCTCAATTCCACGAATGAACTCTTCTCGCTTCAGTCCAACTTTCCTCGACTCTCCACCCACGTGACATATGTCACGTTCGTCATAGCCGAATTGGGGATTAGGGATTGAAGAACAGAATTGGGGTTGAGACAGAAGAATGGCCGACGGCCTTTAGAGAAGAGAGGGACGAGATTTGAGAGGGATTAGAGACTAGGGTTCGAGGGATACTTTCTGTAATATTATTCTTGACTTATTATGACGTAAACCCAAAGTACATATATATAGGAAATAACCCCAAAATCCTAATGAACTAATCCTAACCTAATCGGCCTAGGTTAGCCGCCAAACCCTAACATTATTAATTATTATTATTATACTAATTATATGTCTAACAAATTCTCCCGTCAAGAACGACGATCTCACCGGCTGGATCCTTGATGGCCTGGGTGAAGATTATCGTCCGTTTGTTCATCACATCGAGGCTCGAATGGCTCCAATAAGTTTTGAAGATCTTTCCTCTCTCCTTCTCAGCGAGGAACTCCAAATCCGGCGCTACTCCTCGCGCTCGGATTTTCACCGTCACCGGCTGCTTTCTTCTCCAGCTCCGTTGGTTATCGTGGCAGAGGAGGCCGCGGACGAGGTCGCGGTTCTTTCCGCGGCGGCCGTTCTTATTCTAACCCAAATGTGTTTTACCCTTCTGTTGGCAGGTGGAGCAATGCTGGAGGAGTGCTTGGGCCCAGGCCCGCCAGCCCATTGGTAATCTGTCACAATTGTGGTGGCCGGGGCCACATCAAACCCCACTGCCCAAGCCCAGCCATTCCCCAGCCCAGCCCGTCCAGTATGCTACCTCTGTTCCTCCCTACAGCCCCCACATCATGTTCTCCTCCTCACCCGCTCACGCTCTCAATCCGCGACAGTGGCTCCTCGATTCCGGCACCAATCAACACCTTACCTCTGATTTAGACAACCTTGCTCATCATTCTGAATATAATGGGACTGATCAGGTCACTTTTGACAACGGTAACTCCCTTCCTATCTCCAGTTTTGGCTCCTCCGTCACCTCCTTGTCCGACATTCAAATCTCATTGGATAATATTCTTCATGTTCGTCATGCTCCCTACAATTTGCTCTCTCTATCAGTTCTCTTACTTGGTCCAATCCCATTTCCATTGAATTTTTTTATTCTCTTTTTCTTATCAAGGACTGACGCACGGGGCATGAACTTTATTGCTGTTATGCGCTGGACGGTCTCTACTCTCTCCCATTGCATATCTTCTGGCATCTTTCTCCCATTGCTTGTGCGACTTCTCTTGATGTTTGGCATCGTCATCTTGGTCACGCTAATGAACGGGCTGTCAAGCACGCTCTTCATCAGCATCAAATAAAATTTGTTTCCTCTCCCCCCCCCCTCCCTCTTTGTGTCATGGTTGTGCTGTTAGTAAGATTCACAAGCTTCCCTTCTCTTCGTCCACATATCAAGCCACTGCTCCTCTTGAACTCGTTTGTAGTGATGTGTGGGGCCTTGCCCCTATTTTGTCTTATGATGAGCAATCCTATTATATTCTGTTTTATGATCATTATAGCAAATTCTCCTTGATTTATTACATTCGATATAAGTTTCAGCTGCTAAATGTTTACATTCAATTCCGACAATTGGTAAAAAAAAAAAATCGGTCTTCCCATCAAAATCTTTCAATCTGATTGGGGAGGTGAATATCAAGCTTTATCTAACTATCTCTCTAAACACGGTATTGCTCATCGTTCCTCATGTCCCTACACTCCTGAACAAAACGGGTGTGCGGAACGTAAGTGACACGCTAAAACAAAACACCAAACTGCGACCAAGTGTAATCGCAGTCCGAAAATGCAGTAACAGGCAAACTCTATTTGTCAACCCGAGGTCTAGATCTACTGCCTACTCCGTGAATATCTATTATCTAGCAAACTAAGTCGAGTGATTGTGATTTTAACTCAAAGCAGTAAGAAAGCAGGAAATGGTTCAGTTTTCTAAAGCAAGGGAAGAGTCACTCGGGAATGAGTCCCCCTAGCTCCTTAGTTAGGTCACAGTTGTAATTACCCTAGGTTGATTAACTGTTGATTAAACTGCGGAAGATTCGACACTAGCTTGGAATCTCTTAAGCTGACCAAGCCCTCTCAGTCCAACTACCCGGCAGACGACTAATCTTCATCGAGATAGAAAGCTGAGGCTATGAACGCAGAACTCCATTACTGGAATTGGATTCCAGTACAAAGCACTAAATCGATTAACTCTCGTATAACCAATCTACCACTACCGATTGATGAAGCTCTAGCAACCTAATCAGATTCTATCTATCTCAGGTTGCAGCAGAAATCAAGAAAATATGATCAGACTTCAATTGACTCAATAAGTCATGCATCAATCGATTAAAATCAATCAGTATAACAATCCCAAGTCATTACAATCAAAATCCCTAACACATGGAACTAGGGTTCTTCATACCCAAGTGAGAGAAAATTCTACTCCATCAAGAGAGAGGAAAACAGAATTCAGAGTAGTCATACTCATAACAATGAGGATAATCTGCTCCGAGATGATGATCTTCACTCCTGGGAATGCAATCTGGGCTTCAATGGTGAGAAATTCACTCCAATAGCTCCTAGGGTTTGTTCTTCGCACTTTCTCTCTCTAAGACTCTGTTTTTGCACCAAAAATTCGATTCCCTCTCCTTTGGCTCAAATCTGCCTCAAAACCCCGATTATGGGCAAAATACGGGCTAAATTACGATCGTAAACAAGGTCTGCACGTAATTCGCTCAAAACGCGCGTTTCACTTAACACTTATGAGAGAACAAATTCGAGCTAAAATGGTCAGGAAACAAGAATGAAAACATGTGCAAATACGACGCTATCAGTAAGTATCACCATATTTTCAGTAATGGTCTTGCTCTCCTCCATCATTCCCATGTTCCCCAAAAATATTGGACTCTTGCTTTTGACACGACGTGTTACCTTATTAATCGCTCCCACACCTTTGCTGCACAATGATTCTCGATTTCACTTTCTTTTTCACAAATCCCCTGATCTCTCTAACCTTCGGGTTTTTGGTTGCCTATGTTATCCATGGCTTCGTCCCATCGCTCCAAACAAACTTGCTCCTCGTTTGGTCCCATGTGTTTTCCTTGGCTATAACAAGCTTCATACACATTCCTATTGGTCGTCTCTATGTCAGTCGGCACGTTTTGTTTGATGATATGCGTTTTCCATTTGCTGAACAACCCATTATCCCTCCGCCCATCCCTACTTCCTCTGACCTCACTATACTACCACCTCTTCCATCGCCCATTCTCAACCCAGCCCCTCAATCTCGACCCAACCCATCTCCTCAATCACCTAACGATTCTCACTCCCCATCTTCCCATACAAGTCCATCGTTCCCTATCCCTTCACCCGGCCCAACAGAACCTCGGCCCACCTCTCCTCCTCAGCCCCCCAACGACCCTCACCAACCCGACCCATCGTCTTGCTCCCTTCAACCCGATCCACCACTGCCCTTGATGACTCCTTCCCCAGCTGTCGTTCCTCCTTTTCGGCCACTTCTTTGATACTAGTGTCGTCGTCCCTCCACAACCGCCACTGTTCCTTCTTCCTCTGTCCTACCTTCACCTCAGTCGAATCACATTCCTCCAGTCACCTCTCCTCCTCTCGTTCCCACCCCCTCATCCCACTCCTCTCCCTCCTCATCACCCACTGCCGAAGCGTCCCCCATTTACTACTTCCCCTCGCCCTCTTCCTATTACCAATCCCACAACCTCTATCCACCCCATGGTCACCCGGATCAAAACCAGCCATCTCAAACCTCACAGTCTTCTTTCTCACCTACACATTGATGATACACCAACAACTGTGATCCAAGCCCTCAAACTCCCCCAGTGGCGCTCGGCCATGGCCGATGAGGTTACAGCTCAGCTTCGGAATCACACGTGGGATTTGGTTCCACGGCCCCCTAATTGCAACCTCCTCTCCAACAAGTGGGTTTACCGCACTAAGCTTCATCCCGACGGACAGCTGGACCGACGTCGTGCTCGTCTCGTGGCCCGTGGCTTTGAACAGATACCAGGTCTGGATTTTGATCTGACTTACAGTCCGGTTCTGAAGCCTGCTACAGTACAGCTAATTCTTGGACTTGCCGTTACTCAGAGTTGGCCTCTTCACCAGATTGACATAGCTAATGATTTTCTACATGGTGAGTTGCAGGGAACAATCTATATGCAGCAACCCCCTGGTTTTATTGACCCGGATAAACCCGACCATTTTTATCGCCTTCGGAAGTCCATCTATCCCTATTCATCTACAAGTCCGATGTCACTCGACCATATATGCTTGTTTATGTTGATGATATCATCATTACGGGTAATGATTCTTCCCTCATTCAGCGGTTGTTCGCCTTCCTTCGTGATAATTTTGCTCTCCGGGAGTTGGGGTCGTTGTCATACTTTCTCGGCATTGAAGTGTGTCGATCATCCACAGGCCTCGTCCTAAGTCAACGGAAGTTTATTCATGATCTTCTTGACCGTGCTCAAATGTCTAATGCCAATGCCATTCTCCACTCCATGCACAGTTGACATCATCCAACAATCAGCCATGGATTCTTCTCCAATGTTCATAAATCCTGTTCTGTATCGCAGCACTGTCGGCGGATTGCAATTCCGGATTGCAATTCCTAAGCTTCACTCGACCGAACATTTCATTTGCAGTCAACCACGTCTCTCAGTTTCAGCACTCTCCGACAGACAACCATTTGGGGCGCTGTAAAGCGTATTCTACGCTACCTTCGAGGCACTCTTGATCGTGGCCTCGTTTTCTCCAAATCTCCCTCACTCCATGTACATGGCTATTCGGATGCGTCGTGGGCCTCTTGCCCAAGGATCGCAAGTCTATCATTGGGTTTGCCGTATTCTGCGGAACCAAACTCGTGTCCTGGTCCACTCGCAAGCAGAAATCCGTTGCTCGCTCCTCTACCGAATGTGAATATAAGGCCCTTGCAACACTTGCTTCTGAGGGACTTCGGTTACGAACTTTACTTCATGAACTCGGCCAATCTATACCCACTGCTCCAACTCTGTGGTGTGACAATCTTGGTGCGATGTTTTTTGCGCACAATCCGGGGTTCCATATTTGGTCCAAGCCCATGGAGATCTCGATCCATTTTATTCGTAATCATGTCAGCAAAGGGCAGCTGCACATGCACTACTTACCGGCTCCTGCTCAGATCGCGGATGTGCTAACCAAGCCTTCGCCGCGCAAGTCCTTCAACAAGTTTTGCTCCAAGTTTCGTCTCACCGAGCCCTCACTTGCGGGGGCGTGAAGAGGAGCTTGCTCCTGAAGTTTCTCTCTAGCTGTTAGTTGTTAGTAGTGGAACGTTGCCCACTATTGGCAGTTCCTTAATTCACTCCTTTCAGTTCCTTGTACACCGCAACACTCTGCTGCTATGTACTATAAAGCTATTGATTGAATAATGGAAAACTTAAGTCTTGGGTTCTTCAAGAAGCACCAGAGACTGATTCCATATTCCACAGCCAAAATCACAACATATGCAGGCGTTTCACAGCAACTTAGAGGACCTGTTTTGTGACAAAATCGAGCCAAACCCGACTATTCTACCAAAATGAAGCACAAAATAAACAGATGGCTACGTAACTGATAAGATTGAGAATTTAGATTTGGCTTAGGAGCTGCAATTCAGAACCAATAGTACCAAAATTATTTCACCGACTCCTGAATACTAATCCGAACGAAATTTGAACAGTTGACAGAATACTTCTAGCAGAAAGTCTTAAACCAGCCAGGAAAATCCGTTGAAACCAGTCATCATGTCATCCCAATAAGGAAATATCAGTGATTTCATATTCACTTCGGCTTTTAATTCTCAACGCGAAAACATCAGATCAAGACCAAGCACAACCAACTTCTAAGACTGCAGTAGAAGGCATCGATAGAGAATTGTCCAACAAATATATTTAGTGGGGGATGGATCCTCTAACTTTCCCAACCATTATCCCAATGGATTTGCAATATGATACCAAAGGCTAGGGTTTCTAACAAGGAGGACCCAAGAAAACTTGTTTTCAGCACTGTACCATCCCCATAAGCAAATTCAGATACAGTTAACGACATTGGAGGATAGCAACTATAAATTAATAGGTATGCAGAGTTACTCACAGCGCCATACCACCCAAAAATATCAAATCAACATCCGCTTCTCGTAGTTTTCATCACAACCTAGCTACAGAAACTGCAGCAACCGGACTTAAATCAGTTCCAAATATTCTCAAGGCCTCGCCATCCAGATTTTGATTGAAATTGTTTGCCTGAACAGATTTGAGCACCTCCACATGAAGAAAAAAGAAACACAAGGACTAAGTAGTGAGCACCTCCACATGAAGAGAAAGGAAACACAAGGATCAAACATGATTGTCCTTGGGGTCCATATTCAAACGCTGGCGTCATTAATTCTGAAGAACTTAACAAATGAGCATCTATGGCCTAACAAAGAAGAGGGAACTACCACTGGAGGTCCAGGCCAAAAATCACCCCGAAAAGCGAACAGAACCGGGAACCAACTGAAGTCGAAGAGTTGAGCAAGGGAACATGAAGTCTCCTCTGCAGTAAGGTCAAAACCTTATTCAGCCTCAGAACTGGCTACCAGTAAACAAAAAGAATACATGAGGATCCATGGCTTCATGCAAACACAGCAGCCAAATGCAACCCGATCCCTCCATCTTCATGCCCATGAGGCGCTAATTCCAACTCTTGTTTTCAAAACCATTATTATCCTTCCATGATCTGAGAACTAGAGCTGAATTCAAAAGGGCAACATGTGGAAGCAGGGATTCGATATAGAGGCAGAATTAGAATTAGATGCAATGACCACATTGGATTCAACTACGTAGCCTAACCTTCTTACTTCCGCAGAACCATTACAAGCAATCAGAAGTCAACATCCTGCTTCACCAAATGAGATTATTGGAGTCAGCACATAGACCAATTTGCCCATTCCACTATCAAGATCAAGGCATCTGAAACCGTAAACAAGAGGTGGACTTAGAATCTCCAGTTCGAACCCATGACATCATTGCAAGCAACATGCTTAGCTAGTTCAATATCTGACACCCTGAAAATCAATATTTCAAAAGCATCATCCACATGGTAAACGCAGTATGAGGCTACAAAACTATTTGAGCTTATATCATGCAGAAGCACCAGGACCGAGTTCCACCCCGCATTCAAGATTTACCTCTTGAAGGAGACGCTTTTCCTTAACAGATTCAGTCCGTTAGAATTTGGAAACCCATATCAAGAAAATGTGGCCGCACAAAACGAGACTTGTGCTTAGAGGCCAAGCTTCATCACAAATATACAAAGAATAATACCACCACCGAACTCCCAATACTACGAACACTTTGAAAGCAGTTGACAGGGAAATCACATTTGAAATGATAGCTCCAGGACATACCCATCCTCCCTCTTATAGTCCAAAGGCTGCACGTAAACATCCACAAATGCACAGCTATGGCCAAACAAGAAAGACGTTATACTCTATGCGATTCCTCAACGTCTGTTTCGTTGTTTGTGCCATTAAGTAGGCAAAAAAAGGCTAGTATCCAAATGAAACTCATATGCTAGACGATATACATCCAATACAGAAACCCACTAACTTGAATCCGGACCACTTGAGAACAATTGACATGGAGGCAATCACAGCATGCAGATTAACTCCATCAGCTTGGTTTTGACCCCCCCCCCCCCCCCCCCCCCCCCCCCCCATGAAGCCCCGTTCCAACTCTTGCTTTCAAAACCACTCCTGCTCATCTATCGTCTAAGGACTACAATGATCTCGATGGGAATGGAAACAAACATATCACATCCAAAATGGTACTTTAGTCTTGGAGAACAATAAGGCCGAAACCAAAGGGCATCATATTGAATTCAGCTGTAATACTCCACAAAAAAGCCACAGATCAAGAATAAGCACAGCTGCCTCCTACGACTATAATAGAAGGGTCAATAGAGAACAATAAGACCGAAACCCAGAAATGGAAGCGGTAATGTAAAAGTGTGGCAGAACTGCAATCACTGAATTGCCCACACACCACCACTGCCATACTGTTAGAGTTCCCTCACTGTTACCTTATAAAACTGGAGAATTTTACCTTGTTCATACTTCAACCATAAGTAATCACCGAATAAGGTAAAAATGAAGAGGCAAAAGGCACATGTGCCACAAGAGAACTCAATGTTCTGAGCCATATTCAATAGAAGGGCACCGGATGTACTACCCTTTTTCTCCAAATTGTCACCGGAGGCAAGGAAAGTGAGGTTCTATGTAGTGCAGGAACTAGACTGCACCATATGTACTAACCTTCCAATTGCTATTACCTATTGCACGGGAGACACTGCACTGCTAAAGAACATACCAATATAGTGCAACCTCTTCCAACCCAGCACCTTTGTTGTTTGCAGTAGAATAGGCTGCTATCATGATAAGTTCAAAATCAACCTACCCATCCCCAGACAAAACCAACTAGATAATAAATATTGCAGTGAATCAAGAAAGCCTACAAGATGAACAGAGAGCTAGAAAGAATATGGCAAGTCTCATTTGCAGCCTTGCTTGAACTTCCAACTGCATCTAGACAGAATCCATCTGCATCTATGAAGTCCATACTAATCTCAATGGTTCAAGTTGTTATTCTGTCAATGAATTGATTGTTTGCTTTGGCACAGGATTCTTTAATATACAACTAACTACCCAGCTAAACACATTGATACTATGTACAAGGACACCAAACTTGGTTATAGAGGACAGAACCAATGAAACCCATGCTTAACACCAACTCTTGAGAAATCAAAATTATCTCCATGGAATATAATTCAGGGAACCAAGCTCAATAGCCAACAATTCTAAAGCTCACGGATAATTAATAGCAACACGAACCTCAAACACCCATTGAACTTGTCACTTTAAAAGCAAGTAAAATACTAATTCCCACTTGATTCCCAGTGGTTTTATCCTCATTTTACCACTCCACTGCAACACAAATCAAGACAAACGAAGTCTAAAGCACATCATTTTCCCACTCCACTGCACTCCACCCATTAGCCGAAATGGTGATGAGCACCAACCAGTATGGCAAACGGGCAGAAGAAGCAACCAAGTCCCATCATACATTCATAATTCATTTCTAGTACCAATTGGAATATCCTCATCTTAGAGAGCACGACCAAAATGATAGACGAAGAAGGCAACTAAGATAAGCCAGACCGATCAATGTTCACCTTTGCTATTTCCAGACGCTTCACTGCAATGTGTTAGGTTACCAATATAGAAAAAGTCCTTGGAACCCATTAGCCGAAATGGTGATGAGCACCAACCAGTATGTCAGACGGGTAGAAGAAACAACCAAGTCCCATCATACATTCAGAATTTCTTTCTAGTACCCATTGGAATATACCTCATCTTAGAGAGCACGACCAAAATGATAGACTGAGAAGGTAACTAAGATGAGCCAAACCAATCAAGGTTCACCTTTGCTAGTTTCCGCCATTTCACTACTAGGAAACTAACATAGAAAAGGTCCTAAAAGTGCAACGATACAGGTTTTAAAAGCACTAAGGTGCCTAACTACAAAGGAGTACTGGCTAGTAAGCCATTATTTACTAACATAAAATGCAGACTGTTTTGCATGCAATACCTCACGCTGAAATAAATAGAAACTTCTGCATAATCAAGATTCAACACCTTCATGCTTAACACCATGCTACCAGCCTCTTCTCTCGTATGGAGTATACACCTTTTATAGTTTAAACTAGTTGCTACAACAACAAAGAGCTACATGAGATGAAACAATATGACTGGGATTTGCAAGAACACAGCCACATATTATCATCTTTCTTAATTTGCTTGATCCTCAAATAACAACGATTCCAGAGGCTTTAGAAGGACACGGTAATACACAGGAAAGATCCATGGCATCAGGGGCAATCAAGGCATGCAGGTGCAACTCCACCCAGTTTGCAATATAACAACATGACTGGGATTTGCAAGAACACAGCCACATATTATCATCTTTCTTAATTTGCTTGATCCTCAAATAACAACGATTCCAGAGGCTTTAGAAGGACACGGTAATACACAGGAAAGATCCATGGCATCAGGGGCAATCAAGGCATGCAGGTGCAACTCCACCCAGTTTGGTTTTAACCACCATGTGGCCCTTGTTCCAAATCTTTGTTTCATAAACACTCCTTCCCATGTATAGTTTAAAAACTAAGATGATGACATCAATGGAAACAAACAAAACGCATCCAAAAAGGGCACCACGGGAAGCATCATATTCAATTCACCAGCAATACTCCATAAAAGCCACAGATAAAAAAGAAGACTCGAGTGATAGGTCAATAGAAAACAATAAGACTCGAATGATAATCTGACATGGAAAATTTAGTAGGATACCCCATTTAAAGGAAATGGAAGCAGTAAATGTAACAAGGCGGCAGAACTGCAATAATTGTATTGCCCACACACCACCACCTCCATACTGTTAAGAGTCTCCTAATTGTTATCTTATAAACCTGAAGAATTTCACCATGTACATTCTTCATCAAATGAGGTAAAATAAAACCGAAAGGCTACAACAAGAGAACTCAATGTCCTGAGCCATATTCAATAGAAGGCTACCAGAATCTGATGAAACCAACAGCATAAAGAACTACATGTTCTTCTGAACACTCCAAAGCATGATCTATAGGATTTATAACACTCCAAATCAGAATTGATAATAATGTTGTTATTCAAAAGGGAAGTCCATCTAATTGTTGATCCATAGAATTGTAGCTAACTTTCCATCCAAAACAATAGATCTTCCAATCGAGAAATTTCTAAAACAGACATTGTAAAGGAGGCCAGGAGTGTGAGGTTCTTTATAGAGCAACGACCAAACGGACGCCAGATGTACTATTTCCTCCAAATTATCACCAGAGGCCAGGAGAATTGAGGTACTATGTGGAGTAGGAACTATACTGGCACCAGATGTACTAACCTTCCAAAAGCTATCACCTACAAGTTGAGCTAGTATACGGTGCCATAACCATAGACATGTCTGCAAAACATAAAGACCCTGAGTTCCAAAGGATAGATAAGCATTGAAAGCAACCATTCAGGCAACAACAACCCACTTACTTTAAACCAAGCTTAAAAGAATTAAACATTGTATTTTTCCCATTAGTCGCAAGGAATAAAACCTATAAACTCTTTCCCAATATTGTTTTGATATTCCAACTCTTGAATAAAACCTAAAAGTAGAAAAAGCCAGCAGTCAAACGAAATAAATAGCTCACATGAATGCCAAGAACCACAAAAATAAAACTTATGCCTCAGCTTACTCCTTTTCTGAGATCACATAATTGGAGCATAATTCTGATTGCGTCCCTCCTAAGACTCGCAAATGACATATGTTTTACACATCAATCGAGCACATTGGTCTTATCAACTTTGTTTCTTGTATCTGGGAGCATTTTACTTGCACTGGAATGCTAAAGAAAATAACCAAATGAAGCTTCTAGCCCAACACCTCTGTTGTTTATCAAGATAGTTATCAAGTAGAATAAGGCTCCTTATCATGAGAAGTTCAAAAACAACCAATCCATCATCCCTAGACGAAACCAACTAGAAAAATATTGCACTGAATCAAGTCAGACTACAAGATGAACTGAGCTAGAAAGAACATAGCAAGTCTCATATGCAGCCTTGCTTGAACTGCCGATATCCATCTACATCTATGAGGTCCACATGTAATCTCAAGAGGACCAATTTGTTGTTATTCCATCAATGAATTTATTGTTTGCATCGGGACTGAATTCTTTAATATGCAGCTGAACACATTGATACTGAATACAAGGACACCGAACTTGGCAAGAGGACGAAACCAATGAAACCCATGCTAAATACCATCCACCAGGAAGGAAACCTTTGAGTCACAACACTCTAAAAGTTTAAAACGATCTCCAGGAAATTTAATTCAGGGAATCAAGCGCAATAACCAAAAATTCCAAAAGCTCGCAGAAAATTAACAGCAACACGGCCCTCAACCTCCCATTGGACTTTATCTCTTTAAAAGCAAGTTACTCATGCCCAGGTTATTCACAGAGATTTCATCCTACATTTTTCACTCCACTACAACACACATCAAGACAAACAAAAGTCTAAAGCGCATCACTTTAGATTTAGACACCCGTGAGGCACCTAATCACTAAGAAACCAATTTACTTCCTCCATTGAAGATCCATAGTGACAAAATAATGACCATAGAAAAATGCTGCCTCCTTTGCAATAAGGTACTTAATCTTATGCAGCCTCTTGGCCATCTGTGAGGCTGCAAACAATGCACAAGAAAGACCAATAAGGATGCAATTCACATAAGAATAACAACACGTCCTTAATTCCTCCCTTCTCGTATGAATGGACAGACCAAAAATGGTTCCCTTCTAGAACCCCAAATACATTAACATTACTTTCAAGAACCACATGGTCATGGCAGAAGGGCAACTTGGATTAACCACAGTTCCCTTCTAGGACCACATTAGCAAGGACCTCAAAAGATGCGTGGGCAAAGCACCTGATAGGCAGAAGTAATAGATTGTACAGAAGAGCAGCTACACTAGCACATCGCTCTCTGCTGGGACCACATCATAACTTTCACGTACCCTTAATTCCCCTTCTCATATGAATGGATAGCACAAAATCATTCAAGCCAACACTATAACAATTAATTTTTACCATTAGAGCTTCGAGACTAAAGACAGGGACAAAATAGGGAAGTCGTGATAAACAAGGTGATCAAATTTGGACTCGGACTTAGGGATGAATATATTATTGAACACAGAATTCCCAACACAAGCAACCATTCGGCACAAAATCCCTACAGGCAACAGAGTACTTCAAGGGCATACTCCCATTGATTGCACCTATTGAAGAGTATAAAACCATAAAAAGAAGGATAAAACCCTTCATATCCAGCCATAAATCGATATACTCCAGGAAGAGCATAATAGGCAGTCAAAAGCATAGCCAAATATAGCCTTCTCTATATTTTCATAACCATGGGACTAAAACCACATATCCAGCAAATTCAGAAATGGACGACGTTCTAACAAGGATTCTGATATTGATCAAGAAGAAGAGCCTACTCTTGTAATCATATTGGATACACAACACCATTAAGAAATTCAGAGATCGATACCCAGCTTTCCCACATGACACTATAGTTCCAGAGACTAAAAATGGCAACAAATCCATATTCTCTTCCAACTCTTCCAAATGAATCAAGATAATCGCAGTACTATGATCATTTCCAAAAACTAACCGAACAGGATAATGCAAAGTATTAAAATGGAACAGAAGTTTCAAGGTTGATCCTCCATTCCAAAAGGCAATCCAGCGGTACCCCATACAAGACCAGCATCAAAATTTCCCTCTGAAAGTCAAGCCAGCGCCCCACATCCCAAAAGGATGTTCACTCGCAGCATAGTTCATATCTGAAACAATTTTGGCACCACAAGCATCTAGTTCTAAGAGTTCTGATAGTTTAGGAAGATGAGCAAGCGGGACTAGGCACAATTCTCTTCAAGGACCCGGAGTCGAATGAACATTAAAAAATACAATGATGTGTCAGGTGGAGCAAAAGGGCAATAAGTCTAATCATGTTCCCTTCTCGGACTCCGTCATAGAATATGAACTGATATGTTCAAGTGGGCAAAAGGGCAATCCAGAAATATCCCTTATAGGATCCAACTATTTAACATCATATCATTAACCAAACCAACAGGCACCAACTGACAATTGGGAAAAATAGGTATCAAGAGCAAGTGAGTTGCCTTTCATATTATCTCACTGACATACAACCAGATGGTTTTCCCCATTCAGTAAAATGATCGGACTAGACTCAATTTTCTTTTAGGGACTGAAACTGTGGAGCAGAAAGGCAACTAGACTAGTCTTAGTTCCCTTCTAGGACCCTATTAGCATATACCTTTGAGTAGCCACCAAAATTAACTAATAGAGCAGAAGGGCAACTAGACTAGTCTTTGTTCCATTCTAGGACCCCATCAGCATATACCATGGAATTTCCACCAAAATGTGTTAATAGAGCAGAAGGGCAACTAGACTAGTCTTAGTTCCCTTCTAGGACCCCATCAGCATATACCATGGAATTTCCACCAAAATGTGTTAATAGAGCAGAAGGGCAACTAGACTAGTCTTAGTTCCCTTCTAGGACCCCATTAGCATATACCACGGAATTTCCACCAAAATTAACCAATAGAGCAGAAGGGCAACTAGACTAGTCTCAGTTCCCATCTAGGACCCCATTAGCATATACCACGGAATTTCCACCAAAATGATCAAATAGAGCAGAAAGGCAACTAGACTAGTCTTAGTTCCCTTCTAGGACCCCATTAGCATATACCACGGAATTTCCACCAAAATTAACCAATAGAGCAGAAGGGCAACTAGACTAGTCTCAGTTCCCATCTAGGACCCCATTAGCATATACCACGGAATTTCCACCAAAATGATCAAATAGAGCAGAAGGGCAGCTAGACTAGTCTTAGTTCCATTCTAGGACCCCATCAGCTATACAGAACAATAGGGGCCAATACGCCATAAATCATGCATCGGACTAGAGACTAGAAGCAGAAGATAGAATTGGAAAAACGTTTTTCCTTTTAGCTGACTATAAAAGGGGCTCAATTTTTATTGTCAATTTTGACTCACTTCATATCTCAACAGAAGCAACAATTCAAAAGAACCCCAACAGGCTCCCATAGTCCAGACAGTAGCTATAAACCTTTGCGTAAATGAAGCAACAGGGAAAACTATCAATCATGCCATTCCATTCACCAATTGGCTTAACCCGACAATTTTTTCAACGGACACAGTGGTCTCGAAAATCACTTCAATTCACTCCCTCTCATGATCAACCAATGGAAAGTGGTAAATCCGAAAACATTACCTCATGGAGAAGCCATGGCATCAGAAAATTCGACCCTCCAAGCCTTATTATCATCTATCGTCTGCCATTACAGTAACAACTCCGCACAGAAATTATGCTGTTTACCACAATCGTAGAATCATTGGGGATACCAGCAACTACTTAGGGCAACTGAGGGCAACCGGTTCAGACAAATAAGAGCAATATCTGTCTTACACAAATTTCATCGATATTTAGGGCAACGAGGACGAACAGAAAACAATAAGGGAAGACATCTTTTCCCCTTTACTTGAACAAGGCGAAAGATTCTTGAAGCCGACGAGAATAAACAAGGAATAGAGGCGATGAGATGCTTCTCCGATATCAAGCCTCATGGAAACCCTAAATGGAAGAACCAAGCCTTACCTAATTTTCAAACAGTCATTCTTGGAGATCCCATGAATGCTTATTTCCGGCAACGGTAACAATAGTGCGAAGACGATGTCCTGTCAGCTATTTATAGATGCAAAAGGAGGTTCAAAGTCGGTTGCCGCGTACGCGTATTCCTTGGTGTACACGTTTATTTGCCACGTGATGGACAGGTAATACTTTTTGCTTACCTGTCCTGCCAGCTGGATTACCAATCAACAAGAGAAGAACGAGTCAACATTTTGGGGAAAAGCCCAATGTTCCCTCTGCAATACACGGCCCAATTAAAATGGGTCCACTGAGAGTATACAGTAATACGAATCAAATCTGAGGATTTAATGCCCCACCAATATTGTCGTACGTACTAAATTATTTTTCACCATTAATCAGCCAATTATTAGGTTTTGATTAAAATAAACTGAATTAATTATTAGAATTTTTATGGATAGATTGAATTAGGATTCAGGAGTGGACATAGAGCCAACCATCAACATTAGGTCTCGAATTGGGCTGGTGGATTGTGGAATTGCCGATTGGAGCATCGAGTTAACGCATAAATTACAAACAATGAAATTCACCAAATATTTTTTTGTCAATAAATTTGTCTCCATTATCATAATGAAATGAAATTGTTAGCTTCAAATTGGGGACTCTAATTGTATGAATTCTGTGAGATGTTGACGATCCGATAAATTCGAGATTGGCTCCAGCTAACACGGTTATCATATATGCTTTACTGGAGGGAGTCGTTGGAAAGGGAAACAAGATTATCAAAATTATTATCAAACTAGATAGAAATCATATTTTGAAGATTCTTATGCACAATAAAGAGGATTGTTGGGTGAACAATTTTGGAATTTGAAGAAAATAAATCACTGGATGAAATGAAGTAATAATTATCATGAGATGAAGGTGAATTTCTTTATGAAATTGATTGCGCGATTTGGATAGAAGTGTTTTTTCTATTACAAAAGGTTAAGCAATTTAAGCTAAGCCAAATACATATGCAAGTTCGGTTTTTGAAAAACTTGTAAAGTGCTTTCTACAACGTTAAAGTAGAAGATCTGATTTAAAGTTTCTTCGAAAACCTGTTTTGAAAATACATGACTACCGTTACCCTGTTAAATTTCTTTTACTAAAAATATATTTTTCTTTCATTTATCTTATTATACAAACAAAACAAAACAAACGAATGATTACTTCCTTCAACGATATATCTTCGATTTTTCAGTTTATTCTAAACGAAACCAAAACTAAAGGACTATCAATTTTCTATCAACCAAAAATCGGTAAGCCTTAATGGTTTTGGTTTCAATTTTTGTCAATTATTTAATTATGTGTTCAATTTCAAAATGTTTTTTTCGGTTCGCTTAACAGAACCGCAACTTCTAATCTTGAGTTAGAAAACGAGGAAAAATCACTCTCAAGCTCTCTCTAGGGTCTCTCCCTCATTGCAAGTGTGCAACTCAATCTACCCGTACCCAAATGGAAAGAAAGAAAGGTGCATTCTCATACAATTCCAATTTCTCAGGAGGCAATCATTGCAAAATGCAAACTACAAGAACACAAAAACTTCCCTTTCCAACTGCTATTCTCTATCAAGGAAAGGGCGCAATAGAGGGCAAAACTGGGGAGACTACCAATTCCTTCATTACAATATCGCAATCAGTGCCGAGTTATGTCAACTCTGCACTTTCTACTCTATGGTTCCATTACTAATGGATGCAACCTTGCACACCCCAGCGGATGTCGAGAACGGGATGCCTTTGAAGCAAGCTACCAATTCAGAGTTGGTTTGAAAGTCCACTTTAAGGGTCTCCCATATCTTCTTCTTTGGGTTCAGTGAGACGTCGGGCTCCCCCTCGAAACCTGCAAACGTAACTCGCTCGCCCACGGTAGCAGATTCGGGTGGTTCAACCAATTCAACCTGCATTGTAAAATTCGCAATTCAGTCTAACCACATCTTCTGTGATAGTTATTACGGGCTTGCATCAGACGCGCTATGAGAAAGATGCAAAAGCCCGCACTGACCTTGGTGTGGTCGCTGTTGGAAGCAGCGAGAACCATTGCGTGTGACCTGATTCCCCTCATGGTGGCTGGCTTTAGGTTGCAGAGGACGCACACCTTACGATTCTGTCAAAAAGGTAAGATAGCAAATCAAATATTTTTCATGCAACTCAGACACGGGGAGTAGTCATTACGATCTTTAAGTACCTGCATATCTTCCAGAGGTATGTACTTTACAAGTCCACTGACAACTATTCTAGGTTCTGCTTCACCCACGTCAATTTCTTCCACATAGAGGGAGTCGGCATCAGGATGCTTCTGCGCTTTCTTTATCAAGCCGACACGAATATCCAGCCTTGTGACGGTGATTTCTGGCTCAACTGTTCCCTTTGACTTGCCATCTCCAGCAGGCTTTTTACTTTGTTGCTTTTTCCCACCATCTGTAGCAAATAAAAGAGATGTATAAGCCACCTATTCATTTGAATCCCTCCTGCTGCATGTGCAACAATTGCAGCTAACCTGAAATGTTTGACTTCTTAAGTTGTGCAGCAACTTTTACAGCTTCAGCCTCTGCCCTCTCTAACCTGTCAGCCTGACTGCCAGCAAATTTGGCACTGTAGAACTCCACATCTTCATCTTTCTGGAAAGGCAAAATGAAGAGTATGGTAAATTTCAAAAAAATGAAAAGAAAATGAATGTCAACTGCAAATGATTTGAAACAAAAGATAAGCTAACAAGTCGACCACCAATCCTTATTTCACACTAACAACCTCGTAATGACACTGACAAAGATACCCTTTGCTCACAAACATAAATAAGCCTGGAAGTCCGAAGCAATAAAGTTCTTACCAGTTCCTTAAACAAAGGCGCTGGAGTCCCAATTTTATGACCAGGAGGAATTATCTCCCACGGTCTTTTTGCCTTATCAATATCTCCTTTTTCATCAGAAAGTGAAGCTTGTTCGAAAGGCAAATTCAGCTGCTTGAAAACCTTGTACAAAGATGCATGAAGAAAATATCAACAAGGCAGTCAGATAATAAGTTATATGATCGAAATTCAAGTCATTTAATAACTTAAACAACCGGTTTCAAGACAGTTGATTTACCTCAGCAGAGAAGGATGGCATATAGGGTTCTAACAAACATGCAAGAAGATATACCAGTCCAACAGAGGTCCGGATCACTATGGAACAGGAAGGTTGGTCTTCCTTGTAAAGCTTCCAGAATTGACTTTCCTGCATTGACATGTATTGGGTATTAGAACAACATATCCAACCTCACCAAGACAATAAGGAGATACATCACTTACTATCGAGATACTAAACGTTCAAACTTACTTGAAGATAAGCGTTCCCTTCACTTGAAATGCTCATGGCAATTTTAAGTCCTTGTTTCAGTTTGACCTATAATATTAGAATGTTAGAAATCATTATTGTTTGGTGTAGGAATAGTTGGCAAAAATTCACACCTTTTCCATGGCTTCTAGATATTGGTCCACATGTCTGCCAACTTCTTCAGCAAGTTTCTTTGTCAATGAATGAGACTCTGCACCTGGAGCATCTGGGATAATGGAGCCATAACCAGCACCTGGACACAAGACATTGGCAATGGTGTATAGTCAAGAGGACAACACACTGATATTTGTTGTGCCATAAATAAACCATAAGCACAACTGATAAGATAACACAAAATGGTGGTGAACTTGAACTAGCAGCAAATCGACAAAATAAGGCATGGGCAACTTGTGTTGCTGCGGTGATCACCAAGCTACAGGTTTGGTTAATTTCAGTTTCCAGTTTCTACAACCCATCAGAACAAGGCTCAGCGGTTTTTTGTTATGGCAATAGGAAAACTAGAAAAAAAATTTAGAGTTTTTCATAAGAAACGGAAATCCAAAAATGAATAGTGTACAGTCAATGAAATCTGATCAGACCTTACAGATACTCAAAGCAGGAATGTTAGAATGCTGAAGGAACATAAAGGAGCTTCCGGAAACAGGGCATAGCAAGGGAAGGAAAATCACCAACAGTTCCAGAACTGGTGATTACTCCCAATCAATAGAAAGAACCGGTAACGCAGTAACAACCAAGACCAAATTTAAGCAATGTAGGAACAGAAGAATGCAGCCTAGTCCACCAATTTTAATGCGACATTGCAAGATAATATGCGAACAACACCCAATCTAGTCTAGCGAAAGCTAAGAACTTCTGAGCAGCTAATTTACCTTCAGGCTTAGCAATAAAACTCAAAACTCTATTGACGAAGTTCCCCAAATTGTTGAGCAACTCGCTGTTAAGTTTGGCTTGCAAATCGGCCCATGTAAATAGTGTATCAGATACCTATTTACATGAACTTCTGGGTCAACATTTATAATATTTAATAACAAAATAGTCAAAGAATAGGAAAATGAAACTGAAGTTACCTCTGGACGGTTAGTCAGTAGATAATATCGATATACTTCAACAGGGATGTTAGTATCTTTTGCATCAGTACCAAAAACGCCTATCCCTTTACTTTTCGAGAACTTCCCTGTACAAACCATCCACCAATCGTTCAGTGAGGTCTCACACAACTGTGAAGAAATGTTAACGGTGATCAGAACTGAAGGCCAAGACAGAATTATTTTCCACTGTTTATTTACCAACCTGCTTCATAGTTTAAGTATTCTGTTACACTTATAGTCTTCATCATGGTCCAACTTTCACCAGTTCCAATAAGTGAAGAAGGAAACATAACCTGAAATAAGAGAATATCTTCAGGAGGACAACTTCATTGCATCAATAGAAGAAAACAGTGTGAATGACCAGTGCAAGCTTTTCTCGGAGCAGTGATGCTCAAGATCACATAGCGATATGCAAATCATCAAAGCCTACTTGTCTGCTTATCTAACACAAGGCAATTTACAACCAAAATTATGTTTTAGTTTCCTTTTTGAAATAAATCCTGTTAAGGTATTAATGCCTTACATGAAATCAAGATCCAGCCAGGCCAGGGTCTTCACTAATTGTCACTTATTCCCTATATTCTTAAGTAGCATCAGAAAAAAAAAAAAAGTGAAAAACATGTATTTTCTAACTTAGATTTTACATACTGTTGTTTAGAGATGAAAATAGTAAGAAAAGGTGGACATACCGTGTGGAATGGGACATTATCCTTTCCCATGAACTGATACAGCTCAACATTTTCAGGATTCTTCCACCACTTGTCCCAGTCAGGAGTGTAGCTAGCTGTGATTGAAACATATCCAATAGGAGCATCAAACCAGACATAGAAAACCTGGCGGAAGCATGACACAAGGTTGTGAAACTCATGAAGAGTAGATATATCACATGTGCTTCGACAAACGTCAAAGTATAAATTTGACTTATCTAACTAGATTAGACTACGAGCAAAAATGCATCTTGATATAAAATAAAAAAGCCAAAAGAATTTAGAAACATGGCTCCCAACCTTGTCCTTATACTTGTCATGGGGAACAGGAACCCCCCACTTCAAATCCCTGGTAATACAACGTGATTTCAGCCCTTCTCTAAGCCACGCATTTGTAGCTTGGATGGCATTCTGGCTCCAAGAACCAGCTACAGACATGTGCTCAATATATTCCACGAGTTGATCCTTCAGCAAGGGAAGCTCAAGAAACAAGTGATCCGTGTCCCGAATACGTGGAGTGTTACGACAGACCTGTTCAAATATGAGAAAGCATGGAATGCACAAAGGGTGAATCGCTAACATCGAAATTGAAAGTTTTAGAAAATTAAGATGCAGATGGAAGACATCTATGGATAGATACTATTTTCAAATCAGAAGATAATACAAAAATTAGGAACATAACAGTATAATGAGCAGAGCAACAGTTCTTTATTACATCCCAGCCTCCATGTTTTTCAATAAAGTCAAGTCAAATCCTTCACTCAACCAACCAAAATAATAGTCCTTCACTCACACAAATTCTAAAGGAAACACTTCTACAGGCAAACTCTCAAACAAAACTCACGCCCCATTATATCCAAAAATTCATGAACGACAATACTGCAGCTGACACTGACTCTAGCATGCTAGTATTCGTTTAAGATAATCATTAAAACAAGAAATAGCACACTTCTTTCGTACCTTGCACTTAGGATCCTTCAGTTCAGTCGGATTCAGAAGTTTACCGCACTTTTCACATTGATCTCCTCTTGCAGAGTCATAATTACAACCCGCGGTTGGACACGTACCCTCAACAAGGCGATCGGCCAAGAACTTCGTACACGTATCACAGTACAGCTGAACTCAATATAACAGTTAAATAATCAGCACTCTGCACTCGGCAATAACATGAATTCAGTTTTCAGCCAAAACACGAAACTTCATATCCATTATCTACCTGTTGCATCGTGTTCTCCGAAAGCCAGTTGTTCTCCAACAGTTTCTTGAAAATGGACTGGCACACTTCAGTCTGCTGTGGGGCCGAGGTTCGCCCAAATTCATCGAAACTTATATTGAACCACTTGTAAACCTCCCGATGAATGGCATGGTACCTGAACGAGCAAAAAACCAGCACACGAACTAGGTAAGAACACAACCGAAGCAAACCGATGAGCTCTGAAGCATGTGGCCCAAGTGGAAACGAGAATTCATACTTGTCACAGATCTCCTTCGGAGAGCATTTCTCCTCCAAGGCCTTGGTTTCCGTGGCAGTTCCATACTCGTCAGTTCCGCAGATGTATATAGCATTGTAGCCTCGCAACCGGCAGTAGCGAGCAAACACATCAGCACTCAACACACCTACGAGGAAGAGAAATGAAATTTTCAGGCAAACCAAACGGAGAATCAACTCGCCGCACACATACTAAAATCATCTCAAAAGTAGCGAGAATTCATTGCATGTGCTAACTCGTCACTCTGAAAATCGGAATCAGTAATAGGGAAACGAAGCAACAGACCAATCCGTTCACAATGAAAAGAAAATTCGAGCTGTTGAGGGAAATGGAGGAGAAAAGCGAATTACATCCGATAATATTGCCGAGATGAGGTACGTTGTTGACATATGGCAAGGCGCTGGTGATGAGTATGTTTCGCTTGCCGGCCACCGGAAGCTTGGGGGCCTTCCGGTCACCGGCCGTCGAGTGATCTCCCATTATTCTTCCCGCTTAAAGCTCGCCGCCGCTAGGTTCCCAGCAAATTGCAGAGGTACTGTTAGCGCGAATTCGCTTCCTTTCCTTCTGTTCCACTTCCACGGCGCAACGATTTTAGGAAGATGGCTTTTGCAGTGCAGCTATTTGCTGGCTAGGGTAATGAATAGGATTGCTTACGGCACATGTATTATTTCGTTTTGGCCCCTCTTCTTTTGTTTTTTGTCAGAATCTACTTTCCAACTCGTACTATTTAATTAAGAGTGGCCCAACAAGCCCATTCTTTCATGGGGGGAAAACGAGCCCATTCTTTCATCAGTTAGTGGATTAAACAATAAAAAGTAGTCTCTGGGCCCAAACAATAATGAAATAATTTATCTGTGGATAGTGTATTAAAATTATGTGTATTAATTAACCTATATTTAGTATCATTTTAATTAATGCATTCTATTTTCGTAAGTAAAAACAGAGACATAAAATATTTAGTATTGTTTTCACATGTTGTTGTGACAATATGAGTTCAAAAAAAAATAGAAATGAGTAGAAATCAATAAAACCACTTAAAGTAGTTTTCTTGCTATTTCCAAAATAATATCTTATGAGATCCTAACAGTTGTCGTGAATAATTTCATTCAAATGAATCTGACAAACTTTTACTAGACCATACTTTATACATGTTGTCCCCTCTCAATCCCCGAAAATCATTTTTTCAAATATTATTTGCATATCATTTTCTCATACCTCATTCAACCACACTTCATTTTATTATTTTCTACTTTTTACTTATTCTCAACCTCGATATCATGTAGTGACATAAAAAAAAATTAGGAGTAAAAAAGACATTGATGAAAAGTAAGCAACTAAATGATTTTATGTTATTGATTTTTTAGAATTATGAACTAAACAAGTTTTTGTTTTCCAGTCTCGACAACAATACTAAATGGAGCATAAGAATATGTGTATCTATGATTCATTGTTTCTATAGCTCATTTCCACAAAACGATTTAGATGAAAGATTTGAGGTGTCATATGTCTATTTCATAAACAAAAAAATTTAAATTTTCACTCCAGTTTAAATTTTGAAGTCATTGTAGGAAATTATCTTATTTGTTTACTCTTCCCCAACCTATATTTTATTATTGTGCCAATAAGTTTGAGTTGAGTTTGATTCCTTTGTCATGCATGTGCTAATCAATCAACATAACTTAAGTATAACAAGAATCAAAAGTCACTTAAATAACAATTCGATGGCATTTTGGTTAAGTTCCGAGCATCTTCTATGTCCCATGAGCTATCCCCTAATAGGACGAGTCTCGATATAAATAAGATATAAACAATAAAGAAGAACAACTATGTAGTAAGGATAAAAGACAATCCTTATTTTGCCTATTTTAGGTAACAATTGTCAAGTTAGACTTTCATGCCTATTTACTTGATGACTTGAGAAGGTTAAGTTGCACTTCTCATCCAGATCCCCAAGCTCAAAATGTTGTTTATAGATGTCTCACCAATAAATAAATAAATTATATATTAACAACCATATTGTATAATACACACCATCTCCAAAATCTATATCTAGAAGATTTCACATTCCAGCAGAAGTCTTAGAAACTTGCTTCAAGGCACTAGCCATTTCATCTGGCGTTGCTTCCCCGTTGATGAAGGCAACCAAAGGACTGTCCTTTGGCACCATATCATCTCTGATCTCCGATCTCATCAGTTCTTCTGAACCTTTCTTCACCACATTCTTCATCACTATGGTCTTGTGAGCTCCAGATATCATTTCCTGGTAATCCGTGTCTCCGGTTTCGCCCAATATCACAAACATGTTCCCGACGTTCAATCTCCATCGAACGAAGAGGTACCTGAGCGCCTGTGCTCGCGAAGCGAGAAGAGGAATGATCTGCATTCGCGTCGAGGCCCTGCAGTACATCGGATGGCAACGAAGGCCTCGCATCCTGAGCTTCTGCCTCAAGTCCTGCACTTTCATCACCTGTACACACCATGGAAAATGAACATTCAGTATTGAGTAAAATATCAGACAGAGTTGTCACGAGTTTGAATTAAACTCGTGACGATTTTTTACGTAGGATCGAGTAATCCTTACCCGACTAGGATCCTTGATCAAGTATGTGATGCAATGGGTATTGTTCAATTTGTCATCTTTCTCGATGGGACTAGACGATCCAGTTTTTGATGGACCACCATTCTGATCAGGTGAATTCATCAGCTTCCATATGGTGTTCTTGAGGCCTTCACAGCCCCAACGATAGTCGATGTGAGTAGCGTAGTCAGGATCGGGGTAAAGCTTTCCATCTCCTTCAGCATAAGCTCCAGGATAATACAGTTCACTCCCACTACTGCAAATCAGTGCATCAAACTCAGCTGTCTGGAGTTTTGCTGATTTCAGGAATGCTTGTGTTTCAGGAAGTGACATAGCAGTTGATATTGCAATCCCGGATACTCTTGCAAAGAGTGAGTCCATGCGGATGGCTTTCATGATGTCTTGCAGGATCTTGACCATCTTCCCCTCAGGTTCTCCCTTGTTGTCGTAGTAGTCAAGAGCGATCACGATCAATCTACGTCGTTTCCTCAGCAAAGGGTACTTGCTCAACCCTGTCTCGGGCTTGACAGGTTCATTGTCATTCGAGGAGATAGATTCCGGTTTCTTCATCCTGCTCATAACATTCTTCACCTGGTCCTGGATGTCACGCTCACCACTCGCGGCTAGGTAATCCACTGAGCTACTGAATCCGTCTATCGAGAGCCTTAGGGACATATCTTGCACATCCTTTAGGGAATCGTTGAGGGATGACTGTTCTGCGGGGCATTCCTCGAAAGGAGTATCAGTTTGCCACTGGGGATGCCTCATCCGACAAGCAGCTACCCTGGTCAAGTAAGTACGACAATGTTCAGGCCACGAGAACAGGTGTATGTTCTTCCAACCATTTCTTCTGCAGTCATGCCACAAGTTCTTCTCTGACACCAGTTTAAGCAATGCATCAGCAATGGCATATTGGTCGTGAGGATCGACGAGCAGACCATTGTTCAAAGCCTGCCAGTTGGAATACATGATAAAGATCAGCAATCAAAATGCTTAAAAAGATGGTTCAAAAAGTTCAAGCTCATTTACCCGATTGATGTCAACTGGTCCTCCATTTTTGGTTGCTACCATTGGAAGCCCATGAGCTGCTGCCTACAGTGTCCCAAGAAAGAAAAGCATCAATCGAAATTCGAACTCTTAAACGACAAGTTGAACTATGGTGAAAATGAAACCAACCTCAATCAAGGTAAGACCAAAAGGCTCAACCAATGCTGGATTGATGAAAACACCCTGCATAAATCAAACCCACATTAATCACCTCTGCAAGGGGAGAAAAAAATCCTAACAAGTTGTGGCAATGAACCTTGGTTTTTGCAGCAAGCCTGTAAATCTCCGGAACATCGGCCTGTTTGTGGTGCTTAGGGTAAGCCACTAGACCATAAAGATCATATTTGTCAATCATCTTCAGAACTGTGGTGAGAACATTTGCATTGCCTCCAGTCATCTCATCTATGTCATCCCTATTCCCCATTATCAATGTCTGCACAAAGTAGCACATTACCTTGTAAGAATCATCATATCTCATCATCAACTATACCAGTATATTATCCAAGACAAGGTGCTTACAAGATTCGCAAGCTCTCTCAATGGCCGACATTCTCCAAATGCTTTCAACAGAGTTGTAATGTTCTTCTTAGGGTCGGGCCTCGACAAGGCCAGAATCATCGGCTTGTGAGGGTTTGTCAGGAATCTCATTACCTGACAATAAAGAACACGAGCTTATCAGAAAACGGGAAAAAATACACCTGCAGTAGTACTGCAATGTTGTCACCAAAATCCGCAAAGAGAGACTCACTTCAGACCATATCGTTGGAATCGCTTTCGGGGAAGACCCTTCAGTACCACCAATAAGCGAGGTAAGCTCTCCATCAACTTCAGGTGTATCCTCTTGAATCACAACATTGCTGAAGTCCATCCCAGGAGGAATAACCTGTGCAGCACTTAGAACCTCAAAAACCAGTATACATGTCTACAAGTAAAAAAAAAACAGAAAGAAAGACACAAGTTCTCACCACCATCCTTGGCATGTATCTCCCATGGCAATTAACACCGCGCCTCGATCGAGCACGTAACACCTTCTCAAGCTTCACATCAAACCCATCATACAGCCCCCACTGCTCCTCGATCTCCTGCTTCGTACTCGTGATCACCAATTCAGCAGCATCGAGCGCGAGCTCCTCCCCTTCGATCCTCCTCATGATCTTATACGTCGAATTGATGTCCTCCTTCGACTGACGCCCCTGCTTTAGAAGTTGCTCCAGCTTGTTCCTCCCCAGCGAGTGTCCAGTCAGAACCATCGGCACATTCAGCGCGCCAGACAGCAATGCAGCACTGTCGCCTGCATCGGCATAATGTCCATGAATCACATACGGCCAGATTGGCTTGCCTTCACCAATCTGTTCACCCAACACTTTCGACATGTTCAGAATGTGCACAAGAGCTCCATCCACGAATTCCTGAATGTACGGCCAGAGCAGCTCCTTTCGAAGATACTTGTCTCGAGGACCGAAGGGGATTCTCACTATGTAGGCGCCACTGCTCTCCCCCATCTCGTTGCCGTCGCCATCTTCAGCTCCCGAAGATAGCATCTCCGTCGGTTCGCCATAGCTCCAATCGACATCGGTGCACAGAACCTGGCGGGTGAAGAGATCCACTCTGTACACTCCAGGCATCTTGGCGAGTGCTCGTGCTAGTTCGACCACATACTTGACCTGAGAGGAGACAGTCAATGTGTAAAGCAACATAACTACATAATTATGAATTTTGGAGGAGCTAATTAATGGAGGTTCATTTACCTGTCCTCCAGTGTCGGAATCTCGACCAAGCTCCATGTTTTCTCCCCGAACTAGACCGTGTAAACTGGTCATCAAACAAGTCGTATAAAACGAGACCGCGGTTAAATCTGTTATCGACCTTAACACGCTTCGAATCGAAAATTCGTATAATGGTCAAATTCGTAATATTGTATTTTACCACTACCATAGGAACCATAACAACAGAGTACACTGCAAGAAGGAAGTGAAATACCTGATAAGAACAATGTAGAGCTTCTTTTCCTTCTTATCGTCCGACCAGACTTCCAAGTTGGAGGAGTTTCGTTGGAAACGTTTCTTTGGCGTTTCGCAACTGTGTGTTAATTCCCCGACGCCGTCTCCCTTTTCTCCTTCCGATAAGTCCTCCGACAAGTCTTCGGTGGCATCCTTTCGCCCCTGCTCCCGCTCCATTCTCCGCTTCGCCGACCTCTGCAGGTCTTCCCACTCCAGCTGCTTGCCATCACATCGGATCACGTCAAACACATTGCATGTAAGATTAGATCATACAGTAATAGTACCAAGCATTAATTAAGATTACTACCATTACTTGCAAGAAATTTCACTTTTTGCGAAGAATTCTATTGCGACGACGAAAAATTCATCGCAAAAACTGCACATTTTGCGACGAACTTTACTTTTTCATCGCCCGCATAGTGTTAATAATCATAGTCGGTAAGTGGGATAGAGGGCTTTGCGACGAACATTTTTTCCACGTCGAAATGATTCATTGCAGATAATATGAAATATTTTACAATTCGTCGCAGAATATTTTAGAGACTTTTTGCAACGATAGTCCGTCATCGCAGAATGTTAGTGGAGGTTATGCAACGACGAATGTAACTCGTCGCAGAATAGTTTGAGATATTTTGCGACGATTATCTGTCGTCGCAGAATTTTAGGGGACTTTTTTTTTCTTTCGTACCTGCTTCTTTTTGCGAGTAAGGTGCCAAATGCGCCAGCACATGTTCTCGAGCCTGGAGCTCCGCTCGCGAGTGTTGCGAGTGGCGACGACCTTGATCCACGTCCGGTGGAGGTCGGTCTCATCGACGCCGGTGACGACCTCCTCGACGAAATACTTGGTGGGGTTGAAATGGCCGCTGTCTCTGAGATCCGCCGTCGTCGGCTTGTCCTCGATGGAACCGCCGGCGCCACTGTCCAGTATGGCTTCCAGGTACCCATTTATCCACTCGTTTCCCGCCATCGCCGCCGCACCAAAAACCACCGGCGTTAGCCTGGTTGATCAATCAACGGGATTGCAAAGAGACAAACAGAGCAAACATTCGTGGAAAGGGAGGAAAAAGCTTTTTTGGGGGATCTTCAATGAGGAAGCATGCCTCGTTTTCAGACGTTGTGAGAAAAAGCGGAGTTGTGGGACACGTAGTGGTGGTAACCGTGAATGGGAAGGAGAGAACGGTCAGATTCGTGACACGTGTGAGCCAGGGTGTGGAGAGTGGGCGGGATTTTGGGCTAAATTTTTGGGTGGCATGTTTGTCCGCTTCCCAATGGCGATGCTCTGGAACTGCAAATAAGTGTCTTCTTCAGGTTTTTCTTATCACAAATTTAACAATTATAAAAAAAAAACAAGTTAACTGTATTATCCACACTCTATTCATGGATTTAACTGCACATTTTATTGAAAGAAACTTCACATTTTTCTACAGTTAGTAGCCATCTTAGTCCTACTCCTACCTATGTTTAGGAGCCAATTTTTTTTTGTTTAATTACCGGGGGGGAAATTGTTTGATTTTGATTCGGTTCATTACAAAGCAAACATTGTCTCATAAACAGAACTAGCGTAGAGCCCGACCCGTTGGTCGGGAGAGTTTGATATTTAGTAGAGGTGTAACGAACTTTGAAATTTATGTGTAATATTTGAGGTTTAACTTTTTCGTTTGGATTATTGACGTTTGGAGTGTTTGCTCGGGGAAGTTGCCATAAACAATTAAGGAAAATATTGAACATATTTAACTCATGGATCTATAAAATACTACCAATGTGTACCTAATATAAATATATACCCAATGACAATTTAAAATTTTTCTCTAAACAAACTTGGAAATGAAGACAATAGATAAACATGCACTCTGTAAAGGAAAAGATGGCCTGCAAACGTGCATTGTACACACATAGCTATAAAACCAAAGTGAAATATTAAAAACAACATTTTGATGGTAATTAGACTGTTATATTGCTTTGAATTGAAACTAAAGATATAAAAAAAAAACATTGGCTGAAGATGCCTGAATGCGGTTGTTCCTTTAAACATTTTCTTATGGCACAAAAAATGGATTGCACTTCAATAATCTTCTCAAGTTTCGGGAGAGAATCAATATCTACACATGTATAAAATTTGATATTGGTGAAATTTAAGTCAAAGCAACCAGTACCAAATGGATTAAATTTCAATACAAATGCAGGAATAAATTTGATTTAGTTGTTCCCTTTTTGCAAAAGTTTCTTGTTGGATATGACCGACTGACCGTTATGCTTGTAGAAACATTGCTTAAGGAGAACGCAAAGAAATCATGGTATATTTACTTTACAACTTGGTATACACATAAAGATTCCTTTTTGATAGCATAAGAATTAACATATGTCAATAAATTGCTACATTTTAAAAAATGCTTATGTTGGCATCTCAATATGGGTTCAGTGCCAATGCCAAATGTCTTTGAAAGTAAGAGGGTATAACAAATGCACATACTGGGTGGCGAAAGAAATGGCTCGGGGATCTCTCCCTCCCGATTGGATTCATATTGTTGATTTAATATCACTATGGTTGTAGTTGTATCTTGTCTCATCTTGGTTGTAGTTGGTCTCGCTTGTACCAAGACCATTGATTAATGAAGTACTTCTCCGTTTTAAGAAGAAAAACAAAATTAATGACAAATTAGCTACATATGAGGAAATGTTTCAATTGATTAGAGTATCAATAAAATACCTCGAGGTGACGCTATGAAAACACTATACTGAATTTGTGTGGATCAATGTTGTGGAAATGGTGTAAAATTATTTATATTACAAAAAAAATCATGGTGATCGCACCAAATCTATCTCAAATGCTTTCAACTTCCATATTCAAATCGCCTCCAAAAATGCATTATACAAATCAAGCTCAGTATACACGGGGCCGTTTGGAGAATAAGAGCTAAATCTCTAAATTTTAAACAATTCAATATTTTAGATGAGTGCATGTCACATGCCAACTAAATGTGACAACAAAGACTTTCTAAAGATAGCATCATTTCCGACTCATTGAGTGAGAGTTTGTAAATAAAAATGACAATATGTTTAGAAGAGAGCAACATTGATAAGAAACTAACTCACACAATCATGGTTGGAGTGTTATTTCATATAGAAGCAATTGTGACACTAATGTTGCCTAAACATCATCGCGACACTAATGTTATCTAAGCTTGTGAATCTCTAAATGGAAAGTTAAACTAATAGGAAAGCACAGAGCTAAATCAGAGTGAAACAAAATACTGAAACTAAAAGCAACATACCTAAATTGAAACCCACAAAGATAAAAAGTCATTGTGGCTAGCCAGCTTTAGTGCCTAGCCCATCACTATAAGCCTTATTTCAGTGTTAATCCTTGAAAATTTAGCTATTCATTTTCTACTTTTTAAGCAACTTGTATCTTTTTCGTTTTAATTGAAATTAATTTTTTTTTCCTAAAAAATAACATCATAGCGAACTAAAGAATTCAATATATTTCTAGGAAATATTTTTGGGACCAAATATACCTCCATTTCCCTTACTATACCATAATGTTAATTAATGGTTGTTGACGATGGAGTAGAGGATACATGATTAATATATTCATACTATCTTGCATACAATCATTGTACACTACAATATCTTCATAGCATAATGATGCTTAGCAGGGATCCTAGTACATGGTGAATAACCAAATTCCAATTGAAATGAGCGACGGCGGAAGACGAAGACCGGCCAACAATGAAGCTTTATAGTCTTATGCACTGCCAAGTTTTGCCACCATTGTATACAATGATCAAAAATAGCTCAATTTTGTGTCAAATATATGAGAATGCATGTTATTTTGGAGAATATGGTTAGTACCATTTTACCGTAGAAAAATTATAAATTGTGAAGTAAAATAAAAAAGATAAAATCTACACATAATATAATACACCGAAGGGAAAAACGGGAGCCCCATTTCAAATTTCCTGCAACGAGAGTGAAAGTAGGAAGGACATTTTGGTCTTCACAATTACTTTTTTTTATTCATTAAAAAGATACGTACTAGGATTCGAACCATGACCATTTTAAAGAAAAGCAAGGATCATAACCAATCACACTAAGTACATTTGTTGTATCTTTTTAAATTAAAAACATATAATAGCAGGGAGGAAAAAACCCTTCCCCCATTTCAAGTTCCCTACTCCAGGAGCGTTTGTAGGAAGGGTAGAATAAAGAGTATCAATTTTTTTCTCTTTCCTCTGTGGAACGGGCCAACTTACCGTATACATGCGGATTTATACGGGCCAAGGAGTGTCAATTTTTTTTCTTTAAGCCATTTTATTTCTCCGTGGTGATATAATATATACGGAAAGGCAAAAACAATACTCATTTTTATTGCTAAAAATAAAAAATTTAACAATAAACTAATGCATGGTATCTAATGGGCTAACCGCTAACCATAAAATAAAAGAGTTGAATGGGCCTGACCTACACGGTATTTGGCCATCAAGTAAAACAAATGAACATCATTGGTTTGTCATTCTAAAACAAGTTATTTTGTCTGGCATAATATATATTATGCTATTATTTTATATCTTAGTGGCTAAAATATAATGTATTTTAAAGTTATTCAATGGTTCAACCTCGACCAACCCAATTAGTCCAATTTTTATCATTTCAAATATATATTATATAATTATTTGATATCATAATGATCAAATTATAGTGTATTTTATAGGGAATTGTTTGGTATTTGTTAGTAAAAAACTAAACAGAATGATCTATTTGGTTATTTTAAACATTAAAACGATCCTAAATATTTTCAGTTCCTTTTGAATTTTTATGGTTTTATTCCCGAATAAGTGATGTGCAAATGGCGAATTGCAGTCATCTCTTTTCTTTCACTATTTTTATTTTCAAATAGAAAGTTTAAAAGTAATGAATAATTAGAATTTGGCATGGGTCGGTCCAACATGCTGAATTTCAAGTTTTGGCCCGTTTTGATCAATTCTAATTTATAATCACATGGTTCCCTGATACCCGATAAAAATCTCAATTCAAACCAGTTTGGCAGGTGAGTCTGTGTTTACCACCATTTTCTAGGGATACGACAACGACGGTTCATATCCCAAATCGTGTTGTTCGTTCTTGATTTCCTTAGATTTTATCATGTCCTAACAAAAATCAGAAAGCACAATGACGACAAGATGAAAGTTTTATAAAGCAAATTAATCGACCAACGGGCCGAGTAAAAGCTAGCAACGATTGTGAGATGCTCATTTCCCGAAAACCGACGGGATATGCGATTTTTTATTCGATTTTCTGGAATTTGGTTTCTATAAAACTTACTCTACCTCATCATATTACCAGAAACAATATTGTTTCACAAGGTAACATGAACTTGATTTTGGTTCATAAGGCCGATTTTTTATTTATTGCATCATTCATGTCTCTTTCCTGCTAAAATTCACTATTTTTATCACGAGTTTCAAAAAAAAAAAAAACTATACAACAATAAGCTCTACACCTCATTACATTATCAAATTTCATACCTCACCTTCCTCCGGACCGGAGCCACGCTAGTCCTATATAAAAAGTATAAAGATAATACATACTAAATGTATGCTAAATAAAACATGAATGGTCGGTTACCCTGTTGCGTGGGTTTAGAAAGGAAAAAAAAGCCTGATATAACACAAAATAAAAACATAAAATAAAAGCACAAAAGGGTTAGCAAATTAAAACGCTGAGTTTCATTTAAAGTGTGTAAAATGACTTTATCACCCTACCGAGAAACGCTCTAAGAGCAGGAAAATTCAAATGGAGAAAAACCCACCCTTGAATCTCCATTATATATTGTTTAGATTAGAAGATTAGATGCTATAATTACTTTTATTTTCAAGTCGATGTATAGTTTAAGGATGCCAATGAGCCGAGTTAGGTTAAGTTTTGGTCAAGTTTGAGCTTAGTTTGTTTGTCTACTAAAGCAATAGCTCAACTCGAACTCGACTCGTTTTAGTTAAAACTTTGATTAAAACCCGGTTTATTGATAATTCACGAGCTCTACTCGAGGTCGGCTCATAATCTTAACTCGAAGTTAGCTCATTTGTTAGTCTAAATGGTTATACCCTGAATTTACTCTACAATATTATATAATTAGATATGTTATATTCATGGTCTAATGAATCACGGAGGCCCTGTTCCAAAATTAATATGTGGTCCAAAATAATGTGTTTGACAAAATTAAAATGATTGTACTATCATTAATTAAAATGTAATATCTTTGTAATATTATTTGAAATAAAATTATCTATTATCTCTCTAATTTTTGTGTTCTCCATTAATATTTTATTTTATTATTTTGTAGTATAAATAGGATTCTCATAACACGAACAATACTTTGATAATCAATTTACGTGTCTTTTTTTTTAGTAACGATTTACGCGTCTAGTGTATATATGCATGAGAATATTAATCAACAACTAATACTAATACTAACCTTAGTACATCACTTGGATAACGGTGATTCGGTTAACCGAAAAAATTAACCGAGAACCAACTATGTGATGACAATAACCGACTAATATAAACGGTGCGATGTGCTTATCGACTCACCGAGAAACGACTAAACATTTTCATATATAACCGAATCGATTACGAGCCCAAACTCTGGTTAAATGGACTCACAACATGATCCGCAAAGAAATCAACAGAAACACGAGGTTCTGTTAAGATATCTATCTATATCTATCTATCTATCTATATCTATATCTATATCTATCTATCTATCTATCTATCTATCTATCTTCTATATTTTATATATTATGACAATTCAAAAGCAATCTCTTGCCACATAATCACTTGGAGGATGCACAATTTGCCAAGTTGGAAAACTTTTTTACAAACAAAAAAATTAATTATTAATGTATTTATGGAGCTATCTCTCTCTTCTTTAATATTTCCATTTCTTTTATATATATATTTTTTTCTTTAATAATAGGTTACATGTTGATAAACTTAACCAAACACACATAAATAATAAATTTTATGTTGAGTAAAAAAAATATAAATAAGAAAACAGAAAGTAGCATATGCCACATTTGTTTAAATAAAAAGTATATGATTAAACCTTATGAAGTAAATTTTTTACTCATTTTTACTAAAATTGAATGATAAGTTACATTTTGATGAAAAAATTAAACAAACATACACATAAACAATAACGTCTTTTTTATTAAACAAAATTTATATGAAAAGAGAGAAAATAAACATTTGACATTCAATTACCTATGAAAAATAAATTATATTACTTTATATTTTGTTGCAATGAAACACTCTCTTATTCGTAAATTATATGTCTATAAAATTAAACAAGTATATATTATTTAGCAAAATGTCAGAGTATAATTTTGATCGAGTAATTATAGTTATTTACTTAAAAAATACTTCTTATTCCTCGGATCATGTTCTACCTTAAACTCCTCAAATGAAGTAACTGGATAATGTTGAGTCTACTATATATATATACACACATATATATATCTTTTGATCTTACTCAAGATACGATAGAAGATATGTATGACAAAGTATTTGCATAAATTAGAGGTTAGAGAATTAGAGATTAGAGTTAAACTATTAGAGGTTAGAGTATAGTATCATGCTCCAAAAAACTCCGGAGTCTAAATAGCAAAACTCAATGGTCGTTTGGTAGTGTGAACGCAAGAGTATAGCGTACTCATGGCGCACGCTAGCTTGAACTATATATATGTGTGTGTGTGTGTGGGGGGGGGGGGGGGGCGTTGTTCAGGTTGGGGTACGCTAAATATTAGTGTTTTGGTTGACAAATTTTGACATAAGTTCTAAATGGGACGTGACAGAGACATAATTTATGATTAGAAAACCGAAACATCAGAAGTGAGTGTGCTAAATATTGAAAATTTTCAATATAGACATACTACAAACTCTTTTATGAATCAAGAACAAAAAATATATAGAAGATCCAAAATGATTTAAACACGTCATCAATGAAGGTTTAACCACGCCATCAAACAAAAGCTAAGAAACTATGTAACACATACTAGATGGCAAATGCTCCATTCTGATTAGGGATGACAACAAAACCCGAATCCACGGGTACTCACCCGACGCAACCCGGTTAACGCGGGTAAAATCCGTGTTGACGGGTTTTGGGCCAGGTTTGGGTTTAAACTCGTTCACTATTCACCGGGTTGGGTTGGGTTTAGGTAAACCTGCCCCATGGGTACCCGGCCACACCCCATATAATTAATTTTCTAGGTATATTTAATATTCTAAACAACTAATCGTATTTATGTTTGTGGAGACATGTCTAATTTTTTTCTTTCTAATTCAGTAATTCTGTAGAATGAAGTTGATGTTATCGAGTGGAGAGTGAAGAAACTTTAGGAAGAAGCTTTCAATTAATCATGTTATATATGGATAATTTGTGATGTGCTTCAATTTTCTTGAGTTTTCTAGATTGGTGTTGAACAATTTGTATAGTTAATTTGTGATTTACTTGAATTTTCTAGAATGGTGTTTTATATATGGATAATTTGTATTGAGAGATTGATATTTGACTTTAATTTTGATACGAACTTGTTATTGTAAATTTTTACGAAAAAAACCCGTGGGTACCCATGAACCCGCGAATATCCAACGGGTTGGGTTTGAGTTTTTCAAACCCAGTAGATTTTACCCCGAGTTTTTTCACAGATAAACCCATGATTTGAGTTTAACAAAGCCCGACCCAGCCCCGACCCATTGCCATCCCTACACATGATGCATAATATCAACATCAACTGATTTTCCCCATCCCATAATTTTTAATTTGTGACTTATCCATCCTACACAACATAAATCAAAATAAACTGATTTACCCATGCCATGAATTTGAACTCTAAATTAACCATCAACATGTTTCTATGAAAATATTCCAAATTTAACCACATTCTCAACTTAATTACATGAAGTTTATATAAAATTTTGATCATGTGCGAGGAAGGTATATGAAAACTGCAGGATGGTAACGAATAGGCAGAAGTAGAGGTTACAAGAAGTAAGCACAACACACCACAAAACTTGAGTAGTATTCTACCGGATTACATCACATCCCTCCCACCTCATAACCTTCTAATTCTGAAAGCCTACCTTTACACATATTGCAACTCATATCTCTCTCTCCGATAAGCTCCTTCATTCACCAATGACCAAACATAATTCGACTTGTCCTCGACATACATAATACATTCATATCCTCGTCGGCTCATTTCAAGCACTTGATCTTCTTAGCGCCTTCCACAATGCTTTGGCTCATTACCGGGTGTCTCAAATTCAGCAGCTTCTCCAATCGTCGAATAGATTGGGGCGACGACTTCGGTTCAATGGAGTCCTTGCAGCATAAGCCAAAAAGAACCATGTTCACATCTTCCTCCAGCTGAAGGCTATATAGATGGGCAAAGACCTATAAAAGAAAAAACGGTTATCAACCCAACAAATTTACTCTTTTGAACAAAATGTGTATGTGTATATAGTCGCGGGAGTTGAGATAAAAGGAGTAATAGATGGTTCTCACTGTTTTCATTCTCTGCACAACCATGTCTTTCATCGTAGGGGACCTAGCGACCAAATTAACCACGAACAAACCTTGCTCGGAGAGGGCATTCTTTACTTTCAAAAGAAATGCCTCCTCGACGAAATCTGCAGCAGGGCAAGTCATGCCAGAGCTGTAAACAAGAAAAAGGAGGACAAATTATGAGGTTGTAATTTATCATGAATTTTCAGTGATAATTTGTTTAACTAAAAGTACCTATGACAGTGTACCAACCTTGAGTCTGCCGAGTCCACGTCGATAATAAGTATGTCAATCTTAGACCTAGTATTGTCCTCGTTCTTAGGTGAATTCCCATTGGAAGAACAGTTTGCTTGATTCTCCACCTCTCCAATGAACTTAATCCCATCAGCAATGCGAACCTACAAAACTCTAGCCGAGTGTAAATATATGGAAATCATGTATATATTTTTGCAATCATATCGTGAGCCTTTCAATTAGTGAATGTGACCTTCAAATATTCATCTTCGGAGAAACCAAAATAATCTGTTGCAAGATCGAGTATCACGGCATCTAGCTCCACTGCCTAAGAATACCACAAATTGTTAGTCCTCAACTGAAAGATTATAAAAATCCTTGAAATTCTTTGTTTATCTTATTGACATAGAAGAAATGGTATATATAGACCATACATACCTCTACAAGCAGAAATGACATTGAGCGATGAAGAAAAAGAGGCAGTAAACCTGCTCCAAGACCTATCACAATTGTATTAACCTACGAAGAAAGTATATTTAATAAGTAAATCAGTATGCAGGAAGTGGAATCCCATCTTAAGAAATGTAACTTTTAAAATTGGAACATGATAAATGGACTCTGGAAGCAACAAGCTTTAGGTAGTAAAGTTTCACAAAGAACATTGTTGGTATTACCTTTCTCCCACTTGAAACCATGTTTTCCAATTGAGAAGCAATCAAAACAAATCCAGATACAATTCCCAAATGATATGAGCTAGCCAGATAATCATGATAAACTTGAAGTTGGTCCCCTGATTCTGCTCCATTTGCAAATAATCAATAGATAAGTAAATAATAAATTTCAGATAGAAGATGTTACAAGCATGTCAAAATTGAAAAGAATCAGTACCATTTTTCTGTATATGATTGCCTTTCTTTTTTGATTTGGAAGATGACTTAGATTTTCTTCTTTGTTCTTGATCATTCTTTAAGGCTCCATTTCTAACAAGAAGAGCTTCAGACTGCACCAAGTTTTCAGCTCTTTGAAAGACGAGGCGGCGGAATGTCAAATCTCTAGATGAAAGAAGGCGAGCAACATCCTCATCAACGTTTTCATATACCACATCTTCAACAACTATGGGTCCTGTCAATTGTGAGGTCACCTACATGCAGTATTGCTAGGAATTAGTAAAAAACACGAAACACTCTTGCATATTTTAATTTTACAGTGCACGTGCATCTCCCTACTTTAATTGATTTCATCAAGTTGCAAGCAAAATGAGTATCAAAAGTTCAACACACAAGCAGCCTCCTGATGTCTAGACATGGAAACAAGTAGTCAACACAAAATTACACATCTCACAAAATTGACGTCGTATTGTGAATAGCTCTATATTTGAGGTTAAGATTACACATTCCACGACAATTCAGGATAGACATTATAAAAAATAAGTATGAACTTGAAGTTGGAACCTGATGAACATTATTCCGTTGCTTGATCCCATCACTGGCCATCATGAACCTGCACCAATAATTGACATGCATCCAACCAATCAGTAACATTATGGAAAAAGACATTTAAACCAGTAAAAATGATCATTGCTACTATTCTCACTTCCCCTTTCTCAAATTTCAATAAACAGTATTTAAAATGCCTAAAAGGATATCAAAGCAAGAAGAATAAGAGAAGAACATACGGAATTTGTACTTCCTCAGCATCTATTCCAGGTGCAAGCGGTTTTACTAGAGGAGACAAGTCTGCCTGAAATAGAATCATATATAAATCATTATTAAAGAGTCATAAAAGCAACACACACTTGATAATTCAATCAAAAAGAAGTTGTTCATAAATATTGGAATTTGGAAATTGGTTACCTGAATGTCAGCCATGCTAGCACTCGAATGACTGTGGTCCAATATAACCTTCATTAAATATGACAAGTGTAATTAGATGTTACAAAACATAGCTCCTTCCATGTCTCCCTTCTAAGTTCTAATGTTGCGAACAGGCAATGTTGCAATTCGAAACTTATAAAATCTAACTATTAGAAAAATGAAGTACCATAATTAGACGAGCTGCCTTTGAGCTTTCAACAACCATCCACTGTCCTTCTTCTGAAGAGAAGAGCCATTCATGAGCGCGTGTCTGAAATCTTAAATTTGGTTAAGATTCTAAAATAGAAAGAAAGATCATCACTAATACCTAGACATATATTAACGTGCTTGAACAAAGTATATTCCTTTTGTTTTGAAATTTAACTTGGATGTTCTCTATGTGTGTGTGTTCTCTACATCCATAGAAACACATAAGCAAACAAAACTAATTTCGCGACCAATCAAGATGAATTCACCCAATGGGGAAACCATCATACCATACATGGCGGTGACTGATGGGTTTCGCAAGTTCAACATTAAAAATGAAAACAAAACAGGACTAGCATATTAAACATGAAAAGGCTTTTCGATGCTTAAAGACTATGAGTCTAAGACAAGAATCAAGAAATATAACATACCTTTGGCACGATAAACACTCCACAATGATAAGAAAATGAGCCCGAGTTCTCCTTGGCGTCAAGCAGTATGGCGCTATAACAGAAACGGGATTTGCCTTCCCCGCCTAGAGTAAATTGGAACCTGCTACCTTGATTCAGCTTGCTTAAGTTGCCTTTGGCTCCCAGTTGGAGGTCTTGAAAAGAGTAGAGAATATCAGACCCACTTGAATATTCATTTCGAATTTGATTCTCCCTTTCCAGGGCTTCAAAGAGACCAGCAGCCTAAAAGGGCCAATGTAGAGAGCTTTGTCATCCATTTACTAAATCTCCAGATCAAGTGATGACATATTACAGTCAAGTAAGAACGATAAAGAAAAGAGGATCATTATTAACATCCTCTTTTTTCTGACCATGTCCTATGATGCATCTCTATGTCAACTTATCTGACAGAGCAGTCAAATGACACAAATTTCTCCGTACCTGACCTCCACCGGAATTAAGACGAGAATGTCCTAATGATGATGTTATAGGCGACAAGACAGTTGAGAAATCCTCTTTCTCGGCAACCACCATAAATGTAACTAAGCTAGGTTTGTTAGATGGCTTCTGAGGAATGGAATGAACAGCCATTTTCCATCCAAATCGGAATTTGGGGAAAAGCAAACCTAGAAAGGGAAGGAGACAAGAGAACCACAATAAGATAACCCAGCACGAGGAAACAGATGCAGAGACTTTGCCAGAGGAAACAGAGAAAGAACTAATTTTGATTCTTTGCAAAATGTAAACTCAAGCATAAGCACATAGCTCCAAATTGATCCCTGAAACCAACTGAAGTAAGATAACATGCAAAGAAGTCACCATTATCGTACCTAGGACATGAGATTCTGCCAAGGTAAGACAAATAAACTTGCCCCCGGATTTCAGAAGTCTTCTAACCTGATGAATTGAGAATGATCAGCGAAGGAAATAGATAGACATTAATAAGGCACATGAATGATGAAACATGGCGTCAACGCCCACGAACCTCAGACAAATACTGATCACCCAACTTAGGCCCTAACTCCGGCTCCATCAAAGCATCCAATCCACCTTTATCGAGCACGGCATCAAAGCTCTCGTCTTCAAACTGGGAAACGCACACTTCAAACACATTAACAAACCAGCCATGGAAAGAGGAACAGCCAAATTACGTCTCGGGTAACTTGAAAGCAACAAACAGGAATCACATTCACACCCGCATACTCGTCATGTCCATGACTCGCCACTTCATCCCAGGCCGCTCCCTCACGTTCCTCTTAAGCATATCAGAGATGACAATTTTGGAGAAATCCACATTCGTGATACTTTTGAAACCAGCATCGTACATATGCTCCGACAACCGCGAATTCCCGCAACCAGGCACGAGAATCTCCGGCGAGGAAGGAGCGCCGGCGAAGAGGGAGAGGAGGGGCTGGCTCAGCTCCGGCCACTCTGCGTACCACTCGAAGGCATCCTCGACGCCGCGGATGGTGAAGAACTTGTCCCAGTTTTCCTTGCTGGTGAAGTCTCCAAGAGTGTTGAGGATGTCGTCGGTGGACGAAGATTGCTTGCCCTTCTTCCCCATTGCCGTGTGCTCTGCTTCGACTCCCTGAGGGTTTTTGGGCGTTAGGGTTCCGGTTACGCAGAGAGTAAGACACAGGAAGAGAGTACTGGGGATGCCCATAAAACCCGAACCAGCGAGTACCCACCCGACCCAATCCGATCAATGCGGGTAAAAATTTGTGTTGATGGGTTTTGAATCGGGTTCGGGTTTAAACCCGTTCATTATTCACCAAGTTGGGTTGTGTTTGGGTTTAGGTAGATTCGTCCCATGAGTACCCGTCCAAACCCATATAATTAATTTTTTAGGTATATTTAATATTCTAAACAACTAATCTTATTTATGTTTGTGAAAACATGTCCAATTTTTTCTTTCTAATTGTGTAGAATGAAGTTGATGTTATCGAGTGTGGAGAGTGAAAAAAACTTAATTGACGAGGAGGAAGAAACTTTCAATTAATCACGTTATTTATGAATAATTTGTGATTTGCTTCACTTTTCTTGAGTTTTCTAGATTGGTGTTGAACAATTTGTATAGTTAATTTGTGATTTGCTTGAATTTTCTAGAATGGTGTTTATAAATATAGATAATTTGTATTTAGAGATTGATATTTGACTTTAATTTTGATAGGAACTTGTTATTGTAATTTTTTTATGACAAAAATCTGTGAGTGCCCATGAACCCGTGGATAACCAGCGGGTTGGGTTGGGTTTGAGTTTTCCAAACCTAATTAATTTTATCACGATTTTTTCACGAATAAACCCATAGGTTTGGATTTGAGTTTTCACCCGAACATTCCCATCCTTGATATTGTCGACTCTCGACGACTATAAATTCCCGCCAGCTATCTACTGGGCCGCTCGAGCCCAGAAGTTTTTGGGCCTGCCTACTAGGCTCTACCGCACGAGCCCATGAGTATTTGGATCGCCGACTCGCCGTCAATTCCTTGACAGGGAAAGGAAAGGAATCGTAAGAACAACGCAAAGAGAGAGACGGGCAAGGCGACAGGAAAGGGAAAGGCAAAGAGAAGGAATCCAATTCCATTGATATCGGAAAACAAACAGCGAGCGAGGAAGGAAGGAAGGAAGAAGATGACGGTGAAGATCGTAGACGCAAGCTTGTCGAGCTTCGATCAAGTATTCAGCAAGTTCAAAGCAGATGCCCCGAATTTCAACTCCAATTTCATCCTCTTCCTTGCCGACAATGAACCTTCCACCAACCTCAGCTGGTGCCCCGGTTAGTTAATCTCTCCTGTTACCTGTCTTCCCTAAACCTTCAGGGCGGTTATCCTTTCTAGGGTTTGAGATTTGGGTTCATCGAATCAGTGCTAGCTTGCATCATAATCAGCCCAAACAGAGCAAAAAAGCAACAGCCTTTAGTTTTATTATATTATGTGTGTGTTTTGGTGGATTGTCCAGACTGCGTGAGGGCTGAGCCGGTGATATACAAGAAGCTTGAAGAATCAGAAGCTAATGTCGCTCTCCTTCGAGCTTATGTTGGTGACAGACCCACTTGGAGGAACCCCGCCCATCCTTGGAGAACCGATTCCAACTTCAAGCTCACTGGAGTCCCAACCCTTGTTCGCTGGGAGAAGGACGCCATTACGGGGCGGCTGGAGGATCATGAAGCTCACCTGCCCACCAAAATTGATGCCCTTCTCGCTTCTGCCAAGTAGAATAAAACCCGCATTGTTAATCAGCTTTGTAACTGGCATCAGGTGTTTGTTTAGCTGCTACTGCTGCTGCTTTACTTTTCTTGCTTAATAATGGGGTTTGGGCTCACACTCCTAATAATGAAGTTGCTTGCTGCTAGTTGTTATGATTAAACAAGCAAGCAAGCTACACATGCAAGTTTTTTCTTGTTTCACAATTCACTCACTGTTTTGGGTGCCCTGTAACTTGCGGGGAAGCCAAAGTTGAAGGTAAGGTTGTCTGAAACTTTCTGCAGCTTGAAGGAGGCAATGACAGTTACAAACTTACAATGATTGCGAGAGTTCCACTTCCTCTTCTTATTAATCTTTGAGCTTTGGGTTTGATTTGCTTCTGAAGTTTTCACCAGCCGTGATATTTGGTTTGCTGAGCGAGCAATCAGAGCTATTGTGCCCTTTTTTTCTTTTGGCAGCAGGCACCCATTGCGAAGTCAACGGTGGACAATATAGAGCTTGCTCATATCGTTGCAAGAACAGGTTCTCTAATTGAATCGTTTGTTGGCCGATCAACGTATCTTCCTTATCGTGTTAGAATAGAACAGACTGCCCATATCGAGGCAAAACAGCTGTCACTGGATCGTTTGTTTGTTGACCAATGTTTCTTCCATATTAATACTTGATGAATTGACCTGCAATTCTGTATATATTCGTATCTTGTTGTTCCTTGCCGGAATACCTCTTAAACAACGGTGGACAATATATAGTCTTTGCTTGGGCCCTGGTCTTTTTTTGGATGGAAGTTGGAAAGGCTTCGGTAAATTAATCGAACTTACTAATTTAATTTTAGCGGCCCAAGCAAAGCCCGTTGGTAAATTGACCCATTCATTCTCCCTGAATCCTGATCCACCTTACCTTAGCGATGGCGATTTCAACCCGCCCCGTGGGTATTATCCGACCTGACCCGCGATGGGGCGGGTATTACCCAACCCGCAGTAACGTGGGGCGGAGCATGGGTATCTATTTCCGACCCGTCCTGCCCCGTTCTAGACTCATTTTATCTCAATTTCTTACAATATCTATACATATTTCTCCTATTTTGACTTTTCTTCAACTAGTTAGAGTCGATCTTTCAACTTGTTAGGCTCAATTATCCATTCTATTATCAATATTTTTTATTCTTAAAGTGTTTTCCCCTACGTTTTATTGTAAAAAGTAAAATTTACTTATATTTTTTTTAACAACATGTAAGAATGGGTCGACCCGTCCCGCCCGTTACCCGCGCAGGTTTTACCCGCCCCAACCCGTGTAACGTGAGGCGGAACATGAGAATTGAGGTACCCGCCTCGCCCGCCCAATTTCCATCGCTACTCGCTAGCTTACCTACCGCCACCTTGTCTTGCCTACCGGCTACCACTGCCAAATTTCTAAAAGCTACCCACTCAACAACCATCTTTTCATCCGATTCCGAGTTCCGATCCCACCACCAAATACGGGTACCAATCCGGAATTTACCAACACGAAGTTGGTTGGTGAAATTTCAGACATCAGAAAGAAAACCCAGAATCCGAGTCGATACTTGCTCGAGTCGCCCACCAACCACGCCCACCAAACCCCAAATTTCCCTCCTTTTTCTGTTCTCGCGATCCCTTCCACGGGAATTGTTAAGATTTCAGGCACCAGGTCGGAGCGATTCAATTTCCGAGCAAGGTAATGGCGCAGGTTACCAAAATCTGCAGCGGAGCTCAAAGCCCGGGCTGTTTTCCCAGTATATCTGCAACTCGAAGCCCCAAATCCCTCCCGTCGCGGGTTTCCTTTGGGTCGCATTCTGTTGGGTGTGTAGTAGGTTTAAAGCAATGTCGACGACTGGGTAATGTGGGTGCTGTTACCGCTCCTCCTCCTCTTCGGGTTTCGGCTTCGCTTGCCACCGCCGAGAAGCCTTCCAAGGTGCCGGAGATCGTGTTGCAGCCCATCAAGGACATCTCCGGTACTGTAACTTTGCCCGGTTCTAAGTCTCTATCCAATCGGATTCTCCTTCTCGCTGCGCTCTCTGAGGTATGGGGGATTCTTCTGGGCTCTTGTTTAGTTCTGATTTGTTGAGCTAGTAGAAATGAAAGAGGATCATCCCTTTGACTGCTTGGGGAGAAACTGGTTAGAAATTGGTTTCTTTCTCCCTTTGACTGCTTGGGGAGAAATTGGTTAGTAGAAATGAAAGAGGATCATCCAAGAGATCATATGTTCAGCACAATCCCCTTTTTATTTTCAGTGGTTAGATTTGTTATCTACAACTTATATTGGAGGAAACAGATTAGAGGTTTCTGTGCTCGTTGTCTTTAGCTGTTTTGAACATTTGGAGTGAAGTGGTAAGTAGCCAAGGATGCTTTCAGCTGATCCTGGGGTTTTAAGTCATACTAGCGATGTTCGCTTGTGTTAGTCAATTTATACTTTGTTTCTTCGTCGTTATCTTACTAAGTAACTTGGGATCCAGGGTACAACCGTGGTGGACAACTTGTTGAATAGTGATGATGTTCATTACATGCTTGGTGCACTGAAAACACTTGGACTCGATGTGGAGCATAACAGTGAACTGAAGCGTGCCATTGTTCAAGGCTGTGGTGGTGTGTTTCCTGTGGGTAAGCAGGCAAAGAATGATGTTGAACTTTTCCTTGGAAATGCTGGAACAGCAATGCGACCGCTGACAGCTGCTGTTACAGTTGCTGGTGGAAACTCTAGGTAGTCCCTCCTCCCCTTTCAGTCCTAAACGTTCTTCTAAATGTTGCAAGTTTTCTACCATAAACTTTGTAGAAATGTTTGTTTAATTGATGCATTGGTTAGTTTATACAAGTTGGTTTATTAATGGTTTAAGATGCAATATTTTTGAGATTGTTATGAGGAACATTGCTGCATTTCTACACTAGGATTTCCATTTCCAAAGTACCTTAGGTTACGTATTTGCAGTAGTAACATCGGCTTGACTGCTCTCTATGCTTCAGTTACATCCTCGATGGAGTACCACGAATGAGAGAGAGACCTATTGGGGATTTGGTTGTTGGTCTCAAGCAGCTTGGGGCTGATGTCACTTGTTCTTCTACAAGTTGTCCTCCTGTTCATGTAAATGGAAAGGGAGGCTTACCAGGAGGGAAGGTGCGGGAAAAATAACTTCTTGTTTGTTCGTTGCTTAGACCCTATCTTTAACATGGTTTATCTTCCACAAGAAAGTCAAAGAGAGCCTTCCTAAGTTACTCTTCTCACATCTTTTTTCAGGTTAAGCTTTCTGGGTCAATTAGTAGTCAATACTTGACTGCTTTGCTGATGGCTGCTCCCTTGGCCCTTGGAGATGTAGAGATCGAGATTATTGACAAACTGATTTCCATACCTTATGTGGATATGACTCTGAAACTTATGGAACGGTTTGGAGTCACTGTGGAACACAGTGGTAGTTGGGATCGTTTCTTTGTCAAAGGAGGTCAAACATACAAGTAAGTTTTTCAAGAATATCAAGCATGTGAAAGGATGCTATAACTTGAAATAACAAAGGGAAATCAATATCAGGTCTCCTGGGAATGCTTATGTGGAAGGTGATGCCTCAAGTGCCAGTTACTTCCTGGCAGGGGCTGCCATCACGGGTGGCACTATCACTGTCGAAGGTTGTGGAACAAGTAGTTTACAGGTACTTGAATCGTGCATCTTCTTTTAAGTCCTTTTGCTATCATGAGAAAATTAGCCAGCCTAGATACTATATCCATTATTTCTTTTTGCTGGTGGCCAAAATGATATTGTCACGCTCAACAAAAGTATGGTTTACTTTGTTGCAGCTCTTTCAAGTTCCTCCTTGCCTCAAGTAACATAGATTTCTTTCGATTATGTTTAGGTTCTGGTGTATGATCCAATTTATCCTTTTTTTGTGTGAAAATTAGGGAGATGTAAAATTTGCTGAAGTGCTCGAGCAAATGGGAGCTAAAGTTACATGGACAGAGAATAGTGTCACTGTTACAGGGCCTCCACGAAATGCCTCTGGTAGAAAGCATTTGCGAGCTGTTGATGTAAACATGAACAAAATGCCAGACGTTGCTATGACTCTAGCAGTGGTTGCTCTCTATGCTGACGGACCTACTGCCATAAGAGATGGTGAGTTTTCATATTCACCCTGCAAAATTGAATGCTCCAGATTGTCTTCAAGCAAACATTATGTTTGTTTCTAAACTTAATCGTCTTGAACTCACAAATTTCAAACTGGTAAGTCCGCATCGATGATTATTTACTTGCAATAATGCTTAGGATGTAACATGCATCTTCAGAAACCATTTTCACAGTTCCATATCACAACTCTTTACATTTTCCTATGTGCAGTGGCTAGTTGGAGAGTGAAAGAGACGGAACGCATGATTGCTATTTGCACAGAGCTCAGGAAGGTTGGCCACCACCCGCAATCTTCTCTCAACTCCTTACATTTTTTACTAAGATCTGGAAACTGTCTGGTTTCTGCTCCTGTTTGTTTGTTCTGACAATTTGAATTTGGTGTTTCAGCTGGGAGCCACGGTCGAGGAGGGACCAGATTACTGCATAATCACTCCACCCGAGAAACTATTAATTGCTGAAATCGATACATATGACGATCACAGGATGGCGATGGCGTTCTCCCTTGCTGCTTGTGCTGATGTACCAGTCACCATAAGGGACCCTGGCTGCACAAAGAAAACGTTCCCTGATTACTTTGAAGTCCTTGAAAGGTACACCAAGCATTGAGGTGATACAAACTTGGAACTCCACCACCCATACACGTTTTGCAGCAACTTGGCAACTTGTGGTAGGAGACAAGGGGGAAGGCAAAATTAGTTTTGCTGTGTAGCAACTAGCAACATTGTAATGCAAGAAAATGTATGGTAGCAATTGGTAGTTATATAATCGCGTGAGAGAATAATGTTCGGGAAACCACACTGGGAAATGGGTTGTTATTTTTATTATTATCTATTTGTTGTGTATGGATTTTGTAGCTGTATGAACATTAATAAGAACTTAGGTTCGTTTAGTTTTTGTGATTGTTTGATTGGTATAGTTACAATGCATGTATTGTTCACAATGTATTGTTTTTTGAATTTCTGCACAAACAATACATGCATTGTTTACTTGATATATGGCAAAAGTGAGAAGGAATTTCTTAGATCAGTTATAATAATACTAGGCAATATTCTGCGATGAGTCAACTTTTCGTATAGTAGTTTGTCTTATAATTGAGTTACTGTGACAATTGAGAGGATGTATGTCGTATATTGACAAATAATTTCGAAATTGCCTACTTATTTCATTGAACAGGCACACAATTGAAGCAATTTCATTCGGTTCATGACACTTATTATGTTGAATCGCATATGGTAAATAGTACATATTTATGTCTAAAAAAACGTATTTATTTCGATCTTTTAGATGAATGAATAACAGATTCATAAATGTCGTATCTTTTAGAAGTTTCTCTACTACAAACCAAAATAAAAGGGTACAACGAAAATATTTCTAAGCTGAAGAGTAGAGTAATCCATGTTTTAGTCATTCTAGTTTGATGGAACTCGAGTTAAGCTTTATCAAGTTTGTGTTTCGTTATAGGCTCATTTATCCATACTGAGTCAAGAAGTAGTTGATGCTCTCGAACTATTTTTCACTTTGAATCGAATACATTATCGAGAAACCAAATTTTTTTATTAAGCAGGAAGAAACAAGTCAAATAAAAAAAGTAACTGCTTAAAAATATAAATATTATTTAGACTTAATTATTGAATTAATTAAAAGCCTTAATTTAATTACAAAATACTATTTCTGAGTTCATGCACTTATTACTATCGTGGACAACAGGCCAAATTGATCATATGAATAACCGCAAAAGGTATAACTTTGAAGGGTTTTTTTTAAGGCTCTGAAGATCACTATCCAATGAAACAAGATGAACAAGGCGTTAATTTTAAAATTGAACCGGCACAAAACAAAAGCGGGGAAGATAATCGGCGCCATTTATGACTTTTCAGGTAGAGGGAAAAGAAAAGTAAGAAATGGAAAAGAAAATGGAGATAGATCCATCCAAGGTCAAGTGGCCAAAGCATTTCCTCGAAACAAAGATGGAAAAAACAGAGGGCCGCGGCAGTGCGCTTCTTCTTCCTATTCCGACGCTTGATAAAACCAAATCGTCCACCGTCTTTTATACTCCCTCGGCCGTTTCTTCAAAATCCTTTTCCTCTCGTTCTTTCCTTCCTTTATTTCCCCACCGCGCCTCCCTCGCCCCCAACCTTTCTTTCTTTCTTTTGCTTTCTTGCTGGAGAAATCCGTTAGTCCATTATTGAATTGAGAAACCCCGTTATTGAATCGAGAAACCTCCTCTCGTAGGTGGGTTTTTCTTTACGTTTCCTTTACTCTCCTATGTTCTTGTTATTCTTTGGCTTTTTGGGTTTTGAGATTCAATCGGATTCTCTCCTGGGTTTCTCAGATTTCGGTGGGAAGCTACGTTCTTTGCGGGGGAAAAAGGGGATATGACGCGCTATTGGAGGAGAGGATGGGTGCCGGATCTCAATCACCTCCCGCCTGTGGATGAGCCTGTTCTTGATGGGTTAATTGGTTTCTCTGTTTTGCCCGATTCAGGAGCGCATAGTGGGGGTTTTACCCACCGGCTGTCGGGTTATGTTGAGTTTTCCGACGATGAGATTGCTGTAATCTCTCCCAGGACTTTTGCTCAGGTGTGGTGGTGTTAATGGGTCCTAGATTTTTCTTGTTCTTCCCTTTTTATTGTATTTATTTGCTTTCTTGTGCGCTAAATTTTTACCCGTCCTTCTCTTTGGCGTTTCAGGCGAAGTGCAATGTTACCAGAAACAATGTGCGGAGGCTCCATGACGTTTTGGGTGAAGCGGCACCTAGTTTCTTCGATGGTAAGCTGGTGTCTCTCTTTTACATGGCTGGTGGAATTGTATGGGAATCTAATGTTGGTCGACAGACAGGGTGGTTTTGCTTTCCATCAGTTTGAACTTCTATCTGTGAATTGTGAAATGGCATTTCTTGAGCTCGTGGTGCCCAAAATCTTTGAATCTCGGGATTTTGCCTCTTACTGTATGCTCTTTTTCTAGTTGGTTGTGTGAAGTATGGATTTTGATTGTTGAGCTACACTTTGGAATCGTCTTGTGATATTGAGATAGCAGAGCTGAACATCTATCTACATTTCCCTTTCTTCTTTTCTTTCTATTGAGGAGACCAGGCAAAAGGTCGGCAGACATGAGGAACGCCAAAAACATTTGGTGTTTATGAAGATTTTGCTTATATTTTGTGGTTCTCCCCTTCCTTAAGAATCCCTATTAGATCTTACATTCCATGTTCACCGAGTTCATCATGGTGATAATGAATATACCACTTACACTTGGGGTGCTCCATTCTTGATCATCATGGAATGCTAATGGCTTGATTCGCTGATCACATTCTTGAAGTATTGCTGTGTGTTTTTTGCTGAGACTCAGTAAACTTGGTTGTCTACGTTTGCTTTTAGAGCAAGCTCTTTGTTGCCTTTTGTTTGATTTTCATCTTATCCTGTATGCATTGGATTGGCAGCTGAGACGACAATGTGTGGACATTGTAAAAGGAAAATGCCTGAAGGTGACAGCGAGCTGCTCCTGCAATTAGGAATCAGTAACAAGAAGGTATTTGACATGCTTTACGCTTTCGGTAGTTGATGAGCTTACGCGATATGGTATCTGCCATTTTGTGCAATTTCATAATAGGTTTATGTTACCTCTCTTTCTGGAATGATTTAGCTGTCTCTGACAAAAAAATTCAGTATGTATGTACTCTTGAATCTTAGCCATCCCATAGTGCTATTCTAGCTGTCCCCGACCTCTATATATCTTAGCTGAGCAGCTTTGAAGAGCAGCCTCCCCCTTCCAAGTCCATATTGGGTTTAGCACTGTCATATTTTGTCTATCGAGTCTTGGAAGCTACCTGTAATTGTTTCTTCTACTTCTGGGTTTTCCTTCTTCCGGTAATCACTGTTGAACGGCTTATTGCAGGCAAAGAATGTTCAGGAAGCCATATGCCCTGTACCTCCTCCAAACGAATCCATCTTCAGTTGCCCTGTATGCATGAGTGATCTGGTCGAGCCAACTTCGACGAAATGCGGCCATATCTTCTGTAAAGAGTGCTTAAGAAAATCACTAGCATCATCAAACAAGAAGTGCCCTACCTGCAGGCAGAAGGTTGGCAGACGAGGCTTCTTCAGAGTCTACCTTCCCACAAGAAACTGAACGAAACGCGAGATGCTCAGACATTAGCTCTAATGTTAGTAGTATATGCTTTAAGCTGACCTGGTAGAGTTGTTAAATTGTAGACGAGCTACAGATCTGCTTCCCCATCTTCAATCTGCAAGACCAGGTATTTTAGCTCCAAGTGCAGTTGGTTCGTGAAGATTGAAAAATTGGAAGGTGGTTCAGTATTCTTGACTCCTGCGGAGTAAATAATGAGCTCTGTTGGGTTGTCTGACAGCAGCCTGAACTACTTTTTATCTGTTCACTCAGCAAAGCGATCCATTTCTGTACCATGTGTATAACAGGGATTCTTTGTATGTTGTCAATGATACTGAGAGACTCATATTGGAGATTTAGAATTCAATGCAGTTACAGACATCATTTTTTGTTTGCCGACTAACCGTTTATCATCCCTAGATTAAATGTGTGTTCGTCCTACTTTTAATCCAATTTTATTTTTACTATTTTTTTATCCGGAATAAAGCACTATAGGGATTGAGGGTGGAGAGAGATTTGATCTATACCGGGATGAATTGTATGGAATCGAGAATTGAATCGGATAGAGTATATTTTGAATCGATTCGATCCTATCTCAAGTATGAAAAAAGTGGACCAAAATTGAATTTGGATCCGATCGAGCTGAATTAAATCAATCAAACATGTTTTTGTATTGTCCCTCAATTTTTCATTAATTTTGGTCTGGTTCTATTTAATTCGAGGATACAGAATGCGAACTGTATGGGCTTTTGACCAGGAGGGTAGAAGCCCATTCTTGTGAAGCCCAATATTCCGTCTCAATTCAAATATGCTCTTTCTCCGCTCGCTTTCCAGCCGGTGCTTTCCCTTTTCTGCTATTAATGTGGCTCTATCACTGACCTGAGCCGGGGAAGAAATTTGGACAGGGTCTGCTGTCTCTCTGAGTAGAACTATAGAACGGAAAGCACTGAGAAATGCAGAACGTTCCATCCTCAGACATGGAGCCTCTCGATCTCAAAGCTATTCGGAGGTCTGTCGAAGTCATTCATTCAAGTTTCTAACTCTACCTAGCCATATATGCTACCAGTAGTACCCACGCGTTCTTCCAACTTGTTCTTGCCCCCCCTCCTTCCTTCCTTGCAGTCGAATTAGTGAGCTTGAAGAAGTGTACAGGAGCTGCATTGACGAGGAAATGGTGTCGACGGATTCGGACCAGTTGATGATTGATTGCGCTCTTCAGCCGGAGGTACAGAAATCTCCTGAAATTCTCTATTCCTTGTGTGCTACTATGCTCAAAGTTCTGTCTTCTTTCCCCCCGTTGTGTCTTCCATTTTCAGAGCAGAGTCGACCAGGTTTTATCGGGTCTCTCCGAGGTTGGTTACTTAGGGATTTCAGATTTAGGTAAGGTTTCCTTCAATTGGAATTGGTGATTTTGGTGGGTGTGAGTGAATGCTTCGGAGAAGCTCTTGAGTTAATTAGTTCCGCTATCAACTTATCGGGAGAATGGACTGGTGTAGATGCATGCTTGGAGCACTTAAGAGACGAGCTCTCTGCGGCGGAGGCTGAGAGTACTAAGATCGCTACTGAAATTGAAGCTCTCGGTAGGATCAATCTCGAAGGTTGATACTCACTACTCATGCTTGGAAAAACTTGTATTGTCTGGAAATTTTGGTATTTTATGTTTGCTTATTCTTGAAGTTGTTGACCCTTCTCTTCAGATTCCAGTCGACTAGAGAGCGATCTTGAAGGGTTGAAGTGTTCACTGGAACGTACATCTTCAGAGGTTTGCTTTTAAGCTTTGATCATAATATGTTCTCGAAGTGTGAGACGAAATTATTATGTCCACCAATCTACACCTAAGTTTGAATGCATGTGTACGGGGTGGGTATTCCTGCTTTGTTGGTTAGTTGATTGTCAGTCCTTCTACATAACCATGCAACCTAGAGTCAAGTACTTGCATTCCTGGATCTGGTCCTCTTAGTGTAACAAAGCCGGGGGTTGAGAAAACCGAAATTGAAATGTTCACATCATCTCTTAATTTTATGTTTGAAAATGCTTGCTGAGGGATCACGTATTACTTAGCTTCATTGTTCTCCTTTCTGTTTGCTATTTGGTAGGATTTACCTCAGGGAACTGATGGTGCACGCCTTGCTTGCTCACTGCTAAGGCATGATCAATCCAATTCATTACAGACAGATCATGATGATGAGTTTGAGGTATCCTTGCTGTGGTTTGTTGGTACTGTTTCGCTGTCTACCATTTTATGTGACATGTAGAATTCCCTTCAGATTATGAAGCTTGAGAATCAGATTGAGGAAAGCACTGCAATGCTAAAGTCTTTGCAGGATCTTGACTCTTCACTCAAGAGGTAAGCAATTTGTTTTATGCTTGTTTGCTCTTCTGTTCTTTTACTAAGACGTGCTTTTTTTCTTTTGATCGTCGCTACCAGGTTTGATGTCTTGGAACAAATTGAAAACGCGTGCTCAGTTCTGGAAGTCATTGAAATCGATGGAAACTGCATTAATTTGTCAGTTAGGGAAGATATTAAAGAATTGGAAGATGTCTTGTGCAAACAAAAGATTGAAGATATTGACGAGCTGTCTGAAGTACATCACAAAGTTCTTGTAGAAGCTTCCAGTGAGACAATGGAACTTAAGAATGTTGAGGTATGAAGTCCTTTTATGATTCAAAAGATGGTATATAAGCCATCATTTCCTGTGCCAGCAGTCTGCAGCCATTAATATTACAGAACGATCCAACACCAGCTGATATTAGCAGTATTTGTTGCACGTTATTGCATAATATTGGTGTGCTGAATCTGTACATCACTCAGGCATGATTGATTCAGATGTGAAAAGGATTGTATATCTTCATTGAAACTTATAGTTGCATGACTACACGTCCGAGGCTTTAGGTTTCTGGTTTGATTGCTCTTACAGTCTTACCTCCTAAATTTATCTTACCGAAGACAAGAATTTGATAATGTTGTCACCTTCAGAGCACCACCTATTACTTGGTGATACGAGACCACATTATAATATTGTGATAAGGCCAGTGAAAGTAAACAAGGAGCTTTAATTGTGCATGTGAATCCAAGTATACTCGTTACGTAGCAATCAATCCTCAAATATCTTCATGATATCTCATTTTAAAACCTGGGGATTGCTTGTTAGGAAGTCAACCATGACGATCTTCCATGTTGAGGCTACACGCGCATAGTTTACGTGACCTTAAGTTCTGAATGGCCACAGTAACTGAAGTGCACAATTGTTAAATATTTAATTTTAAGAATGAAGTGCACAACAGCACAATTATTTCTGTTTATTGTTCTTTATCTACTGTAACATGTAATTGTTTTGAATATCTAAAATGAGATATGACATTATTTACTCACTTGTTAATTTGTCCAGATTTTTCCAAATGATATATTCATTGCTGATATAGTAGGTGCTGCCAATTCATTCAGGTATGCATCTTTTTCCCGTTCCCCAACATACCTGTTCTCTCTTTAGATGAGAATCATTAATCAAACTAGTCAATCTGGAAGAGCATCATGTATCCTCCATCTTTTGCCTGTTTGCAAAAGGCGACTGCTGATAACTTATTTATGTATTTTATACTGATAAAAGGTCAGCTAAATTTCATGGTATTGCTGAAGAACTTGTTGAATCTTCTGGTTGCAGCCATTTGTTCACACATGACACCCTTCCGGAGACAAGTTCCTCACTTCAATGGTTTATGATGAAGCTACTAGATAGAATAAGAGACTGTAATTTAAGAAGAATGGTGGCGAGAAGTGCAAGCAAATCAAGGTACTGCTGTCTTTAAAGAAGATCAAGTTTATTAGTCTGAAAATGGACAAATGTTTGGACAGATGACTGAACCTTGATTACTGCTTTAGCTTCCACAATTAAGAATACATAACCGAGTGGACACTTGCAGGCATTCCTTTGAATACTTGTATAGAGATGAAACCATAAAAGCTCATTTGGTTGGAGGAGTTGATGCCTTTCTAAAAGTTCCCCCGGGATGGCCTCTGACAAGTTCACCATTGAAATTAATGTCCCTCCAGAGCTCAAACCAGCATAAGGAGATCTCCTTGAGCTCTCTTTGCAAGATTCAGGTAATCAATTTCCTTCTTTGCCCATATAATCGTCCAAGAAAGTGAATTGTTTCCTAGCCTTAAAGCTGACAATAGTTCTTAAGAAATGAAATGATGAAACCAGTTCCATCTCCCATTAATGGCTCCTGCTTTCTGATCTGAAATCCATAGGAAACAGCAAATTCCTTGGATTCCCAAATTCGACACCAGTTGCTAAGCTTCACTGATGAAATTGAGAAAGCGGTTCTGCGGGAAGTGCACCTGGAACTCCACCATGATAATGATTCTTCCTCCTAAAGTTTGTTCATTTCAGGATAACATACTTCTTCTGCTTCTTCTGGTGCATTTTAGTACAAATATAATGTACTTCAGATCTCACGTGTATTTGCAAAAGTCATGATATAATGTCTGATAGTCTCTGGGTTAACCCAAAAAGGTTACATGTATACATGGTATTTATATTTCGTTTTCTCTCATTTGCCCTAATTAAAATTTGGTATTAGATGGGTATTAAATGTGTTATAGAGGTATAGTCAGGATTTCACGTAAAGTGGGTTTGACAGTAACAATAAAAATTATATAAGATAAAAACTGCCATTCGTAAATATGATTACAATGACTTGTAAAGTGTTTTTGTATATTGAAATTTGTTCAAACAAAGCTTATAAACTAAACTATAAAAAATCTCATCGAAACCAGTCTCACATTCACCGCAAGATAAACTCTCAATACCACAAAATTGATTCTAGTTCACTGGTAGATATGTAAAACTAGCTATCATGACATATTAGGTTTGGAAATTTTATACTAAATTAATGTAATATATTTCACACATTAGCCAATTAACTAATAAGTAAGCCACAAGAACACCAAACAAATAAAGATACATCACTGCCAAACGATGGAGGGAACTACACCCAGGCAGCTTGATTATTTCCTCTCCACTACTTTTGATTAAACTTGTTCTTGAACTCTGGCGCCATGGATGAGCAGGCCACCCTTCCATCTCCCCGACCAGACTTCATACAACCCAAAGTAAAGCCTCATATCGTTGGCATCAGCTGGGACAGTGACCTCCAGCTTCTCTGTCTCGAACTCTTCATCGGTCTCTGGTTGATCAACCAGCTTTATCTTTTTAGCTGTGTACTTCCCCCGCTGCCCTATCTTACACATCAAGCAAACGGAACAACCATTCCAACCGAAAGCCCCTTGCTTCATCTGCAAACGGAAAGAGATTGCATACTTCTTCCCTGCCACTATGTTGTCTTCCGACGAGGGCATGATGCTTGTTACTTCAAGCCAGCTCACCTGCAACAGCTCTGCCGGCCCTCCAACCCTGGCATTAAGAAAAGCATCAGAATGCTTTGTCAAGATAAGATACAGGGCAGAGAGAGCTTTAGTGATTCATAGCTTTCTGCAGGAGGAATGGAACTTACTTCGGAACAGACCAATAGCGATCATCATTGCCCCATACGATGCTGAATGCCCTTGGTTTAAACCACCACGATCTTGTTGGAGCCTGCAAATCCATTCATATACAGTTCATTTACAGCCAACCATATGACAAGCTAAAGGAGGGACGGAGAACAAAAAAGGAAACGGATTCTAACCTCGGTGAACTCCACTTCAGATGGATCTCCCTCGTGATGAGGTTTATTGTTCATGTTCTTGAAGGCAGAGAAATTCAAGTCCAAGCATAATCTTCTGCCTCGCAATTTATATAGGGAATAAGAAGCGTAACACCACGTACAAGGAACTGAAAGGGGAATCATTCAAAAGGCCACGCAAAAAGAACTCAAATTTGAGTAGATTGTGTTACATGAAATATAGGACTCCCCAAATATAGTAACTTGAATGTGAACAAACATAGTTGTTATTCTTGCCTTGCTATGGGGAAAGGCACTTGAAGAATATATAAATACCTGTCAGTGCTCCATTTCACCATCAAGGAAAGAATTGATCCCATCACACAGTTTCCTCAAGTCTCCTCCAGAAGGCTTCAGCAGCATCAACATCAATGGCCCAAGTAAATTAGGCCTTCAATTGATAGGCTAACAACCTTTTGTGATTCTCCATACCAGGAAACAACTGGATGTTGGAAAAGGAATCTGCATCTTTCGGCAGCTCTTCGTTCCACCAATCTTAACCATTTTCGTAACCCTCAACAAGAAGTCAATTCCAGATTGAAATGTATTCATTGACAAATGAATACACCTGGAAAAAAAATTCTCCCTTCCTACGAAGCCAGTTTTGTTCCTTCCACACTTGCTACCAACCTACATAAACACAAGTAAAGAACAAAGGTGACCCCAGATTTGTTCAGCAACCCCTCACGACCTTTACTTCATAGGAAGGGAATTCGAAGCCAAGTCTTCTACTGTCACCTGCTTGTGTAGCTACGGTAAGAAAGCAAAATTCTATGGACATGGAATCAGAAAAGGAAAAGAGAAGAGGACGCGAGGGAGAAAAGAAGACTCTCTGCCCATCCATCTAATGCAAGAATGCAACTTTATTCTGTCGAACAGTTACACAGGCAAAAGATGCATAGATACACAAGCAGCTGATCTGCTGGTAAATTCCTAAACAAATGTAATTGTCAGATCCGAGGTTTCTTACAACATGTTACCAAGAAGATAACCGAACCTCACTTATTCAAGCTGAAATACGCTTGTTGCTCTGCCAGTCCATCGGCACTTCTAAGTTCTTAACCCTAATTCGGGACAACACCCAAAATGACGATAGTTCGAGGCGAAAAAAATTGAGATAAAAACTAAACAAGAGCGCAGTGGGGGAAAAAGGTTGGACAAGGGATTGGGTTACGTTTGAAATTTTGAAGTAGTCGGAAACGTCGGATGTCGCCGTTGTAGTTGATTAACAAGTGGTGGACCTCGCCGGCGGGTTTCGTCTCTAGACTGAGATTTATGACCCCCGACGCCGACGGTTCTCATCTTCATATTTCTCTCTTACTTCCACTGATTTCCGCTTGCCTTTCCTTCATTCAAATTAGGGATGGCAATGGGTCGGGTCGGGGGCGGATAGTGCATATCCGTTATCCTACCCAGTACCCAATGTAGTTCGGGTTTTACCCATATCCGTATCCATACGAGAAACGGGTAGAAAATCAAAACCATGCCCATACCCGTTCGGCATTCGGGTATCCACGGTTATCCATGGGTAATAATTTCTCCTTATAATTCCAACCAATATGTAAACATTCACACGTATAATCATATTATGTAAGAGGAAAAGTACAACAATAATTCACTAGAATGACGAAAATTAATTAAAATAATATAATTTCATGAAAATATTATATTTATATGCTAAATATATAAAATATTCTAGAGAAAAATAATGATTATTTCTAGACAAAATACATATGCATGTGTATAATCGGGCGGGTTCGGGTTGGATAGTGAGATAACCATGCCCACCCATTATCCGTAACATTCGGGTTCGGGTTTTACCCGTACCCACGAAAAATGCTTCGGGTTCGGGTTTTACCCTACCCGATTAGGTCTGATTCGGGTGGATATCCACGGTTACGGATATTTTTGCCATCCCTAATTCAAATTGATGAACGGTCAGCTTATGACTTATACGGGTCGTTTGGATGCATCATTTTGGTTCTATAGTATTTCGAATCCAAATAATGCATTATTTTGTTACGTGGCATTTCATGTAGTATTTCATTTTGAAATGTAGTAATTGATGTAATTGTCTTGTTTGGATAAAACATTCAAATATTGTGGTATTTCACCACGTAAAGAAGGGATGAAGTGGAAAAAGAAATTGGGAGATAGGTATTTGAAATAACTAGGGGGTGGGTAGGTATTTCAAATAACTCACAATGAGTTATTTCAATTGACTCATGAACAAAATACCACATTCTACTTTATTTTTGCCAAACGAGTTATTTTAATTGAAATACCTCATTCTGAGTTATTTCGACCAAATTACTTCATCAAAATACTGTATCCAAACGACCCGTTACACTTTCACGGACATGCTTTTTCTAGAGGCATGTTCGTTCTAGGATCGAAAATCTAGACCAAACTGTATGATCCAAAATGAAGGTTTGGTTTGGCTTATGGGGTCTGATGTGGTACGAATCGTGATTGATCATTGACCCACTAGGCCACTACTCACTAATCCAATCCAAAATACCATTAAAAAAGCAAACAATATTCACTCCCAAAACAAAACAAAATAAAAAGCAAACAATATGATCTTTCTATCAAATTTCGGTACAGACAGAATAAATCTATTGATTCTTCGTCCAATGGAAACCAACCGACTAGTCAAGCAATCCCTTTTGAATTATTATCTCCTAATGAATGAACTACTCCACTGACCATGTCTAGACTCCGAATTCGATAATATAGAAATGCATAACAAAATTTATTATATTGAGAATCCCATATGCAGAAATGAGGAAAACCTGGTGATTCACTTTGAAGTTTGCTTTCTTTTTCCCCCTTTTTTTTTAGCTGTTCGGTTTCTGTAACTTCAGTGTCATACATTTGAATGTAGTTAAATCCTTTAGGTTTTTCGAAACGATGATCTCCATAGTTACTGTATGATCTAAACTTAACAAATCACTTGCAAAGTCAAGAACAAAGAATATGAAGAATGTTCCATTCATTGGGATCTCTGCTATTCTTCATCATCATCAGCCTCAATGCCAACCCACTGAATCAGTGCAAACAGGAACTCCCTGAAGCCAACCTTCCCATTCCTGTCCCGGTCCATTTCCTCTGTTGCATCAAACACCAACACCACATTCTCATGGTCAAGATCAAGATCAACAAACAACCCAAGTAAAAGGAAGGAAAATAGATCAGATTGACTTGTTTCAACTCACTGAATCTGGACTTGGTGATCCTCAATGGAGATTTCTCCCACGGGGAAGTATCGTTCAACGCGTTCACCAAGTCTTTCCTGTTCAACTTCCCATCTCCATTCTTGTCCAGAAACAAGAATGCTTCAACAATGGTGTCAAAGGTTGCCTCCAGCTCTGGCGAACCCATCTTTGACGCCTGCATTCGCCCATCATTATGGTTGTTGGGAGATGGGTGTGCCAAAAGATAGATGAGGCAGAGGAGGACAATGAACTCATTGAACTGGATCCCTCCACTTCCATCAAAATCACAGGAATGGAACAGATCGTCCATCTCCGACTCCTTGAGGTTGATCAGCTGCAGCTTCTCTAGGCATTTCTTGAGCTCCTCGCGATCGATGCTGCCGTTTCCATCTTCATCTGACAGATCGATACAAGACTGACATTTTTCACAAACAAAGATGATAACCCATATCAAAGAACCTAACTTTCTGATTCACATTCATGATTTTTAATTACCAAACTGTTGGAAAACGGCACTGATGGTTTTGAGCTGTTGCTTGAACTGAGGGAACCTCATGATAATGGTGTTCATGGATTTGAAAGTTCTTTTAGACCCAGACGAAGAAGCAGCAGCAGAGGAAGATGATGATCTCTTGACTTCCATCATCTTCTTTTCTAGCTTTGCATCAAGCCTCTTGTATTTGCTTGCAGCGCCAAAATGGCGAAGCAATATGGTTTCTATTTTGGAAAACAGCTGCTTCAGAGAAGGGCAACGCTGGGCAGACTCATGAGATTGAGATGTCCCAGGCAAAACTACAGTGAATAAAGTGAAGAACATCATGAATGAGACAAACAGGGATGTGATTACTGGTAAATTAACAGAAGATTTCAGATGTCCCATCAGTTTTACCAGGGAACTCTGATTGATTTGATTAAAGGAAGTGAAGGGAAAGATTGAAACTTGCAAGCATTGATCAATCATCATCTAAAACACACAGAAACAGCTATCTGCCTAAGGACCTGTTGTCAGTCAAGTCCATGATTTGAAAGGAGGGGGAAGAAAATCACTATTACCCAGAGATTCTTTCATCGCCATGGATGAGATGCAGAGAGATGTAGGGAAGCTAGGACAGGCTGCTTGCTTGTTTCCAGCAGACGAAAAGGAATTCTGAACATTAGAAAAAACCAAAAAGAGGTGAAAAAGGAAGAGTGTAAAAGACTAAAAGTCCAAAGAAGAAGCAAAAGTGGAGAAACCATCATTTTCATCAGCATCATAAGGGCCTACAACATCCATTGTATAGTCACTGTTCATCATTATTCGAATACATCAATAGGGGAAGGAAGGCGTAAGAAAGCAAGTAATAAAGAAAAGCTTTATTCTTTTCCTGGGAACTGACATCTTATAGAAAGATGCAGATGCCCGAATGCCTTGCAGATGTAAAAAGGGAATCTAATCTAATGAGTACTTTCTTCGCCAAGCCTGCCAAAAGATTTCCAGGCTTTACGGACTTGCTCTGTTGAATTGGAATCCGTTGGTTTGTTCAAAACTGGTTCCATTAACGCCAAACCATGAATCCAGGTCATGGACTGTTGGGCGTAATGAGGAGATCAGATAAAACTTAGCAGAGTCTACAAGAGACCATGCTTTGCTTGGTTAGTCGTTGGCTAAGGATTCTGCTGACAGATTTCCACAGGGCAGAAAGGTTGTGAACTGAAAGTAAAGATCTTTGTGAGGGAAGAAACGAGAAGGTAACAACTTCCCAACCGAATAGGCAAAAGTCACTTCCTACCATTCGAAAAAGGATCACAAGCTATACAGGAGACATTTTGATGGTGATACAGTTAACTTAGGAGATCAAATTAATCTGACGCCTATAACCAAGAACTAGATGAGCAGGACGGGAGAAACAATGAGGCTCAGTTTCTAGGATGCTAACGTTGCAGTAGCTGGCTAGCTATTCAGGCCATGTTGTTCATCATCCATTCAACTTCATGACGCATGGTGGTGCCATCCAATGGAAGAGAATCTCCATTGCCGAAGACAGACCTTGATCTTTTCTTCATAGCAGCAGCAGCCTGTGGAGACATTCCCATGGGCGAAACTGGACTCCCAATTGAAGTCAAGCAGCTCTCTGTGGAGCAGTCACCAATCCGAGCAGGCACATTGGAAGAAGCACTTTTGCTGTCTAAAGCAGCAGCAAGTTCAGATAAGGACGGCATCTTGATGGTGTCGAGGGGTGCCATTCCATGACATTCATTGGATACTTTGATTGCTAACTCTGAAAGCTCCTCTCTTGCAGCTTCTAGTCCGGCAGTTGCAACTGCCTGGTCGTTTAGAGCTTTGCAAGCTTTCTCTAGTATTGACTGTAGATATTTACCCTGGGCTTCAATCCTCAGTTGGAGTCGACGCTGCACCTGTTTTGAAATAAAAAAGACGGGTAAGTATCATCCTCAGCTATAATACACAAGATATAAAGAATCCCCACTTAGAACCAGATGAGAAATTCGCTAATCATTATAGGTGTTCAGCTGCTCTATTCTCTACCAGAGCTTCAGAAGCCAAGTTTCAAAAATAAACCATCTCAAGAACAATGACAGACCTCTAGCTGTTCATGTAGCCTTCTCTGAACTTCCATCTGTACACGCAAAGCCTCAGTGACCTGGTAACCACTGTTTCATAAATGAAATTAATGAGAAAGCAAGGACATGTGCTAAGAAGTTTAGGCAGAATGACAGAAGAGATGATTGGCATACTCATTCAGATCTTGTGCAGCCATTCTAGATGATGTTGATGTTGATGAACCAGTGTCCTGACTTTCAGCAACAGATGCTGCTATTCCAACTACAAATACCAAGAACCGCCACATTTTCATCAGTCTCGCATTCTCCCAAAGTTTATTTGCTGATTCAGTAGTTATAATGAAATGGAGCACATACAATGATCTTAAATGCACTTCTTTTCAACCAAAATCTAACATGCATTAGAACGAATGAGTTTCAGAAATCTCCGATGTCTCAGACATGCAAACTGGCAAGCAAGAGTCGTTTGCCAGATATTGCATGACCAGAGATCAGACAAGATTCAAACAGTGGTAGATTCTTACTATCCTTAGAACTTTCAGTCGATTCCTTGCAGGATTGCCTTCCCAACCTGTATTTCTGGAAAGGTGACGCATAAAGTTAGGAAACTCTTGTAAATGTAATTTCAACCCGAAGGATAACACATCAAGGCAAGCAAATTTAGACAAGCTTAATATAGAAAAAGCATCTATACAAAAACAAACCTGAAGATGGGATTTCAAGTGATAAAGAGTGAGGCCTTTAACCCCCATTGTCCTCATTATAGTCTTAGGAGTCGCTTCTGCAGAGTCGCAAAAATAATGGAATAAGCAAGAAATCCATATAAAATGCCGTCGATTCTTTTCAAAAGTAGGGAAATAAAGGTATCAGTACTATCAGATATATAGGAACAAATGCCTGAAATTGAGAGAAAGTAAAGGCAGCAGCGAACCAGCTATCTAGGTGAGAGATGCATGTAGAGCACCTACTGTACATATCACTATCAACCTCAGAACTCACAACTTCCTATTTTATCTGTTATTACCTTACTTACATCAACTCATCCATAAATTACCTTTATTATTCTCAAAAACAGTTCGAAGACAAATAACTCCACAGGCTGAGCTCAACGCATATTAATGCAGCAAATATATGACAGTGAATCAAGTGTCAATGTACGACATGGATGGTTGGGTATCAGTATAAAAACAAGCACCATCAACAAGTTAGCAGACCAGCAGTCAAACTGCCTAAAACTTTTCCTCCCAAGTCATTGGGATTCACATATATGTCATACAATCTCCTCATGTAACTTGAGGTCTCCGACTCCATAGGACAAGGAAGTCACCCTAGAATCCTTAATTCATCTCTTTGCAGCATGCCAGGTCTTATATTGCAGCCATGACAATTGACTCACACTTCCTAAATGTAAGCAAACTGTTGTTCACCAGCTCCACTTCCTAAAGTTCTAGGATCTTGAGAGCATATTCTATGTGAAGTACTCTTGAAGGAGTTCAAGTTCATCAACTCGTAACTGGTCCATGAGTCAAGATGCAGTTTAAACCACAATAATGTGGTCCATAGCACCTACCAAGGATATCCTCTGCTGGGTTCCTGGTAGTGGTAAGGTCACTGACATTTTAGACTAGTGCCAATAAGCAGCTAGCATTTCCCCGTTGCATATGAATCAATAACCAGTCAAAACCCTTTGGAGAACAGAAGAATGTAGCCAAACCTACAAAAAACCCAAGAAAGGGTCTCTCCATTTACCATTGCTATCAGGGTGGAAACAATAATCCACCGTGAGATTTCCTAATGGCTACAGCAAAGAGTTTTAACTGCACATTTTAGCAAGAATAAAATTCAGAATATTCCTTGTAAAGCAAGACAAAGAGATCCTGGTTCTTCTTGTTTGTCTTTTCAGCTGTAACCTATAGTAATGGTTCGGCACGGTAATATGATTACTTTATGAAATAACAATCACAAAGCCAACCAAGAACAAGAAACAGAGAAGTTGTCTAGTTAGAGACGAAAGCTGGTCAATGGAAAGCCAATAAGTTGTAGACATAAAAAATACTTGGAAACAAACATCTTCTCATACATCATGCAACTACCATCCAAAATGCATCCGCCCACTTCAAAGATTAAATATTTACATCAATAGCCAAGCGAAAAAAGTAAGGAATTGGCTTGATTATCAATTCTCAACTCTAATACAAACTCCACCAACCAAAAAACTAAATTTCTAATGGGGAAGGAAGTTCAGCCAGTAAAGGGGAAACATCCTGCTGCAGAAATCCCCAATTTACTGCCAAAGTTAGCTACTAGTAGATGGAAATGAAGCAATCAATCAAACCCACAAAATGGAACTTCAAAGAAAAGAGTTAGAGGAAAACCAATGGACCAAAAGTTCCTTCACTCCGCAATAAAGGCTAAGTTTGGTGGGAGCGGGAGAAAAAGGGGGGGAACCCAAAATTTGAAGGAATGGAGAGCAAATTCGTTGAATGAACTTACTGTCAGGTCCTCCCAACTGGGTAACGGCGTCGATGAATCTATCGTGGAGCTCGGCGGTCCACCGGAGGCGAGGCTTCGGATCCGTGGTGAGAACCAAGCACGCATCCCCAGGTAGATTGGTCCCATCCAACGAACCCTGGTAATCCACGTGCCCTGCTCCAGCTCCGACTATGCTGCTCCCGTCCAGCGGCAGAGAGTGTATGGCGGAGTACATTTGCTCTGCGGTCGGCGGCGGCGGCGGAAAGGGGGGGAAATGCGGTGGCCGGGGATAGAGATCGGGTCGGGGGGGTGGAGCCCCGGGGGGGAAGGAACAAGGACAGCTCCGAAGAAAGAGAAGGGGAAGGGAGGAAAATGAGTTGAACAAAAGAAGACGAAGATGGCTGGGTAGGAAGGAAGGAAGGAGGGGAAGAAGAAGAAGAGTGGCTTTTCGGCTATGGCTCTCTTTCTCTCTCCTTCTCTTCTCTCTCCCGCGGCTTTCGGCAATGGGACAGCGATGGAGCTTATAATTTCTTTTCTTCTTAAATTGCAAAAAAATTTCCCTGCTATTTTGTGTTGTACAGTGTACTTGTGAGCTGCGTCTTTGTCAATATTAGTCTTTACCCTTTCTTCTCTCTCTCCACTTCCTGCCCTATTTTCCCTTTTCTTCTCATTTTCACCATCATACTTTTTGTTGAGTTCCCTTTTCCTCTCAGCCGTCCTTATAAGACCATACACAATGAGTCAATGGGGTTGTTTGGATACTAAATTCGGGCTGAGAAAATTGATGGGTCCTTTGGATTGAGAAATGTTTAAATAAGGATTTTGGGTTTAATTCCCTCTTTCAAAAATCTAGAGATTCTAAACAAGAGATTTGGCCAATTTATCTGTTTGTTTACTAATAAGAATTTCGTTAATCATGAATTTGTTTTTATTGACAAATAACAAAATACAACTTTACCATTTTCAATTGTGCACCTACCCACTTCTCTTCTTCCTCTAGCAATGGAGACAACCGCCCCTCACTTTCCCAATTTGGGTTCGAGAAGATAATCCTCAGTTCTCCACTTTTCCCTCTTTTTCCTGAAATTCGGATCAACCATTCCTCCTCTCCGCCTCTGTCATCGCTTCCGTCGCCAGCAAATCCATCATCCCGCATCCACCGTCGTAGATCCAGATGTCACCCTCGATTTCTCTCTCCTCGAAGCCCTGCAAATCCAAACTGTCATAGTCCCTCCCACGAACTGCCTCAAGGTCTGGATTTGGGTAAGGCCAGTGACACAGAGGACGAAGATCCCGTTGCATTCATCTGATTTTTTTCTCCTCGCAAGGGAGAAGAGATGAGTTGGTGCGGCGGTGGAGGAGGATGTGGTGGTGGTCGGAGAGCTTGCGAACCCAGATCCGTCGGATGAAAGGAAGAACCCAGATTGGCGGCGAGGAGAATATCTATCAATCAAATTACCTGGAAATACGAAGAGAAGGAGAAGGGGTTCTTCTCGCAGTTGGGGCAACGAAGAACGTCGACCTTATTCTAGCGGGTAATCGTCGTGCAGTGGCTGGCCTGACAACAATGAGACGGAGGACTGACCTGGCGGCTGTGGTGGCGGACATGGCGATTTCGAGGGTTTGAGGTTTTGGAAAACAAAGTTTCAGACGTTTGGGTTTTGGAAAGTAGGGACACACTAGGAGCAAACAAAAAACTAGGGCCGAATTTTAAAATACCTAGGGGTTATCAGATAATTCTAATTCCGGACTGGGTCGGATTTAAAATTTCCTGTGGCCCAAATCCTGGCTGTTTAAAGACCTATCCAAACAAAGGAATTGTTTAAATTCCTGGACGGACCCGAATTTGGGCCAAATCCCTGCCCACTTTCCTGGATCCAAACGACCCCGTGAGGAATTTGGGTTCAAATTCTTCTTTTAAAAATTCAAAAAGATTAACTGAATTGATGGTAACATTTATTTATTTGTTTACGTATGTTGAATTTAAACTCAAATTGTTGAACGATAAATTTGTCCTCGTGTTCTTGCTTCTACCTCTTTCTCCCGTAGGAAGTTGAATACTGAGATCAAACTCGATTGCCAAAAATTAGATCGAAAACACACAAAATTATCCTTCATCAATTATCTCTCTCTATGTCATACTTGCCTTCCACCTTAAGCAACATCTTAAACTTATTGCTACTTTTTCTTTACATAGTATGCAGCCTTTCATGCAAGATCAATACGTTATAGTCTACTTGTAAAGGGTGCGACCGCAACAATTAAATATCTTGTCACAGACTTCATTTTTCAGGACAATGATGATTGTGAGGTGGAAAATTACACGTAATTAAGTATTATTATTTTAATTTAGAAAACACTCATTTAACGGTCAAATATGATAATTAAATTTCACGTAGGACACAATTAATAGAGTTGCAAGAATAGTGGTCATTGGCGAAACGAAAATGTAAAGTTATCAACCACTAATACAATAATAATTTGAAAGTAACAAATATAAAATATACTTATAAACATAGTAATAGATGTGTCATTTAGTCATCATATTCTCTTAAAAAAAACTGAGCGCAAAGTGGCCACCAACAAGATGTGTGGGTGGCATACAAGAGCCGATTCAATGAGGTTAATTGCCGTTAGGGGTGTCAGTTCGGGTCGGGTTCGGTTATCCAAACTGAAACAAAAAAAAATCCGAAAACTCGAAATCGAAAATTACTAAAACCGAACCCGAACCCGATAAGGACTTGCGGGTTCGGGTTTGGTTAAAGCAAAACCGAAACCCGAAAATCCGAACACCTAAAAATACGGGCTGAGTTCTATTCATTGGAGGTTTTTAGCAGGAACCGAAAAATCGATAAGCAAAACCGAAGCCAAAACCGAAAACCCGAAACCCGAAACGAACCCGAACCCGAAAAACAAAAAATGTATATAATCGGGTCGGTTTCGGGTAAACCCGAAAAACCAAACCCGAATTGACACCCCTAATTGCCGTTGTGGAGTCCGTCTGCACTATCACCTTCTGACACCCCGTTTCCATGTTATCTGTAGGCATTCATATTTTACGAGCTACAAAATTTTATTCATCCATCGACCATCAATTTAACTATCACCAAAATCAAAGCAAAACATCAAACTTCACAAACTTGGCTAAGTGTTTTGGGCCTTCAACTTGCCCATTTGGGCTACGTAAAAACCGAACTCCAAAATGCTCCAACATCCGGCCTTCAATCTGCCTGCCCACACTAAAGTGGTTTGTTAAGACGTAAAGTTCAGTAGCTGTTTTAGCAATAACCTCAAATTACAGTGATCATAAATGTGCGGTCTATACTATTTGGAAAACTTCATCCTTGGTTGCATCTTTCCGCATTGTTGAGTGACTTGAGTCTCGCCTAGGGTTTCTGCTGCTTTCTCAACTCCGTCCGCCATGGTAAGTTCTCTCGCGTCATCATCCTAGTTGCCTTGAATCCTTCTTTCTAATCAATCTAGTGGCCATGGGGATTTTTAGGTCATACGAGATTGGGTTTAGATAGTTAGACCAGGCCATATGAGAGTTATGCTCTGTGTTTTCATCAGCTGGAACTAGGGTTTTGTGCTGTGCGAAAGAATTTGACGTTTTCTATCCTTGTGTGCCTCTTCTTTTACAGGCCAAGAGAACGAAGAAGGTTGGTATTGTCGGCAAGTATGGTACGTGTTCCCGCTCTTTCATTTTCATTGTTGTTGCTTTTGCAGCATCACTGCAAGAAAATAGAGGGGGTTTCTAAAGTTGGATATACTGTCAAGTTTTTGTTCTAGTCAATTGGTTGAATGTTGGTTAGCCTGCTTGCTGCTTGCTGCTTGCAATTGGGATCTTTTTCTATTGTTCTTCGCCGAGAGGTTTCGTGATATCTTTGTTTCAGGACGTCTTGAATTAATGAATGGGAAGTTGATTTTCATGCTCCTAACATGCTGTTGCAGGAACTCGTTATGGTGCTAGTCTGAGGAAACAAATTAAGAAGATGGAAGTTAGCCAGCACAGAAAGTACTTCTGTGAGTTCTGTGGCAAGGTGTTGATGATCTCAGTGCTAGCTCTGTTGTATTTGATTTCGTTTTTTCATCATCCCTAAACATTGGATTGATTGAAAGCTTTCCATGTTTGCCAGGATGCTGTGAAGAGAAAGGCCGTGGGGATTTGGGGGTGCAAGGACTGTGGCAAGGTCAAAGCAGGAGGTGCTTACACCATGAAGTAAGATATACTCGCGCCTCTCTTTGCCACTTTGTCGCTCCTTGAACGGTCTTTTGCAAATAAAATTTTCATTTTCGATGTGGCGCTGATTGCCTGACTGCGTTTCTGTGACAGTACTGCCAGTGCTGTGACTGTGAGGAGTACCATCCGCAGGTTGAGGGAGCAGACGGAGAGTTAGATGTGATGAATCTATTTTGTTCAAGATTTTTGATGATTCGTTAGCTGTCAACAACGTCTGCTCGTTTCATTTCGGGTTGATTTACTTTCCGAATGCTGTAGGATGTAACGAATGAAACAGAGATTGTGATACTGATGAAAGCTGTCAGCAGAGTTTCTATGCTAGACTTGTCTGCTGTTGCCTTCCATTTGTGATGTTTGTAAGTTTAGTTGGTCTTATCAGTGCGGTTGATCTTCTTCTGCTAGTATTATCTTACTAGGTTTGTTTAATGTACTTAGGTATTTCAGGACAGAAATATGGTGAGTGGTGACCCTTGAGCTAAAGTTGTTTCGATAGGAATAAAATTAGAGGTAAAGTGGAGTATATAAAGTGTAATTTTCTACAGAGCTAGAAAATTAGTGGGTCAATGTAGGGGTCGTTTTGAAGTTTGCAATTGTTAAATAGATGTATTGTTGAGAATGCATGTATAATATTATACATGTACTGTCGAATTTGATGCATTGTAGAATACAACGTTTGGTATGTATGATTGTGTATGTCGCATCAGCTAAAAGTTGAGACAAAACAATCTCAACTCAACTATCTCAACAATCACAATTAAAAGTTGAAATATAACAATCACTCAAAATGAGTGATAGTTTCTGTCACATTACAGAAATAATTCATGTATTGTTTCTGCTAAAAAAAACAAAAAAACGATGCATTGTAAACAATACATGCATAATGACAATCTCAACAAAACTATCACAACTTCCAAACGATCCCGTAATTCCCTTTCCAGCCATACATATTACATCCTTATTTTAATGAAAGACATACTGGTCAGTGGTCATCTTCTCACGTGTATTTTAAGCAAGGATTGTAAAATCGTGTTGCTAGAAATGACAATCTTGGCTCGGTCCGATAGGTTGTATTTGATGCATTTTGTTTTTCTCTTCATTCACACAAAATAAACAGGTCAATATGCGTGCACCTGTTGGTACTCCAGATAGTTCAAGGACATATCTTAGGCAAACAAACATTTAGATTATTCAAGGACGTAACAAGTAGTTAATTTGCATGCACCTATTGGTGCTCGACATAATTTAATGACATATCTTAGGTAAACAAACATTTAGGTTATTCAAGGATATATCAAAGTACAAATGGAATTCATTTAATCTAAACAACTAAAAATATTAATTTGTAAGGAATGAGAAAACAAACGAAAAAAGAAGAAGAAATTTCGATAGTGGGATACATATTGATTTCTCCAAAAATCAGCTTCTACGTTTGATTTGTTGGAAAATTTCCATTTACTTGCTTCAAACTTTTATCTTTAGCTCGTAGGAGAAGGTAGAAAAAGTTTCAAAAACATAGGGGCAAACCTCTTTATAGGCAACTTCACGACTCTAAAACGTGATCCCAAACACAAACGTGTTCCTCTTCAGGTGAGACATTGACAAATGACACGATCGTGCTCCAAACCGTGCTCATTTCGAAATGTGCTTCTTGTTGTTTTGATCTTCTGCATCTCCAGGTGAGCGAATATTGGAATTCGACACGACGCGATCGCTTTAGGTTGCACCGACCTCAACATTTCAATCCCAAAATTGTTTTAAATGAATACCACACTCGTCTAGAACTCCATAATTTTGCTTTTTAGTGCATTTCTTGCCAAACATAATCCAATTCAATCTAAACCGCCTGGAAACACACCTCAGCACGACACAAAGTGAAACATAATCCAATTCAATCTCCAACCTCATGACTTTAAAGTTTAATCATCTCCCAAAGTAGATTATTTAATGTTTCACTAAAACAAGTGAAAAGTAGCACGTACATGTGCGGACGGGACGGCATCCGAATCCAACCAGAAGAAGGGTATATTTGTAAGAATATAAAAGTTTAGGGCCATTTACAGCATGAGAAAAACGTAAAAATTCATTAACGAACTCGGTTTCCGTTTCCTCGGCGGAAGAGTGAAGTTTATTCTTTTCATTCATTTAAGTCCCCAAAATTTCCTGACTTGTTCCATAAGTTGATTCTATTATATTCGCACTCAGGAAAACCGGCGTGGAAGATAACAATTATTCGGCCTCGTCGGACCTTTTTTCCGCTTCCACTCCCACCGTAACCCTAACAAATCTACTTCGTCCTCCGGAGGTGCAGGCGGATTGGGAATTTCGGTGCTAGATTACCAGCAATGGCGGCTACGATGGTCAGCTCAGCTGGCGGATTACTCGCGATGCTCAACGAGAGTCATCCTTTGCTCAAGCAGCATGCTCTTCTTAACCTCAACAACTACGTCGACCAGTTCTGGCCCGAGATCTCTACTAGCGTCACAATAATGTAATTCTCTAGCTATTCCTCTTCTCGGATTTTTATGCGAGCTAGGGTTAGGGTTTTTTAGTTTTGTTTTGGGTGCTGGATTCGATCTATTACGTTCTGGAGAACTGTTGAATCTGTCGAGCGAAGGACCCTAGTAGCTTGACGCAGCTAGGTTGCTTTGTTCTGATTAAGGACGTGGAGCTGTGATTTGTGCTGGCTAATGTGTGTTCTACACTGGTCGTGGAGCCAGAGTAACAATTCAGCAATGCTAGTGCCTGGTAGTGTGATTAGGCGGCGATCATGAATTAGCTGATGTTCATCCACTAGCCACACTATTCTAGTCGGCATGCTATCCCGGGCTTGTAGGGATGCTGCTGCTACTTATGTTTAGAATTTGGCTTACTTTTGTCTGGCCCAACTCCTGATGCGAAATGTGTTGTAAACCTCGAGCCTTGGTTGTTTGATGCATCTGATTATCTGAATGCTGAATGATGCCTTCTCTTGTTTTTTTTTTTTCAGCGAGAGTCTCTACGAGGATGAAGAGTTTGACCAGCATCAGAGACAGCTTGCTGCGCTTCTTGTTTCGAAGGTCATTATCTCATTACCCTTTGGATTACCACCCTTTGTTGCACTTTTTGTGTCAAAGCCCTTAAGTAGTTGTACTTGTAAGTTTGGTTATTGGACATTCTGTGTCTCTTGTGTATGAGAATTACTTCTTACCTTCATGTAATGTAGGCGTGGTTACTTATGTCAGTCTATGGTTTGGATATCGTCCTCTATCGTTGGGAAGTTAACGTGAACCATGTAGCTTTTCAAATATCATAGTCCCGAATAATTGCAATTCAATGGTTATTATCCTCCATTAAATTGTCAAGTGAACCCCTTATTCTAATTAGTTAGCTTTAGCATCTTGGGTTATTTCACTTGGTCTGGGTCCTATGATAGGATTAGTAGTGGCAGACTGCAGGACTAGTGTCATTAGGTCTTGAAGGGGTGATTTGTCTTGTTTAATGTAAAATTTGTTTACAAAATGGCGTTTTTATACTAATCCTGTCGAAGAATGCTCTCTCTAAAACTTGAGAAAGCTGAAGACATTTGGTTACTGTTAAAAACAACTACCCATGTCCTTTTTTCACCTAAATGCTTCTGTTTCTATCCTTCAGGTTTTCTACTACCTGGAAGAATTCAATGATTCACTGTCTTATGCTCTTGGAGCTGGTTCCATGTTTGATGTTTCTGAGGATTCTGATTATGTTCACACACTTCTTGGTAAGTCAACAGGCATCTCATTCTGGGCGAAAGATGGTCAAGCTTCTTTTACTTTGCTCTATTTAGTAGTCTCACTGATTTATGGATGTTTGACAATCATGGTGATTTTGTCTCTATTTTCAGCCAAGGCAATTGATGAATATGCCAGTCTAAAGACTAAGGCAAGTGAATGTAGCGCTGATGTAGAAAGCATAGATCCTAGGTTGGAGGCAATTGTTGAGAGAATGCTTGATAAGTAAGTAAACTATAGTTTCTTTTGACATAATTGTTGTATCTTCCTATCGCTTCTGGTGGTCTTACCATACATTGCTTTAGGTGCATTACCGATGGAAAATATCAACAAGCCATGGGAATTGCTATTGAATGCCGAAGATTGGATAAGCTTGAAGAAGCAATCAGTAGGAGTGACAATGTCCATGGGACTCTATCATATTGCATTGGTGTTTCCCATTCTTTCATTAACCGCAGAGAGTATCGCTGTGAGGTAAGAAAGTTATTGTTCTAGCTAGTCTATTATCTGCAATTAGTAGTGGTTGTGTTGGATTGTATTTGCCTGAGCATGTACTTGCATCAACATTATGTGTTCAGCTATTTGTTGAACTCCTGGAGTTTGATATACAAACAGTTGCTTCCTTTTCTTGTCATACCTTCATTCCCAGCAATTTTCTTATGTAATTTCTGAGTTTCTAGTTTTAATTGTTGAGTGTTAACTTGCCCACTACTCTGCTGCTGTGGATAGTGTTTTTTTTCTTGGTTCCACTTGCCATTTCTTCTGTATGGACTTGCTGTGGATATTTTTCACATCTTTCTATATATATGCTTTAACCAAACATTTGTACATTTGCTGCAGGTGCTTCGTCTTCTAGTTAATGTATACCAGAAACTGCCTTCACCAGATTATTTGAGCATTTGTCAGTGTTTGATGTTCTTGGATGAACCTGAAGGTGTAGCTAGCATCCTGGAAAAGCTCCTGCGCTCAGAAAATAAAGATGATGCTTTATTGGCTTTTCAAATTGCTTTCGATCTCGTGGAGAATGAGCACCAGGCGTTTCTCTTGAATGTCAGAGATCGTCTTCCCACTCCAAAGTCTCAACCTTTAGAGTCTGCAAATCCAAGATCAACTGAGCCGGTTTCTGGTCAAACTGAAGATTCTACTGCTTCAGAGGATGTTCCCATGGATGAAGGAGCTTCAGCTTCTACAACTAGTACACCTCAAATTGATGAAAGTGAGGAAACATATGCTGAGAGGCTGACAAAAATCAAGGGTATTCTCTCTGGAGAGACATCAATACAGTTGACGCTGCAATTCTTGTACAGTCACAACAAGTAAGAAAACATGACTTTCTACTGCTTTGAAACATCCCTGCACAATACTTGCTTTACTAGATGCCGTCAAATCCATGTGTTCTGTTGATGTGTTGGGTCTTAACCAAGGTGTTGTTTGTACATGCAGGTCTGATCTACTCATTCTGAAAGCAATAAAGCAATCTGTTGAGATGAGGAACAGTGTCTGTCACAGTGCAACTATATATTCTAATGCAATCATGCATGCTGGTACAACAGTGGATACATTTCTGAGGGAAAATCTGGTGAGCATACATTTTTTCTGCTTTTACTTTGTTTCCTTTTTGTTGATTAATGTTTCTTTGTCATTTAGTATTTAATTGATTTTTCTTGTTACCATTTACCAGGACTGGTTAAGCAGGGCTACAAATTGGGCAAAGTTCAGTGCAACAGCTGGTCTTGGTGTTATTCACAGAGGGCATCTGCAGCAAGGGAGGTCTTTGATGGCACCTTATTTGCCGCAAGGAGGAGCTGGTGGTGGGGGTAGTCCTTACTCTGAAGGTGGTGCTTTATACGCTCTAGGTCTGATACATGCCAACCATGGCGAAGGGATCAAACAATTTCTTCGCGATAGCTTACGTAGCACTAATGTTGAGGTGAGCTCAAGTCTAAGAATGCTTCTGCTGTTTGCATGGATTTATGGCAATTTGTGAAAATAACAGTTCATGAATCTCATTTGCAGGTAATCCAGCATGGTGCATGCTTGGGTCTGGGTTTGGCAGCATTGGGCACTGCTGATGAAGATATCTATGATGATATCAAGAGTGTGCTGTATACTGATAGTGCTGTAGCTGGTGAAGCTGCTGGTATTGGCATGGGTTTACTTATGGTTGGTACTGCTAGTGAGAAGGCAAGTGAGATGCTTACTTATGCTCATGAGACACAGCATGAAAAGATCATCCGGTAAGTTTTGCTTTCTGTGTCTACCGTTGCTGCTTCTACTGTGCACACTCTAACTTTGGTAATATTTGTATAATGACAGAGGTTTGGCATTGGGAATAGCCCTAACGGTTTATGGAAGAGAAGAAGAAGCAGACACTCTCATTGAGCAGATGACTAGGGATCAGGATCCAATAATACGTTATGGTGGTATGTATGCATTGGCATTGGCCTATGGGGGAACAGCAAACAACAAGGCCATCCGCCAGCTGCTACATTTTGCTGTCTCGGATGTTAGTGATGATGTCAGGAGGACTGCTGTGCTTGCTCTGGGATTTGTTATGTATTCTGAACCAGAGCAGGTTAGTCCTTGGTTAATCAATTCATCTTTCTTATATATTGTCCTTTATTGATGACAGCCTTGTCCTTCCTGTCCTTGTTTGTTGTCTAATAATTCTGATGTAGCAACCTTACCTTTCTGTTCCATATTTGCTTTTGATACTAATTAGTGATTACATCTACGAATTGCAGACTCCTCGAATCGTCTCCTTACTGTCGGAGTCCTACAACCCACACGTCCGTTACGGAGCAGCCCTTGCTGTGGGCATCTCGTGTGCTGGTACAGGATTGAGTGAGGCGATATCTTTGCTAGAACCTTTGACATCAGATGTTGTTGACTTTGTTCGTCAAGGTGCCCTGATTGCAATGGCTATGGTCATGGTTCAGATGAATGAAGCCAGTGATTCTCGGGTTGGAACATTCAGGTATGCTTTTTCCTAATAGTTAATGATTGATTTACAGTAGAAGATTGTGATGCAAACATTTTCTTTCATTATATTATCTCTCAGGCGACAACTGGAGAAAATTATCTTAGACAAACATGAAGATACCATGAGCAAAATGGGAGCTATCCTTGCCTCTGGGATACTGGATGCTGGTGGCCGGAACGTGACCATAAGACTGCTTTCTAAGACAAAGCATGATAAAATTACAGCAGTAGTTGGTCTGGCTGTTTTCAGTCAGTTCTGGTACTGGTATCCTCTTATCTATTTCATCAGTTTGTCATTCTCAGCAACAGCATTCATCGGGCTCAACTATGACCTGAAAGTCCCAAAATTTGACTTCATATCAAATGCAAAACCATCGTTGTTCGAGTATCCAAAGCCAACCATTGTTCCCACCGCTACCTCTGCTGTGAAACTGCCTACTGCTGTTCTGTCGACGTCAGCTAAGGCTACTAAAGCTAGGGCAAAGAAGGAAGCTGAGCAGAAAGCGAATACTGAAAAGGCTGCAGCTGCAGCTGCGGGAGAGCCCTCTTCCGCTGCTGCCAATACCGGCAAAGGGAAATCCAGTGAGAAGGATGGTGACTCCATGCAGGTAAACCTGAGTTCTCTTTTTGTTCAGCATTTGCATTTAATGATAAGTGTTGTACTTCAATGTTGAGAGTTTTTCTTTTAATTTACCCAGCAATGTCGCCTGTCAGTGCCCTAATATTCTTTGTCTGAACTGTCAAAATCTGATTTGGTGACCAGGTTGACAACCCACCGGAGAAGAAAGCAGAACCGGAGCCGTCTTTTGAACTTGTGACCAATCCAGCAAGGGTGGTTCCGTCCCAGGAGAAGTATATCAAGTTTATGGAAGACAGCAGATATGTGCCGGTGAAGTCAGCACCTTCAGGATTTGTCCTTCTCAGAGACTTGAAACCAACTGAACCTGAGGTGCTCTCCCTGACCGATGCTCCTTCATCCACTAATGCCTCTCCTCCCGCTGCTGCTGCTCCGGCTGCCGGAGGACAGCAAGCGATGGCTGTCGACGACGAACCTCAACCCCCTCAGCCTTTCGAGTACACCTCATAGAAGCATCGTCACACTGGCTGGCGGGTGGGTTTCGCTTGATCTGCACCGGTAACCACACGATGGCCTGGTTTCTGCAGCGTGCACCAGTGTTTAGGCAAACACCATCCATTTCGACTGCGACCCAGTATCTCGACGGTCTTTGGCCTACCAGCATTGCCATTTCTTTGGAGAGGTTGTGTGTTTTAAGGTTTTGAGGTACACTTTGGGGCTGAGGTCCACAACAATGCGTCTGGAAGGACCGTTTTGTGCAGCTGCTGCTGCCCTCCGGTTATGTAAACTAGTTTTTATGATTGTTGATTTATAATGTTATACTTTGGAATCTGTTGTGCACAATTTTCCGGCTTTAGGCTAGGAAGGGGGACTAGTACAACGAGAATGTACAATTTATGAGCCATGCCTACTTGTTGCATTCTTTTGTAGCGGCTTAATATAATTAGTTGTTGGACTTCTCTCCTTTGCTTCGATCTTTTCAGTAATTTGATTTTGGATCTATGGAAGGATGATGGATTTAAAAAATGAGGTAATTTAATTCAATTGTTTCAAAATGTGAGATGTATTTTAAAATACTTTAAAATGAATCAATTTAAAATGCTTGAATTTAATTGATCCTATTAGGCTAACCACAACTCGAGGGGCAAAAATTGAGGCTTTTAACTTTTAAGGCTATTTAAGTCTTTTAGCCCCATCGAAAACAAAAACTGCTGCAATCCTCATGGCTAATTTTTTCTGTTTCGTATTTAGTAATCCTAAATTATGAATAGTTAAACTTATGTTTTTAATTTAAAATTAATATATTCATTCATGATAATTGAATACGAACATTCCGATAAAATTTGAACAAATTCTAAGATACTTTATTTTTAGTTGAATTGGAAGAAAGTTACACCGAAATGAACTTCGTTAATCAAAATTACCAAAATTTATTCGTGTTCCTTTCCATTTTACATTTATTGGAACCAAGTCCCAAAGAGCAAATCCCACAAACACTTCCCAAAGGAAAGTCGAGTTCGAACGACAGATAAAGAGAGGAAGCGTCGATCGTAAAGAAGAAGCTGGAAGGCCGAGCTGCCAGTATGGGCGACCGAGTTTGAGGGAGCTCGAGGCGGAGGTAGAGTCCAGTTTAAGGTCCGAGCTGATTGTGAATTGAGTTGGTATAAAGCCCATTTTAAGGTCGGGTCCGGGCCAATCCGAGTTGACCAACGGGTTGACAACCTTACTTATAAGTGTCTCCCCATGTACTTCGACTATAAGATCAAGACTAGCTTTTTGTCTATACCCTTATGAGAAATATAAAAATAAGTTCAATCTCTAAATTTCACTATAATTTTAGAAAGAAACACAATGTTGACAGAATAGTACCCAAAATTACAAATTGGAAAAGCAAAGTTCCCGAGTTATGCTGGTAGGGTATAATTGGTCTCTTCTGTCTTATTTAGTTTGACTCAATACTTGATTTTGATGTCAGTATTTTTATTACCTAAATCAGTGGTAAGTGAGGTGGAAAAGCTCTGCAGCAATTTCTTATGGGGATTGGAGCTGGGAGGTGAGTAAGCAAAAAGTCTTTAATTTGTTTAGAGCTAGAATACGAATAAGGAGAATGGATGAGATGTAATAGAGCAAGTTCTTATTATTGGTAATCTTTAATTTGATGAATTGGAATGTTGTTTGTGACAATAAATACTCTAGTTGTTTAAGGCTAAAGTGATCAAAGTTTGTAGAAATCTAATGGGTGGTTAGGAGTTCAGAATTCTAGAGAATCTATTTACATTGTGGTGTGAAGAATTCTAGTGGATACATCATACAAGCTTCTAGCAAATTTTGGGACGGGTTAGCATGCTAACTCCTTAAAGGGTTGGTTTTTTGACACCCCCTTTTAATTGGTCAATTTTTCATTAATTATTGACAAGTATTAATGAAAGTAAACATAATAAATGTTATGTTATTAAATACAAAGTAAGCATTAAATACACCACATTAATTACCACTTTACTGGTATTTGTACCACTGTACTGATACTCAGATATGACATTGCTACCAGTGCACTGATATCGCTACCAGTGCAGTGGTATATCTACCAGTACAGTGATACAACGTATCAGTGCAGTGGTATATCTACCAGTACAGTGGTACACCGTATCAGTGCAGTGGTATATTTTTGGAGGTGGTCGGAGGGAGTCTGCCGATGGGATTTTCACCGGAGAAGTGTGGCGGTCGGAGGAAGTCTGGTGGTCGGAGACTGCTGAAAAGGGAAAAATCAAATATAGTGAGAGAATTCCTAATGTGTATTTAATGTGTGTATTTAATTCCTAATGTGTATTTAATAGTGAGAGAATTCCTAATTAATATGGTACATTTAATTCCTAATGTGTATTTAATGTGTATTAAATTCTATAGTTGTATTTAATATACTAAGGGGTGTCATTTTCCAACCCCTAAGGGGGGTTAGCATGCTAACTGACCACGCAAACCTTGCCAAACAAGCTGTCACATGTAACACGAACACATGCCGTTACTGAGAAGCTTCCATCGACCTCGCGGCAAAAGTAGTTGAACCATCTTCAATCTAGGACTGGAAGTTTGGTATCGGTATTTGGGATATACCGAATATCGTACCGAATTTGTATATATTTTGTATTAGTGAATACACGTATTATTTCTTGGGATTGAGATTGTGATTGAATTCCGATTGTTATTCGGTATTAGGGATTACGGGATTGAGATCGGTATATACCACAATTCCGATCAATACCAAAATATAAGCTAGTGTGTATTTTATCCTCTCAATTAGAATCTCTCATTCACTTCTACACGACCCTCAACCACCAAGAGTCTCATTTAATTACACATAGATCATTCCATCACTATTTCGCAACTTAGAAATCCCCATACAACTCAAAATTGATTTTTCCAATTTAAGTCACTCCCGCCAGACCATACGAATTGCACCTTGACTCCAGCACAGTCTTCTACCAAAATTCTTGGCAGGTGGTCGGGAAAGCCCTTTGTGAGATGGCTCTTAATTTCTTCTCCACGGGGGCCCTGCCAGAGGAAGTGGTGGAATCGACCGTGGTCCTCATTCCTAAGGTGGATCATCCGGAGATGGTGTCTCAGTTACGTCCGATCTCGCTAAACAATGTGTGTCTGAAGGCTATCACCAAGGCTATCACTAACCGGCTCAAGCCCATCATGAGGAAACTGGTGTCTCCGAGACAGAGTAGCTTTATCCCAGGGCGGCAAACTACGGATAATATTATTGTTTTGCAGGAGGTGCTCCATTCTCTCAGGAAAAAGAAGGGCAAGAGAGGGGGGCTCGTGCTAAAGATCGATCTTGAGAAGGCCTATGATCGCTTGAGATGGGACTTCCTTCGAGATACCCTCAAGGAGGTTGGACTACCCAGCACTTGGATCAACTGCATTATGTTCTGCGTAGAACATAACAGAATGAGGTTGCTGTGGAATGGTGATCTGTCTGCCCCGATCACGCCAACCAGGGGGATTCGCCAGGGAGATCCTCTTTCACCCTATCTTTTTGTTCTTTGCATGGAGCGTTTGTCCCACAGGATTGATAAGGCTATTGAGGACAAACTTTGGAAACCCCTGAGGTTGTCCAAAGAGGGCCCTACGATATCTCACCTATTTTTTGCGGATGATCTTATTCTTTTTGCAGAAGCAGGAGGGTCCCAGGTTCGGATCATCAAGCAATGCTTGGACGAGTTCTGCCACAGCTCGGGGCAGAGAGTGAACTATAATAAATCCGCTATGTTTGTCTCAGCCAATGTAGACAGAAGGCAAGCCCGTCGCCTGTCTCACAGAGTGGATATTCCCCTTACAGTGGATCTGGGCCGGTACCTGGGAGTCATGGCTATTCATGGGAGGGTGACTAAAGCTCGGTATCGAGATCTGGTGCTGCGAATCCAAAGGAAGCTTGCTCCATGGAAATCCAGACACCTCTCACTTGCAGCCCGTATCACGGTGGTGAAATCCATTACCTCTTCTATTCCCATTTATCCCATGCACACAGAACTGCTTCCTGTGAATATTTGCAGGACTCTGGATCGGATCAACCGGGGGTTCATCTGGGGAGACACGGACAGCCAGAAGAAGCTTCATCTGGTTGGGTGGCCGCAGTTGGTTTTACCCAAAAGTAGTGGAGGACTTGGTATTCGGTCGACTAGAGAAGTGAACATCTCCATGTTGGCCAAGAGTGGATGGCGCTTACTCCAGGAGGAAGATAGCTTGTGGGTGCAGATGGTCAGAGCGAAATATGGAGGAAACAGGCAACATCTGGATATGCTTAAACCTATTCAGGGAAGTTCCTTTACCTGGGCCAGCTTTACTAAAGCAGCCAACCTGCTTAGGCAGGGATGTGCCTGGAATGTTCATTCAGGAAGACAAACTAAGTTTTGGGCTGATCCTTGGATTTTGCAGGGACCGCTCTACGAGGTTGCTACTGGGCCGATCACGGAGGAAGATCGGCAGCTCATGGTCGCTAACTTTGTGGATGAGGAGGGGAATTGGCTGATTGAGAAGTTCGAGTCATTACTCTCTCCGGAGATCACTCAGAAGATCCTGGCTCAGGCTGTTGACCCGCTGGCGATGGAGGCGGATAAGATTTTTTGGAGACCAACAGCAGATGGCCGTTTCTCAACCAAGAGCGCCTATGTGTTGCAGCAAGGAACTCCGGACTCCGAGGGGCAACAGTGGTGGAAAGCGATTTGGCGCCTCCCGGTGCCGGAACGGGTTAGATGTTTCATGTGGCTGGTTAAGCAGGGAAGGGTGACCACGAATGAGATGAGGGTGAGAAGGCACCTAAGTGATGATGGTTTCTGCTACAAGTGTGCCAACCAGGAGGAGAGTTTAGAGCACATCTTCCGAAACTGTCCCCCAGCAGCCTTCCTATGGCATCGCACAGTCCCAGGAGGAGCACAGCAGGAGTTTTTTAGCCTTTCTTGGGGTACTTGGTTGCATCGGAATCTCGCCTCCAAGGAGGCTACTATGGACGGAGTTCCCTGGAATGCGTTCTTTAGCATTGCTCTCTGGTGCTTGTGGAAGAACAGAAATGATGTGGTCTTCAAAGGTGAGAACAAGGCTCTATCTGCCTCCTCTCTGACGCAATCTATCAAGATCAGAGCTTCCGTGTGGACTCAGGCCTGGAATGCCCCCTCCCCTTTGGTGGGAAGATTCAAGCCGGCCCAGGATCGTGTGATGACAGAGGTCGGTTGGAAGGCCCCCCCGGCGGGGTGGGCTAAAATTAATGTGGATGGAGCAGCCAAGGGAGAACAAGGCCTAGCAGGGGCAGGTGGTGTTATTCGAGATGACAGTGGTAGTTGGGTGAGAGGCTTTGTGTCGAGACTGGGATCGTGCTCGGCTGCTTTGGCGGAACTGTGGGCGATTTACCATGGGTTGAAGCTTGGATGGAATTTTGGATACAGAGCACTCATCATTGAAACAGATTCGCAACTAGCGACCCAGTTGGTGAAGAACAGAATGGATCCTTTGCACCCGTATGCAGCTTTGCTCACCGCGATCCGGAGGAAGATCTCCCAGGACTGGGTGGTGAGTCTGGTACATGTATACAGGGAAGGGAATAGAGTCGCGGACTGGCTCTCGAAGCACAGTCTCGTCTATCCCTTCGGTATGCATGAATTAGATTCACCGCCACCAGAGCTTCTCCCTCTTCTTCAGGATGATCAACGGGGAAGTACAATTCTGAGGAACATTGTGGTGAACTCTACAGCCCCCTCCCTGTAACCCCTCTGTTTCTGCTTGTTCCCTCTTTTCTTTCTTCTTCGGCCGTGAGCCTCCTTGTATGCAAAAAAAAAAGACTCCAGCACAGTCTCATAAAACTACGGCCCAACTGTTATCAATTACAAATCAGACCAAGGATTGGGCCTCATCAAAGCCCATAACCACAACCCTTAACCCGCACCGTATATAAAGCCACCCAAACCCAGTTCTTCAAAACCCTACATCCTCCTCCCCTTTTACCCCATTTCCACAGATCAACGCCGCCGAAGCAGCCGAGCCAAAATCAACAATGGTGTCCGGTTCAGGGATCTGCGCGAAGAGGGTGGTCGTCGACGCCCGCCACCACATGCTCGGCCGCCTCGCCTCGATCCTCGCCAAGGAGCTCCTCAACGGCCAGAAGGTCGTCGTCGTCCGCTGCGAGGAGATTTGCCTGTCCGGCGGACTGGTCCGCCAGAAGATGAAGTACATGAGGTTCCTGAGGAAGCGCATGAACACCAAGCCTTCCCATGGCCCCATCCACTTCCGCGCTCCTTCGAAGATCCTCTGGCGCACCATCCGCGGCATGATTCCTCACAAGACCAAGCGCGGGGAGGCCGCGCTCGCCAGGTTGAAGGTCTACGAGGGCGTCCCGCCGCCTTACGACAAGGTCAAGAGGATGGTGATCCCCGACGCTCTCAAGTGAGTGGATGCCTCTTCTTTCTACAGGTTATATGTGGATTGGATTTCGTTTAGGGTTTTTGGGATTCTGATTTTTGTTGCTTCTTTTGATAGGGTTTTGAGGCTGCAGAGTGGTCACAAGTACTGCTTGTTGGGCAAACTCTCCTCTGAAGTTGGATGGAATCACTATGACACCATCAAGGTATTGTTTTTTGTTTCCCTGCTTCGGGTTGTTGTAGCTCTTATTCCCGTGAATGATTAGACCTTTCGCGGCTGGATTGTACAGATTCTTTCTATGCCCTAAATGTATGTTTCTGGAGTAGTGGATTCCAAATTTGTTGCTTGAGCCTGGAGTTTCTAACCTTGAGACCTACTTAACAAGGTGTTAGCAGAAAGTTCATATTTTTTTACTTCTAGTTTCATGAATTTGAATTGTTTCGTTCTCTGTTCAACGCAGTTTGATGCCATCATCTTGTCCATCCAAATGGGAAGTAATTGAACTAATCTGATTTGGTGAAAACTGCTTCTGAATTCAGTAATTCAAATTTTTACATTTGGTGTATATTGTGGCTGACTGCCGACACTTTGAGAACATCGTGAGTTTAGGCCACTGGTTACTTGGTTTTAGCTTTTCATTCTCGTATATGGTGGTTGTGTGTTAAGTCATAATGGCTGGTTTCCTGTATGTGTGTGGAAGCTGGAATGTTATTGTATGGTTTAAAACTAATCTCTGCTGATGATATTACAACAGGAGCTTGAGAGGAAGAGGAAGGAGAAGTCCGCTGTCATGTACGAGAGGAAGAAGCAATTGGCGAAACTTAGGGTTAAGGCCGAGAAGACCGCTGATGAGAAGCTCGGCGCCCAGCTCGAGGTCATTGCTCCCATCAAATATTGATCTTGTTTTCCCAAACAAAAACTTGGTTTCCTATGTGTTGCTGCATGATCTTTGTAGGGGTTTAATCTTTGCAAGTTTTCAGAGAATATGTATTTTGATCTTTCTGGTTTTGTCGTGGATTTATCTGAAGAGAGTGGATTAATTTTTGTTATAGTTACATTGAGATCCTCGTTCTTGCAACCTTCGCCTGCTTTGCTATGTGTTAGATTAGATTGGCAAATTATAACCCGAAATCCAAGTGACCTGAACTCGATAAAACGCGATTTTTTTGGTCGGGTTGGTTAGTTGTTTGACCCGTTAGATCCGTTCTTTTTAATATATTACTCCTCAAAAATTATATAATCACTAATTACTCCTCAAAAATGATATAATCACTCATAAATTAGTGAGATATTTTAAAAAAAAATTCACAAGGATTTGAATGACATGTTAGGAGTTAAGGATAATCAAATATCATTTCTTTTAGTAGTAGTAATTGTTTTTTTATGATTTGCGCAATTTATATTTCATTTCATTAGCGTGGGAGGATTTGAGAATATGTTAATTGACATGTTTTAGGTAAATTATTGTTATGCATATGTGAAAATTTGTGTTCTTTAAGAAAATATGAAGCACGTTTGATATTGTTTCTGAGAATGCTCATAACCAGAAGTGACATGTAACCTGACCCGAAATCGAATTGGTTGGGTCAATATTTGACTCGAAATAAACCAATCAAATATGACCCGACCCGTAATCGAAGTTCCCAACTTGAAATTAGCCAACTCGACCTGATTGCCAGGGCTACTGTCAAATTATTCGAAGATGTTTGGACTCTTCAGTCTTCATCTCCCTTCATAGCTCATTCTACCATAAACTATAATAGGGAATGTTCTTTCGCATCCTGTAGTTCGAGGGCATGAGTCTATTTCCAAACATTATTTTTGGTTGAGCCGCCATTGAAGATGGCAGTGACAACCTCTATTCAGTGATTTCATAGAAAGTAGTAAACTCCATTTCTGGTCATAGGCGTGAACTAAACCTATGACTTCGTGATTGAAGGATGAAGTGATCAACAACGAAGCAACTGTGGGGTTTTTTTTCCCCTCGCTTGTTGCATTATGTTTGCTGGTGAAAATTAGGAAACTATAATCAGAAAACTAGGGGTTACTGCTACTTTTGGTCATTGAGATTACTAAATCGTGTCATGTCTAGTCAGTCAAGAAATTTAATATCAATTTTGGTCACTCGAATTATTGAAACATATTACATTTAGTCACTCTCCCGTTAGTTTCCGTCCAAGTCCATTAATGGAGTTGGACGGAGGTTAACGGGAGAGTGACTAAATGTGACCTGTTTCAGTAATTCGAATGACTAAATGTGACATGTTTCAGTAATTCGAGTGACCGGAATTGGATGAAGGCTAACGGGAGAGTGACTGAACGTGACATGTTTTATTAATTCGAGTGACCAAAATTGATATTAAATTTTTATAGTGGCTAAGCATGACTCAATTTAGCAATTTCATTGACCAAATGTGACATTTACCCGAGAAAACTATAATAAGCTCCACCTGCAAATCAACATTAAATTGTAGTAGATGGATGATTGATGAAGTAGGTGGACTGTGGACAAAATTTTCTAGCCACACTTATTTAGATCGGTGGTGAGTGGGGTTGGGTTACCCGATCTTCACATTTCAGTCTCAATGAAAAATAATGTTTTCTTGTTTATATTATCGAATAGTAATCATATTTTGTTAGTGCACCATATACGAAATAGAAATTATATTAAAGTATAGGATATTGCTTGCTCCATGATTGACAAATTTTGTTCTGTTGTTTTTATTGGAAACCCGAGGTGGAATAAAAGAAAATCATTATTCTTCTTATTTATTGCTATAATCTTATTTATTAATTCGAATACCACTGCAACGTCCAAAATATATAAAACAGTGTAAGTTCTAGCACAAAGTATTCGATATGAATAACCTAGTACCAACTTTCTGATAACTGATTAGCATTGATTGTTAATTGTCAACGGTGAATGAGTTGATCGCTGAATAAAACAGCAAAACACTTACAAACAAGGAATTAGTATAGTAATAATACTATTAGTTATGAACCTGGAGGTCCCAAGTTCGAATCTCTTGCATAATACCTAATAACAAAAAGCAATCTATATCACCCCTTATAAAAAAAACAATTGCTAAAGAGCTTGTCTTCTTCTCTGAAGCTTCTCGTATCTGTTGGTGGAGAATAAATGTGTTGCTGCAAATTCGGTTGGCTAGTTGGTTTGCGAAGACTTAGTTCTTCTGATGCTTTCAAAGCATCTAACACACCACTGCAAACATGGTGGATTGAAGTATCGAGCTACGAGCCTGCGACCTTTGATGTAATTAGGTGGGCAATCGATTCGGTAAACTCGAATCGAACCGAAATTGAATTAAACTGAATCGAACCGAAATCGAAATAATGTTATTCGGTTCGGGAGGGAAATATGGATATTTCAGAAACCATAGTTCTTTCAACCGAACCGAATTTTTGATAAAAAAAACCGAAATAAATAATTGTAAGCTTCAAATGGTGGTTTTTTTTTATTTTTATGTTTGTAGTTGTTTTTAGACTTAAATATTTGAAATATTTATGACTTATGTGTTGAAAAGTTTGATTTTTCATTGATGATGCATATAATTGTATATTTATTGTTTATATTAGGGGTGAAAAATAATTTAAAAGTGAGAAGATACAAGTAGCCTCACAAATTCAATTTTGTGTGAAAAACGAACCGAACCAAATTATAATTCGGTTTAAACTGACTTAATCGAATTATAATTCAGTTCGAATTCGGTTTGAGAGAATTCGAGGACCTGGTATTCATAATTTCAGTTCGGTCGAAATCGAACCGACCGAATGCCCACCCCTAGATGTATTGCATATCTACTAGCGGTAATATTTCATTAGTATTAGGCGTTTGAAATGATCGTAATAGGCAGTGTTATTAAAACCGAGCCGCTCGGTCCGACCGGTAAAACTGCCACCCCGGTGACAAAATCGGCTCGGAACAGTCTAAAAGCCGCTCCGGTTTTATGTAGCGGTTGATGAGCGTCCGAGGCGGTTAACCGCTCAAGCCGCTCGTCCGAGTTTTGCCATTCAGCCGTTAAATTTAATTAAAAAAAATTGCAGAAAATTAAAAATTGAAATAAACCAAAAACGTCGGGTTCTCAAACTGAATCCTTATTTCCATTTCACAATTTCGAAGGAAAGAGACGAGCTCTGATTAAGAAATGTCCACTATTTATACTGATAAAGTTTGTTAGGTACCGGTTCTCTAACGGTTTTTAAACGGTCTAATGTCGGTTGGACCACTAAAGTGCGAGCCGTTCGCATTATCGAGTCATAATTCGATTCGGTTCCGAGTAATAGGAACCCATATCTACTAGCGGTAACATCTAATTAATTGAAGAAAGTCGCCCCTCAATTAACTCATAGTTGATGTTAATTTGATGGTGAACTCTAACAAACAGAGTTGCATATTTTATATTTTTGTTTTTGTTATAGATAATCTTATCCTAGTTACCATATTCTTCGCCAACTGATTTATTTTCTTCTCTCAACAACACCTTCTTGTTCCCCGCATTAATTATCGTGGATTGAATGTTTAAAGTTTCCACCACAACAACCTTGTTCTTCATGCATTGTGCGTTGATCCCTGTGTATAAATTCATAACCAAAACCCTAACACATTATCATCACGATCACCTCGCACATTGAAGCAAACAAGAAGATCGAAAAAAGGGAAGGATAACGATGGTGCAAAAGGGCGGTGTTGCTGTAATCTGGCTCCTGCTCTTGTCAACACTGCTTTCCCAAGTGTTGGTCCAGGCATATAATTTCTTCCCAAAAACGAAGGTGGTTATGTTTAACCAAATCGAAGGAGGGCCGAAACTGATGGTTCACTGCAAGTCCAGGCAAGACGATCTGGGAGTGCGCTGGTTGGACCCAGGAAAGAGTTTCGAGTGGTCCTTCCACCCGCACTTTTTTGCAAAGACTTTGTACTTCTGCGCCTTCCGCTGGGAGCACGGAGCTCATCTTGTTTGGTTCGACATCTATAAACAACAGAGGGACGAAGAAGTGTGCAAACAGTGTCAATGGGCCATCAGGAGAGATGGACCGTGCTTGGCCGTATCGGGTTCCGAAATGTGTTATCACTATAGGGACCATCTTCAGTAAGACAACGAGCTCTTCTAGGCACACTATAGGTGATCAAGTTCATTTTGGGTTGGACACAAATTTTTGTGAATAATTAGTTATGTTGCATTGCATATAGTGTGGGATAGGATGTTGTTAGCTCTATCTATAACTAGGAATATGGTTTTGATGCTTTTATTGGGAGACCTGATGGAAGTGGAATAAAATGAAAGCTATTCTTCTTCTTCATTAATATCTTTATTATAATCTTGGTTATTACTATTAAATTTTTAATTTTGGTCACTGAGATTACAAAAAACGTTCAAGTTTGGTCACTCGAAATATTTAAATCCATTGGTGGTACTTCAGTTTACTGAAACCGTTCACGTTTGGTCACTCTCCATCCAACTCCGTTAACTTTGGCTGATGTGGCAGTCAGCTCTCAAAGTTGACCGTTAACTTAGTGACGTGGCATTTAAAAAATTATTAAAAAATACAAGGACATATTTGATATAAAAAATAGTAAATGGGCATATTTGATAAAACTACATAGTATAGTAGAGTAACATACTATACTTATAATGTTATCAACTTTGTTTTTGGACTAATATGTTATTAACTAACATAAGAAAACAGGCCTTATTCCGGTCGGACCATACTGATGAAAACTCAGTGCAACATTATCAACCGGTTTGACAACCTTGGGTTTGGGTAGTAGATTAGGTAAGAACTCACCTAACCTTGCGCTGATCTCCCTCTTCGTTTCAAGTTTCAACCCTGTCTTGTCATCTACACCGCCGGATCAATCTCTTTGCACTCTTCTCATAAAATTTCTGATTTGGCTTCTCCTCTTCTAATTTCTAAATTTATACGTTTCCGGTCGCCGGTCTCGAGTTCTTAGTGATCTCATTAATCGCGACAGTGTGAAATCTGTCCTCTTCTTTCAGATTTTACATTACGTTAGAAACATCGCCGGCCACCTACCATACCAATTACCAACCCACCTTTCTGAAGATTCCGGCGACCTTGATCTGATCCTCCGGCAACCCACGAAAACTCCAATGGCTACCATTTCCAAGCTCTCCTCCAATCTTCACCATCCCCTCCAATCATCTTCCCATCCCAACTCGCCATCTCCCTTCTCCAACATTTCCTTCCTCCCCTTCCAAACCCCCAACCGGTCTTCTTCTTCCTCGCCTTCGCCTTCTCTCCGGCTCGTTTTCTCCGGCAAGCCCTCGACGCCCTCTTTCCTGTAAGTGCTCCTCTCGATTAACTTGTCATTAATTTTTACCCTTTTTGTTGGATTGCTTGTCTTATATTAAAAACCCTTTGTCGCGGTTGATCACTGGTCCTTCATGGGTATGCAGAGTTAGGTGTGCTGCTTCAGCGGGGAATGGGAGCCCTGCCAAGAGAACCACTCTTCATGATCTCTATGAAAGGGAGGGTCAGAGCCCTTGGTATGATAATCTCTGCCGCCCTGTCACCGATCTCATCCCTTTGATTGAGACTGGTGTTAGAGGCGTCACTAGCAACCCTGCGGTAACTGGTTCTTTGTTTATTTGTTTGTCTTGCTATGATATATTTCCATCCTTTCATTTTCTTAATTGGCTTTCTTCAATCTGTGCTTGCAGATTTTCCAGAAGGCTATCTCATCCTCCAATGCCTATAACGATCAGTTCAAGTACTTCCCTTTTCTCCTTACTCATCACTTTGTGCCTTAACTTTGCTTCCCTATCAATTCTAGACATATACTCCTTTTCCTGTGCATGATATCCCCTTACTAATGGTGGGCTCTTCCTGGGTCCTGAGTTGGACCCCTTTCATTTCCCTTATATGTTTATGAATACTGAACCTCGTCGGGTCGTTCTGTGGATTTTTAGTAAGAATGATAGTGATATAAGATCGTTTCTGGTTCTTAGGGAGCTTGTACAGTCAGGGAAAGACATTGAAAATGCGTATTGGGAACTCGTAATCAAGGATATTCAGGACGCGTGCAAGCTCTTTGAGTCTATCTATGATCAAACGGACGGCGCTGATGGCTATGTCTCAGTTGAGGTTTCGCCTAGACTAGCTGATGATACCCAAGGGACCGTCGAGGCAGCGAAATGGCTGCATAAGGTGGTAGATCGTCCCAATGTGTACATCAAGATTCCTGCTACTGCTGCATGTGTGCCCTCCATTAAGGATACGATCTCACTTGGTATCAGTGTGAACGTGACTGTAAGTTCACTCGTGTCTACTCCCTTAGCTGTTTATTTTCCACTAGTGTTTTTTCTTAGAACACAGGCTCTGCAAGTGTCTACTCTTCCTAGCGAAACAGCTATAACCTTTTAAGTATCCCTAATGACCATTTTTCATTAAGAAAATTTCCTCTTTCTGGTAGCAAGTCACAATTGTGTGCAGTAACAGCTCATAGTCTGATGTTTTGTGTGTGTGTGTGTGTGTGTGTGTTTATGCATTGGTACAGCTCATATTCTCTCTCGCTAGATATGAAGCGGTCATTGATGCTTACTTGGATGGCCTCGAGGCATCTGGCCTAAGTGACCTCTCTAGAGTGACGAGTGTTGCTTCCTTCTTCGTAAGTAGGGTGGACACTCTCATCGACAAAATGCTAGAGAAGATTGGGACTCCAGAGGCACTTGATCTCCGCGGAAAGGTAAAATGAAATGAAATGCCAATTCATTGTTGTCATCCTTGTAATGCTGATATATTCGGAAATTGGAACCCATAAATTGCATTGATTTATTCATCAATGGATCTTCAATCTTAGGCCGCAGTAGCTCAAGCAGCTCTGGCATACCAGCTGTACCAGAAGAAATTCTCTGGCCCGAGATGGGAGGCCTTGGTGAAGAAGGGTGCCAAGAAGCAGAGGCTGCTGTGGGCATCAACTAGCGTGAAAAATCCTGCCTACTCTGATACTCTATATGTGGCACCCCTTATTGGACCAGACACGGTAGGTTTCGAACTCTGCCTGACAGCCATCATCTGGAGCAGAGTTTTCACTATCTTGATTTTGCTGCAAGTGTTGAATGGTTTATGATAATGAAGGTCTGTGCCTCACTCTTTGTCCTGGTGTAGGTCACAACCATGCCTGATCAAGCACTTCAGGCATTCGTCGATCATGGAACCGTTGGGAGGACCATCGATTCTAGCGTATCGGAAGCTGAAGGAATATATAGTGCTCTGGAGAAGCTGGGCATTGACTGGAGCCAGGTAGGCGATCAGCTGGAGGCAGAAGGAGTGGATTCATTCAAGAAGAGCTTTGAGAGTCTGCTGGACACCCTGCAAGAAAAGGCCAACTCCCTTAAACTTGCTAGCATGTAAACTGGAAATTAGCAGTCATATTGAGTTGTTGATTGATCTTTAGTTGCCAGTTTTCGGTAACGAGAACTTCGGTCTGTTGCATCATTGAGGTCGTGGATTTGGCGTGCGTGGGTCTGCACTATATGTTTTTACAATAAATGTGCGTAAATCGATCGATAAATGCTCGTAGAACTTTTATTCTTCCTTCCCTGTCTTCTTCAAAAATTTCCAGGGCACTAATGGAAGAATGGTGAGTAAGTATTATTACCATGTACATAAGAACTGGACCACAGCTAGCAGAGGTCCGGATAATATATACAGGTCAGGACTCAGGACCATATATTCATCCAATCTGGAAGGACGTCCAATCTTTCCTTTTTCCGTTTATGGTAGAAACAATCTTTCCTTTTTAACAAACACAACCTTCATCATTAGGAAATAATGATCTGCGACTCTGTAGAGAGTTGTCACGATGTCAATTGAACTTAATCCTAAACTACATGCATAGTTAATTTTTGGCAAAATACAGCTGTATATCCACAACTATCAGGTTTGTGACAAATATATCCATAACTATCGAAATACACGAAATATCCATTTCCGTCCACTCCGTTAACTCCGTCAGTTAACTTGATGACTGGACAGACGGTGGATTCTTAGTTGGCATGCTTCTGGCCCCACTAAATGATGTGGATTAAAAGAGAAAAAAAATTAGGCAAAATACAGTTGTATATCCACAACTATAAGGTTTGTGACAAATATATCCACGACTATCGAAATACACAAAATATCCAAAAATCGGAAGGTTGTGTAACAAATCTATCCACTTTCGTCTGAAACTATAACGACATGTCAGACGACGTTAAATTGACTAACAAAATGCTGAATCGATGCCATCTCACCTTCCATAAGCCAAAAAGCAACCTAACTTTACACCGTTATCTGTTAGACCTCGATGTTGTAGTCTTCTCTGTTGGCGATTTGGTTAGATTCAAACTTGGTATTACCATGGCACCGACTGCATGGAAGCCGTTGGAGTAAAAGGGAGGCAATGGTTCGGGATTGTGGTTGGAATCAAAATCTGGGCTTGGGATAGGGTTATTTGGGGGTGGAGGCGTCGATCGGAGGAAATCAGTGGTTATCGGGCGTGTTTCTAGGTTGAATTTTTAGTCTCGCTGTCTGTGGTTTTTAGGGTTTTTAATTTTTTTTTTTCTCTTTTAATCCACGTCATTCAGTGGGGTCAGAAACACGTCAACTAAGCATCCACCGTTTGTCCAGTCATCAAGTTAACTGACGGAGTTAACGGAGTGGACGAAAATGGATATTTCGTGTATTTCGATAGTTGTGGATATATTTGTCACAAACATGATAGTGGTGGATATATTTGTCACAAACCTGATAGTTGTGGATATACAGCTGTATTTTGCCTTTATTCAACTAGCCTATTTGGCATCTACGTGTAAAGTTTGGTTGCTTTTTGGCTTATGTGTCAGGTGAGCTGGCATCGATTCAGCATTCCGTTAGTCAATTTAACGCTGTCTGACACGCTGTTATAATTTCAGACGGAAGTGGATAGATTTGTCACACAACCTTCCGATTTTTGGATATTTCGTGTATTTCGATAGTTGTGGATATATTTGTCACAAACTTGATAATTGTGGATATACAGCTGTATTTTGCCTTAATTTTTATGGACAGGAGTCAGAATACAGTAGCACATGTGTTGGCTCGAGGAGCTCCAGAATGGGATAGTGAATTAATTTGGTTTGATAGCCCTCCGGGGATTATTGTAGCTCAGCTGGAGCAAGACACTCTTCATAGCCTGACAACATAATAATATTCATACAGGTTTACGTAAAAAAAAAATTATGGACAGAGAATCACGGAGTGCAACTTATCAAATTAGTGATGTCAATAGGGCGGGAAATGGCGGGTAGCTCAATACTTATATCTGTATGCACTAAGTATGAATTGGATAAGGTAATATCCTGAATAAAGAGTTCGCCTCTCTCTCTAAAATTCAAAACGCTCTCTCCTCTCTCTAAAAGTCCCTTCTCACTTTCTCAGCTCCTCCTTGAGGGTTGCTGGCCTGCTGCCGGTAACGTCCTGTGGCGGCCCTCCCTTCGTCCTTCCTTTGTATGCTCATTTTTTCCAGTATATGCGCTTTTCTTTTTCTGTTTCCAGTCCCCTTTGTGGGTTTTCCTTATCCCCTCGTGGGTCTTTTCCTTGTTCTGTCTCATGGGATGGATCTTTCCTCGTTCAAGTTTTGTTCTAATTTTCAGATGTTGGAAGCTTGGAGCTTTTGGTCCAGTTGCAGAGGGGGTTGTTGATTTTTCTCCAACTCATCTTCTTTACATGAATCTTTCATCTACCTCCTTGTTTCATCCAACAAATCACGATGATCCGGACATGCAGTAGTCTTCCTTTGTGAATCAGCTCGGATGCGGTTCTTGGAATCGAAGATGGGGACTCCTCACTCAGAGATCGTTGCATGCTTTGTTTCTGGGTTCTGCCAAGTCCTTCGGTGGTCTTCTCCTTGTTGAGGGTGTTTCTTTGTCATCATCCACGGCTCGTCTCGGCTGGGTTTGCAGTTCCCCTTGTTTTCCTGGTCGACAACTTCTTTTGGTCTTGGCAGTGTGTTCTTCTCGGCAGCGGCGACGATCTCTTTATGGGGTTTCATTTCAGATAGGGTTATGATTGGTTTTCCTCCATGTGGGCCTCCATTGTGAGTTTTCTTGTGTATTTTCTGATTTGTGGTTGGCTTACATGTTTTGGGCCTCTCCTTTTGCCTTATTTGATTTGATTGTCTTTCCTTGGACCTAGTCCAAAACTCTATAATTGTTTCTCAGTTAATGAAACTGTGTTTGTACAAAAAAGGATAAGGTAATATCCATGTAGGTACGAGGCGCGGTGGCCGACCCATTTACAAGAACACACAGGAAAACAGTTCAATATTAATGAATGAGAAATATAGGCGAATGAATAATTCAGTCTAAATAGTTGAAAGATAGAGTTTTGGAATTTATTTGGGATGCAAATATGAATTTGTTAAGGTCAAAAGATGAGAAATGCATGTAGATATTGATGCAAATCATTATAGAACGGATCGAAAACGGAACAAGACGAGACGAAGCAGGTCAGAACCATGTCTCCAATACTATTGCAGGCCAGGTAATACCCGCCTCAAGCAGGCCGGGGAAAGTCGGATGGCACGGATCATGTCATATTGCCATCGGTAATTAACTAGAAAAAGGAAATTTGCTTGTGGCAATAGAATTGTAATTATGGAGTTGTGATGGAGTGGGAAAAATGCTCTTTTCTTAACTTATAGTTGTTGAGTTCAATCCATTATACTTGCATCCCAACATAACATGGAATAGGATTAGGTGCTAACCCCTTAAGCGGTTAGTATCATGCTAACTAAGTTTCCAACCATTAAATATAATTTTTATATATCCTACTGTTACAGATTTGTAAAGGTTAATTACGTAAAAATTCACTTCACACTCCCACAAACCCTAATATATATTTGCTATTCTAGCCCCTCCTTCATCAGAAACCGTCGCCTCCCCCAATCACCTTTCAAAAACCCTCCCAAGTTCCAACTATATTCTCTCTTCCTCCTCTAGCGGCGGCATGGTCACGGATCGTCCACGACGATGGAGGAGGTAGGGCGGCAAGGGCGTCGATGATGATTGAGGAGGCAGGCGGCAATGGCGATGAAGTCAACGTAGGAACGGTCAGATCTGGAGATCTCTCTTTTTTCTCCAACGACGACATGGGTCCAGGGCGTCGACAACAATGAAGGAGGTGGGCGATGGCGACTCTATTTCACCTCCAACGGCGGCATGGTAACCGCTCTTGATGATGGAGGACGCAGGTGGCTAGGGCAGTGGCGGAGCCACTCAGACAGATGGGGGTGCTTGCAGCCCCCTTGGAAGAACAGACCGAAACTCCAAGAATATGATAAAAGGTAATTTAGAACCCCTAACTGTTAAAATACTGGCGCTTGCTTCCCATCTCGGTTTCATAAGACTTTCTTTTCTAAAACACATGCTTTTACATTTATAATAAGAACGATTTATCCTAAATTAATCTTACCACTAATTGTTTACCACCAACACACTCCTCTACCCTCTTATTACTTTCTGCCGCCGCTCAGTTGAATTCTTATATTAATTTTTTTTTTTTTGAATAAGGGGAGGCGTTAGCCAAAGTTACAAGGGAAAGCAGTGCAGAACAGACGCACTTCTGCACAAGAGCAGGTGGCAAACTGCAGCAAAGAAATCACACCAGAAATCAAAGGCGAAAGCCGAAAAAAGACCGTTACCAGCCCGCCAACCTACTCTCTGTTCAACAGAATTCTTCTGGGAAAACTAACCCCCACAATGTCATCAATCAAGATTCTTTCAAGCTCCCTAGGTGGACTTGCTACTTCACTCGTACCGAAGGGATAGACGAGACTGTGCTTCGAGAGCCAGTCCGCGGCTCTATTCCCTTCTCTATACGTGTGAACCAGCCTGACCACCCAGTTCTGTGACAACAAACGTCGAATACCCGCCAACAGTGTGGAGTGAGGGTGAACAGGGTCTTCCCTCGCTTTGATAAGCTCGATAGCGAGCTGCGAATATGTTCTAAGATCAGAAATTGCGTACCGTTGTTCCAGGCCATGAGAAGCCCCTGATGAATGCCCCACAGTTCCGCTAGGATTGCTGTCCCAGTTCCAATCTTGCAACAGAAACCACAAACCCAATCTCCATTACTGTCTCGGAGCACCCCGCCAGCAGTAGCTAACCCTTGATTACCTTGCGCCGCGCCATCAGTGTTCATTTTCCTCCACCCACTCGGCGGCGCCTTCCAACTGATCAGCTGGTCCGTCCTCGAAGGTCTTTCAACTACACTTAAGCTTGAAGAGGCACTATCCCACGTCTTCAACCAATCGGCAGCCTTAGACGTGACATAGTTGACTATGGATGACTCGGCCATCTTTTTTCCCTGAAAAATAAATTCATTTCTATATTTCCAAACATACCAACAAATTAATGCAAAGAGGCTTGGCCAATCCTCCTGAACATCCGCCCCAAGTTTCTTTTCCAGGTTCATGTCAAACCAAATATCCGGATCTGCTTCGAAGAAGCTCTGGTGCGCCTGGACAGGCAGAGACTTCTCCCAAATCTTCCGCGAGGCTGTGCAATCTCTCAGGCAGTGCAGATTTGTCTCCAAAGCTTCATTGCAAAGTTGGCAAGTGTCATCAGTGGTGAGGTGACGAAGCCTACGGACACTGTTCGTCGACAATTTCCCTTTAGCAGCGAGCCAAACGAAGAAACGAACTCTTTCAGGGCAGTGCAGCCTCCAAATCTTCCTCCAGTCTATGCGCTCCTGCCCAGCTTGGTCCGGCGTCATGGCCTGAAACGCCGAGCTCACACTGAACCTGCCATTGGAAGTAATTTTCCAAAAAAGAGTGTCACCCTCATTGGTCAGAGGATCCAGCCAAACAACCCAAATTTTATCAATGATTCCGGGCGGGAGATATGGCTGCATCTCTTGGAGAATCCATCCTGTACTTGCATCCCAATAATCAGCAACTGTTTTGTCTCTTAACTCCAATGGGACCTCAATCGTCGCCAGCTCCACCAGAGGTACCTGCATAATCCACACATCATACCAGAACTTAGTGCCATGCCCATTCTTAACATTGGAAGCAATCCCTTTTTTCAAAAGATTCACAGTTTGGGAAAAACTGTTCCAAGCAAAAGAACTTCCCTTTATTTTACTGAGCATGTGAATCCCCTTCCTTCCTCTCCCATACTTGCTCCTCATAGCTCTAGCCCATAGATTTTGGTTGTCCGTCACGAGATTCCAAGCCCCTTTGGCCAGCATAGCTTGGTTTGCAAGTTTAGTTGGCCGAATCCCTGCGCCCCCTTGCTGTCTTGGCAAGGTCATCTGGTCCCAAGCAATCGGATGGAACTTCACCTTACCATCCTCCTCTCCCCAAACAAATTGCCTGTTGATCCTGTCAAGAGATTTACAAACAGAAGCAGCTAATCGTTCGGTGAACATGGGATAAACTGCCATGGAAGAGGCAATTGATTTCACCAGGGTAGTCCGCCCAGCCACTGAAAGATGCTTAGTTTTCCAAGCAGCCAACTTCTGCTGAATTTTCAAAACCAATTCCTGGTATCTGCCTTGAGTGACCCTGCCATTAATAGCTTTAAGACCCAGATATCTGCCTAGATCACTGGTAAGAGTAATCCCAGCCCTTGCACTAAGTCTCTGAGCTCTGTCTCTCTGGATATTGGGTGACACAAACATGGCTGACTTGTGCAGATTCACTCTCTGTCCCGAGCTCGAGCAGAAGTCCTCCAAGCATGATCGAATCACATCAATCTGACCACCTTCAGCTTCAGCAAATAAAATCAGATCGTCAGCAAAGAAAAGATGAGACAACTTTGGACCTCCCTTGGATAGAGAAAGGGGTTTCCAAAGTTTCTCCTCTACAGCTTTCTCAATACGATGTGATAATCTTTCCATACATAAAACAAAGAGAAAAAGGGGATAAGGGGTCTCCCTGTCTGACGCCTCTAGTAGGATTGATCACCGAAGTCAGCTCGCCATTCCAGTTGATCCGCATCTGATTTCTCTCCACGCACGTCATAACCTGCTGATCCAAGAACTAGGAAGGCCAATCTCACCCAAAGTGTCCCGAAGGAAACTCCAATGAAGCCGATCATAAGCCTTCTCGAGATCAATCTTGATTACCAGACCTCCCTTGGACCCTTTCCTTTTCCTCAGAGAGTGGAGGATCTCCTGAAGCAATAAGATGTTGTCATTCGTTTGTCTTCCCTTAATGAACCCGCTCTGGGTCGGAGCCACTAGACTAGGCATAAGAGGCTTGAGTCTATTGGCTATGGCTTTGGTTATTGCTTTCAAAGCCACATTATTAAGGCTGATGGGTCTGAACTGAGCCGAAGTTTCCGGGTGGTCAACCTTCGGGATGAGAACCATCATGGACTCAAAAACCTCATTAGGAAGATTCCCTGTTTCAAAGAAATGAGTAGCCATCTCTGTCAAGTTCTTTCCCACAAGAGACCAGAATTTCTGGTAGAAGATAGCCTGATACCCATCAGGCCCCGGAGCCGACATCGGCTTCATCCCAAAGATGGCTTTATGATAATCCGAGATATGAAAAGGGTGAAGCAGTTCCAGGAGATCACTTTGCTGCAAACGAGGGAATCTGCCTCTAGGCATCAGATCTTCATAAACACCATCCTCCTGGGTGAACAGGTTTTCATAGAAGTTCATCACTAAGGCCTTAAGGTCCTCCTGGCTATCAACCCAATTTCCGTAAGAGTCATTCAGAACCATAATTCTGTTTCTTCTTCGCCTTCTGGTAGCTTGCTGATGAAAATAAGAGGTATTCTGTTCTCCCAACTTTACCCATTTTTCATTTGCCCTCTGGTACCAAAGAACTTCCTCTTGAGCAATGATGACATCCAATTCTTTCTCGAGTTTAATCTGAAGCTTTAGGAGGCTCGGCCTAAACGAGTCCGCCAGTCTAGTATTCACTCCCTGGAGCCTCGCAAGCAGTCTTCTTTTTTGACGAAAAGTGGAGCCAAACACGTCCCTGTGCCAATCCTTTAGCCTCCCCGTCATCTCGTTCAAAGAATTGTAGAAATTAGAGTCCTTGAGCCAACTATCCTCCATGAATTTATTGAATTGAGGATGCAGGAGCCATGCTGCCTCAAATCGAAACGGTTTAGAATCCCCGTTAGTCAACTGCTGGAAAGAGTATGTTGCAAGGATCGGCAGATGATCTGAATGAATCTTCGGAAGGTGTTGAACCACAGTGTTGGGGAAGGCTGAGATCCACGAGTCATTGCAAAGGGCTCGGTCCAATCGGCTAGCTTTATGAGTTGAGTTTGTACCTCCCTTGAACCACGTGTAACGCGGTCCCGAGAAGCCCAAGTCCGTCAAGCAAGCTTCGTTCATCCACACTAGGAACTTCTTACACCGTCTGAAATCCCTGGCTGAGCAAGCACTATTTTTCTCCGTTGGGGAGGAGATCGCGTTGAAGTCCCCTATGATAATCCACGGGCCACTCCAAACTTTGCTGAAGCCGATGAGTTGCTCCCAGAGAAGGGAATGATATTTGTATTTGGGGCTGCCATATATGCTGGAAAGAATCCACTCTTCGTGACCATCTTTCTCCACTTTAACTGTAATATGTTGTTTGCTGGCATTCAGAGGCGTCACCCTAAAATCCGCAGACTTCCACGCTAGCCAGATACCACCCGATCTTCCATCTGCGTCAACTCTGATGATTTCATCATATCCCAGCTTGCTGCACACTGTATTAGCCTTGTCTCCACTGATCTGCGGCTCCAAAATAATCAGGAAATCAGGTTTGTGAACATCCCTCATCAGGCGAATAGCCCTTTTGAATTTTCTACTACCTGCACCACACACATTCCAGGATAAAATTCTTATATTAATTGTGAACTACGATTCCTTGAAATGTTCAAAAAATATTAAGGTGATGATGAGTTATCTAAAAAATGGTGGCAACAAATACGCGCAAGATGTTTCTTTACTTCTCAAATTGACAATCATGTTCCAACAAGTATAGATACCATTTGCATCCATGAAATATATCAAGAAAATATTTGTAACTAGATGAATGATGAGTGGTTGAACAATGTATTGGTGACATATATTAAACAAAATTTATGTGTTATTTTAGATTAAAAATAAGTTCTACGTTGCCTTTGATTTCAAATCTAATCGATGTTCACTGTAAACAAAGTGCTTTGAACTATTATTTGTAATCGTACGAATATTCTTCTATTATCTGAACTTTATATTGAGTATTATTTTATTGATTTTTTGTTTCGTTAATCGTTATAGTTGACTTTTGTATTATGTATTTGATTTTTTTACGGTATGAAGCACCCCTGGTCAATTTTCTGGCTCCGCCACTGGGCTACGGTTCATATTTATTGACCGGTAACCTTATATCCGTCGTTTCCTCCAGCGACGATGAGGGGAAATAGTGGCGAAAGCCATATATGTTAAGCAACAGGTTGTCTTGGCGTAGTGTTTCCATAGTGTTGATTACTTCTCAAATATATATGCCTCAGATCAATATCAAAGAGGCAGAGATTTGTCCGTTATTAGTACTGATTTTTTAAGATAATAGTGATTATATTTGTAGATATTATTGTAATTATCTTGATTAGTAGTAATTTTGTAGTTATGATTCGTAATTTGTATATATTAGTTTGTAGTAGCTATTTCTATGTAGTGATTCTTAATGTAATATTGAATTTTTTTGAACTATTAGTAATGCTTTGGTTATTCCTAATAGTAATTTTTCATTTGTAATAGGGAAGTATTATTTTTTGTAGTGATTCTTACCAAAATTCGACAATCACTACTACTACTTAAAAAAAAACCCTATTAGTTAAATTAAAATAACTACGGTACACCTATAAAAACACTACTATAAGCAATCAAAACTATTACAAATTTGTGGTGGTATATTTTTTAATAGTAATTTTTTTTTCACGTAGAAATGCTCTGTGAGAGATGAAAGAAAGATTTTAAAATATAATTAATTTATTAAATATAATTTCTAAAAAAACAAATATACCCTTCGTTACTCTCCATCATCAGATTTACTTAAATATAATAAACGGTAATTAGAGTAGTTAGTACGGTGCTAACTTCTTATAAAGTTAAAGTTAGCACTCTAACTCGTCCCAACAACATGCATACCTAAGTGTTCTTGTGAAACACACCCATTCCACCTTAGCTCGGCGTATGGAATATGGATGGCATGTTCCGAACAGTAGCGAGGAGGTGTTGGGTCCAAATCTAATTGGCTATTTGGCTCCGATTATGTTTCTACACAATAATATCAATTATTTACCACAAATTCACTTATATATACATGTATATTGTTTATTTTTTTTCATGCAATGTACAAGACTGTGTACAAAAAATTGATTAATGAACTTTGTAAAATTTATAAGAGTGCGTGAAAAAATAGTTCATAATTAGTAAAATTACACAACCGTTTTATAAGGGAATGATGGAATGAATGACTCGCAAGTCGCATCTACCTTCGTCCATTAATAAAATTTCTTGTCCAAGAACACCTGAGACTCGTTTACTCTTTTTGCAAAGCGTGACAGTTGGGGGAGAGAGTACTCTCCTTTCCATTCAGTATCCACTTCTTTTTAAATATAAATACACATCTCCGCCTCTCATTTTGCATCACCCACCGCCGGCTACAACCTTTTTTTTTTTTTTTTTTAACAATATGGCTGACACAGCTCTCTTCTTGTGCGCTCTGCTTGCGGCCATTAATGCTCTGCTGCTACTGCCGCCATCAGTTGCGGCGGATCAGTACGGTGATGATCAGGTTATGAGTACTGGTGGTGGTGAATCCGATCACGTGGAGGCTAAGCACTTGAGAGTGGCGCCTCGTCCGCTTCTCAGAGGAGGCAGCAGAGGGATTATCGGCGTCGGCCACGGGATTCCCGACAAAGGGTTCCGCCACGGCAGGTTCGGCGGCGGCGGCTATAGTGGCGGCATTGGACACGGGGGTGGCATTGGTCACGGTGGTGGCATTGGCGGCCGGATTGGACACGGTGGGGGGCTTGGAGGCGGTGGTGGCAGCGGCGGCGGGTATGGAGGCGGTGCAGGGGTTGGAGGTGGCGATGGGTATGGTGGGCTTGGCGGCGGCGGCGGCGTGGGTGAGGGAGATTATAGCGGAGGAGATCAGCTTGGAGGCGGTGGCGGAGGTGGTGGTGATTACGAAGGTCTAGATCCTGGGTACGGTGATGGAGTAAGTGTCGGAGGTGCTGATGGTCCCTGATGAAGCTGACATCCGCCGCCGGCCGGCTGGCACTCCCGACAAAGGGTTCCGCCGGCCGGTTTAGACCGGAAATTTGGAGAGTCATTATATTGTACTTATCCTTATAAATTTTATAAAATTTCATCTTTATAACATATAATATTACACCAAAATAACATGTCGTGTTTAGATCCAACATATAGTGAAAATTTACACACTTATATAACATCAATATTCAAGTATTTAACTTAGTATTCAAAAGATTGAGCTAGGCGGGGAAAAAATCAGAAAATAGGTGCATTTCGCAAAAAAAAAAAAAAAAAAAAAGATGACACAATTAGACCTTCAACCTGGTACCTTGTAGCGGTCGCGACCCGGCAGATGCATGCGGTCCTTTTTTCTCATCGGGTTAGGGTCAAATTGGGTCTACCCGCAGGCCGCCTATGTGGCTATATCTGTGTGTAAGCCTGTAAGGTTACTCGTGATTTTCACTCCATGCATGCACTTCTCACGTTGTGTCTCTTGCGGTCTTACCTTATGATAATGTGCAAAGTATATTTGATGTTCCACCAAATTGATCTAATTGCGATAATGTGTAACTATATCGTAATTTATCCAACATGAATCTTAATGATAAAAATGTATAAATATATTGTCAACTTTTTAACATCAATCACGAAGACAAAATTTACAACTAATCTAGATAAAGTTAACGAGATTATATACTCATCAAGGCGCTTCATAATTTTGTAACCAAGGGGTCATCTGCCTCCACTAATTCATTAATTGAGTTGCTCATCAAATTCTTTTAATAATGGTGATATAGGTTTAAATTTTTTGTGATTAAGGTACTATTTAAGAGATTGGAATTTGAGACCTACAAGTTTTGGACTAATGATATTATCACTAGACCAAGCCATTTCCGTAAAATCCACACAAAACTTAAATTGCTATTCAATCTTGGCGTGAACTTTGAAGAGAGCAAATTTTCTGTGTTGAATATTAGATCAACCGGTTCTTAACATTGTATTAGTATTTTTTCTGATCGAGATAAATATTTTATTTGAGGGGTGCGGATAGTATAACAACAGCTCATTTGTTGTTATTGTAACATCAAATCTAACTAAGGGTAAAAGAGTAAATGAACAAATTACAGAAAAAGAAAATTGAATTAAACTCAAAAGCGACGGATAGAAACTCTCGACTCTGCTCTCCCATTCTCCGCCTCCTCCGACCAGAAGACCTCCGACTCTGTCCATCCCCAGCCTCCGTCGGAGCTTTGTCCTTCACAACAACCGCAACAGCGGCGGCGGCGTAAAATCGAGTCCCTCGCCGTCGACCAGCGTCCAACCTCACCGACATTGCGACACTCTTCCATGCCAGATCTCGTCTCTCTCCATTTTCTGTTTTCGATTCTTCTTCATCGACGGCTAATCAAGATGGTGGCGAAGAGGGTGGTGCTGTTCGGAGCTCGAATCTTGGCATTAAGCATGGCCGGTTGAGCACCTCCGCGACGCACTCTGCAATTCAGATCCCGTTTCTCCTCCACTGCCTCGCTTCTTCTGTTGCCGATTGTTCTTCATCGACGAGAAATCAATCTGCTTCTTCCCCGCCGCTCTGATTCTACCTACTATCACCGCTTCAACCTGGTGGAACAGAGGAGATCGAGACTGCTTTTTATCTTCAATTTCGAAATAAGAATAGCTCGGACCTTGCTTGTTCTCTTCAATGGGAATTTGATACTGTGAAGATGGGCAGATTGGACGAAAACGGAGGGAAACGTTGTATTGCGTGGAGATCAAAGGTGGTGGTCACGGAAATTTCCACCATCTTCAGTTCCACCACCATCACCATCATCAACGTGTTGGGAGAGTGGGAGATTCCATTAATTGCCCCTCCAATGACAAAGCTTCTTACGCAAAGAAGAACCGAATGAGATCTGTGCTTTGACTCTAGTTGGAGGAGTGGGAGATTCCTCTTGTTTATGGGACGACGGAGATTCTGACCGGTGCAGAGTTCGTCGATCAGTTGACTATTTTGGGGCAAAAGATGGGCTTGGGGGTTAGTAGTGCTAACCCACCTGCTCCTGCTCAGTAGAATCCCATATGCTCTTTGTATATGCTTATGCATTTGGAAGATCAGGTAGTCGATTTTCTGGCATGGAAAACTTGAGCAGGTATAACATAGATCCCCCTGTATCTCAATGTTTTTCTGTTCATTTAAAGGAGTTGATATTAGCTTAAGTTGGTTTTTGGGATTTGCACACAATCTATCGACAGTGGACTATATATTTTGTAGGTAATCTCTCTTAATCATAATTTCTGGTTCAAGTCTTCATTAACCTCAACATTCATAAGAATTACAGCCAATAAAGGGCAAGAGTCTAGTTTCATGATCACAGGAACTATAAATAGAAAGTGGGAGACCTGCTAAAGAGAACCTTTCTCTCTCTCTCTCTCTCTCTCTCTCTCTCTCTCCAAATCACAGGATCTCCGCCATAGAAATTTGTCTTACACCGAGCATGCATCTCCGTCTTTCTCTCCAAATCATTCGTTTTTTAGTGTAACCTAATCACCAATAACAAGAAGCTAGGTAATTTATATTGGTATTTAGTCATTCTAATCACAAATATTTCTAACACCAAAAACCCCCTAGTGCAAATCACAAACGCAATAAAACAACCCACAAAAAACATACCGTAAACCTCCTAATGCAAATCACAAATTCGCTAAAACATATCAGAAACCCCACAAAAGCACACCAGAAACCCTCTAATGCAAACCACAAACACGGTAAAACAAACCAAAAACGTCCTAATGCAGACCACAAATATATTAAAACAAACCAGAAACCTCGCAAAGCAAACCACAAAAGTTTCGAAAGCACACCAAAAACTTCTTAATGCAAACCAGAAACCTTCTAATGCATACCACAAATCTCCTAAAACAAACCACAAACCTCACAAAGCAAACCACAACATTTGCGAAAGCACACCAGAAACCTCCTAATGCAAACCACAAACACAGTAAATCAAACCAACACAAAAGCAAACCATAAACGTCCTAATGCAAACCACAAATATATTAAAACAAACCAGAAACCTCACAATGCAAACCACAAAATTTTCGAAAGCAAACCAGAAACTTCCTAATGCAAACCACAAACACGATAAAGCAAACCACAAAAGACATAAAAAAAATACGAGAAACCAAACCATAAATCTCACAATGCTAACCATAACATCTGATGATCGTTGACCGTAGACCGAACTCCGGTGACCGTCAGTGAGCAGATTCCGACGCCGATGACTAGATTCCGACTCCGGTAAGCATATTCCGGCGACAAAAAGCATATTCCGGTGACCGGCGATCAGTTTCCGGCGACCGGTGACAGAATTCCGGCGACCGGTGACAGAATTCCGGCGACCAAATTTTTGGGCATAAAATAATATTTTTATTATTTTTTATTATTTAAACAGATTTTTCATAATGACAATTATACCCCTGCTTTGATTTTACACTAGGTCAACTCATCTAATAAAAAGTCATCACAATCCTAGCTTCCTATTGGTTGGAGACTAGTGTTGTTACAATAACAACACAAGGGGTGTTGTCATAGTAACCGGTCCCTTATTTGAGTACCGATGACCCCAATTATTAAGCAATATGAGTTGTCTTTCGTTTGAGGAGTCGTATTAGTAAATGTTAGATGATCTATAATTGATCTTCTGCCAATAACTCGAGTTACTGGAACCAATCTGATTCTTGACATATTCGAGCAAAAGTGATTAGGGCCCACAATAAAAAGAGACGTACATACACTCAAAAGGCTTAAATCATCATACGCACGAGATATATAATCTAACAAGAATATGAATTATCAACAAACCAACTAATAATATACAGATAAATCACTTTATAAGCCGCTAGTTGAGCTGGCTCGCTAATCTCATTATCGAGCTAACTCATGAACTCCAAACGAACCGGCTCATAATTTAAACTCCACAAGCCACCAAATAAAACTTGTAAAGTTTAATTCAATCTCCGCTCCTTAATAAACAGACCAATTATCCAACGAATTTTCGAACACTAGCTCATTTAATCTGCACAAGTTGGATCATGTAGGCGGACTGGCGGGCTTAATCGTTTGAGCTGAGTTAGCCCATTGGGTTCGTAAGCAAGACTCTTATCAAGTTCAGAAGCTTCAGCCCGAGCCCATTCATCAACAGCGAAAGAATAAACGACGTCGCCCTGAAATGGATCAATGAAAAATTCGACTGGTCAGGACTCAGGACCGTGGCCATCTCTGCTCGTGAAACCACAGATCGATCTCAACTCCTGTCCTCCTCCTCTTCCTTCTTCTTCTATTTCCCCGACGATGATGGATTCTCGCGTTCTTGTTGCCCTGCTTCTCGTCTCTTCCTTACTCTGCACATCTGCCAAGGTGATGCTCTCGATTTCTCATGGCACCAATTCCGCGTTTCTCATCTGATCGCGTTCTCCTCGCTTTTGCGAGATTTGATCTGATGGTTGCTTGATCCGATTCGATTTCAGGCGGAAAGCAGCGGGACGGTTCTCTTCATCGACGGCCAGCAACACCAATACCTTCGTTCTCCATCCACCAATGATGGCGTCCAGGTTTTTGTTTGCTTATGTTCCCTTTGCTTAGTGTGTTGGTAAATTCCCCTGAATAAACTTGATGCGTTGCCTGTTTGCGTTTGAATTAGAAACTAGGAAGCGTTTTGCGCTATTTGATGTCCGTAATTGACTTGTTTAGCCTTGTGCGTAGTGGTGATGGATTAGTGTTTAGTAGAAATTTTAGGTGGATGAGAAGAACTGTTATTTCCTTGGGGACGCGTTTTTATTTTATTTCATTGATTGATTCAGGCTTTCTTACTTTCGTGATAACACATTCTGCAGTCCCAGTCAATGTCGATTCCGGAAGTTGCTGATGCTGTGTCTGTTCTGCTTGGTTTTGCGCCATCCGCTACACTTTCAGCAGCTGGTTCAGCGAAGGTCAAGTGTTGATTAGCACTCTTATGATATTATTTAAAACACCTATTTCACCATGTCGTATTCACGGATTTTGAGCTGGTGTTGCAGTTGAATGGGGTTCTCAGTCCCAATATATTTGATAGGCCTCGTGCTGTCTTCATGTTGGAAGTTAGTGGAAGCAAAGGTATTGAAATTCTACGCACCAGTCTTGATTCTCCGCTTTGCTGCTTTAGTATTGAAGCAAATTCTCTTACATGAAGCTCTTTCTCATGCAGGTATCTCAGCTATGGATAAGTACAGCCATGCTTTGCGGCGAAATACCGTTCTGGGTTCAGACAAAGCTCAAATTGAACTTCCAGGTTGGTGCCCTTTTCAGTGTACTTTTAATGATATTTGTAGAAGTTAGAATGTCTGTTCTTATCTCATTGGACCATGGGAGAATGAATTATGATGACTGCATGTCCTATTTTGTGAACCTTTATAGGTGGAGAAGTCTCTGTGGTTCATTTGGATGAAGGATTAACAGATTTCACGGAGAAGGAAATAAGTGATCTTGTTAGTGCCTAATTATTTCATATTTTTTCTTGAGTGTTTTTACTTTTTAGCGTGTCTTGTTGTGTAAACGAATGCTGTTATGAGTTATGACGTTTCGGATACATTGTTTATATGCTAGGCATCTTTCGTGGGTGGATCATATGTTACTGACGCTTCACAACCAATGAATGGAGACATTACAGGCATAGCTTTGGCCAGTGGAACCATGAATCTTCACATGTCAAAGGTCTTACTCTTCTTTATCCCTAAGTTTGAGTTATTCTGAGTTGAAAAAAGCAGTATGCTAACCTTCGGTTGTTACAGGAAGCGGACAGGAAATATGTTGAGAGTCTATTGGCTCTGATGCGAAATAGCAAAAGGGCAAGATTGATGCATGAAGATCTATCACAAGGAACCCGAAGGCCAGCAGAGCTAATAATTGGAAGCTTTGATGGCATTAAGGTGAGTTGTTGAATCTGTATTCTTCTCTCTTCCTTTTGAGAGTTTGTTCGGTATTCTTGAGCTGGAAATAGAAATTATACAGATTTGAACAAGCTCTAGACTTATTTTGCTTTCGTGTTTAGGCTTTGCGAGAGCAATATGGAACAGAAAGCATAGTACAGCAAGGGGAGGAGCTATTACTTAGCATGCTGTCTATAGTTCTTGATTCCTTGCAAGCAGCATACAAAGGTCTGTTGTCCTGTTCTTGTTAAATAATAGTGCAGTAAAATGGAAGTCACAACATTTAGATCAGTGAACATAATGGGATTCAAGTAAGAGATGGCAAGAGAATCCTCATTTACCTTTGTAATGTTTGAAATCCCTTCACTCCTTCAGCCCATTTGCACCACGGCTATCTCATTCTTAATAGAATCCTGTGTTCGATTGCTATGTAATGGGAAATGGGAAATTGTTCCTTTACGAAGGAGGAAATGAGTCGTCCAAATAGATAAATAAATAAAATAAAGCAGGAGATGGGGGATGCTGGTTACAGTAGCCCGAGCCATCGTTTAACGTACTTTTGCTGTACCTGCTTGATGAAACGTCTTCAGAATATGTTCTCAGCAGTGTCATTATTGTGACCTGGCGTGTTGTTGGCTCTTCAAGTTGGTGGTAATTGACAAATTGTTTTTTTTTTTTTCACAGGTCAACTTGTTGCGGTTGTTTCCTTCGAGCCAGAATCGGAAACAAAGTTGGATGTGGTGCTGACTGATTATCCATCTGCTCGTTTGCTGGTTGAAACCAATGTATCCCCTGTATTCAATACCACCATTTTGGAAGTGGCCCTGGTCAGAACGACCCTGGCTTGGTTGACAGGAATCATTCTTCTCGTTTCTACTCTTATCGGGGTAAGAATAATACGAGGCTTGGTTTCAATTTCCATTGAGATCTTTTTTATTTATTTACGAACCTGCATTTCTGTACTTGCATGGATGTTGTGAATCTATCTATGAGATGCATAAAGGGATCACTTCTCTCTGTGTGCCTAGATGCGCCCAGCAGTCGTTAGCCATAGTGATAATATTAACTGCTCGTATATTTTGTGCTCGTGCTTTGACAGGTCTGCATGCTTTTCAACATGCCACTGACGAAGGACACCCTTCTATATTCCAATGTCAAGCTCGACTAAGTTGGAACGACCAGACGCGTGGTCTGTGCAGGACGTAATAGGGGGCCAGTCTATTGCGGAGCAGGTTCACTAGTAGATTGTTTAGTTATCAGTGGTTATCTACGGTTTCTGTTAAACCCATACCAACCACATACCTTGATTGTTGATCATATTGAATGTAATCAACGAAGCTGAAAGCTGCTGCTATGTTGGGGAGTAGGGTCCTGCACATGCTGGCCGATTTGGAGTTCTCTGTATTCTGTAATCCTAAACAATAAAAATAGACATGAGCTGAAAGTTGTATTCAGGATTGTTGTGCGCTGTTGAATAAGTCGATATCTTGTTTAAGCTCAAGTCCATTTAATGTGTTTGTCATATTTGTGATTTTGTAGCATTACTGAGAACTGTGAAGTTTTTTTTTACTGTGTAATAATATTCTTCTACAGTTTTGGATGGGGTAAATTACTAGATTGGTCACTGAGATTGTAAAAAACGTTCACGTTTGGTCACTAAAAATATTTAATTCCATTTGTGGTCACTAAAATTAGTTAAGTATTTCAAGTTTGGTCACTCTCCGTCCAATTTCGTTAAGTTTTGCTTATGTGACAGTCAACTCTTATAGTTGACCGTTAAATGTGTGACATGGCAATAAATAAATAAAATGTAATTCTTTATATTAAAAAGATAAAATTTAATTAATTATATTTCCCTCGGATTCACCTCTCTCTCTCCTCTCTGCACGCGATCTATCGTTCACTCTTTTGCCGACGAAATAGCCGCTGACTCTTCCGAATCCGTAGTCGTCGTCCCATAGTTACATACTAGCCTATTACCCGGCCTGTTGGCCGGATTAGTGTATGTTACCCACTTGTGGAATAGGAGAAAAAGCAAGTGAGAGTAGAAGGAATTGGGATTCCACTTGCTTAGGACCGACCCACTAATCCGATTCTTCCCGACCCGCCCCAACCTAAAGGGTCAGAAAGAGTCAATAAGAAAATACGAACGGAGAGGATTAGTCATATATCTTGAATCTTCATAAGTCGGTCAAACAGGATCAAGGTTGGGTGAGGGGAATTTTTAGCGCTAAGCAGAGTTCTGGTTGAATAACTTTACTTAGGCCTAGAAATTGGTGCTGATGCAGACTGCAGTTTTTATTATACCATCATCAATCATCATTGAATTAGTCCTGGGCATCCCTCCCCGTTGTCGGTCTGAATTCTAATGATGGCTTCGTTCCTTGCACCAGCCATATCGGCGAGTTGTCATCTCGAGCATGATTTGCCTATGTACAAATGATACAATTAGAGTATGAAACTGAATTCAAAGAAAGGAAAAGAGAATTCTATCACATGACAATAAATACACGCATAATAGTGAAGCTAAGTGAAAGTCATTACTCGCAAAATCAATTCTCAAAAATTACAGACTAAACAATGGCTAGAATGGCACTGAAACTACCAAGAATCATGGACGAAACAACTTGTCAAATTAAATAATCCTTATACTCAAAACTACCTTCTAACTTGAAATAGGACATGATCACAGTTCATAGCTCTCTTCTCACTATGAATTGGTTGCAACTCGTCCTTATCACTGCCTCCCAAGCTCAATTCCAACAGAATAGAGACAGTTATGTAAGATAACCATATCCTTACTGATCATAATTCCTTTCTTCACTCCATTTTTGTCAGAGAAAAGAGTTAACCCCCTCTCCTGCATTTCCCTTTCCCCCTCTCTTCTCCCTCTTCTTCACAAACCGATCCCTAAACCAGCAACAACAACACAAAAATAGCCTTCGCCTCTGCCATCTCCATCTACTGAACGCGTTGGTGGCAAGACAGGACTGCAGAAGCAAAATTTTCTAAAATCAAACTAATTTTTTTGAAGGAGACCTAACCACGAAAAAAGAGTAAAGCAACAATGCTAATAGTTCAGATGGTTGGTTTTGATGTTATACATTGCTTTTGTTCTGGTCTCCAGTATATCAACTGCACGATTTAGAAGCAAGTCCTCCTGTTTGTGTCAAACGAAAACATTCATGGGTTCTTAACTCCCCTGTTAGTGTAAAAGCAGCAGCAGCGGCAAAGAAGTTTGACAACACAGCAAGCACCCAGGCAAAATGATACAATGCAGTAGGTGATATGTGTCTCGAAGGTTTTGAGTTACTAAAGTTCATGTTAAAAATAAACATGAATTAAAATGGATTATTCTATTAAGCAAACATCCCCTCTAATCATACAAAGATCATATATCCAATTCACAAACAATTAAGCCATAAAAAATATCATACATCCACCACCTTTGATTGCCTAAATTTGGTTTTTCGCAAAGTTATGGACTCTTAAGGGTAACGTTCATGGGTAGTCCGTTTCATAACTCTAGAGAGCACAGTAAGTAGCCACCAGCCAGACACAGTGCGGTAGGCGAATATGATTCTCAATTCACAATTTCTCACCACCGGAAGTAAGAACAGACCATAATAAGCGTAACATTCATGGGTGGTCTGTTTCATAGCACTACCACACAATTTGTTAAAAAAGAAAGAAAGGTATTTAGCACCACGGTGGAACAACTTTTACAGGCCAACAACGACAACATGCTGCAACCACCAGAACTGGTATCACAACTCATAGGGAAAATCAAAAGAGCAATCGTCAAGCACATACACCATCACAAAAGTCACGGAACCTGATTCACGAAGCATTCAAACATTTGAGGACATTTCTGCAAAGGTACAACTTATATGTCTTTTTTCCAAGCCATTTCCATCAACGTGCTAATAAATTTGCAATGCATAAAACAAACGGGCCAAAACTTGAAATTCAGCCTGTTCGATCGACCCATGCCAAATTCTAATTATTCTTTACTTTTAAACTTTCTATTTGAAAATAAAAAAAAATAGTGAAAGAAAAGAGATGACTACAATTCGCCATTTGCACATCACTTAATCGAGATTAAAACCATGGAAATTCAAAAGGAACTGAAAATTTTTAGGATCGTTATAATGTTTAAAATAACCAAATAGATCGTTATGTTTAGTTTTTTACTAACAAATACCAAACGATTCCCTATAAAATACACTATAATTTGATCATTGTGATATCAAATAATTATAAAATATATATTTGAAATGATAAAAATTGGACTAATTGTGTTGGTCGAGGTTGAACCATTGAATAACTTTAAAATACATTATATTTTAGCCACTAAGATATAAAATAATAGCATAATAGAAAATAGCTTGTTTTAGAATGACAAACCAATGATGTTCGTTTGTTTTACTTGATGGCCAAATCCCATGTAGGTCAGGCCCATTCAACTCTTTTATTTTATGGTTAGCGGTTAGCCCATTAGATACCATGCATTAGTTTATTGTTAAATTTTTTATTTTTAACAATAAAAAGGAGTATTAGTTTTTCCTTTTCATATATATTTTATCACCACGGAGAAATAAAAGGGTTTAAAGAAAAAAAATTGACACTCCTGGACCCGTTTAAATTCGCATGTGTACGGTAAGTTGGCCCGTTCCACAGAGAAAAGAGAAAAAAATTGACACTTCCTATTCTACCCTTCCTACAAACACTCATGGAGCAGGGAATTTGAAATGGGGGAAGGGTTTTTTCCTCCCTGCTATTATATGTTTTTAATTTAAAAGATACAACAAATGTGCTTAGTGTGATTGGTTATTATCCTTGCTTTTCTTTAAAATGGTCATGGTTCGAATCCCAGTACGTGTCTTTTTAATGAATAAAAAAAAGTAATTGTGAAGACCAAAATGTCCTTCCTACTTTCACTCTCGTTGTAGGAAATTTGAAATGGAGCACCCGTTTTTCCCTTCGGCGTATTATATTATGTGTAGATATCCAAATCCCTAATAGTCCCACAGTTCACTCCTACACTTTAAACGAAACCGACGACGACAATCGAGGCTGTATGCATGCCGCCATGACCGTCGGAATCGCGATTTCCAAATCCCTAATTGTGGCTGAGCTCAAGCACTCCAATCTGTAGCGATGACTGACATAAGCTACGGATATTTCACCATGGAAGCTGTTGAGGAAAGGCAATATATGAAGTACAAGACGAGGAAAGATGTCGACAGAGGCAATATAGTCAAAATCGCGCTTTAAAATTTAAAAACTTACGATTTTACTTTTCTAGATCACTAAAACGCTTATATGCAAAATCTCCGTTTTTATAACTTATGTAGTTGAAAACTCGCTTTAAAACTTAAATACTTACGATTTTACACTTCTAGATTACCAAAACGTTTCCACTTAGAAACTCGTTTTTAACTACATTGGACAGAGGGATTGAAATGGTTTCCCTGAAAGTTGGTTCATGGACAAGTCCAGCAATGCCAGAGTGGAGATGTTTGAGATGCATTGTTTAATCGGGCTGGAGAATTGGTTATTGGATAATACTAGGGCCATGAAGGCATGAACCAATCTTGATTGCATCTGTCGCTGTCTGGAAAATTTTCACCTAATTTATTCTTTGACAGGTCGATTCTTTGGCTTGGGCCTTCTAACCCTCGTTCCAACTTCCAAGAACAATTCCAGAGCCATAGTACCTTCTTATCGGAAACAACAAGATCAATGATTCACAGTTTAGCCAGCCACTTTGGGAACGCTCCGGCGATTCGATTCCTGCTAAAGTCTAAGTAAGAAATTTCATAAGGGACGACGACTAGGGATTCGGAAGAGTCGGTGGTTATATTGCCGGCGAAAGAGTGAACGACGACTGCTTGCAAAGAGGAGAGAGAGGTGAATCAGATAGAGATATAAATAATTAAATTTTATCTTTTTAATAGTTGAAAATAAGGTGGAAAATATAATTAATTAAATTTTATTTATTTTATTGTTTTTTAATTGCCATGTCACACATTTAACGGTCAACTATAAGAGTTGACTACCACGTAAGCAAAAGTTAATGGAGTTGGACGGAGAGTGACGAAAGTTAGAATATTTAACTAATTTTAGTGACCACAAATGGAATTAAATATTTTTAGTGACCAAACGTGAACATTTTTTACAATCTCAATGACCGACCTTGCAATTTACCTGTTTTGGATGACTGAGTTTGTCATGTATTTCCTCTATTTGTTGCAGTTAGGGCTGTTAATGAACCAAGCCGCTCATGAACGGCTTGGTGTGCGACTCGAGAAAAACTCGTTCGACACTCGATTCGTTTTAATCGAGCCGGCTCGCGAACAAGCTCGTTAACTAAACGAGCCGAACTCGAGCCATACCATGTTCAGCTCGAAAGCTCGCGAACAAGCTCATTTAATGGTTTGACATAAAAAAAAGATTAGTATTCATGGATTTTATATATTGAAATTGGGATAAATATTGTGTTTTACTTTGCTAGACTTTGTTACAGGTTAGAATGTAATTTTGTGCACAGTTCTAGGTCAATCTTGAGCTGTCATGAACATTTTATGAGCTGAACTCGAATTTGGGCTCGTTAAGCTTATTTGACGAGCCGAGCTCGAGTCGAGCTTTCATTTTCATAAACGAGCCGAGCTCGAGCTTGCATATTAAAACTCGTGACGAACACGAGCCGAGTTCGAGCCTGGAAATATATTAACGAGCCGAGCCCGAACTATGACAAAGCTCGGCTCGACTCGTTACCAGCCCTAGTTGCAGTATTGGTAATCGTTTTAACCGCTGGCATTTACTAATGACAAGAGTCGCACGTATATTCCGGGCCGTGATTTTAATTTGTATGGGCTTTAAAGAGCCCATAAAAGAATCCGAGTCTGGGTCTCGGCCCTCGTGGATCGACTGAAGCTTCCCGCCACCTATCAGAAAGAGAAGACTGAAGAGATTAGCTGGAATCCGAATCCCTCAAACTTTTCAAATGAGTGGTTCGGGTTATCGAACTGTAAATCTCCTCTTTCTTCTTCTACCTTCTATCGCTCTTCGTATCTACCCATCCTTCCTTCATCTACAGCTCAGTCAGTTCTCGATTCAAATTGGCTCTCCAATGTCATCATATTTTCTCATCCCTCTGAATCCTCCGCTTTCAATCATCCAACGCCACAAGCCGCCCAACGCTCTTCCTCTTCTCGCGCTCTACTCCAAGTCCTCCTTGCTCCACAAGACTCACGTCTGCCATGCTCACTCCTCAATCTCATCCTCTTCTGGTTCTGATCGCGAGGAGCTTCTCTGGCTCCGCGAAGAGCAGCGGTGGCTGCGCGAGGAGCAGCGGTGGCTCCGGGAAGAGGAGAGGTGGCTTCGCGAGCGGGAGTCGCTGTTGAGCGAAATTCAGTCGCTGAAGCTCCAAATCCAGGCCTTAGAGAAGAGGATTACGGTTGCCGGAGCTGATTCGGTGCCGGCGAATGTCGGTGCGTTGCTGCAGGTTTTGAAGGAGCGGAGTTTGATTCTGGAGAGCGCGTCGAGTGCGACCCCGATTGAACTGGTGGAGACGGTGGAAGAGGAATCGGAGGCGGCTCGTGTTGTGGAGGTGAAAAACGAGGAGACGGCGGCGGTAGGGAGCGCTCGTGTTGTGGAGGTGGAGAATGAGGAGACGAAGCTTAGGAGGAAGAAGAAAGCATTGAGAGCAGGAAGCGAAGGAGAGGAGGTTCGAGAGATGCAGGTGTGCTCGCAATAATACATCATCATGCATTTCTTCTTGGAATAGCCAAGGCGAGTTGTTCGTTTTTTTTTTTTCTTCTTTCATTTCTATGGCTTTTCATGTGAATCTGTTGAAGAAACCTGTAATAGTGAATTTACGGTGCCAATTTTCTGCTGAGATCTGGTGTGTTGCAGGAAGCATTGCAAAAACTGGGGTTTTACTCAGGGGAGGAGGATATGGAGTTCTGCAGTTTCTCATCTGGGACTGAGCTTGCTGTCAAGACATGGCAAGTAAGTCTAGAATCAGTAGAATGCAACTTTTGTTTACTGGTATTGACGAACTTCTTCGCCGAAAATAGTGGCATATTTGTGTGGATGTACTCATTGAATGAACTCTTTTAGTAAAGACCAGAAGTAGTAATCTAGTGATTTCACCTTGGCAGGCAACATTAGGTGCTCCAGAAGATGGAATAATGAGCGCAGAACTGCTCGAGAGGCTGTATTTGGAGACAAGGACTGAGGTTCCGCTGAAGGTATCCTCGTTGTAGCACTCGAACAATTCTGTCACCTTTACTGCTGCCCTAATGTAGGCTTCTGCTATCTTTCTGTCACCTTTACTGCTGCCCTAATGTAGGCTTCTGCTATCTTTCTTGCTTCAAAGAACATGTTTCAAGTGCAATTAAGAGCAGCTTTTCCATCTTGAAAATTGCCTGATATACATGAAAGGGTAGTAGATTCAGAAAGCGTTAGGTTTCACATGTATGCATATGTAAAAGATTTCCATGTCGATTGGGCACTTGAAAAGCAGTAGCTACTGGTTACAACATGCTGCTAACTCTGCTGGAAGTTCTTAACAGGGTGATATCAATGGTGCTGCTGTTGCTCCCATGACTGAACTGTCCAAAATCCACCAGAAAGTTGTGAAGGAAGAGGGTGCGACTGAAGTCGAGGCATCTGATCACCGAGTGTTTCTCCTTGGTGAGAATAGGTGGGAGGAACCATCGCGGCTTGTTAGCAGATATAAAGAAGACACTGCAAATAGGGGTACAAGGACCACACAGTGCCGTGCCTGTCGAGGCACAGGCCGTGTGATGTGCACAGGTACTTGCTTTCTCTCGTTATTGCCTTGTACTAAACATCACTTTGAAGATGCTCCATCAATATTGGAAATAGTGGTTCGTCGTGTAAATTACGTGTTCTCCTCTGCTGCAGAATGTGATGGAACAGGGGAACCGAATATTGAACCGCAGGTAAACAAGGTTTCAGATGTTGCAGCCATTTTTCTGTTATTGTTAATTACCCACCTCCATTGCTGACATCTATTTTAACTTCAACATGGGGATGCAGTTTCTGGAATGGATAGGCGAAGACACCAAGTGTGCATATTGCGACAGCGGGTTTATAACATGTGATGTATGTGACGGCAAAGCAGTTTCCTAGGGACGTTATTCTCCACTGGTATCAGTTTTTGGACAGAGAGAGAGTAGCTGGAAGAGAGCATATACAGAAGCCAAATCGTTCACATGTAATAAGTAATTCTTGCTAGTCTTATGAATGGACAATGTATGCATCCATTTTATTGCAAGTTCGAACTTCGAACAATACGAAACAGTTCTTCTCATTTATTCCAAATAACGTAGAACAAACAACCATCGCAACACTGACTAAATAGTTCAGACTTTTCTACCAGTCCTAGTTACAGCATCTACCAAGCAGCGTAGAAGTGCACAGTACATCTAGAGATTTCTCCCTAATCTGACCACCTGAGAGGATCTGGCAGAAGCAAGCATATCGTTTCATCAGCATAGAATGCGACTCTCCAAATGAATGATTCGCTCCCCCACTCAAATCTTTTACGTGGTATAACTATTTACAGATTCGTCTTCGGTTTCTTAGCACCTTCAGCACGCCTACTAACTGATCGCATTGTGACGAATTCTTCGGCAGCCGAAGGGTGTATTCCAACCTGTTGCATGCAACACAACCACATTATACCCCGTTTTAACCATGTATATACAGCGATAATCTTTTTCTTGTACAAGACTAAGATTGGCTTGCACCATTAACATTGGCTTGGAATTGGATCCATCATCCTTCAAGTGACAAGATGCAATAAAACATAGACTCATACTCGAAAGAAATGACTCACCGTGCTATCAAACTGTGCCTTAGTCGCTCCACACTTTATCGCAATAGCAATGCCCTGTCAAGCAAAGAAGGTAGCGAAAACCAACGATTTCAGCAAATACAAGAATGCCTGCAGGCAAACTAAAATAAGCTGGAAAATCATGCAAATGCCATAGACATTCAGAAATTCTGTACAGCCAATGCAACATGGAAGTACAGGGAAGACGGAAGAAAAACAGGGCAGTGGGCCAACAGACAGGAGAGAATGAGGCCGAAATCTAAAAGTAAACGAGGAAACATAATGTACCTGCATGATTTCAGCTGCATCTGGCCCACACATGGAAGCTCCCAAGACCTTGTCAGTGGTAGCATCAACAACAAGCTTCATGACCGTCTTCTCTTGTCGTCTGTCACCAATGAGTGACGAAATTATGTGGCGCAGAGCTCAAACATACACTACTAAGAGTCTAGGACTATAAGGATCACCTTAAACACAAACTAAAAGACAGTTGATTTTAGCAGTACTCTTTGTTCGGTGGTTTCACTGCTATAACATTTATGGTCATACGACATGCTGTGCCTGTAAACATCTAACTCAGTTGAAATTGCCAATCTTTCCTCCTTAACAATGCAGCATAATTTCATGTGACGGTAGGCAGAGATGAATGGTCAACAACCATTCATACATATAAATAACTGAGAGATTGAAGTTCTAGAATATAAGGTTTCTCATCTTCATCCTCTAAAACCAAACAAGTCAACAAGACAACACGAGCATTATGCATACCCGGATATAGTATTCCTCATAGGATTGAAGCTTGAAGTGAAAACTAATATATCGCCATTTGCTTGTTCAATTGCTTGCTCTTCACTCAGCCCAACAACAGAAAGGGGTGGTATGCTGTCAAGTAGCAGATCATATGTTACCACAAGTAATGGGCATAAAAGCCAGATTAGCAAAAGATACAAGCTGCAAGTCTTTACCAGAACACAGCACATGGTATATGGTCATAGTCCGGTTTAGTAGGTTCCCCTCCGAAAACAGTTTTCTGCAAGCAACATAAAAACGATTCAGGGAAGATTAATGAATAAAAGTGGCTATTGATATTCTTTTCTTCCAAGCACCAAAAGGGCAGACAGAATACTTAAAATATATGTCATCAGATTAACCAATAAGTTACAAGTGTAGGATGAAAAAGTGTAAACAGATACATACTGCAAAACATGTTCCCTCCATCAAAGCAACAGGTGTAAGATTCATTCGATTTGTTACATCACCGATGGCCCATATGCTAGGTATGTTTGTCTGTGAGTGCTCATTGACCTGGAAAACCGAGTTGACGAAGAACTTAGTACTTCAATCAGTAACAGATGTAAATATCTCAATGACACTATTTTGCATGAAAACGAGAGTTGCGTAAACAACATCACTTTACAAAGAATAATATGTTTATAAAGGACAGCAAGACATAATTACCACCAGCAAATACTTAAGCAGAGACAAAAAAGATACTGTACAGTTCAACCCAAACAACACAGGATATAGGAGACCATGTAGTGCATCTCTATATTACCATTGAGGGAAATTTTAACTATCCAGAGTCAGGATAGAAGCCAGGATACATATAGCTAATAAAGAACGCATTACTGACCTTGATAGCTCCCATTTTGTCAACCTCAACACCTACAGCTTCTAAATTTAATCTTTTTGAATTTGGGACCCTTCCTGTAAGAAATGGAATGGAAGAAAAGATTTAATGAACAAAAGACTATTCCATCTCTATTTTCACAGTAAAGAATAAAATTTTGAATAATTCCCACATTTTCCAACAGACAACAATAGCAGTATGGTTATATCTACAGCCCATTAGAATGATTTTGGGAGATTTATGGAAAGAGCACCATGAATTATGAAATTGTGCTGAAATAGTAGAGTACTAGAGTTGGACTGTTAGAACTATATCAGAAATATATATATATATATATTTTTTTTTGAAACAGATCAGAAATATATTCTTAGGTACACTGCAATGCAAGGAATTATAAGAAATGAATGTGGATCTAATTAATGCAGCTGTAACTGTAAGTTGACACAAGATACGTAAGCTTCAGCAATCAAGCATGAAAATTACCCGTAGCAAAGAGTACCACATCTGCGACCAATTCTTCTCCGTGATCTGTTCGAACTTTTATTCCATCTTCAGTTTTTACCAACTGGAATTAAGGAAATGAAAAGCAGGTCACATTTCACGTAATTGTGATAGTAAACAAAGACCATCAACAAATTTTAGATGCATAAGGTGGCACATGAAAAATAAAATAATTGATTCCACGTTGATACTAATCCTAATCAAAGAGTACCTCAGTCAGACTTGTTCTTGCATGCATATTGACCCCTCTTCCCTCAAGATTTCTTGCAACTACTGCTCTCATTTCATCATCAAAACCTCTGCATTGATAATATACATTTGTTAGAAGAATTACAACACAGAAATGATCATTTTAGTATGACAAGCACAGACAGTAAATATCTTTATGTCCATAAGCTTCTTGTCAAGCAATGGTGATTAAAAAAGACATCCTAAAGTTCTCAAGAGTTAACTGTTTCTTGTTGTGACCCTGCTAGGGTGGAACAAGATATTCAAATTCTCGGGATTGAAGTTCTTTGGCTTTGGATTGTTCTCGGAAATAGTAAGGAGTCATGGATAAAGAGAATTACTTCTCTAATAAGAATAGATAGATTGATTCTTAAGAGATAAATCAACAGTTAACATCATAGCATGAAAGAGACTTATGGTGCTTCCACATTTAAAAGTTCGCCTTTCTTTTCAGGGCGAAACACCACAAGATTTAATAATCTTAGAAGCATAAATACTACCAAACGTTCCTAAGGGAAGGCACAATCCACTTCCCGTTTTTGTATAGACAAAATTTATTACCACTTTGACATTTTGGCTTCAGTTTAACCTAATTGTTAAACTATCCATTCCACTAAAAGTACACTAATATGGAAAGCAAACACTTCTCACCACGAACATAAAACCAACAGGTAAGCATAGATCATAACCTCAATGGAAGTTCCTTTCTGAAAAAGAGATCCACAGAAGCACCCATTCCACGCCAAATAGAAGCAAACTCCACAGCAATGTACCTTTGCATCGAAAGGAATAGCCATCAATACCCAGTTACGATCTTACTAAAAAAATCTTTAAAACTAACAAAATAAAGCTCTTTTTACCCTCCTCCAAGCACTATGGCACGTTTAGGCATTTCTTCCAAGCTCAAGGCCTCGTCAGAAGTTATAGCCAGCTCCTAGATGATAAAAAGGGAAACTACGTCAAGCAAGAAATAGCAAAACCTCTGAGTGAGAAAACTCTTGAAATGAAAAAAATAGAGAATTCCAACCAAACCCAGTAGAAAGAAGCAATAAAATAAACAAAATTTAGTCAACACATAGATATGTAAGTTTGTAGGCAGCTGGTCAAAGGAAATGAAATCACCTGTCCTGGAATATCAGGGCGCTGCGCCCTACTTCCAGTGGCAATCAGTATATGTTTTGCCGAGTAGCGCAATTTAGTTCCATCTAACTGTGTAACTTCAACTTCATTGGGACCAGAAATTCTTCCCTCGCCTTCATACAATTTAACTCCCGCATTGGACAACAACCTCTTGTAAATTCCATTCAATCTGAGTATTTCATCGGTCTGCAGATGCAAATGTAAACTGGCCGCAATGAATGGCGGTACAGGCCATGTATAATGTTAATGTAAAAAATATATAATAGTGTACTGACCTTCTTCTTCAACAGCTTTTTCCAGTTGAAATCCAGGTTTTCATTCAGTTCCCATCCGTAATTCCTTGCATCCTTCAAGAAGATTCAAAATACAAGCATCGACTATCTATCATCAACAATTGTTGCTATATCTTGAAAAATGCAATATATTATCATCATAACTCAAGACTGATTTCAGTATTTTAAAAATGTCCAGCATTCCTGCCGCCCAATAGTTGAAAAGCATTCCATTGATAATCAACATACTTGAGGGCACTGTTGAGTCTACAAAATCATTATACATGAAGACAATTACACAGCTGCCTCTAAATATCCTTCTACACATACTAAAGACGCACTTCATGTGCATCTACACAAGACGCTGAATGCATTGAACTAATTTCAAGAGCATCATCAACTCAAACCCGTCATTCCAGAAGGGATAACAAACTCACCTCAAGTTCACCACCAAAGGATGCTCCATACACCAAGATCTTCTTGGGAACACAACCACGAATAACACACCTACAACAAAGAGCAGGGGAAACCTCACTGGTAAGATCAGCAGAAGCTATACGAAGAAAACATAACTTGTGGTTCCAGAAAACCTACGTTCCACCGACCCCTCCAATCACTTCCGAACTGATGGGATGGAACGGAAGCTCGCATATGCCAACCTTGAAAAATGAAATTGTGCATTAGCAGCGTGTAATCTGGCATCAGGATAAGCAATAATCTGCGCAGCTTAAAGATCGATCCAGACAAAAGGCCAATAATAGAAATCCAAGTTCACGATGTCCCCATAAGCATTACAGATCGTCCAACAGTGACACTAAGAAATCAAGAAACTAATTCTAGTAGCTAATGAGCCGTTTACTACATACGGAGGTGTTCCATTGCATTTGCAGGATCGCTATCATCCAGCGAGAAACTACTAAGCTCGAGTATACTATTTTTTCATCAGAAGGAGCAAAATGAAGCACAAGGAAAACACCGCCTACCTTCTTAGCTCCAAAATTAGTAGCGAATCTGGAAGCACGAACACCGCCGCTGCCAGCTCCGATGACGAACAAGTCGAAATCAAAGTGAGCCTCCTCGGCCTCGTTGGTCTGGCTCAGAACCCCGTCGATAAGCATCTTCCTCGCCATGATCTCGATGTACTACTGATCAGAAAAGAAATTAACGAAAGATAAGATAGGAACATTTCTCCCGATTTCCTGGAAACGACAAAACTCGGCATCACGAGTTAGGCAACATTGTAGGGATCTTACCTCGTGTAAAACTATTACAGCAAACCGATCTGGCAAGAGGACGAAGCGGGGCAGAGAGACGGGCTAGGGTTTAAGAAGAGTAGAAGAAAGCAGAATGGGAGGTGGTGAAATGAATTCAAACTTAAAAACTGCTGGTTGGGCTCTGTATGACGTATGTATGTGCGTGTGTATGTGATTTGCACAGCTCCACAATTCGGATTTGGAATGCGATTAGGCGAAACACCGAGAGCCGCCAGACGAGAGCAAAGCAAAAGTAAGGAGTCGTTTGCTTCTAGGATTTTAGAAAATGAGGGATTATGATAAAACCTTGGATTTTGAATATGAGAGATTATGTTGGATTTTGATTATGTTGGATTTTGAAACTTCCATGTTTGTTTGTAGGATTTGGTAATGGCTTTTAGTAGGTTGGAATTATGGCTTGATGGGGGAAATTACTTTCTTATCCTTAATGAACCACTTTTTACTTTACTTGTATTTTGAATGTTTTTGTATATACGTGAAGAATTAGCATATGTAAAAATGGCAGCAACATCCATACTATTTGGTCATATTGTATACACGCAAGAAGCCATTAAAGTAAATTGAAACTCTCAACCCAAACCAATAATGTCGAAAGGAAAATCAAGGGTTTGGATTGGATTATAAAAAAAAGGATGTAAGCATGAAATAATTAATTGTTGAGCTTCATATAAAAGGAAGACAAAACGACGATAGGCAGAGATGGAAAAGGTTGCCGGAGCTTTTTGCTGTGTTGCAATCCCTTGGCAACAAAGAGACAAAGTTGGTGAGATGAGAGTGTAGACAAAAGTCCTCAGTAGAGATAATAATAACCGAGGGCAAAATTGGATTACACAAAATGAGTGGGGGTAACACGGTCATTAAACATCATGGATTGTATCTATCTTCCAAAATCCTAGCTATAGAGGTAAGATTTTATAATCCATGGGGCCCACGGATTTTAGCTCCAAATAATCCAATATTAGTGGACCCCACAGATTGAAACAAAATCCATTATATGCTAACAAACATGGATTCATTATAAAGTCCAACATAATCCAACACCAAAATACCAAAAGCAAACGACCTCTAAATTCAAATATTTGCAGTAACTAGCTTGTAACACAGTAAATTAGCCGGTATGTTCATATTTGATTATTTATATTTTTATGTTACGCTTAAATTTATCAAACTCATTTAATTTTTTTGACAATCCTTCAATTAAGATGATACATAGAGAAAGAATATATAGATCGAACACTCAGAAGAAATACCATCATCATTTAAGAATATAAAATATAAAAAATGTATCATTGATTTGATTTTCATACTGATAATATTATATTAGTTAGTTGATTGTCAAGAAAGATAGGATATAAAAGCTCACGAGAATTACCACACGACCCATATATAGTTTGAAACTGAATCTAAAACCTCACAATCCTACATAAAAGGCTTAAATGCTCTTCTTTTAGGAACAATATGCCACTAATAAAAAGAATGAGGAGTTGTTGATTCAAGTCAACTATATACTAAAAACTAAGCTAACAGGAAACCATCAAAACTTGAGAGCAAATAACAAAGTTTGTGTTACCTCCAGTATACTAATAGACTTGATCAAAATTATAAGGCACAAAATTAGACACTCCTTATCTATCAGTTTCAGTAGGTTGAATAAAGAATTGACCTACTTCAGTAAATCAATCAATGATTTTTCGTTTTAATATAGAAATAGGTTGTGGTAACTGCAAAAACCATAAACCTAAAGAGCCAATAGCCACCACTCTCCGTTGAACGACCAAATTTTTATCCACTCTATCTTCAATCTCAAGAGGCATATGTTTCAACCAAACATTCACTTTTTAATTCTCCTTCTGCAACTCCATTTATGATACTTTGATGGACCTTCTCTCCGTGGCCCTCAATTTCTCTTCCAATTGGGGTTCTTGTCAACTCGCTCTTCAACTCCTCAATCTTCTTCTTGTGTTTTGCCAACTCATCTTCCTCAGGGGGGGTTGTAATAAGTTCGCTAAAACCAACACTCATCTCCAATTCCATCAATATGTTCATCTCCCCCTTGTCAACTTTCAACTGCTTCAGTCCACTTCCATGTCCTTCAATACCCTCTCCATTTTCATTATTATCCTCATCATCTCTCACTTCGCTCTCTTTAATTGCTCCAGTTTCGTTTCCATGTATTTCAATACCCTCCACAATTCGCTCACTGCCCTCTCTGACTCCCTCTTCTCTACCTTCACCTGCTGCAGTGGAACTTTACCTTCTAGCAAATCCAAAAACAATTTCTTCCCCCACCACTTCCATTCTCAAACTCAATTCCAACTCTTCTACTCCAAGTTCAAATTCATAACTACTTGATTGAACTCCATTATATTCGCCATAGATTGATTTTGGATTTGAAATCTTCTACTTGCCTAGTTTAAATCCTAAGAATAAAACTGTCATGCCAAGAGAAACCGGAAGATTAATTTTCAAATGCGCCCTTGTACTGGGAAGTGAAATGGCCAAACTATTGCACGATGGAGGGACTTTCGGAGAAAGTTAGAAATAGATAAGAATAAAGATAAAAAAATCACAAAATTTAAATTGAAAAATGCAATGACACAACACGTAGTAAAATAAATAGTTTTTTTCATGTTAGCCAATTACAAATTTACCTTAGTGAATATTAAGGAGAGAGCATGAATTTTAAAATGGATAAAATTACATGAACCTATACTGTGGAAATTGAAGTATTAAGCACCATAAAAAATGCATACGGTAAGCTTAGTGATGTAAAAGGCATTCACTTTCTAGAGTTTAACTTTGTATATGTTTTGTATTCAAATAGAAGCAACAAATTCATTTAGTGTAATTGATTATGATTGTTGTCTTTGTTTGAAGAGACCCGTGTTCAAATCTTGATATTGATATTTTTTATATGAAATAAATAGTTAATTGTAAAGACAAAAATGTCATTCCTAAGAACCAGTTCCCATTACCCTTTGCCGGTTTGGTCCTTACGTACGTACCCTGCCCAGATCGCAACCCGGATAAGCGATCAGCACGTAAGGAAAATCATAACCACTGTCACGTTACTGTGCATGTTCTTCTGCACCAACAACTCTAGTAGGGTTCGCAATTGGACTCTAACTCAAGGGTATCCAATTCGATCCTATCATATCAAAACGAGTAATATTCAGTACTGATGATTTTTATCCGCTTTTAGTATTGGTGGCTTGAACCGGATTTGAGTTTTACCAAAACTCAATCCGCTTTTCACCCGATCCGTACTCATAAGTAAAACAACATCATTTTGTATGTAGCCGAAACAATATGATCAATTTACAAAAATTATTAGTCTTCATGACAATATAAACCTGACAATCTAGATAATTTATGAATCTTTAACAAATTTTATGCAGATATATCTGTAAAAAAAAATTCCGATTACATTACGATTTGAGTGTTCGAATAAATAATACATTATTATATTCGTGAACCCATGTGTACATTGCATGCATACACACCTATGACTTGTGAGTCGTGAGTACCTGTTGGATTTTTCACTTCTAAAATGCAATTGATTTTTACCGAGAGGATGCACCAATTCGATAGGGTTTAAAGAAACCCGACCTACTGTCATCTCCAAACTCAAGGGGATCTCTATCTTATGCGTACAACCATTGCAAAAGATTATTTATGCGAATCTCCGCTGTGCCATTTCAATTTTATATTCCTCAAAGGATGAAACGGGTTGGAAAGCTCTTTGGAAATGGAAGGGCCCTAGTAGAATCAAGCACTTTATTTGGCTTGTTATGCACGAAAGGCTGATGACCAACAAAGAAAGGAGAAGAAGAAAGCTCACCACCAACAGCTTCTGCAGCCTCTGCAAGGACAAAAAGAATCCATTGACCACATTCTGAGAGACTGCAGCAAAGCGAGGGAGATTTGGGATTCTTTTCCCTGCAAAGTTGCTGCTAATAGCATGAACCTACCCTTGAGAGAATGGCTGCTAACAAACCTTACTCAGGAGGAGAGTGATATTGGTTTTGGTATCATCATATGGCACTTGTGGAAACAAAGAAACGAAGAAGTCATGGAGGGGAGCGCTTTCTGCAAGAAAGGTTTGATTGCCAGGATTAAAGCCTGGTTCCGCATTGTAGAACAGGCACACCAGAATGTGCAGAAGACTTCACTTACCAGTAGGACTGCAGGCTGCACGAGATTGATCTCCTGGATTCCACCTGATGAAGGATGGATCCAACTGCAGACGGACGGTTCTGTGGTCACTTCGACTGGGAAAGCTGCTGCTGGAGGACTTTTCAGAAACAACTTGGGACAATGCAAAGGGGCCTTTGTCTGCAACCTTGGTTCGTGTTCCATCACTGCTGCTGAGCTCAAAGGCGCGTTGGAAGGGCTCAAAATTGCGTGGCAGAGAGGGTATAGAAGGATTCAGCTCAACCTGGATTCTTTGACTGCTCTTGAAATCATCAAGCAACGCCAGAACGACAACCATCGACATGGTAGCTTGGCTAAACAGTTTAGCTATCTTTTGAACCTCGATTGGGAGGTGACAGTTTCTCATGTATATAGGGAAGCTAATTGTGCCGCCGATTTCTTGGCTAACAAGGCACATGACTTTGATTTTGGCACACATCCTTTCAATGTGTGCGATGTGGACTTAGTCCAATGGCTTCGCCACGATGTTATGGGAATTTCCCATGAACGTTTTACTACTAATGTGATTTAGACGCTTTGCGTCTGTCTTTCAACCAAAAAAAAAAAGGACGAAACGGGTGAACAAGTTTTGCCTCGATGCATTCTTTTCCACATCTGAATCGCAGCCAAGCCAAGCCAAGAAGAAACCAAGTTCGACTTGCCAAACTTCATTTTATACTCGAATCTTTTCTTTCAACCTTTATCTGGCTGTATCTGGATGGATACTCGTACCGGGTGGACGACTGAGACGTGGTCCATTTCCCTCCTTCGCTTTTGTTAGCCTTAGGATGGTGGCCCTTTTCCCACTTTTGCAGTCGGTAGGCAAATTTTCCAGAACTGGTCGTCATCACATGGACAAACCTAACCATTATTGGTGTCTGCTGAGAGCAAACGTTTTGTGATTGAGTTCATCCAGCTCTCACTACACACAATTAGAAACCAACAATCCAAGATTGCTGGATACTGGATACATACACGTTGGTTTCGTACAGAGTCGGCATATCTTTCAATAGTCTGCAGTCAGTGTAGAGCAGTTCGACGTTAAGTTGATCGATCGGCACATCATGACTAACGGAATGTTACAGAGAAAAAATCACACTGCATCAATCACGTTAACAAGTATTGTTCAACAGGACAATTAAGCCGTTGAATACCCGTTGGTTTCGTACAGAGTCTGGCATATCTTTCAATAGTCTGCAGTCAGTGTAGAGCAGTTCGACGTTAAGTTGATCGATCGGCACATCATGACTAACGGAATGTTACAGAGAAGAAATCACACTGCATCAATCACGTTAACAAGTATTGTTCAACAGGACGATTAAGCCGTTGAATGACCATGACACGGGACATTAAGTATCCTCTCATTTTCCACAACTTGCACTTGCCCAAGCTGACAAGAGGTACAAAAACAGGCATATGAGTCTCGAACGATGCGTTCTTCGACTGTTGGGCCATCACATTCGGGAGAAGGGAAGTTATTCTTAGTGTACAGATTCGATCCGGTGACGGGTAAAGAGAAAACAAGAGGGACTCCTATGTATAGTTCTGTATTAAAATAAGCTAGTTATTGCAGCAGCACGTTTGATTCATTCCCAAGTTTTGGGAAGGTGAGATTCAGAGAACAACAGATTCTTTACTTTACAGAAAAAAGAAGAAAATGGAGGTAACTTACAGGTGATTCGTATAATATAATCAATCAGCAGGCACAGTTGAAGACGGAGTTCCCAAAGCACTTAGCTTTGGTCGCTATCCTTCTCACGCCGCTTTCGTTCTGCGAGAATCTCGCGCTAGGAGACAGCATCAGTCTCTCCATTATATTTACTTTCGGGGCGTCGAGGATGGCCTTGGGGAGCGAAAGTGCCCACTGCATTCCCCAGATCGAAAGTGGCCTCATGTAGACGAGAGACCGGTAGTGTCCGTCCATGGTCCACCCTTCTGGAGTTTGGAACCAGTACCTGACATTTCGAACAAGACGACATGTCAGTAGAGTCTCAAACAGACGCCATAAAGCCTTCTCGCTCGAGGCACGACAGCTTATTTAGTTACCAACTCACCCGTAGCCCTCCTCCGACCATCCAGCAGTGAAAATGCCTTCAGCAGTGGCGAAGGCCTTGTCCTCCATCCCGGCAAGGATCATCGTAGCTGCCACCCCGTACGTGACACCTGTCCATACTTCGCGAGACTGCATACATGTCTCGTCCACCTTTCCATTGGGATGCATTCCATTCACAGCTCCGATCTTGCCACCTTTGACTCTCATCACATTGAAATCGTAGACCTTCTGCAGAGAACTCTTGATTTTGAGGTCGTCGAAAAGTGGAGGCAATCCCGAAGATGCAGTGTACCATTGCCCAGCCAGCTGATCCGCTTGTATAGACTTGCTGTTGCTACTAGACCCGCTGTCGTAGTTGAAATACGAACCATTCCACAGTTTCGATTCGTAAGCCACTTTCGCCTTCACAAATTTGCTCTTGCAGAGCTCCGCAAAATATTTGTCGCCTAGTTGAAGAGCCATCGCAGCTGCAGCTTGAAGAGCAGCAAGCCATAGGCCACCACAGTAGGCACTGACTCCGTGGACGGTCCACGTGTCATAGGTCTGATCTGGGAACCCATCATTCTCAATGAGGCCATCATCATCTCTGTCGAATTGTTCCATGTATTCCATGGCAGTGCGAACTGCAGGCCACACATCAACTCCAAAACCCATGTCCCCTGTTGCAGCGAAGTCCCTGTAAACCTGAAGCACAAACTTCGGGTTGAGATCCTTCCACTTGCTCGTGTCGTGAATGTTGTAGGCGTTCATCTCATTCCATGGATCATGAGTTCCAAGGTCATGTGGGATGGCACCTCTGACCTTACGAATCCCAACATTACCCTCTGCCAGAAACTTGACCTTCCTTCCATCCTCGCATAACACGGCCTTAGCAAACTCCCGCTGAATACTGAGTTCGATCTTGGGGAAAAGTTCCAAGAGTGCAAATGATGCATAGAAATGCACATCATATGTGCACCACATTATGTATTCAACTCCTTCCAAGTAGAGAAACCTGCCTACGTCATCACTGTCGATAAACGGGTCTGGTACTGCGAGAGGATGTAACGAATGGTTGGGCTCTCTTTTGTCTTGAACTCCTTGGGAAGCATTCTCTTCATGAGATGACTCATCACTTTCGTCTGAGCTATTAGCACTACTATGAGCACTAACGCTATCAACTGCGGTATGCTCAATATTCTCTCCATCAGCCCCAACTTGGGCTTCAATCACACTGGCATCTGGGCCTTCTTCATGAGTTAGCTTTTGACGACGACCATTTGCCATACGTTCTGGCAGGGTGGAGTCTGAAAAGAAAAGGCACGCCAGTATAGTTGTCATGCTCTTGGAGATTCATGAGAAAGAATTCAAATTACACAGGAAGATGTGCTATGGCGAACTACATTACAAGTTTAGTTTACTTATGCTGCTTATATTATGAGCCAAAGCAGTACCGGCAGCCCAAATGTCTGGCACAAATTTGTATAAACTTGGGAGAAAAATATAACTGTAATGAATACATACCGATCCAAACTGTCCCACCAGCCACCAAAAAGTAGAGCTCATTAAACAAAGTGAATTTATACCTGTGAAGGAAATTGTTCAGCAAGATGGAACTAGCGGGAGATATATATGCACAAAAGCACATATGAGCAAACGATCAAGCTATCTAAGTTTATCAAAGTCTGCAGAAATGAGGTTACTAGACAAGACAGAACATGGCGGCAGCCTACTTGGTTCTCTGATGTTTGTTTTAGCAATTCACATAGAGCCTGGAAGGGTCGTTTGGATATGTGAATTCACTGGTGAAACTGGCTTTAAATTCACTGTGCTGCCAGACTTCAATAAATCTTACATCTAGATGGACACCAAATGAAGGCCAGATGGCAAATCTCGAAGCTCCGAAATCTATTTTCTCAGATACCTCTATCAGAGGAATGGTTTGTTAAATGCACCGATTTTTTTTTCTGTAAACTACTAACTCAAGAACCCATTTTACAACCACTTCCTTATCACTAACCATCCAAACAACGACTTCGAAAATCTATCATGGGTCACAATCCACCCATTTCGACACTGAAAATTCACCCATATAAGTTTTAAATCATTGAAGAGCCAATTGAAGTAAAACAGTGGCTATAAATCCCATTGTATAAATTTGACACCAGATTACTTATCCATCTACAGGCTGGGCATTTGCAAGCATCAAAAACAGATAAGACATGTAATTACCATTCTGGTAGTCTTTCGTCCCGAAGGATAGGATTTTGCCACTTCTCAATCTCCTCTTCCCAATTTTTGTAGTCTGGTCAAGAAAAAGTTCAGATTGTTTGATTAGATGCAAATGCAGAACCAGGAGGATTCTCAACCCAAAGGGCCATAAACAGACTACACCAGTATGTTCAAATAGATACAAGAGACCATTTATTAACTATACATACTTGTCAATGCATCATGAACCAATTTCTGTGCCGCTCTTTCAGAAGTACCATAGAACTTGGTGTATCTCCTGCAATGAGAATGATGTACCCAAATTACAATCAATTGGCATCAGAAATATTCTATAGAGATAGAAGCAAGAACCTAAACTACAACTTCACTTGGGAGATAAGATATTAACAGTGGACATTGGCACTGAACAGAATTGATTACCTGTTGTAGGAGCTCCCCTTCTTAAATTTCACTTTTGGAGATGACCAAGCGAGAGAAAATGCTACTGTGCATTTCCCATGAGGTTCAACCCATGTTGAAGCTGAAACTGCAGCACACAGCGTCTCTCCAACTGATGAAGGCATGCTCGGTCCACAATTGAAATTCTCTCTATTAAATTGCCCCTCCTTCAGGTGAGCAGAACAAAGATGGATTAGTCAAACAGCGAAACTATAACAACACCATCCTGGTATTTCATTCCTGAAACAACGATGGCACAGAAGAACCTCACTCTGTACTGTATTTTTCACTTCACAACTGAGGTAAATATCTCTAATGAGAACTAATCTATTTCAGTCGCTACCTTCACCATCTGAGCCCACATATCCTTTGCAGTGGCGCAGCTTCCTTCAGACAACCCAAAGCATGGCAGGACAGTCACATTTACATTCTGTGTCTCACATGCGCCAACAGCAAATGTAACAGGAGGATTTCCCTTTGCTGTCCTGAAAATTGTCATTAACAGTTGAAATACTTTTTCTATATAGGCAACAGTTGTAATACTAATCTAGTTGATAGATTAATGGATGGAACAAGAAAAGAATTCATGGCAAAGCAGAAAACCAGCAGTTTTTTTTGTTACTTTTGCCATAATATAAGTCTAGTTGATAGATCAATAGAATGGATCAAGAAAAGAATTAATGGCAAAGCAGAAAACCAACACTTTTTATTACATGTGCCATATTATAGGAGATCCTTTCTTAGCAAGTAGCAAGACGAAAGGTCACTTTCAGTCACCACTGACTATAAAAGGAGATCCTGCTCAAGGCAACAGAGGATGTTGATAAATCATTATGCCTACTTACTAGCCTCTGTCTTTAAGGCGAGGATAAGAAGACCCAATTGAGACGGAAAGACAACCGGGAAAGGAAATCAGAAGATCAGATAGGCTAGTGGCATGTAGGACATAAGTTAAAGGAAGGAGATAGCGAAAAAGATGTAGGGCAAGGAATTAATAGGTTTGAAAGAAATGTACATACACCAATTTCCCTAACATGTATCACACAGTTCGCTTGTGCTTCTTTATTTCTACTTCAACTTCTCTCTCTTACTCTTTTTCTCCTTCTCGAGTCAAACACTAGGATTGATAGTATGACAAACTGTTCTTGATAAATAACTGTTCACTTCTGTCTCCCAATGATTGCAGAGAACCCATTTTCGCATTGATTATTACTCTTACAATTGATCATTAACAGAAACTACCAACTAACTAGTCGCTTCGCCCCTTGGAAGAAGGTTATCTACTTCATTTCTGGTCATCCCCTAAAACACTGAAACAACCAGGAGAAATATGCAAACCAACCGTCATATATAGCTATTAAGAGAAGGTTTGATGACTTGCTTGTGATGTAGAAGTACACCAGAGACTCCGTCTTCGCCTCTGAGAGAAAAAAAGGAATAAATTACAATAAGTCCAGCAGGAGAACAAAACCTAAGGATGTCCTCGACAAATGTGTTGTTTGTAAGCAAAGCAAAGAACTCGCCACATATACATACACAAATGGTTCATTAATGTGATCTCCAGACAAGTGCGAGACACCTCCAATTGAATTCTGCGTAATAAACAAGGAAAATGACTTGCAGGTGAGGGGTCTAGATCTTCGTACCATACTTGGTAAAACAACTTAAAATATGTACAATAATCTAAAGGGGGGACAAGCTTACCGCCCATGTGAAGAGCAGGCTAACTTTTGCTCTTTCTTTGCCAGTGTTGACCAACTATGAAGAATGACAAAAGCATCAGCTACCACATTAAGTAATCAAACAGGTGCTCAATGACAAAATCCTAATCCAGGTACCACTTGGAGAATCTATCATCCTCCCAATTAACCGAACAAGGTACTAAGACCTTTCTTGTTCTCATTCTAGAACGTCCTAAAACATGAATTCGTTCATTTAAATACATCCTAGATGTTCAATATGCATACCGTGTATACAAATACGGCGGCAGGAAGACTACTTTCTCTATAATTATGTGGTATAAATGGTGAAATTTGCCTGCATGAGATTTTCAAATCCGGGTCTGGTTCACCTATAAATACAAAAACATTAACATTAATGCAATACTTGAAATGGAACATTATTTTCATGCTAATGTAATTGAAACAGCAAGCTAACCATCATATATTGTCCAAGCCCTTGGGAACAGTGCATGATATGTTGAATGCTGGCCACTTAAGTTCCAGTCCCATGAGGATATACCAGGATCACCAGCTTTCCTAGAAAAAAATATTGACTAGAATCATGGTATAGGTTACCAACTTGCTAGCCTAATATGTTATTACAAAATAAATACAGCCTCTCTGTGTTTCACAATGTAAACTCCATTACACTTCTGGCACAGTGATAAAATCTTTTGTTTGTGCTACTTCTTACCCTATACCCTCTTGCTGCCCAGGAGCCAAGACTGATGCATAGCTTTTATTTCCTCCATCCCGAGAAACAAAAATCTGCAGTAATGGAAAACCAAACATTGAGATGATATAAAGTCAAAATGAAGAGACAGAAATCCATATGGTCAGGCTAGAAGTTCTTGGTGCTGATTACTTTGTTTAAAAGACCAAAGTGCCTAGTGCATCACGATCTATATAGAACACAGTATCAACTTGTACACTATGGCATCCTTTGCAAAGAAGTTATTGATGCAATACATTCAAAATGCACCTAGATATCATAATTTTCTTTCTGGATGCCCATTGCGTGTCCGGCTCAGAAAGTAGACAATTGTCGAGCGCGTTCACATCTTGAAATTCATCCCAACAACCAAATTGAAAAATTGCAGTGTATCATCGTTGGCGCACTAAACTCAGCCTCTGTCAAAAGCAGCAGACTCTACTAGCCAACAAAGCTTTATTGCATTTTAAATAATCTACAACTATGTGGTGGTTCAAGCTCATGATTCTTCAGAAGTGCAGATTTCTAGAATGCAAGGAATTAAAATAGAGGTTACATGACTTAGTTGATCGGAAGAATACACTATTTAGAATGTGTGATTACAGGGAGATAAAAAGAAAAAAGAGGAAAAGGTAAACGGCATTTGAAATGTAAGACTTTGAGACCTGGGATTCCAAAAGAATCAAATCGAGCATCTCATTGGAGTGTAAATACGATCTAAACTGCAAAAATGATCATAAGTCATAACACATCCAAATCCTAATGATTCCCTATAATTTAGGTAGATGTTCCCTAGTCAACAAAAATGACAGCAGATCCAGGGAAAATCAGCCATGTAAACCAGTTGGAGAAAAAGTTCTATGCAGGAATGAGTACTATAAAGTATAAACCTTAGCAATGCCAGACTAAGAAGCAAGTAACGAGCAACTATCACCTATTTAATATCAAATCCACAATAACAGAAAAGCAGGCAACAATAGATACAAGATTAAGTGTAGCGTCTTACAGAGAACTGATTGGCCATGACAGGTGAAGGCTCACATGAACCAGGTACAATTTGCCATTGTTTGAACTCTCCCCTAAACCCTCTGGATATGCTTCCGCTTCTGTGGCATAAATTGAGAAACCAAGTCAAACCCCACTTGAGAATAAGAACAACATATGATGGACGAGGAGAACAAATAGCCATAATTGACTCTCCTACATACCCCATTCCACCAAGCGGAACTCCATGAGATGCTGATGGCTTGCAACTTTCTCTAGTGAAGGGATCTATTGGTGCTTTCTACAGAGATAGAGAAGGGTGCAGCGTATGAGTCAGTGCGTACATTTCTCGTTCATTTGTGAAAAGAAGAATCAACCAAACGAAAGGTAGCACCAATGAGATAGAAACTTACCCTTCCATGCGAGGCCTCCTCTCTAACATACGACCATAGGCGTATACCCAGCCGTACCTAGCACATCAACCCAGCATTTGATCCGATTGTAAGAAAGAAACAAAGTGAAGAATCAGCACCAATTTCGTTCACACTATAACAATGCTTTACCATCTTGATTGCTTCCCTAAAGGTAACGCTAAATTCTTTGAGTAAATTGGCATGGCTGTTCAATTTACGTCTCCAAGCGTGTTCAGGAGGCGCAGCACTATCAAAATCAAACTGCACAACAGGGGACAAAAAAAGGATCGTTAGTTTCAGCTGTAATAAGCATCTTAACTAAGTTCAATAGCGGCGCAACTTCTGCTGCTCCAAGTACTTGGCACAGCTGCCACCTGCAATAGCGATTGGCAGCAGAGGGAGCGGAACGAACGACACAAGCAGTTATGATCCAGCACAGGACTCCGATCTCCAACCTTAAGATACTGCCTGCGCCCGATGGGATCTTATCGATGGCGACCGATGAAATCAACAAATGGAAAGACAGAGAGAGGCGAGAGAAGTGGAATCGCTCACCAATTGCAAGGTCGCTCTATTGATGTACTCCTCTGTCGGCCATGAATGCTTTCTATAGTGAAACAAATTGGTGGTCACCATGTCGACAAACTGAACCTTCTTCTTCTTCTTCTTCTCTTCCCCGAAGCGCAAAATATCCAATCGAGAGGAATGAAACCGAGGAGAAACTCCACTGCACCTCCACTACGAACCTAAAACGCCGGAATTCAATACGCCGATCAATCGAATCTAAATAGCAGCAGCATCGCCGCCGCCTTCAGCACCAAGCAAACTCCAAATCCGAAGTAGCCGCTAATCAAAATCTAACTTCCCCTCTAAGATCCTCCTATATATTTCTGTCCCTTTCTCTCCCTCTCTCTCTCTCTAATCTAAAAACTAAGGGATCAGAATTTCAAAAGCGAAGTCACCGCTTATCCACACACCACGATGTCGCCGGCGGAACACGATTTCGGATTCTCTGCCGGCAGGGATGGAATAACGACGGAACCGGGGGGGAAAAGCAAAAGAAGAATCAAAGTAAACCCCAGTAGTAATCAAATTGGGAACTGCGAATCTGCGATTGGCTGCTGTGAAGGAGAGGTGGAGAAGAAGACGGCAACGGGAATCTCGGGGAAAGGAAGAGAGAGAAGAATGGAGTGGGCGGTGGCGGCAGCGTGGCGGGAGGAGGATGGAACGGCTGGACAGCGGTGGCTGCAACTCTGCGCTCCGCAAACGCCAAGTGGTGCGCGAATGCGATGCAGATGCAAACAAATAAGTATGACAACAAAAACAAATAAAAAAGGGGCAAAGAAAGAAAGAAAGATGGTGGTGACGGTGGGCGGAGCGGGGAGAAAAGTAGGATATGTTGCATTAAAATTATTGATTCTCTCTCTATCCGAAATTAAAATAGTTAGTGGAATACAGAGAGAGAGAGAGAGGGAGAAAGTAGCAGTGGAGTGGCGAGACAAAAGAAAATAGTTGTTCGGTAATGTGAACGGACGGTTACAGCTCGCCAATGGCGAATGTAGAAAGGGGTTTATTTTTCTTCTGGTGAACAGAGGGTTATTTTTCAATAATTAATTTCCTCTTGTATAAAAGACCATAGATCATCTCTAATGAAGAATGTCCAAGGTTCCAGAAACTGGGATTATATTAGACATTCTGCACCTACCAAAAAGGAATTTTGTTTCAATGGTGACGGTTACAATGTTAAAAGTGTCAAGCTGTAGACCCATAATAACTCCTCTCCTCGATTAAAAGAAGATTAAGAAAAAGAGTTGGCAGAAAGAAAATATTACCGTCCTCTTCGTTGAAGAAAATAAGGAACGAATAGGGTGCTAACGGTTTAAGTGTTAGTACGCTGTTAATTTTATTTATAGGGGGTATTATAGTAATCATTCACCATGTCCTCTCTCCCCTCTTAACATTCTAGTAGGGATGGCAACAAAATTCGAACCCACGGGTACCCATCCGACCCAACCCGGTCAACGCGGGTCGCGTTGACGGGTTTTGGGCCGGGTTCGGGTTTAAACCCGCTACACTATTCACCGGGTCGGGTTGGGTTTGGGTTTAGGTAAACCCGCCCCATGGGTACCCGCTCACACACATATAATTACTTTCCCGGTATATTTAATATTCTAAATAATATATCTTCCTTAAACAACTAATATTCTTTATGTTTGTGTAGACATGTATAATTTGTTCTTTCTAATTGTTTAGAATGAAGTTGATATTATGAAGTGGAGAGTGAAGAAACTTAGTTGACGAGGAAGAAACTTTCAATTAATCTTATTGTTTATTGATGTTTATCTTTAATTTTGAACAATTTGTATTGATTATTTGCGGTTTGCTTGTCTACTCTAGATTGGTGTTTTTTGTATGATTAATTTCTATGAGAAAATTGATGTTAAACTTTTATTTTGAATGAAACTTGTTATTGTAAATTTTTTATCACAAAAACCCACGGGTACCCATGAACCCGCGGATACCCAGCGGGTTGGGTTTGAGTTTTTCAAACCCAACGGGTTTTACCCCGGGTTTTTTTGGCGGATAAACCCATGGGTTTGGATTTGGGTTTGACAAAACCCGCCCCAACCCGACCCATTGCCATCCCTACATTCTAGACCTCAGTCTCGCTCATCCTTTTCCCTAATTTCTACGTCCAAACTTCAGCAGTCACCACCACGCATTTTCTCTCTCAAAATTTATTTTCATCGCCGAAAACTATAATTCCACCGCACTCGTTATCCTTCTCGATATGTAAGCTGCACAAAATAGCTAGCAAGCACACTTTACCATAAAGGGGAAAGAAAGAGGATGCTAATTATTATATTTTTTGCAGAGCATGAATTACCAATTAGGTATGGAATTGGGATACTACATATACTCGGTTGATATAATATTATTTAGCTTATAATTTTTAATTGCTGCATATCTTGTTATTTCATAATAACTAATATCTAAGCAACTAATGACACATAATTTATCTTTAAAATTATAAACATGACATATTTGTTCATATACTCAGGGTCTAAAACATAAAATGATGTGAGATATGTAATTTAAGGCTATCCACAATCCGGAGAAAAAAAATTGGGGTTTTAAGACTCAAATGGTCTTTTAGCCTCTTCGAAAACATAAATAGTTGTAAATCAAGGGCTATAATTTTTTGTTTTGTGCTTAGTAATCCTAACTTATAGACAATTAAGCTGATATTTTTAATTTAAATTTTATACATTTTTTATGATAATTCGATACGAACATTTCAATAATAATTGGGAAAAAATTGAGATACTTTTTTTATATTTGAACTATAAAAATTTCCACCTAAATGAGTTTCGTTGACTAAAAAACACTGCATGAAATAACTAAACAAAATTTCTAAAAGAACTAGCCTATAGCCCGGCCCGTTGGCCGCATTTGTTTAAGGAAATGGAGTTACAATATCTATAATGATAGTGTCGAGAAATGAGTCTTGTTTTATATTATCATAAGATTGTTGCAATTTTGCAATTCGTTGAAGACGAACATGTAATATGAATGAACATTCATAATAAGTTAGAAATACATTTGAAGATTAGCTAATCACAATAAAAATACTTGCATGAAATTTTACTAATCACAAATCTAATCTAGTTGAGTATTACGACAAATAACATGCAAGTCCAAAATAAGAAAACTCAATACATTGTCTCATTGTTCATGACATGGTACTCAATTCAACAAAGGCAAAAATAATTTCACCAACACAAGTTCACAATAACCAAATGCATCGTTCCAGGGACCGACTGTGACCATGACTTCAAATGTCTGTTCTCCAAGCATGTTCAGAAGGGCCATATAGTCAGCATTGACAACATCTGCATGACTGAATACAGATTCAACAATTGTTCGTAACTGTGATGACGGGAAGACGATGTCAACACCAATGAATTCGTCCTCAATTGTGAGGTGGACGAAATGGATTCTGGATGCAGGGGACCAGGACGTCGTCAAATTCGTTACACGTCCGGATAACAAAAAAGAGGTGCCCTGATGTAAACACAGAAACGAATATTGTCAAAGCAAATCGATAAAATGCAGCATGCCACAAAAGGCGTACGATTAAAAAGAAATTTATTTGTTTAGTTACCTGATTTTCGACATCCACTTGCAACATAATGAGATCGATGGTGTCGGCACGCTCACAAATTTCAAGAGCATCATCATATTGCAGATTAGCAATAAAACCACGGGGAAGCCTATATATTGGACTGTAAGTTTTGGCATTAAGTAGTGAAAAAAATTGAAATTACATGATGTAGTATTTGTTGGATGCATGAGCAGTACTTACTGATTGAATTGAGGCAGGCCCGCCATATTGAATGCAATTCGCACGGTCAATGGAACCGAAGTGTTTTGTATGGGAAGTAGTAAACGGAAATTGTAACATGAGAGAAAGTGGTATCTCCATTATATAAAGGAGAGAAAGTGATTCTACACACGTGATTTACTTGGCCGCATGCAGTGGAGTACGTGTGTGTGTGGAAAGTGGGATAGTGGGGGAGTGGAGAAGGATTTGTGGCCTCGTGGGGGAGTGGAGAAGGTTGGCCATTTAGAGTTCAAGAGGCGGGTGTGTCACGAAACTCACGACCCACCTTCTTTTTTTTTTTTAGGGGAACGACCCACCTTCTTAAAATCAAACATGCGCCTTCCTTTTATTTTGTTGCAATTAAAAATTCAAAAACAAAAGAAGGTAAGTACAGAATAAAATATAAAGAGAAGAAAAATCAGTTCACTTTTCTCAAAAAAGACCTAGCAGCCGCCCAAATTATGCTTTTTCAGTTTTAATAATTCTCACTTTATTCTTTTATCTCTAATAAGTGAAACAATAATTGTAAAAAAAATAATTGTTAAGTCTACCAAGTAAGTCAACACCGGTTTATGATCGGTTTTTAATATCGATTAACCACCGGTTATTTGATAAAGCTTGAACCTTTTACTAATCCGGATCGATGTCCGGTTCCGTTTTAACAACATTGCTAATTGCGACTGTGTCAACAATTCTTGTCCAAAATTGCCTCTCAAAGTTGCTAATTATTATTTGATGCGCCAACCCGGCCGGCCTGGCCCACACCACCACTAATTAACATGAAATGAAAATCATAATGAATGTATTTAATAAAGAAATAATGGCTTGAAATGCGGCAGCCTTCACCTCATAGAAGATCCAAAAAAATCGGATATTGGGCAGTAGAGGAGGTGGGGGAGTGGGGGAGTGGAGAAGGATCCGCCCAAGGTAGTGTAGGTTGGCCTTTTTTTTTATGGGAATAGGTTGGCCATTTAGTTTCAACAAATCCGGCTGGGCATTCCCTCTCTAAATATATTTTATTTAACTGAACCATGCTTGGGTTGTTTTGTGGGCTGGGTTGTGGTGTTAATTTAGTTTAGTTCAGTTGCGACTATGGAAGTTCTTCTTCGTATTGCAATATAACGGTCACACTCGCATACCCTTCGGTAGAGTAAATTGAGGTACAATTAAATATAAAGTAGTGTGCATAAATCACATTTCATATAATTGGCTGTTAAAAACAGGAAAATAATTTGGACAAATTGAGAACTCAAGATTCAAATTGTAACGACCCGATAAATTTGACAATCTTAGTCCTCAAATCGAATAAAACATAATACATCAATAAACCACTACTCAAAAATCTCAGTGAACACAATGTTCTGCATAGTCTTCACCGGTTTACCTTGAGAGTCACAGCTAAGAATCTTGAGTCCCCTTTCCGACGTAACTCGAGACATAGCAACATACAACTGTCCATGAGAAAATACTTGTCTTTGCAAGCAGATGCCAACGTGATTTAATGTTTGACCTTGACTCTTGTTAATTGTCATTGCATATGACAGTGCAATTGGATATTGCCTTCGAACCAGAGTGAAATTTAAGCTCTTGTAGTGGACCGATAGACTTAGGCGTGGTAAGAAAACTGTATCACCAACATGTGTCCCGGTCAAAATTTGGACCTCAATAAACCACTTACCTAATCTCTTAACGATCATCCGAGTTCCATTGCAAAGCCCAGTACTCTAATCCAGATTTCGAAGCAGAATAACAGGGCACCCCAACTTCAATTTCAACTCATGTTCCGGAAAATTCCCAATCTTTAAAGAGTTCAAGAATTCAACTGTGTAGTCCCCTTCTTCAACATGCTGATTCTTGGCATCAATCTCTAGCGAATCCGAACTAAAATAAGAAACTTCTTCACCAGGAAATAGACCCAATACATAATTGTTAATGGCCGCAACAGTGTCATTATGAGGGGCTAAGATAGCTCGCTCAACCAAATAGGTTGACATATTTTCAGTGGAGAGTAACTGACCATATATTTCAGCAACAATATCAGGAATTGGATCACTGCGACGGGGAACACAAATGTGTAGAGGTATCGGGATAATTGATTCTCCAAAAATATTACTATTTGTCCCATCACCAATTTCCAAAAGCCATTTGCTAAAATTTGAGATTGCTAACCTGGCCGATGCTTCAGAATGAGTCAATTTTAATCGCATGTTCTCGGTTAGCTTCAATACTGTCATAGACCGCCACAAATAAGATCTCTTTATGGAAGAATTAACAATTTCAGTCCGTGTACCCTTCGTGATGATAGGTAACGTCTGTCGGAAATCACCTCCAAACACAATAGTCATACCTCCAAAAGGCTTCAACTCAGAATCAACATGCTTAACTCGGAAAATATCCCTCAATGTCCTATCTAGGGCCTCTATGTTGTGTTTATGAGTCATCGGTGCCTCATCCTAGATAATAAGTGAAGCATTGAGAATCAATTCAGCTACCTCAGAACCTTGCTCAATATTGCAAGTTGATTTTGTATCACAATCCAGGGGAATGTGAAATCTTGAGTGTGCAGTTCTTCCACCGACCATGAGCAGTGCAGCAATACCAGATGAAGCAACATATAATACTATCCTCTTCTCAAATCTTAATTGCTCACAAATTGCTCGCCACAGAAATGTCTTACCAGTACCCCCAAATCCATCCACAAAAAAGCATTTACCCTCATTGGTATAAACAGAATGTAATACCATATCGTAAGCGATTTGTTGTTCTCCATTCAACGGTCTACTATGTCGATCCTCAGAACAGTCTAAGTCATCGGGTCCATAATTCATCTCCATATCTATCAGCCTGTTTACCGTATGTGAACGCAAACACTGATCGGGAACAGGCAACCCATGGAAATCTGCTAATGACTTCGAAAATCTCTCCATCAATTTGTCAATATGAATAAGGCACAACTCCTTAATTTCATCCTCCGACAAATTCAACTGGGGTAAATTCAGCTCTCTACGTCGTGAATGCAAAATGCCTTCACTTAGTAATTCCCAATTCTTTAACCAAAAAGAAGTCACATCAGCCACCTGACAATGAATAAGAATTGTGACAAAAAAATTTCTAAGTTTATAACCAGAAGCCCAGTGCGAAGCTTCTTGGACACAATCATTCCATTCAGAATCTCCTGATAACAGTCCTCGAGCATAACATGCTTTTTGGAATGTTTCATATACCACCCCATTCACTGTTCTAATATCATCATAAGAACAACAACCCCTAACAACATGCAATAGCATTCGCAAATAGTATCGCTCCTTTGCATATGGGTAACAGTAATATAATCTAGCAATGCAGGTACCTTTTTTGCGCTGCTGCCACTTCTTGTATTTTTTATTCCATACATAATATTGTGGCATCTCCGCAAAGGTATATTTCCGTGCATCCATTGACTGAAGATTGAGATCCATCCATGTTAACAACATTGAGGTTTGGGAACTGCTAGACTCAACCGCTTCCTCCACGTTAGAATCAACATTTGAATACACTGTATTCTCACCAGGCAAATGACAGGACATACGCAGTACTGTTGGAGAGTGAGTGTATATATCAAACCTAAAAATTCTCCAACATGCTTCTCCCGATGTGATGTAACGGGCATCCATGAATGCCTTTATCTCATCGATTTGCACAACCGTAGTTCCACGATTCCGACCATCCATAGCCGAAGCTGTTTGTTGTGCAGCTACAGTGACCATTGCACGATCCTCGGGTTTGTTGATGTACTTAAACAAATATTTCACAGCCCTATAGAAACATCAAATAAAACCAAGTTGTAGATGTTAGATAGGGAAGTAGGAAAAAAGTTGTATTCCATTTTTTCTTAAATGTGACTTGTATTAAATAAGAAATCAAAGTACAGAGAACAAAATGCAACAAATGGATCACAATAGCTTATCCAAGGGGCAAAAAAAAAAATGAAGGAAAACACACCAAAAAATATTACAAAAATTACAGAGTTGCGACAAGAAGTCACACCAATAAGATAACACTGGGTTTATAAAATAACTAAAAAAAAAAAGAGAAATCGCACAAATATTGGTTTGGTTTTTATTCATCTTTGAAAATTAAATCATAATTCATATGCATGCATAAAGTTAATAATGAGTGTAGCATATAAATATACATATAGCCTGTCATTAAGAATCTGAGTTTGGTAATATAATAAAGGAAACAACAACGTCATATAGATAAATACGATTTACTTCAGCCATACCTTGTCTTGTTACAATATTCAATATTGATATGCGCTCCAAATCGTAGTAACAAATATCGATTGTAGGGTACAACCCATCGATTATCCAGATCAACGCCGCCATAGTTGAAAACTCTACCATTGTTCCGCCGACGATATTTAGCAAACCCAGTTTCATCAATAGTTGTTTGAGAAGAGTATTCCTTGGGGTAATGCTTACTACATTTCCCATTCTTCATGCACACATTATTAGGACGTACTGTACCACAGGGGCCATGCATCATTGAACTTGTGACAACTGCATACAGCTCAGGATCAAGATCAGGATCCGGAATTTCAGCACATATTATGGAATCAATAGCCGCAGGACCATGGAATTTATTCTCCGAGGCCAAAAAAAGCAATATGTGTGCATGAGGGAGACCCCGCTTTTGCCATTCAATTGCTTTGACATCTGTACAGCAAGATGCAAATAGTGAAAAAGGAATATTAGTTCAATGAGGTAAGAGAGTAATGGATGAACATTAATAGATAAATAACGAATGAATAAGCACACATACATGCATTGATTTTCCCAAATATTTGTTTCTCGCGAATCTCTAACATAAACTCATCAAGCTTGATTTTGAAAACTCTGGCGGTGATGTCAGCCCGGTCAGGATCTTTGCCACTTTACCTTCTAATCAAATCAACCATTAACTGTATCTCTGGCCAGTTAGAATTGCAAGTGAATGTTATAAACAAATCAGGATAACCAATCCACTTGCAAATAGCCATCGCATCCTGAAAATTCTCATACTTGTATCTTGGACTACCAGTGTGTGAGGCAGCTAAAATAACTGGCTTCCCAGAAAGCTTGATATCACTATCCCCTCGCAAATAAGAATTCAACAAATCCTTGTAGTAGTGTCCTCTTAGCTTCGACTGATGGGTACGCATCCAGTCTAAGCGTTCAGCCTCAATTAACGCAAATGCATTCACCATATATTGTTGAAATAATTTACCAGATAATAACAGAGAATTCGACTCCTGGAGACGGGTTTGAAGACGATATGCATAGAAATCACACTGGGTTATCATTTTATCTCCAACACTGATATTAGAGCTACTGTGACTATAGCTAATGCAGGGATGCCACCCATCCTCGCCATATGGGAATAAAATTGGATATTGTAATGCCATCAGACTTGGATGGTATACGCTAATCCTTTCCATTTCTGAACCCTTCTGTTGAACAATTATATCTGGAGAAAAAGATTGCTCTCCTATTTCATCTACAATCAATGCTGCAATCTCATTCGCAGAGGGCAAATCATATTCTCTACTATTAATTTCACGCTTAGCCAATAGTTTCAGTTGAAGCTCCTGGACACCAGAGTTTTGTATCATATCTCGCGCAGAACGAAATGTACGTACCAGGATATTATTGTCATCAAACATATGCTGGAGGCCTTCAACAATACACTGGCGCAACGGATTCTTGGCAGGATCAGTGGAGTAAAAGTCCATACGATTCTGCACCTCGTTATCTGAATCGTGAATGTAAAGCTGTGCAAATTTCGGACTATCCCCATCACCAGGAACCAAACATCCTATTCGATGATAAATCTGACCACCAATTGAATATACATAAACTCCACGACCATCATTAATAGAGTGATTGACTTTACCTCCGAGAGAAATAAAGCAAAAACCCCCATTATAGGCTCTGATGTTAGTACGAAAGTGACGCGCTAATGGTGTATCCCCTTCAAGTAGAGTTTTAAGAAATTCGGGCACATCTCTGCGGGGAGGCAATTTCACTTTACCATGTTTGCAACATAAAGGAAATGCAGGCAACACATCATTCCGTGTAGATAAAGTACTCTCGAACCGCCACATAACTGCTCCACAATGTTGACACGTACATGAAGGTGGACCAATATCAAAAAATTCAACCAACGGAAGACCTAGTGAAATAGATAAGTAATATTAATAAATTTTTGTCACAGTAATTCATAATTGAATGAGATTGAGAAACTGTGAAGCCAATTTAGGCGCGCTACAGTAAACACAATTATTAAAATAAATGTTCTCAAGGCAAGATAGATTGGTATACCGCTCATTTTAAGTAAGAATAAGTCAAATTTCAGGAAACACCAAAGTTTGTTCATAACACACAAATTTGCCGTTGACACATCAACATCTAAAAACAATCCACTATTTGCATAAGGTGACATGAAGCGTACATCACTAAATTATATGCATGGCATAAATGGGTACATTATATGTTCTAAAACCAAAATAGGAAACAAAATATGTTGACCAGAACACAAAAACATATATCCAATGTACAAAAACTAAACCACAATAGAGATGAACCATTTCATGTATAATAGTGGCCATTAGAATCCACATACTTTGATTGACTTCTGTAGGAAAGAACCTTCGGCCACGTCTCTTTCTATGCAGATGAATACGTCGAAGTAATCGACTTTGCTTTTGTAATAGAAATCTAAACTCCGGCTCCAAAACTATGAACAACACCAAAACACATACGATATTAAAGAAATAAATAAAGATTCAACAATCTAGAATAGCCTAATTTGTAAGACTTGCTACAAAATTTAGCAAACAACAACCTTGGTGTTCAAAAGGCAAGCCCCTCCTATGAACCTTCTGTTTCAAAATATGATGTCTTCTCTTACGGGCGACTTGGGATAGTATTCGCCGAAGTTGAGAGAGTTGGAATTGTAAGGCAGCTTCTTCTACAGAATTTAAATATAAAACCATGTATTACTCATTGAATAGATGAACTAATTAGAAAAATTAAAACACAGATAACACACCTCTCTCAAATGCTTCTTCCTCTTCAGCAAATAAAACACAGCGTTGGTACTGATCTTCAGGATGAATAAACACTGCTCGACGTTTCCCTAAACAAATGAGATTCAAGGGAAAATATTAATGTCAGTTTGCATTGAAGCAGTTGCGTGCTAAACCATGACACTCACATGGTACAGACGATCGATAAATCTGTGGTTGGGCAGATGGGATGACATTTGCACTATCCATATTAAATTCTCCAATAACCTGATGCAATCTGAAATAGAGGTCGTGGTAAATGATGCACCCGTTCCAGTAAATTTTGCAGCTACCATTCATATAAATTAATTAATTGTTACAACAGAAGTTGAACTCCTCACCAATTATAAGTTTGTGCGAGTTAATGACACATACAACACACCACACAAACATAACAGTCGAAGAAAAATATAACTATATAAGGCATAATTTAAATTGATGAACAAAACACATATAACAGAATGGCTTCCAAGCTTGGGGATGCAAAGGAAGAGCGAGAAGGACAACAATGTAATGGCCAACACAAATATAATTCAAAGGCATCCATAAAAACCATATCCAAAGAGAAGTTTGAAAAAGAAGCAAGCTGGCAATAAGAAAAGCACTATAAGTGCTTACCAATTCTAGTTCTTCTAACTATACCAAGCTTATCCCTTCTTTCAATTATGCAGTTTACGCTTTGTACTTTTAGCACAAATGGATTCCAACTCCAATGTCACAATACAAATACAATGCAAATGAAGTTGAAGAACAATAAAACAAACTAATGGAGTGAGATAAAACTGTCCAATGATCTTATGTAATAACGGGAAAAAAGCCTGGTAGAACCAATACACTAACCAGTGGAGCATGCTTATCAATACCGCCTACTTTATACTTCTTTAGTGATTAGAGCTGAAAGTACATTATCAGATCATAGCCAGTCCCATTAGATTAATTAACCTAGAAACATATGAGAGAAAACCTTACTGATCAAGTTGGATTTCGACATTTACCTGCAACAGAGTTAACATAAGAAAGTAAATTGATTATGTCTCATACATGGTGGCGGGTGGGGGACGGCGTGCCAAATTTCGTCGGCGATGGGCTGGTTCTGGACTCAAGTAGGCTGGGCCTCTGAAGTATGGGCTGGCGAGAGAAATGGATCCCCGAGGCCTTATGGTTTACGCTTTCCTTTTCCCCCGCCAGGCCAGCGGTAGTTTATAGCCGGCCCTTCGGTTTACTGACCCGGAAAACGACCCGGACGAAGTACCTGGCTGCCGCCGCCGAACGTCTCTTTCTTTCCTCTTCTTTCTCTGCGGCCCGGAAAAACTCAGCTCAAAATCGGCAGTCGGCTGCTCTCTGGAAGACAGTCTAAGCGAAGTAGAATTTAAAGTAAGCAGCTTTGTTACTTTCAAGAGAAAGAGAAAAATCAAAAATCCCCTTTTGATCTCTAGAGAATCCAATCAACAGAATGAAGCGAGGAAGGTAAGAGAGAATAAAGAAAACGGAATGAACCAAGGTAAGGGAGATGAATCTTTGCAACCGAATCCCTGAAAAAAAAAACCCAGAACCCGAATCCCTAAAACTTAAAAGCAGTGACAACAACAAACAGAAATCTGAAAGAGGAAAAATAACTTACGGCAAAACCAATACCGATCTAACGCTTAGAGAACGGAAATCAAAGGTAGATGCAAGCACATAAAAGAACCAGATGATTGAGTCAAGGTTTGGTTTTCTGAAGGCCAAGAAACTTATTCGAATGAGGTGAAAGAGTAGAAGGAAGGGAAATCGGAAATAAAAAATACAAATTAAATGAGAACGTGGGCCTGGAATGAGAAAAAAGTGGGTAGTGGAGAGTTTTTTATACAAATTAAATGAGAACGTGGGCCTGGAAGGAGAAAAAAGTGGGTAGTGGAGAGTTTTTTGGTTCTGAAATCAGGCGGGACTCTTTTTTTCCCGCTTAACACTCTGCCACATCAGCTTCCTAAAATCACTCTATGGGCAGGAAATTTTGAATGGGGGTTGCAGTTTTACTTTTCAGCTATAAATTATACTGTTGATAGAAAAGTGATCCCCACAACTTAAGACCTCTTTTATTGTTAAAAAAAAACTTAAGACCTCTTTTGGATCATTGATTTTTTTTTCAGGTGGTCCCCACATTTTTGGCTCTCCCTTGTGGCCCTCATCAAAATTAAAACCCCTTTTAGACCTTAGTTTGGAGACACTTTTTTGTGTTAGACGAGCAAAGTCTTAGGGTTGCGGTTAGTCTAACAAACCAATGAATTAACAACTCATAAGATATAGATGAATTTGCTTAGCAGTTGTTTGCTTGTATTTCTCAATGTTAAGATATCTCATGAGCTCAAAACAAGACAGCTCACGAGTTACGTTCACCAAGCCATTGAGTAGAGTTGGCTTGCGAGTCTCGCAAGCTGAACACGGTTTAGCTCAAGTTCAACTCATTAGTAAATGAGTCGAGTTTCAAATGTGTTTTTCTCGATCCGAACATGCGAGCAACTCATGAACAACTAAACTCATTTGCAGCCCTAACAACGAACTATTTAAAATCGGTTTGGTCTACAGGTACAATGAACCATCTCAAACTTGTGTATTTTGGAAAATTGTAGGGTAAGTGTGGTATTGTGGAATGTTTTTTACTAGTTTTTTTTTAAGTACCATGCCTTTTATTTTATAATCTACCAAGTTTACAGATATATACATAATAATACACATGTATTCACCATAAATACATCTATTTAAAAACATTAACTTTCAAATGATAACAAATACATTTTATACGTAAATTTTAAAACTTGTCGGATTTTGCAGCGATTTCGGAAACCTCGTGGGCCCCGACTTTCCAAGAGTTGTGTATAGTATTGTAGTGTAGCTCCGCCATTAGCTACCACATTAATAGCAAACTTAGGGGTCGTTTGCTTCATGGATTTGGATCATGGATTTGGTACCCAAATCCAATTCATCATGGATTTAACAAAAATCCATTGTTTGCTTACATTTTTTTTGGAGACCAAATCCGTGGGGCCCACGGATTTTAAGGGTCCAAATCCGTGGACCCCACGGACTTATAAATCCCACATGTTGATGTGGGATTTGGAACATAACATAAATCCTTGATGGGATTTTATCTATATACCCTCATGCACTTTTAATATTCCAAGGTCGTCCTCAAATTTAACTATTACACATTATAATTAATCAAGTAATTAACAATAAATGAATAATATAAACATTCAATTAATGTGCAAACATGAGTTAGATTTTTTATTTCATTTCTTGTGTTCTAGTTTTCTTTGACCTTTTCATGGAACGTGTAATTCTTTGTTCTCCCGATTCTAATATATGTTGTTATATGTTACTTAAGAAAAGGAGGACACAGAATTGGTAATTGATTATGTTACGTTAAAATTTAAACGAAATTTTCTCGTTTATTATTATTGTCCATGTGGCAACATTATGCTTATTAGTATGTATTGTCCTTGTTTTGTGTACATATCATAAACATGTAAAACATATAGAAAAGGATAGTAAGGTAATTTTGAAGTTTTGTCCTTGTTTTGTGTACATATCATAAACATGTCAAGCATATAGAAAATGATAGTAATGTAATTTTGGACTTCAAGTAGTAAATCCCACACCTTTAAATCCATGATAAAAACATCTCAACAAACAAAGGATTGTTACAAATTCATGATGCCTCAAATCCTTGATGAATCATTGGGTTTTTAAATTACAAAACCCTCGTTTTTAAATCCATAAAGCAAACGACCCCTTAGACCCATCTTAATCACTACTTCGCTTCTTTGAGGTTTTCAACAGTGAGTATGGGAGGATTTCGTAGGTGTATGAGGTTTGTTTGGAGGTAAATGCACTACGGATGGGGATTTAGGTAGAGGGTTGAGACAATACGTAAATCTTCTTCTTTCTTCTTCTCCATTAACAAATCCAAGGAGGACGATAGTGCACTCCGATCCAACGGAGTATCCTTCTGTTTTCCAAGATCTAGACTCAACATTCAGAGAGAGAAGTTATTGAAAGACAACCAGGAGATCCGTCAGTACCAAATGGAGGACTTGGCGAAACTTCTAAATGGTAGACTCGACAACTCGAGCATTAGTAGGAAATCCTACAACGTTTTCAGGGTTGATGATGATTAAAGAAGAGGGAGCAAAAGTACTACATCCCAAAGCTGGTATCAATCGGCGCTTATCACTATGGAGAGATTGCTAGAGATACGAAAACGAAAAAGCTTTGTTATCTCAATCAGATGTTGGACATGTATGTATTTAGTGTTTGCAAAGTAGGACAGCTAAGTTTATGAAATTACAAAGTAGAATCATACTAGTTTTTTGGTCCGTCCTTCGCAATAGAAATAAACTAATATATGATTTAATCATTACAAAAGACATACACTATATGTTTATTTAAGTGATATATCAAAATAATTATCTCTCCATAAGCTTTACAGTGTCTCATGACCAAATTGTTATGTGAAAGAATAACTTACCTTACATGACATTTGTGTATTGCAAATTGATGAGGTGATAAACAATTTAACTAATAATAAATGAATTTTCATTCAAACCAATCTAACCGAGATGAAAAACTTAGAAGATAATTCATGTATATGCTATCAAGAGCTGCATTGGATGCAGATACTTTTGTGACGATGATGTTATTAGACGGTTGCTTTCTCATCCAACTACGTGCAAATACGGTCAAATGACTCAAAGATGATTAGTGGACGATGAAATAAATTATATATTTGGCGGTGAAGATCAAGGTGGTACAAGATATAGTTTTACTAGAGAATCAACTTCCGTTCTTTGTTCTTCAGAAGATCTTTTACATGATCGACTCTGGACAAGATGGGGAAAACTTGGTCATGATGTCCTTCATGATCAGGCATGCCTTTGGGTATTTGAACTTTATCCCTAGGAGGTTGTCCAATTCGGCTAAGACATACTCTCATGTATTAGGATTAGCCCATTGTAATAAACTACTTATATGTTTTAATCATTACAAAAGACATACACAATATGTTTGTTTAAGTAATATATAAAAATAACTATCTCTCCATAAATTTTATTGTATCTCCTTACCAAACTGTTACATAAAAGAATAACCTACCTTACTGAACATGCCCATTGTAATAAACTACTTATATGTTTTAATCATTACAAAAGACATACACAATATGTTTGTTTAAGTAATATATAAAAATAACTATCTCTCCATAAATTTTATTGTATCTCATAACTAAACTGTTACATAAAAGAATAACTTACCTTACTGAACATTTGTGTATTGCAAATTGATGAGGTCATACACAATTTAACTAATAATAAATGAATTTTCATTCAAACTTATATTTTTGGATCGTTAAGAAATAGTTATGCAATATATTTTGTTTAAATATTACATAAAAGATATCAAATTTTATATAATATACTTGTAATTACATTACTTTTATAGAATAGTGTTACACTAATCTTTCATACCGTGTGGTCTAATAATGAAGTCAAATTAAGAAATTCGTTTTAACTTGTAATTATTTTCTCTTCAAATGATACAAACAATACCAAATGTTATATAACATCCTTGTAATTACATAATTTTTATGAAATAGTTAGGCTATGCGCTTTGTTTAAATGATACATAAAAATATCAAATTGTATATCTAATATACTTGTAATTACATAACTTTTATAAGGAAACTATGATCACTTCTCTTCAACGTGCAATGACCCTGAGAACTTATTATAATATATTTATATTTACATAGCTGTTATAGAAAAGGGTTCCACAAATCTTTTGTACTGTGTAGTCTAATGATAAAGAGTTTATAGTCTAATGAAAAACTCATTTTATATAAAGTTTGATTAAATTGTTGTGTAAAAATTAATATTTGTAACTACATAACAATAGTAGAATAGTGTTATACAAATCTTTTGTACAATATGATCTAATGACAAAGAGTACAGAATTCAAGTGAGAGTTTTTTATAATATACATTTGTAATTACGTATCCGTTATAGAATAGTGTTACACAAATTTTTACGGTGTAGTTTAATGACAAATTAGTTATGATCTAGACAAAATTACATTAAGAAAATCATAGACAGGGTTGTCCAATGAATCGCGTGGAGGCCATGTTCCAAAATTGAGATGTGGTCCAAATTGGCTTATGATTATTAAAATAATTATATCATCATTAATTGAAATGTAATATCTTTCTATCATATATTAATTAAAATAAAATTATCTATTATCTCTCTAATTTACGTATTATCCATGAGATCATTTTCACTTGTTATCATAGCTATTCCATTAATATTTTTTGTATTATTTTTTAACATACATACAATTTTCGTTAACACAAACAATACTTTAACAAGCAATATACGTTTCTTGTTATATTTTTTTTATAATGGTGAGAGATGTATTAATAAAAAGTAGAAGAAAAATCCCAACAATGTTTCTAGTATATATATACATGTTAACCAATAAGTAACACCAATATTAATCAATATAGTTAAACTCAATATCATACTCATAATCATATGAATTATACACTACAAATACAACCTACAATATACTATTGGATTAACTAACGAATCTAAATGGAGCTCCAAAATATTTGGACGCCCTGGGGCGGTTTTCTGCTGTAGTAGTGTACTCCCTGCACCACCAATTCGAGCTCATCATCCTTAATGTTGTTCAGAATCTCTTCCTAACTTCTCCAGTCAGCTTCAAGAGTTGTTGAAAATATCTGGACTTAGTCTGCTGCGCCTGTGCGCCCTTCATTAACGCCCACAGAAGAAAAAAAATGTTGGGTGGAGGATGCTTGTTCGCATCGATATCTGGAATTAGTGAGCTTCAAGAGTTGTTGAGAAGTGGCGAAATCCTTCTTTGTGAGATTAATTAATGAAAGAGCAGCAGCGCAGCTCATCGGTTTTGGAGGAAGCGGATCTTAATTTGGGCAACGGCCAAGTTTTAAGGGGAGGCGACAAATTGAAGAGAGTTCTGGAGCTCGTTTAGAACAGTCTCTCCAGAAGAATTTCTCCAAGGCTTTTTCGAGGTCCAGAGCCATTGTCACTCTGTTTCTTGCTGTCCAACACCGCCTTCACAAATTAAAACAAGACTTCCTCCTCGCTGTCGCAACCGGATCTGTAAAAACTTCCAGCTGAATTATCATGAGATCTAGTGCAACTAGTGCCTAAGGTGAGAAAAGAAATTGTCAATTACAGGTCTGCATTTTACCCTGCCCAACTTGAACTTAGCTAGGAATCCTGTATTGTTTATGCAAAAGCTGTCTATTTAGAAGAATGCTTGTCAAATTCTGCATATTGAGGGTTGTTGTTGTGTGTGTTTAGGTAGTTAGAACCTTTGCTTAATTAATACTTAGTCGGAACAATGCAAAGAGTTCAGTTACCATATCATTTCTTTGCATTGATCCTAAACTTAGAGGCATGTGAGACTTTCATAAAAATTTTGTTTAGACAATACTTGTAAATGTTGACAATAAATTCTAGAGTGATTTTTTAATGCGTCGACACAAATGTCGGAAATTGAGATACCGACACTTTTATGTATCATTACGTCTGGTTAAATTAAACAATGATAATAAAAAAAATTCATTTTAAGCGATAGTAAAAACATTTAAGGCGATGGTTATAAATGTCGATATAAAACTATGTAGCAACATTGAAACATGTCGGAATACATGTCGAACAATGTTGATGCCAACGCTTATCATAAATGTCGTAAAGTTTTTTAGAGACAATTTGATTTTCTTAGAGACAATTTGATATGTCGTAAAATATAAATATATATATATATATATATGGATGTTTTTTTAAATGTCGCAAGATTCTAAAGTCACATTTTCATGTCGAAATAAATGTCGGAAGATATATGTACCAACACTTTGTGTAAATATCGAAAGGTTCTATAGTCACATTTTTATCTGTCAAAATAAAATGTCGGACGATATATGTACCGACACTTTGTGTAAATGTCGCAAGGTTCTATGGTCACATTTTCATATATCGAAATGAAATGATGGAAGATATATGTACCGACGCATTTTGTAAATGTCGCAAACTTCTCTAGTCACATTTTCATATGTCAAAATAAAATGTCGGAAGATATATATACCGACATTTTCGGTAGATGTCGTAAGGTTCTATAGTCACATTTTCATATGTCGAAATAAATGTCGGATAATGTAGATACCGACATTTGCTGTATATATCGCAGTAACTTTAAACGACAAAATAAAAAACGACATTTGGATGCAATTAACCATCATTTTTCATAAGTGTCGGCAAAAAACTACACCGACATATTGACATCTTTAAGCGACGTTTGAAAAAGATAAGCAATTTTTTTCTATAGTGAAGAGCAGTGGTGAAACATTGGAGACTATTTGACATGGACATATCTATCTCATAGTTACAACTGAGTGGTGGAGACTGAAAGGAGGAGACCGTGGGAATAAGTGAAGCAGACTAAGTTAGAGAAAGAAAACCAGGAGATCGCGGCTAGTTCCTAATGGAGGATCTAGACGAACTTCTCAACGGCAGACTCGACGGCTTGAGCACTAGCAGGAGACAATATAGTGTTTTCAGGGTTGACGACGATCAAAGAAGAGGGAGCGAAAAGTACTACAGCCCCAAGCTGGTATCGATCGGCCCTTATCACCACAGAGAGGCTGGATTGATAGATATGGAGGGTGAAAAGCTTTCTTATCTCAGTCAGCTGTTGGACAGGTACGTGTTATTGTTAGTGTTTGAAAAATAACAACACCAAGACATCTTCAATTTTCACCGTTTACAAAATTATAAATTGGAACTGTTATTATGTTTATTAAGTTATAAAATATAATCATATTGTTTATGTAGGTAGAAATTGGAACTACTAATATTTACTTACCGCTGTGTACAAAGTTGCAAATTGAAAATATTCCTACAATCATTTGTCATAGTTGTTTACAGAAAGGGGAAATAGTGATTTGGGAAGATTTGGATCATAAGATCCAAACTTAATTTATAAGGCACTAGTTTTTAACTAATAAACTAACCGATGGGTTAGATATCAGGGGAAAACACAAGTTTTTCATCAAAGCAATTTAAATCCCCAACGGTCGACAACGGAGCAGAGTCGTCTTCAAAGGGGAAGGAGATGACCCAAAGCAACGTCGTTCCATCGTCAACAGAGTTAAAGAAACGTTCTTGGAGCGATGTTGTTTCTGTCAAAGTGCCAATCAATATCTGATCTTTCTGTTTCGACATTTTACCCTTTTAAGCCTGTACTTTCTTTTTCCCTACATTTTGTCTTCTTTCTTGAATTGTAAGCAACAGTTGAACCTTGTACTGTTTTACCCAACTATATAAGCTGGAAAGTGAAATGAGAACACCCAGGTGATTAGGATTTTTCCAATCTGAAACGTTGTTATGGTATCAGAGCTTTTCTAAACTCTAGCCGTCACAAACATGGCCGACAATGTCCAAGCAGATCCATCTGTTGAAAATGTTGCTGCAAATGCACAGCACCAGCCTGCTGTTGATCCTATGGCAGATCGCTATTACTTGCATGGTTCTGAGCAACCAGGTCTGATCTTGGTGGGTGAGAAACTTACCACCACCAACTACAATGACTGGAGCCAAGCCATGCTCAATGCTTTGGGAGCCAAGAACAAGCTGGGCTTCATCAATGGTTCCATTCCACACCCAGGAGAAAATCACCAGAATGCCTGGGCCTGAGCCTGGAACAGGAACAATGTCATGGTTCTTTCCTGGATCCAGCAAGCAGTTGAAGCCAGCATCCGCAAGACCATCATGTCCTGCAAAACATCTCTAGAAGCATGGAGGAGTTTGAGATCTCTCTATGGTCAAGGAGATGTGGTCAGAATTGTTGAGCTCACTGAAAACCTCAGCAACCTCAAACAAGGTAGTCCATCTGTCACAGAATACTATGGCAACTTTATTGCAATTCGAGATGAGTTGGATAATTATTAGCCTATTGAACACTACACTTGTACACCCATTAGTAGAGAAACATGTGCAGCCATGAGATTAGTCTTTCAATACAAAGACACAAACTCTGTTATTCAGTTCCTAAGAAGCTTGAATGAGAATTTCTCCACTGTGAGATCTCAAGTTCTCTATGGAGATGATTTGCCCAACATTGATCGTGTATTTCAAAGAATGCTTCAACGCGAGAGACAACAATATGGGGCACAACTCAACAGGGTTCTTGCAGTGGATACAATGAGTTTGGCAGCACACAGTTCAAGCACTCCTCATATCAGAAGGCCTAGACCTTACTGCACTCATTGCAAGTTCCTTGGCCACACAGAGGAAACTTGCTACCACAAACATGGGTGGCCACCAGGGATGAATACCAGAACCACCAATCCTTATGGGAAACTAATTGAATGCACCTACTGCAAGAAACCAGAACATACTGAGGAGAAGTGTTTCAGCAAACATGAATATCCCAACCCAAGGGTTCCACCAAGACCCAAACCTCAAGCTCACTCAGTTACTTTAGAAGATCTACACCAAGAGGTCAAGCTTACCAAAGTTGACTACCTGAAGCTGATGTCCCTATGAATGACAAAGGCAATTCAAAGCCTTCCCCAAGTGCCAGTCCCTCTTTTTCAGCTGCCAGTTTCATCAACAGGCTAGCAGAATCCTCAGATAAATTCCTGCTCAATGTGAGTGATAAATCACCACATCATCAAACTTGGATACTTGATACAGCTGCCTTTGACCACATTATGTGCTCTCTAAGCCACCTATCGAACTCCAGACCACTTCACAACATTTATATCACTCTCCCCACAGGATACAAAGTTCAAGCAACACATTCAGGCACAGTTTTTTGTGTTGCAGGCCTAGTGTTGCATGAAGCTCTATTTGTTCCACAATTTAGCTTCAGCCTTATCTCTGTCACTCAACTAACCAAAAACAGATCCCTTTGCTTGACCTTCTTCTCTGATGTCTGCTTGATTCAGGATATGCAGCTGAGGAGGATGACTGGTTCTGCTAAGCCATCCTATGGCCTTTACCACCTAGAGACCATTGTAGATATCAATCTCTCCCACTACATCTCAGCTGCCAGCACATAGACATTTGATGTTTGGCACCATAGACTAGGACATGTCTCTCATTCCAAAGTGCCCATTTTGAAATCTTTTTATCCACAGATAGATACAAGCAGTTCTATACCCTGTGATGTCTGTCATTTTGCTAGACAGAAGAGACTTCCTTTCCCTTCTAGCACTTGTGTAACTACACATGATTTTGAATTGTTGCATGTTGACATATGGGGTCCTAACCATGTTCCCAGTTATGATGGATTCAAGTACTTTCTAACAATTGTTGATGACTTCAGTCGAATGACTTGGTTAATTCTTTTGCAAACTAAGTCTGAAGCTAGGCATAAGTTGCAAGCATTCTGTTCCTATGTTGAGAGACAATTTAAAACCAACATCAGGCAAATTAGAAGTGACCAAGGTAGAGAGTTTGCCATGACAGAATTTTTTGATCAAACTGGCATTCTCCATGAACAATCATGTGTTCAGACTCCACAACAAAACAATAAAGTGGAGAGGAAGCATCAACACATTCTCTCTGTGGCTAGAGCCCTAAAGTTTCAATCCAATCACTCCCTGCCTCTTGGGAAGATTGTGTCAAACATTCAGTCTATTTGATCAATAGGGTTCCCACAATTGTTCTGGGGAACCTCACTCATGAAAAACTTCACAACCAGAAACTAGACCTTACTGACCTCAAGGTTATTGGTTGTTTATGCTTTGCTTCTACACTTTCTAATCACATAGCCAAATTTGACTCTAGAGCAAGAAAGGGAGTTTTCATTGGTTATCAACGTGGAATCAAAGGTTACAAAATTTATGATCTTTCCACACATGATGTTTTTGTTTCTAGAGATGTCCAATTCCATGAAATTGTGTTCCCATTTCATAACCAAAATCCAGATCATTCACCACCCTATTCTACCCCATCTGATCCTTCTTTCTATGATGATCCTAGTCTATCCTACTACCCCTCATCACAACCTACTCTTCCTTCTCTACCAAACCCATTGGTTCAGGACACCCATTTTGACATAGATTATGAACCAGACTCACAATCCTCACCATCTCCTTCCTTCACCATCCCCACCCCCAGTACCTCAACCACCCCTAAGAAAGTCCACAAGAGTTTCAAAACGACCTACCCACCTCCAGCAATACCATTGTAACCTGCTTCAACAGACTTCTTCTACCAGTCATTCTACTCAGCTGCCACCTACAGGTATGACATCAAACCTCTCATCACTACTTGATTACTCTACTCTCTCTCTCTCCTACTCACAAAACCTTTGTCTCAAGTATCTCTTCCCTAAAGGAACCAGAAACCTATAAGGAAGCAGTTCACTTTCCAGAATGGAATGATGCTGTGACAGCTGAGACTCATGCTCTAGAAGCCAACCACACTTGGGATGTGGTTGAATTACCTCCTGGTAAGAAACCAGTTGGCAACAAGTGGATTTATAAGAACAAACATCTACCAGATGGCAGTTTAGAGAGACAAAAGGCCAAACTAGTAGCCAAGGGTTACAGTCAACAAAAGGGTGTTGACTACCAGGATACCTTTGCTCCTGTAGTTAAAATGACAACCATCAGGCTATTTCTAGCCGTTGCAGCATCCCAGAACTGGCACATTCGGCAATTGGATGTCACAACGCATTCCTACATGGAGACTTAGACCAGGAAGTTTATATGAAACTGCCACCTGGTTATGTTCCTCCATCTGGTCTCAAAAACCCAGTTTGCAGACTTAAGAAATCTATCTATGGTCTCAAGCAGGCAACCAGACAATGGTTCACCAAGCTTGCTGACAAATTGCACTCACAAGGATACACTGCAAGCAAGGTAGATCATTCTCTTTTCTACAAACAATCTGGTACTTCCTACACATGTATCCTGGTCTATGTTGACGATTTAGTCATTGGAGGAAATGACATCGCAGAAATTGAACATTTAAAGTCATTTCTACATCAAACATTCAGCATCAAGGATATGGGGGCTCTAAAATTTTTCCTGGGCATAGAGGTAGCAAGAAGCAAAAAGGGCATTCACATTTCTCAAAGGAAGTATACATTAGAAATTCTGGAAGAGGCAGACCTCCTCAATTTCAAATCTGCCACTACCCCTATGGATTACAAGCTTCATCTCTCAGCAGACCACACTGATCCCTTTCCTAATCCAGAAGCCTACAGGAGATAGGTTGGCAAACTAATCTATCTCACAACTACCCGCCCAGACATCAGTTATGCAACACAGCAAGTCAGCCAATACATGTCCAACCCAAGTAATTCTCATTACAAAGCAGTGATAAGGATCCCGCATTACCTCAGGTCTGCTCCTACAAGTGGATTGTTCTTCCCAGCCAATTCCAATCTTCACCTGAAGGCCTTCAGTGACTCAGACTGGGCTGCCTGTGTCGACACCAGACACTAAGTAACTGGATACTATGTCTACTTGGGTGATTCTCTAGTCTCGTGGAAGTGCAAAAAGCAAACAACCATCTCCCGCTCTTCCTGCGAAGCAGAGTATCGCGCATTGGCATTCACGACTTGTGAGGTACATTGGCTCCTTTATCTTCTCAATGACTTTCAGATTCCACATCCACAGCCTGCAACCATCTACTGTGACAACCAATCGGCGATTTACATCGCTGAGAATCCCACATTCTACGAACGGACGAAGCATATCGAACTTGATTGCCACTTCGTCCGTGAGAAACTGCTCTCTAAAACCATCAAGATTCTTCATGTGTCCTCTGTCCACCAGCTCGCTGATCTATTCACGAAGCCGTTTTTCACCAAAGCTATTTAAATCCTCAACGGTCGACAACGGAGCAGAGTCGTCTTCAAAGGGGAAGGAGATGACCCAAAGCGTCGTCGTTCCATCATCAACAGAGTTAAAGAAACATTCTTGGAGCGATGTCGTTTCTGGCAAAGTGCCAATCAATACCTGATCTTTATGTTTCAACATTTTACCCTTTTAAGCCTGTACTTTCTTTTTCCCTACGTTTTGTCTTCTTTCTTGAATTGTAAGCAACAACTGAACCTTGTACTGTTTTACCCAGCTATATAAGCTAGAGAGTGAAATGAGAACACTCAGGTGATTAGGGTTTTTCCAATCTGAAACGTTGTTATTAGATCATCGTTGTTTATTAACATATAATTGAGCAAAATCAAATCAATTGGAAACATTAAAGTTCTACTGGAATGAAATTTGTGAAACTTGGTTCAAAACTTTAATTTTTCTTCTTCACAGGACAGAAATGGTTACCTATCTAACCGAGATGAAAAACTTGGAAGATAATTCGCGTAAATGCTACCAAGAGTCCGTAGCATTGGATTAAGACGCTTTTGTCACGATGATGTTATTAGACGGCTGCTTTCTCGTCCAACTAATGTGCAAATACGATCGAATTATTCAGAGACGATTAGGGAACGATGAAATCGACTATATCTTTGGTGACGAAGAGAGATTGTTCAAGGTGATACGAGATATAGTTTTGCTAGAGAATCAGTTGCCGTTCTTTGTTCTTCAGAAAATCTTCGACATGACCAACTCTGGAAAAGACGGGAAAAACTTGGTCACAATGATGTCCTTCATGATCAGGCATGCCTTTGGGCGTTTGAACTTCATCCCTAGGAGGCTGTCTAGTTCTATCGAAACATACTCCCATGTGTTAGGATTAGCCCACTGTAATTGGTTAACCCATAAACCAAACGATTTGGTTAACCGAGATACAGTGAGGAACAACAATGCCTTGTACAAGTGGATACCGTGTGCCACCAGACTGAAGGAATTCGGAGTAGCCTTCGAAAGGATGGAAGAAACAAACTTGTTCGATGCAAAGTACAAAGGTGGAGTGTTGAGAATGCCAGGCTTGATCATAAATGATGACTCGGAGACCTTACTCAGGAATTTGATGGCGTACGAGAAGTTGAGATTACCCGAGGAGGGTTTGAAATACGCTAGCGAGTACATTCTGCTTTTGAGCTGCCTTGTGAATTCTGAGGAGGACGTTAAGTTATTGAGCAGATGTGGGATCCTTGTGAATAAATTGGACAAAACAAAGGACAAAGTTGTTCTAAGACTGATCCGACGTCTCGAGCACTCAAATTCTTGCGCGCAGGTGTGTTTCTACTCCAACATATTTGAAGAAATCAACCAACGAATCCAAAACAGACGGCACAGGTGGATGCGGGCAATCAGGAAAAACGTGTTCAAAGATCCTTGGCACGTGATTGCCTTTATGGTTGGCGTTTTGCTTTTCATGATGCAAGTTTTTCAGCTTGTCCTGCTTCCCGTTTGGCTTGGCTTCTCAAAATGAGAATAGGAACAGAGAAAGACAGTGACTTCTTCACTGCTGGCGTTTCTCCTCCTATGGCGGTGGCAGGCCTTTGGTTTGGTGAGTCAATTACCTCAACTCTCAAATTTTTGGGTTGTAGTAGCTGCTTTCATTCATCTCTATGTCAATCCAAATATGTAATTAGCTCTATTGATATCACGCAAGCTTTTTTCATGCATAGACATTCTTTTTATCGATTCCTTCCTGGGTGTTCCTTTAGATTCTTCTCTAGGAGGTTTGATGTAGGGAATAATCTCACTATTAAGGTCCATGATTCTCCTGCTACCTATAATCATGCGGTTTTGAGTTCTGCATTGCTTAACTAGCTATTGGACTAGAGGTCTCTGTTTCCCCTACATCTAGAGGCTTAACTAGCACTGCATTCTTTGAAATAGTGAGTTAAGTTATGTTTAATCTCAAAGATGAGATGCCTGATCCTCGAACTAATCGAACCAAAACCAATACATGTATTTGCATGCCTTTTTGACAGCCTTAAAATGTAGCTCGCTCTCTCTATTGTTTGTTGATCTTCTTGGATCGGACTAACTCTCTAACATATGACATGGATTCTGATTTCACTTCATTCTACAGGAGTATTCACTCACAGGAGTGATGGTTCTTGCTAGGTCGTCCTATGTTTCGAACAGATTGTTATGAGTTGGGATGGTGTGTCATAGATAGTCATGTGTTACAAGCTGAGTACTGAGCTGCATGACTGAATATGCAATGTTGAATATATCGATGCGATGGGAGGAGTCTGTACAGCAGATGCCAAGTGGTATAACGAGGTGGTGGATCCGTTTATTTTGGAGTTGTTGGATCGATTAGTGTAATGTAAGCGCAGGGTCTGCTGGATCAAATGACCTTTCTCGGTCATGCGTAGGTGGTTATTAATATATGAGATGGGATGTGAGGGGAGCTACTTTGCTGGTGGAGATTGTTACTATGTTGGATTTGTCACTTAATCATCAGCTGGTTTTTATTGATGGTATAGGTAAGGATAGCCAATTCAATGAGTTGTAAACCTTTTCATTTGTCACATCTATTCACAAGGTTCGACTCTTGATGGCCTAGAAATTTGACTATCTAACTCCCTTGCATATACAGCAACGTTCATCACTTGCATTTTGTTCTCAGCGGTCGGATCCTGGAGGCTTGCTCTTGATGTTTTCCCTCAATGGTACTGTTTGTCGGTCCCTGTCTTATATTTGTGAAGATCATGAATAATTTCATTGATACAGAAGCTTGAAACTTATGCCATTGCTGGTGGCATTGCAGAACAAGTGATTTCATCAATCAGTATACTCTTTATGTAGCCGAACGTCAAACACTGGAGAAGTTCAGCAATGCACTTTCAGAAGACCTTGGCATTGGACATAAAGCAAAGTCTTGCCAAGGGTATTATGATGGGGTGTGTTGAAATTGTTTTACTTGGATTGGGCTTTTTGAGGCTTGGCTTGTTGCTTATCTGGCGACTGAAAAGTGACAAAAGGGTAGCTCCTTTTTTGTGGCTTCATTGCAGGAATGTGAGTTATCGGTTATCTTTGATTTGATTGCATTTTGTTGGATGATCTAGTCAGTTATTTCAGTTGTCAGATTTGGGATTCATTTCCTTCATTTGCGACCCTGCAGGAGTATAGTGAGTGTATTGTCAAATCTAGCAGCCGCTACTGAAGCAACTGATGCTGCTACTCGTATTCTTGAATTGGTTGATAGATCTCCTCAGACTCAGAAGACAAAAAAGGGCAAGGTTTGTCTCATCTAAGATGCGCATGATTTCATTGTTATGCTACCCGATTGATATGGCACCCAGGTGAGCCCATTTGTACTGAAAACTCTTCCAAGAACATGCATATCTCTGTGTTCTAGATTTTTTTTCTTCTTTTGATTTCTCAGGTTGCCATAGCAAGAGCCCTTATCAGAAAACCGAAAATATTGCTGCTTGATGAAGCATTCAGTGCTTTTGACACAGAATCTGAAGGAATGGTGCAGTTGCAGTTGATCAGGCAACCATAGGCTGGATAATAATCACTGTTGCTCTCCAATGTCGACTTTTTCAAGTCCTACTACATCTACATCCAGCGGCACTCCATATTCCTATTCTCTACAGTATGATATTTCAAAGGCTTTGAAAACTATTACCCTGCAGCGCTGCTCCTTCTCTCATGGAGGTTGCTGGAGATGAATGCTCCGGAATGGCGTTCTGACTTGATTGGATGTTTGGCAGCAATAGTCGAGGATCATCCCAATCAATAAATGCTTATTCTGTGGGATTACTCGTGTCAACCTTGTTTGGCACAGACAAAGTTGCTATAAAGCCCAAGTGCACAACCTTGTACCTCATTTTCCTAAGCCTTGCTACAGTCAACTTCACCACTAGTCTCCTCCAGCACCTTAGTTTTGTTGTGATGGGTGAAAACTTGATGTGTGTTCGAAATAGTTATGTGCTGTAAGCTTAGTACTGAGATGCATTACTTCAAATGCAATGCTGAATTTATAGATGCTATGGGAGTAGTCTGTACAAAAGGTGCGAAGTGGTACAATGGGCTGGTGGATACATTTATTTTGGAGCTGTTGGATTGCATAGTGGAATGTAAGCGAAGGGATCTGCTGCATCAGGTGATCTTTCTCGGTCATGCATAGGTTGTTAATGTATGGGATGCGGGGGAGCTACTTTGCTGGTGGAGTTTGTTACTATGTTGGATTGTCACTTACTCATCAGCTGGCTTTTATTGGTCGTATAGGTAAGGACAGCCTATAAGTCGTCAAACTTTTCATTTGTCGCCTTATCTATTCACAAGGTTCCACTTTATTTCTTGATGACCTAGCAATTTGACTATCCAACTCCCTTGCATATGCAGAAACATTCATCGCTTGCATTGTGGTCTCGCTCATCGTATCTTGGAGGCTTGCTATTGCTTCTCTTCCCTTAATGGTGTTGTTTGCCGGTCCCTGTCTTATGTTTGGGAAGATCATGACTGATTTCACTGATACAGAAGCTTGAAACGTATGCCATTTCCGGTGGCATTGCAGAACAAGCAATATCTACAATCAGAACTGTATACTCTTGTGTAGCAGAACGTCAAACACTGGAGAAGTTCAGCAATGCCCTTCAGAAGACCCTGGAATTGGGCATTAAGCAAGACCTTGCCAAGAGGATTATGATGAGGTGCATTGGAATTTCTTACTTGGGATGGCCTGTTGAGGCTTGGTTTGATGCTTATCTGGCGACTTAAAATGTACAAAAGGATGGCTCCTTTGTTGTGCCTCAGTGAATGTCATCATTGCAGGAATGTGAGTTATCGGTTATCTTTAGTTTGATTGCATTTCGAGTCCATGATTTCGGTTGTCAGCTTTGGGATTCATTTCATTCATCTGTGACCCTGCAGGAGTATAATGATTTTTTGCCTAATCTAGCATTACAGAAGCAAGTGCAGCTGTGATTAACCACAGAACCATAACTTTCTTTTAATCCCAGAAGAGAATTCTTGGCCTCTTCAAGTCCACCCTTGAGAGGACCTAAAGAGGAGAGTTTTAGACATTCTTATTTTTCAGACAATTGGCTCTCAATTCGTCAATAAGGCCTCAATTGCTTTACGTTAGTGGTATGTTGGGAGGCTTCTGACAGAGTGGCTGATCGTAGCCAACAGCTCTTCTTCCAATCATATCTTGCAGTTGTCTTCTCTGCTTATGTAATTGCAGAATCTGGAAGTATGACCAGTGACATATCTTAGGCTGGACTGCAGTTCATGCTGTGTACAAGATCATGGACAGGAACAGTCAAAGAGCTCCCAGAAATCGTCCTCTAAAAAGGAGTTCAAAGACTTCTTCTTCGAGTATCCAACACGACCCGACTCGATAATATTGAAGGGCCTCTACCTGAAGATTGAACCAGGAAAGACCATAGCACTTGTTTGGCCAAGTGGGTCCGAGAAATCGACAATCATTGCTATCATTGAGAAGTTCGACGACCCTTGATGGGCAGAAAGAGCTACAACCTTAGATGGCTGAGATCTCATTTCGTTGGTGAGGCAGGAGCCAAGCTTGTTTTCAGGAACTATCCAAGTAAACATTGCCTACGGTAAGCAGGATGCACAAGAATCGGAGATAAAAAAAATTTATATGCATCTCTTGCCAAGGCTCATGCAGTTATCAGGTGAACATAATCGTACTGTCCAAATCCTGGTTTTGAGTACTTCTGTATACAGCTCCACAAACCTCAGGCTTCTGATGATGATGCATATATTTTTGGGTATGGCGCAGCAGATTGAGCGAGGGTTGTGGCACATATTGTGGAGAAAGACGAGTTCAGTTATCCGGCGGCCAGAAACAAAGTAAGGGTGCAATTGCCTGAGCCATACTGATTACTGAAGAATCCAAAAGTCCTGCAGGATGTATTGCTATTTCGTTCCACGAGCGCACCAAGCATGTGGAGATGGATTGCTATTTCGTTCGTGTGCAGTCTGCTGATATCCAGCCGCAAAAGGTACATACCAGCTCCCAGTTGGCAGATCTGTTTACCAATGCGTTAGGCACTGAGCAATTTCATCACTTATTGTCCAAGCTTGGCGTTTGTAACCTTCACGCTCCAGTTTGAGGGGGAGTATTGGACCTGGTTGTCCGTTTCATATTGTTTTGGGGATCATTCTGTAATTCTCCCTATTACCTACGTTGCATGTAATTGGGTATAAAAGGGTTGTGGCCGACCTCGGCAACCCTAAGGGTGAAGGATTGCGATTGTACTCTTCATCATATAGTGAAACTTCAGCCTGAGAGCTCTGCTCTCCGCGGATTAGTCCCGGTTTCCGGGGATACCACGTAAATTGACTGTTCTCTCTTTTCCGCGTTTAGATTATTTTACAGGATGAGGCAATGAGTACTGCCCTCTACACTGTCTCGGAGAACTTGGTCCAAGAGGCATTGGAAAGAATGGTGGCTGGCAGAACTTGCATGATGGTGGCTCACCGCGGCTCTCTTCAGAATTCCGACAGCATTGCAGTGATCAAGAATGGCCAAGTTGCAGAGGAAGTATATCACATAATGAGCTCATGTCGTTAGGACAGGAAGGAGTTTTAGTCTCTCATCAGTTGACAGAACCAGGATATATACGAGCTCATGTTCCTTATTCACAATTAGTTTCTTGTAACCATGGGACATTTTTCTAGTTCTTGATGAACCTGAAATTTTTATATGGCTTGATCAAATCAAAGATTCCAACTTCGACAAAGCTGCTTCACTCCATTATATCTCATCTTCACCGTAGAAGCACCTAACCTACAAACTACCCCACTCCAGTTGTACAATCTTTTACACAATCGAGAGGAGAGAGAGATAAGTGAAGTTGCAGACCTGTAACTTATTGATTTGGCAGGGAGAGAATGTAATTGGTTGGAGCTTCTGTGTTCAATCAAGGTTGGAATTTCTGGGTTCAATTAAGTTTTGAGTTAAGAATTTTTCAAATCTTATTTTTTCTTCGGGAAAGAAAGTTAGCATCACAACAATAAATAATTATTAAATTTTATTATTATAAACATTTAAATTGAGTCTAAATGAACATAATAAAACATTTGGCCGTTAGAAAGGAACAAAGCAACATTAATTTTTTATTCTTCCAAATTTATTTGTGTAATACCGACATAGTAGCTTTACATTTATTTCATTGTCGTGACTCTTAAGATCAAGTTTTTAGGAAAAAAATTGCCCCAACAACATTCAGTCCCATGCATAGGCTTTAGAAAAAGCAAGACCATTTGAGCTAAAATAAATCCCATCATCCCTAACCGACCAATAACAATGCCTCCGCGGTCCGATGCATGCTTTCTCGTCTCTTCTAGCAATGAACGCATACCAATCCTTCTTCTTTTGTCCGTAACTTGAGAAACACTCGAATTAGTGCTGTGAGTGACATTCACTTCAAACTGCCATGTCTGCGATGCACCCGGAGCTAGAGACCTCTGACCCAGATCGTTATCAGACGAATAACAATGATTGGATAATGTATCGCTCGTCAGATCGTTTTTTACATCCACGTGATAATATGCCAGCAAACGATCAGATTGAGCGCTTGTTGTTGACAATAATAAGCTTATTGTGAGCATGAATGTAGTAACCCACAAACTCATTACACTCATTCTCATGTTTAGTTTAGTTTTTTTTTTTTTTTTTTTTTGTGGATTGTATGTGGATTGTTGTGATGGTCATAGATGAAGATTGTTTATATAGTTGATTCACCATCTTGGAAAGGGAACAAGGTTTTAATAGGGAAGACAAAGGCAACGTACATAGTTATATCTTTGTAGGCGTTTGTATTCCAACAATTTGGACAAATATTTACACTTTGTTATGAAACTAATAAAAATATAAACAACTAAAAGAGAAGATTAGAGAGGAAAAGACACAAGAGAAGAGAGGGGAAGAGTTCTTCTTATTCATCCTATCTCTTTTGATACAATGGTGTGCTTTATTTATAGGCACACCTTGATAACCACTACATCCTTATATCAATGAGAGATAATGAAACATAAAGGAGCTATCAAATGTAGGAATGGGGGTTACATGTAACTCCCAAGTGAGCATCTAATGTGGTAATGGCAATGGTCATCCATATATCAATATTTACATAATACTCCCCCTTGGATGACCACTAGATTGCATTACGCTATCTCATACTGCCTCGTTAAAAACCTTACCAGGAAAACCCAGTGGGAAAAAACCATGGTTAAGGGAAAAAGAGTGCAGTGCGTATATGCTCCCCCTCATGACCACATCACTTCAAATCTTTGAGTCGTTGAACTCAAAATTCACGAACAACTTTTACAAAGATTGTTGTCGGGAGTGAGTTAGTGAACAATCTTCTAAATTGTCAATTTGATGCATGATCTTTAGATTTCTTCATACATGATCATTAGGATCATTTCATTTGAAAATAGTTCACAACCACAAGTACTTGAGATATGGTGGATCACAAATTAAAGTGCAACGGAAGACATTCGGGACTTGCCCATTATAGTTTGTTTTGTTTCTTTATGAAATATTTATATCACCATATGTAAGAGATAGGTCGTCTCCGATCAACCAATATGAGGATCAAATGATATATAGGATTTGATATATAGTTTACCAAATCTCTCTTTGATAATACCATAATAGAACAATCGCATATATTGTTCCCGGAGGTAACAAAGTATTTTCCAATGTTCTAATGAGGGAAACATTGTATCTTGCCAATATTATCAATACCAAAATGATAGTTTATATGGTGCTTGGCTAGCAAGGTGCATTGGTGCTCTAATGCATCAACATATGGTACTTCAGGACCTAATGTTTCACTTCTTTCTTGATTTCTAAATGGATCTTTGGTCACTTCTAGTGATCTTAGGATCCTAATGTTATTTGATGAACACAATTTGTTCATGCAAAATTACTTTCCCACTTTTTCAACATTACCTTCCTTGCCCATAAAAAGGATCTTAAATCCTTCAATCTAACTTATGTCTCGAAGCAATCAACTTCTTTAGGAAGCTCTTCAGGAGATCCAATAATAGTCATATCATTAACATAATATGAGATCGTAAAAAAAAAAAACTTAACTAACACAAATTTATGCAAGCAATTCTTTCCTATCACGAAAGATAATAACAAAACTCACATCATAGAAACATATGACTAGACAAAGCACAATCATAAAACACAACTCATACTTTAAAGTAAAACACAACTCATAAACCAAGATTTTAAAATCCTTGAAGCACATACAGACAACACAACTATATATGCACAATGCAAATGCTCTAATGCAGTCTATCCCGGATTTAACCTTTTAAGGTCGATTCACCCTACTGTTGTAGGTGTTCTCTTAGACGAGTATTTCACATTCGTCTATATTTTCTCAACCCATACAGGGGATATTCTTAGTCTATCATTATATGTTCTCGAGAACTTTACTTGTTTACTTCAGGTAAATTAATCCTTCTGGGACTTTCAAATATATATAACATCTTCAAGGAATTCAAACAAATAGGCTATCACAACAATTTTCAAACATAAATTTAAACATTGATTTGACAAAGTAGTTGCATCCACCACAAGAGAGCATAACTCCTCTCAAATAATGATAGGTCTCTTCGAGAAACCCATTGCAAAACATTGTGTTATATCTCTCACAATTTCATACTTTCCAATAGCACAAAAATTTGTTTGTATCCCGCTAGTTTTGCACTTTTTTAGGTGCTAGGACTTCTGGTCCTTAAACTTTATGCTCCTTGAGCAAGTTTCATGATTTCTTAATATATTGGCCAATAAAATCATCATTTGCATGCATCAATAGAGTTTTACTCTTCATCCTCACTTGTACATATCATATTCAGTACTAAAGTGCAACAAACAAATTTCATCGACAATGATTTCATTACGGTTCCAGTATTGTAGTCTAATATGGTTTTGAGATCTCTTCGCTTTCACAACTTTCAGAGACATGTGTTCTTCTGGAACTAAAATTATATTTTATTCGTGGTTACTCTTCTTGAGTTTTCATGTCCTCGAGTTGACCATTCTAATTACAGCTCCTTTTCTTTCTCGAAGATGTTTATCATTGGAACCGATTGATATATCACGCTTCATGCGATCTTTCGTACACATTTTTTTATATTAGAGTATCCAACAAGGATATCAAATTTAGTTGGAGCATTCACAGCTAGTATATGTGACTTGGTCACTTCGTATGGCCAGTAAAGGCATTTGCTAGTTGGTAACGATAATTCATCTTATGAACTTCAGGTTCATGTTTCTTACTTTGAGGATCAAAATTAGATAATGATAACTCATTCCAACTCATCTCTTTGTCTAGCTGTTTTTTTTCTCTCCCCCTTAATGTTGGAAAAGTTATTCATCAAAACATTAATTTCGCAAAAAAATTCTCATTTGGGATTCATACCCAACCCAAATTCTCAATTTCCAACGAGAATCAACTTAAGATACTGTGGTGGAGCAATTGGGATGTATGCGGCAGGCACACCCTGATATTCTCATATGAGAAATGTTAGGTTTTTGACCAAAACCATTTGTAAAAGGGGGGAACTTATGATAACTTGTTGGTTAGATGTGAACCAATACTATCACTTGCCAGCTAGCATGTCCTCGACAAGAGTCCAGAATGCTCGGTTTGTTCTCTTAAGCAAAGTGATGTTTGATTGGATAACCATCAAAATGTATTCATAGTGAGGCAATCAATCTCGCAAACATCGGGTTGCGATTAGATAAAATAAAAGTGATCATATAAAATCTCAAGAGATTTGGCAACTCTTATACAAGCTCTGATCAATTGTTCTATTCTCCTTGAGAACAAACATGGCATAATAACTCTTTTAGTTGAAGAGTTCTTTGACTTCTCATAGGATGTTCTCATGAATTCTCAAATAAATTTTTCACATAAAGATCCGGGATGGTCTAACCGGACCAACCAATTATCAAGTTATCAAATCTTGTAAACTTCTGGTTTACACTTTTATGTGTACGGATTGTACTAATATACATGTAGTACATATTTGTGATGCAAATATTAGTTTCACACTTTTCTTGATAAGATATTCATTTTACGAATATCCTTTTAATTGGGTAATGCATCATCACTGGGTAGTTTGGGTCTTTCAGGCCACAAAACATTAGCTCTTTTAGAGCTTTACCATATTTTGTACCATATTTCGCCCTTCCAGAGACTTATGATTTGATGCATTCTTAGTAAACACATATTCATAGTGAATATCATCACAAATTATTATCACGAGTACATAATTTAGTTACTTCAAGTAACCAAACATAAGCTTTTCAGAAGCTTTTTCTCATTTATGTACTCTACCATATAGTTTATATGGATTTTTTTCTAACAATCATACTTTACAAAAACACACTAAAATAATAAATGAGAATATTCAAACTTAAGACAAAAATGACGAACTTATCAAGTTAATCGTTCTAGATAAAAGTTATCAAGTTAAATTATGCATGAAAATAATGGCACAATGAAACATAATAGAAAACAAGAATCATAATACTACAATTGTGAAAATTTAAATAAGCTTTATTTGGAACAATATCATCACTAACTAGGTGATTTTAAATTTATATATGTCTTTCATTATACATTTCAATGTACAATAGGTACATTATGTTATCATGACTTTGATAATGCAATTGTTATTTCATCCTTGTTTATAATTCTTCTCTTTTCTCACTTCTGGTGAAAAGATCCAAACAATACATTTAGCATATATATAATCAGGTTTATAGCTCCATTCACTTCGGAGAATAGATTGTTTCATTCACTTCTGGGAATGAAAATGTCTCAAGTGCAATATCATTTTCCTCTTTAATGGAGAATATACCAACTTATAATACAAAAAATATGTTCCCTAATATTGATATTGCATCAGCATATTTGAATTTGCTCTTCCCTTTGATTCTTGGTAGAATCAAGTCTTTTGCGTACAACGGGTACGAGACAAATACACTTTTCCATTACAATGGTAACATACAGAACCAATATTCTTATTACCATGTCCTTTTCTTTCTTTGCCCTTGAATTCTTCAATTTCCACTTCTGGGGAATATATGGGCTCTTGGAACTTGCATTTTCTACATATCAATGTGGGATTGATAAGAACAGGATAACACGGAGAATTGAAAAATTAACTCATCATCACTTATAAAACTTTTCTTGTTATTGTTACTACATGAGCAAATTTTAATTTGCGATAATGCCAAAACACCAATTTAATTTTAAGGAATCGATGTATGTATTGTAAAAACACATAATAATATAAATCAAATTACACAACACAAAATTTTAATCTAAATAGATGTACGTGATAAAATATCAATGGATGGTTTACTACAAGAAAAGAGTAGCATCCATCTTAATATATTGGAATGAGATAATCTCACCACAAATAAGACAATAAGATATGAAAGAAGACGAAGATTTGCATACCTTGATCATATTGTGATCTTACTCCAATATACTAGATTGTGTAGAGAGACAATGGCCAACCATGATGCTAGCAGAGCTTCGTGCTGATAACGTGTTATGAAACTAATGAAAATATAAACAACTAAAAGAGAAGATTAGAGAGGAAAAGACACAAGAGAAGAGAGGGGAAGAGTTCTTCTTATTCATCCTATCTCTTTTGATACAATGGTGTGCTTTATTTATAGGCACACCTTGGTAACCACTACATCCTTATATCAATGAGAGATAATGAAACATAAAGGAGCTATCAAATGTAGGAATGGGGGTTACATGTAACTCCCAAGTGAGCATCTAATGTGGCAATGGCAATGGTCATCCATATATCAATATTTACATAATACACTTAGGATTTTGCTTTTATTGTTGGAAAAAGAAAGAATGTCTCTACAATGTTCTTTTGTTAGATAAGAGGAATAAATTCAAATGCATATATATGTGTAGGAAAGGCTAACACATCAATATTTTGGGAGATATGCACACTTGACAAATATGGTTAGGTATCTTGGCATTTTCTTCCAGTTCTAGTCATTGAACTAGTCATTGAAGATAATAGTTTGTTTTAGTCGATATTGTTATATTTCTATATATTTATTGATTGTATAGTATATGTATCTTTTCTGTTGAGAGGAATAAATGCAAAGTGCAACTATTTGTATCGGAATGAATATCCCTTTCGAAAGGAAAAAAATCCAAATTTGTGAGAATGTGCATGAACATCATTATTCATGAATCTTATGAAGTGTGATTTAATGCGATTAATATCGATTGCCCATATTCATATATTGCCTATAACGTCATAACACATGTATAGAAAAATTTGATTCTAACTAATTTCATGTTTTGTTTCTAGATTATGTTATTGGAATTAGTTTGTAGCATGTGTTTGAGAGTATTGGGTAAAGAAGTTAATCCATATTTTATATTTGTAATTTGTTTTTAGTTTGTGTGGTTGGTGATCTAATTTTTAAGCCGCCCTCGAGTATTACGACGAGATTTGAGCAGTCAATGTTTGTCAAACCCTGAAAAGAGTCATTGGACTATTGCAAATGTGGGTAAAAGTTAGTAACCACCCCTTTCAACATCTGATATCGCCTCATACATCACTATATAGTGATCTAATAAATATTTCCCGTTTCACAATATTCATGGATGTTAAATTTTATATCGTTTTGAGTCTTAACTACAAAACATGTCATTCTGTTATTGGATTCTGACATAGCATAACCACGCACCTTAATGCGCAATCTAAAAAATGTCATTACTTTGCCCATGTTACATCTCCGAACAAGATAAATCATCACAATACCAGACAATGTTGAAAATAAATCAAGGATATGAGACTTTTTGATAAAAACATATTCACACAAAAAAAATATAATACATAGAGAAAATAAGAATTAAAATAGACGGTAAAATAGATATAACTACTCTCCCTGTCTGTTATAGACTTGTAGTCCAATCAAAGTCCAAAAAACTCCTCCATTCCATTTTCTTCATTGATCCATTGTTCTAACTTCGACGGCTACCTACTCTGTGATGATGTAAATCCTAAATACACAGAAGCACCACATAATAATAATGGCGGTCATCCTTAAACCAAGGGAAACCCAAAATTTTGCCATCCCCAAATCTCTATTACCAGCAAAAAGGTCTATTCATTCATCACCGCTCAAATAAAACCCTTTCATCGTCTTCCTCCCTTCTCCTTCCCTTTCTTCCCCCTGAAACTTTCCCCCCAATTTTCCATTCCCCCAAACACAAACCTTAATCAACACGAAGGAAGGAAGAAAAAAAAACCCAAATAGAAAGGGGAACAAAAATATAAACACGAAAAAGGAAATTTGAAACAGGGGGGAAAATGTACAGAAGGAAGTAGGGGGGGAAATTAAATTAAACACGAACACACAATGACAACTCGCAGAAACAATCTTCTTCGCTCTCGTGATTCCTTCTAACGTGAATGGCAACCTTGTGGTCAAAAGACAAATCATCGTCACAGTCCCCGTCCCCCGCCGGCGCCCGTCCGCCTCAGAGTAATGCCCGCCGCCGCACATCTCGCGACGACGACGACGACCTAGACATGCCCGGAAGCCACAACAACTACACCGTCATGATGCCGCCGACGCCCGACAACCAACCGGGATCCAAGTCCGACAACAAGCCCGACGGCCCAAGCCCACACTCTGGCTCCCGCTTCGGGGCCCGGCCCACACCCGGGCCCAAGATGGACCGGCGGATGTCGATCATGACCTCCACCAACAACAACAAATCCATGCTGTTGAGAACCCAGACCGGCGATTTCGACCACAACCGGTGGCTCTTCGAGACCAAAGGGACGTACGGCGTCGGGAACGCGTACTGGACCGACGACGGCCGCGATGGGCCCGATATTGGGCTCAGCATGTCGGATTTCATGGACAAGCCGTGGAAGCCGTTGACCAGGAAGGTCAAAGTTCCCCCGGGCACTCTCAGCCCGTACAGGGTGTTGATCGTGATTCGATTGGTTGTTCTCTTCTTCTTCCTCGGATGGCGCCTCCAGAATCCCAACAGGGAAGCAATGTGGCTGTGGGGAGTTTCCGTGGTTTGCGAGCTCTGGTTCGCCTTCTCATGGCTTCTCGACATTCTCCCCAAATTCAACCCAATCAATCGGGCCACCGACCTGGCCGCTTTGAAGGACAAGTTCGAGCAGCCATCCCCTTCCAACCCAACCGGACGGTCCGACCTACCCGGAGTCGATGTCTTCGTCTCGACCGCCGACCCGGAGAAGGAACCGCCCTTGGTCACCGCCAATACCATGCTCTCCATTCTCGCTGCTGAATACCCGATCGAGAAACTCGCCGCCTATATCTCCGACGACGGTGGCGCCATTCTCACCTTCGAGGCCATGGCGGAAGCCGTTCGCTTTGCTGAGGTCTCGAACAATTGTAAAACACACGTTATCGAATTGAATTAGCAAGCAAACAAACCCTAGCTCTTCTGAAAATCAATTTTGTTTTTACCCTGTTGCAGATATGGGTTCCGTTCTGCCGCAAGCACAACATAGAACCGAGAAATCCGGACAGCTACTTCAATTTGAAAACGGACCCGACGAAGAACAAGAAGCTGCACGATTTCGTGCGCGATCGGCGGTGGATCAAGAGGGAATACGACGAGTTCAAGGTGAGAATCAACGGCCTCCCCGAGGTGATTCGCAAGCGATGCGATGCGCTGAATAGGAGGGAAGAGAGGAAGGAGAAAGCGATCGCCAGAGAGAAGAACGGCGGCACGCTCCCGCCGGAAGGGGTGACGGTGCAGAAGGCGACGTGGATGGCAGACGGGACTCACTGGCCGGGGACGTGGTGGCAGTCGGCTCCGGATCACGCCAAAGGCGATCACGCAGGGATCGTGCAGGTGATGAGCCGGGTACCTGAACCTGAACCGGTTATGGGCGGACCGGACGAGGACCGGATCGATTTCACCGGAGTCGACATCAGGGTCCCGATGTTTGTCTACGTCTCCCGTGAGAAGAGGGCTGGTTATGACCACAACAAGAAGGCTGGAGCCATGAACGCCATGGTTCGTGCTTCGGCCGTGCTGTCCAATGGACCCTTCATTCTCAACTTGGATTGTGATCACTACTTTTACAACTCCCTCGCGATAAGAGAAGGGATGTGCTTTATGATGGATCGCGGCGGTGACAGAATCTGTTACGTACAATTTCCCCAGAGATTCGAAGGCATCGATCCGTCGGATCGATATGCAAATCACAACACGGTCTTCTTTGACGGTAAACCACTTCTTTAAGATGGATTGATTAGCAAAAATTGCATTTCTTCTGGCATACTTATGTAGTACATTATGTTGGCTGATGTAATACAGGAAGCATGCGTGCGCTTGATGGACAACAAGGTCCGGTCTACGTGGGAACCGGGTGCATGTTTCGAAGATACGCGTTGTACGGCTTCCTGCCGCCGAGAGCAAACGAGTACCTCGGAGTGTTTGGTCGGATAAAGAGCAGGGCTCCTAGTGCTCCCGTACACTTGGAAGATTCAGAGCCATCGACTTCTGACCACCCTGACCTCAACCTGCCCAAAGGATTTGGAAACTCGCAACTGTTCAACGAGTCCATAGCCGTGGCAGAGTACCAAGGTCGGCCGCTCGCCGATCACATCTCCGTCAAGAACGGCAGGCCTCCTGGCGCATTGCTGGCCCCTCGCCCGCCTCTCGACGCCCCGACGGTCGCCGAGGCGGTTGCCGTGATTGCTTGCTGGTTAGTAATTGATTGTGAGTTGGTTTACTGTTTCCAAAAGTGATTTCTTGAGCAGCAAGGAACTAAGGTTGCGTATTCTTGGGTGGGTGGTGGTGAAACAGGTACGAGGACAAGACAGAATGGGGTGATAAGATAGGGTGGATCTACGGATCGGTGACGGAAGACGTGGTGACGGGCTACAGAATGCACAACAGAGGGTGGCGATCCGTCTACTGCGTGACGAAGCGCGATGCCTTCCGTGGCACGGCACCGATCAATCTCACGGACAGGCTCCACCAGGTGCTCCGGTGGGCGACGGGGTCGATCGAGATCTTCTTCTCGAAAAACAACCCGCTGCTGGCGAGCAGGAGGCTCAAATTCCTGCAGCGGATAGCCTACCTCAACGTCGGCTTCTACCCTTTCACGTCGGTGATCTTGGTGGTCTACTGCTTCCTTCCAGCTTGGTGCCTCTTCACCGGAAGCTTCATCGTGCAGTCGCTCAACGTGGCGTTCCTCTGCTACCTCCTCGTCATCACGGTGACGCTGACTCTGCTCTCCCTCCTGGAAGTGAAGTGGTCGGGGATCGAGCTGGAGGAGTTGTGGAGGAACGAGCAGTTTTGGGTCATCGGCGGGACCAGCGCACATCTCGCTGCTGTGATCCAGGGGCTGCTCAAAGTGATAGCTGGGATAGAGATCTCCTTCACGCTGACCTCGAAATCGGCAGGGGAGGACGAGGATGACATCTATGCCGATCTCTACGTGGTGAAATGGACCAGTCTGTTCATAGTGCCACTCACCATCATTGTCGTGAACCTCATGGCAGTTGTGATCGGCATGTCGAGGACTTTGTACAGCGTGATACCTCAGTGGGGGAAGCTCTTTGGAGGGCTCTTCTTCAGCTTCTGGGTCATTGCTCACATGTACCCTTTCATCAAAGGGTTGCTTGGAAGGAGAGGAAGAGTGCCGACCATCGTCTACGTGTGGTCAGGTATCCTTTCCACGACGATATCTTTGCTCTGGATATCAATCAGCCCTCCCAGTGACAGCACCTCTACTGGAAGCATTACCATATAACCAACTGTTCAAGCAAAAACACACACACTGTAGACAAAGAAAACTGGTGTAGATACTTCTAGATTGTTCTTCCCGCGGTGTTAGCACGAGAAGGGATCTTTCTTTTTGACCTTTTTTACCACCGCCTTCCGGTGGCTGTCAATATATTGTTCCATGGACATACTGTAACAAAATGTACAATGCATAGAGATTGCTCGATGTAAATAGCTACAGTTTGCAGAAGGGTTGAACTCTTTTAGTTACAAGGCCCTAACCAGGTGATGAAAAGGGAGCAAAGTGCTTCTTCCTTGCACTACAACAGTAAGACAAGCAATTAACTTAACCATACATAACGAGAAAAAGGATAGTTTAGAAGATTGTCAGTATTTTCTATCGCATGACTTGACACCCAAGTGCGCTATTACCTCTAAGCATTAGCACAACGGTTGAATCAAATCAGGAACTCCCGCATTTTCACTGGTCTTTTAACAGCATTGGTGAAGCCCTGTGTTCACAAGAGGAACATGGAGAGTGTTAGTACAGACTGAATACAATCAGGACTTCTTTCTCGGCACTACGTCTCAAATTCTTGCCTTGAAGACTTTTCAGTTCCAGAAATATGTGTTTTCTAGTTTTGGCATCCAGTCGATCAATTTAAGAACTAACTGAATTGACATGCTCTAGAGGTATATACCTCGTTATACTTAAATAAGACTGGTCGTGAATCTCTTTCCAATGTAGCAGCTTTACGGTCCATAGTCTCGGTTTTCTGAGAACCTCTGCTGCCTGCTTTCCTGAACCTGTTTTGACAGCAAAATAGCACAGATCAGCAATTAAGTGGCCATGCCCCATGAATACCTTCAAATTTGGACATCAATTCTAAGTTTTAGCCAATAAGTGATCATCTGCTTTCTACAGCATGCAACAGTCCTGCTACTTTAAGAGTGAGTATTCAGAAAGTACTGATATCAGTTTCCCGTACCTGTCAAAGAAGTTGGCAGCGCCGCTGGAACTCTTCTTGGGGTTCCCACTACTATTTAACTTTGCATTAGGCACAGAAATGTGACTTGCTTCCACGCTGGACGACATCGCCGATGAAATTGGGATGCTCACTCCTTTCTTCCCTTTTTCTCCATTGGAAGCAGAAGCTCCTGTCTGTTTCATAATGCTGGAGGGATCTTTAAGGTTCCCTCTTTCTCTCATGTCAAGGTTTGCTTCATTGAGCACTTCAGCATCATGTGTGGATTTGCTGACTTGCAAAATCCTTCTCTTCTCAACCTGAATTTTTATATACTCACCAAATTAAAAACAAGTTTGAAATATGGTGGCCTGTGGACCATACACATAAAAAAATATCCCTCCATTCTATCTTAATCAAATAATCCCGACAAGTTCAGCTCCCTAGGAATAGCAGTCACAACTTCAAAAGCAATTTAAGTTGGCTGAGGACATACTGTCTTCTTCATTGTGATGTATATATCAGATATCTGACGTTAAGGTGTTCAACAAAGATATGGGAAATAGACATGATATTTCTTCTTTCTTATAAAGAAGGAGAATGAATTTTATCTCACCTCATGAACCAAAACTTGCTTCAAGGCCAAGGGAAGTGTATTACGAGCATATCCATTGCCCTATTAAGTGCAAAGAACACGAGTGAGAATAGATTTCTAAGAGGCAACTGGTTACACATCCAAGCCAATGTTTAACGAACAAGGACCTTGAAATTGATAAACTCTGTAATGGGAGGATCAAAAGAAAGCGTGGATGCATCTGCAGCTGCTTCTTGCTCGGGCTTACTGGAGAGAAGATTGGGCCTCACATTCTTATATGTGACGGAGTAAGACACCATCGTGTTAACTAACTGGTCCATATCATTCTTTTCTTTTTCAGATAGCAAGTGCAATGATACCTACGAAAGAACACCAAAGCTATTACTACAGAAAATTTTGTCTTGTCAGATAACAGCAAACCCAAATATACACTTGGGTGAAAACCACTAACCGGTCTTATAGTTGAGGGTGATAGAATATGCAACAAGGAAGAAATTGAATCTTCAGCAAATGACTTGGTTGATAAATGTCGAGATATATGTGGTGGAATTTTTCTCTGCCAAGCCCTCAACAGTTCTACTTTCTCTGTCAACATAGTTCGATACCTGAAGTTTTACAAAATTGATCACTAGTGACAATCAAATACGAAAGGTGTAACGCAAGACCTTAACTGATTCTGAGATAAACGCGGACATAGACCTTTGATAAGATTTTGGCCACTCAATATTTGGTCTTTGGACTTGTGCCACAATACGATGCACAGTTACTGCTAGAGGAGCCTGATAAACTGCAAAAATGAGAAATATGGAAACAGAATGTAAGAAGCTTGTAAAGCTGATCCGCTTTTGCTGGGAAGCCTAAATTAGCAAAACGGAAGTTTGTTGAGTTACCATAGAGAGGCATTTGCAGTGTTCGCATAATGTATTGATGTATTACATCAAAAACACCAAGACTATTCATGCACTTGACCTTCAATTACAAATCAACATCTCATGTAACTGCAGTAGCTAAGGAATAATGTAATTCACAAAATCACCATCTGGAAGAGAAATAGGATAAGGCTTACTGTCTTCTGCATAACTGGATCATGATATTGAAGATGCAGTAGGTTCTCATGAATACCATCCATAATCGTATCAAAGTCTCCACTGCACATTAGACCCACCATCTTATAAGAAGAGAGGAACTGATTGGAGAGCAAGGTAAGAAATGTACTAACAGTACCCTACCGATTGGACAGCCGCGAATTCAGAAAATCAAAGTCATCAGATGTACTGGTACAGCTACTTGCGTATCTTCTTTCCACCTTCAATTTTCTCTTTTGAAATATCTGCAGAAACGGTGGCAAAACTCAAAAAAAAAAAATACCGGAAATATATTTGTACCAAAGCAGTACTTAGTGGAACTATTCTGAGTCACCTCTTTCCAGATATCGAAAACACCTTTATACTGATCCTTTCGACCCACCACCTGCGAACCAATATCCAACTGAAGAGACGGGAAAACATTTCATCGTCAGCCAATATACCAGAATATATTTGCAGTGAGAAAATTGTAGCAACAAGTGAATATCAGTGGCTAATTTTCAATAGCCAGTTTATAGAACTTATAAAGGAAGCTCTCTGGGACTCAGGAATTATGAATTATCTACTTATCAGAGGCTGTTATACTGAGCCTTAATGTACACCGTATCCTCAGTGTTGGGTAAGTGAATAAAACAAGTGAAATCACGGAAGCGTGTTCCAGCAAAAAGGAATACCACATTGAGTGCCTTTTGCTTTCCGTTGAGAAACTGAAGTGTGTTCAAGCATGACCGTATATCACATTCTGTAAAGACAAAGAAAGAGTAAAACTAGGTGTGGATAATAACAGAAAAATGAACAAGACAAAAGAACTGTATGTGTCAGAAAACACTGATGTGAGGAGGAACGCAACCCACCAGTGTACTCTGCAAGTGCAGCAAGTGCAATGGCGTTTGTCTTCATCCCCTCCTTGTTACATATATACTTGAGCCTACCATGACAATTTCCACAAGTTTAGATTGATATCCCCAAATACCAAGATGCATTTTAGACTATCCCTTAACACATACTTTTCATTTAGAGTTCACGGCAAGCTGTAAATCATCCTTCAATGCAAGTTTCCTTACTTATGTTTTACGGCTTCCTACATTTGCTAGGAACATATTCTTATGCAATGCTCATTATGTTTCAATATAAATTATGCGAGGACACGTGTCATTAATAATCCCACATTTTTTCATTTGTCATTAATGCATCATCTTAATCTCACAATACTCCTTTGGCTGTTTCAAACTATTCAAAGGGTTTACATTAATACCACAGGCCACAACAACGGGTGGAAAATGCATAAAACCAATAAATCAAAGAGCATATGAATTTCAAAAAATTGGAACTTATGCATGTGAAACAGTACAGCCATGAGAAAGATTTACCTGCTAACTACACGGCTGACTGTAGGTTGGACAAATATGTGAACCCTGTAAACAAGCAGAAGCCAAAAAAACAGTAAGCTTGTGAAAGATGCCACAACATTCATAGGACTATTTTGCCCAAGCAAAAACACAAGAAACGGTGTTTACTAAGGACAGCAGTTGATCATTCAGGTCTAACCACAGGTGCATAACTGGATGAAAATTCTGAGCTACAGCCAGTATACTTGGTTGTTCAGTTTACATACTAACAAATGGCGTTCCTCCTAAGGACAGCAATCACATCCATTCTGGTGTAACAACATAATGGCTTTGTAAAACCTAGTGACATGGTTTCAGTTCTTATTTTCATGACTAATTATTTAACCTTTCCCCACACTTTTAACTTTGAGCACGGACCATGAACAACAAGTGATATCATAGCTGACCATACGAGTACTTTCTTCAGTCTGAGTTCAGCAACCTGTACCAGACAGTTAGCGTGGCATATTGAGAAACTTACTTTGCAACCTGACGTAATGGTCTCAAGGCTGGAGCATATAGATCATTGCATATGCAAATAACCTGCATTGAGAGCCAACTACTTATGTCATAAGGGACAGGAAAAGGAAATATTCATTTTGGGGTTTGGTGTGTTGTTCAACTACTCACGGGTCTTGATAGAGAACTTGTTTTACGGCCCTTTTTGGACAATATTCTTCCAGATTGTTCTCCTTTCGCAAGATTATCTTTCCCAGTCTCTGCCTTCTTGTCAGAAGAAACCTGCATGCCAATTGCAGCTCCTCAGAAACCCACAAATAACACAGTGAAAAGGATGCACTTCACACAGAAATAGGCATCTGCTACAATCTTGCATATGAATGTATCTTCAAGTTAATGGGAACACAGTACACTGCCATCTGGAGGAATTCAGACTTTGCATCAGCCTAATAACAGAAAGTAAACTACTAAACTGCAAGATGAGATTTTTAGCATATTGTTTCAATCTCTAAGTGAGGGCATCAGAAAACAAAACGATGAACATTCTTGGTGGAATGAAAAGAAAATCAATCTGCTAGCCTTTGCCTGATAAAGAAATACCCAGCAACTTCTGGTATCAAAGAGCATGATTATCAACTGAGCATTTGATTATGAATAAAGATAAGAGATAACGAAAGGATCCTATGCAGAAGACTATGACAAGAAGAATTCTAAAGCTAAAGTTGGTATAACTAGCAAGTGTGTGCATGGTTATTAAGAAGGAAAGAGCAAAACTAGCACAATGACAAAATAAGTGCAGAGGAACAAGAATCAAAGTAAACTCCAAGACATTACAATTGAAATTAACAGTAAAAAAGTGTACTCTTCTCATACCATCTTCAGAATGACATCCACAGCACCTCTACCATCACCAAGAGCACCATCTATCTCATCAATCACCTGTACCAACATGATCCATTGTATCTTCATCCTCAATCATAGAAATAAATGAAACTAAGAAACTTGTGACTAACCAAACACTTGGGCCTTGAGTCTGCCGTCACAGAGTTCATTTGGACCACATCAAGGATTTTAGCTTCAACACTAGATGATGACCGATCATCACTTGCATTTATCTGTTCAGGAGAAAGCCACCGATAAGCAAATGGAAAATGTGGTAAAAGTTATGTGAATAATGAGGTGAATGTTGCTGCATAGGGTATTCTAATCCATCAAGAAATCAAGAACAAATAGCTTAATGTAGAAACCATTCTGCATCAAATCTAGCCTAAGGTGCACAATGTGGCCCAGAATTCTCAATTGAAGGACAAGCCATGCAGATGAGGTAGTCCATAGTAATCATTCACAAATGCAAGTATTAAGAGATGAATAAAAATCACTAATAGTGACTACAAGATAATTTCTCTCTAGGAATTATAAGTGATAACAAACCTCCACGACTCTGTACCCACAATGTTTAGCCGCTACATGTGCAAGTGTAGTCTTTCCAAGTCCTGGAGGACCACAAAGTAAAAGGATCTGCAATTTCACAGTATAGTTAGGAACGGTACTGCTAACAGATCAAAGGTCTAGCTCAGAAGCAAGGTCACGGGATTAAAAGAACATGTCTACTTCATTTGACTTCAAGTCCCAAAGAAGAATGAAAACATATCCTCGCTTAAGTAAGTCCTCCTTCTAACCTTTTGTTCTGGAGTACCACTTGGCCTTGGTTTCTTGTCTGTTAAGTCCTGCACTTGTTTAGAGTTATCATTTTCATGGTTCGTCCTATCATACCGTCTATCTTGCCCATTAGCCCATTTATGCCCTCTGCCTTTCCTCGTGAAAGACGTATCAGAATGTTTCTGATGTTGCGAAACAGTTGAATGACGCTTAAGAGCAGACAGAACCTCATCCGTTGTACTTCTAATTTCAGATCCAAAGACACAAGAATCCCATTGTTTCAACCACAAGAGAACCTGCAATGATAGGCACAATTCTTAACTCTTGATCAATAACCAGGGAAGGCTATGCATGATAATTAACCACTTGCCTCTCGGTTTGTCTGCTCATCACTCAGCAGCTCCGTGAACGAATTAGGAGCGTACTTATCGACCCAAAGCTTCTCATGAACAACACCTGCATGAGACACCACAGCATCGTCCTGAACTTCAGCAGTAGCTTTCAATGCCTAAAGCACCAAAAGAAGAACTATGAGAAGCATAAACTAGACCAGCATTGCAGTTTCTTCGGTATTTCAATCACGAAAAACGAGCGAGCCATTCAATTATGGTTCCTACCTTATTGAAAGCCAATTGATCAGCCTTCTCGAAGAGAACACTGATAGGTTCCACTAAGAGACCTGCCAGGGAAATGAAAAATTGCAAAAAGAATGAAAAATCTGTGAAACTAGATCGTGCAGATTCGTATAGACTACTAATCTTACCGCATGATTGTGGTTTGAAGTTCAATTTCTTCGATACCACTTCCGTTTCTACTCCACATAACTTCGCATAAACCCTATCTTCGCCTCCCGGGGCAGTCACGGGAAAAAAGTCGCCATCAATCTTAGATATGTATTTTGACACAATCGTCTCCTCCTCCTCCTCCTCCTCCTCCTCATCTTTGTTCCCTTCCATCAGAACATCAACCCTCTCCCCATCGTCCTCTACAACTCCGTCTCGTGGAGGAGAGTATCGGAGCCAGTCTTCGTCGTCGCCATCGTCGACTTTACTTCTCTTCTGGTCGATTTTGACGGCAGCAGTTTCTTCCTCTCCGTGATTAGACGAATCTGAAACTTCCGAACGGAGACGCTTCTGACCGGAGTTCGAATCGGCCAAAATCGATGGGGAACCTGGGGGTGATTGCGCTGGTTCTTCGTCAGATTGGAAACTAGGTTGAACCTCGTCTTCTTCGTGAAAATTAGAGTTGGCCTCGAGCCATTCGAGCTCGTCTGCTTGAGGAATATCAAAGTCCATGTCCATTTTGTCGGCGCGTTGGCGGAGCTTGACGCTGCAGGTTGACAGTGAAGCAGCAGATAGAAGCTGAGTAAGATTGGGGTTTGGGGAGGGTGAGTGGGTTGTCTGGCGGGAAAATGGAAGAGAAAGAAGCGGCAAAAAGTGGTTCGCCGGGTTGCCCACCTTTTTTATTTTTTACAAATTACTAAATTTGTTAATAAAATCACACAATGACAATATAACACTTTTTATTCAAAAAAAGACAACATAACACTTCATAATAATAATAACAATAATAATAAAACTAAATCTATGGAGTGCTGAAATATTTTTTTAAAATTGCTCAATGATTTTGACACAAGATCATTGAGCTTAGCTCGTTGCCATCAAAAATAATTTATCATCTTTGATTTGATCACCCCTGAATTTACCTTGTCAAACCTTTAATTTGACAACATGCAATCAATTCTCACAATCTCACTTAGGTAGCATGTAGTTGCATGTGTAGTTAGCAATTTGGATAAATTGATCAATTTGAAGTATCCAGTTATTATAATTCATTTAAATCTATTACATTTAATTCATATTCAATTGTACTGGTGGAATCACGGATTGTTAGAAATTATTATAAATAAATTTATTTTTTATAATTTTATACATAAATTTAATATTTTGATGAAAAATATAATTTACAATTATATTTTGATACCTCGACTTTTTATAATGACGTTTGTATATTTAAATTTTTAAATTTTTAAATTATGGTTCAAGATTTGAATACCTCTTGGATTGATGAATCCGTTCAACTTGTCACCTAAATTTGCAAGTGTCTATCTTGTTGATAAGGTTCCAATTAATCACACACAGTAGGCATTTTTATCTCGATGATCACCCAATCATCAATCTCACTCCCCAAGCTAGCTAAATATAAACAATTATTTATTTAATAAGTAACGAAAAATAACGAATCTTCGTGAACCTTTGTTTTGTTCAAAGCACTGCAACCAACAATTCATTTTCCTCTTTCTGGTTTTCTTCTTGGCGAGCCATTTTTCGGGTACTCTTTTATTTTTCTTTCTTCCTCCCTGTTCTTCGTTTCTTGTTGACGACGAGGAGATGGTGGGGCAACAGACGTTGATCTATAGCTTTGTGGCTCGAGGGACTGTGATCCTGGCGGACTACACCCAGTTCAACGGCAATTTCACCACCATCGCCGCCCAATGCCTCCAGAAACTGCCTTCGACCAATAACAAGTTCACCTATAATTGCGATGGCCACACCTTCAACTATCTCGTCGAAAATGGCTTCAGTATGCAATTTCCCCCTTTTTTTTGTTTAATTTATATCGAACGATTAATCGAAAAATTGTGCTTTTTCATTTCTTCATATAAAAATGATTCTTCGTACAAATGCATACAATTTCCATCACGGTTCTTGGATAATGAAGATCTGTACTAGATTGATTTGAATGTTTCATGTGTGCATGAACTCGGGGTCTCATTTATTTATTTCATAGTAAATTCGTCAATAACTAGAATTATTCGAAGAATTTAATTGAACTTTTTTACGATGAAAATAATATTTATTTTGTAATTCTAATTAATTTAATTTAAGAAGACGGATTTGAAACAAAAAGCATCAACAAAAATGAAATATGTGCATTGCGATTTGCGGCCAAGGAAATGAACTCAATTAACTCAGAGACTGGTTTTGTTGTTGTTGTTGTTGTTCATGCAATGCAGCCTTCTGCTTGGTTGCGGTTGAATCCGCTGGCAGGAAAATCCCAATCGCGTGTCTGGAGCGGATCAAGGACGAATTCAACAAGAAATACGCAGGAGGGAAAGCTTCGAGTGCCAAAGCTAACGGCCTCAAGAAAGAGTTTGGGTAATGTCCGTAACTCGTTCTTGTTCTTGTTTTGCGCTGCTCACTTCTTTTATATGAATGAATGAATGCTTATTGTATATAGGCCCAAGCTGAGGGATAACATGCAGTACTGCGTGGATCATCCTGAGGAGATCAACAAGCTTGCAAAAGTCAAGGCTCAGGTTTCAGAGGTGAAGGGTGTGATGATGGAGAACATTGAGAAGGTTCTTGATCGTGGCGAGAAGATCGAGCTGCTCGTGGACAAGACCGAAAACCTCCGTTCGCAGGCACAGGACTTCAGACAACAGGGAACCAAGATCAAGAGAAAGATGTGGTACGAGAACATGAAGATGAAGCTCATCGTGTTCGGTATCTTCGCCGCCTTGATCCTGCTCATCTGGCTATCCGTTTGCCATGGCTTCAAGTGTCAGTAGTAGTAAAAACTACTTCAAGGAAGTAAGTTCTGCTGGGAATCAAGATCCCCCATGCACGCACACATTTCACAACTAGCCATCGTTCAAGTCGGCTTTTCTGTTTGTAATGTTTTTACTCCCTTGTTCTTGGTTTGGCCAATTTTGGGTGGGGTTTTTGCTTTGTTCATTGATCTATTTTTTTGCAGATCTCTCCATGACTGTAGTTAAATTAGGAAGTCAGAACAGCCGTGTACTTCTGTTTCCATATTTAGTTTTTGTTTGGATTGATTGGATACGGTTAAAACCCTGTTTTTGTTGGGTATCTTGCCGTAGATTTGCTCTGTTATGCTGGTCCAGCATCACATGTACGGTTTGTTACACAATTGAACAGAGGTTCATCAATGGATACTCACTCAAATGATGTTCACCAACACTGAAGTTCTATGCTTTCTATTCCTCCACACACATCCGATAAAATTGGAACGCGACACACATCAAAACGGTCGTACAAACACCCCCAGTTACCGTCTCTGTACAGCTTTTATCAAGAAGGGATTGATAAAGTTGTGCCAAGGGTACCCCAAATCGAAAGAGGCAAAGAGTATGTATGTATATATGTATAGATCAGCAGGCTAACTGGTCTCTGACAGGGGAGATCTCTTCAAAAATGGGGAGTCTCCTAGATCTGTATGGTGTCCATTGCCCCATCAACTGGTCTAGTCCCTCGGCGAATGCATCTTCTAAGCTCGATCCAATAGGGGTAGGCGAGGCGGATGGTGATTGGCACATATCCTCCATTTCTTGGAGTAGCTCCTCCACACGGTTTCTCGACTTGGGATCGTCGTGTCCAAGAAGCTTGCCGCGCACTACATCATCGAGCACTGAGCGTGCTTCAGCGAATCGAGTTTGCTTCATTAGGCACGTGCTTAAGTTGCAGGCCTTATTGGCATCGGGGTCGATTACCTGAGCTTTACGGTACACTACTTCTGCAGCTGAGTAATTTCCAAGCTGCATATATGCCCAACCCAAGTTCCCCTGCATTGTGGTGTACATATTCGCTATTGTCAGCTTTTATTAGGCACTAGTGGGAAGAGCAATGCGACATTATTAGTATAGCTTGAAACAAAAAGCCAGAGAGTGCATTATTACCAGTATCCGAGAAGTCTCCTGCTTGACTGTGACCTGGAACTTCCTCCCATGAGAGCGAGCTGTCTTAGTCGGCTTGCCATTAAACGCTTCTCCATGGTAAATCATCCGAAGCTTCTGCTTCAACAGCTCAATCTGCTCTTCCATCCTTCCACATTTCTATAAATAAAAAACATTTCACCACAATGAATTTCCAAACAGCACCAAAACAAGGGAAAGGCAACAACATAATAACAGTCACTGATCACCTACCTTGTAAAGGTCAATGAGGACATTGTCAAGTGACTCTTGAGCTTGCTTGGAGCAGAGATGCCTAAACCGCCTTATCGCTTCAATAGCTTCTTCGGCTCTATCTTGTTGCTTCATCACCAGTGCCATGTCTTTGAGGGCACTATCGACTCTGTCTCCAGCGCTAATGGCTTTCAAGAACCACTGAACTGCGGTTTCTGGGTCCTTTTCTACTAGCTGTATTAAGGACAAGGAAACAAAAAACCACAACTCTGTTACAGAAGGCCAAAGAGGGGCGAAAATGTGACACAGAAGAACAATTCAACACAAGCAGGTCTTGCCATCCTGCACATTTCCTTTTATGCATTCTCTGCTAGCGACTAGGAAAGGTAAAGATTCCGATCAAATCTCAGGTGCTTTCCACCATTGGAAAGGAAACAAATTGGAAGACAGTGCAACAGAAGGTCTGCCACTTCGATCAGCTAAGCTTTTCTCTTCCTATCTGACTCGAATAACGACGAATTACCAACGCTGTTATGAGTTATAATCCAGCAAACTCTAAACCTTAATCAGAAATCCAGAGACCAAAAAGGATAGCTTCAACAAATGAATGAAGCACAGCATAGGAACAGAACAGAACAGATATCAGGAGCTGTTTCTGCTAATTTTCCAATCGACAGCAACTAACTTGAACAAATGGGTTCTCCAATTCTTTTCACTTCTCTAGTGGGCACGATAGATCGGATTGAATCAATGAGAAATTTGTACTGTGCAGATCGATTCAGGGGGAACCAGACTGCTCATATTCATTACGCCATTACCCAAACCCCCCAAGAAGAAGAAAAAAAAGAACCAAAATTTCGAAGAAGAAAAGAATTACCTGAACGTGCTTAGCTCGAACGTAAGGGCCGTCGCCAGGCGGAAGCTTGTGAACAACGTGATACGGAGCAGCGTCCGAGCTGAGATGCTGCATCTCAGGCGCTTTCAGAAGAACCCTCTGATGGCTCATCATCTCCTCTTGCATCGAGAAGAAAGAAAACAGGGTACAGAAGAAAAAGGCGAGAATGGCAGAGTTGAGAGATATGTAAACGGCTGCAAAAACTGGTGAGCTGTGGGGGTGAAAAAGGCGAAGTGTTTTCTGAGCTTTTCCTCCGGGGAAGAAGGCAGAGGAAGAGGAGGCAAAAGAGACTTTAAGGGAGCCGAGAATGAATCTGGACACAGTGTGGGTCTTGCTTCATTCCAACGGATCCCAGAAGGGACCGGGTTGCTCCGCCACGTATAAGGGGCGGACACGTGGCGGATTACCGACGTGCTTCCAAGTTCCAACTAATTTTCTCTTTTTCTTTTCGCTTCTTGTTATCTTGTTGGGATTTGTGAAACCTAAGCTGCCTCTTCCCTGGCCGTCAGTCTCCCAAAGTTATCCCTCTTAATTGATTGAGTACCTTTATGTAAATAGGTAGGGTTTGAGTGATCAAACCCATATAAATGTTGAGCCTGAATCAAAGGAAAAAAGTCGAATAGATAAGTGTCTATCGACGATACCATACTAAAAGTCTTTATATTTTTTCGATTTTGCTTACCTTTATTTGACAATCCCTCACTCAAGGTTGAGAGTTTGATTTGGTTTTCGGTTTTAACCGAAACCACGTGATCAAGGTGGAGGTAGTATGTTGGTCGGGAGTTATGTGGCACACCCTTAGGTTGAAAGAACAAGGTTAGAAGTTGGTATACTAATTTGTAGGGTTGTCGGAACGGTTCGGGTTTGGGTAACCGAACCGAACTAACCAAACCCGAAAAGACGAAACCCGCTCTATTTACAAACCGAACCCGAACCCGATATGGGAAGTTTCGGGTTTTGGGTAAACCCGAAGATTTCCTTACCAGGTTTGGTTCGGTTAGACTGCAACCGAAACCCGAAGCTAAAGCACTTATGACGTGGTAAACTCCATAAGTTGACCAAAAGACTTGTTGCCTTAGCCGGCATCTATATGCATGGGATTAGCAAGTATTATGATCAATTAATCTAGGTAATTATTAATTAGATTAATTTTAATATAATTATGATCAATTAATGGCGAGATCGATGGGATTAACAAATGGGAGCAATAAAAGCAAAACGTATAAAGCAAGTAGAATTGATATAGTAATTACTAATTAAAGACTATGATTTCGAAACGTCACCACGGGAGCCCAATTAGTGGATTCGGCTAATCACTGTCAAGGTATTTATAACAGTCAACCCGTTGGAATTATAAGCGGTCATTAGCAATGTTTTTTTTAATAAAAAGTCATTAGCAATGTGATTTAAATGCTTACCCTTTTTCCCATACGCGATTAATATTGTAATTAAAGACTATATAGTTTCAAAATGTCACTATGGGAGCCAATTACTAGATTTCAGTTTTGCGGTTTCCTTATCGGGTTCACGGGTTCACCGAAACCGAAACCGTTACAGCACCTTTCGGGTTGGAACCGAAAAACCCGAAATTATATGGCCCCTTGTCGGTTCGGGTTCGGTTTAAACTGAAAACCCGAAACCGAAGTCCCACCCCTACTAATTTGTTTTATAATGAGATTTGAACATGCAACCATAATTCTAGTACTTAGTATTTCTATCATCAAACTACAGTTAATGATATACATTTAAATTTTATGCAATTATATGGATTGAGTCATAGATTGTAAATAAATAAATTTTAATTAAAATAGAAACCAAATGCAATTAATACGACATTTTAAATTTATAATTTTATTAGCTAATTGTTGGCACCAACGTATGGTGACTCTTATCCTTGCACAATATCGTTGGGTCAACTTATTAGGGTTCAAGTATCTAACTATGTTTCTCTTTTTGATTCCATCAATTCACACAAAGATGGAACTCTTCCTCTCAAATATGGTAGCTAAGCACTTGCCTCTACATCCCATTCCAATCGACGTTCACCAGCTATTGATCATGATCACTAAAGCGACTTTATCGTAACTTTCCACAATGAGAATGCTTAACATGTGAAACATACTAGTCATCTTTTGCTTTGGTACATCGGTAGCATTATTTGATAGCAAGGCGTCTTTAGACTCTTGATATTTTTTTCTCTAGATGATGAGTTATATGAGTAAGATATGATCAATGTGCATTGTGCTGGTTGAAAATTTAAATATGTTTTCTTCCTCTTTATAAATTTAAAGATGTTCTAGATGAGTTTTATGTTGATGTTAATGAGAATTTATCATTTATAAAGGCCGCATATTATGGAAAGTGTTGGGCCAAATATTGAGACGCTTGGGCTTCAGGCCCATAGTCACCCAAAATCCATAATGACGCAAGTTGGGCCCAAACAGGGGCAACGAGCCACCAAACCCTCCAAAGGTGGTCTTTCCCTACAAATACGAAGAAGACCGCCCGACATAGATAAAGACCGCCCGACATAAGGGCAAACAGACACCTGACCCTGACCCTCTTGGTACGGAGACTGACAAAAGTACGGTCTGACGATACAACCAAATACCGTCAGATGCATCCCAGGACGCCCGACAAGTCATTAAATGCCCCTGATCCAACCACAACTAGTATAAATACTCCTTGATGAACTACATTGGGGGTAACTTCTACCAACTCCCTTCTCTCTCTTATTTAATATTCTCTCATTCCTCTCTCTAACTTAAGCATCGAAGGAGGTTCCAGGATCCACCTGAGGACCTTTCCTTGCAGGGTTTCAGAGACTGCCATCGACCACCAAAGCCGCTAGAGGTCAGTGAGGTCTCGCAAAACCGCCTGGTACATTCCAGGCACAAACATTTTGGCGCCCACCGTGGGGCCTCACTACTCAGTCGCGGCGGAAAATGGGAGATGACTTCGAGACCCCTCTCAAAGGGATGACCGAGAACAACACCTCCGAGGTCTCTCGCCGAGGGCCGAAGACGAATTGGAACTCGAGGAAGTTGTCAAGACTCAAGACTTGCAAATCGCAAACATGCAAGACAGCCTGTCAAATTCTCCAACTCTTGAAGACAAGAGAAGATTGCGCAGAGGGTTCGAAAGGAGAACCTCGCAAGGAAAAACAGAAGGCCGCCCTTGTCCTCGACAGCCCCGCTCGGACGGAAGGCGGGGGACAGAGGCGGAGGACGCAGACTTGGGCTTTCTTGGAGGAACACTTGCGGTCTACCTATAGGAAGCAAAAGAGCCCCACCGTTCTCCAAAACCCATTGTCAAGAGAGCTCTTCAAGACCCCGGTTCCACCTAATTTCTCATCTCTGGGACTTCCCACGTACAGCGGGACTTCAGATCCCGCTGACATTTGTGTGCCTTCATGCTCAAGATGCAACTCATCAATGCATCCGACTCCGACCTGTGTCGTGCGTTTCCAGTCACCTTCAGCGGTCAGTGTAGGACTTGGTATACCTCACTACCGGAAGGAATCATTGAGAACTTTGAACAATTCGCGATGCTCTTCTTCACGAAGTTCACGTCTCAAAGGCGTCGCAAACTCACCGTCTCCGCGCTCATCAATTGCCGACAGAAGAAGGAGGAGTCGCTCGCGGAATTCTACGATCGATGGAACGCCATCGCATGCGAAATCCAAGGCATCTCCTCGGTCGTAGCCGCTGGCAACCTCAGAATATCCACGACCAGCATCGAACTCAAGAGAACCTTAATAAAGAAGGAGGCCGCCTTAACATCTTGGTCCAAGCTGGACCAGTTGGTGAGGCATGCAATACTACTGGAGGAAGCCCTGGCTACAGACGACTGGAACCAACAATGCCGCCCGCGGCCCGAACCGAACGAGCGCGGCGACACTCGACGTGGAAGGCGCTCCCTCGAGCGAAGATCGTATCGCAACAAATACTCTGAGCGAGATGGCAAAAGAGAAGTGATGTCCACATACCACGAAAGGGGGAGAGAGAGGCGCAGAGGAGGCAGAAAACCCGAAGCGTCTTCCGCTCAGGAGCCGCAAGACGGAAAAAAGTGGTGCGACTGGCACAAAATGGCCACCCATGACACCACCGAGTGCAGAGAATTCAAGGCGAGTCTCCGATATCTGGCACCAGGTGACCTACGGAGCCGCCTTGAAAGTCGAAACGTGACGACCGCATCGGGAGCACTCCCAGGAAACGCGAGATGACTCCCGCAGTCCCGAAGCAGAAAAAACGAGAAGATCAAGGAAAGAGAGATTAAGGACGCCACCAAGGAACAAGGTCGCATCGCCGCAAAGGCAGTCTCCCGCTTACAGGCCCCCACGCAATGAAGACGACGGAATGGAAATAATAACCATAGCCAGAGGAAGGAAGCGTCCCCGAATGGAGGGAGACCGCGTAGCTCACTGCTTGAGCGTGCAACGCAGAATCCCAACTGAGGTCACTTTCCTGCCGTCCGAGCTAGCCAAGAAGAAAATGCTGAAGACCCCTTGGTAGTATCATTCGGACCGCCAAGTTCAAGGTCACCCGGGCTCTCGTCGAGAATGGAAGCTCATCAGACATTCTCTTCTACTCAGCGCTTAAAGGGATGAAAAAGAGTGTCCAAGATCTCACTCCTTCCAACACCAGCCTGGTCGGATTCTCCGGAACCAAGGTCCGCGTCCTCGGGTCTATCACGCTAAAAGTTACTATAGGCGAGGGCGGGATCACGAAAACTAGACCAGTGGAGTTCCATGTGGCGGACTACCCCTCGGCATACAATGCCATCCTCGGGCGCGGGTTTCTAGCCTCGTTCGAAGCAGTGGCGTCCACCTGTCATTAAATGCTTAAATTCCCTAGCGGGGGACAAACAGGCCGCGTCCGGGGAAACCTCGAGGAAGCCAGAGAGTGCTACCAAGCCACCATCAAGCACCTCGAGGTCGACCTCGTCGACACAAGGGGAGACATCCCGAGGCCTGAAGCGGTTGAAGGGGATGTGGCGATTCCCCTAAACGAAGAACATCAAGAGAAGACGGTTCGTATCTCCACGCACCTCACCAACGAAGAAGCCCAAAAATTGCTCTTACTCTTCAGGGAGTACCAAGACCTCTTTGTTTGGGGTCCAGAGGACATGCCCGACGTCCCCCGCAGTGTCTCCGAACACCGCCTCTTGGTCAAAATCAAGGCACGTCCAATACAGCAGCGTAGACGACATTTGTCAGTCGAGAAGCAAATGGCTTTGAAGGAGAAAGTCCGGCGCCTTCTCAAGGCCTGGTTCATCAGAGAGGTTAAGTATCCCTCATGGCTCTCGAACCCGGTCTTTGTGCGCAAGGCCGGAGGAGTTTGGAGAATGTGCATCGACTTTACCAGCCTCAACGCGGCCTGCCCCAAGGATGCATATCCTCTTCCCCGTATTGATCAACTCATCGACGGAACCGCCAATCATGAAGCCCTCAGTTTCCTAGATATGTTCTCCGGATACCACCAAATCAGAATGGCGGAGGGCGACCTAGAGCTCACCGCTTTCATGACTCCCATGGGCAACTTCTACTATGTGGTCATGCCCTTCGGATTGAAGAACGCCGGAGCAACCTATCAATGAATGGTGGATGCCGTCTTCAAGGATCAAATGGGAAGAAACGTGGAAGTATACGTCGACGATGTGTTGGTCAAAATCAAAAAGGCGGGCAACCATCTGTCCGACCTAAGGGAGACTTTTGAAACTCTGAGACGGAGAAACCTAAGACTTAACCCGCTCAAGTGCGTCTTCGGCGCCGAAGCAGGAAAGTTCCTTGGGTTCATGATCACGAAAAAGAGGAATAGAAGCCAACCCGAAACAAATTGAGGCCATACGCGGCTTGAAACCACCTAAGACCATCAAAGAAATCCAAGCATTCAATGGTAAGATGGCCGCGCTAGGGCGGTTCATCCCCAGATCCGCGGACAAGTGCTCTCTTTTCTTCCGAATGCTGAAGAAATCGACATCGAGACTCCAGTGGGGTGCCGAATGTGACAAGGCCTTCAAATTTCTAACCGACCAACTCAGTACCCCACCCGTCTTGAGCGCCCTAGTCAGCGGAGAGCGGCTTTACCTGTACCTAGCAGTCTCGGAACAAGCTGTGAGCTCGGTCTTGGTACGAAGGGCGCAGGACGACTCCGACCAACCTGTCTATTATGTGAGCAAGACCCTTATCCCAGCCGAAACAAGATACATGCCCGTAGAAAAGGCGGTCTTTGCCGTGGCCTCCGCGGCCAGAAAGCTGCATCCTTACTTTCAAGAGCACCCAATCACTGTCCTGACACACCTCCCCCTCAAGAGTATCATGAGAGGCATGGACGCGTCAGGACGACTGACCAAGTGGGCGATCGAGCTCAGCGAATTCGACATAGAGTACGCCCCAAGGCCAGCCATCAAAGGGCAAGTCCTGGATGATTTCATTGCCGAAGGTTTCTCTCTCGAAGCCGCTTCCTTCGAGGAGCGTAATCGGATATGGAGCCTATTCATTGACGGCGCAGCTGGTAAAACCGCCTCGGGGGCAAGAATTATCATCGAGTCACCTGACGGAGTAGTGCATGAAGTTTCATTGAGGTTTAGAGAGATCAAGACCAACAACGTCGTCGAATACGAGGCATTGATCAATGGGCTCCGACTACTGTCCACCTTGGGGGCAACAGACGTGCACATATTCTCCGACTCTCTTTTGGTGGTCAAACAAGTGCTCGAAGCGTTCGAAATCAAGGATGAAACGCTAGCGGTGTTGGCTACCAAGGTGCGAAGCGCTCTGGCACAACTGAATTCATGGAAGCTCAACCATGTTCGGAGAGAAGACAACCAACATGCTGATGCACTCTCTAAACTTGCAACCGCCATGGACTTCGAAGGAGATCGGCACGTCACTGTCACTAAAGAGAACGAATCCCAAGGCGAAGTCATAAGCATTGAGGAGACCGCCGACTGGAGGACGCCCTTAATCCAATATCTGGAGCACGATGTCACACCGCAGCACCTGGTAGAGCGAAAGGCGCTCAAATGAAGGGCGGCCCGATATTCAATGGTGGATGGTCAGTTGTTCAAGAGATTGTTCTCAGGAGCCTACCTGAAGTGTCTAGGGGCAGAAGAGGCCAAATGGACCTTAAAAGCAATACATCAGGGTACATGTGCCACTCATGCCGACCCTAGGTCGCTTGAGAGAACGATCCTCTTGCAAGGCTACTACTGGCCCACAATCAAGAAAGACGCATCAGACGTCGTCCTCAAGTGCAATGCGTGCCAAGTTCACGCTTCCAAGTACTTGGTGGTCGCAGTCGATTACTTCACCAAGTGGATAGAGGCAGAACCGCTAGAAACGATAACAAGTGTCAGGGTGCAGAATTTTGTGTTCAACAACATCAGGATCCGTTTTGGTATCCCACAATCGATCATCACAAGTCATGGGACACAGTTTGATTGTCGACCGTTTGAGAACTTTTGCGCTCGGAACCGCATTGTGTGCACGATGGCATCAGTAGCATACCCTCAAACCAATGGCCAAGCAGAAGCTTCCAATAAACTGATCCTCCTAGGTTTGGAGAGACTCCTCTGAGAGGCCAAAGGGGCATGGACCACCGAGCTCCCTCACATCATGTGGGCGCACCGTACGACTCACAAGACCGCCACAGGCGAAACTCCCTTTGATACAACCCTGGATTGCCTCCTCACCAAGATGGAATTTCTTGCTCGAGAAGGTAACCCAAATTGTTTGAACAGTATGGAATTTTGGCTAAGTCTTTTGACGAGTTCAGGAAGGGTACTTTGCGAGCTCGGTTCTTCTCATTGAAGCGATGGAATGGAGAGTTTGGAAGTGAGTTTTGAACTTCAAGTGCTCGTCTATGTGCTGGAGGGCTTGGTAGTTCAAGGGCAGACTTGAAAGGTCCATTTTCAGGCTCGACAAAAGGGGATCTCGACACAGGAAAACAGGCTGAATCTGCCTAAGTGTAAAACCGAGTCCAGAGAGGCTACTTTGACGTGCTATTCCAGACGGGTGATTGAGCTTCGAGTTAGGGGCTTCATACCCCATGAATCTATGCACTTTAATCTACAGAGAAGAGGCGTTGGATGATTGAAAGTGCTCCTGGAAGTCATCAGTCGAAGGCCTCAAAGGTTGCATCCAGGCTGTTGGTGACGTGGAGCTGCAGAAAAGAGTTTCTTTCCTTAAGTGTCTTGGATTGCTATTTCCTTTTGTGTTTCAGCTTAGGTTTTCGAGTTGTAATAGGTTTATGACGATTTCCCTTGTTCACGAGGTTAGCTAGGTTCTATTTAAGCTTTAGTTTGTGCTGTAATTGAACCCGTGTTTTAATCAAATCAGCTTTTTGTGTTCATCGAGTCATTCTCGTGAATTGTCCTTGGTTGTGTGGAATTGAATCCAACGAACAAGCGAGCTCAGCATCGGTCGATCATCACCTCGATCGTGGACGAGTTGCGACGTTAGTTCGATCGAGCCTATTCCCAATTCTTGGCGAGAAGTTGCACGTTCAACATCCATCTTCCCTCAACCTATGTTTTGGCTTTCATCGAAATTCAGTATTGAGAATTCTCTAGGCTGCCCGACGTTGATCAAGAAGCTCAAGGATTGGAGCTTATCAAGTGGCATCAGAGCCTTAGGTTCAAACACAGTGGCCAACACGAAGCAGAACGTAGCCAGCACTGCGCCCTGGACAAGATCGAAGGGTTCTGTAGACAGCGACCCTGCAGTTCGACGTCCTGAAACAGGGAGCACGTCTGAATACGAGGAGGCGACTCTGAGTGAAGATCGAGTGATGGGGGACCCAACCATAAACAATTCTGATCTATTGCAGTCGATTGTAGCGACGTTCCAGACGCAATTCGACCAAATCCAAAATCAATTGGCCGAATTACGCACGACAGTGCAGGCCCCTGTTCCGCTGAGAAATTTTGCAGAACACGGCGACAATCGCAGAACTCAGCCAGAGGCGCATCGAGACGAGACGAATCAAGCATTGTTGGCGCGACTTCAGGAACTGGAACATCGTATGGTGGTGGTTGACCACGATAATGAGCACCGCTTCAAAGATCGTGGCGATTACTGGGAAATTCGCCGGGAGGCAGAGCCAGAGGAAACCATTGCCGAGCTCAAGGGTATAAAGTTGTCAATTCCATCCTTTTCAGGTTCCAACGATGTCTCATCTTACCTAGATTGGGAGAGGAAAATCACCCTTTTCTTCCAATGTGGCAACTGAATCCCAGAAGGTCTCACTTGCGACTTATGAATTTACGGAGTATGCTGCGTTGTGGTGGGAAAAGATGCAGCTACGGCGAAGAAGAAACCTTCAACCTGCTACCGCGACATGGAACGAGTTGCGAGGACTATTGAGGGACCGCTTTGTTCCCGAATATTATCAGAGGGATCTCTTCGATTCCTTGCAAGGAATTCGGCAGGGTTCTCGCTCTGTTGACGAGTACTACAAAGAGCTTGAGTTGCTCTTAATGAGAGATGATGTCCGCGAGGACAGGGAAGCTACAGTTGCTAGGTTCTTGCACGGGTTAAACAGAGAAATTCAAAATGAAGTTGAACTTCGATCGTTTGTCGAGTTGGAGGATGCTGTGCACTTAGCGATCAAGGTGGAGAAGCAGCTGAAACTCCCAGCCAATCGCAGAATCCCACCGGGAAGCAAAGCCAATCTTGACGCTGCTCCAGGAACTCAGGGGAATCCAGCTCGACCCGAGGGCGAAAGGACAACTGCTAAAAGCCAGCTAGCCAAAAACGAAGGTTCCGGTGCACAAATTCAGTGTTTCAAGTGTTTTGGGCGTGGGCACAAGGCGAATCAATGTCCGAATCGGAAAACGCTCGTGCTCAAAGACGGGGAATACTATTCTGAAGATGATGAGGAAAATCCGGCAAAACTTGTCATTGACTCTGATGGAGACGAGATTGAAGTGGAAATTCAAGCTGAAATTGCTCCACCACCAGGCAAGTTATTCGCAGTCAGCCGGAGGGCGCTCACAGCAACTCATCAACCCGAAACAGACCAAAGGGAGAACCTCTTTCAATCAAGATGTTTGGTCGAGGGACAACTACTTTCTGTAATCGTCGATGGCGGCAGCTGCGCTAACATTGTTAGCCAGTATGTTGTTAAGCGCTTGGGACTGAACACAAGTCGACATCCAGCACCATATAATTTGCACTGGCTTAACGACTACGGCGCAATCAAAGTTCAGCGACAAGCTCTCGTAAAATTTGAACTCGGCGATTACACGGATGAGATGCTGTTTGACGTTGCCCCTATGCAAGCTACCCATCTTCTTCTCGGTCGACCTTGGCAGTTTGATAGAGGCGTCTGCCATTACGGGGGAACGAATTGTTACAAGGTTCGACATGGCGGGAAGAAGTTCTTACTGAAGCCGTTAACTCCGGCGGAAGTTCGTGAAGATCAGGAGCAGCTCGAAGCTGGCCGACGACGACTGAAAGGGGAATTCAGTGCAACGAATTCCGAGGTTCGCCTTGGAGGTTCCCTTCTCACCCGACGCTTTATGCTCACCGGGTACAAAAGAGAGAGGACGTCTCGCCGCCGTCGTCCCTGTCGTTCGTTGCCGGCGCAGGGGAGGAGAGAGAATGAATTGGGTGGAGTTCACCAGGGAAATTCGAACTCCGTCAAAGGTGATAGCACACTCCTTGAGGGTCAGGGAAGCTCCTCCACCGATTGGATTAGCTCGATTCTACTCGAACTAAACATCCCAATCGGGTCCAATCACCTCTGCAAACGCTCCTGTACGAGCAGAATTCGACCGAATGGGTTGGAGCAGCTTGGGGTGAATCGTCGCCAACCAACGATGCAGAACCATTTGGCCATGAAGTTCGAAGCTGTAGAAAGCTTCAATTGCGCTCGAAGATCCCTGAAGAAGAAACGCCTAAATCGAATTCAGCTCTTTGGGGATCAACTCATTTGAACTCGGCTTTGGGCGGGAACGAGGAAAGTGACGATTCGACGATGCTGAAGCTAGGTCGAGGCATGGGCAGGGTAAAGATGTTCGATTGTGAGTCCCGCGAAGCTCGTGAAGGCAGTGAATTAGATTGGTGTGGCCTCAATCGAAAATTCCCAATTGATGTCCTGAAGAACACCACCCCAATTTTCCAGATTCGCCAGTTCGAGAGGCCAACTTTCGACACGATTTGGGGTCAATTTTGTGCAAGATTTGAGAAGCGGAAGGAACCAGCTTTGAGGACAAAGCTTTTTGAAGAGGGGGGTCCTGATACAACCCTGGATTGCCTCCTCACCAAGCTGGAATTTCTTGCTCGAGAAGGTAACCCAAATTGTTTGAACAGTATGGAATTTTGGCTACGTCTTTTGACGAGTTCAGGAAGGGTACTTTGCGAGCTCGGTTCTTCTCATTGGAGCGATGGAATGGAGAGTTTGGAAGTGAGTTTTGAACTTCAAGTGCTTGTCTATGTGCTGGAGGGCTTGGTAGTTCAAGGGGAGACTGGGAAGGTCCATTTTCAGGCTCGACAAAAGGGGATCTCGACACAGGAAAACAGGCTAAATCTGCCTAAGTGTAAAACCGAGTCTAGAGAGGCTACTTTGACGTGTTATTCCAGACGGGTGATTGAGCTTCGAGTTAGGGGCTTCATACCCCATGAATCTATGCACTTTAATTTACAGAGAAGAGGCGTTGGATGATTGAAAGTGCTCCTGGAAGTCATTAGTCGAAGGCCTCAAAGGTTGCATCCAGGCTGTTGGTGACGTGGAGCTGCAGAAAAGAGTTTCTTTCCTTAAGTGTCTCGGATTGCTATTTCCTTTTGTGTTTCAGCTTAGGTTTTCGAGTTGTAATAGGTTTATGACGATTTCCCTTCTTCACGAGGTTAGCTAGGTTCTATTTAAGCTTTAGTTTGTGCCGTAATTGAACCCACATTTTAATCAAATCAGCTTTTTGTGTTCATCGAGTCATTCTCGTGAATTGTCCTTGGTTGTGTGGAATTGAATCCACCGAACAAGCGAGCTCAGCATCGGTCGATCATCACCTCGATCGTGGACGAGTTGCGACGTTAGTTCGATCGAGCCTCTTCCCAATTCTTGGTGAGAAGTTGCACGTTCGACATCCATCTTACCTCAACCTCTGTTTTGGCTTCCATCGGAATTCAGTATTGAGAATTCTCTAGGCTACCCGACGTTGATCAAGAAGCTCCAGGATTGGAACTTATCACCCTTCGCCTTAACTTATGGTTCCGAAGCGGTCGCCCCAGAGGAGATGAACTTACCCTCCCTCCGCGTCCAGGCGTACAGTCAAGAGCGCAACCACGAGAAGCTGCTAGAACAACTGGACATGATAGAGTCAAGACGCGATGCGGCCATGGAACATATCATGCGCGAAAAAGCAAAGGTCGCCACCTCTTACAACAAGAGGGTAAGCCCACGACCTCTCGTGGAAGGAGACATGGTTCTTAAGTATGATTTTCAAAGGAAGGATGAGCATGGCAAGCTGGCGGCCACATGGGAAGGGCCTTTCCTCATTGGAGAAAAGACAGGTCCCAACACCTTCCGCCTTGCCACTATGGAAGGCGTCCCCGTATCCAAGACATGGAATGGGATGCACCTGCGAAAATACCACACAGAGGTGGTTTGAGTCGTCCTTTGATAAACAAAGGCATTTTGAGTGGATAGAAAGACATTTTCTCCACATGTAATAGTGTATTGGCTGCTACCAAGCACCACTTTTGCCCAAAGTAATACACTCATTTCTCTTTTCGGCCAAAACTTTGCTTCCCAAGGATTCACGCTCGCCTAATCTGCGAGTAGGCAAGAAATCCACAAAGGTCACATAAAACCGCCCCCGAAAACTTGGTGGGCGACAAGGCAAAAATACGCAAAGTCTTAAGAAACGAAAACCCCAGCTCATAAGATAAACCGCTCCAACGCGGTCCCAAGCAGATTGTTTTCAACATAAAGAAAAACTAAAAACCCGCTCCAACGCGGTCCCACAAATTGTCATCACATCATCCAAATTACATAACAATAAAGATTCCATAAAGGGAAATGTCTTGGTGCACAATCACCCAACAAAAGATAGAGAAACCAGGCATAGAATGGTCAAGAGCGGTCTTAAACGTTCGGGGACCCCCCATGGGTAGCATCACCATCTTCAACCTCTTCTCCGTCCATCCCGTACTCTTCTTCAGAATCGATACTCAGGTGGCCGTCTATGCGCTCTTCCGTAGCCAGTCTAGCTCGCTGTTGTCTCCTAAGTTGGCGACAGGTGCGGTCAATCTCTGGATTCAACGGCAGTAAACCTCCCGACTGGCTACGGGTCATGCACTACCTGCACACACTCAAGCAAGCAAACCCGTGAAGGCACAAGTGGGACAAAGCAAACAAAGCGAAAAGAAAAGCTAAATTAACATAAATCACTTTTCTTCAACAACCTAGCCGTCCCCGGCAACGGCGCCAAAAACTTGACTCACTTCTACTGTCACTCTAGGAATTGGCCAAGTGGAACCACTTCCTAAAGCGTAGTATAGCGAGTTTGGGTTTTAATGTCAACCCGGGTCCTAGATTTGATGACTACTCGGTGAATTCTTGTTATCTAGCAATGAAACTTTAATGCAAGTCTAAACTAACAAACAAGCAAAGCAACTAAACGGTTGTTTTCAGGTTAAGAGAGGTCACCCGGATATGGTTCCCCCTAGACTGCAGTTAAGCCGGATTGCAATTACCAAGTTCAGTTTCTAAGATAGTTATACTGCGGAAGGTTTTTAAACAGTCTGAAGTCTCGACTAAAGGTCTCCAGACCCTCTCAATCTGAGTCTCTAGCGGGCGACTAACCTCCACCGGAGTAAACAGATTGAGGCCCTAACGAACAAAACCTCCACTACCGAAGTGAATTCGGTACAGAATAGTGAGTTGGCTCCTCGACTAAAGTCACCAACTCCCTACCTTCAATCAAGGATGCTCTATCAACCTCGGCAGATATTCTCATTCTAGGTTAAAGCAGAAACAACAGGAATTTGATCAGGATTCATGCCATTCAATCATTCAAACCTCAATTGAATATAATCAAATCATAGAATCGGTACTTGGGTTCATACAATCAAACCTAACATACAAATCTAGGGTTCTCCATACCCAGATGAATGGGAGAACTACTCCATGGAGAAAGAAGCAAAAGCAGAATCAGACACGGAATTCATACTGTGAAGGATGGATTCCTGCTCCTGGACGTTGATTGGCACTCCTCCAAGCTCAAGCCAAGCTCCAATGGTGATGAAGATCAAGCTAGGCCACTTGGAGACTCTTGTTCGTCGCTTTCTCTCTCTAGGAATCGCTCTGTCTCTCTAAAACTCGAATCCCCTTCTCTTTTGGCTGAAATCTGCTTAAAAGGGCATCACTGGGCAAAACACGGTCGAGGGCACGACCGTGCTTTGCTCCAGCCCGCCCGTGCTTTGGCTAGGGTTAATTACACGGCCAGCCTGTTGGGAGAAACACGGCCGTGCTTTTGGTGGACACGGTCGTGCTTTGTCTCAGCCCTGTCCGTGTTTTCAGCTCGTGTTTGCCAAACTCAAATCAGCTCTCGGCAGTAAAAGCACGGCCTAGGAACACGCCCGTGTTCTGCTTTAGGTGTGCCCGTGTTTTGGCTCCAGCTTCACCGAATGACTTCCGAATGCCCCGAAACTCGTGCTTAGCCTTTCCTTTGACGCCTGGGACCAGAAATATGACAAAGTAGCACAACCCGGCGTAAAATAGGCCAAAAATACACGACTATGCCCCTCAAACGGATAAGAACTAGGGGTGCAAATACGTGCAATTACATCGTTATCATTCGCCTTGTCTAGGGCAAGAAATTCTGCAGACTTGAGGTAGGCAGGACCCGCCTCAGCTCGCGCAGCGGTCAAATCCGCCTCGTGAATCACCAGCAAGGACGCCTTCTCCAACCGCAGCGCGTCCACCTCCTTGCAAAGGGCGTCCTGTTCCTCCAAGATAGTCTTCTCAATCTCCCCGGACTTGCGAAGTGAGTCTTGGAGGAGGTCTCTTTCTGCTCGAACCGCCTTTGATGCCTCCCTCTCATCCGAAAGCTCCTTGTCCTTGCTAGTCAATTGATCACTGAAGTTCTTCTCTATCTGAGGGCGCAGCTCCTCCTCCAAGGCTGCACGAGCGTCCTCCACGCTTTTCTTCAGGTTTGCGATCTCGACCGCATTGTCATCCACGGTCTTGGACAAGCGGTCGTTCATCAGGATGATTTGAAAGAAGTCGATCTGAGCCTGCAAAACAATAGCTAAATCAGTATGCAAAACGTCAACACTTACGAACCGCTTCAGAAAAGTGCACTCACTAACCTCGAAGAAAAACTGTGATGCAGTTCCTGCAAGGCGCCGATTGCTCTCTGACGAGGTGGCGGTGTACTCATTGGGCATCTCAAGCTGCTCACTAATCGTATGGAACGCCAATTCAGCCACCTCCGTGTCAACGACGACCAAAGGAGGGACGGTTACGGAGCCAGGCTTTGTTGACCGCTTCAGGACATGACCGTGTTTTTCCCCGGCCTTGACACGAGGGGAGCTGACCCTCGCACGTTTTATGGACGCCTCGGGGGCCCCGCGCTCCATCAGCCTCTTTCCCGCACCCCGAGCAGCAGGAACGAAGGACGCACCAACCACACTAGGCGGTTTCGCGGGAGAGTTGACTGGAGGAGCCGCCAACAGATCAATCATCGTGGCCGCCGCTGAAGGAGATGCATCTCCTGCTCGTGTGGTCCTCCCAGCCTTCCTCTTCTTCGGCTTGTTGGCATCCGCCAACTCCCTCAGCCCTGGAGAAAGGAAGCATAAGTAAAAACACATGAGAAGGATAAGAACAATATTTCAAATGCACACTACTAACCATAAAAACCGCGAACGAGCTGGTATGCACTGTTAGAGCCGCTGTGTTGCACACGTAGCTGAACGCCCTCCACTATCCGCGCCACGTGGTCCCGCACCGACTGAGGGAACTGGTTAGAGTCACACCAGTTGTCCTTGGAACCAACCGCATAACCGGTAGGCGGCTCTAAATCACCCGCGTACCATTTCCATGAAGGGCGGGCAAAGAAATACTCCTTATACCATGGGGAATCCAACTTAGGCGCCCCGGTCACAAAACCAACTGAGTTTTCCCGCCTCCCAATCGACCAACAGTTGGTCGAGTCTCTGATATTGTAAATCATCCTAAACACATCAAATGAAGGATCCTCTTTAAGGCGGTCACACGCCAAACGATACATAACCGAATGGAAGACAATCGTCGAAGAGAGACGCCCTAGAGTGCATTGGAGTCGATGCAAAATCCTTGTCAGAAGGTCGTCAAGAGGAAACTGTAACCCGAGCTTCAAGTGCTCAACCAGTATAGGTATCCAACCGCTGGGGCAAGATCCAATGCGACTCTGCTCAGAAGGAACCGCGTAAAGCCAGTCCGGAGGCATACGCAACGACTTAAGCCGGTATAGCACCTGTTCAGGCTTAAAAGCCGCCACGTGAGGAGGACCCTGTTCGAAGACCTCCTCAGGAATGGGCTCCCCACCCCACATACCCTCGTGTCGGAGAACAGTATATACAGAATCCTTTATGGCAATGGGAAGCGGCCTCGGTTCCTCACTCTCCGAAATTTCCAACGAGGAGGAAGTACTCGGATGCGCCCCAGACCGCGCTCCACCACTATTCACCTCCTCTGAGTCTTCCAATGAGATGCTATCTAAATCTACCCGCTCAAATTCCCCAAGGTTATCCCCGACCGCCGACGAGGTAGCCACAACCCCAACTGGTACAGGGTGGAGGTTAGCACAAGATTATCTAAGTCTACGCAAGACCCAACAAGGCAATCTCTCAATTCAGATCCATCTCCAACATATAACTCTAACCCGGATAAATCCCACACGCATTCAGACATGCTTCGAGCGAGAGAAGAATAGTTCGTACCTTGAATACCGGGGGCGGTCCCCGCAGCTTTCTTCCCGGCGGCGCGAGAAGGCAATGTAGCGGCCGAAGTCGCAGGGTCCTTTCCCGACGCTACCACGGGTCCAGGGTCAGCGACTCAAGCGTTCCCCGCACCGGGGGCATCGTGGCTCGCTCTGCTGACCGGCGATGGAGGACCTTCGCCCGACATCTGTCGACGGCGAGAATGAGAGGGATGGCGATTCCCCGATGCCCGAAACAACGGAGCCACCCACAAAAGCAACACACGAGTCAACAAAGCCAAAGAAATCGCACGCCCTAGACTGGAAACCGAAGTAAAAAAACTCACCCGGAAGATCAAATATATAGGCGGCGGAGTCGAAGACCTTGGAGCTTTTTGCAGAGAAAGGAAGAGGAAGAAGAGGCCGCCCTGACAAGACGTTTTCGCGAAACCCGAGAGCGGAACACCCCCAGAGGTGACGTTCTGCCTGCTGGTGTCAGGGCTCCACGCCCGAGGCACGACACGTGGCGATGCAAGAGTCGAATAACAGGGCCGGATGCGGTTCTCACCCTCAGGCGCTCTCGCGCTACGCTTCCGCGACTAGGGGCAACAAGGGAATCATACTCCATGCGTCCTATGACCGCCTAAAGTATACTATAAGCCAGAAGACCCAAAACCACTCAACATTGGCGGAAGACATCGTTTAGCCGCGAAAACCTATCGCTTCCCACGTGTAAGGGGCAAATGTTGGGCCAAATATTGAGACGCTTGGGCTTCAGGCCCATAGTCACCCAAAATCCATAATGACGCAAGTTGGGCCCCAAACAGGGGCAACGAGCCACCAAACCCTCCAAAGGCGGTCTTTCCCTACAAATACGACGAAGACCGCCCGACATAGATAAAGAACGCCCGTCATAAGGGCAAACGGACACCTGACCCTCTTGGTACGAAGACTGACAAAAGTACGGTCTGACGATACAACCAAATACCGTCAGAGGCGTCCCAGGACGCCCGACAAGTCATTAAATGCCCCTGATCCAACCACAACTAGTATAAATACTCCTTGATGAACTACATTGGGGGTAACTTCTACCAACTCCCTTCTCTCTCTTATTTACTATTCTCTCATTCCTCTCTCTAACTTAAGCATCAGAGGAGGTCCCAGGATCCACCTGAGGACCTTTCCTTGCAGGGTTTCGGAGACCGCCATCGACCACCAAAGCCGCCAGAGGTCAGTGAGGTCTCGCAAAACCGCCTGGTACATTCCAGGCACAAACAGAAAGGATGAAAAACGGATATAACTTAACAATCATGTGCTACACAAAAATATAAAAAACGGTCATATAAAACAGTCATGTGCTGCATAGAAGGACAAAGCAGTGTATGTTTTTTAAAATAAATTGTCTGAAAATAAATAAAATTACATCAAAATTTTGTTCTAAAAAATAATGACAATTACATCAAAAATTGTTTTAAAAAATAAAGAATATGCATAAAAATTAAATTATCATGAAAATAAATATTTTAACCTAAACAAATCAAAATATAAAGATGAATGTATTAGATTTAGGGGTATTATGATTAGGGTAAAAATGTGAATTGAGAATGAAAAATGGTTGTTTAGTCCATGAAGGCTTGAGAGCCCATTCCAACGGCCCATTTCTTTTTCTTTTCCTCGTCCGCACGCCAATGGCCCACTACTTCTTCCGATTCGACAACGACAGTCAGCGTATCATTCGTTTGCCGTCCTAGTTCCAAATCCTACTGTTCAGCATCAATTTGGGCGGACACACACAATCACACAAACAAAGCCTCCTTCAGCAAAATAACAACAAGACGATTTCCCGCCCTCCTTCGCTCTACATTCCGCCACGTGTAGCCCCTAAGGCCGCTCCCTTCCCCACACCATTTCTAACACAGTACACCAACTCTCTCTCTCTCTCCACTGTCCGTAGCTACTTTCCGGTGCGAGAGCGAGTTAGATATTTTCTCTCTTTCTCTCGCTCTTTAGCGGCGAAAAAGGCGGTCCTCTGCGCTCGGTTTCGGCTGCGGTTCCGTTATGGACGCGGCACCACGGCTCGTCTATGGCGGAATTGAGCCTCGCTCGTTCGCTTCACTCACTCATTACTCCAGAGCTTCTGTCAGACTGCCGGCACGGCGGAGAATCAGCCGCGTTTTGGCAGTAGCGACCGAGCCGAAGCCGGCGCAGACTGGAACGGACAAAACACCGGCGAATTCGGACAACGGCTCCGCCAAGCCCGGGCCGTCGAGAGTTCTTGCTAACGGAGCTTCGTCCAAGTCAGCGCCGAAGAAGCCCGTCAATGGAGTTGCTTCCACTGTAAGTTTGAGATTGATTTGTTGGTTTGATTCAATTGGAGTTCTGCATTATCGGCGGCTAGGTCTGTATAAGTCAGTAGCATTTGGCTGGGTGAGAGATTGAACTGAGAACGAGAATGAGAATCGGTTCAATTGTCAGTTTGTTCTTCCTGAAAGAAGGATTGCCGATTTTTTTTGACCGAAAATTTGACTTTTGGAATGGGCAGAGGATGGGAGAAGTTTCACAGGAGATCAAAAGAGTGAGAGCGCAGATGGAAGAGAATGAACAACTGTCAATCCTTATGCAAGGACTTAGAGGCCAGAATTTGAGGGACGAGCAGTTCGCCGATGACAGTATTAAGCTTCGCTTGGTTGAGGTAATGAATTGTAGCTTTGACTAGGCTTTTTGTTTTCTTCGCATTTCAGAAGTGTTGGCTGACTGACACTATTTGTCTGTTAATGTGGACCTTGTATGTGCTTAGGTCGATGAAAGCAGCGAGTTTCTGCCCACGGTGTATGATCCTGCCACCATTTCCGCTTACTGGGGGAAACGACCTCAAGCTGTTGCAACACGAATTGTTCAGTTGCTCTCGGTGGCGGGCGGTTTCCTGTCACGTATTCTTTGGGATGTGATTAACAACAAGGTCAACGAGGTAAGTAAAGGGGAAACCTATCCCAGCTCATTTTTTTCCCCCAATGTGGTTTGTCTTCCTTTCCTTACTGAATCTTTCTGTATTTGGATACCAGAATCAAGTGGCTAGAGCTATTGAATTAAGAGAAATTGTGACATCGTTGGGTCCAGCATACATTAAACTCGGCCAAGCATTGAGTATTCGTCCAGACATACTGTCACCCGTTGCTATGACTGAGCTGCAGAAGCTTTGCGACAAGGTAGATTCGTAAGCTTTTGCCAATATAATCATCATTTTGCTTCACTTTCATTTACCAAATGAAACTTAAATCTATCTCATTTAGCTTCATACTTGCATTCAACCTCTCTAGCGGTTTATCAACTTAGTCTTGCAGTTATGTAGCTATAAGCTGTTGTTCCTTTCCCTTTTCCCCTTTTGTTAAAGAGAAAGTGATTGTTCACCTCTATACGGCAGTCACACTTATTCTGTCAGATTTCATTGAAAATTATAAGTAATGAAGTTTTATGATAATTACTCCATATTTCCAGCATCCTCCAGAAACTAGGGTTCTCTGTTGCTGATTTTCTATTTGATGATGTCTGAAGGTTCCTTCATTTCCAGATGACATAGCAATGGCACTTCTAGAGGAAGAGCTTGGACAACCGTGGCAGAATATCTATTCTGAACTTTCTTCTTCTCCAATTGCTGCTGGTATGCTAATTGAGAACATAGTTGAACATTATGCTAGTTTCTGCATTCAGTGTTTTGAAGATAGTAATTAACATCACCCTTTCGCATCCCTGTACAGCCTCATTAGGACAGGTATATAAGGGTCGTCTAAAAGAAACAGGTGAACTTGTAGCTGTTAAAGTACAGAGGCCATTTGTTCTCGAGACAGTCACAGTTGATCTTTTCGTCATAAGGAACCTAGGCTTGTTTCTGCGGAAATTTCCTCAGGTAGGTTTCAATCTCTGTTTGGCTTCAGTGAGTGACATACCTTGTGATTATTGTCAGTAATGAATGAAGGTGATGATGTTCTTTCCCTCGTTTTCATTTTCTCATCAGATCTCTGTCGATGTTGTTGGATTGGTTGATGAGTGGGCCGCTCGCTTTTTTGAAGAGCTAGATTATGTCAATGAAGGTGAAAATGGAACTCTTTTTGCCGAAATGATGAGGAAGGACCTTCCGCAGGTGAGTTTAGTAGTTACTAATTAGGACTTTGTTAGTATACTTGGGTAAAATTTTCATTTGAGAACGGCTGTTTACAAATGTAAGTATCCGTGGACAAATATACGAGAGTGCACTACAAATGTAACCAAAGAAGAAATTGCTGTTGGAACTTTTGCAGAAAAGAGTAGCCAACTAGTTCTTGCTCTTTTACTCGTTTACAGACATCTTACAAAACTTGCGCAGAATTGCAAGATATTACTTATGATTGCTATGTCTAATTACTAGGGAAGCCAACTTTATTCATGAGTAAGATATTGTCTCTTTCAGGTTGTTGTGCCGGCAACTTACCTAAAATATACTAGAAGAAAGGTTCTCACAACACAATGGATTGAAGGAGAGAAGCTTTCGCAAAGCACTGAAAGTGATGTTGGATCATTGGTCAATGTTGGAGTCATATGTTACTTGAAGCAGGTATGCAGAGGTAGTCGTAAAGAACTGAACCATGAACTGTGTTTTACTTCAATTGACATTGGCAAATAACTTAATCATTGTATTTTATCGAACTCTGTTCGATGATAGCTACTAGATACTGGATTTTTCCATGCTGACCCACATCCTGGGAATCTGATTCGCACACCAGACGGGAAGCTGGCTATACTTGACTTCGGTAACAATCTACTCAATACCTTAGCATTTTACTTTCTCTTAGGTTCTTGTTGGTAATTGACTAAGTGCATATTTCCATAAAAGGATCCATGTTGATCCCTGGGTATAAGGTTGAATTGCTTTTGGAAGTAAATAAATTGAACTGTTCAGACTAGTTTTCATTGGATTTTCTTTGTTCTTTTTTATGGATGCTCAAGCTTGCTATTGCTTTAACAGGTCTAGTCACAAAACTAACTGATGACCAGAAATATGGTATGATCGAAGCTATTGCTCACCTCATACATAGGGATTATGATGCAATTGTCAAAGATTTTGTCAAACTGGGGTTTATTCCTGAAGGGGTTAATTTGGCACCCATTTTACCGGTATTGGCTAAGGTGTTTGATCAGGCACTTGAAGGTGGTGGTGCAAAGAATCTCAACTTCCAGGAGTTAGCAGCAGATCTTGCACAAATAACCTTTGATTATCCGTTTAGGATACCTCCTTATTTTGCACTGATAATAAGGGCGATAGGGGTTTTGGAAGGCATCGCTTTGGTGGGAAATCCTGAATTTGCCATTGTAGATGAGGCATACCCATACATTGCACAGGTATAACTTTCCTCCGCAAATGATGTCTTCATGAATTATTTTTCCTATACTGCTAGGGGTGATACAACATCCAAGCAAATACTGTAGTTCTTTTACTTTCATATATTGGTGAGTGTTTCTTGATCTTTTTGGTTGGGACCTTTTACATCACATGAGATCAAGGTCGCTATAAAAGTATTATATGTCGACAATGTGAGGTCAACAAATTGTCAGTTCCCAAGTCCATAACTGAAGTGGATGTTCAATGCTTAAACATGACTGAATAATATATGAAACTTGTATGAATTACTTCAAATTGGAACTTACCATTTTGTTTGCTTGATCTCTTAATCATCTGTCAGAGGCTCCTCACTGATGAATCGCCTCGTCTGAAAAGAGCTCTGCGTTACATGATTTATGGGAAATCGGGTGTATTTGATGCCGAAAGATTCATTGATGTCATGCAAGCCTTTGAGACTTTCATCACCGTAGCCAAAAGTGGAGGAGGAGCGGAGCTGAATGGGGATATGGCAGAACTAGGCATCATGCGAACTGAAAGTGGCGTCTCCTCTGCCTCATTCTTGCCTGCTTTTCCATTTGCACTGACCCAACAACCTACTCAACCAGTTCAAACAAGGGCAGCCTTAACCTTTTTGATCTCCGAGAAGGGGAACTTTTTCCGAGAATTCCTTCTTGACGAGGTAAAATCTATGATGGAACGTAATACTCCTGAATCTGGTTTCTGTTGATGTCAACTGTCAAGGCTTCTCTAATCTCTTTTTTCAAATGACTTCTTGTTGTTTCTTCTGGTACACCGTATAGATCGTTAAGGGTATTGACGCAGTGACGAGGGAACAATTGGTACAAGTACTGGCACTTGTTGGATTTGGAAATGCTCCTCCTGTCTTTAGCATGGTTCCTAGACCCTTCAGACCACCAGCAGCTTTTCTCCCCAGCATCACCGAGGAGGACAAAGTCATTCTCAACAACGTCCAGAAGGTTGTTGAGTTCCTAACTGCCGGGAGCTCGCTTTCAACCACATCCACTCAGGTACCTTCATTCATTGACCAAATCAGAACTCAACCATTCAGGACATACACCATTGCGCAAGAAGTCGATATAACATTGAACGATGGCTTGCTTCTGGTTTTTCTTTATCAGGGGGGTGCCAATACAGCCCAGATTGTACGCGAGCTTCTTCCCGTTCTGCCTGGCATATCAGCCAGGGTTCTCCCTGAGATTATCTCACGCCTCTCTTCCAGAGTCGCTGCTCGCATAATTCGGGATGCGTTTTTGTTGCAGTAATTAGTTCAGATGTAAACATTTGACTAGTTCATGTACATAAGTTAGCTAACACGAGATACCTACAAATTACAATGAGCATCAATTGGGATAGCAAAACAGGATCTAAACTAAATAGTTGAGGAAAGGAGAGAAAGTAGCCGTCTCCTATTCTGTACAATTTCGTATTCGTGTAGAAAGACAAGCATAAAAGCATTGATTTATAATTGGGCCGGACCTGCTAGTCACCTTATGAATTGGGCCAAAAGAATTGAACTGAGGATTGGGTAGGGGCCGCGCGAACGCAGGCCCCCGCTGCCACAAATTATGACGTAGGCTCTTCCACTTTGGGAAGACCTTAGCCCAGCACCCCTCCGCAAAGTGCAATGGAGGTCACTGGCCTAGACCACAGGCCTCATTGATCGCCCGTTGATCCCGTCCAGGTAAGTATGTTGCTCAGTAGCAATTAGTTCTTATTTTATAGCCCTTCCTCCCTCTGGAACTCTTTCATGCTAGCGATGTGGTATTCCGACTCCCGCTTCTGAACCATCCTCCGGCCCTCGTCTAACTGCAACTCTTCGCTCACACCATTAATGGGAGCTTAGTTGTTTGCCTTCTCTGTTAGCTGACTGAGAAAAAAAGCTTTTCAAATTGCAGTCTTTTTACGGAGACACGATTAATAACCTGCAAATTTTGATTGAAGTTGACAGCTAACGGAGTCTTTTCTTCCATCAGTTGGAATTCAAGAAGTAATGATAAGAAAATCTCTTTCCCACTCAGCTTCTTTCCTCCAACCGATTCCTTCCAGGTTCAACATAAGGTTTTCTGCATTACTGCCCCCGTCGCGTGGTCCGATTCGAGTCAAGGCCAGGAGGGTAAACCAGATGTTCTTTGAGTTAAACTTTACTTCTTCCACTCTTCATTCAGTTTCCTTGCAGCCCATATTTGGTCCATCAGATCTTATATTTCCCTTTCCTTGTTGTATAGGTGCATCTGTATATCGCTAAGATAGCAGGGGGGAAGCTTTACATGTCTTAACCAGGTTGGTATTCCTTCCACGTCAGCTTTCTCTGTGCCTAGATGGTTGTGTGATTAGTTTACCGATGTCTGCATATGAGAGCTCTTAGTTATTGCTGGAATATTTCTGGCCTGTCTTTTGTGACTTTAGACGAATAGTGTCACGAAAGTTTATTTTGTTTTTTTGCTAATGGGGAACCTTTAGTTCTCAGGAGACAGGTTTTGCATCAGGAACACAAAGAACGAACTAACAAAAGAAGTTCTCTGATGGGTATGCTTCACCTTCTCGCTCATCTTTGTTATCATGGTGAAGCACGTTGCCATTATGGAAGTTCCAACACTGTATAACACCTCAGTTGGATATGCAAAGCATGCTGCATACCTGGTACTTAATTGAATTTCGCTTTAGTGAAATCATGCTGCATTGGTGTTGATGAAAGCCTCTGGTATGCAGGAGTGTGATTCCAGAAACCATAAACTGGGGAGGATAGAGACTTGGACTCGAACAATTTGAGCTTTGGCAGGGGCAACAATCTCGATTATGCGACATGTTAGTTGTTTTATGTTTGGTTACCACTAGAAGATCATCAGCTGGTTCCTTCCTTCTCAGTTTAGCTCCCTCTAAGAAGGAAGTGGATTTGGGATAACAAAGCAGGATAGATGCATTATCTAGACCAGATAGTTGAGATTGAGAAAAGGAGAACAAGTAAACTCCTATTCTATACATCCGTTCAAGTGAAGTACCATTTATTACACGGACATACAACAACTTATGACATACTCGTCGAGATTGTTTCCAGAACTCTGGAAGTCTCATCACCTCTGGTTTCATGGGAACATGGGTAATCTCTGCTCTCCCGAGGCATAGGAGATGATACTCCTCTTGAGTGGTGAAATGTAGTTGGCGGCATGAAAGGCAGCAGCACGCAACGCGTTAAGAGGCCCGAAATCAACCGAGTATAGCTTCTGAAAACCATCCAGGACAGCCATCATTGCCACGTTCGCAGGTTTCCTTTCTGCTTCATACTTTCTCAACAGTGAGGCCTGCAAGGGTAGCAAAGAAAATGTATAGTTCATCAGCCTTGAGACACTACTGGTTCCTTTCCTTTGCAGCCAAAGGGGAGAGAAACGGTGCATAACATTTGACCATTACGTACCTCCCCAATGTCTGTTCCCACTGCCACCCCTTCGCCGATGATTCTTGAGAGGGTAAATGCATCTCCGAAACCCAAATTAACTCCTTGACCAGCTAAAGGATGAACAGCATGTGCTGCGTCGCCAATAAGGACAATACGTTTTGCTATGTAGTCGTTAGCATGCATCAAGGACAGGGGAAATGCAGCTCTCTTGGAAGCCAACTTCACAACCTTTGGTGGAACCTCGAAAGATTCATTGATCGACATTGTCAAGTTTCCCCCAAGGAATGAAAACTTGTTAGTGCCGTTTGAGAAGCTTGACTTTGGATGAGGGCCATATCCATGATCCAGAGCATGATTTACAGCTTTTACAAATTCATCCTCATTCATCGCCGTCAAGTCTGATGACTGCTCTGGGTTCATGGTCCAGACAATATTGCTAAAATTATTCCCGATCGGCAAGAGAGCAATTGGACCATCTGGTAAAAACCGTTGCCAAGCCGTGTGATTTGCAACATAATGCTCAACAGTACAGATGATGGCATTCTGTGAGTAGTTCCACCCAGTTGTTCTAAATCCTGCAAGATTCCTGACTTGTGACTTCGCCCCATCAGCTCCAACCTGGAACGAATATTTAAGATATATATGAGCATAGATATATATGAGCATATCTACATAGTCAAGTAGACCTATGCTTGGTACTCTTCTGATTGAAGCCTGCCTATCACTGTTCACAATCATGGGTCATTAAATCTAGCTAGGAAAGTTAAACTTAGTCCGCATAGCATATAACATTACCACCAACTTCGTGTATAGGCTGCTGCCATCACTCATTTCTAGCTTTACTAATCCCGCTTTCGCGTATGATGCTTCTCTAGTGTTGCCATCTGCCTTCACTGAAGAACTTGGATATCGAATCATAGAAGCCAACCTAGAAGGGTAGATCGTCTTTTGGAAGTCTGTATCCTGCAATCTTATAGCTTTGCATTTAGGATATATACACATATTGATATAAAACACGTTCCAGGGAAGAGAAATATGGGGGACATAGAGATAGCTGGAAGGCGGAAGCAGTATTCCTAGACTGTGCAAATCTTAGAGGACAAAATCCACCAGAAATTTGGGTTGAAGTAAAATCGATAAAGCATACTGCAGCTGGAAAATGACCATTTGGCAAGGGCAATACCTCAATACGCGATAACAAAGAACTATGAAGCACTCTATTCTCTACAACACACCTGCATCATCATGCAGACAACTATATCAGTGATTGGCGGTAGCATGAAAGTGAGCTAAGTTTGAGCACCTGGACTACAAGTCTGCATACCCTAAAACATCTTTGTCTACGTCTCTGGCGTCGTATGTTGTATATCCTAAGCCAGTGTAATCCCAGACCTACAGTATAAACATCAAGCATGAAACAGAAAATAGATGGTGGTGCATCAGTTCAGAGCAGATTCAACAACGACAGTCACACAGTGCAAATTGGTTTTTGCTATTGGTCACAGAACGAAAACATACATAAGCAGATTGGAAGATCCACATATATTCTACATAAGAAAACCGCCCTAACCAGCAGTTCGATCTCGGTTATGTGCAGGAACTAGATAGGGGTACTATTTTCTGAATTAGCCATCTGATTCAAGTTCGCTACGCGTAAAACGTGGACCAATACATGAAGGAAAATGTTCAGCTACGTCCCAAATTAAAATGGAAACGCCACCGAAGTATATAGTCGCCAAACAAGCCAAAACGTGGTACTAAAAAAAAGGTTTGTACCTGCATCTTATCAAAATATGCATGCCGATGCTGCTGAACATATTGCCAAGCACCAGTATCTGCAATCTGGAAGACATTACTAGGAGTGCAATATGTCCATCGAGTATATCCGTCATCCAGACGCGATATTAGCAATTCCAAGGGGAAAAAAGAAAATGTAACTTGAAAATGACACAAAGGGTCGTCAGGACAAGTAGCGGATGAAATAGCATTCTGGACATCACACAGACTATATATAACCGTTTGCCTGGACGATTCTTGAGTTTTTGCTATTGCTCTAACAGCCTACTCATAAACAGCGTTTGCGTAATGCAGATTGTTCCAGTTACAGAAAGTTCCAGGCAGAATTATCAACATACCTTGGAAATAAGAAATGGTTGCGGGTGTCACAGTACTGACCCTCGGATCAGGTGGATCCTCCATCTTGATTGACAGCTTGTTAGCCAAAGCAGGATTGCTATCAACAATGGCAACTTTCAGGTGCTTCGTCAGGGGCTTTGTTGCTGCACGCAGATAAAATTCAGCGAATTTCATCACTGTGATGGTGTTTGGCCACTTACTAAGCCGAATTTCACAAAGAGATAGTCCCAAATACACACCACCTACCCAAGGAACAAGCTAGGGCCATTCCCACCATGCCTCCGCCAACAATGGCAAGGTCGTAGGGTTGCTCATTTCCAGAGAAAGTCCCATGCTCATCCTGATTATCTCAATAACGAGAAGTTAGTGTGAGTAATTGCTATAGCAGAGCACCATTTCCACACTGATCCAACTATAAAGAACAATTCACAGAGAAACGAACGAAACCCCATTAAAGGAGAAAAAAAACCCAAAAGAAAGGTGGGATATCGAACATGGTTAAGATGGCCGGACGATGCACTTGATCCTGCTGCTGCTGCAGCTTCGCCGCCGCTACAGTAGCCTCTCTTCCATGTAAACTTCAGTTGATCGTGATTCGAGTAAAGATTCCTCCTTGCGACCAATCTGACACCACCAATTAACCAGGACAAAGAGTAATCTAGGATTACGGAAAGTACGAAAATTTCTATTGCCGAATCAGAATGCTAACGGAGGAATCGATTATTCAGACCTGTTCATTCTTGTGGCAGCTCTAAGCAGGGGAGGCGAGAGGGAGGACGCAGGCTGTGGCAGAGAAGCAAGTTCCAGCAGCGACAATTTCTTCGTGATTTTTTTCTTTCTTGTGCAAAGTATTGCGGTTAATGAGGAAGGATACTGAAATACAATACTACAATAGAGAGCCAAATAGCCTGTTTTTACGCTTTTGAGTAGCCAGTTTCCCTCTTCCCCTTCATTTCCTGCTCCAGTCGCTTTCACTGGTTCAGAGTTTAGTAGTTTACCCTTCAGACCGCCATTCCTATCTCTTTCTCTCTCCACTTTAATTTCAATTTTCTATTTTAATTTTTTTTTCTTCGTCTTCTGAGTTCTCTCTCTCTCCATCTCTGTGATTAATTTCCATTTTCCAGGTCTTTCTTTTTCTTTCTTATCGTTTTTACTTGAGCAGTGCTTGACTTTGATTCTTCCTTCCCCTAAATCTACCTCCTAGTATCTTCTCAACCCTTTCATTTTTTCCTCTTGATTCTACTGCTAGCTTTGCTCCTTTCTCTGAGTTCCTTGCTGGAGGTTGGGTTAGGACTTAGAGAAAAGATGGGGTTTTGTTGTTTTCTTCCATTCCTTTCTTGATTCCCTCTTTCTCTTCTCTTCTCATCCCCCACCTTCCTTCCATCATGGTTGATTCTCTTTTACCAGATTCCCTTCCTCTGTGCGTCGTTCTGCTATAAGTGCTTCCTTTCCCCCCTTGTTTTTATAAAAGAATTTTCCTTTGCCCTCTTTCTCTTTTTCAAGTCATATATTTTGTTTGGACACAGCACAGGCCCCTCACATGCATGCTCTTCGATTTGTCTGATCTGGATTGGATCAGAAGAAAGAGAGAGAGAAAGAGAAGTGTACGTGACAGAGAGCAGCAAAAAGAGGGATTCTTCTTGGCTGACTCTTTCATTTGGAGCATATGTGTTGTTTCTCTGAGGAGAAGAAGGAGAAGTAGAGGAGTAAGGAAGGAAGACACGGTGAGATTTCTTGGCCCTTCTTTTGGATCTTTCTTTCTGTTTGGCGCCGCAAGCAGTTATTTTGCTTTGTGTTAGCAGAAATCTGCAACCCCCTTTCAATTTGAGTCTATTAGTTGAACTGGGTATGGGTCTTTGATGGAGATGATTTTGATTTAGGGGTATTGATTCATAATTCAGTTCATTCTTTGAATGAAGATACATATTGCCATAGCTTGAGGAAGCTGGATTGGAGGCTTGTTGGGGTGTTTGAGGTTTTCTAAGATTTGGGTTTGTTCTGCGATCCTCGACTGCCTTCCCTGATTTTACCATTCGGTTCTCGTTCGTTGGTTGGTAATTTAGCAGTGTAAAGAGAGCAATATAACTGGCTTGACTCTATCCATCTCTTGGTTTCTAGGGCTCTGACTTGGCTTTGAAGCGAGGGAGGAATTGGGTTTTGATTGTTTGGAGTTCGCTTCTGAAATATGGCGGGTGTTGATGTTTCAAAGTACGCGCATAGCCCTGTGCACAAGGCTGTTGCAACCAGGGATTATGTTGGTCTTAGAAAGATACTAGCTGGGCTGCCCAGGCTCTGCAACCCAGCCGAGATTCAGACTGAGTCAGCTTCAGTTGCTGAAGAAGTGAAGGCTGACGCCATCTCTGCTGTTATTGATAGGCGTGATGTCCCCAACCGTGAGACTCCTCTTCACTTGGCTGTCAAATTGGGCGACGAGACTGCCGCTGAGATGCTCATGGTAGCTGGTGTTGATTGGAGCTTGCAGAATGAGCAGGGTTGGAGTGCTCTTCAAGAAGCAATTTGTAACAGAGAAGAGGCAATCGCAATGACGATTGTTAGGCATTACCAGCCATTGGCTTGGGCCAAATGGTGCAGGAGGCTGCCTCGTTTGATTGGGACGATGCATAGGATGAGGGACTTCTATATGGAGATCACATTCCATTTTGAGAGTTCTGTGATTCCTTTTATCTCAAGGATTGCTCCTTCTGATACTTACAAGATTTGGAAGAGAGGTGCAAACTTGAGAGCGGATATGACCTTGGCCGGGTTCGACGGTTTTAGGATTCAACGTTTGGATCAGAGCATCCTTTTCCTTGGTGATGGATCTGAAGATGGGAAAGTGCCTCCTGGCTCACTTTGCATGATAACACACAAAGACAAAGAGGTGATGAATGCTCTTGATGGTGCGGGTGCGCCTGCAACCGATGACGAGGTTAAACAAGAAGTGAATGCGATGTCTCAGACAAACATTTTCCGCCCTGGAATTGATGTAACTCAGGCAGTCCTTTTGCCACAATTAACGTGGAGGAGGCAGGAGAAATCAGAACTCGTTGGTCAATGGAAGGCTAAGGTCTATGACATGCATAATGTGGTGGTTAGCATAAAATCCAGGAGGGTCCCAGGGGCAATGTCAGATGATGAGTTCTTCGCATCTTCCAATGAGAATGAAACAGAAAGTGAGGAGCTTAATGACATTTTGACAGAAGAAGAAAGAAGGCAACTTGAATTGGCTCTAAAACTGGATTCTTCAGAGTTAAGCAGTGAGAATGGTGATGGGATGGTTGCACATCGGCATAGTTCTTATGATCATAGGGATATTCCGATTGAAGATGGTAATGACTTCAGGAATGGGGAGACTAAGCAGGAGAAGAAAGGATGGTTTGGGGGATGGAGGAAACGCGACCAGAAAGTTGAAGGACAGAAGAAAATTGTTCCACCTAGAAGTTCCCTATGTGTGGAAGAGAAGGTGAGTGATCTTCTTGGGGACTCCCCACCTGCTAGTCAAACAAGACCCGGAAGGCATTCCGTGGAGGTGACTGTGAGGGACGAGCACAGGAGAGGAAGGGAAGCAAAGGCGTCTACTTCGACAAGTTCTGAAGCTAGTAACCGCAGGAAGGAAGGAGGTCGAGACAATGAGTATAAGAAAGGGTTGAGGCCAACACTGTGGCTGTCTCCAAACTTCCCATTGCAGACCGAAGAGCTTCTCCCTTTGCTTGACATCCTCGCTAACAAAGTTAAAGCAATTCGCCGATTAAGAGAGCTGCTTACCACAAAACTCCCCCTGGGAACGTTTCCAGTCAAGGTTTGTGCTACTCTCAAATGGTACACATGACTACTTTTCGTCGAAGCCATGCTTAGCTGTTTACTTAGTTTGCTTAATATGTCTATAGCCCGTAGCATCTTATATTTATTTTATGTTTTGATCGCGATCGCGATCACGATGGCAATCTCTCTGCTAACTTCAACCTCGTTAAGTTCAAAACTTGAAGCGGTGATGTTCTGCTAATTTTGAAGGTGATTGACATGTTTTTGTTTTGCGGCTGTTCAAATTTGTGCTTGCAGTCTGACTAGTTATATTTAGAATGTGTTGACTGGCCAGCACTTACAGACTTGTTACATACTCAAAATTGTTAGCTATTTCTGTTCATAGTGAATATATGACAACTTCAACCACAGTTTCCTATCTTGAGAATCAAAGACCATAAATGTGGTGATTTTGATGACAGTTTTGTCCTGTTTAGAAATGCTGAGGAGATTTGAGATGGAATATATTACATTCTGGAAATAACTTTGGTTGTCTCTGGAGTCTAGTTTCAGTTGGAAAGCACTGCCTCCTGACTATACTTTGCTTCTCTTTTTTGCATTCATGAATGATGATCCAGGTAGCTATCCCTGTTGTTCCCACCATTAGAGTCCTCGTTACGTTTACCAAGTTTGAAGAGCTGCAGCCGTTGGAAGAATTTGCTACTCCACCATCAAGCCCGTGTCCGGCCCTGGGAGGCAGAGAGAGCCCTGGAATGACACAATCCGCAAGCTCATCGTCCTGGTTTCAGTGGATTAAGGCACCGTACCAGCGAGCTAACTCGTCAAATGGATGTCCGAGCAGCAGGATCGAGACGACTCAGGACCCATTTGTCATTCCTCCAGATTACACCTGGGTTACAGCTGAGGCGAAGAAAAAGAAGGCGCAGGAGAAGAACAAGTTGAAGAAAGCTAGAGGTGGTCAGAGTTGAGATGATAGAGAAGTTGTAAAAGAGAACTTTAGCTTGCCCATTGCAAATAAACCGCTCAGTGATCAGGCATCAAAGTAGGGAAGGGGAAGGAGTAGAGTTTGATGTAAAAGACCATTTACCAAGATGTGATTCTGTATTGTAAGGTAATAGAAACTTGGGTCCCTTTTCAGTCAAGGGAAGATTTGGTATACCATTGTGGGGAAGGAATGAAAAAGGTAAAAGGATATTTGTGATTCTTGGCTACAATGTGCTTAAGAAGAAGTTTTGGATGTATTTGAGAGGATGTAATTAAACAATTGCAGATTCTGTTGGTGCCAACTTCTATGCATTAGAATGTAATTTCAATTATATATGCAATGTGAATATCATCAAAGTGATGCAATTCAATTTACTTGATGCAATACATCACATTCAATTACTTATATTTGAGACAAACCACATATTTTCAAACACATGTAATCAAACAACCTCTTAACCCTATTTTGGCTAAGAGGTAGTTTGATTTGATTGGATTAGATCAACCAATTTTGGAGTGACAAAATCTTGAAAAGTTTACATAATATCTGTATTTTTCAATCACCTTGTTAAATTCACATATATCAACACCTCCTCTACGAAAAATTCATTCACTTGATCGTACGTCCACTGCCCTTATAATTTTTATGACATGAAATCATTCAAAAGCAACAAATATAAAAATACATTTTTTTTTCGAGAAATGCCAAGAGAATAGTTAGAAATAACACTACCCACAATCCCTTCCTATCCCACTAGCTAGCCACCCAACAAAATCAAAAGAAGCTAATTCTAACCGGGACAACAACAGGGCTTTGCGTGCCACTCTATGAGCAGCCCAGTTGGCTGTCCGCGGAACAGCTCTACAGTCTATACAATGAGGAAAAGACTGAGAAAAAAACGACAATCTCTAAGCAGCGGACCACCAGACGAATCCTCAGGCAACTAAATAAAATTCAAAGAGGTGCAATGTTCATATATGTATATTTTTTATTTAAGTTGATATTCGAAATATGTAACTGTAACAACAATACAACTTGCTTCAGAAATCAACTTGAAGCAAACATTAATTTCCCTTCATAGTTCCCCACCCACCAGCGGCCCATAAGTACAAACCCGCGAAGCAATGAATCCCATAACACTCAACAAACACAAGTTGGGCCGAACAAACAAAACCCAATTGCAAGCCCATCACCACCACCACCACACTCAAAGAGCCACACTGTGCAAGACCACGGTCTCAACCGTAAGCCCAGGCCCAAACCCAAAAAGCACGCCCCAATCCAGCCCTTCCCCAGTAGTCGCACACCCATCCGCCGCCGACTTCTTCCTCATCTCGTCCAAAATGAACAACACACACGCGCTTGACATATTCCCGTACTCCGCCAGCACGTGCCTCGACGCCCGGAGCTTCTCCTCCTTCAGCTCCAACTTAGCCTCGATCTGGTCCAATATCGCCGGCCCACCGGGATGGGCCGCCCAAAAGAGCGAGTTCCAGTCCGAGATCCCCAAAGGCCTGAACGCGTCATCCAAGCACTTCTCGATGTTCTTGGACACAAGGCCCGGAACATCTTTCAGTAAATGAAACGTCAGGCCCACCTCGCGGAGGTGTCCGTCGATCGCACCCTCGCTGTTGGGTACAATAGTCTGGGCCGTGTAGACGAGCTCGAATATGGGCTTCTCCACCTCCGGGATTGGATCCGAGCCCACTATGACGGCGCCGGCCCCATCCCCAAACAAAGCCTGGCCCACGAGGCTGTCCAAGTGGGAGTCGCTCGGCCCGCGGAACGTCACGGCCGTGATCTCCGAGCATACCGCTAGGACGCGGGCGCCCCTGTTGTTCTCGGCGAGGTCCTTGGCGAGACGGAGGACCGTGCCGCCGGCGAAGCAGCCCTGCTGGTACATCATGCAGCGCTTTACCGACGGCCGGAGGCCGAGGAGCTTGGTGAGCTGGTAGTCAGCCCCCGGCATGTCGACGCCGCTGGTGGTGCATAAGATGAGGTGGGTGATGCTGGATTTCGGCTGCCCCCACTCCTTGATCGCCTTCGCGGCGGCTTCCTTGGCAAGTTTTGGGATCTCCGGGACGACGACGTCCTGTCGGTCGTCGAGGGAAGGCGCCATGAAGGCGCACATGTTTGGGTGCTCTCTTAGGAACTCCTCCGTCAGGTGCAGGTAGCGCTTTCTGATCATGGATTTGTCGCCTACACGAAAAACCATTCATTATTGTTACCATCAAAAGTGTCTGATCGTTTATTTATTTTTATTTTTATCGACCGACACATCCATAGGCGGAGGCAACCCTCCCCGGCATTGTCACGGGATAAAAGGCAAATTTTGGGGAGAAAAAACCCTATACGAAGATAGAACATAACATCTATAAGCGATACGAGAATATTTTTTCACTACGCCACAGTTTATTACATTAACACCTATAAGTGGTACGATAGTACTTTATCACTGCACCACGACTCTTTACTTGTTTATAAATTGATATAAATTAATTTGTTACACTATAAACAAAATCCAATTGAAATAAAGACCTAATCGAATCTCTTTTTCTCCTTATGCCTATTCAATTTTTACCAAAGGACAATGACAATTCCACCAGTTTTTATTTTATCAATTGCAACGCGGCAAGTGTAGAAAAGAGCACGTGCTGCTTTGAGTTATACTAAAAATAAGTTTCCAAGTTGAATTGGTGACCCGTTTTCTAATGATTGTTTAGTGGGATACTGGGATATTTTGAAGAAAAAAAAACTTACTCAAAAGTGTAGACAAATAATATATTGGCGTTTCTTTCACGATATGAAATTACGCCATTGTTGTTAATGTAAATAATGATTGTATTAGTAAATTATTTTTTTTTTGTTTATGAAAGAATCATTTGGATATAATAAATTTCAATTAGATTTGTTAAATAATTATTAATTAAATATTTATATATTTAAATTATAAAAAGAGGACATGGGTAGTTTTGTATCCTGCCTCCACCACCACCGGACACATATGTTCAAAAATTCCTAGGTCCGTCACGACGACTAGTACGAATGAAGGTATGTGGGGGGGACTTACACATGCGCTGGAACTTGCGTTTGAGTTCGGTCATGTGCTCGCTGTTTGTGATGCGGAAGTAGAAGTCAGGGTAGGTGCTCTGGTCGACGCAGTTGGCCGGATTGGCGGTGCCGATCGCCATGATGGTGGCCGGACCCTCCGCGCGTTGGGCCTTGCGGAACTCGTCCACCGTGATGCTCGCCATGTCTACCTAATTGACTAATTAATTATTATACCTTTAACGAAAGGGATCAAATTAAGTAACGCTGATGACTGTCAATTGAAGAACACAATCAAGAAATATAATGTATATATAAGAAACGGGATGTGTTTTGTTTTTATGGGTGCTCTTGCATAAATATATATTCCGGCCGGCCGGCCGGCTGTCTTCATGGCACCACGTAAAGATTACTAATATTAATGTCAGGTCAGGTGTGCCCCTGCCATCCGGCTCCGGCGCGGGCCAAGCGTGAGAAAATGAAATGCTCGCCGTCGTCTAGAACCATGAGAGGCAGAATTATATGCCCAAAATGCATGAGGCCTTAATTAACTAATGAATTTGTTTTAATTAGTCTCCATAATGCATTTAGCAAAAGACATATGATACCATGAATAACATTTTCTCGGAAACGTGAGTACATAAAAAAAAAAAAAAAAGAAGCTGAAGATCTTACTTGGCTGGGAAAATTGTTCAATGAGCAAATACTTGTGCCGAAACAGTAATATATGCTTTGTCAAGGTGCAGATTGGATGAACTTTTTTTTGCCTTTGAGAACAGGATTTAGTTGGCCGGCATCAATGTCTGTCTGTTGATATAGAGGCGACGGGGAGTCGAGGTTAATTATGGTAATATCAGAGGCGCAGAGATCTACTTAATTTCTATAAAATTTTGTGGCAGTAAATCTCGCAATGTCTACCTCACATATATGTCATTTCTTTAAAAGTATCGAGGAATTCCAAAATTAGGACAACCCAACTAACTCGATGGATTGGATATATGATGATGCAAGTAACGGATGGCGTTTTTTTTTTAATGTCAACTGCACATATCTCCACGAAGGGGTATTACCATCCAATTGTTTTTATTTGTTTATGAATAAACTTTTTTAAACCAATGAACAATAAGTGGATAAACTTGAAGGAACATACAACATTTAGGTCCTTGATCAAGTAACCTAACACAAAATAAAATAGAAACTATCACTGAATATGCTCGCGATGAATTCGAAAAACAAACCATGAGTAGGGGCAAAAATACCATCTAAAAACAAACCCTACAAAATTTAATTAGATCAAGGATTCATATTATAAATACTTGTGCAACAACACATGACCTTCTGTAATCCATTAGAAAAAAGAAGATAGTCAACCCATCAACCTAGTTCGTAAACTCTACTTCCCCCATCTCCTAACTTGAAAATGAAGCAAAATGATTCAAGCACATCTAAAAGAAGCATAAAGATTTTGGCATAATACTGGTGAAACATCCGAATTATCCAAAATATGATATTTTTATTATAAAATATTATATATGATAAGTGATAAGTGATAACTCATTAATTCTAGTACGAACAACTTGAGTTTAGTGTGAAAAATATATTTTACCGTCTTGCAATGATCATTAGAGATAAATGATGATCAAACATTGTTGACGCATCACGCATGTAACAGAAATGTGGCTTCCAGCCTCCCACATATACTTCAGTACTTCACGTCATTGCCTATGTTTGGTCCGGCTTATAGAAGTGCTTTTCGACTTCAAAAACTGAAGCAGGATCAAACACCTTTAAAAACTCGGCTTTTGAAAAGCCGAAAAACGCTTTTGTATAACATAAAAGCAGAAGCTCCAATTTGGAGCTTCTGCGAAAAGCTGTTTTGAAAATACAAGATTATCCTTACCATATTTTAATTTTATTTCAGAAAACATAAATTTTCTTCATTTATATCATTTTTAAAATAAAATAAATTATGAATCCATTTTTACTACTTTTTATTGTTTAGAATTTTTATTCATATTTTATATTATAAGTCCTTTATAGTCATTTTACACAACCGCTCATATTAAAAAACACTTCTAATAGTTTTACAACCAAACACTAAACTGCTTTTTTTGAAAAGTACTTATCTAAAAGCTCCAGTCAGAAACTGCTTCTGCAAAAGTTACCGCAGAGCCAAACTAAGCTATTGACCCGTGGCTCAGGTTCAGCGGGACTATCGAAGAACTCCTCTTGAAGTCCAGAGTCCAATGGGCTCCGGTTTGGGCCGAGGTGTGGCATCCTGTATGGCTCATTGGAACGGGCGAGTAACCCAGCCCAAACCTCCTCCCCGAATCACGACCCGCTCGACCCACATCGAACTCAGAGAGAGAGAGAGAGAGAGAGAGAGAGAGGAGGGTTAGAGTTTTGGAGACTTGGAGGAGCAGCAGCGGCGAGAGACGTTCGAGGTTGGACGCGAAGACGATCCTCATCTCAGCACCGACGAAATAATTCGTGATCGGAGATTCATTCGCTACGATCAATATCCGTTTCTCGCCGATCCCAACACAGGTAATACAATGGTCTCGGCGGTTCTCTTTCTCTCCGTCTTCATTCCTGCAATCTCTATTTTTTGTTCGCTTTCTGATGAATTTCCTCCGTTGATGCTTACCATGTCGTCTACGATCAGTTGTGTTGTGTGCTGCTATTCCGGTCCGCGAATTAGGGTTTCTGTTCGTGTTTTTCGTATTCAGATTTTTTAGTTAGAATCCTTAGGCTTCCACCTTTTTTTTTTTTTTAAATTTTATCCATCCACATAGTTGATTTCTAGTTGGCGTAATTTCGGTATTGGCGTAGGATGTTGAGGCCATTTGGATCCTCATGTACGTCTACCTCTCTGATTGATAAATTTGTGCCTTTTCTGATGCTTTGCTTTTGTTGATAAGCTATCTGATGTACTGCTACAAGTTCTTAGTTCATGGAACTTTCTAACTGATGTGCTGCATTACATTGTTTCTTCTTTTCCGGTGTAGATCATCAGAATTCTTTCTTTCGTGAAAATCTTTAGGAGGATGCATGGACTGCGTGTCCTGTGTTATAGCCTTTTTAGACTGTGTTAAAGTGTCTTTGGAAATATGTTACTGTTGAGGCCCGTAACTTTGTTTTCGAGGTCTTTATGCCAGGAACGATTTGTAGTGTATACATTGAATCCCAAAACTTCTGCAGTTTCTGGTGGAGAGAACAGTTCTTAGTATTATTTCTATTCAAGGCCTGGCACTCACATTGCTAATCAGCATGATTATTGGATTGCTCATTGTTGATTCTGCCAACTGACCCCTGTTTCATCTATAAGTGGTGCAGGAATGGATGACGTAGATATTGATATGTTGATGGAAATACCAGATACCCCTGATAGAGCATCTGGAAGGCAGACCAACATGGTGCAATTAGGTAGAGCAAGTGGTTCATCAAGTGTTAGAAATTCTGATTTGATGAATATAGAGCGATTTAATCAGCTGGACATCAGGAGTCGGGTAGCACATGAAAATGTACATCAGGGAAGAACACACTTGCACCCACCAAGGAGGCCTATAATTATTGACGATTTAGAGCAATCCGGCAAGCATACTACATCTCGTACAAATAATTCTCATCCTTTTCAGGATGCTTCTTTGTTCAGAAGAGCAGCAAGAGTTGACAATTCCAGGCCTGAAACTAGGCAACCTAGCGGAGCAACACGTATGGACAAAGGGAAGGACCTTTGTGGTAAGGTTCCTTCTAAGCCGCCTGTTTCCAGAGAAAAAAGAACAACCATGAGATCGGTTGACCAGAGTGAGCATGAGTATGACCACATATTTGACATGGCTTCTCCACGAGGGACATCAAGTAGTCTTCATTCTCAAGGGAGATGTAAAGGTCAAATATCAATTGCTGGTGCCCCATCGCGGTCTCCTGTCTCTTCAAGGACAATTCACAATGCTTCTAAAGGCAAGGAGAAAATAGATGTTGGAACATTCAATGGTTCTTGTGCTGCTTTAAATCGTGGTAAAGCAATTGATCTTTCCAGCTGTTCTCAGCATGAAGTGACCACAAATGTGTCTGCTTCTCATCCAAATATTACTCCTCCAAGAGTCACTGGGCGGAAAAGACTAGTGCGCAATGGGTGCATTTCTCCACATAACATAGCCAATGAAGCCCAGAGACATATCCAAAGATCTATTAGTGTTGAAACAAGCCAACCCCAGAAGGTGGTTTCTAGTGGTCCTTCTAATGTAGATATTAAGGACATAGTTACTGCTGACAATAATTTCGTGGAAATTATGCGAGTTCGCAATTCTACTCGGGATGGCCATGTACGAGCAGCTAGCCCTGCACACAATGATTATTCTAGTTTCTTGGAGATGAAACGAGTTCGCCATTCTACTCGAAATGAACTTCCACCAGTAGCTTGCCATGCATCTATAAGGTATATGTCTTCACTCTTCAGCATCTGTTGGTTTGTCTTCTGTAATCAGTGGTTGCATCTCTATGTGCTCATGTATGTGATTTACCTTTCTGTGAACCTACAAGAAAGTTTTTTTTCAATACCAAAATCAAGTTTTTCTCTTACAGTGGGTCAATTGCATCTACCACTGACGGTTTGTAACTGTTATTCAAGCTGCTAAGTTGATATTTTATATATTTTTCTTTACGCTTTTCTTTCTCTCCGGCTAGAATGCTACTGTGCAGATTATATTTGAGTCCATATTAGGTGAGTTGCTCATAAACATTGATATGATCTGACTGCAGCAGCCAAGCTTCTCGGGACGGCGTAGCCAACAAAGATGGTGAAGTGAACAGAGATGGATCATTAGCTGGTTGGAGAAATACACGCAACAGAGACGCGATGCATAGAGCTCCAACCGGTGTATCTGCAACCGGCCAAATAAACATACCACAGGTCATTGGATCCAAAAGGCTAAGGAAACACGGAAATCATGGTGAATCATCCTCTTCAACTTGCGATGACCCAGAGATTTTGTGTCTTGGTTCATCCCAAAGATCATCCAGACTTCAGAATCGTGAACCTGACAGCTCGATTAGACGTAACGAGATTTCCCTTGAAACTAGAACACAGACCACTCAGGAATCAGGTTCAGTGGTTGCTGACGAGTCGCAAGCCAGGACAAGGCAAGTAGAAGCCGATGAGATCTTGGCCCGTGAACTTCAGGAACAGTTGTATCGTGAGATGCCAGTATATGGGACAGGCGAGGTTTGTTCGTTTCTCATCCTATGCTCCTGTTGACCTTTATTTGGCAGTCCTGATGAGTTAGATACAATACATGGGCATAATTTAATGGTTAATTGATGCTTCATCAGATTGACGAGAGTATAGCATGGGATTTGGCACTACAACAGGAGGAAAATGTATTCCCGGCTGCTTCTACTCATAATCATCCTGCATTACGTATTGTAAGCACAATTCTCTCAGCGGTACCTATTGTATTCGGCTTAATTTGTAATTGATGTGTTTTTCTGTATCCAAAAACATTTCCTAACTGCTCTCTACTCACAAATCTGTCGTATTGTTGACTCTGTAATGCATACAGCCTCCTGTTGAAGCTTTGATGTTTACTCTATTTGCTGGTTACTTTCTTTTATAGGGTAGAGGAACACAGCCTCGGCCCCAAGCACAGGCCCCACGCAATCCTCCAAATAGAAGAGGAACACAGACTCGAAATCCGATTTCTAGGGTGTCACAGTTGAGGAACCGTTTCAACCGTTCTACTATAGCAGCCCCTAGACGGAGGACTCGTATTCCTGTAGCACTATTTGGAGAGAGGAACCTTCAATTTCCTCCGGACATGGATCTAGACATGGTACCTCTTTGTCTTCATCTCTTAAACTCCTTCCCAGTTTGTCATTATATTTTATTCTTTCCAACATTAACTTGGGCGTTTGCGTCTCGTCATGGCTTGTGTAAGGTTATCATGACCAGGTGGAATAATGACCAACTTTTGCTGGCATTGGTGCAGTTCGAACACGCTATCCTTGTTTCTCATAGCAGTAATTAATCCGTTATGATTTTCTTGTGTTACCTGCATTTTTGCTGAACGTTCATTCAAGTACCTATACTGAAAATAGAGAATGTATGTTATTGGTTTCAGCCACTTATATATTGCTATAATAGATAGCATTTTACGGTGAGGTGGCTCTACCTTTTTCTTTTGAGAGTTTTGTGCTGTGATTGGGTGTAGCTTTTCTGGTCACATATACTAAAACATCATAAACTCCTTGATTTTTGAATGTTGGACCTGGATTCAAACCTTGGAGTTGATAGATGTTTTTAATTGACCGTGCTAAATGTCATGAACTTAATTCACCTGTGAGCAGGCTGCTGTGGATAGCTCCCTAATTTCTCTCATTCATACAGAGACTGAATATTCTGGAAGCCATGGAGGCTGCAGTTGGAGACTTAGATTATGGAGCTAGGCACCTCCTGAATCTTCAGCGTGATTTCAATGAGTAAGAATACTTCTCTCGTTCATTTTTTGTAGTGATCAACACTGCTCAACGATGGATAAAAGGATTGGGCCTAACATTTAGATTCTATGCTTTTTTTTTTATAATGGCGAAATTTAGATTCTATGCTTGCTTATGTGTGTATGTGAATTCTGATGTGCCAGTGGCAATGTAGCTTTGCATAATGCTATCGTTAAGTAATTCCCTCATGGTCACAAGAGCTTGATTGGTTTTACTGTTTCTATTATTGAAAGTCCTTGCTTTTTTATCCCATTGGAGGTTTGAAGGTTAATGTGCATGATTATCACAGACTTTTTGTTTGTTATTAATTTGAAGGTTTGTCATACAAGGATAGTAGATCGATTATAATTTATCATTTTATACATGCTGTCAACGTATGTATGTGTTTTTAGCAAATAATAGAAGCGAGATGATTCGTAAAGCACTAATCTGCCTTGCTGGAAAAAGAACTCTGATACCCCTTGTGTTGCAATGGGTTTTCTCCTACAGGAATGATTATGAAATGTTGTTAGCTCTTGATGAGAACAACAGCCAGCAAGGTGCATCTGTCCATCAGATCAACAGTTTGCCAGAATATGTATTGCAGGTTGGTAATCCTATACCACCTTTGTACATGTACGAGATTGTCCTCTGTTTTTTTCCAGTGGATGATGTATTTAGGGGGGTGCTTTAAAAATTCTCGTGTTTCCATATACTCGGGCATTGAAGTTAGAATCACTTATGCTGTCCCCGGGAAAATCACTAATATCTCTTAGGAAAAGGAACCTCAAACGGGGGGTCTATAGAGAAGCGAGAACGGCGCCCGTCGGGCATCACAAAAGCAAGCTAAAACCGAACGTACACCTTACCCTGGACTGTTGCAGCCACTAGCCGTTTCCTATCTATAGGCTTCGGTTCTTCGATCCTCATCCTTTGAATATACTTATCAGCTAACGTGGTTTGTTTTGTTTTCTATTCATTTCACAGTCCGACAACTTTGAGGGAGACTGTGCAATCTGTCTTGAAACTCCCGCGATTGGTGAAACCATTCGTCATCTTCCATGCTTGCATAAATTTCACAAAGATGTAATGACATCTCCTAACTTCCCTTTGCTTTACGATCTCGTCATTTCTTGTAAGCCATGATACTGTTTGGATGGATGGGTTAATTTTGTTTTTATTTTTGTTCTGGTTGTGGCAGTGTATTGATCCATGGCTTGGCAGAAACAAATCATGCCCAGTCTGCAAATCTTCCATCACATGATCGCCACGATGTTGATCTCAGTGGCGCTGTCTTCAGTCTGACTCAAGCTGGCGAATACCTTTTTTCTGGGAAGGTAACTATGGAAAATATGTGCTCCCCTCCCCAGCCTTGTGAAACAGACTAGTTTTGATGAGACACCACTTTTCTCTTTCAACATTGAGTTCAATCGTTACATGAACTGAGACAACGTAAAGCGGCCTTAGCGATCCATGCTTCTTCATTACTCAAATCATACGATGTGGTGGTATAGCTTGTTGGTCGGGGTGGTTTGAGCCGATGATGCAGTATGAGCCGAGGAGGTGGACCATTTGTGCAAACATTGGATTGCCTGTGTAACCGATGTAAGGTGTCAACACAGAGCCTGGCGTGTTCTGCTGACAAGAGATCATGTATTTCTTAATTGAGCAATCTCTACAATGTTATTGTTTTGTTTTCATGGTTGTTGCTTGGAGTGGAATTCCCTCCACCTTGCTGTCTCAAATTTCCAGCAGCAGGCAGCTCTGTTGCACCTCCGTTTACTCTTTTCTATCGGAAAGGAAAGAATGGAAAGACAAAAAAGGCTTTTGCCCAGTTAATCAGTTGTACTATTGAGCTGATACCTTTAGATTCGTTTGAGAAAAGCCTTTCCAAGTCCAATCCATGGCGCTGTCATTTGCGTTTAGCAAAAACTACCTGTTGATAGTCCATTCACGCGCTCATCGTTTAGCCTCTAATACTGGTATTTCGTGGTTGAATGGCCAGTATGGTATGGTTTCATGGAGACAAAAATTGAAGATCCAATACGCAAATGGATATGTGTGGCCATTTTGGCTGTTCCATTTGATTATTAGTTTGCAAATCTAGGCTTATGTTGGATACCACTCATAGATTATATTTGCTTTCCTATTAGATAAAATTTGATGACAATTTTTCCTCTTATCAAATAGATCGATTTGAATCCGACCAAAATGAATTGATCTAAATGAAGTTGTAAGTCAATCCAAAACCAACAAGGATACATTGAAATGATTCCGGAGATACTCTTCATACTCTGGCAGCCGAGTTTGAGAAACATTGAAATTCATTGAATAATTGTATGATTTTCATTAAGTTCTTGAATAATTGTTGTAGGGGTGCATTTTGCATAAATTTGTTTGCTTTCTTCATGTAATATGAATGATGTGTATTTTTAGTGTGATTCCTTTCTAGTTTTGTGCATGGATCTTCAATCATTAACTATACTTCTTCGTATTAAGTTTTCATGTTCAATATGATGAAAACATAATCTATGGTTTTTAATTATTAACAACTTAAACAAATCATAAGCCCAAGAATTATTAAGTTTAACAATTTATGTGAACAAAGTGGTTAAAAAAGAAAGAAGAAAAAAAAAAAGAATTTGAGTGCATGAATGTGGAGCACTTCTACTATGTTCTAAAGTATGGGTGCTCTAATGTACAACTTGAAATTAGGGGTGGGAATCGGTCGATAAACGGTAAATTGTTTACCGAATTTACCGATTTCGGTATACCGACACTGGCAAAACCGTTTACCGTTTACCGATACCGATTTGTAACCGGTTTACCGATTACCGAATTACCGGTAAACGGTTACAAACCGGTTTACCGAATTTACCAAATTCCTTCAACTCTGACGCCAGTTCCCAACTTCAGCCAAAAAATTGAACAACAACAATCAGAAACCATGGCGGCTCAGTAAAAACCAAAGCTGATCCCCATCAAATTAATGGGGTAGCGAAATTCAAATTACCAGCAAGGACATCCAAAGTGTCTCAACAGTGCAACAACAGCCATCCCCTGCACAATCAAAGTTGTATGAATATCCAGCTCAAAGAACAAAACAGAAGGAACCGAGAAGAGGGGAGACTATAGCTCTAATACCTCGTTCTGGTCCCAGAGATCCTTGAACACGACGGGCTCACCAGAGTGGAGTTCGCCCTTGCGGCGGCAGTGGACGGGAAACGGGGATGAAATTTGGGGGAAAGTTGACTGGGAAGAGTGAATGGGGTAGAAGACTGTAGGTATTTCACAGATGATGGGGCGACCGCCATTATGGTAAGCCGAGAGCAGAAAGTGATCCTGGGGTGCAACCACCAGATGGAATGCTCCGGTGAGGGGATGGCTATTCGGGAAATGGCTGATGGTTGTAACAGGAAGTGTGGGTGAATTCTGGGCTCCAATAATTTCTGTGGCAGGAGGAGTTCCTATGTTCGTGTAAATAGAAAGGCTGCCAAACCCCTAACGACACCTAATGAGGGAGGAAGAGAGGGAAGTGAGATTCGGTAAACGGTTTACCGATTTACCGTCGGTATTTACCGATACCGGTTTCGGTAAACCGATACCCCCCAACCCACGCTCGGTCGCCGATACCGTCGATAAACGGTTCGGTAAAACGGTAAACCGTTTACCGACAAACCGAATCTCACCCCTACTTGAAATTGTACCATAATATTAAATGTATAAGTTCAAGTTGTACTATAAAGGAATTTGTACCCTTATGTTATGATACAACTTTACAACTTAAAGTTGTACCATTGGAACTCATACATTTCGGCTTCTAGAAGCAGGCAGAAACACGACCAGGCAGTAAAAATGCGAGTAAGTACCCATTGAACTAAACGCGGATTTAAGGCCAGTAACAATGACATCACGGTGGTGGTCTGCCAAAGATCAAGGCAGTTGTTCCTTCAAATGGTGTATCGAATGCGAAATAACCAAACCTGGTTTGGCAAATTCCAGTTTTCTAAACAAACAGAAGATCAAATGCTTTATTTTGTGCCCTCTCCTTTAGAGGGTTCCGGGAATCATTCCCCCAAGCAGCGACGATCGGTTTTCACTTGGCATCTTTGGATAAGAGGTTTTGGCTGTCTATTTTCTTGGCATTGCAAAGACCATCCACACAATCCCCTCTTTCGAAAACAGCTGCTGCACCCATTCCAGTTCCTGCACATTGGAGTTGCACGGGACATCATTGGATCCACCGAAATATCGGTCCAATCTAGAAGTGAAGGAAGGAACCAGATGATGTAGTACGATTGTGATCACCTACCTATGCACATAGAAATGACTCCAAAGCGAGAGTCTCTACCACGGCGCTTCATCTCATGCAGCAAAGTAGCCACACATCGAGCACCTAAAATATCATAAGGAAAATGTTAAATCCGATTCAATGCAATGCAAGGTAAACCAAATTATCACTTATTAATTTGTTATACGGGGACTAGAACCTCTGATTTTGGTATAAGGGGAAAACTACAACTTATTTTGTGGCCTTATGCGAGGAAATGAATTAGAGCTTTATGTGTATCTGAACTCTAGTGGCTTATTATGGTTCTTTTTCTGGACAATTCACAATTGATGCAGTTAGACTGTAATTACCTGTTGCACCCAAAGGATGTCCAATGGCCATTGCACCTCCATTGACATTGATCTTCTCCGGGTCAAGTCCAAGCTTCTTGCGGCAGTAGACAAACTGGGAAGCAAATGCCTGCAAACCTAGCAACAGTTAGTTTTCAAAAGAATACAAGGACATTAATGCAGGTCCCCGAATGCAACTACAAAGACAAGAAGGGAAAATAGCAGGATATCACTCATGCCTCATTTATCTCGAAAAGGTCGATATCTTCAAGCTCCAGACCAGCAAGTTTAACAGCTGCTGGAATTGCAGCAGCTGGACCAACACCCATTATGGCAGGATCAACACCAACAGCAGCAAAGCTCCTGGGGAAAAAAAGAACGGTTTTTGAGGTCTCAACATCAGTATCAAGCTCAAGAGAGCGGAAACTCAAGAGGTATGTGAATGTGTTGCAACTGAGACTTTAAGAATTAAGTGTCTAAATATGAAAGTTGCCATCCAGAGGACATTCATTATGGTATCATTTAGCAGGAACAAAATCTTTACACTTCGTAAATTAAGAAGAATTCACCAACAATGTTGCATTCACATATAGCCCATTCAACTAAATCACAAAAAGCAACAGACAGCTAAGTGCAAACTTTCTGCCCTGAACATGATGTCAGAGTAATGGTCCAGGATTAGGACATTTAAGTATCAATATAACTTGCAAAGATTCCTTTAAAGTGAACAAGTGGCTAACCAACCTGAACACTCCGAGGATGGGTAGACCCTTTTGCATTGCAACACTTCTCCTCATGAGCAATACAGCCCCAGCACCATCACTCACTTGGCTTGAATTTCCTAAAGATCACAATACAACAGCTTATGAGATGAAGATTTAGAAATAGAGTGCCGTGAAGGAAAGAAAATGCAATCAATTCTACCAGCAGTAGTGGTTCCATCTTTCTTGAAGACGGCCTTCAATCTGCCCAAATCCGCCACAGTTGTGTTAGGACGAATCCCATCATCAACAGAAACTACGATGGGTTTCTCGTCACCAGTCTTCGGGTCAACAATCTATAAGAAAGAAGAAACGGATCAACTGATGCAGATACAAGAAATTAAACAAAATAGATTGCTAGAAGGTGGTTGAAACTGATATATACCTTGGTAGCAACTGGGATGATTTCATCCCTGAATTTACCAGCAGCAGTAGCGGCAGCAGCTTTCCTATGGGAATCAACCTAATAGCAGACATAATTAATGAATGAATTACACATCATGATACTAATATAACCTGAAGTTACTTTTTTTCACTTACTGCCGCTTCATCTTGCTCCTTCCTAGTCACACTGAATCGATGAGCAACATTTTCTGAAGTGACACCCATAGGCAGAAGGCAATTTTGAGCTTGTTCAAAAATTTTCACCTGCCACATATATTATGGTGGACTGAGTACTTGGTAAGTAAAAACCAACTTGCCAATACAAATTCATAACCAACAGTAAACTCACGGAAGATACGTACTTTTGGGTTCACATCACCATCCCAAGCCATCGGGTTAACGGTCATGGACTCCAACCCAGCTCCAATGCCTAAGGTTTCAAAACGGGGCATTACAAGGCCGCATAATCATGAACCGCAACAAGTTCCCAAACACAAAAAAAAGGAAAGAGGCATCCTAAAAGAGAAGATCTCTTACCAATGTCATAAAACCCAGCTTTGATAGCTGCAGCAACATCAGCAACTGCCTGAAGACCCGATGAACATTGCCTGTTAACAGTCCTGACAGGCACGGTTTCTGCAAACACGTCCCACGAAAGAACCAAACCTATTATTAGCCATAAAAGAAGCAACACCATTTACAAAGAGCCGACAGCTGGGTGAGGAAAACATACCAGGGATACCAGCATAGAATGAGGCCATCCTGCACTCACTAGCTCTTTGTGATCCCGGTGCCAACACCGTTCCCACAACAATATCCCCAATTTCGCTTGGGTTAAGATTTGTTTTCTCTATCACTGCCTGCATACCCAATTATTACCAACCATCCACGACAACGAGGCAACAAAATCAAACTTCCCACTTCCCAGATAAATTGGGGCAACAATTCTCGATCATTCAACAGATGTAGTACCTTCAAAACTGGCGCAAGCAAATCATCGGCAAATGTATCCTTGAAACTTCCACGTTTAGACTTGCACAAGGCAGTCCGATAAGCCCTGCAGAAAATTACCGAAACCAAAGAATGTAAAATAAACACTATCGCTTTCACGGCCTCAGGGGACAACTCACTCGAAAGATCAGGTGAGGGCGGAAGGAAGGAAGGAAGGAAACACTCACGCCACGATCACGACATCGTCGCCGAACACCGAGTTCCTCTGGTAGGCAGCGCTATCCCCAGCTGAACAAGCCGAAGCCTAGCGGAAATTCCCACGCGAGCCAAAATCAATCAGCAAACAACACAGCACTAAATTTCCAATATCTCAAATGGATGGAGGAAAAATAAAATCAAACCAGCTGAAAGAAAGTTCAGTCACACCGCAGATCACAGAGAACACAAATCAGAGAGAGAGAACTCACGGAGAGAGCGGCGTGATCGGAGGAGGAAGAAGGGCGGAGGTGATCGAGGAGGATCCGCTGCCTGTTGATTGCTTTCTCCATTGCAATCGGTTCCGACGAAGACAGAAAGGGGGGATATGAATTATGAGATGAAATTGGGGGAAAGTGAAATGATCTTTTCGGGAAATGTTGTTGCGTGTGTGATTTGGAGGTTTTTATATATACACACAAAGTTTGGCGGTCTGGTCTTTGATTTGGAGAGTTGATGAGAAGGAGGTGATGACGTATGTATTACGTAAGAATGAGGATAATGATATGGTTCCTCGTTCGGCACACACTCCTATAAATCTCAACTTCCTCTCTTCTTGTCCGTAAGCGCGTGTAGAACATACGCGAATGTTAAATGTTTGGGCCTCTGAGGCCCGATTTTGCAATCCATAATCCGCTTCTTCAATTTTCGGCCTTTGGGCTTTGAGGCCCCCAATGACTCATAGTTGGTACGGAGCTATGAATTTGAACCAGACAATGGCATGGTCTCTCAAAGGGGTCGTTTGGTTTTGGTGATAGTTAAATCGATGTATTGTCATCAATGCATGCATAATAATATAAATGTATATAGGAAAATTGGTCTATTGTAGTTTACATATCGTTTGGTTTTTGTGATAGTTATTGTAGTATTTAAATAAATTATATCAATTTTTGAGTGAAATGTCACTTTTACCCTTTATTTTTAATACAAAAAGCAACACACATAAAAAGGTAGATACATATTTGAAAGAAGAAGAAGAAAACACAACAATCTCCGTCAAACAATCTCAACAATCTTAACGAAAACTAGAGATTTAACTATCACTCATTTTGAGTGATAGTTTGTGTCAAATCAAGCAAACAATGCATGTATTGTTTGCACAGAAAATTCAAAAAAACGATACATTGTGGACATTGCATGCATTGTAACTATCCCAACCGAGCTATCACCAAAACCAAACGAACCCATTTAGCCGTTTGTCCTATCCATTTGTAACAAATGAGCCCACTACTATTTTTTTTTAAAGACAATTATGGGCTTTTATTATGATGGTACCTCATCCATCTATGAACAAAACAGGAATACGTAGTTTTTTTTTTTTTTACCATTTTGTTATTAGGTCCGAACTCAAGGACCATTTTGTTACTTTGTTCAGCTGACATTTTGTTAACGGGCCAAACTTTTGTAAGCATTTTTTGTTACATTGTCTAGAATCTAGATATGTGTGGTTTTCAGGTCAGATTGATCATACCCGTTAGTGGTAACTTAAATGCTAACATGGCGATCATATGCCAACTTAATATTAACGGCAGCATAGTGGGTTGGGCCCAATACCTAGCTGTATGCGGACAAGGGAGAGAGAGGGTGCGGGAGGATTAATTTAAGCCCACTAAAATGGCGAGGCATAGTGACTGGTGAATGGGCCTAAAGCGAAGCAGGCTCGCGGGTGACATTCAAGTATGAAAGTTTGGAATGGTCCAGAGGCCCACCTAGTTACGTAACTGCTTGGGGGGACGTGATTGGGTTACTTGGTTAGTAAACAACTGACTAAACACACAAATTATTGTTTCGAGTTGATAAAATAAGCTACTGTATGCACCAAAATAAATAAATAAATAAAATAAAATAAGCTAGTGCTACTTAGGGGTCCAGGTTCGTGTCAGGTAACCGAACATAAACTATTAGGAAACCCAAATTAACCAATTACCCAAAAATCGAAACTAAAATCGATAAGCCACTAAAGAATTCAATTTCGGTAAGGACATGTCATAAACCGAAAAATGAACATCTGATTGCGTTAAGTTTTATCAATTTATTCTCGGTTTATTGACGTTTTTTATTGGAACCGAAATTGAAAATTTCTTAAGGGCTGATTCATTTTTACCAGTTAAGTAAACCAATAAGCCTATAAAATCGATTTGGTTTCAGTTAAATCCGAAAAACCGAAACCAAGCCGCCACACCTAGTGCTACTATAAGTAGGGCGTGAGTCGGGTCCATAATATCTCTTATATATCATTATCATAATTATACTGGTACATAACATCAATGGTAGGTTAAGGTTTGTCTAAGGATCTCGTAGATACAACGCTTGTCAAACCACATGCTCGTGCCACAAGAGGAAAGTTATTGACGATCAAAATCAATCAACTAACAGTTACGTACATTCGCGTAATACAACTAGAGATCGGTTTGGCATTCATGATTGGTTTATATTTGTCATAGTACACAACGAGCCAAAGAAATCACACATTAGTCAACACAACCATAGAAGAATGGGGGGAAACTTGTGAATACAACTTTGGAATTGCCGACGGTAGAGGAATTGCAAGCAATGATGAGTGGCTTGATATGCGGAGTTTATTGGCTGGACAAACAGAATTGTGGTGATTATAATATTTGCGATGATGCTAATAACATGAAATCCCCTCAATCTTGTGCTATAATCCCCCAGCTAGAGATGACTTTAATTTCGACCCCACATTTGGGTTGAGTGCAGATATTGGCAAAAATTGCCCTCCAAAGCATCTGGTTGGGTTGGTTGGTGCAACAAAACATGAATTCATTTAATCAGATTGCTGGGGGGAAAGTGAAGATTAACCCCATGTGATTGTGGGGTTAACTAATTTTATGCATGATCAAGATTACATATTTAATCAGCAGCTAGCTCGCTCTCCACTGCTTTTTACTTTGTTTGCTTGTCCAATTAATAACTCTAGTTTAATGATCTCTTATTCTTGATTTACTTAATTGCAAATTTGAAATCCATTTCCCCTTAGATATATATATGCCATAAAATGATAGAAAATTAAGCAATTATCTTACCACCAGTTGTAAATCAAGATACAAAATCAAATGAAGACAATTTTTATATAACATAGTGTTTCCCTGTGAGAAACTTGCGTTGAAAATAAATTGATTGCACATTTGACTTCTTTGGACAACGATCACTAAACACGGTTCACACCTCTTCAAACACAGTTCGAACGAGGGTGTTCGATGTTTACACGACTCTCGAGACAGATCTACATTAAATTACTCCTACTACTATGGAGGTTCTGAGAGAGCTCCAGATCTACGACTATTGATAAAAATTTGCAGAGGAAAGATAAGATTGATAAAACTTGACAAGTGGTGTCGAGTGGTAATTTTTTCCGGGGTCTTCTCTGTCGCTCTATCCTCTTATTTATAGCCTTGAGTGGGTAACTGTCGTAGAAAAAACTGCCTCGGATAACTTCCAAAAAGAACTGCTCCCTGCTTCTTCGGAACGTGGCTGACGTGTCCTTTGAACGTGCGATGAGTAGCAGTTATCTCTCAACCGCCTATGTGCCTCTCTTGAGACCGTCGTAGGAGCTTGTAGCATGCCTCATATATCACGGTCATGGACTTCTTTACTCATGTCCATGGCCCTCTTGGGACTTAGTCTCTAGTGATATAATATTTCATCCCCATGTCATTCTCCTTCGTGTCCATGGCCCCTCTCGTGAGGCGGCATGGCCTCTCAGAATTATCATATGGCATGGCCTATTGTTTGCACCCATGGACCTCTCAATCATGGACATGGCCTCCCTCATGAAGCAGCAAGTCCTTCCCTATACTTAGAATATTTTCGGTTGTTTGGTTTAGATCATGAGGCGACATTGCCTCTTTATTCGCGACCATGGACTTCTCATTCATGTCTGTGGCCCTTTCCGTTGGACGGCATTGGCCTCCTCATACTTAGTATTTTTCACGTGCCCAGGTCCTCTTGTCTCGTGTCCATGGCCGTCACATATGACACGGCCATGGACCTCTTAATCATCCACATGGCCCTATATTCTCATACTTAGAATATTTTTTATCATACCAGGCCTTCCTTGAGATAGCATGTGCTTCTTTATTCTAGATGGACGTGTTCTTCTTTGATGAGGCGGCATGGCCTCTTCCGGACTTAGTTAAATTTTCACTCCTTTGGTCTTATTGGTGAGGCGGCATGGCCTCTAGATCTCATACGGACGCGACTCTGTTTGATGAGGCGGCATGTCCCTCTTTAGACTTAGTGGCTTGGGCTTAAAATCAATATCCATAAGGCCCAACTGAAACAACATTAATTGTTATAATGGGGGTGGCCTTATAAACTCATTAATTATCTTGTAACTCACCAATGTGGTACAAGACAACTTTTTATGGTGTAAACACAGAGACATTGCTTTGTGTGTTATCACATGAGGAACCTAGATAGCATGATCAAGCCCTAGAAATCAAACCACGAGCAAGAAACCCATCTCGCATCAACATCAACCTGCAATCCCGCATGCTACCATCTGCTGCCCTTAGTACTAGATTGGAAGCACAACAAAAAAAAATATTACGACGGACGACAGTACCAAAATTCAACTTGAAGCCTTAGAAGGCGGAGGACAATGGTACAATAAATCATTGGGTGTGCATTACCACTAACTAATCACACATTACTTCGACTTCTTCTCGTTTATTTATTTATTTTATAAATGAATGCAGCGCATCTCAACATTCATTCAAAACCAATCATGGTTGGGGTGCCCCTGACAATCATATACAATGCAGTGGTAAAGTACATAATACAAAGTCGACATAAAATTATACCCAGAAGATGCCTGTAACTAGCTAAATGGTCTATACACTTGTTACAAACTTGATAGATGTGGGAAAGTCAGAACTTCCCATTTTACTGAGTTAACAGCTCTTTGAATCTGTAGATGGCAACTGTTAGTATGTAGTATATGATCCAGAATTGAACCTCTCCTAACAACTCGAGTTATTGCAACCAGCTGGTTCTTGACATGGTATCAGAGCCTTCTGTGACCGTGAGGTCTTCTTTTCGAATCCAGGTGACCCCGTTTGTGAAGCACATGGGTATCGTGTATTCAGACCTGTGCAAACGGAAGCCTTTGTGAGGTTACTAACTTTCGTTTGAGGGGATGTGTTAGTGAATGATATGTGATCCACGATCGAACCTCTACCAACAACTCGAGTTATTGTAACTAATTTGTTCTTGACAGCAACAACCTTTCTCTCTTCCAACTGACAAGATTCTCTCTCTTTTTATTTGCAGGGGAAAAATTTTGTGGTTGACTTTAAGCAGTGTGGCTGTCCCACTTCTTCCCCTTTTTAAGAGTAAAAATTACAACCCGTACAACATATGATCATAACATTAGCGAATTATTGTTTTACCATGCTATAGCGTAGATGATTCGGCCGATTCATTATTTCGGTCAGTTGAGTAAGAAACAAGGAAGGAACGGAGTGCACATTATATATGCAGTACTGCAGGTGGGTTGGACCGACGTCGCTTTGGATGCAGCCTTTGCCCCCCAGATTTCCTGGCAAATGTGTACTTAATTATGCTTAATAATTGATCAAACATTGTTTTCATGCTGGTCTCAGTCTGCATGCCAACCGCAGTTTGCTTAAATCGTGATTATTGGAAATGCCTGATTTAGAGGGTCATCAAGTTAATTATATGGACTCACTCTTCCTGCAAGCAAAGAATCCACACGGATTTAGAGGGTCATCAAGTAATTATCTCTGGGGTGCTACTTTATAATCCATGTATAGTGTACATAGATTATCGCAAGTTATACCGAACAAGTTTTACAAATACTTAAAATACAATAAAATTATAAATAGTTCTCTTGTACATTCATAAGTTTTTTTTTATTCAATGGAATAATGAAAGACTATAAAGCTATTGCACCCAAACTCATAGACACGACCTAATGGTTCAAAAAGGCACGCTTAATCTTACGCTTAGGCACGCCTAGGCGCAAGGCAATGGCAAAACGCCTCCCCTAGGGATTTCGCGCCTAATTAGATACTGGAACACGTTAATGGAGTACGACGACATATAAGTCTCTCCTAAACATTACTAGATGGAGCTAAGAAGTCAATATTAAATACCAAAATTAACATCAACTGTGAAATCAATTTTCTATTGCAATATTTTCAATAGCTCAAGAACTTTGTGAACTATTGAGCTATGATTCTATGAACTCGTAAGCTATATATATTCCTATCATTAAGTGTTGAGTAAGGTATTAATCATTTATACTGAAGTGAGGAAGTGTTGTGGATTATTATTTCATTCATCATGCACTGCGAATAGCTATTTCCTTCCAACGCCTAGACACGCTTAGTCAACGCCTAGGCGAGATAGTCGCAAGGCAAAGGCGCTCGATGCCCTCCTTACGGCCAGTGGCGGAGTTGTGCATAATGGAGGGGGGTGCATGCAGCCCCCTGTGGGGGGAAAAACCAAGCATATATGGTGAGAGCTGTGGGTCGAACTTCTGACCCCATAATTGATGGTATGCAATCCCACCATCTCTGCTAGACGAGATTTTTTATTTATTAAACACACACTTTTAATTATAGCGACAGTAATGATCTGTCCTAATATCAAAACACTGTCGTCGATCCCAGGCAGAAATCCCCAATTCACTTTCGTTTTTTTCCACGACCCAGCAGCAGCCAGCAGCAGAGGCGCTCGCCAACCTCCAAGCTTGGAGCTTCCATTCTCCAAGGCTCCAACGGCAGCGAGTCCACCCTCCAAGCTCTCCATCTTCGGCTTCAAGATCGCCAAACCTCCACCCACCACCCTCCAAGCTCGCTGACCTCCAAGCACTCGCTGACCTCCAAGCTTCCTTCTTTTTTCAATCGTGAGCAGGGCAGGGGAGCATTGGAGCAACAAGCCGACAGCACAAAAATTGCTTTGGCTCACATCATCAATCTTAAAAACAAGGTAAATCTAAGTTTTAATTTCTATTACTTGAAGTTTTGTTATTTGTGTTAATTTAGCAAAAAAGATGGTGGAAACCAAAAAGCACAAATTGTATCCACATGTTTATTTGCTTCTCAAGTTGACACTTATTCTTCCAGTTGCAACTGCAAGTGTGGAGAGATCATTTTCATCCATGAAATATATCAAGAATGATCTTCGAAATCGGATGAACGATGAATGGTTGAATGATGCGATGGTGACATATATTGAACAAGATTTGTGTGCTAGTTTGGATAAGGAATGTGTTCTAGAATGCTTTCAGAATATGAAATCTCATCGAGGTTCATTGTAGGCGATGTGTGTAGAACTATTATTATGTAATTGTACGAATCTTGGGTATTATGTTATTGACATCATATTTTCGTTTAAAGTTGACTTTTTATTGTATAGTTGACTTTTTGATTATATGAACAAGCATCCCCTTGGCCAATTTCCTGGCTCCGCCACTGCTTACGGCCAACGCCTTTTTGAACCTCGCCTAAAAGTGTAGTAATCTTTTTCTTTAAAAAAATAAACGAGTTGACGTATAATACACACGAATCTAAGCATATATTACTCAAAGATTGCATTAACCAGAAACTTGTATCCAAGATAGTAAACTTGTTCCCCTCTTGCGTCCCGTTGAGAATGAGAGGAGAGGAATGTTGGTGCCGTTGAGATGATTTTGTTCGGTAGCGTGACTGACCTGACCGTACAGTGTGCAGCTGCACGTGCCGGCCTTTCTTTCCTTCTCCTATCGCCAATCAGACCATTCCTTCTATCCATTGGCTCCTTACCTTTTCTTTTACTTTGGTCCCCTTTTTTCTCCCTCTTTTTTCATTTGTTCTTTTTCAATAAATTAAATCAACCTGAAAACAATACATAACCCCAAACCTAAAATGTAGACAAAAGAAATTATTCTTGTGCTGTGAAAACAATAGGTGGCAACAGCTTCCGCCAATCACTCCGTGTAGCGGCAACGAATACCTACATGAACTCGGCTCGACGGCTGTTCATATGCCAATCCCATGAAAAGAGAGTCGGTGGAGAATAGTCGTAGCCTAACTAAATGGATGCTACATACTATATACGCATTGACTAAAGATTAATGTGAGCTAGGCCCATTTTGGAGGAGTAAAAGATGGTAACAATCTCAATAATAACATGGAAAATATTTAACTTATACAATTCTTATTAGGAATATAACTTTTTCATATTACATAACAATCTCCATAGTATAACATAATATTACTCGTACTACCCATACTCTATTATCCTCTCGCAAATTGATGGTCATTACTTACCAACAATTTGAAAGCTGAAACGTAAAATTGATGGAAACTGCGACGGACAATGTGACAAATAAAACTGTTTGTACCTACTAGCTCGAGGCATGAACAATAATGATTGTTGGTGTGGGTTGACTCGTCATCCGTTCGTCGGATCTCGGCGGGAGGGAGAGAACCTGTGAAAGAGCCGGGGTTGCCCCCCGGATTAAGCTCCGACGATCAAGTCAGTTTATGTGTAAGGTGAAAGTTGAGAGAACAAAGTAGAGAGATACAGTGTAGAGAGATGGTGGAAAGTGGAAAGTGAGGAGGGAGAAGAAGAAGTCCCTTTTCTTGGTGGGTTTCGTACCTTTATATACTCGTAGCGGGTTTCGAGCGCCATAGATTGTCGATTGGACGCGGTCTTACTTAGTCTGTGCGCGAAGTATCTTAGTAACACCAAAAAAACAAAAGAAAAAAAAGGCCCGCCAAATATGTCGATGTAGATGGATATCATGGCCCCTGGCCGTGAAACTTTGAGAGTGATAATTGGGAGAGAACGAAAAAACTCTTGCCAAAGCCGTCTAGTCTGTCAAAACTCTTAAAAACAACGTGCATATGAATCACACGCATTATAGTTGGGATGGAAAGGAAATGTGAGACGATAGATTGGATATTTTATGAGTGTATAATAGACTTTCTCGACCTTCTAATAGGAAATAAGAGATATATACTACTGTTTCGTCTGGAATATGAGATATATATTGTACCTGATTATCCATATTTACATTAATGTTATTCTATGTATATATGATAACAACTACTGTACATATGAAATTTCATACTATATTTCAGATACTTTTAATGAGATATTTCTATCTAATTATGAATTCAACAGCGGCGGATCCAGAACAGGTTAGAGCACTGGGCCGTATTTAAAAAGCGGTGAAGAGGGTTGGGCCGTAACCCTATAAACATTAAAATATATACCCAAAATCGAAAATTTACAAGTACTAGAGGAACTTTGGATCGAGGAGGACTGGGCTGTGACCGGGGCGCGGCCCCTCGATCCGCCGCTGAAATTCAACTGAGGGACAAGACTTTTAAATGGTGAGGCTATGATGGATGAGAAGAGGATGACTATTATAGGGATATAGGTATAATATGCACCTGTACTATGTCGTTTTATCAAACATGCCCCTCTACTATTTTTTACATCAAACATGTCTTTGTACTTTGGAAAAATTATCAAACATGCCCTTCTTGTAAAATTTTCATTGAAAAAATTGTCAATCATGGTTGAACCGAGATTTAGACGACCCGATATCGGCAAATAGGAGGGAAAATGTTAGTTTTGTCCCCTGTTTTATTTCTCTGAGTCTTGTCAAAGTGAAATTATTAGGATTATTTGGCTATATAAAAGCACCAAAAAAATTCTAAAGTGAAATTATTCGGGATATTTTAGACATTTGTGCCGCCCAAGCAAAAGTTTGGCCGTGGTTAACGGTTTTTGGATAAAATTTTTAACATAAGTGCATGTTTGATAATTTTTTCAAAGTACAGGGGCATGTTTGATGTAAAAAATAGTAAAGGAGCATGTTTGATAAAACGACATTGTACAGAGGCATATTATACCTATAACCCACTATTATATTGACGAATCATCAGTAGCTAGCTGTAAACCAACGAAGAGAGATTAATTGGCGCTCAGTGTGTAGTAGATGTGCTTAGGGATAGGGTTATTGTGTTGTGTGAGAGCATGAGCATGGTTGGTTGGTGGCTCACTGGCTCATGATTGGCGCTCGACTTTAACCCCCCAACCATACTTTAACTTAATTAGTTATGATTTTTATATAAATTGGCTTATTAATATGTTAGATTGTTAGTAATCCAGTAGTTAATTATAATATTTTTAACCGATCAAAAAAAATTATAATATTTTTATAATCTATTTTAGAAAAAAGATTTCTATAATCACTCAGTTATTCTATTGTTGTCGTTTCGCTTCACATCAAGTCCGGAGCTATAAGGTATAATTAGCTCGTTGTCTTGCACGAAAGCTGCGCTCACTTGAATTGCTCAATCGGATCCATCAGATTTCAGCCCATTAATCAATACTTTCAAATTAGTTTTAAATAATAATTTCCAATGATTTTGTAGTAAAATAGCCATTATGAATTAAATACCTTCATATATTTGTCATATATGATACATGCGTATTAAATAATCCCATGTCATATATAAAACATATTTGCTCATAAGATTATACAATTTAAAACATCGACCAAACATGTGTTCTCCCATGTGCTTGGTGGATCCAACCTTCATATCCATTATGCGTAGGAAATGTTTGGTGGCCATTGATTTGTGCCTCTTTTTCTATCAAATCGTCCCTAACTCTCTTGCTTCCATGTCCCCAAACTCCCACAATTTGGGTTGATTCGACTGTTCATTCGTATAATTGTATTATTTGAAATCCTTATTTAATTAAACAGAATGACACAATGTACACGAGTAGAAGAAACACATACATGTGTGTGTACAAGTCACCACACCCATGACACCAACAAGACGGTACAACCTACAGAATTTTGGTATCAATTATAAAATATTTAAACTATAATTTATTTTCAACGATGAGTAACAAATTTCTATATTATGCGAGGTTTTTGAAATACATTTATAGGTTATTATGCAACTCAAATATTTTGCAACACATACAATGATACAACAACCCCTCAATCATTGATAAATTGGTTATTATTAATTTGATTCCATATAAAGTTTGTTTATCAACTTCAAAGTGAAAAGTCATTTCAATGCTTGCAACTTCAACATATGTGTCAATTACTACAACTTTTTTAGATGTGTCAGAGATCCTAATTTCAAATTTTTATAATGACAAATCATGAATTTTTCTTCGAAATCTATAGCTGAGGTGTGCCTCTTGACACACCTCCCCTTGACCTACGACCACCCCTACGCATAACAGTATAATAACCCGAAGACAGTAAAAAATCTTTTTAATATCCATACATGTACAAAATGCATTTAAAATTCTTGATAAAGTTTTTCTCATATATTTTATGCTTCAAATACCAAACAAGTTATATCACATTTAATACATGTCTTTTAAATACATTTATATTTACTTCTTACAATTGAGTTTGATCCGAACTACTAATCTTAATGATCAGCCCAAAATTTTAATAAATGAGCAGGCTCGAGCTCAAATTCGACTTGACTCATCTCATTGATAAACGAGTCTAGCTCAAACTTTACTCGTTTATTAACAAGTGAAACCTGAACAAGTCAAATTAACTCAGCTTGCCTCGACTCATTAACAAACAACCCTATCCACAATCAAAGTACACATTAGAGGTTCTTCCACGAAAATTGAATGCATGGATGGATCCACGCCACATATTGTAATTTATTATTGTTAGTTCCTGTTTTCTTAACACGATTAGCCAATCGTATGTAACTCGCAGATGGAACATAATCAAGTTAATTACTTATGTGTGGTTTGGCCACTAATTACTACAACTTAATGTCCATGCTAATGCTATTGATAGTCTATTGTTTGTATTAGCATGAGGGCGGGGTTCCCTCCATTACTCGCACATGCTTAAATACTCGTTCACTTTTCTTTTAGTAAGTTTCTCTAGAGGATCTTTCGTGACTTATAAATATGTGTTTTTTAGATGAGAAAATTAAAAAAAAAACTATGGGATCTGAATTGAAATTCATCACAAATATGAAATCTGAACATAAAACGTGGTAATTGATGGAAAAATTAAGAGTTTTGAGTTTTCCAATTTCCTTGAAATGTAGCGCTTGGAAAATTGCCACATGCCAATTTTCCACATTTAGATTTCTTCCATTCTTCCCTAGCAGCAGCAGAAACTTGGGTAATCTCTATTTTTTATCCAAATTTTTTTAAATTTTTTTATATTATACAAAATTATTAAAATATTATTAATTAGCCAAATTTTTCGTAATGCATCAAAATATTAGCCACTTTTACGTTATCGTTAATAATTTTGTAACTCTTTTCTTAGTTAAAATACTAAAATTTTGGAATGTTGACCTTCATGTGTCTCTTCCACGTAATTATAATATTGTCAACTCAATATTAAATAACAAAAATGCTTACTTGAAGTTAACATTTGGCTAATTATTAATATTTCGATAAATTCGAATAATAATAAAAAAATCCCAAAAAAATTTGACTAATAAATAGTGAATACCTCAGAAACTTGGAACCAGCCCGGAATTGAAAATGGAGTTTTTTTTCTTTTTTTTCTTTCTTGTCATTGGATGACCAAATTAATAGAAGAAAATGTATTGCATTGCAATTGCATGGGTTTAACTTTAAAAGTTGAAGGGTTGACCGTTGTCCCGAAAACGCGTACCGGTGGGTTGTACGGCACACCGCCATCAATCCCGCCAAAAGAAAGGAGCACCAACATGAAAAAAATAAAATAAAATAAAATATACATTGATGTGGGCTTGGTTTGGCCAGTCAAACCAAACCCATTTCGGGTAAACACTACGGACCGAGATATAGAAAGATAGCAGCAATTAGCCAGAGTGCTCACACACATTCAGAGAGCGACCCATTTCGTTCGTTTGCTGCCGTAAGTAAATTAGTAAGCAAGTCACTCACTCTGCAAATTGAATATGACACAGACAGAGAATCCAGAGAGAAAAGAGAACCCGATTCTCCTCTGGTACCCAAGGCGGGATTTTCTCAGTGGTCAAGCAGTTTTTAGGTTCAAACTTGAATGAATGTGGCGTAGATCCTTCATTGTGATTTTGATGACATCTTTTTTTTTTTTGTTCCCGTAGATTCAAAGACGCAACACTCTGTTCCTCGTGGTGGTCAGTTACGTTTCTGGGTGGTGGTCAATTCCCTCAATCACTCCCACTTTCTTTCCTTCTTTCTTTCTTTAGGTAAAGCTCCTTAGCTTCAGCCCAAGTGGAAGAAAGAGAAATACATAAAGCACGGGTGAAGATTGCGATTTTGAGCCAGAATATATGGGTTTTGGATTGGACTCTCTCTCTGCATTGCCATTGCATGCCGTCCGGGAATTTGGTTGTGTAAAATGGCGCATGCAGCTCACCAAAGATGGATCTGGATCTAGCTGGGTTGGGTTGGGTAAACAAGCAACACCAAAAAAAAAAAAAAAGTGATCTCTTCTTCAATTGCTTGATTTCCAAGGCAGGAAAACTTAAATCTTTTTTTTTAACCTTTTTCTTCTTCATCTGTGACTGTGGCTTTGATTGGGGGGTTTATTTATTATTTGGTTTTGTGGGCCTTTTTCTGTTGTCTTTGTTAATCACCTGTTGTCAATGGTTCCCTCATCACCTTCCCCTGCCTCACCCACTTTTGCTCAATCATGTGAGTTAATGATGAACCACCCCCAAAGGACCATGCACCACCAAGTAATTACACACAAACAATGGACCTATCTATCTGGCATAACTGGGTTTTTTCCTCAAAATCTCTCTTGTGTTCACATCAAGATGAACCATGAATTGATTTTTAGTCTCATGTTTATATTTCCTTGTGGACTTTCCACTGTTCATACAAACCCCTCTTTTCATAGCCTGCAAAAAAAAAAAAATGTTACTATTATTATTATTATTATTATTATTATTATTCACTCCAGCCTGCCCGTCTTTTTCATTCGAAGTGAGTGTATAAAGATTTTGATTTCTTGAGTTATTCGCATCCAACATAGTACTGAATCATGGTATGCTAGGCTATCGCATCCACCCATCAACTCGTATCAATCGACTGATGCATCGCTAGTGTGGGGAGAATTCAACGCTTACTTGAGAGATAACACGTGCAATTTTTTTTTTTTTTGTGCTTCTAGCTTGTAACATTCTATAAACAATGCTACAGAGATGGGAGTGAGCAACATGGAGCTTCAATCGGTCTCCTACAAACCCAAGAACCACCAGCACTGTTTTTGATAACCCATAAGAAATCTCCTTTTAATATGTAAACATACACACACATATAGCCGCCCAAATTGTGACACTTTTCATCAATAACAACCATAGAAATCGAGTTTTACAAGCCTTGTTCCGGGCATAAGGAAAGCTCTCGTAGACCGAACTTCGATCTCGCGCCATCAAAAATTGGTCGGAGCTTTCTCCGTTAGTGGTATCCTCTCCAAATATATGTCAAATCTTCTCGTAAAATTCCACACAGAAGCCAACTGAATTCGAGACTCTATGGGATCGGAATCAGCAAACAAGGTCATACTTGACTTAACGTATTTACCCTTTATATTAAGTTATCCATGAATTTTTCAAGGGGCTGAAATGTCTGAAATCCAAATGAAAATACAAAGCCGGCTGAATACGAGTAAAGAAGTAGGGAGAAAGGAAGAGAGAAAAAAAAAAAGATATCTTAAGCACATGATTAGGTTTGTTTGAACATGTCTTGGGGTCTTCTGTTTGGTAAAACTTTGGGGGGGAAAAATTCCCATCAATTTAATCTTTTCTTCTTTCATTTCAGACGACAATGAAACAGAAGAGTAAAGAAGGGGGAAAAAGCAAGAAACAATACAATTGGAAGAAAAGGGGAAAAGGGAAGCAGAACATGATTACAACTTTTTAATTGTGGGCTTTTTCGACGGGAGTTGATTTTGTTAATTGTTATTATTCCCGTCGTTCCTCTTTACTTCTAGAGAGCTAGAAGTTGAAGCCTGTCTGTGGAAGGGTCAAACTCTCTTTCAAATGCCCGTGATTGGCGCCCCCAACAAAGTAAAACTTAAACCCAGCATTAGCACCAACCATTAAATAATTGCCATAATTATAAAAAAAAAGCAACCAAACAACATCATGGTAATTTACTAATAAGTAACGACGAGGGAGTGTTTACGAATACATTTTGGATTTTAAGTGCCTATAGATTACATACTATGAGTCTACGATCGATCAAGAAGTTATGAACCAAAATATTTTATGCGAGGTAAAGCGTGTCAGACAATACATATAATTTTTTTTTAATTTATAATGCGAAGGTAATGTATACGATGTTAACATACATATAAGAACTTACGAGGGACTACAAACTCTCAATATTTAGTCCAGGATTATAATGCATATAAATATTGAGAAAATATTTAGCTTCCCTCCTCCCAAGATGTAAATTCAATCATGCAAACTCATTATAATTTCTTTTCCACAATCCATTAGCTCTAAATTCTACTTTTGCCATGACACATAATGAAGAAAACCAATAATTTGAACAAAAAACCAGGGAGAAAGACTAATTAATTAAGGAATTCTTACGGGAGAATGAACTTCACTAATACTGCACGCAATTGAGTTTTGTTGTGTGGTTCGGGCTTGCCGCAAAATCAGCAGGAAACTGTGTCATCCTGCTTCCGTACTTGGTGGGGGTAATGAGAAGGGTGGGACCCAATCCACCATCCCACCGTAACCGCCTCGCTGACATGGCACCCATGCAGTTAAATCGTTATTGGCATTTAGTTACATTACTCACTGCCGCGATAAATATATTTAGTTTAGTTTGGCCACCGCAGAAATAGTTTCTGGCTGGAACTTTTAGATAAAAATACTTTTTTAAAAAATCAGTTTAGTGTTTGGCTGTAAAACTATTAGAATTGCTTTTTAATATGAGCGGTTGTGTAAAATGACTATAAAGGACTTATAATATAAAATATGAATAAAAATTCTAAACAATTAAAAGTAGTCAAAATGAATCTTTTTAGATTTTTTTATGTTAAATAATATGATTTTATATTTTATTTTATTTTTAACAAGATATAAATGAAGGAAAATTATATTTTCCGAAATAAAATTAAAATATGGTAAGGATAATCTTGTATTTTCAAAATAGCTTTTCGTAGAAGCTCCAAATCGGAGCTTCTGCTTTTATGTTATAGAAAAGCACTTTTCGACTTCTCAAAAGCCAAGCTTTTATAGGTGTTTGTCACTGCTTCAGCTTTTGAAGCCGAAAGCACTTCTAAAAGCCGGGCCAAAATGGTCCATGAAATTGTACCATGTCAGCGGTTCAACCACGAAATACCAGCATTAGGGGCTAAACCGGTAGGCGGTATTTAACGGTACTAAGGTTGTAATACGATTAAACCACGGTTTTACCATAAAATACCTTAACACTGACTTTCCCGGTACGGTGTCCGGTACAGTTTCATGGACTATGCATATTAGAGGTGTAACCGATATTCAAACCTGAATTGAATATTAATAGTTACACTAAAAATCATGTGTGCAATAATCGGAAAGCACAAGAACTCAAGAAGGGGATGATGACACTCTAAGTCAACTAGGTATGATTCTATGGACTATTTGGAATGAACGTAATAACCTTATGTTTAATAAAGCACAAGAAGGGGAAATCGTAGGGAAAGCCCTAACCTACTGGGAGGAATTCAAGTCCTATAACTCCAAAGAAGTCGAATTGAAACAAAGGGAGAGAATCACCTGGGAACCTCCACCGGCGGGATGGATCAAACTGAATGTCGATGTTGCGGTACTGAAGGATATAGGGACAGGATTTGGAGTTTTTGCTCGAGATGAAAGAGGCCACTTCCTGATGGCACCGGTTTGCCGAGAGCGCATCCAATGGACTCCAGAGCTGGCAGAGGTCAAAGCCATTGCTTTTGGTGTCCAGCAAATGGGGAGGTATGGCTTTAGCTCTGTCATCATAGAAACCGATTGCCAGAGCGCATTTCTTGCACTGGAGAAGACGGAGGTAATGAGAATGGAGGCTGGAACGTTGATCAGAGAGCTGAAAGCAGATGCAACCAGTTTGAGCCTGATCCAGTGGAGCTTTGTGAAAAGAGAAGGAAATGGAGCGGTCCATCTCATGTCCCACACAAAATGTAATTGGGACACCCAGGAATGTTGGGTATCTCGACCACCAGTTTTTAGTTACCATTTTTAGATTCTGATCCCATGAGGCATTAATAAACTTCAGGTCTGATTATAAAAAAATCAATGAAATAATAAACGGTTGGCTTCTGGTAGCTAAATTTAATTAATTACTAACCTATTGTTAAACAGATAGTAACCGATGATTAAATGTTAATCGATTCACCAATTATGGTCATCTTCGTAATTAGGACCGAAAATAATAGATCTCGATGAGTTGCGGGTATAGGCAAAATATAATGCGATGTTTGAAGGTCTACAAGATCCATTATCTACCTTAGCTCTGTAATAGTGAGTTAGGTTCAAATAAGAATAATTTCAATGAAGGGTTTTAAAAGGAGCACAGTAGAAAGGTGGATTTTGCACACTGCAGCTTGACAACAATCAGTAACATTTAAGCTTCCATGTAGTTTTGTGGGTTTTATAAGTTGAGTAATTATTGTTGGGTCTCTTATTCGTTTATTCTTCTTTAATCAAATATGATAGTATAATGTGTTATTGCGTATTTGTGTTGAATTGAGTTGATTATGGATTGATATCTATGTTAAATAAGTTCTTAATCAATGTTAATGATTTAAAAGAACTCATACGCATGTTGGGAAATACTTACAAAAATGCACAAATGAAAAAGTAGGAGGTCTTTTATTGGTTAGATTGCTGACCGATTATTTTGGCATAACCTTGCCAAATCACTTGCTTAACGGTTATCAACAGACAAAATAATCGAGAACCTGACTATACAGTTCGACTAGCCGACTAACATAAATGATGCGGTTAACGGTAATCACAAAGTGTTTAATGATTTACAACAAACCGACTAAATGATTACGGTTATAACCGAACTGAATAAATTGTCAATTAGGGCTGGGAATCTAGACCAAACCGTATGGGGAACCGCGGTCTAGACCGTATCGTATGGTTTTGGTCTGGACCGTGAGACCAAAACTATGGTCTGGTTTACGGTCTCCTCCTTTAGCTTGTGGTCTGAAGTGGTCTGGACCGTGGTCTACCGCACTAAACCGTAACAGACCGTGACACACTACCTACAAATTCATACCAAAATAACTAAATAAAACCTCCATTTCTGTATTTGAAGAACAAAGTTAGTTGATCTTTATCTCGTTGAGAGCCAACAGATTGTACAAATGATCGCTTGCGCGTTATCTCATTCTCAAAGAACCACACAAAAACTAGAAAGATTCCTAAATAATATTCACCGACAATGTCTTGACTATGAAGTCGATAACAGATCAACACTAGGAAAAATTCATTCACTCTGATGAGATAAGAAAAATTGTTGAGAGATAAGCGATCATCTTAGTGGTTCAAAACGACCTCAACATCATCACGAAGGTGATCTATAGCAAGAACCTTCCGGATCACCCGAGAGAAAGAGAGAGAGAGAAGCGATAACACAAAGAGGAAAAGGGAAACAAGGCTATTTGACGTGTGTGTTTTTAATGGATACTGGATAGAGCAGTTAATACTGGAGAGAGAGTTTGAAAATTGAAAAAACCCACTTCTCTCATATATATTTTCTCATTTTAATTACGATAACTAAATTATTGTTTCACTAGCATATTGGTCAATGTAATTTTTATTTTTATAAATACCGACGAAGAGTTGGAGGGAATAAGAGTGATTTTTTTAAACATGGTCTGCCTGGTCCAGATCATACCGGACCGCACCACACATGCGTTATCTGGTCTGGACTGTATAGTATATGGTCTGATTCATAGTCTGTGTCCCAACCTCTCGGTTTGGACCATAAACCGAACCACACCGTTTCTCATCTCTATTGTCAATCCTACTCACATGGAAGGAAGACTGGAATTACCCGACACGTGAGAGGATGGCAACGGCGCTCACACGTGCGGTAAACCGTGGCAACTACTATAGTTACTAGAGTGGTTAACAAACAACTGTAATAAGCGGTTGGTTTCTGGGTGGGGTTGGGTTAGGTCGGTTATTACACCTAATGATCTAACCAACCACTTCACCGTGGCGTTTTGCACTTTCACCCCGGGGGACAAACAAAACGGCTGGGGAACGGGATGGAAATTTCAACACCGTTAACGTTTGTGGTTAGCTAACGTCGTTAACTCCACCGTTTACGGTTTTCTCCCTTTTCCCCCTTACCTTCCAATGGGATTTGTTCTATAAAAAAGGTCGTTTTGTTGCAGCTCTCTTCTGACTCCGATACACACACTCTGCTTTCTCCTTTTTTCCCCCCACCCCTGCTGTCTCCTCATTCTCTGCAATTTTAGCCGGGATTCCTTCACAGAGAGAGAGAGAAGGGAGCTAGAGAGACGACAATGGCGGAGGCTCTGAGATGGTTCGCCCTGTGCACGGTGCTGGTCGTGGTGACGGTCGTCGGAGTTACGGCTACTGCTCGGAGCGGCGGAATCTCCGGTCTTACTCTGACTCGGTACGCAATATGCATTTTCCACCTCCGTTTGAATTGTACTCGCTCTACTAGCTAATCCTCACCTATTTTCCCCAATCTCGCGCGCTGCACTCGTGTTCGTCTCTGTCGCAACAACGCTTAATTGAGCGGAGCTCTGCTCTCTGTTCTACTCTGTTTCCCTCTGTTTTTTGCTTCCTACTGTTCAAAATTCACAGCTACTTAAGGTTCGTTGCTGCTATTTAGATCTTTTTCTCCGTCCAGTAAGTATAGTCTCTAGCTACAGAACGAACAAATTTTTAGCTCAGAATGTTTTTTTTTTACCGCATTGTGAAGGGAATCTTGTTCTTTAGACAATGTTTGTACTGTTTCTTGCGAAATTTTGAGCTGCATTCCGGAGCTGTATTAAGCTACCTTCCTCCTCTTTACACTAGTCTCTGAGATCGGGTAGAGCTATGGCGAATGAGGATTTCTCCGAATCTCATTAAAGACTGTTAACTGTCTGCATTAATGGCGGTTTCTCTAACGAGGCCTGCGCAACACTTGCCTTTCGCTTCATTTATTTTTCCCCCCCTTTCCTTCCTGTGTTGGCCTTCCGTAAACGGGACACAGAAAGTGAGAGCTGGAATGTAAAAGCCTTAAATGCACCGACACTGTTGAGCTACTCCAAAACCCGGAGCTCATACATACTATGCTCTGTATACCTTTTTTTGTTTTTGTTTTTTTAATGGCGGTTGTTTTAATTCTTTCTTCTTCTGTACAGGAATGTGGGAACTGAGGCGTTGCAGAGCTCGAGCAACTCTTCCATGGCGGCTAGGTAATTAATTAAACAGAGGAACACTCGCTGATAAAGTAGCTCTGAAGTATTTATGAGTCCCCACTCCTCCTTACATTCGATCTGATCCGTTAATCTGTGCGCATTCCTCTCTCCTGGGCCGTTAGATGGTGCTGCTTGCTTGCTGCATTTATGTTGGTTGTCCGGATCGTGGAATCTGTGCCGTTGAGATTGCTAGGATCTTTAGATCTGGATCGTTTATTCAGTTACGGTTCGTTTTCTTGGATTCCTTAGTTGGGAAGGTGGAGAAGCCCCCATGAGAGAAAAACCTTCTTTTCGTTTCCCTCGCCGCTCCCTGGCAGTAACTTTCAGCCTTAACCGACTTAAGTTCACGTTAAACTCACGCCTCCTTTTTAGGAGAATCACATTATTGTTATCTTTCAAATCCAAACGGTAGGTTGGTGATTAATTAATTAATTAATTAATTATACCCGCAAATTAGCTTCTCGCCGGCGAATATAGAAGAAAATGGCTTTTAACGGTTTTAGTTAGGATAGCGACGGGCCATGTGCTGCTGAGAGGGACTGGGTTAAGCAAGTAGGAACTGCACGCACAATATCCCAAACGGACACGCACCGCACTCTCCTGTCATTTCAGGGCTATGGCCTCCTCGAACTTTTTTTTTTACTGTCCTATTCTCAGGAGTCGGTGACACGTGTCCACCAATGTAGACCATTGTTGCTGTTTTACTTTTTTACTTGTCGAGGTTGTCATGGAATTGGAAGTAGCTTTTTTCTGTTCATGTCATTGTAGTTTTTCCTTTTTTTCCCTTACATGGTCTTCTTCCTTCCTTCTTTTTTGACAGTAACTTAGAAGAAGTGGGTGGTGCTGAATCGGTGAACAATGAGCATGCCGTTCAAGACCCAGAAGAGGTGGTTTCAATGGTTGAGATGTAAGTTTCTGTTGCTCACTCTGTTCTATCTGCTGAGCATTAGCAAATGACCCAACTGACGACCCATTTCCTCCCCCATCAAATTTTACTCTCGGGCTGAGCAGTAGTTGTTTTTTACTACTGCAATACTGGAATTGTGGGATTAGAGAACTTTTTTTTTTGGGAAATTGAATGGGGTTCTTGCTAACTTTTGCTTTCTGACCTTCCTTTGCTGCCATGGTCTTTTTGGTGAATGAAACTCCCTCGCTTTACCAAAAATATCAGAAACCACGTTCCTCGGCTCTGCTGCTCTCCCTTCCTCAACTTTTATTTTTTAATATTTAGTTTAAAATCAGCATTTTTCTTCACGCTGTTCATCTCTCTCACCTGCCACTACTCTACTTGTGGCATGAGTCTGATGAGATGTGTGCTTTCTTTTGTTGCGTCTATCTGTTTCATGTTCGTGCTGCATGTACGTTTACATCCAGAATACCTGATTGGATCATTTTCTCGCTGTTGACGTGGTTCGGTCAAGTAGTCATTTATTGGAATAGCTGAGCATCGATTCATCATCAAACATGCTAAGAGTGAGAAAAAAAAAACAGAGTTCTTAACGTTATCTTTTTTTTTTTGGGGTAAAATCTTAACGTTATCTTTGATTGTGACATGTTAGACAAAAGTAACGTAAACATACCCTGTTTTGGCTTTGTGTACTAGAAACCAAAGATTGACACAGCTATCTGATAATGGTCCTTACTCCTCTCATTTGCATACAGCCAACCTGTTTGTTTCCATCTGGTAATTGCATTATTTTCTCCCTGCTGCTCTTGTTGTGGAAGTTGAGCTAAAAGAAAGATAGGATAGGATTGGATTGGATTGGAACGGACAGAAGAGAGAAAAAGGCTACAGCTTTTGGTCTTAGTAACTTTCCACCACCGACACATACACACCATGTGTCCGTACAGTAATACTAATTCGTTCTCTGATATTTGCTAGCCAGCTGCATATAAATAATTCAATCCACAGAACAGAAACAGAGTGTAGGTCAATACCACACACTTTGTTGAAATTGGATAAGGAATCATCTAAACGTATTGCTTTGTGTTCACACTCGATCCCAACTAACCGGATCGAATTTGGCTGGGTTGATTTTGTGTGGAAAATGATGATTGGCCTAACTGGATTTGATTCCCCCTGACACTCGTAATCACCACACGCAGGAGCATCCGCAACAGCACTGAAAGGAGAAAGCTAGGATACTTCTCTTGTGGAACCGGCAACCCAATCGACGATTGCTGGCGCTGCGACCCACACTGGCAGAAGAACCGCAAGAGGCTCGCCAATTGTGGAATCGGGTTCGGAAGGAATGCAATTGGTGGGCGTGATGGCCGGTTCTACGTGGTGACCGACTCCAGAGACGACGACCCCGTGAACCCGAGACCCGGGACCCTGCGCCATGCTGTCATCCAAGACAGGCCGCTGTGGATCGTTTTCAAGAGGGACATGGTGATCCAGCTGAAGCAGGAACTGATCATGAACAGCTTCAAGACGATCGATGGCCGTGGTGCCAATGTCCACATTGCTAATGGAGGATGCATCACCATCCAGTTCGTGACGAACGTGATCATCCACGGCCTCCATATCCACGACTGCAAGCCCACGGGGAACGCCATGGTGAGGAGCTCGCCGACGCATTTCGGGTGGAGGACCATGGCTGATGGAGACGCCATCTCCATCTTCAGCTCTAGCCACATTTGGGTCGATCACAACTCGCTGTCTCACTGTGCTGATGGGCTGGTTGATGCGGTGATGGGCTCGACTGCCATTACCATCTCCAACAACCACATGACCCATCATAATGAGGTAAGGAAGAAAAAGAGAACAGTCAGTTTCAGTTCTGTTGTCCATGTTGCTCCGCGTTTCCACATAGACAAGGGTTTTTGCAGATTCATTAGGTTTGCAAATTGAATGATGCAGGTGATGCTGTTGGGGCACAGTGACTCTTACACAAGGGACAAGCAGATGCAAGTGACCATTGCTTACAACCACTTTGGAGAAGGACTCATCCAGAGGATGCCAAGGTAATTAAACATTTATTTCCCAAATTACAGGTCTCTTTGTTAGGTTTTCTTGGCAAGCACTAACAAGAGAATTCATAATGTTGCTGCAGATGTAGACATGGGTACTTCCATGTGGTGAACAATGACTACACCCACTGGGAAATGTACGCGATCGGAGGGAGCGCGAACCCCACCATTAACAGCCAGGGCAATCGATACAACGCCCCGGTCAACCGGTTTGCGAAGGAGGTGACGAAGAGGGTGGACACCGCGGCGGGCCAGTGGAAGGGGTGGAACTGGAGGTCGGAGGGAGACCTGTTGTTGAATGGTGCTTACTTCACGCCGTCGGGTGCTGGAGCTTCCGCAAGCTACGCTCGTGCTTCTAGCTTGGGCGCCAAGTCTTCTACGATGGTCGGATCCATAACTGCCAATGCCGGTGCCCTTGGCTGCCGCCGGGGCCGCCAGTGCTAGTACACACTCTCCTCTTTCTTCCACAACCCACCAATTTTTCTTTTTGCCCAAAAATGGGCAAGTCATCATTATCATCAACCAGTCTTTTCCTTCCAATTCCATTATAGCAATTAAGCAACAAAAAAAAAAGCAGTTCAGATTAAAGGTCTCTCCCATTTTCCTGTCTGTCTGTCTGTCTGTCTGTCATTGTTGTTTCTTTGAGTCGTCGTCTTCATTCAAGTCTCCATGTCTACAAAACTTCCTTGGACCACACAGCTTATAGCTAGCCCTCTACTCTCCTCCACCATTGTTGGCAAAGTGTACATTTTTGGCACATTGTCAGTCACTATATATATATAGGTTGCTGTCTGTCTTGTTTTCCCACGTCCCCAATTGTTTATGTGTGCATCTTATTCTTGTTTGGTGTCAACCTCGGCCTGTTTCATCGGAAAACCAGGCAGAAGTGCTATAGCAGTAGAAGCAGGTGCGGAAGCGTTGCTGGTTCGGATTTCTTCTCTAATTCTTCTTCATTCTAACAACTGTCAGTAATCGTCTTCGTCATATCTATCTATCTTTCTATCCATGTAATGCGTTCTTCTCTTGTGAGTGTAAGTTTAATTTGTGTTTTACCTGTATTGTCAGCAGTCAGTTTACTTACTAATACAAACAAAGCAATATATCATAGTACCATTTCCCCTCCATATTGTGAGCGTGTTCATGATCGTGTTGGAAACGGGGAGGGAGTTTATCATCATTTTTTTTATACCTTTTACGCTTTAAGCCTTTGTTGGGTGTTAATGATTGATGATAATGTCTGTTGATGATGATTGATGGAGGTAAGTTGGTGGGGTGGTTCCATGTGAAATGATGTTGGGGCTTTTTAATGATAGTTTCATGTGCATTCTCTACTCTAGCCTAACCCACCAACCACCGCGGTTGTCAATGAATCAACCCTGTTTTCTGGCTAATCAATCCAACCACGGGGCCGATAACCAATCCTCGAAGATATCACCTGTTTGTAGGTGTTTGTTTCTAATCACGACATTCCTCTGTGGGATTTCACTTTTCAGCACCATGTTTAATTAAGGTGTCGTTTGTTTGTGGGATTTGGGTAATGTATTTGGCGCTCAATACAAAGCATTACGTATTTGATATGAAAATGCTGTTTGTTGAGGTATACAAATCTGTAGGGCCCATGGATTTTGACATTTTTTTAGTCCCAAATCCGTGGACCCCACGTATTTACAAATACCACATTTCATTTGGTATTTGGTCATTGAAGGCAAGAATTTGAAACCCATAGTAAAAAAAAAAAATCATGATCAAAATCAATTAAACAAACAATGTCTATCTTTCAAATACAAAATGAAACAAATCCATCATTAATTCAAAGATATTTAAAACTGAAAACCTTAATTTTCAAATCTAACAAGCAAACGAGCACTAAGTTGATCAATTTTAGGCATTGGGCGAAAAATAAATGAAGTTCATACCACTACGTTTATTTTCATAGAAAAATGGGCTGAATCTATAGCTCTACCATACAGAAGTCCAAATTTCCATGCGTTGTAGATAGCCTTTTTAAGTACAAGGCAATAGTTCCCACTCTATATCATCACCAAGGTTACAAAATCGTAATTGAGGTTGTATTGAAAAAGTCTAACGACCGGACATTTTATGTTAAAATCGTGGTTTAACCATGATTCAACTGTTTCATATAGTCAAAAAATCACTTACTAATCTATGAAATTTTCCTGATCAAATTGCTGGTACTTTAAGCTTTTTACAAACACTAATTATCAATGAGTATTTTTCTTAGGGATTCTTAGGCTATTTTTGTTTTGTTTTGTTTATAAGGCTGAAAACCTTTACATGATCAACTAGGATTTGACCTCCTACAAGTAAGATTAAAACACAACTAATCCTTCAATGGAACATAATAATGGACAAATAGGTCCATGATCATGACACGTAAGTGTATACTTTGAGATGGAAACTCAATCAAATTTGCCCTTAACTTTGTCCTTAACAATTTCGGTGGTTGCCTGGATCGCCGAGTTTGATACTTTGTCTGTGGCGTCTTTTGCCAGTTTCTTCACCTATTCATTACCAAAACCGGATGAGGAAGAGGCCTGATATATAGTTAGCTAACTGTATAATATAATAGGGGATTTGTGGTTGCAATAAAAATTGGAGTTACCGTGTCAGCAGTAGAAGAGGCAATATTGCGCACAATTTTGGTGGTCTTCTTCACATCATTCACTCCTTCTTTAACCGTCTCAGCTGCCTCTTTCACCTTGGTGATTGTTTCCTTCGTGTCTTTGTCCATTTTGTACTGAGTTTTCCCCCCAATGTTAGCAAGTAATCAAATGATATCTCATTTGGTGTCAAAGACATAATCTCACAAGCTATTGAATTCTTAAGATTTTTCCAGGAATTTCCGAATCCTAAATGATAATAATACTCTCATTTGGGTTAAAGACATAATAACACAAGCTGTTGTTAATAGAGGTGGCTATACGGTCCGGTCCGGTTAAATTGGTCCAAATTGATCCGGTCCAGTCCGGTCTTTTTGAAAATATAAGGACCGAAGATTGGATACAGTCCGGTCTTGATCCGGTCCGGTTTTGATCCTGTCCGGTCCCAATTCGGTTTTGATTTTACATTGAGATTGTGGGATTTGAGTGGCCTAAGGCCTTAAAGGGTGAGGAGTTGGTTAAGTTTTGTACTAAGTGCAAAGGTTTGTGACCGTTTATGCAAATTACCCTTAAGTTTTGGGTGTTGAGCTCTCTTATCCGGTCTTTATCCGGTTTTTTACCTCAAATCTAAGCCCAAAGATTGGATTGGATTGCTTGCTATCCGGTCCCGGTCCGGGTTCCGGTTTTTAATCCGGTCCCGATCCAAATAGCCACCCCTAGTTGTTAAGTTAATATCTTATTTTGATATGAATTGGTGATCATGCAACATAAGTTATCAGAATGCATAATGAAAGGTAATATATATGTCCTGTATTTGAAATGAAAAAAAAAAAGAAGCAAATAAGTGATATAGTAATTAGACAACAATTCGCATGTGTTGTGGTTAGGGTGTGCAACAATTCCAGTTGACCGAAGTAATTATTAAATTGATATATTGTAATAATACATATGCTATATTAGGTAATAAATGTTAATCATTAGATAAGAAGGCTAAGGATTTTGTTGCCTTTATTTCATTGGATTAATGGGTTAATTGGAGAGAAATGATTAAACAAACATATACGATGGATTTGAAAATGAAGGTTTTTAGTTTTCAAAACCATTGGATTTATGATGGATTTGTTTCATTTGGTATTTGAAAGATAACATTGTTTGATTAGTTGATTTTGATAATGGATTTAAAGATTTTTGTACCATGAGTCTCAATTCCTTGCCTTCAATGATCAAATACCAAATGAAATGTGGTATTTGCAAATACGTGGGGTCCACCGATTTGGGGCTAAAAAAAATGTCCAAATCTGTGGGCCTTAAACGAATTTGTATACCTCAACAAACAATGTTTTTATATCAAATACGTAATGCTTTGTATTTGCCTGCCAAATACATCACCCAAATCCCACAAGCAAACCAGCCCATAAATATGGAAAAGAAGAAGCTAACTTACAGAATCAGTTTCAGAATTGGCGACATCTTTGACGAATTTGGCCGCAGTCTTGACGTCGCTTAACCTTTCTTTGAATTTCTTGCCGGATTGTTTTTCTCTCTCTTCTTCATCTTGCTGCCAAGAAATTGTATCAAATAAAACCGCTATTGAAAGGGAGTCGATTCATATATTGTTTTTTTTACCAAATGAAATGAACTCACTTTAGAAGAATAATAATAAGAAGGGGAAGGCGAGGAGGGAGTGATCGGAGGAACCCTCAGCCGGCCAGCAGCTCCGGCGGCCGGGCGGAGGAACCTGGAGAAGGTTGAATTATTCAATCTCGATGCTGACATCATCATCATCGTCATCTTCTCACGATGGATTTGATTTGCATCACTATTTTGAAGATTTGGGGAGTGGAGATGTTTATGTTTGATTAGTAGTACGTACAAAGTAATTGTTGATCGGAGAATTTGCCGGTGAGTTACTGGTTAATTGGCAGCATTGGATCCGAGTTTCGCGTAGTCAAAACTAAATACTCTTAGCTACTACTAATGTCAAAACTTAATTCTACCATCCAAAATCGATACACCGTGTGCTCGAGGTAGAAGTTATGTATAAATGCATCGTCATGCTATTAAGTATTTTAATTCGGGAGTACTTGAGTCAGCCGTCGGTGTCCGACTACGTCTTTGACACCTATCTAATTTTTGGGCCAATTTCCCCTTTGTAATACCAAAAAAATGAGATTCTTGCCGAATGCGAGTTTGTTGCTTCAACCATTACCAAACTAATACCTCCTCTGTTTAGTCAAAATTAGGACGCTATACGGAAGTTCGTGCCTACTTATCCCAGCTACAATAGCCATAACTTGAACATTAGTCTGTCGCTTTCTTACCTAAAAAGATTGTATCAGTTCGGATTGCAGAGTATCACGGACGATCTACCAGCAAAGGAAGATCATATTATCGTAATAACAAAAGCTTCTCTCACAATCATATGATCATATCGCATGTATATGCACGTTGCAAAAACAATAACCTAATACACATGCAAGGAGCGTAACACCGTCGCGTAATTACGCTGCTCCATCATGAATTAAAACTGCCGCCGAAGAATTATACTACCACCAGAGGCAAATGAATCAGCTCCATACCGTAAGCCTGTGACCGTAACACAACAATCCATAGATTCCAGACTGATTAACACGAGTGATGAAAACAAGCACTCAGCTGTGAAGCAGCTGTCAGTCTGACAACTTGACATAACGACTGCAGCCTGTATTTTTTCGGGTTACACCAATACAGAACAATCCACATAATGAAAAGGCTAATCCTGTTCATCACAAGCCGACTCACATTCGGTACAAGCGAAGTACAAACACCTCTCCTGCTATCTGAACAAACTCACTGGATGACTACATCCATGGTGTTCCTCTCTGAAAACTCAAAGAGAACATAAGAGAGAGCTCTTAAGGTGACCTGGATCGGTACCTCCTTGATCTCCCACCACCATAGGGAGAGTGCCTCGGAGGAGGAGAATAGTCACGACCGCCGCCATATGGGGAGCGCCTCGGAGACCTACGGTAGTCATCATGCCTCGGAGACCTACGGTAATCATCATAACCATAGCCGCTGCCGCTACTGCCCCCTCGGTACCTACCACGATCGCGATCACGAGGCCCATCTTGAAAAGCACCAAATGCAACTGTGTTAGGAAATCACAAACATCCAATTCACAGCTAAGAATATGCTCCAGCAGATAAAGTTTCGACCCAAACATACCATCCCTTGTGTTCTTAAGACCGAGATAATGTCCTGGAGTTGGAGTCCTTGGTCGTTTCCTCCGTGACTGCAGGACAATGAAAAATCACTTCAGTTGTTTTTTCTTACCATGACTAACAATCTCGTATTAGTAACATAGAAAACGCTAATTTCAACAAGCACAAACACACACAAAAGCCTGCACGGTGGAGGAAATGCAGGTGCATATATACAGATGTATAGCCAAAAGGAAGGAGAAAAAAAGAGTTCCACCAAAAGAAAAGGAGAATCGCTACTACATAGTTTCCCATTAAATGAGGTGCCAGGTTTTCAATACCATAAAGCCTGATTAGAAAGTTGATGGAAACGTCCGTTGATTAGTTGAGTTGAAATTGAATGCTGAAGTTGTGTAGGGTTGAACAATATAGTTGCTATGTTAGTTGATCACAAGCATTTGAAATGAGCTGATTCAGCTGTCCATGGATCAAGCTGTTTCACTAAGCTGACATGGATGAACTGATCATCTTTGATTGCTGCCAAAAAGCTGATGCAATTTCTACTGAGTACAACCTGAAAACCGTGATGTCAAGAAGAAATATACAATGAAAATAACTTAAAAGCATAAAACCAAGGCTGTAAAAATACCTTTTCCACAGTTATATATCGTCCTTCCAGAACGGACTGGTTCAGATACTTAACACAACGGTTGGCATCCTCAACAGAGTCCATCGTGACAAAAGCAAAACCACGAGAAATGCGCGTGCGGGGCTCCACAACAAGAAAACATGAGGCAACCTGATAAACCAAAGACTCTTCTTTAATATCGTATCCAAGATTAAAAAATGTTAACTTTCCAGTAAGGCATATACAAAATACACAACAAAGGAAAATATACAATCGTACAAAGCTGAGGAAGACATCAGTCAAAGATTTGTTTAATGCAGAAAGCAGACAAACCTTTCCCTCCTTGGCAAAATGATCTTCTAGTTCCCTTTCAGTGACTCTTGTAGATAGGCCAGTCACATAAAGAGTATTTCCTGGATTAACAGCCTCAACCCTAACAATATGTGAAAAAGAATATTAATGACAATTGGGCATCTTTCATATTAAGAAAATACCCTTGAAGCTGAATACTTTAGAGAAGCCACTAACCTGTCACGACCCCTGGAGACAGGGAAGCAGAGAAAATCAGCCATCAAGAGAGAGTTAGAAAGGAGAAGTACGAATGCTCCAAAGCCGCTAACAGAAACTGCAAAGCTAATGAAATAACAAAGGCCATGAAAAACACCTGCCACGACTGCGAGAGCGTGATCTATGCTTCGGCTGCTCCAATGATCTAGATCTAGACCTGGACCTGGCCCTAGACCGGGATCTAGACCTTGACCGGTCTCTCCAAGGAGATGGAGACCGTGAGTTCCTGGCACAGCAAAATGTTAAGGGCATTAGAAAAAAAACTGCTACAACACAGAGCTAGATTACTACACACACACAACAAGGCTCATAAACGGTTCCTCTACAATCATCACCCTACAGAAACTAAAAAGTGTAACCAAATCTTTCTCACCAACTCAAGCATTAAACATATAAGAACAGGTTTCCAACCTCTTCCAATACCCTAATAATGAAGATTCACAAAAATTATCTCCAAATTGCAATTCACAAATGAGCAATGGAGAAGTATCCCCAGAAAAAACCCGTGCTTGCATAGACCAAAACCCCTAGCAACAATCATAAAATTGGAGTACGGGGGACACAGCCTGGGATATGCAATATGTAAAGAACGAGTAACATGAGAGCGAGCTGAATAGCTCTGCCAGTACAGCGCCACCAATGGAGACAACGATTTAGAAGGACGAGAGGAGATGAATTCATTGATTGCATGTCGATTATCCAAAGGTAAAGCAAACAGAGACCAAAAGCAGAGAGGCCTCACCTTCGAGGAGGAGAATCCGCCTGCAGTATCCATCACCAAAAAAAAAAAAAAAGAAGCAATTGCGTAAGATAATCTAAGCTTCCAGAATCGAGACGAGACGAATCTTAAAAATAAAATTGGGGGAAAGACATACCATTCTGAAGTCCGACAGAGTATGCCGATCGACGGCGAAAATCAGAGAGATGGGTTTCCCCGGCCGTATACCAGAACTCCTGCAATTCGAGCTGATGTCCTTCGCGAGGAAGGGAAACTAGGGTTACTAATGTACCGTTTTCACTTTGCCTCGAGTAGCAAAAAGGTTCCTTAATTTTTCACTTTTAACTAACTCATCACTCATAGAAAATAAAGTATACAAACACAACCCCATAAGTTTTACCGTCCAACTTCCGTTAGTTGCCTTTGGTTGGAGGCGGGAAATAAAAGAAGAAAATGCAGGCCAAATTTCAAACCAAACAAACACGGCGTCGGAACTTGGGAAGGCCATAAAACCAACCGAGAAAACAAGGAAAGAGAGGATAGAAATGGAGAAGGGAAGTCCGAGCAGTGCCTTGCAGAGTCTACTAGAAGCCATTAGAGCTTCCGATGTAAGCTCCTTATAATTTCTCGGCAGCAATTTCATTGCTAATTTCAGTTATCTGGTGCTCAAGTTTTTGCCCCCGATTCGTTTTCGATTCCATTATGGAAGGACTTCGCCGTTTGAGCTCGTGAACATGACGGAGTTGCTGGTGCTTTGCAGGTTGCGGAGAAGAGAATTCAGTTGCTCGCTAAGCTCGGAGATTTGGATTTGCATGAGGAATCCGATTCGGCTTCTTTGGTTGAATGCCTTACCGTATCCGATTCTTTCGCTTTCCCTTTCTAGGTTAACGAACTGCTCCTTTGTTCAATGTTTGTACGCGAGATACCGGTGTTGCGGTTCATTTATGAGCTAAACAGAGCTATAAGCTTAGTTTGGCAATGGATGCATTATGCTTGTCGTTAGGCTTCAATCTAGCAGCGACGTGCTACTGTCTATAGCTTATTCGATTAACTGACTATTCCTGTGTTCGGAACTTGAAACAAGGTCGATTCGAAATGAACGATCTCGGGTTAAATTCCTTCCGAATAGGCATTGCACTGCGTAGTTCATTTCAGTGGTACAGAATTGGTAGATTGCTCCAGTGATTCCTTAATGACTCAGCAGACATTCTGGGAGGACTACACTTGCTTGGATGTGTCTCAATGCATGTTGAATAAAACTATAGTCCATGTGGCTGTGAAATTCGCAAGTCCAGCCTCATCCGATTGTTTGCCGCAGTTTCTTGCCCTGAGTACCAAGGTAGGTTACTATCTACCCGACTACCTTCAGTTTGTTGCCTATATTCGTATCCTGGCCTCAGCTGGTATGGAAATCGTCGAATGTGCCGTTCTTAATGCTGCTGTTGTATTGCCTTCACTAGGCCAGCTCATGGTGCAGAAAGCATTTGAAGATGACTCTCATGTCCACACAGGATTCCCAAGAGGAAGAACACAGCCAGCTCTTCTTTCAGGTTTCCAAGTCTTGGACTATTGAGTTTGGTTAAATTTAAATTTCTTTTTTTAGCCATCGTGTGTTGTTGTTCAGTTTGTATCTCTTGTATTCAAAGGAGACATCATTTTAAGTTCAAATCTCAGTTGTCAACACCAGTTGGTAGCACTGATGTAACACGTTATGACTTTTGTGCCCTTTGCTTCCGATTCCAATGTAGAGAGATAAGTATGAAAGAGGGACGTTCAGTTCGAATGTCTGCTTTAGCCTTTAGATATTTGCAAACCCATGAGAACTTCCACTTCCTGTTTTCTGGCATTTCAGTTGGCAGTTTCTGGAACGTGTTTTCGTTTTATTCAGTAGCCGAATCCCTGGGGTTTGTTTCAGATTAGTTCTCCATTCTCCAACAATTTAGCGAGTACCCTATTCTTCTATTTGGTTTCCACATACAAGATACCCTGCAGAGTTTTAACCTATTGAATTTGAAGATTAGGAGAGCTATATGTAGGAGGAACTATGTACGATGATGCACTAGTTGAGTAAAAACGTGGCTAGTTAGACGTTTCAATTCTATTTGCAGATCTTATTCCTTGTAATCACATTCAGATTTGGTTATGTTCCAGTTAATTCATGTTGTCTCATGAACAGATAATGCACCCATGCTTTATACTTGTGACCTCTCTCTCTCTCTCTCTCTCTCACTCACAAACTTTTGAAATTTCTTTTGCAGCTTCTTCTGGAGTTGCTCCGCCTATCAGCTGCTAACATATTATCTTTGACAAAATATCCACTTCTGAGCAGCAAGGAATCAGTAGACATTGTTGAGAAATTCATTCTGGAACTGCTAAATCTGATAAAAGACGTGGTCCCAGAGATTAAGGTAACCCAGCCTTCTCTATGAAGATTTCTGTCATTGAACATATCGCAATGCTTGTGAGTTCATTGGTGTTTCTGAATACTATGATTATTACATCACAAAGCATCTCATGAAAATGTCTTGTTCTTTGGTCCGTATTCCGTATGCTCGGTTATGGTCGGTGGGAAGGTGACTGTACACAGTTTCATTTAGAACATTAGTTGTAGCACGTGTTTCAATTTTAGCCCCTGTTATCATAGACTGAAAAAAAGTGACTGCCCCGACTCAACATCTATCCTTGTCTACTGTTCATGATGCAAACTTAGGTTAAATTGCATGCTTTAACAGTTTCGGTTCATTATGATTAACCCATCACACTGACAATTTCAGTACTTTTGGGGTCAAGCTGTAATGACTATAAACTCTGACTGTTACCTGATAACTCTCTAATGAAGTTTCTCGTAGATGAACTGGAGATATGCTATCTGTTCTTCTTTTGGTTAACTATCCAGTCATTCCTTAAAGTTTTACTTACTTAACCTATCCTTGAAGGGTGTCAGCTGGGTGTACATAATGTGGTTTGGCAAATGGGAAGCCAGTGTAACCCCATACTAATAGGTCATTTTAATTATTTCTCGTCCAGAACTCTGCCAGTAGCTATTGCTGATCTACTTTTTCATTTTGCTAAGCAGAGGATTAATTCATTGGGCTCGGAAGTACTAAAGGTTGCACAAACATCAATTGATGCTTTGATAAATTTGTGCAAGAGGTATTTCCAAATTATCAATGAGAATCTATCTGATGCAAGGCTCAAAGATTCTAGTGTCATAGCTTCAGAAGTGGTCAGTGTTAAGGATCATGTTTTAACTATCACAAAACATATGGTTGACAAATTGTGTGAGTTGGGGAGCCTAGCTGCAAGTGATGGTGGAAGCCTGGTCACCATTCTCAATGTGTCTTGGAAAGGTGTGGTTACTCTGCTTCAGTTGGGCAAGGAAGTAATAATGCAGAGAGTAAATGTGCAAGATATCATTAGGACTTTAACATCACTGGTGAGTGGGCATCTTAAATGTGCAACTGAGGCCTGGTTTTCCACACAAGAAACTGTTTCTGTTGCTGAATCTAGAAGGACTTTTCTTCCTGTCAAGTTTTACCTTCTCAATGCAGCTAAAATATCATCCCTGTATCCGTGCCAAGCATGTCTTGTTTATAGAGAATTAATGTTCTGCATTCTACTTATCTCAACCTTTAGAATTTCACTGTGTTATGAGAAAAATTTGAAGAATGCTAGTGAAGTCTGCTCTGAACTTTTAGATAAGACATACTTGGATCTTCTTAGTTCTATACTGAGTTCAGCTGAAGTGAACCCGGAACTCAAGTTAGAACTACTGAACTGGTTATTCAATGATGAATGTGGTGCCGTCTCCGAGGAAAGAGATCCGAGTACTTACTACAACATTGGTTTGATGATTGAAATCTTTGCTGTCAGTTGTGAAGCTGTTCCCAGGTCATCACTGTTGCTACTTGGTCGTGTTGCATTGTTCCATTCTTTGCTTAGCCACTCTGCTGGTTTCGAAGAAGATGTGAAGATCAAAATCACTAGAAAACTAGACTGGTTCTTGGATGTTATGGTCAACAAGGACATATACTCTTATGTTCTGACCTTGCAAATTCCGGTGGTAAATGGCACTGGGCAAAAGGTGGAATTGAATTGGCAGTCCATGTTTTCAGTTCTTTTAGATTCAATCAAAACTTTTATGATCATTTCATATTCAAGTGTTGCTTGGGAGGAATTTGAGGATTTCTTGGTGGAGAATATTTGTCATCCTCATTTTCTTTGCCGGGAAATCATAATGGAACTTTGGTGCTTTCTGGTTCGCTATGCTGAAGAAGAAGTTGCAAAAGCTCTTATTTGTAAACTTTGCATTGTAATGAAGCTGATAGCAGATCCTCCATCACTTGGTTTTCCTACGTCTCTGCTGAGGAAGATGGCAAGAGCGATCTGTTTGCTTCTTACTAGTAGTACAGCTTCAACAGCAGAACATGTTTACAGTTTTATTGTTGATGATACTGGATCACACTCATTGATGGTCATATATTCAGCATTGCTCTTGGAAGGCTTTCCTCTAAATCTGCTGCCAGAGAATGTCAGAACTATGGCTAAGCAGAAAATTATTACAGATTATTTTGGCTTCATAGAGAGTTTTGATGAAAGCCTGCTGCCTGTCAGCAGTTCCAATGCGTTTGGAACACCAGTGATTGCTATTTGTGCTTCTTTGCAGTCGCAGTAAGTAACATTTCATTATCTGTCGTTGTGAACCCTTTTGATTGACGACATTTGTGCTAGTGGACTTGCGTTAAGATTGATTCAGTGTTATGCTCAATAACACTATTGACCACTTAACTTCTCTTTCTTGTAGGCAGGTTAGCATGTCTGACGTTGACTTGAAGACCCTGAAGTTTATAATCAAAATTATTCAGGACTTGAAGCACCCCAAAGGCAAATCAACCAAGGAATGCTGTTTTATGCTCTTGAATGTAGCATTGGAAATCGTCTCAGCGATGAAGCACCTATATCAATCTGATGAGATGGAGAAAGTCGTTATAGAACTCCACGGTCTTTTTATCTCCGGGCCGACAGCTTCAGATTCTCACCTGCACCAGTGCAAACCACATCTGGCACTCTTCATGGGAGGGCTTGGTGACATGCAGATGTCAGAAAGTGATGATTGTGCGAAGAGCACCGCAGTGTGGGAGTTATACCACATGCTGTTGAAGGAACGACACTGGGCGCTCGTCCACCTTGCCATTGCATCATTTGGGTACTTTGCTGCTCGTACATCATGCAATCAACTCTGGAGGTTTGTCCCACAAAACGCTGCCCTTTCTTACGACGTTATGTCAGCAAGTGAAGCATCGGAGGAGAGGTTTATGTCCGAGCTGAAGGCGTTCCTGGAGAAAGAAGTCGCTGTTTTAGCAACCATTACAGCCAGCTCGCACCAGCACGAGTTGCTTGTGAAGGAAGGAACCATGCTGAGAGAAACGGTTCAGAAGATTTCCAACACCCGCATAGAAGAAGAGGCTACAGAACCTGCAGGCTTGGGATCCAACGTTGACACCCAATGCAGCAAGAGAAGAAAACTCCCCGATGGAATTAGCAGAGGAGTTGAGTTGATACAGAATGGTCTCAAGTTCATTGGCGATGGTCTTTCTCAGTGGCAACAGAATCATAATGTCGAGTCCACTGAACTTCAAGAGAAGTTCCTGGCTCACTTTTCTCGTCTTGAAGATGTGGTCTCACACCTATCAGGCTTGACCGGCAGTGGCTGAAAGTTATCTTCTTACTGCATCTCTGTCACTGAACAGAACTTTCTCAGGCGTTCGAAGTTTTCACCGAAGTTCACCAAATGTATATCCTCAGCAGAAGCTCATCAATCCTGTAAATGAAAGTCAGTCTAGGTATGCCTATTTTCTCCTTATGTTTGTGGTATAAGATTGAAGTTGCTGCCACTAAGTAACATTTGTGGCATTATAGTTCTTTTAGTGGTAGGACTTTAGATCTTGCAAATTGCTGTAGAGGGGAAGGCTATCGTCAATTCGTCATGGGGCGAAAACAAGGGCAGAGGTTAATCTCGAGGGGATTCATTTTTTGGCCATGTAGTCGTGTTCGATTAGACAGATTCTTGTGTTATACAATCGACGTACCTTATTCTAATCTTTTTATAGAGTCACTTGGACGAATATTTGGATATCTAACATGTAGACTTAGAATTTTATTCGACACAATCCCGATTATCGTAGTCAGTGAAATATGGTTAGAAAGGAATTGACGGCGGTTAAATACTATAATGATCGTTGACGTCTTGTTCTCTCTCAACACTTCGTGTTTGCTGTTTCACTTTCCCGTTGATGATTCTCACGTTCGCAATCTAAATCCAAAATACTTGATCATCATCAAAACTTGACGCAATACAAACCTATGTTCTGTTTCTTAAAATATTTTGTTATAGTGTTGTGAATTCAGTTACAAAAAGCATTTTACTGTTTTAACTAAATACTAACAGAAATAATAAACGGTAGAAACCGGAAGTTTGAGCCAGACGGTTTGAGCGACTAACTGACCGAACTGGTCGTGATCTGGTCAGGGAGCATTTGGCCTAATTTGAGGGTAGCTGGATTGGATTCGGATCGTGGTTCGTTTATTTGCGTTTGACCTGCAGTTTGATCGGTTTTAACAACACAGCTTATTCTACACTCTACAGAGAGCAGCAGTATTATTTTCACATGTTCAGACCGTTTGCTTTCTTGAATTTGAGTAATAAATTTGGGAACTAGATTTAAGGCTTCGTGGTGCGAGACTAGAGTGCGGAGATGAAGTTATCGATGGTTGGGGAGACGAAGACGATAGCAGCAACACTTCTGGGAGAGACAGATTACAATTTCTCCTGGCCCTGGGGATCCCATCTCGAGAAGATGATGAGCAGCGCCGGAGGGATGTCGGGCGACAGCGAGGAAGAGGGGCAGAGAAGGATGCTTGGGCGACGGAGGGTAGCAGACGACGACGAGGAGGTGGTGCGTCGCAAACAAAGGAAGAAGAAGAGGAGAAAGGCTGAGAAGAGATGGGGGAGATCGAGGGATGTGTAGAGGAATTAAAGAATTGGGTTCCTTCAATTTTGTTTGGTCGGGTCACGGGTTGAATTGAGTTGGGTCATGATGTGGCAGGTCAAAATTGGATGAATCAGCATTTTTGGTTGCCACATAAGCAAACCACTAACGGTGTTAATGGAAACTAACGGAGAGTGACCAATCGTGAAACATTAACTACTTTTTAGTGACCATGTATGGAATAAAATTCTTTTAGTGACCAAACGTGAATATTTTAGCAGTTTCAGTGACCAACCTTGCAATTTACCCCAAATAGATGGGATGTGAAAAAGAGGCCAAAATCTTCGTATCAAATGAGCATTTTACTCTTATCTTTTTTCTTGGGGTTAATTCCAAGGTTAGTCACTGTGATTACTAAAAATGTTAATGTTTAGTCACTAGAAATATTTTAATTGGCACGTCATACATTTAATGGTCAATTATGAAAGTTGACTGTTACATCAGATAAAATTAACGGAGTTGGATTGGAGAATGATCAAACATGACATGTTTTACTAAACCTAGTGACCACGAGTGGAATTAAATATTTTTAGTGACTAAACATGTACATTTTTAGTAATCACAGTGACCAACCTTGCAATTAACCCTTTTTTCTTGATTACAACTTTTAGAGATAATTATATAAATTCATTTTAAATCCGTCAATCCAACTCATGAAAATTTATCATTAAATTCAACAATCAAATAATATTCGTTTCAAATTAATAATAACTCAAATTCATGATCCATCCCTCTTTTTTCAAATCCAACAAATCTTCATTTATCAAGTCAAAGAACCAAACCATTCTGTTGGGGGTATAGTGAGGGTTGGCCCAGGCAAAGAGACCCAAAGCTAGGCGGCCCAAGAAGGGAGTCTGGCGAAGGAAGCCCACAGGGGGCAAGCGCAGCCCAAAAGGGCGTACTAAGTGGTCCAAGTGAGTGGGGCCGGACTTCTGATAGAAGGCGCATAAGGACAAGAGACAACCAACGGGAAAGAATGTACGGAAAGAGGGATTGGTGAAGTCATGCGCCTCAAACCTCTGAACGAGGTGTCAGGCGGTCGAGGCGCATGACAAAGGGTAAATACAGTGCATTAATTACCCTGTTGACGTGGGGCGTAATTGGGGGGCATTGATCGACGAGGCACCGAGTATAAATAGGAGAGTAGGTAAACCTCGTTTACTAAGTTCGACTTCTCTCACTAAGCTCTTTTCTACTTCTCTCTCTAAAGCTGGAGAACTGACTTGATCGTCGGAGTGCTAACAGACCAATCAGGTCTGCTAGGCGCTTTGGGTGCAGGATCGTGGGCGCTCTAGGGAATGCGAACCAGGAAGGCGCACGAAAGGAAGAGGGAACTTACCGTGCTCAAACACACCCCTTTTCTTTAGATGAATGACCAACACATTTATGGTTCAAACAAAAGAGTTTATTGTCTTAAGATGAGAACAATGTACCACTATGATGAAAAGATAAAAGATACTATGGAAAATTGATAATAACTCAAATTCATGATCCATAACACTCTTGATGAGTGTTATTTTGGATCGTAGAATCAGATTGGCAAAACTGATAAATAGATTTCATCTACCCTCACACTCCATACATTCACTTTGTTCACCTAAGAATTAATTATAATTTATATATTCATTCAAATACTAATCTATAAATTCATGTACTGCCTATTTAATAAATAGATTTCCAATAGGTTAATAGCATTTTGTACAACTCTACTATTACAAATTAACAAACTAACCACTCTACTAAATTTTTGCACAAAAATACACTTATAATATTAAAACGTATCGAATCTGCCCTTTTGTTTAATTTTCTGTTAAATGACCGTTTAATGGGCTAATAAATGACCCAATAACCCTCACTTACTCTAAACACTCCTAATTTTGGATTTATTTTTTTATTTATTTCATATCACTAACTAGGGGTGGCTATACGGTCCGGTCCGCTTAAATTGGACCAAATTGATCCGGTCCAAGTCCGGTCTTTTCAGGAATATAAGGACCAAAGATTGGATTGGATACACTCCGGTCTTGATCCGGTCCGGTCCCAATTTGATTTTTATTTTAGATTGAGCTTGTGGGGATTTGAATGTTGGCGTCTCTTATCCGGTCTTTATCTGGGTTTTTTTACCTCAAATCTAAGCCTGAATATGAGATTGGATTGTTTGCTATCCGGTCCCAGTCTGGTCCCGATCGGGGTTATACGGTCCGATTTCGAGTAAAACCAAACAGTCCTGGACCAAATTGCCAGCCCTATCACTAACACCGTCGTCAAATCCACCTTCGCCAATGCCGCAGACCACCGCGCTGAGCGCTCAACTTCCTCGATGATCGCTACTTCACCGCCGCCGACGCGGACAATGATGTCAGCAGGGAGGAGGCTGATGCTGCTTCCTGGCTCCTCCCAACTCGCCACCGGCGGGTATGTATCCAAATATGAACACGGTCCAATTCATGTTCCCCGAATAGATCCGTACGGCAGTACCTGGAGGAGGCGAATCCTGCGCCGGGAGAGGGTTAGAGCATATTGATTTCTGTTTAAGCCACGATACTTCCCTCTTCCAAACGCGCCTACTTCACTGCACCACGGGCGCCCAGGCTCTGCAAAACTAGCGCCTAGAGGGCTAAACCCGCCCGTTAGCACTCCGACGATCAAGTCAGTAGTAATTCTAGAGAGATAAGTGAAGGGATAGGACTTAGTGAGAGAAACCGACCTGCTTAAATGCCACCTACCAGGGACTATTTATACTACTGGAGCTTCCGACCAGGCTCCGACCAACCCCTGCAACACAACCTTACGTCAGCCCAGCATTAAATGCTCAGCCAGGTCCAACGCCTACACGCCTACACGTGGCACATTGTCCTTCCTCCACGTCGGGGCGCATAGGGGGACCACCTACCCCGTGGAGCCTTTCCGACTTCTCCCATCCGTACTTCCTTGTCCGCGAGCCTATTTTGTCGTTATGCGCCCCTCCTCCTTTAGGGCTACCTAGGTCATGCCCTAATAGGCCATAAATGGGCTTCAGGCCCAACAGGCTCCTGACTTTCGTGGGCTTATCCCTAATACCCCAACAATTTCTAAGATGATTCGGCGAGGGTTAGAGCAGGGGAAAGCGGCGGAGGCGGTAGGGGAGTTGGAGGCGGCAGGGTAGTTGGGTGAGTAAGGAAGACGGAAGGTGTTGGGACTCCTTAACTTAACATTTTAATTAATTGAGTTTTAGGGATATAAAATATTTAAACTCAAAATTAAGATTAGATTAGGGGTAATTTGGTCATTTCACAACTCATTAAACAACTATTTGACGGAAAATTAGACGGAAGAATACATTCATTACGTTTTATTATTAAAAGAGTATGTTTGTGCAAAAAATTAATAGAGAAGTACATTTTTTAATTTGTGATAGTAAAGAAGTACAAAATGCTATTAACCCATTTCCAATCCTACCTTAAATAATAGATCATTCTCCAAACAACCAGGATTTTCTATTGGTCTAGCATGTTTCACACCGTGCTTTACACCAAGTACCTTTTTCTTATTCATTTCACTTTACACTCTCCTCAATTTTGCATCATGTGTATCAATTCACACATCTCTCAATTTTGCACGAAAGAAATGCCCAAGACAGGGTAAAGCAAAGACCATGTTCTAAACGTGTGCTTTAATTCACTCTCTTTTTTATAGTTACTATTATTTCTAAAAATCAGCTGTAACTAAATGTCCAATGGCAATAAACAAGATCATATTAAAGATATTGATAAATTAGAGAATAACTTTGCATTTTTATTCCACCTCAGAACGGGTTTCCAATAAAAACATCAAAACAAGAGTCCCAGTTGTAGATCAAGCAAACAACATCCTATTCTATACTAGATGCAATGCAATGCAACTTAATGAATTATTCACACATGGCCGGTATAAAACCAAATGATAAAAACAACAAAAAATTCAACTAACTAGTTAGTTGAATTCCTAAAATGAACTCCACCACTCCCATAAAGTGTGCCTAAAAGAGCTCGTTGTGGTCCTAAAGATGGTCCCTATCGTTTGTCCCTATAGTGATAACACATTTCGGAACCCGGCACGGTTAGGCACGGTCCATCTCTCCTGATGGCCCAATGACACAGCTTGCACACCTCTTCGTCCCTCTGCTGTTTGTAGATGTCGAACCAAACAAGATGGGCTCCGACTTCCCAGCGGAAGGCACAAAAGTATAGAGTATATTTAAAGAAGTGTGGGTAGAAGGACCAGTCGAAACTCTGGCCTGGTTTCAACCAGCGCACACCCAGATCGTCATCCGCGGACTTGCAGTGAACCAACAACTTCGCCCCTCCTTCGATTTGGTTCGATATCACCACTGTGGATTTTGGGAAAAAACTGTTCACCTCTACCTCGGCCAACACCTGGGTTAGTAGTGTTGACAAGAGTAGGAGCGAGACTGCAATAACACCGCCCTTTTGCCCCATCGCGTCCTTTCCTTTTTCGATCTTCTTGTTTGCTTTGATGTGTGAGGTGATGGTGATGATGATGATGATGTGTGAGGGTTTGAGTTCTGAATTTATACGCATGGATCAACCGCAATGCATGAAGAAGAAGGTTGTTGTGGTGAAAATTGTAAACATTCAATCTACGATAAATTATGCGAGAAATAAGCAGGCGTTGATGAGGAAAATTCGCTGCCGAAAAATATGTTAATGATGATAAGATGATATGTGATAAACTTTTGTGAAATATGCAAAAACGGTTGGATATTAGCATTTGACTTTTCTAATTCTCCAACATGCAACGCTAATTGCTAGAGTTCATGATCAAGTTAGGCTATCTCAACTATGAGTTAGTTGAGGGTTGACTTTGTTCACTATTAATTTACTATAGCCTCTGATAGATACGGGTTCTTATTACTATCGTTTAAACCACATTAAATGATTTAATTTCAAACGTCCTCCCATGGAGGTTCTCCATTGTAATACAGTTAGTTCACAAAATCAAGGCTTAAGAGAGATTGTAGGAGGGACTTTTTTTGTGTTGAATTCAAATATTTTAAATAATAATAACAATTTTTATCAAAGAGATTTTCAATGGCAAAAGAGAAAGTAAGAGCTTTTTGGATATGTATGACTAAAAAAAGTAAGAGCTTTTTGGAGTTCTTTTTAGGCAAGGAGCCTTGAAAAGAATGTCTCCCAACTTCTTTTTAAGTGAATTTTTTGATTGAATTATTCAACATATATGAGACTTACACAATGTAACACCCATACATACTTAACACTAGCTTATTACCCGGCCTGTTGGCCGGATAGTTCTTTGATTATTCATATTTTATGTTACAATTAAGTCTATCAACCCGATTAATTTTATTGACAATCTGCTACATAAAGAAAGATTAAATAGGTCGAACATTCGGAGAACTACCATCATCATTTAAGAATATAAAATATAAAAATATATCATTCATCCCATTTTCATAGTGATAATTAAGCCCTCGTTAAAATGTTATTGGTTAGTTGATTGTCAAGAAATATAGACTATAAAAGCTCACTGGAATTTCCCACACGACCCATAGATAGTTTGAAACTGAATCTGAAACATCACAGTCTTACATAAAGGGTCCAATGCTCTCCTTTTAAGAACAATGTTACTAATAAAAAAAATGAAGAGTTTTTGATTCAAGTCAACTATATACTAACAATTTAGCTAAAAGAGGATTGTCAAAACTTGAAAATAAATGACAAAATTAGGGTTACTGATGATACAACTTAGAAAGTAGTAATATGATTTAACAACAAACTTATGTTGAGAAAGCGGGTTGAGTTTCTAACCAGTCCACTAACCTCTTTCATGAAAACAATCCCGCAATAATATTTTTCTTTTCAAAATGTAATTTTTCGTTAGCACCCATAAAAAGTTACTAACTTTCCAAAAACCCCAAACAATAAAATATAATTTTAGTTGTGAGGGAAGCAGACTTAAAATGACTTTCGGGGAATAAAAAGTATAGTTCACATAAAATTTACTTATATTTATTTTCATTTTTTTAACATAGTCAAGAGTCAAGACCAAATGAAAGTCCATATAAAGTATAAAAAAAACATAACTAAACCATGTGAAGTAGTCGACTAATCACAAACTCCCGATGAAAGCATTTTACTTTCGATTCCCTATAATTTCTATCTCTCTTGGAGAAAGTGGCATAGTTTTTCTTTAACGATTTTCACCAAGCAATTTAGATGAGCTTTGTAATTGGACAACGACGATGTTAACCATGGGTAGTAAAAAAAATAGAAAGGGATCTTTTGATTCTTCATAGAAACTTGCTGGGCTTTCTCGGTGGGGTTAGAACATGAGCCCAATTTTAAGAAAAGCCTACTTGGCTTTATGGCCGGGCTTAATAGAGGCTTGAGGTATGGAACCGCCAAATTGGTTTTGGCCAAAACCTGTGCTTTTCGGCGCGAAGAAACAAAAATAAAGGGATGAATGGACCATGTTACCCCCAACGAAAATTAAGGGGAGAGCTCCATTTTTTGAATGGTGAAAAGTTTGTAAAACTCCACCATTAATTATTCTATTGATTGATTCACATGATCGTACCGATTAAACCTTTTACAATTTTGTTTAGCTTACAAACCAAACCATAACTTAGATAAACATTTAAAACTTCTAAACACATGACAATAGAGAAGACCATCTTCTCTCAAAATACTATAAACAAGTCATGTCGGGGTCTGAGTTCATCATCCCACCTCATTGATGCCGAGCTGAGCCTTGCTGAGTTTCCTTTACTTCTAGTCCAAAACTTCTAATCCGGGGAAAATTTTTTGACGGGGGTGAGACTTCACCTCAATGAGTAAAAGCTAACCTATCAACAGTATCAATGCAAATATAATATTTGGTGAAGTCAAACCCTATGCTTAATCTCTTAGTTTCCCGAGTAACTAATTTCAGTATTCACATTGCCAAGGTATACCATACATGTAACCATGCACAATTCAATAGTCAATCACACACACACACACACACACTACTAGTACACCCATTCATACACACACATAGGGTTAGTCAGATTGCGTGCCTTTTTGCCTTTAAATTGCCAAGTCATGCACTCCCCCGGGTTTATCCAGTAAATGCATAAAGCATCGCCAATAGATGCATTAAGCACCGCCAATAGATGCATAAAGCACCGCCCAATAGATGCCTTAGTCACCGCTAATATATGCATAAAGCACCGCCAATAGATGCATTAAGCATCGCCAATGACCAGGCCTGGTATCGCTCTCCCAGAGAGCTAGGCATAAAGCCGCAATATCATATCTCATAGAGTGCATGACAGGCGCCATTAAGTTTGATTTAGGTGATCAGACAATTCTTTAGTTAGTCGCAAAACAAGTAGTGGACAGTATCATCAATCATTTAACACATATCTATTCTCGTATTCATAACATTCACATAGTCACATTCATCATTCCATATAAGCACATCATCGTCTTATAAGCTTCTCAATATCACAATTCCGCCGTACAGGCTTTCCAACACTATAATATCGCCTTTTAGACCATTTCATATCACATATACGTTTCTTTCCCCATTCACAATAATCATCTATCACGTTTCACACACATATCACCACATAGTCACACACATTACATTCACCCATCATCCATCACATATCATTTCATTCATACACATATAGTCATAGCCATCTATTAAACCCACATTTTATATTCTATACTCGGGCCGCTTCATGACCCGAATACCATATTTGTATCCATGCGGTTAATATGTTAGAGTTTACTCACAACTTTGTAGTTCCTCTGCTATTCCCTTACCTTTCGATGATTCCCTGACTCTCTCCTTTCCTTTAAGAAGTTACATAACCCCATTTAATACCATAACAAAATGTTCAATAATTAGCCAACCAATTAATTACTAATCACAAAAATAATAGTAATATTATTAATACCCTGTAACTATTCTTGTTCTCACTCACGGTCATAGCTAGCTTGACATAAGTATATACCTAGCTACATATATATACAAAGTATCCTAAACGCACTAATCCCATAACCCACCTTTTTAGATGTGCCACGCATGCATAATTAGTATTAATTATCCATCGCATACTCATAAGCACTTCAAGCCATTAATAACTTATTGTTTAACTCTCTCTTAAACTCCTTTCAACAGGAGAATTCTAATACTCATATACATTCCTATCATGCATTCCAGAATCCAAAGGCAACGCTCATGACTTGACAAAATGTGATATGGCATGCATGCAAGCTCCTTGAGAACTTAATTAGATCCAACACCAATCACTAAACCATATTTTATACTTAATATGTAATGTGTCCAGGAAGTCTATTAATCATTTCCCTGACTACCCAAATCCTTTCTTTCCATTATTATATCATACAAGAACGCTATGCATATATATATAAACCACTAGATTGATACTGGACGGAAACCCTCTAATAATTAATTATCATCACCATCATAACAGGACTTGTCGGAAAATTTTACTAGATACATAACGAAGGCAAAATAAGAACTCAGGGAGGGGTTACGGTGCTAATTGTACAATAGTTAGCACCGTCCTAACCAAGGGAAAAACTACGACTAGTTTGAATTAGTAGTGATTTAGCTTAGATGTTGCATTGAATTTATAATAATCCGTAGTGATTTTTGCTAGTTATCACGGTGCTAACCCCTATAAGGGTTAGCACCTAATCCCATCCCAAGAACTCACCTTGTGTACTTAATGTTCACTTAAATCAAATATGTAGGGTCGTTTGGATGGATCAAAGTGATGGGTCAATGTGCTCCAGTTGACTCAAAATGAGACAATTGGGCCAAATTATCCCATTTGGCTGCAAAAAGTAGGAACGAGACAATTGGACATGAGATAATTGAAATTGCTTTATTATGGGTCAATCACAATTACTTGGGTGGGAGGGAGGTAATCTACATTACTCCATTTTGTGGGTCACTTTTCCCATTCTAACCCCTTATATTTACTATTTTTTTTTCTTTCATCCTTTTCCCAAGATGGAGAAAGGCAAAAGTATGAGGGTAAATATGTATTTTCATAAAATGCATCATCACAATTGTCTCATGTCAAATCACAAGTCAAACAAGACAATTATGTAAACATTTCCTCATACAATTAGCTCATTTTCTAAAATAAGACTTTTGTCCCAAATTGCGGAGAATATTCCATCCAAACGACCCCGTAACTTGAAATATAGCTTGGAGTCTCCTGTCCATTGTGATGGTGGTTTCTCATAATAAAGCTAGGGTGATGGTGGAGAGGGACTATGCTATGAGTTTCTCTCTCCCTTTAGTACTTTCAAAGGCGAAGTACCCTAAGGAAGAATGGATAACCTATATCTATTGCTCCCACCACCCATTCATTTCCTACAATGAATCTTGCCAGTGTGCTGTCGAAGAAAGGTCCTCGTCTGTTGTCTACTCTGATTGCAAGGTTCTTGTGGATGCTATCAATGGTTGTCCTTCGACATGGTCATGGAGATGTTATGCATCACTAGAAGCTATCAGAAGAATCATGCATTTAGAGGAAAGGATTAGGATCTTTTTCATCAGCCGTCGAAATAATAAGTGTGCTGATTGGGTGGCAAAGAACTGTCGTCTCGATGCTCTTCATCATGATTGGATTCATGTGCTCAATGTAATATCTGATTTGTTGTAATCGTGGCTATCTTCAATTGGAAATGAATGAAAGTGTTATTAAAAAAACACCTCCCAGACACGCGCCAGGTTTGGGAAACACAAACGGGTTGGAAATTGGAATTCAAGCCTTCCCAGCAGAAATAAATTGAAAAGGACAAGGAAAATAATTGTTTCCTCTTCTCTCGGTTCATGGGAGTGGATTTCTCAGCTATTGTATAAAAAAAAAAATGCTCACCACGGCTAACAAATTAAAGTTCTTGTAGATGAGATAGTTCTAGTTTAGATGGATATCACTAATAGATACTACATTTAATTTAACGAATTACCCACAATTCAACTCCCACGCACGAAATGTATGTATTCAGAAACTAGAAAATGAGAGGGTGTTACACACAATGACATGTTTTATGTGTATTAGCTAATTCAAATTTCTAACACAAAGATTACATAATGACATATATTACATAATAGAATGTTAATATTCTATAAAAAAATAAAATGTTAATATTCATTGTGTCAGTTTTATATAAATTTACTCTAATACTATTACCTATAATACATTCAAATTACATGAGTGGAACTATGTTTATAATTTACGCAGTTGAAATCAAATGTGTTATATAGATGTAAGATTATCAGCCGAAATAACTCGTTTGACAAAAATAAAATGAAATGTGGTATTTTGTCTATAAGACAATTGAAATAACTCATTGTGAGTTATTGGAAATACCTACCCACCCACTAGTCATTTCAAATAACTCAACTCTCTTCTCTTTTTTACTCCACCCCTTCTCTAATTGGTGAAATAACACAATATTTGAATGTTTTATCCAAACAAAACAATTGGCCAAACTACCACATTCCAAACTGAAATACTAAATAAAATGTCACATAGAAAAATAATGCATCATTTTGATGTGAAATACCACATAACCAAAATGATGCATCCAAGCGGCCCGTTAGTATTTGGAAATCCAAATCCCAAAATCCAAAATCATTCTATTCAAACACACCCTTACACAGATTCTTGCTTTACATAGTCGGCACACCATTTTTTTCTAATCATTATATTGAATCACCTTGACGAATACTAGGCAATGTGATACGTAGACTTTAGAGTTTGTGAAAACATAACCAATCTGTGATCCGACCTGAAAATTTGCCCGCCAGAATCCGAGCCAGTAGACATTTTTAACTGTACAAGATGGTTAAATTGCATTGGAGAGATATAATTATTTTATGAAAAAAAAAAGGATTTGTCCCCAAATATATCCTTGACTTGTAAGCTTGAGTACACTACTCTGATTATTTTGGTTTCCAGAATCAAATCGGCAAGTTTGATTATGTACATTGTGTACCATGAAGTGGGATGGGAAGAGAAGGAAGTTCGACGCGTTAAAGGTGTCGAGGGACAATGACTTTTCTCATGGTCCTAGTTGTTGCTATGATCTCTGGTTTCGTTTTTTTTTAGTGGTATTGGTTGGTCTGGATAGAGACAATAGAAGAATCGAGAAGAAGAAGGTAGAGAGGTGGCCGAGTACGGTTAAAGTGAGAAGAAGAGGGAGAGCGGGATTTGAAAGAGAAAAAAATTCAATTAATATGTATTTAGAACTTCTCAAAATATAATTAATTAAAGAGATAATTAGTATCTATTTATTTTTTCTACCCAATTTGCCCTTAGCTCTCAAAGTTACTACTCTAGATTTTTTTTATTTTATTAAGGGGAGGCAGACGCCAGGATTACAGTGGGTCTAAAGGGCCAACAACTTCAGGGAAAACCCAAACAAACAGCACACACGGGTTACTTTGTGAAACAGCTATCAAAGACCCAAAAACAAAATATCAAATGTCGCTATTGATCCTCTGCAACACCTGTCGAGGGAAGCTCACTTCCAAGAGGTCTTCCTGCAGAATTTTCTTTAAGTCCCTTGGGGGTTCATCTAACTCATACGTGTCAAAGGGATAGATGAGACTGTGCTTCGAGAGCCAGTCTGCGACTCTATTCCCTTCCCGGTACGTATGAGCGAGCTGAACCACCCAGTCTTGACCCAGAAGACGACGTATCAAACCAGTGGAGTGAGGGTGAGCTGCATCCGTCCTGTTCTTGATCAAATCCAAGGCAAGTTGTGAATCCGACTCAAGGATGAGGAATCGGATTCCTTTCCTCCACGCCAATTGGAGCCCTTGAAGAATCCCCCAGAGCTCAGCCATGATGGTTGTACCATTGCTCATCTTGCTGCAAAAACCACCCAGCCACCGACCATGATGATCACGAAGTGCTCCGCCGGCCGAGGTGATTCTCGGGCAGCCTTGATCAGCCCCGTCAGTATTCATTTTCCCCCACCCGGTTGCTGGAGCTTTCTAGGAAATCAACGCTTCTGTTCTTGTATGTAGGACATGGGCATTCGCTTCTAATCGCCCCTCACTCCAGGCCCTGCTCCATTCTCTAGCCTTTGCAGTGACATAGTTCTGGAGTGATGAGGGAGAAAGCTTCTTTCCTTTGAAAACATTATCATTTCTGCATTTCAAGAGGTACCAGGATATGAGGCTGAAATAACTCGCCCAATCCCCCGTCCAGTCCCCTTGATCCTCATTAGAGATGTTCTCCCGAAGCCAATTCTCATAGCTGAGGCTGAAGAAATGGGACTGTTGCTAGGAAGGAATGAGTTTGCACCATATCGCCTTAGCCATAACGCAATCTCTCAGGCAGTGGAGGTTTGATTCTGGAACTTCCCGGCATTCCAGACACTTGTCGTCTTGCGTGAGATGTCTGTACTTTAGAATGTTGTTGGTCGTCAATCTGCCTTTGCTAGCCATCCACACGAACACCCTTACCCTTTCAGGAACGTGGAGTTTCCAGATCCTTTGCCAAAAGGAGGGTGGGAGGGAGTTCTGATGCTGAGGTGAGATAGCTTTGAAAGCCGAGCTCGCTGTGAACTGGCCATTGGAGGACAAGTTTCATATGCCATGATCATCTTCGGCTGCCAAAGGATCCACCCAGACCGATCGGATGTTGTTGATGATGTGCTGAGGCAGGCTGTCTTGGAATTCACTAAGCTTCCATCCACTGTCTGGGTCCCAAAGATCAGCTACCATCCTTGCTTGTCTACTCTCCGAAATCTCCTCGGTAGCCAAATCAATTAAAGGTACCTGCGACACCCATGGGTCATGCCAGAAGTTAGTTTTCCGCCCATTTGTAACCTTAATAACATAGCCCTTTTTAAGGACGTTAATGGCAGAAGTAAAGCTTCGCCAGGCCATGGAGCTTCCCTTTTGTTTCTGCAGAACTGCACGTCCCTCTCTTGAGCGCGCATATTTGTCCCGAAGCACTCGAGCCCAGATCGACTGATCATTGGAGACTAATTTCCACCCTCCCTTCGCTAGCAAGGCTTGATTGGCGAGTCTTGTAGGTCGGATCCCTGCTCCTCCGAGCTTCCTCGGCAACGTCATTTGCTCCCAAGCAATCAGGTGGAATTTAGACGTCCCATCCTCTTCTCCCCATATGAGCTGACGATTGCACCTGTCAAGATCATTACAAACCGAAGTAGGGAGTGCCTCTGTAAACATAGGATAAACAGCCATAGAGGTATAAATTGATCTCACCAAAGTCAAGCGAGCTGCTAAAGATAGATGTCTTGTCTTCCAGGCAGCAAGCTTTTTCTGAATTCGCAGGCAGAGCTCCTTATAGCGAGCTTTGGTAATTCGCCCATTGATCGTGTCAATTCCCAAGTATTTCCCAAGATCATTGGTTAAGGGGGTCCTGCCCGACTGCTCAGCTGCTGTGCTCTGTCATTGGGTATGTTTGGAGACACATACATAGCAGATTTTGTCAGATTAACCCTCTGGCCAGAGCTGCAGCAGAATTCATCTAAGCATCTCCGAATAGTTTCTAATTGCTTGCTCTCTACTTCTGCAAACAAAATGAGATCGCCAGCAAAAAATAAATGAGATAGCTTAGGACCAGTGGGAGTTAAGGCAACCGGTTTCCATTCATTCTCCGACACTGCTAGTTCTATGCGATGGGCTAGTCTTTCCATGCAAAGAACGAACAGATAAGGTGATAGGGGATCCCCCTGGCGAACACCTCTGGAAGGAGTAATCGGATTCGTCAACGTCCCATTCCAGTTGATCTTCATTTGGTTATCTTCATTTAGTAACCATATCCGCTCCCATTAGAATTGCATCATTATAATATATATATGAGGGGCATTTTTATTTGCCATTAAAGACTCTTAAATTTGTTTATGTGCAACATTTGTACTTGACTCTAAATACTATTGGATTTGTCTCTCTATATGACATACTATATGTGACATTTATATATTATTTTTAACAAATATGAAATTTGCATCTAGAGCTAGACAATTTCACCTCTCGAGACAAATAATATTTATGCCCCTAAAATTTAACTATGGAGATCAATACAATAATTGTCTCTAATTATTTGTTTCTATAGGTTGATTTTTTTGTCGTGACTCCCATAAGAGAATAATTTCATATGGATTGTTTTGGAAAATCTGTATAAATAGTTGTCATCAATAGATGTTGAACCTATTTATACTATATAAATCAGGCTAAACGTCATTAACGCTACGTCCCACTACAAGAAAACCTAGTTCTAGAGACAGAGGTTATTGGCTTCTAAAAGTCATTTATTTGTTTATGTATATCTATTGAAATAGATAAGTTATTTGAATCGGACGCCTCTGTCTCTGTTTGTTTCCGGAGCTTGTTGGACAGAACGATTTACAATTAGGTCAGCTAAATTGAAAGGAAAATTGGCCTATGTGAAAGAGCTTATACCCTTAACCTTAAGCAGGTTCCAAGATATTTTGGAAATAGCTGAAGGAGGTAGGAGTGGCGGTGGAGTGAAGGTCAAGGGAGGAACGGAAGAGAAAATCAATTTTTGGAGTTTTTTTTTCAATGAACATTTTTTATGTTTATTTTAAATGACATGTCAATCATAATTCCACCTCACTCTTCTAATTCATATTAGCTAACACATCAGCTGTCAACTTATTGACCATTATTGACCAATGCTAACAAAACAAAACTTGGTGATAAGATGGTCATATCAACTTTTGGTGCTATAGAAGTAACACTTAGTTGATAATTCAAAGTTTTGCAATGATATTAGTCTTAATAAATAAGATTACAAAATAATAATAAATAAGAAGAGAAACTTTCATTTTATTCCACCTTGGGTTCCCAATAAAAACAACAAAACAAAGATTTCAAACCGTAGATTAAACCAAACTAATTATTCACACATACCAACTATAAACCCAACGAAAGAAACTTGCGTCCAATCCAAAATGAACTCAATCACCTATAGTGTGCCATTGTGCCTATAAGAGCTCGTTGTGGTACTAAAGTTTGTCCCTGTAGTGATAACACATTTCGGAACCCGGCACGGCCAGGCACGGTCCGTCTCTCCTGATGGCCCAATGGCAGTACTTGCACACTTCGTCGTCCCTCTGCTGTTCGTAGATGTCGAACCACTTAAGATGGGCTCCGACTTCCCAACGAAAGGCGCAAAAAAACAGAGTATATGTAAAGAAGTGCGGATAGAAGGTCCAGTCGAAACTCTTGCCTGGGTCCAACCAGCGCACACCCAGATCGTCATTCGCGGACTTGCAATGCACCAACAACTTTGCCCCTCCTTCGATTTGGTTCGATATCACCACCGTCGATTTTGGGTAAAAACTGTTTGCCTCGACCTCGACCAACACCTGGGTTAGTAGTGTTGACAAGAGTAGGAGCCAGACTACCAGAGCACCCCTCTTTTGCCCCATCGTATCCTTTCCTTTTCCAATCTTCCTGTTTCCTTTGATGTGCAATGTTATGGTGATGAAGTGTGAGGATTTGGGGTCCAAATTTATACACGAGGATCAACTACTATGCATGACCAAGGAGGTTGTTGTCGTGGAAAGCTTAAACATTCTATCTACGATAATTTATGCGAGGAACAAGCATTGTAGATGAGAAAAAATCGTAGGCGAAGAATATGGTAATGATGATAAGATGATCAATAAAAAAATTGTGAAATATTCAAAGAAGTTTATATATTAAAATTGTGAAATTTTTCTACATGTAACACTAATTGCTAAAGGTCATGATAAAATTAGTTTATCAACTATAAGTTAGTTGAGGGGCGACTCTGTAGATAAGGATTCTTATTACTATCATTTAATTGATTTAATTTCAAACTTCTAATATTACAAACATATATAAATTTGTTTCTATTTTACAATTGAACATGGTTCTCATTTTATAAAAGAAGCGTAGCGATAATAAACCAAAACCAAAGGCTAGAAACGCCACAGGAATCAACAAGTTTCAGGGAAGATGTTAAGGAACATAACTTTGTACGTAGTTGTATTTTACTTGGCAGATGAAAATCAAACAAACATCAAACGGTTATAAGTATAATATGCCCCTTTATTATGACATTTTAGCTAACATGCCCTCTGCTATTTTTTACATCAAACATGCCCGTGTACTTTGGGAAAATTATCAAACATGCATTTTTGTTGTAATTTTCATCCAAAAATCGTTAACCACGGCAAAACTTTGGTTTGGGCGACACAAATATCTAAAATATCCATAATAATTTCACTTTAGATTTTTTTTTGGTTTTTTATGTATGGCCAAATAATTCTAATAATTTCACTTTGACGAGACCTAGAGAAATAAAATAGCGGTCAAAACTTTTATTTTCCCTCCCATTTGTCGTTGTTGGCCTGTTGGGTCGTCTAAATCTCGGTTCAACCATGATTGGCGATTTTTTCAATAGAAATTTTAACAGAATAACATGTTTGATGTAAAAAATAGTAGATGAACATATTTGATAAAACTTCATAGTAGATGGGCATATCTATAACCCAACATCAAATGGTAATATTTCATGTTGGTCCACTTGATATGCAAGTAGACCAATTCTACAAGTGTTGTTTACACTCCTAAGTCTTAACCCCTATTTTTTGGGAGCGGAACCCATTAGTAACTTATAGGTGAATAACTGTTCATAATATTTATATGATCTAATGATAATATCATGATATGATACAGATATGATGTCATCAAATTATTTTGATAAATATAAGACCTCATATCAACACCATATCCCTATCATACCAATATCATGTCAGCATTATAATACGACCCTAGGAGCTAGGATCGTGATTGAACTCGCGCAACTTGTTCAAATTTGAGAATTGTACGAACACAAACATAAAAACAGGGGCGGAGGTTGTTGACGTGGGAACGGAACTCTCGTGCAATCTTACACGCGGAAGAGGGCTCGAAGAGTATACGTCGATGCTGGCCACGATCGATGGGGAATCACTCGATCGATACAAGCTCTTGAACTCTCGGATTACTCCAAGCAATTCAACCAATTCACAAGCACAAAAGCTTAATGAACGAAACTCCAAAACTGGAATTCTAACTCTCAAGATCTGCCTTACAATGCCTTGAAAACGAGTTTAAATAGACCTATCTATGCGTACATTTCAAAAGGGAAAACCTAATTGTTCTAAAACACAAAAAAATGGAAGTCAAAACCAAAAAGAACACGTAATTCTAATCCGAAACGGATTCGGATTTGCTGAGCAGCAGTCCTCCAAAACGAGGCTTCCTTCGATCTTCTGCTCGCTCGATCGAGGCCTTCCAGGTGTGTATGTGCTCAACCAATTCCTTCAGGCTGGAGAAGGAAACGTCCACTTTCGTGTGGCACAAACCTAGCAGCTTGATTCTCCTCCTTCCATCTCGAGTGGCTCTTCAAAGTAGCCCTCTCGAACTGTCTTCCAGACTTAGCCAATTCTGGCTAGTTTCTCGGTTCTGCCATAACAAGTAGAGAGACCTGGAAAACGACCTTGAACTATTGTGATGGCCCTTCCAAGCCTTGGGAATCATAGAACAACACTTTAAATTTCATTCTGGATCCTCCCTTTGGATTTCTATCGAGCCATTTCGAACGACCAAGCTTGCCAACTAGGTAACCCGAAACAGGGAGAACACTTAGCCAATTTTTAGGGTCCTTTTGGCTTGACGATATAGCTCCTTGTCGACTCCATTCTGGATTGTTTATGGCGCTAATCAGGATCATATCACATTATATCATTGTCATATCAACATCATACCACTGACTATCGTGATATGATAGTGGTAAGATGACGTAAAAAAATCTCTAAAACATATAAAAATGGATATCACTTAGAGGGTTGAAAATATAGAAATAAACTTATTTATATGAGAACCTCTTTATATTAGTGTTAGAATTATATATTGTGTAGATAGATAACTCAAAAAAGAAAATAATTGCCAAATGTTATCTTTTTATCAACAAAACCTGTGTTATTTCTTTAGTGGTGTGAAATAGTACAGGTATCCAAATGCAGTTGGTCTAATAAACAGATAGGAGGCCTTGAAACCCAAATCTCCTGTTGATCCCAATTGCATGGTGTATATTAGAGCTTCTTTAATTGTTTTTTTTTTTTGTGTGTGTTCCAGATAGTTTTTTTTAGCATGGTAAGCAGCCGTGCAAATAGTTGGGCTTAGAAAATTATTTTATAATTGTACCGTGATATTTGGGCTCATTGCACCGTTTAGTGAGCTAAATGCTTATATATGAGTTAGGCATGAGGAGAATATAATAGCCCATTCCGTAACGTGCATGGACTTGGTGAATTATATTGAACATAATGGGTCACAATTATTCAAATTCATATAAATTCATTAATTGTAGATTTATGGTTAGTGTATCAGTAAAGTATATATGTATTTGGATATTTGGTAGGGGTAGACCTGGATTGGATATGAGTATTGCTAGGGGTGGCTATTTGGACCGGGACCGGATTAAAAACCGGAAACCGGACCGTATAACCCGGACCGAGACCGGATAGTAAACAATTCAATCCAATCTTTGGGCTTAGATTTGAGGTAAAAAGCCGGATAAAGACCGGATAAGAGAGCTCAACACCCAAAACTTAAGGGTAATTTGCATAAACGGTCACAAACCTTTGCACTTAGTACAAAACTTAACCAACTCCTCACCCTTTAAGGCCTTAGGCCACTCAAATCTCACAATCTCAATGTAAAATCAAGACCGAATTGGGACCGGACCGGATCAAAACCGGACCGGATCAAGACCGGACTGTATCCAATCCAATCTTCGGTCCTTATATTTTCAAAAAGACCGAACTAGACCGGATCAATTTGGGCCAATTTAACCGGACCGGACCGTATAGCCACCCCTAAGTATTGCTATTATATTATATTTGGGTATGCCTTCACCAATTTTTTTTTAATAATGATCGGTTTACCTATTTATGAGATAATTTAAACAACATATACAAAATTAAACCTATTTGTAAATCTTCAAAAGTTTAGGTATCGAATACTAAGCAAAAAATCTGAATCTTATGCCAAAAAGTTAATTTTATGTTACCAAAAAGTATTTTTTTTCTATATGTATGGTCACAAATCCAAATCTCTTACTAAAACTCGAACCAACCCAAATAAATATATATAGTATAAAATCATTAGACTATATTAATTTACCTTGTATTTGAATTTCATATCCAACTTATCAGTTGAATAATTAAATACTCGTGATTTTGCAAGATCATTCCTATTGATTTAGTTCCTTGATCCAAAAAAATATCACAACCAACCTCATACAATTATTAGTCATACTGCCACTGGTCATTAAGTATTTTTAAATTCATATAAAACTAACTTCTAACTATAGTAGATTGCTGGAAAATAAGTTAAGTAATACATTCTGTCTTTATATTATTGAGTTTAACAAAAGTGGCATGGGGGAGGTTCTGGAGAAAGTTCCCTTAGGCCTTTGTTGTCGCAAGCTTATTTTATTTTGTTTCTTACTTCTCAGTAGTCAGCACACACTCCATCCCACCTCAGTCCAATCTTAAGAAGCCCAAAGATCAACAAAAATATAGGCTTGGTCCGCCTCATGGAACGATATGTGTTTATTTAGTTGAGTATAGTAAAAAGATGGAGAAATCCTTCTGTACTATGCGCTGTTCACGGAAAAATAGAATGGGAGGGGTTTTTGAAGAGAACCTCTTTATATGTTTGTTAGGTTTTGAATTTTTCTCTTGTTTTAACTCGAAATTTAAATTTTTGCACAAATAATATTTATGACCCTAAAATTTAACTATAGAGATCAATACAATAATTGTCTCTAATTATTTGTTTTTATAGGTTGATTTTCTTGTCGTGACTCCCATAAGAGAATAATTTCATATGGATTGTTTTGGAAAATCTGTATAAATAGTTGTCATCTATAGAAGTTGAACCTATTTATGCTATATAAATCAGGCTAAACGTCATTAACGCTATGTCCGGAGCTTGTTGGACAGAACGATTTATACAAATAGGTCAGCTAAAATGAAAGGAAAATCGGACTATGTGAAAGAGCTTATACCCTTAACCTTAAGCAGGTTTGAAGAGATTTTGAAAATAGCTGAAGGAGGTAGGGGTGGCGGTGGAGTGAAGGTCGAGGGAGGAAGTCGCAAGAGAAAAATGAATTTTTGGTTTTTTTAATGAACATTTTTATGCTTATTTTAAATGACATGTCAATCATAATTCCACCTCACTCTTCTAATTCATATTATCTGACACATCAGCCGTCAACTTATTGACCATTAATGACCAATGCTAACAAAACAAAACTTGGTGATAAGATCGTCATATCAACTTTTGGTGCTATAGAAATAGAAGTAACACTTTGCAATGATATTAGCCTTAATAAATAAGATTACAAAATAATAAAACATAAGAAGAGAAACTTTCATTTTATTCCACCTTGAGTTCCCAATAAAAACAATAAAACAAAGACTTCAAACCTTAGATTAAACCAAACTAATTATTCACACATACCAACTATAAAATCCAACGAAAGAAACTTGCGTCCAATCCAAAATGAACTCGATCACCTATAGTGTGCCACTGTGCCTATAAGAGCTCGTTGTGGTACTAAAGTTTGTCCCTGTAGTGATAACACATTTCGGAACCCGGCACGGCCAGGCACGGTCCATCTCTCCTGATGGCCCAATGGCAGTACTTGCACACTTCGTCGTCCCTCTGCTGTTTGTAGATGTCGAACCACTTAAGATGAGCTCCGACTTCCCAACGAAAGGCGCAAAAAAACAGAGTATATGTAAAGAAGTGTGGATAGAAGGTCCAGTCGAAACTCTTGCCTGGGTCCAACCAGTGCACACCCAGATCGTCATTCGCGGACTTGCAATGCACCAACAACTTTGCCCCTCCTTCGATTTGGTTCGATATCACCACCGTCGATTTTGGGTAAAAACTGTTAGCCTCGACCTCGACCAACAGCTGGGTTAGTAGTGTTGACAAGAGTAGGAGCCAGACTACCAGAGCACCCCTCTTTTGCCCCATCGTATCCTTTCCTTTTCCAATCTTCTTGTTTCCTTTGATGTGCAATGTTATGGTGATGAAGTGTGAGGATTTGGATTCCAAATTTATACACGAGGATCAACTACTATGCATGACCAAGGAGGTTGTTGTCGTGAAAAGTTTAGACATTCTATCTACGATAATTTATGCGAGGAACAAGCATTGTAGATGAGAAAAAATCGTAGGCGAAGAATATGGTAATGATGATAAGATGATCAATAAAAAAAATGTGAAATATTCAAAGAAGTTTATATATTAATATTTCACTTTTCTAGATTTTCGACATGTAACACTAATTGCTAAAGTTCATGATAAAATTAGTTTATCAACTATAAGTTAGTTGAGGGGCGACTCTGTAGATAAGGATTCTTATCACTATCATTTAATTGATTTAATTTCAAACGTCTAATATTACAAACATATTTAAATTTGTTTCTATTTTACAATTGAACATGGTTCTCATTTTATTAAAGAAGCGTAGCGATAATAAACCAAAACCAAAGGCTAGAAACGCCACAGGAATCAACAAGTTTCAGGGAAGATGTTAAGGAACATAACTTTGTACGTAGTTGTATTGTACTTGGCAGATGAAAATCAAACAAACATCAAAAGGTTATAGGTATAATATGCCCCTCTATTATGACATTTTAGCTAACATACCATCTACTATTTTTTACATCAAACATGCCCGTGTACTTTGAGAAAAATATCAAACATGCCTTTTTGTTGTAATTTTCATCCAAAAATCGTTTACCACAGCAAAACTTTGGTTTGGGCGCCACAAATGTCTAAAATATCCATAATAATTTCACTTTAGAATTTTTTTGGTTATTATGTATGGCCAAATAATTCTAATAATTTCACTGTGACGAGACCTAGAGAAATAAAATAGGGGTCAAAACTTTTATTTTCCCTCCCATTTGTCGTTGTTGGCCTGTTGGGTCGTCTAAATCTCGGTTCAACCATGATTGGCGATTTTTTCAATAGAAATTTTAACAGAATAACATGTTTGATGTAAAAAATAGTAGATGAACATATTTGATAAAACTTCATAGTAGATGGGCATATCTATAACCCAACATCAAATGGTAATATTTCATGTTGGTCCACTTGATATGCAAGTAGACCAATTCTACAAGTGTTGTTTACACTCCTAAGTCCTAACCCCTATTTTTTGGGAGCGGAACCCATTAGTAACTTATAGGTGAATAACTGTTCATAATATTTATATGATCTAATGATAATATCATGATATGATACAGATATGATGTCATCAAATTAATTTGATAAATATAAGACCTCATATCAACACCATATCCCTATCATACCAATATCATGTCAACATTATATCATTGTCATATCAACATCATACCACTGACTATCGTGATATGATAGTGGTAAGATGACGTAAAAAAAATCTCTAAAATATATCAAAATGGATATCACTTAGAGGTTGAAAATATAGAAATAAACTTATTTATATGAGAACCTCTTTATATTAGTGTTAGAATTATATATTGTGTAGCTAGATAACTCAAAAAAGAAAATAATTGCCAAATGTTTTTTTTTATCAACAAAACCTGCATTATTTCTTTAGTGGTGTGAAATAGTACAGGTATCCAAATGCAGTTGGTCTAATAAATAGATAGGAGGCCTTGAAACCCAAATCTCCTGTTGATCCCAATTGCATGGTGTATATTAGAGCTTCTTTAATTGTTTTTTTTTTTGTGTGTGTTCAAGATAGTTTTTTTAGCATGGTAAGCAGCCGTGCAAATAGTTGGGCTTAGAAAATTATTTTATAATTGTACCGTGATATTTGGGCTTTTTTTTTGTCAAAAGATATTTTATATTAATCCAAAAGTAATATATAGTTACATCCTGAAAATAAGCCTGATATTGGGCTCATTGCACCGTTTAGTGAGCTAAACTCTTATATATGAGTTAGGCATGAGGAGAATATAATAGCCCATGCTGTAATGTGCATGGACTTGGTGAATTATATTGAACATAATGGGTCACAATTATCCAAATTCATATAAATTCATTAATTGTAGATTTATGGTTAGTGTATCAGTAAAGTATATATGTATTTGGATATTTGTTAGGGGTAGACTTGGATTGGATATGAGTATTGCTATTATATTATATTATATTTGGGTATGCCTTCACCAAAAAGTTAGGTCACAAATCCAAATCTCTTACTAAAAACTCAAACCAACCCAAATAAATATATATTATAAAATCATTAGACTATTTCAATTTACCTTGTATTTGACTTTCATACCCAACTTATCAGTTGAATAATTAAATACTCGTGATTTTACAAGATCATTCCTACTGATTTAGTTCCTTGATCCGAAAAATATCACAACCAACCTCATACAATTATTAGTCATACTGCCACTGGTCATTAAGTATTTTTAAATTCATATAAAACTAACTTCTAACTATAGTAGATTGCTGGAAAATAAGTTAAGTAAATACATTCTGTCTTTATATTATTGAGTTTAACAAAAGTGGCATGGGGGAGGTTCTGGAGAAAGTTCCCTTAGGCCTTTGTTGTCGCAAGCTTATTTTATTTTGTTTCTTACTTCTCAGTAGTCAGCACACACTCCATCCCACCTCAGTCCAATCTTAAGAAGCCCAAAGATCAACAAAAATATAGGCTTGGTCCGCCTCATGGAACGATATGTGTTTATTTAGTTGAGTATAGTAAAAAGATGGAGAGATCCTTCCGTATTATGCGCTGAGCACGGAAAAATAAAATGGGAGGGGTTTGGAAGAGAACCTCTTTATATGTTTGTCAGGTTTTGAATTTTTCTCTTGTTTTAACTCGAAATTTAAATTTTTGCACAAATAATATTTATGACCCTAAAATTTAACTATAGAGATCAATACAATAATTGTCTCTAATTATTTGTTTTTATAGGTTGATTTTCTTGTCGTGACTCCCATAAGAGAATAATTCCATATGGATTGTTTTGGAAAATCTGTATAAATAGTTGTCATCTATAGATGCTGAACCTATTTATGCTATATAAATCAGGCTAAACGTCATTAACGCTATGTCCGGAGCTTGTTGGACAGAACGATTTATACAAATAGGTCAGCTAAAATGAAATGAAAATCGGACTATGTGAAAGAGCTTATACCCTTAACCTTAAGCAGGTTTGAAGAGATTTTGGAAATAGCTGAAGGAGGTAGGGGTGGCGGTGGAGTGAAGGTCGAGGGAGGAAGTCGCAAGAGAAAAATGAATTTTTGGTTTTTTTTAATGAACATTTTTATGCTTATTTTAAATGACATGTCAATCATAATTCCACCTCACTCTTCTAATTCATATTATCTGACACATCAGCCGTCAACTTATTGACCATTAATGACCAATGCTAACAAAACAAAACTTGGTGATAAGATCGTCATATCAACTTTTGGTGCTATAGAAGTAACACTTAGTTGATAACTCAAAGTATTGCAATGATATTAGCCTTAATAAATAAGATTACAAAATAATAAAAAATAAGAAGAGAAGCTTTCATTTTATTACACCTTGGGTTCCCAATAAAAACAACAAAACAAAGATTTCCAACCTTAGATTAAACCAAACTAATTATTCACACATACCAACTATAAAACCCAACGAAAGAAACTTGCGTCCAATCCAAAATGAACTCGATCACCTATAGTGTGCCACTGTGCCTATAAGAGCTCGTTGTGGTACTAAAGTTTGTCCCTGTAGTGATAACACATTTCGGAACCCGGCACGGCCAGGCACGGTCCGTCTCTCCTGATGGCCCAATGGCAGTACTTGCACACTTCGTCGTCCCTCTGCTGTTTGTAGATGTCGAACCACTTAAGATGGGCTCCGACTTCCCAACGAAAGGCGCAAAAAAACAGAGTATATGTAAAGAAGTGCGGATAGAAGGTCCAGTCGAAACTCTTGCCTGGGTCCAACCAGCGCACACCCAGATCGTCATTCGCGGACTTGCAATGCACCAACAACTTTGCCCCTCCTTCGATTTGGTTCGATATCACCACCGTCGATTTTGGGTAAAAACTGTTTGCCTCGACCTCGACCAACACCTGGGTTAGTAGTGTTGACAAGAGTAGGAGCCAGACTACCAGAGCACCCCACTTTTGCCCCATCGTATCCTTTCCTTTTCCAATCTTCTTGTTTCCTTTGATGTGCAATGTTATGGTGATGAAATGTGAGGATTTGGGGTCCAAATTTATACACGAGGATCAACTACTATGCATGACCAAGGAGGTTGTTGTCGTGGAAAGCTTAAACATTCTATCTACGATAATTTATGCGAGGAACAAGCATTGTAGATGAGAAAAAATCGTAGGCGAAGAATATGGTAATGATGATAAGATGATCAATAAAAAAATTGTGAAATATTCAAAGAAGTTTATATATTAATATTTCACTTTTCTAGATTTCCTACATGTAACACTAATTGCTAAAGGTCATGATAAAATTAGTTTATCAACTATAAGTTAGTTGAGGGGAGACTCTGTAGATAAGGATTCTTATCACTATCATTTAATTGATTTAATTTCAAACGTCTAATATTACAAACATATTTAAATTTGTTTCTATTTTACAATTGAACATGGTTCTCATTTTATGTATGGCCAAATAATTCTAATAATTTCACTTTGACGAGACCTAGAGAAATAAAATAGGGGTCAAAACTTTTATTTTCCCTCCCATTTGTCGATGTTGGCCTGTTGGGTCGTCTAAATCTCGGTTCAACCATGATTGACGATTTTTTCAATAGAAATTTTAACAGAAGGGCATGTTTGATGTAAAAAATAGTAGAGGAACATGTTTGATAAAACATCATAGTAGAAGGGCATATATATAACCCAACATCAAATGGTAATATTTCATGTTGGTCCACTTGATATGCAAGTAGGCCAATTCTACAAGTGTTGTTTACACTCCTAAGTCCTAACCCCTATTTTTTGGGAGCGGAACCCATTAGTAACTTATAGGTGAATAACTATTCATAATATTATCGTTATATGATCTAATGATAATATCATGATATGATACAGATATGATGTCATCAAATTATTTTGATAAATATAAGACCTCATATCAACACCATATCCCTATCATACCAATATTATGTCAACATTATAATACGACCCTAGGCGCTAGGATCGTGATTGAACTCGCGCAACTTGTTCAAATTTGAGAATTGTACGAACACAAACAGAAAAACAGGGGCGGAGGTTGTTGACGCGGGAACGGAACTCTTGTGCAGTCTTACACGCGGAAGAGGGCTCGAAGAGTATACGTCGATGCTGGCCACGATCGATGGGGAATCACTCGATCGATACAAGCTCTTGAACTCTCGGATTACTCCAAGCAATTCAACCAATTCACAAGCACAAAAGCTTAATGAACGAAACTCCAAAACTGGAATTCTAACTCTCAAGATCTGCCTTACAATGCCTTGAAAACGAGTTTAAATAGACCTATCTATGCGTACATTTCAAAAGGGAAAACCTAATTGTTCTAAAACACAAAAAAATGGAAGTCAAAACCAAAAAGAACACATAATTCTAATCCAAAACGGATTCGGAGTTGCTGAGCACCAGTCCTCCAAAACAAGGCTTCCTTCGATCTTGTGCTCGCTCGATCGAGGCCTTCCAGGTGTGTATGTGCTCAACCAATTCCTTCAGGCTGGAGAAGGAAACATCCACTTTCGTGTGGCACAAACCTAGCAGCTTGATTCTCCTCCTTCCATCTCGAGTGGCTCTTCAAAGTAGCCCTCTCGAACTGTCTTCCAGACTTAGCCAATTCTGGCCAGTTTCTCGGTTCTGCCATAACAAGTAGAGAGACCTGGAAAACGACCTTGAACTCTTGTGATGGCCCTTCCAAGCCTTGGGAATCATAGAACAACACTTTAAATTTCATTCTGGATCCTCCCTTTGGATTTCTATCGAGCCATTTCGAACGACCAAGCTTGCCAACTAGGTAACCCGAAACAGGGAGAACACTTAGCCAATTTTTAAGGTCCTTTTGGCTTGACGATATAGCTCCTTGTCGACTCCATTCTAGATTGTTTATGGTGCTAATCAGGATCATATCACATTATATCATTGTCATATCAACATCATACCACTGACTATCGTGATATGATAGTGGTAAGATGACGTAAAAAAAATATCTAAAACATATCAAAATGGATATCACTTAGAGGGTTGAAAATATAGAAATAAACTTATTTATATGAGAACCTCTTTATATTAGTGTTAGAATTATATATTGTGTAGATAGATAACTCAAAAAAGAAAATAATTGCCAAATGTTATTTTTTTATCAACAAAACCTGTGTTATTTCTTTAGTGGTGTGAAATAGTACAGGTATCCAAATGCAGTTGGTCTAATAAACAGATAGGAGGCCTTGAAACCCAAATCTCTTGTTAATCCCAATTGCATGGTGTATATTAGAGCTTCTTTAATTGTTTTTTTTTTTTTTGTGTTCAAGATAGTTTTTTTTAGCATGGTAAGCAGCCGTGCAAATAGTTGGCCTTAGAAAATTATTTTATAATTGTACCGTGATATTTGGGCTTATTGCACCGTTTAGTGAGCTAAATGCTTATATATGAGTTAGGCATGAGGAGAATATAATAGCCCATGCCGTAATGTGCATGGACTTGGTGAATTATATTGAACATAATGGGTCACAATTATTCAAATTCATATAAATTCATTAATTGTAGATTTATGGTTAGTGTATCAGTAAAGTATATATGTATATGGATATTTTGTAGGGGTAGACTTGGATTGGATATGAGTATTTTTATTATATTATATTTGGGTATGCCTTCACCAATTTTTTTAATAATGATCGGTTTACCTATTTATGAGATAATTTAAACAACATATACAAAATTAAACCTATTTGTAAATCTTAAAAAGTTTAGGTATCGAATACTAAGCAAAAAATTTGTAGGTATTCAATCTTATGCCAAAAAGTTAATTTTATGTTACCAAAAAGTTTTTTTTTCTATATGTATGGTCACAAATCCAAATCTCTTACTAAAACTCGAACCAACCCAAATAAATATATATAGTATAAAATCATTAGACTATATTAATTTACCTTGTATTTTACTTTCATACCCAACTTATTAGTTGAATAATTAAATATTCGTGATTTTGCAAGATCATTCCTACTGATTTAGTTCCTTGATCCGAAAAATATCACAACCAACCTCATACAATTATTAGTCATACTGCCACTGGTCATTAAGTATTTTTAAATTCATATAAAAGTATAAAACTAACTTCTAACTATAGTAGATTGCTGGAAAATAACTAAATAAGTAGAGTAATACATTCTGTCTTTATATTATTGAGTTTAACAAAAGTGGCATGGGGGAGGTTTTGGAGAAAGTTCCCTTAGGCCTTTGTTGCCGCAAGCTTATTTTATTTTGTTTCTTACTTCTTAGCAGTCAGCACACACTCCATCTCACCTCAGTCCAATCTTAAGAAGCCCAAAGACCAACAAAAATATGGGCTTGGTCCGCCTCATGGAACGATCTATGTTTATTTAGTTGAGTATAGTAAAAAGACATAGAAATCCTTATGTACTATGCGCTGTTCACGGAAAAATAGAATGGGAGGGGTTTTTGAAGAGAACCTCTTTATATGTTTGTTAGGATTAGGATTTAAATTTTTCTCTTGTTCTAACTCGAAATTTAATTTTTTGCACAAATAAATCAGATTAATTGTGCTCTTCAAAATGACATCAACTTTGATATATTTTTTGAACAAAAAAATTGAGCCATTTTTCAAAGTCCATACCATGGTGGTATTGATTCGTATTAAAATAAGAGTATATCATATGGTATGAAAGCGTACCACAAAATACCACCCCCATATCAGGGTGGTATAGTGTGGTATTTTTTGTCTTTTTTTCATCCAGGAATTTTTATATCTAAATAGATCATGATGAACTCTTTCCTTCTGTGCAAATATTTTCAAAAAGACTTAAGAACATAGAAGATAACAAATGGTATGGAGTTGGTAACGAGAGAGATGAAATTTTTTCTCAAAAAATATTGAAAATGGATCTCATTTTGTATAGCACAACGAACTTGTTCCATCTGTACAAAAAAAAAATTGAAATCCGAATTAGAACAAAGAAGATAAGAGCCGATTAAGAAAATTAGAGAAAATAAAATGTATTTAATTCTTCACCGTTAGATCTGGATATTTTGGGCCCACTTAAAAAGGAAGGTCCAGATTTAGTTATGCTCCCTAACTTGAGCCTTTTTGGCCTTCGCGCGGCCTCTTATTTAGAAAACAAAATCATGATGCATATTATACGTATCAACCGTAACCGTAAATACGAAAACAAAATTTCCAAGGCATGAAGTATATATAGAAAAATTCTATGAAGACAAGTTTTCTTTTTCATAGGCAGGTGTACAATGCAGTATGCTTACAATTGTAAAGTAAATGAAATAAGCAAATGCGACGGTTGATAACTAATCAATCCGTCGATAAAAGAGCCTTTTTAGCCACAAAATGGGCAGTTGTGTGAAAATTCCTATGAATTCAGTGACAAAAACACATAAAACTCATAAAAGGATACAAACCGCCACCAAACGTAACGCCTAGCCTTCTTACTAGGGGTGGCGGTCGGTTAGTTTCGATCATAACCGATAACCGGCCAGTTGGTTATTGGTTAACCGAACTCCCGCCCCCTTACCGAACACCGAACGACTAAAGCACCTCGGTTGACTGACAACCGACCGGTCGATTATCAGATAGTTGTTCGGTTAACCGAGATAACTGGCAAACAATAGATGGCAGGTGAGTCTCGACGGCCGGCGGGGGATTGCTGGAGGCCTGGAGCCGGCAGGGGAGTCTCGGTTCGTTGCTAAGGTCGCCGGGGTAAAGGAGAGACGCGCGGCGGCGCGGGATCGAGGGGGCTGGTGGGAGTCTCGTCGGGCCGAGCGGGATCAAGTGGGATTTGGCGCGGGATCGACCAAGCGAGATCGGTAGGAGTCTCGTGGGGTCGCACGGTGGGAGTCTGGGCAACATGGGAGTCTCAACGGTGGGTCGATGCTCATCGGGTCGTCGGGTGGAGGTCGGTGAGACGAGGAGACACGTCGGTGGGCTGGGTTGGCCTGGAGGAGGGTGAAGGTCGGCGAGGGCTGAGGGGTCGAGAGGGCTGGCGGCTGGGGTCGGTCAACGAAGGAAGGAGATAGGGTTAGGACTTAGGGTTTTTTTTTTAATATAAAACAACGTCGTTTTGGATCGGTTGGTTAGCCACGGTTAACCGACTTCGGTCACTCGGTTAATCGAAGCACCTATTACGGTTACCGACAACCGACCGCCTAATGTAATTATCGGTTGGTAACCGCGGTTATCGGTTTAACCGACCTGTTAACCGATAATTAAACTGCTAGGGGTGGGCAACCGGTTCGGTAAACCCGACCCGACCTGAAATCGAATCAAACTGAACCGAAACCAAATTAATGCCATTCGTTTCGGAATTCGGAAGAGAAATATGGATAGTTCGAAAATCAAGGTTCTTTCAACCGAACCGAATTTCCGAATTTCGGATCGAAAAACCGAAATATTATAATTGCAAGCTCCAAATGATGGATTTTTATGTTAGTAGTTGTTTTTAGACTTAAATATTTGAAATGTTTTATGACTTATGTGTTGAAAAGTTTGATTTTATCATTGATGATGCATATAATTGCATATTTATTGTTTATATTAGGGGTGAAAAATAATTTAAAAGTGAGAAGATACAAGTAGCTTCACAAATTTGGTTTTGTGTGAAAAACCGAACCGAATTATAATTCGGTTCGAATTTGGTTTGAGGTTTGGAAGAATTCGGGGACCCGGTATTCATAATTTCGGTTTGATCGAAACCGACCCGACCAAATGCCCACCCATATGAACTGCCACCCCTGCTTCTTACAAGCTGTTTCTCGGAAACATCCAGCAGTTTGCCAAAAGAAGTACCAACTTCTCCTGCCAAAAAAAAAAAAAAAAAACAAAGAAAGACAGGCCAAAGCCAACGAGACCAAATTCTATGTGCCGATGAAGCGCATAGCCTACACTGCATCGTCAAGATCCTTGCTAAATTCGGAACAGACAGCAGGGCGGCAAGGTCGGGGTGCCACCAGCCTCTCGCTAAAGGCTGCCAATGCAACCCACTCTTCTCTCATGATGTTGTAATGCAGTCGCAGCTACAAAATCAACAAACTGACCCAAACACCTAAAAGCAAGCAAATAACCCAAGCAAAAAATTCGTTCTAAGCTCTCCATGAGAACACCAAAGATGAACTTTTCCTGTAGATCTTTGCAACAAATCCGCACTTCAATTGACAATAGCTCCATCAATGCTTGCTTGTTGGTCGAGGAAACAAAGGACTCTTTCCTTGACAAATTATCTTATTAGACATACTGTCAACGTGATGCTAAGTTTACCAACTATTGAGAATGAGTCCTTAGCTTGAGATTATAAAGTTTAGAAAGTTAGTTATAGACATTCACATAAAAGGCAATAAAGATTTGGGGAAAGAAAAGAGGGAGATAAGAGGAATAAACAAATATGTGTACAAGGTAAGTCTATCTGAAGATCAAACAAGCAAAGCCACTAGATTACGTTCAACTAACATATTTTACAAAGCCAGAAAGAAACATTTACATAAGTTAGCTAGTGAACCAAAAGGAAGAGCACATACATCCTCTGATAGCCAAAAAAAGTCCTTGCTATAAGAAGGGTCCTAACTAACATGTTTTCATCAAAGAAAATGAACTAAATAAGCCCCATTTCTGGAGGAGAGGTCGAGAGGGAATCCTGGCATCTCCAAACTCGGATAATCAGGGACTGGAGGCTATTGATCGAAGGAGCAGAACCAAACACCTTCCCAATCAAGGTCAGCTCACGACGTTCAACTTCGACAACAATATCCTCATCATTGAAAACAACGAGCTCAACAGCAGCCATAACTTTAGCCAAGATTAGTAGGAAAAGAAGTCGAAAGCCACAGGGATACGAATGAGGGATTAGGGTTTAAATAGAAGCACTGACAATAGCAACAAAGGCACATGATTTGGGCTCTCTAGAAAGGCCGGAGGACAGATAAGAGAATATTAATGATTACATCCCCACTTGATCCTTCACGTGGATGTCTAGAAGAAAGCGAGCAAGCCCAGCCCAAATGGACCAAATGAGTGGTAGCCAACTTGTCAAGCCTAGACATCGTCTCCAACAACATGAGGGGAGTAAACATGTCCAAACCATGAGGAAACCAAGGCAAAGGAAAATTCATGGTCGTCTTGACATGTCAGGTGATGTAGCTAAGGCATATGAGCATGGGACCTCATGCAAGGCCACCAAGGCTAGACATGCCGATGTGCCACCTACAATGTCGAGTGGTGTCCACTACAAGGGGGGCATGATGTTTCATAAACGAAAGATGGCTAGTATGCCGCACCAAAACGTGGAGTGCCAACAAGTTAAATTTCACTAAGTTATTTTGAATGACATGGGAGTCATATGATGCCATGCCATGCCATCTTACTCCAAGGGGCCACAAGGTTGAGTGGTGGCCATAAGGGGAGCACCTCTATTATAATGGAGATTGATGATATCTTTTCTTTTATGGAGAGGATTTAGTGGGGATATAGTCCCACTAGGAGAAGTAGATTTTTTAAGTCCTTATCCAATCTAGGCAAGGTAAAAAGAGGAATTTAAATTGTAAAAAAAAAATTGTCGTGGCCGAGAAGGACAGGAAAACAAAAAGAAGTGTATCTCTTGCGGCCAACAGATGGATGGTATGCCTAGAAGAAGTTAATGATCATTAGGTCGTGTGGTGAATGGTGTGTCCTTGCCACAGAAGATGAGAGCATGGCACAATGGAGTGTCCCTGTGCCTGCGTACCAAGGTTGGGTTGGACAAGGAAATTTTGTTTCCTTGTGTGGTCTTAGATTGGGGGAAAAAGGAGTAGGAGTAACTTAATTTAGTTTTCTTTCCCAAAAATTCATAGGAGTAGGAGTAACTTAGATTGGGCCTTATGGATATTGATTTTAAGCCAAAACCACTAAGTCTGGAGAGGGACATGCTGCCTCAACAAAAAGGGTCATGTCCATCTAAAATCTAGAAGCATGTGTCGCCTTACGAAGAGGGCCATGTCCGTCTAGAAATTGAAGACCACATGCCGCCACACGACCAAGACTAAATGACTGAAAAATAAACTAAGTCCGGAACGAGAAGGATGTGCCGCTTCATGAAAAGGGCCACAAACAAGAATGAGAAGTCCATGGTCGTGAATGAAGAGGCCAATATGGGAAGAACATGCCCTCGCGAGAGGGGCCATGTGCATGATTGAGAGGTCCATGTCGCCTCACGAGAGAGGCCATGGACACGAATGAGAAGGGCGTGGTGATGAAGTATTATGTCACTAGTGACTAAGTCTCAAGAGGGCCATGAACATGAGTAAGAAGTCCATGGCCATGAGGCAAGAGGACCACATCCCCTTCGTGAGACACTACATGCTTATCAAAAGACTAGCATGGCACGAGATTTCGAGCAAGACCATGCGAAGCAAGATACACTCCAAGACCCACGACGGTTTCAAGAGAAGTACCTAGGCAGTTGAGAGAGGAACGGCTACTCATCCCACGTTCAAGGGACACGTCAGCCACGTTCCGGAGAAGAGGGAGCGGTTATTTGTAGCAATTATCCAAGAAGCGGTTTTCTACGGTGATTACCTCCTCGTGGCTATAAATAGGAGGAGGGTTTGACAGAGACAAAAGGTTCCCAATACCACACAACTGACGCCTATGTCAAGTTTTTATCCTTTCTCTGCAAATGTAGTCATAGTCATAGTTTGGAGCTCTCGCTGAACCTCCATAGGAGTAGGAGTAACTTAATTTAGTTTTCTTTTCCAAAAACCATCAATCAAACGCCCTCGTTTGAACTGTGTTTAAAGAGGTGTGAACCGTGTTTAGAAATGGTTGTCCAAAGAAGTCAATGTGCAATCAATTCTCATTCAACGCAAGTTTTCTCGTCGAGAAACAAATTTGGCACCCTTGGTGGGACATTGTGTTTGATTTGATGGCTCTAAGACAGAGGCAACAAGAAGATGATATCTCACTTGGTTTTGTGATGAAGCAAGTGGCTAATTTTAAACTTGGCCAAAACACAAAAGGTGTTGCCGGAAACAATGGCATGACGGAAAATTTGCCACTGGCGGCACAAAGTGTTGATTACACCACGAACCTTATGCTAGTTCACCAGATGTTGGAGGAAAACCGCAAGATGATTGCGGAGAACCGTCAAGTGATGGGGGAGAACCGCCGATGCATGGAGGATGCCTTGGCGGGTACCCATAAGGTTTTGCCGCAAAATGGTGAAGATCCAACACCAGGGAATTTGTTGTCTTTGTCCCTCCAGTGGTCGAAATACCCAGCCACGACCAGGGAATTTGTTGTCTCCAGTAGCAGCTCAACCCCCCCCCCCCCTTCAACGTGAGAGTTGTGGTGAGATGTCCGCTTCCAGTTTCAACATCAGTGATGAAGTCTTACATGTAGAAAGTGATGTTCAAACACTCATTCTCGAGACAAGATCACATGAGACACATGTCTGTCAATGAACGAGTTGATGAAGATCCATTTAACGTGGACCAAGTACAACCACGTGTCTGCCCACCCCCCAATGCCACCCCTATTGAATAGGTAAGGAGGTTGTTCTGACGGGCTCAAAACACCTAAAGCTCAGCAAGGGGGCATGAAAGTCTAACTTCCCACAAGCTAAAGCCGAGATGTCCATCCGAGGTGCATGTGATGTCTAAGAGGCCCATCAATCACAAGCAACACATGCTTGTGCTAAGCATACTAATTTGGCTAAGTCTGGAAAGGGGGGGTCTACCTCCAACCATTTGTAGTGGACATGGGGATATAGCTAACAATTCACGACGTGAGAACGCCATAAAAAGTAATTGTAGATTTGAAAATTTGGCTAAGTATGGACAAGACATGTCCAAGAAGCCATATGAAGTACAAGCCACACATGTTTATGATAGGCATGCTAGTTTGGCTAAGTCTAGACAAGGGAGCATGTCACTCACCATGAGAATGGAATAGGAGGCATGTTCAATAAGACACAACAAGTCCAAACCACCGATGGTTTACGGAAGTATAGGAGCATGGCCAAGGGTGGACAAGGGGGCAAGTACTTGTCTATGAGTAGTGAGTACTTGTCACCAACAACAAAGGGTGAACAAGGAGACATGTATAAGAAGTCATCAACTAAACATGGTGGTTTAAATAACCAAGGCTGGTTATGTGCTAAGTGTAGAGGCCAACAAGGTTCACAGGTTGAAAGACAAAGTCAAATGGACCAAATGAGTGGTAGTCTACTTGTCAATCCTAGACATTGTCTCCAACAACATGAATGGAGTAAGCATGTCCCAACCATGAGGAAACTAAGGCAAAACCAGCGGCCCCGCCCGAGACTCAGGCGGCCCAACCTATCGTCTGCGCCCCCACCTTATTTTCTTCTTCTCCTGCTCTCTCTCACCCAAGCACCACAAAAAAACCATTCCTTTTCCTTTCTTGCTCAGCGCCCACCCCGCAGGCTCAAGCATACCATCCAGAGGCAGAGGCGGCCCCGCCCCAGCCTCAAACGGTCCCGCCAGAGACAGAGGCGGCACCGTCGCACCCTCAAGCAGACCCGCCCTAGCCCGAGGCGGTCGCGCCTCTTCAATAGTTCGTCCGAGAAATGTCTGACAGCGACGAGGAACCAGTTTGGACAAATGAGGTAAGTGAACTACTTCTTTAAAGTTAATTGGCTAGTTAGATTAGACTATTATAGGTTTTTACTAGGTGAACTGAAATGGAATTAGAATAGAATTACGTATGAAATTTTTTTGAAGTTAGTATAAGTTTAGATTAGATAAATTTTACTAAGTGAAATTAGAACTTCACATGAAATTGAATTAATATAAGTTTTGTGCATTATAGGTTGGTGATCGACCTTGAATGTGACTTATGAACGATGGCCACCTATCAGTATTCTCGCTCTCCACTATGGCAAATGCAATTGGAAAAATCTTCTTTCGGCCATCAAATGAGCTCGCCATGAGTAGCATTCCTTTATACTTTCCAGTAAGAAATGTTCCATCAACAACCATGACTCCTTGACAATTGTTGAATCTATCTATACAAGACCCATAAACCAAGAATACTCGCTGAAAGATCAAATGACCTGGTTGCGATGAAGGAACTCTTACCCAATCAATCACTGATGCATTATTTTTACTAGCCCCAAGAATGTTCGCAAATAATTGTAGGATTCTTCCCAATTTCCATGCAACTTCTCCAATGCTCTTTGTTTCCCATACCAAGTCTTCTTATAAGTAACTTGCATATTAAACTTATCTTTCAACTTGGCCTGCACAGTTAGAAAACTCAGATTTGGTTGGGCACGTACCAAATGTTTCACGGACTCAGACATAACGTCGACATCAAGATGCGATGATCCGTCGGTTGAGTCGTATTGCTACAAGAATGCACCAACTCAGCCTTTCTCACAGTCCATTTGCTTCCAACATCTTGACATCCAAACCGCACCATCCAAGGACAATTGTCATCCTTGTGCTTCAAGCATCTGACCTTCCAGAATGAAGGTGACGACTCCACCACGCCATACTGAAAGTTGCGTTGTAGTGCGTGGTGTTTAATCACCACCTGTGCAGCTTGTTTCGAGTGAAATATCTGCCCCTTGAAGAATTCTCCTTCAAAACCAGCAACAATAGACCTTGAAATTAAGCCATATGAATCAACAAATGATAATCCGTCGTCCTATTCATACTCTGCAAGTAAAAATATGGAGGATAATTAGGCTACTCTCATTTGTCCTTCCCCATCTTCCTCCTCCTCATCTTCCTCATCTCCGTCATCACTGTCATCATAGTCATGATCGGATGGCACGCTCCATGTCTCATCTTTTTCCTATCCGCCCCAATTTTCATTGAGCTCAGCATGTATCTCAACACCCAAACAATAAGGGTGTTGTGCCATAAAATCGAAAAACGCATTCAAACTATCATCATTCACAATAGGCATCACATAATGAAATAAAACACCATTCTGCCATTCTGGAAGACGGTAAGTGAAACATATGATCACATCACTATCTTGTACTGCTTCGTCTTTACGTCGTATTCTCATAATTAGATTCTCACAAAGTTTGTGATATGTCACCCTGGATGGAACCTTCAACTGAAAACTTCTACACCAACGACATGGACTCCCAAATTGTCTTCTACTTTCTCCGATTTCCACCGAACGATTAGTTCGAATCTTCTAAAATCACTACATGAAAAAACAAACTCACTAATTACTAACTAAACAAAATCATAATAGCATTTGAAGAATATAATTAAAAAATAAATGTGTCTCTTACCTATTAGTCATCTTCCCAGCAACCAGAGCTTCTCTCGTCTAACTTCGTCGATGTTTTGGTGGTGAGCAACTGAAAGGAAAATTGTCGGATATATGATGTTGGAGTGGGTGAGTGAGACAGCGAACCCGCCTCAGTCTCTGGCGCCTTCGCTGGTCAACGAAATCGACATTCAAAAACCAAAAAGAATGGCGCCAACGCTCCAGTTTCGGGCGCCGCAGCTCGAATTGATTCAAAAAAATTCAATTAGCGGCCCCGCCTCAGTCTCGGACGGGCTCGCTTTTACCCTACAAAAAAACACAATAACTGTGTCAATAGTTGCGAAGAAAGCTTACAAAATCCAATCTATTGCCGACACTCGTTGAACCTTCTCCAACCGCTTGTCGCCTTCTATATACCAGTACTCGAAGGATTCACGTTCTCTGAAATCAAAGTCGCAATCCAAAAATAAATAAATTGCGAATTTCCGCCAGATTCCCGAAAAATCGCGTTTTGGCGCTTTAGAGCGGGATTGTGGGCCTTGAACCCACAAACTGGGTGACTAAAGAAAGACTCGTCTGACAGGGCTTTGGCAATCGGAAAGTGATACCCAAGGCGGTAAAGAGTGTTGGTCGAAGTGCCAACTCAGGAAATCCGAAGATTGCAATCAAGATCAAGTTACTGTTTTAACAAGGCTAGAAATGGAAGCAGCTAGCAAAGGAAAGTTGGTCAGGAAAGGCTATATATATTCACTTTCCTTACTTATGAAGAAGAGCAGCAACGACTAGTGTTTCAAAGCTATATATATTCAGCTTGTTGTCAGCTTGTGAGGCAACTTTGTATGAAAAGATAGCGGTAGAGGGCTAGGCTTTGGGATTACAAAGGATTTGACGAGTATAGAGGCATAGGTTCTATATCGTCAAGGTTGTTGCGGGTCTGGATTGGGATCCGGGTTCTTTCTATCGTTCTTATTATTTGTGTTCTTCTTTTGAATTCCGTTTGATAGGTATAATCAATAAAAATAGTCTCCTAGAAATCAGTGGTACTGATTCTAGGATGAGGACTAACCCATAGTTTGGGGAACCTCGTTAAAGATCTTTGTGTTCTCTTCTGTTTTTCCGCTGTGTTGAAATCTCTGTGTCGTCTCTTTACTTGCTGTTGTATCTTGTTCATTTGCCTTCTGCACTCTGTTTTCTGGGTTTTGATTTAGGATACAAGGAACGGATGCTAGTGAGTTGATATTTTAGAACTCGTGTGGGCTTATTAGCAGAACCTTGGTTCTGGACCAAATCCATTTTCTTTTAAGTGGTCATTTTGGGGTTGGGCTAAAGTCATTGAGCCCATTTAATGTCAGCCGAAGACCACAAAAGGAACTAGTATCCTTCTTCGTTCGATCGTCTTCCTCTGTGTGTTTTCTTCATTTTGAAAATCAAAATCCCCAAATCTTAAGTTTTGAATCCCTAGTTCTTCCTGTCCAAATCGTACTTCCAAGAGTTTAGTCCCCAAAGGGAAAAGGTGCCCGGATCAGCATCGGCCGGTGACTGAACGTCAACATCGCGATAATAACCCAATAAGAGGGCTGATGGACCAAATTCACACATTCAAGCTATAATTTCCTCATATGGGTGATTAATCCACAACAAAATTTGGAGAGATAAGCAAAGGGATCGTGACCTAATTCTAAAGGGAAGAGTCTCAGATATGTAGTCCTTCCTTGTAGTATCAGTCAGAGAGAGAGATAAGCAAAGGGATCGTGACCTAATTATAACAGTATTCCAGATTTCAGATTCGAATTTGACAACACGGTAGAACAAACAGAGACACGAAAGACGGAGAAGAAGCACAAGATACCGGCGGCGGGGAACTTCCAATTCGAGCGGTGAGGGGGGGAGCGCTAGTTGGCGGCGGCGGCGGAACCGTTGGCGGTGGCCATCATCTTCTCGAACTCCTGGAAATTGACGCATCCGTCGCCGTCGGAATCGACGCCCTTGATCATCCTGGAGCACTCCTCCATGGAGCACTTCATTCCGAGGCGGTTGAGCACCTGGTGGAGCTCGGACCCGGAGATGCGACCGTCCTTGTTCTCGTCGTACAGGTCGAAGGCCTCGCGGAGCTCCTCGGCGGCGGCCGAGGACGAGCGGCAGAGCTGCGCGAACTCCTCCAGGTTGATGAAACCGTCCTTGTCGGCGTCGATGTCCTCCATGGCGCGCTGGAGATCAGGAGGGGAGTAGTTCGTCCCCATGGATCTGAGGACGTCTGCGAGCTCGGAGAGGGAGATCTTGCCGTCGCCGTTGGAGTCGAATTTCTCGAACACCTTCTGCAGCTCGTCCATGTTCTGGAGGTAGGATGGGGAGGAGGTCGGCTTGGCGATTGGGGCTGATGTGTCGACCGCTTCCGCCATTGTTGACGTTGGGTTTCGCTTCCAGAAAAGAAAAGGGAATTTGTGATGGCAGAGAAGATATTATCAAAGACCAGTTAAGACTTGTGTTTGTGTAAAGGGTATATAAGTGAACGCGAACTAGGGATGACAATTTCGATCAGACCCGTTTTACTCGGGCGGGCATGGGTACTCTCATCGACCCGATTTGTCCTGATCCGTCTCATTCTCGACCCGTTCTTGTCTAAATTACATGTAAGTTTAGTCAAACTACTTAGGATTTTCATTTTATTACATCATATTTTAGCTATAAAAAAAATTGTAAATTAGTCAAAACCTCAATTTATCCAATAATTTAACTAATTTATTATAATATTGTTTGTTTCCTTGGTCTTATAATAAAAAAGAACACATATTTCTAATGTTTATCGGGTTAATTGCATGGTTGGTCGCTGAGATTACAAAAAGCGTTCATGTTTGGTCACTAGAAAGATTTAAATCCAATGTTAGTCACTCAAATTAGCTAAATGGTTCAAGTTTGGTCACTCTCCGTTACCTTCCGTCAGTCTCCGTTAACACCGTCAATTATTTGCTGACGTGGCTAACAGACTCACCTAGTCACTTATTTTTGACAAAAATAAAATAAAATTCAATCCTGCCACGTCATAAAGGCTTGCCACATCATAAAAACCTGACCAATGTGACCCAACCCATTAACCCATGATCTGACCTACCCCAAATTAAAACCCAAAATTGACCAATCCTCAAAATCCCTTGCCCGGAGAGGACGACCGGAAGAAGCTATTGCCGCTGACCTGTCCAATCCGCCGGTTTCCCCTCTTCTCCTTTCTTCGACAAAAACATCAACGCCACGAGCACCACCAACTCCCTCTTCCCTTTTTCTCCAATCTCTAGCTCTCTTGGTGAAAAATAGTCGGCCAATCTTCCGATCTTCCCCACCAGTCTCTTCAATCCCTCCTATCGACCATCCCCAATTCATCCATCGTCCCTTCCAATCTCCCTCGTCGATTTTCCACTCCCTTCAACTTCCACCATCTTCCTCTCTCCGACTTCCAGTCGAAGGATCTGAATCGTCCCGGCCACATTCCTCTCACGCTCTACTTCTCTACTTCCTCGCCCTCCATTCCATCCATGCTCGGCGTCTCCCTCGGCTCGAGAAGCAGATCCAGTAAACAGAGGCCTTCAACTCCCTCATCGCTGCCTCCTTAGATCTTCCAGTAGATGACAAGTTAGGGAGAAGCAGATCCAGTAAGATAAAGAAAATCAGAAAGAAGAACCCAAAAGAAGGCTCGTCTCCCTCGAGAATTTCTTCACGGCCACTGGAACATTCTCCTCCGGCAAAATTCCTTTAAACACCATCTCGAACCCTCCTTGCCCCAATTTCAACCTCTCGTCGAAATTATTCATCGCCTTCTTCAAAACCTTGAAATCGAACTCCCTCGGCATCCTGGGCAGACTCTTCAGCGCCCCCGTCAGTTTCGGATTCGCCGTCGCCGCCTTCCTCCTCCTCCACCACCACCACGCCGCCAATGCTCCCCCCACCGCAACCGCCAAAACCGCCACTCGGATTCCAACTCCAATCTTCACCCCGGAGCTTCCACCGCCGGTCGCGGGAGAGGGAACTTCCTCCTCCGGGTCGAGCAGCTCCACCGTGAGATTCCAGCTCACCACGCAATTGAGCTGCGTGTTGTTCCCCGTGGAGACGGCGAACCCGAAGTAGGAGTACTGGCTCACAGTCCCCCTCATATCAAGATCCGCCGCCTCGATTGCGGGCCGGGCGGGCCGACCCGACCCGTTCTCCGCGATGTAGACCTCGAGGCTCTTCCTCACGCCGTCGTATTGGATCCAAACGAAGTAGAACTTGGCACCAACTGGAGCCAGCTCGATCCCGAGCCTGCTCAACGACGCTGTTTTGTTCGACCTCACGTTGTGAATGTCGATCCACAAATGGTTGTCATCCGGATCGAAATCCTGCTTGAAGGTATCGAGCTCAACGGCGAGGATCTGGTTGGAGGGATCGTCGTCGGATGTCGAATTGGTGAGGCCCAAGTACTGCCCGGAGCTGCGGGGGGAAGGTGGATGTCGGGTGTGATGAGGAACGCGAGTCCCTCGCCGTGGAGAGGGTAATCGTCGAGGCGGAAGAGGTTGATTAGGAACGAGGTGTTGAAGGAGGCGGTGCGGCCGTCGTCGGAGTCCCAGAGCTTGTAGGACTGGTTGAAGAGGACGCGGCCGGATTGGTGGGAGAGGTTGAACTCGCCGGCGGAGTCCGGGGTGATTTGGAAGGCGCCGTTGGAGATCGTCGCCGGGGGGACGACGGCGAAGGGGGTGTAGTAGGAGGGATTGAAGATACTGGTGGGGAAGATCAGAAGATTGGCCGACTATTTTTCACCAAGAGAGCTAGAGATTGGAGAAGAAGGGAAGAGTGAGTTGGTGGTGCTCGTGGCGTTGATGTTTTTGTCGAAGGAAGGAGAAGAGGGGAAACCGACGGATTGGACAGGTCGGCGACAATAGCTTCTTCCGGTCGTCTTCTCCGGGCAAGGGATTTTGAGGATTGGTCAATTTTGGGTTTTAATTTGAGGTAGGTCTGATCATGGGTTAATGGGTTGGGTCACATTGGTCAGGTTTTTATGATGTGGCAAGCTTTTATGACGTGGCAGGATTGAATTTTATTTTATTTTTGTCAAAAATAGGTGACTAGGTGAGTCTGTTAGCCACGTCAGCAAATAATTGACGGTGTTAACGGAGACTGACGGAAGGTAACGGAGAGTGATCAAACTTGAACCATTTAACTAATTTGAGTGACCAAGATTGGATTTAAATATTTCTAGTGACCAAACATGAACGCTTTTTGTAATCTTAGTGACCAACCATGCAATTAACCCAATGTTTTTCATATAAATTTCATACCCATTAGGTCGACCTGCCTCGAGCCGCGACCCGTGATAAATTACCCGACCTGGACCCGACCTGCACGGGGCGGGTCTGGGTACCAAGAAACCCGCCCCGGACCTGCCCCATTGCCATTCCTGCCGGGAACTAGTAGACCTACAACCAATGTTGTCAAAATCAAACCGGAGAATGACCCGGTAACATGAACGGCTCGTACTTTAGTGGTCCAACCGCTATTAGACCGTTTAAAAACCGTTAAAGAACTGATACCTTATAAACAATAATATCATAAGTAGATGACATATAAGGTAGTAATTTAACAATATAATGACTAAAATAAAATTTACTTTTTACCACTTAGTAATTTTACATTAAATATATTTCCACTCAAAAAACCATACCCCCATTCTACACAGTTGCCCCATCTTCTTCTTTCTTCTTACTTGTTCTGTTGTTCCCCTTACTGCGTCGCTCCCAACTCCATCATCACAAATCACTCTGTTGTCTACTCTATCTCCGCTATCACTCTGCTGGAGACCAATCGACGATAGAGCTGGTGCGGTATTGCCTGTGCTCGTGTCCAGAACAAGGGAGGGGGAGCAATCGATGGACGGCTGGAGAAGGAGAAGCTATTATGGCTTCACTGGCAGCGGGCGTCCGGCGTCGCTGGGAGAGCTGCTTCGGCGCAACCTTCGCGTCTTCAATCCTTCAATTTTATGATAACTATTCCGACCGCTCAAAAACAGACCTTTCTGACCGTTACGACTATTAGAGGGTTCCGGCCCGAGTTGGCGTCCGGGTGCTGGTTTTACAGGTCCGACCGACCGGCTCGGGTCGGCTTTAATAACAGTGCCTACAACTCTAAGCCATATCTCTCAAAACCATGGTCCATGAAACCATACTGGATTTCGTACTTGAAAAATCAATGGTATGATATTTTATGATAAAATCGTGGTTTAACCGTAGTTCAACCGTTAGACTGTTAAATATCGCCTACCGGTTTAGTATTCGATACTGGTATTTCGTGGTTGAATCGCCAGTACGGTACGATTTCTTGGACCATGCTCAAAACTGCTATATAATATAATATGATAATTATCGAACCATAATTCTTCGTGGAGTAATTGCAATGATCGGCAAAAACCACATCAATTAAATTGCCTTTTACATTTCGAGAAATTTTACAATGCTATATAGTATTGGTGCTATAGGATTTTGCTTTTATGGTACAACTTAAAATTGTACATTTACGTTATGGTACAACTTTAGATTGTACCTATACTTTTTGTACAAATTCTTTTATGGTACAACTTGGACTTGTACCTTTATGTGATGGTACAACTTCAAGTGGTAAAGTTGTACCATAACATAATGGTACAAATTGCTTTATGGTACAACCTAAACTAATACATTTAATGTTATGGTACAACTTTAAGTTGTACATTAAAGCACCAATACTATATAGCATAGTAAAAGTGCTCTTACATTTCAAGCTTATCCAGTTTTACATGGTATCAGAGTTCAAGTTTAGTTTCGGGATAACTCGAAGAATCATGGGAGAAAAAGCTAAGGACTTAAAGAGTTGCAATACCCTTCTCGGAGGTTAAAGGGCAGCAAGGACCACCGACCAGGAGATGCGATCTCTTCCCCACTCTATTTGCATATGTCAGAAGATCATCGCTAGATTTCTTGCAGTTGATTTTATTATTAAACCACGCAATTACCGGAGATTCTGTAGGAGTTACTTGAATTACAGATACATTAATAAGTCAATCTTATGGAGGAATAATTAGTTCTCATATAGCAATTAAACAACATATAAGTAATTCTTCTATAATGAATGATTAAGACAATCCCCCAATAATATATAGTACACTTTTGTGTACTTTTTTCTTTCAAATTTCCTGCAACGAGAGTGGAAGTAGGAAGGACATTTTTGTCTTTACAATTAATTATTTATCTCACATAAAAAATATCAATATCAAAATTCGAACCCGGGTCTCTTCAAACAAAGACAACAATCACAACCATTTATGCTAAACAAATTTGTTGTGTCTTTTTGAATACAAAATATACACGAAGTTCAACTCTCTGAAAATCACAGGACTTTCCATCATGATTAGCAAGCCCACTAAGTATACCGTATGTATTTTTATGGTGCTTGATACTTCAATTTGCATAGTAGAGTTTCGTGTAATTTTCTAAATTTTAAAATTCTTTCTCTCTCCTTAATTTTTGCTAAAGGTAAATTGGCAATTGGCTAACATGGAAAAAAACTAATTTTGTCACTACGTGTTGCGTCCTTGCATTTTTCAATTTAAATTTGTGGTTTTATCTTTGTTCTTATCTCTTTCTAACTTCCTAGGAAATTCCCTCCAACGTACAATAGTTTGCGCCCCTTTCACTTTCCAATACAAGGTCGCCTTTGAAAATCAATCATCCGATATATCTTGGCACGTCAGTTTTATTCTTGCGGATTTAAGTTGGAAAAGTAAAAGAGTTTAATAAATAATGGAGTTGCAGAAGGAGGATTCGAAATTGAATTTTTGGTTGAAAATATGTCTCTTGAGATAATAAAAAGTTTTGGCTGTACAAGGAAGAGTGGTGGCTATTGGATCTTATGTTTATGGTTTTTACATCTATTACAACATATTTTTATCTTAAAACGAGGAATCATTGATTGATTTATTGAAGTAGGTCGATTCTTTATTCAACCTACTGGAACTGATAGACAAGGAGTGTCTAATTTTGTGCCTTATTACTTTGATTGAGTCTATTAGTGTGTTGGAGATAACCCTAATTTTGTCGTTTGCTCTCAAGTTTTGATGGTCCTCTCTTAGCTTAGTTGTTAGTATATAGTTGACTTGAATCAACAACTCTCTATTTCTTTTTTATTAGTGGCATATTGTTCATAAAAGGAGCGCATTAAACCCTTATGTAGGATTGTGAGATTTAGATTTAGTTTCAAACTATTTATGGGTCGTGTGGAATTTCACTGATCTTTTATACCCTCTTTCTTGAAAACCAACTAACCAATAACATTTTAACGAGGGCTTAATTAACATTATGAAAATGGAATTAATTATACATTTTATATTTTATATTCTTAAATGATGATAGTATTTCTCCGAATGTTAGACCTATATATTCTTTCTTTATGTATCATCTCGATCGAAGGATTGTCAATAAAATTAAACCGATTGATTGGCTTAAATGTAACATAAAAATATAAATAATCAAATATGAACATTCCGGCCAATGGGCTGGGTTATAAGCTAGTATGTAAATATAATGAAGTTATATTGATTTCTCATGCATCAATTAAACAAATGTATTCCATGAAACTTTTGAAAATATGTCACCCGAACTATTTTGTGAATTATTACAAGTTGTATTATTTGACTTTTCCCACTTCTATTTCATCTGTATACAATAATCCATCATGCTTTTCCAATTTTCTTTTCTTCGTAATTATTATTATTATTATTTCTAAAAACCAGCCGCGACTAAATGTCAAGGATTGAAAAATCTTGACATTAAGTCTTTTTCTTTTACTATTAGTAGCTTGTCTAGGTCAGACGATTCATTTTCAACCCTTTTGCTCGGTTTCCCAATCCGTGGCCCGTGGGTCAGAGTTATTGTACCGGCGACAACTGGCCCTGCCGGCGGGGAAATCGAGTTCTTGACCTGCGAGCTTTGGCAGCAAGCAATGGAGGATCGCATCACATGTGGTTGCCGGGCTGCACAAAGATTATTAATATTACTTGGAAAGAGACAGGTATAGCTTCCAAATCCTTCAAAGCTTTTTCTAGGCATTCAAATCCTTCAATGAAGTGAGTATCAAGTGATCTTGATCTGTTCAGGTACAGGGGCGATGGTTCTTCTTCTATCTGTACACAGTGATGTCTCCTGTACTGAACTAATTGTTGCAACAGGCAATACAGAGAAATGCAGTGAGGAATTAAACTCTTCACTCCACAGGAGATTATTTTCCTTTCACATTCATGCAAAAAAAATAACAATCTGCACAATATATTATAATGACTTGCTGTTGCAAATTATACTAGCAAGAATCAGCAGTGGTAAGAGACCTGTGTTAATGGGGGAGTAAGGAAGAGGTGAATGTTCAGGGGGCATCATCATCTTCATGTCTCGGAGGAAGATCGTTCTTGGGGACCGTGATGAAGTTGCCCTGTTGCTCGTTAGATTCGATGAGCATCAGGACGACTTCTCGCATAGATGGCCGGTCCAAAGGGGATATACTTGTGCAGACGAGAGCGATTTTCATGACAGTGATCATGTGATCAATGATTCTTTGATCTTCGAGGTCAAGTCTACGATCAAGTACCCCCGATGTTAGTGAATGCCCCCGGATGTATTGTTTCACCCACGTCACAAGATCGCCTCCTTGTTCTAGCGGCTGTACAGGGGTCCTCCCAGTCAGTAACTCCAGCAAAACCACTCCGTAGCTGTAGATATCGCATTTTTCTGTGACCTTCAGTGTATATGCATATTCTGTCATAGGATGAGGAGTTAGACACGATACTAAAAGAGGCCAAAGGTTTCCAAGTCAAAAAATGCAAAATGCAGCAATGGGTCAGTTATGCAAAAATGCAGCAATGGGAACAAGGGCTCACCAGGTGCAATATACCCATAAGATCCAGCAACCGCTGACATTGATTTCGAATAAGGCAAGTCGACTACTTTCGCCAAACCAAAATCGCCTACATGAGCTTCAAACTTGTCGTCGAGTAAAATGTTGTTGGATTTTATGTCACGGTGAATTATGCTTGGTCGGCAATCATGGTGTAAGTAAGCAAGACCTTCAGCAGCTCCAAGAGCAATGGTGAACCGAGTTGGCCAGTCCAAGTCACAAGAGGGACCATGAAGCAGCTCTCCCAAGCTACCTTTTGTCATATACTCGTACAAAAGCAGATTGGAGCCCTGATGGTAGCAAAACCCATAAAGCTTTACAATGTTCCTGTGCCTGATGTTTCCCAGGGTCAGAATTTCCGCCCTGAAACTGTTCTCAATGTTGCTTCCTTCCCTGTTAGACGACAACTTCTTCACAGCAATGACTTGTCCAGAATGCATAACGGCTTTATAGACTGTTCCACAGGCTCCCCTGCCAACAACATAACTCTCGTGGAAATGATGTGTGGCCTCAACCAAATCTTGGAATGTAAATCCCTCTTTCGGACGAAAGTAGATATCCGATTCTGAAATCGAAACATCATCGTCCTGTAATGAAGGAACCGTCTCCACTGGACGCCTCATGAAGTATAGAATGATAACAATAAGAATGAGAGAAACCCCGCCAACAACAGCAGCAACCAGAGTGATAATTTTACTTCTAAGTCGATCTGCATTCACCAAAGGTGGCACCACAGCAGAAGAAGTTGGATCCCCACCGCAATAACCAAGAGGTCCACCGCATAGCCCTTTGTTTCCAATGAAGCTAGTTAGATCCATGTTTTGGAAAATAGGTACTGGGGGTACAGGTCCACTGAGATCATTATACGAGAAGTTACACCCAAGCAAACTTGAAAGGCTTTCAAGAGTTCTTGGGATCTCACCAGTTAAATGATTATTGTTGAGCAGAAGGAATTCCAACAGAATAAGATTACTAATCTCTGGGGGTATTTCACCAGTCAGATTATTGTAACTGATATTCATGGCAATCTGTAAACTGGATAAGGACCCCAACTCTGGTGGAATATCTCCTGAAAGTGAGTTGCCACCCATCTGCAACTCCGTCAAATGGGAGAGATTTCCTAATGCAGAAGGAATCCTTCCAGAAAGCTTGTTATCTGACAGCTTCAGAAGCTCCAACTGCATAAAGGTCCCCAGCTCGGCAGGCAGATCATCAACAAAACTGTTGTGGCTGAGATCAAGCCTTTGAAGCATCTTGCATTTAACGATCTCGGGGGGAATCCTTCCACTTAACAAATTAGATGAGACATTGAAAGTCACAAGTTGAGATAGATTACCAATCTCCCTAGGCAACTCAGAGGTGAAGTAATTGTTAGCAATATGAAGCCTCTGTAACTTCTGGCAGTTACCAACTTCTTGAGGGAGTGGACCGGTAAACCGGTTTTGGTCTAGTTCAATAGCAGATATGTTCACTAACTTGCACAGCTCGGAAGGAAAGCTGCCAGTAAGCCTATTTCCAACAAGCCGAAGTTGTACAAGTGTTTGGCAGGTCAATAACCCTGATGGGATGTTGCCATAAAGTCTATTAGACTCGAGATTCAACATAATCAAGTTGGAATGGCGGCAAATGTACGGAGGAATTCTTCCAGTCAGATAATTGGCTGAAAAATCAACCACCCATAGCCTGCTGTAAAGACCTAGCCCAGGAGGGATTTTACCACTCAGAGAGTTGTCAAAAAGCTGCAATTGTATCATTCCTGTCAAGTACTGAAACCCATATGGGATAGACCCAGTGAGCTTATTGATGGACAGATCAAGCTTTGTCAAGTTCCTCAAACTACTGATCTCATTTGGTATGACACCAGTGAGCTGGTTCTGGAAAAGGTAGAGCAGACTCAGACCCTTTATCTGACCAAGCTCGACCGGGATTTCACCAGTCAAATAATTCTCGGAGAAATCAATTTCTGTTACCATAGACATATTCCCTATTTGTCTCGGAACAGTTCCATTCAACTGATTTCTGTAGAGATACAACTTCTTCAGAAACTTCAGATTGGTTAGCTCCACCGGAATAGGTCCGACCAGAGTGTTCGCATACAAGGCAAGTGTTTGCAGACTAGTGCAGTTGCCAAGCTCCTTCGGTATGAAACCTGACAGTTGATTATCCCACAGAATCAAATCAGTTAAGCTGCCGAGCATTCCAATTTCCTTTGGCAGTTCGCCTCCAATGTCGTTTTGAGCAAGACCAAGCAGCTCCAAACTCTGGCAACCACCTATTTCAGCCGGAATGCTACCAGAAATGGCATTCTGCCCCGCACGAAATGTCTGCAAATTCTTGAGCTTTCCAATGGATTGAGGTAGTGGACCGGAAATGTTGTTCGTATAAGCCACAAACTCTACCAATGAGGCCAACTTCCCAAACTCCTCTGGAAGAGATCCAGAAATCTTATTGTTGCATATGTTCAAATGTTCAAGAAGAGATAAGTTACCAAGTTCAGCAGGAATTTGACCACTGAACTGGTTGTTGTTCAGGACAAGGGACTGTAACTTGGAACAATTACCAAGCGCCTTGGGTATATCTCCCGTCAACTTATTGAAAGAGAGATTGAGATAGCTCAAGTTGATCAAACCACCAATACTTGAGCTTAGAGTTCCAGCGAGATTCATTGAACTCAAATCAAGAGACCAGACACGACGAGAATAATCCGAAGTACAGTTTACACCAGTCCAACCGCAGGGTGTCTGGTCAGCCGGATTCCAATCCACCAAATTATTCAGTCCATTGTCAGTAAGGTCCTTCTTCAGCTGCAGAAGGTATTGTCCTTCAGAATTCAATCCCTCTGAAGGAAAAATCATCAGTGCTGAAAGAAGCAGAAGTCCTGTAAACCATGACTCAAAAACTTGCCGTGATTCAGACCTTGCTGCCATATTATCCCTTAGCTTGAGCATTGACAGTAGCATGAACTGGAGAAGGGGAACAAAGCAGGATGAGCAACTTCTCATTTGCAGCACCCACTAAATGGCTATTGTTAAGCTAATAAGGTAATTCCAGTGCACAAATGGTAAAGGGAGGGAACCTAATCCTGTCCATCTCTCTATTTATAACTTGATGCCAAAGCAATAAACCAAGAATCCAATCACATAAAGCAGACACATAGTTTAGTGACAGGAGTAGTGATATAAATGTCCAGCAAAAGGGAAGAACTTCATCTCCTCAACCAATTTTTTAAAGCAACTGAAATCAACCATTTCTATATATAATAAAGTAACTGCCAAAAACAACAGACAAGATAGAAATAGAAACTGGGATAAGGGGGGAGGGAATAGGACAAACCTGTAGAAGCCAAAAAAAAAAACAGAAAACCGGATCAGTCACCGAATAAGAGACAGCAGAGGCAGCAGCAGCAACTACACCATTTCTCTGCAACTCCTAGATACCTTGAAATATGAAACACTCCTGTGGAAGAATACATGGATCAATAGAGCAAACCAAGATAAACCCAGTTCACCTTTTTGCATAAAAATGGTGGGGTTGGGGAGGGAAGGGGAAGGATCTATGATTCAAAAAAGGCAAAGGACCAAAGAAGATTTTGCTAAACCGAAGAAGATTCCCTATTTCTTTTCCCCCTCTCTCAATCTCTCTCAACAAATCCCCCAAAAGGTGAAGGAAGTAAAAAGGCAAGAAAAAAGATAAGAGTGGAAAGGACCAGATAAAAGGGGGGGATATTATTTCTGGGTTTTCAATGGAGATGTGGAAACTAGAACAGTGAAATTGAGAGGATTAGATAAAGAAAGGAAAGGAAAAAGCTTTTTCAAACCCCCTCCTCCCTAGAAATGATTCAATGTATTGAAGAGAAAATGGAGTGGGCAGAAACGGGTCCAAGCTGTGGTCTTTTAACTCTCTGTTATCTCTTCTCCCCCTCTTTGAGAAGCTCTAATGGCCGACAAGGCATGCTCTCATTTCGTCCCTCCCTTCATCTCTACACGCCTCTCTCTCCCTCTCTCTACAGCAATAATATATATCTTTTAAAAGTAAAATAAATAAACGTACTATAGGAAATATATTTCAAAAGAGTGAGCTGCTGCTGATGAAAGTGATGATGCCAATTTGCTGTGTGGGTTAAATGTTGGTGGAGGGATGGAGGAGGAAGAGCGGAGCTGGCGGTGGCGGTGGTGGGATGGGATGTCTTGTTGCTTTCACTTCCGCCATCTTTTCTTTCCCTTTTCTTCTTGCTTTTTGCTTCCTAAATTATTTTAAACAAAAAAAAAGCTTCCATCTTTCAGTGCTCTAGCAAAAAGGCAGGAACTTTGTCCTTTTTCCATTTGCCTATAGGCTATGGCTACACATGTGTGTGTAGGTAACTGTAGATCAGCATTTCCATGGCATTGAAAAAAGTTTTGACCTTTCTAATGGGTTTTCTTTCTTTTTTCTCATGAATTTTACAGGAAAGGGTTTTGCATTGGATCGGACAGCTTGCCTTCACGGGAAGTTTGCTTCTGTTCTGTGAATGAAAGTTTTCAGTGGGAACAAAGTGGTTGGTGTTTGTTCATCTGAAGAATGAGAACTCCCCAAAGAAATTGGGTTTTTTTCCATTTCAACACTTTGAAAGAAAATTATGATAGCTGACGTGGGCTGATGAGAATATGAAGTCAGCACATCACGCACACTTATTTGTCTTCTACTGGAGGAGGATATGCTCTTCATCTAAGTGGGCAGAAAGCCAGAAACTGGTCTAGAAACTAATCACTGCCTGCAATGTTCATCTTCATTCAGAAAAATCAATGCTATGACTCTCTCTCTCTCTCTACTACCCAACTCTTTCTCCATTTTGATTCTGCTCCTATGTCTGTCCCTCTGTGATTCGTTTTAGTATTGGTAAACTATTATCCTGTTAGCGGTGTAATCAATAATCAAGTCGAACTTGGTAATCAACGGTTAGATGATAATCAACATAACAGTAAATGGTGTTTTTCGGTAGTCAAATTTAACTAATTACTAACCGAATGTTAAACAGTTAGTAGTTGACGGTTAAATGGTTAACTGACTAACTAATTACGATCATCCTCATAGGTAGGACAAAAAATAATAGACATCGATGAGCCGCGGGCATAGACCGAAAATCATTGGATGATTGAAGGCCTACAAGATCCCTTGTCTACTCTAGTTGTAATTGTGACTTAGGTTAAAATGAGAACAATATCAATGAAGGGCTTTAGAAAGAGCACAGTAGAAAGATGAGCTTACACACAGTATTTCGACAACAATTAGTAACATTTAACCATTCATGTAATTTAGTGTGATTTTCTAGTTGAGTAAATGTTGTTGGCTTTGTTATTCTTATATGCTTCTTTAATCAAATTTGACAGTAGAATGATGTTATTGTGTACTTTGATTCGATAGAGTTGATTGTGGATTGATATGTTTAATTAGTTTTTTATTTAATAATAACAACTTTAAAATATAACATACATAGGCAAAAACTCTACAAAATGCACAATTGAAAAAAAGGAGGTATTCTTTTAGTTAGATTACGAATCGTTTATTTTGATATAACTTTATCGAATCACTTGCTTCACAATTACCTGATTAACTCGCAAAATAACTGATAATAGACTATACAGTTATGGATCAACCTATTAGCATATAAAGAATTGCGATTGTAAGTACAAATTGCTTACGGGTTAATCAATAACCGACTATACAACTATGATTATAACCAAATTCAACCCACTAAAATTGATCAATCTTGCTTTCGCTTTTCTGATTATTTTCTCTGTGTCTCTTCCAACGATTACCGTGGTTGGGTGTCCGGATACTATAACAACACTATAATAAGTGTTGTTATAGTAACAACAAGGGTAGAGCGGTAATTACACACAATCTCTAACAAAATAAAAATTAAATTAATATATCATTCGCTTCGCCTTCTCCGGCCCGAAAATTCCGCCTCCCTTGTCTTGGACCCTTCACCATTCTTTCTCCTTCCAGGGCTTCGCGACCACCAGAAATTTGTCCAAATTTTTATGAGTTTGAGTTGTGGTTGGTTTCAATTGTTAAATTGGAGTTGTATGTTAATTATTTTGATGAGGTGGAATGGTAACTAGATAGATCTAACAGAAATTTGGATGGAGACTAACAAAAGTGATCATTTCGTACAAGTTCAAAATTTTGTTACCGTATCGTTACAGATTAAAGAATTGTGACAGTTTTGACTAAGTGCAAAGGTTTGTGACTTATTATGATAACTAGCTTTTACTCGGCCCTTGGCCGAATTTGTTTCGCTTTATCATTAATATTGGTTAATTTATAATTATATTTAAAATATTAACCTGATTCATTGGTCGGATGAATTTTATTTTATTTAATTTCATTTTGATAAATCTCTTCGTGTTTTTAAATAAGTTGAGGTTTCTAAAATAGTTAATTCATTATTTCATAGTAATCTTTATGGTATTTGTTGATTATGACATTACTGATAATGAGTTAATATGTACTTTTTTATCAAGTCCTCATAGTTTACTGTTGTGTATTTTTTTCATCTCTTAGAAGAAATTTGTGGACTTTTTATTATCGGATATGAAGTTGGAGTTGAAAGAAAATATATGTCATCTAGAATGGTAGGAATTGTAGGTATATAAAAAATCAAGAGAATAACGAAAAGATTATGCCTAGAAATCTCAAATATGAAAGAACACGAAAACATAATGCTTATTGTATAAATTATTAGAATATAGTGTACAGGCTTGATTGAATAATAAGTCGAGGCTGTTAAGTGTTAGATACTAATGCACGTACAGAAGTTACAAAAATTCAACATTATAAAACCATAAATTCTACTCTATCAATACAATCTTTGACTTTTCATGTGGAGTTAATAGCATAAATTGTCACTCTATTATCCATTTTTCTCAAATCTATCCCTGTTATTTTTCACATCAACATGCCCTTATAATATATAGTATATACGAATTATCAAATTAAATTTAATCCCTTCCTTTTATGGCTTATCTTCTCCATCTGCAACTCCCAATGATTAATAGCCACAATCGGATCCTCCATCTGTCCCGCTTTCTCTTCCTTCGACCTAACAATAATTAAACGCAAAAAACTTGTCCGTCACGAAAGAACCTTTAAGACCGACTTTTGAATGTCAACCACTCTCTGAAAAGTCCACAATTATTGATTGATTCATTTGACTCAATCATAAAAATTGGAACCCAAATTTTTTAGAATATATGGATTTCAAGTATCAAAGGTTGTCAACTTGGTTTAGCCCGTTGGCCCAGTCGATTAAGTGGGTTGAGGGTTAATGATCTAATTGTTTTAGTCCGCTTTTGCCCGGATATATGAAAAAATTATTATATTGTTCATACATTTATAAATTATATAAAATCTCATCTACATATGAATATATTCTTCCTCGACCGGACTATCTACATTTGTTTCTCTAACTGCTATTTTCTTCTATCCTCCTTCGAGCTCCTAAAATGCACTCCAACATCATGTATTCGTCACGCGATGAAGGTCGAACTCCTATGGTGGCGATGTGTGTCAGCAGTGGAACTAATGAGTAACGACCAAGTGAAAATTGAGCATGGGGTGTTTGCGAGAAAAGACAATATGTGATGGAAGGCGAGTTCTTCCAGTAGTCTCTTTGTTAACAGAATTGACTTGACGGATTTATCTTACCAATTTGCGGAGCGGGAGCTAGAGCAGGAGCTAGAATGGGAGCGTAAGAGTGTATACTCTTCAAGAATTATAATTTGAGTGCGCCGAAAGAGCGTGAATATTATATTATTTAAATTAATATTTCATTTAACCTACTAACATGTCTTGGTCAAAATATTACATCAATGCAGTGGAAAAAAAATCATTTTAGTAGAATAATAGCTTTAAATAATCTGATTAGCCTCGAAAAAAGAACTAACTTCAAAAGATGAATAGAAACCCGAAAATTTTTACGATACTATTTTGTTTTATTTTTTAAAAAAGAAAAAGAGAAATGAATGCATCGTTTATCCACCCCCATGCACTCAATTAGTTGTTAATAAAAGAGTCTATATATTTTTCTTCCTCTTCAATTCTTTGTTTCCTAAGCCGACTCTGGAGATCTCCTGTAGATGTACCAAATTGGCAAATTCTATATCATCGGCTATCTAACTAACCTCCTATCATTTTATTCAGCCCCAAGCCCGTGATTTGATGATCTATTTCACAGTACTTATCCACGAACTCGTAGTGTATCCTTTTCATCTTTGCTCTCTAGATCTCTGATAGTACCGCATGTATTTCTTTCTCCCACGAAGAAGCACGTCATCGTCTTCGAGCCAAAGCTATTGATTTGGCTATAACTTGTTTCATTTTACTTTGTTTATAGAGAGAAAAATCTCTCAAATAAGTGATATATGAAATAAAATTTGCGAACATTGATTTTTGATGCTCTGATTTTTAGTTTGAGCAACAATTTCTGGGTTTTGGAAGTTTGTAGTTTCTGTAAAATAATTATGAAGCAAAAATATAATTCGTACTTTCATTTTCGTTGTAGGAAATTTGAAATGAGACAACAATTTTCTCATTTTAGTATTATATATTGTGTAGAGTGTATATAAAGACATGTCTTCTCCCTACAAATTCATTAGCACATTAAAAAAATGTGAAATAAACCAACTTATTAAACTCTTAATGATTGTTGGATCCAATCATGTCAGAATAGGAAAAGGTTTGAAATTTGACGGTTAGCCGAACTAAAATGTTCAAAGAACCAGTCTCATATAGTTTACACACATATATGAATACTATTGTGTAATAGTAGGTCTAAAAATTAATACTAATTTAAGAATTATACATCACTTTTACATATTCAACACTGCAATTTAATATGAAATATTCGAACCAATGATATTTGGGGCGTGATTTTAAAGTTATTCTCTATTTATAAGATATACAGGAATTTAATTAAAATATTAAATAATAATTAAAATAAGGAATTTGGCCTTTGTTAGTCACATAAAGTTTCAACTCAAATGCATGTTTCTTAATAATTTTTGCTTCGTATTTGTATGAGATAAGGTCGACTGGCTCTATGAATGTGCAGCTGGAGAAAAATGAAATTTGCTATTGCGGGATTATGATAGCTTTTGAGATGGTTGGGTCGTGTATTGTAGGCACTCAAATCTAAAATAAGAAGAAGAGACGATGGGATAGTCGAACATGGTCTGTGATGTTTCATGTTGTAGGGTTCTGTGATAAGTAAAAGGATGATATGACAGTGTAGCTACGTATACGAATTGTTGAAAACAACATCATTTTGAAGTGGCCGGTTCTCGAATCAGTTGGTTAAATCGGTTGGATTTCCCACTAAGATAGACAAACTCGAATTTGACCCAACCTAAGTAGACAACCAACTAGGCCTTCGGCAGCCGCTGAGATACGCAGGTTTAGATAGAATTGGTTCGACCAATAGAGTCATACTCGAATTGAAAATCATGGTTATGACTTTTGTATGTGTTTGAAGATACATTAGTTCAAATTCCAATACTTGTCTATTTTCTATACAAAATAAAGATAAATAATGGCGAAGAAAAAATTATCATTCATAGTTTTGCTCTCGTTGTATGAAATTTGAAATGAGACGACAATTTTATCGTGCCAATAGTATATATTTGGAAAAGTGTATATGTAGACATGTCCTTGCTCTACAAATTCATTTTAATACATAAAAAGATGAAATAAACCAATCTATTAAACTCAACCTCTTCTAATGATTGTTGGATCCATCATGCTGTCGGATTAGGAAGATGCTTAAAACTTAACGGTTAACCGAGCTAAAAATGTTAAAATAAAGAACTCGTCCCCGTATAGTTTGCAGAAAGATATGAATATGATTGCCTCATAGTAGTTCTATAAACTAATACTAATGTAGGAGTTCAACATCGCTTCTACACATTCGATATTGCAATTCGATATGTAATATTGAACCAATGATATTCGGTCTATGATTTTAAAGTTATCGTCTATTTATAAGATAAATAGAAATTTAAATTAAGTATTAAAGTATAATTAAAATAATTAAATATGAAAATCGAAGTATCAAAACACCAATAAGTACTGAGCGAAGATTTAGCGACCTTAGCTAACCGTTGAAAAGTTCTGTGATTTTTAAATTTTAGCTTCATGTATGTTTTTTATTTAAAATGATATAACTAATATATGTAGTATGATTAGTTAAGATTTATATCATAGTTGAAAATGACCACAGTACAAATCTTTGTATGTGTATTTTTTTTTAAGATAAATAGAAATTTAAATTAAGTATTAAAGTATAATTAAAATAATTAAATATGAAAATTGAAGTATCGAAACACCAATAAGTACTGAGCGAAGATTTAGCGACCTTAGCTAACCGTTGAAAAGTTCTGTGATTTTTTAATTTTAGCTTCATGTATGTTTTTTATTTAAAATGATATAACTAATCTATGTAGTATGATTAGTTAAGATTTTTATCATAGTTGAAAATGATCACAGTACAAATCTTTGTATGTGTATTTTTTTAAGAATAAATGAGAAACAAACAAATCATTGTGAAGACAAAAATATCTTTTTTATTTTCACTCTCGTTGCAAAATAATTTGAATGGAATGCAGAAAAAAATATTCAGCTATCTATATACTTGTAAACAACCCGTGTTGTCGCCCTATCTAGTCCCGTGCCTGGGCCAAAAGCAGTGAAGGCCGGCCTCTTGATGAAAACCGTGTAATCTTGACCCACTCTAAAAATCGGGGACAAACCTTAGCCCACTCTAAATTCCATTTAGACTGTAGGCTGCGGCCTTGACTGCGATACAATTGGGCCGCACTAAAAAAATGTCCCTTGTGGTCGGGCTATGCTTTGGGCCTGGTCATGCCTACATTACATGGTTTTTGTTTAATTAAGGTGTCGTTTGAAAGTTCTGATTGTTAGAGTTGTATTTGTTGAATACATGTATTGTGCACATACAATGTTTGGAAGTATCAAAGTGTAAAACAATGTATGTATTATTTTAGGTAGGTCCCACGAACAATCACAAAAAATGATGCATTATACAATCTCAACTAAAAGTTGAGATTGTTGTGATTGTTGCTTCTAGATTTGTGTCAACCTTTTTTTTTCATTTATATCCCTAATAGTTTTTGTCTTATACTAAAAGTTGAGGGTAAATATGACATTTCCCCATAAAAGTAATTTTATGTAAATCAATGCATAAAGTAGAATCTCAACAACCAAACAATGTATTGTTAAAGTGCATCCATTGTATCAATACATGCATTTATATTATGGTGATTCATTACAATGCAACGATTTAACATTCGCAACTTCCAAACGACCCCTAATAAAACGTAATTGACTGATTTTTTTTGTCAAGCGTCACCTTCGCAGGTGAAACAGATAAGAGCACCGGGTTTTACATACTGCTTGTAACCTGTGCTGACTCAAAAGACACACTACACAAAGAAAGAAAAATCGTGAAGGACACTATGAATTCCAGGATAACGAAGGGCCTGTTGTGCCACAAAATGCATAACCCGATTCGCTTCTCGATGTGTGTAAACAAAACGAACTCTTGAGAGAGACTCTAACATAACGCAAGCCTCGCGTAGAATTGCTCCAGCATAAGCATCGTGCATTGACCGGCTAGCCAGTTGATGTAGCACCACTTGAGCATCCCCCATGACTGATTTAAGTTCGTGTATAGTTGTATCCTATCTAACTATAGGTTCTAGCATCTAAATCAATTTAGTGTATAGTTTAACCAAAAAAATCGAGGTGAAAATCAACAATCTTGAAATGTATGATGACAATAAAACTTGATAGACTCCAAGTGATGGATTTTGGATGGTAGAATGGCGGTGGGCATGTGGGTGGTGGGTGTTGTTTCAATTAATAAATAAGCAAAGCCAACAACAATGCATTTGCGTCAAAACCTCTCCTTTACTTTCCATCCTTGAAAGAAAGAGCCACATACTACACATTACGGCCACCACCGCCCACATGTGATCATGTGAGGATTCTTCATCTTTCAAAGCATCCATCCATCAATAATTATAGAGGGAAGGAGGGGGTGGATCCATCAATACACGCCGGTATCTCTCTCATAATGTCCACCGTCTATTAAATGTACCAACTTACACAAAGTTACCTCTCAATTGACAATTTGAACCCGACTCGTAGTATCGTGGGTATATAAGTATCTATTTTCGCTTCGTCCTTTCTCATTTAGCTCTATTCTTAGTCAATTTTATCTCAAATTTTTATAGTATCTATTCATATTTTGACTTTTTTTCAACTAGTTAGACCTAATTAACCCATTTATTATCACACTATTTTTCATTCATAAAGTGCTTTCCTTTTCGTTTTATTGTAAAAAGTAAAATTTTGCGTCTATCTTTTCATAAATCATGTAAGAGTGGTTCGGCCCACCTCACCCTGTATCCGCACGGTGATTACCCACCATGATCCGCAATAACGTTACAAGAATCAAGCCATCGTAATTATTGGGCTTCGATTTGGGCTTGGATATTTTATTATTTAGTATTTTAGTAGTAATTGTCTTTATTATTTTTATTGTTCAAGTATGATTTGATTTATTATTTAGGAGTTTATTATTATTTTCTTGTAGGTTGGGTTTCATGTTTTGGGTAGGAAAAAGGAGGAGACCGCCGGCCTATTAGGAGAAGGATTGGGATTTTGGGTTTTCTTAACCTATAAATATGTACTATGTATTTCGTTTAATGATATGTTGAAGAATGAAATTCATTAGAGGTTGTAGTTATCTTCGTTTCTCTGAATATTCTCTTCGTTCTAATTCTCTTTCTTACGAATATCTTTCAACATCGGCGACACACATTACGTGAAGGTTCTCACCCGAGAAATACACATAACAAATAATGTGGGACGAGACATAAGTATTAAGATATCCGTCTACCCGTCGCATTGCCATTACGGCTGGCTATTTGGTCCGGATGTTTTGGTTTTACCCGAAACCGGACCATATAACCCGGAACGAGACCGGATAGTAAACAATCCAATCCAGATTTGCCATCACTATTCATAGGGTCCTCTCATTCCTTTTCCATTGCAATTGCTAATCATAATAATAATTAATAATGATAATAATTTTCTATGGAATGTGTCACAACTCACAACTCACAAGTAGGGGTGGCATTTCGGTTATTTCGGTTATAACCGATAACCGATCGGCCGGTTATCGGTTAACCAAAATAACCCCTCCCCCTACCGAAAACCGCCCGAAATAGGCTTCGGTTTCTCGGTTATCTCGGTTATCGGTTAACCGACCCACTTTTAAGACCAAAAACCATTTCGTCTAGCCTCCGATAACCGACCGAAGTTCGGTTACTTCGGTTATCGGTTCGTGGATAACCGGTAACCGAACTGCCACCCCTACTCACAAGTTTGTTTTAATTGGGCGTATACTTGTCCTACAAAATCCAGATTTGGCATGCTCAAAGGGGTTCGTTTTGACAATATGAGTTTAAATCTACAGATTATCATCAATATAAAGATTCCAACTCTTCGGATCGTTGAAAACAGATTTTAAAATATTTATTGTTTGGTAACTGTGATTGTTAACAATCAAGTAAAATAAAAAATTTAATTTTATATTAAATAGCATGTTTATCCTTAATAAAAAATTAGAGTGGTTCGAGAAATATAAAAAAACTTTGTTGATAAATATATTTCATGTGATAAATAAATAAAAGGAAGAGAAAAATTAGGAGAGAAAAAATATCATAAATCAAGATATAGAATATCTCTGATTATGAGAGATTTGATATCCGCAGATTTTAGAGATTTGAAAGCTCTAAATCTAGAATTCACAATACAAAAAGTAACAAAAAAAAAACATAACTTTCTACAAAATCTACGGATTCAATGAATCCATGTCTTGAATCCTGTTCTCCAAACGACCCCTAAATACGATTCTCAACTTTTGCTTCCGACTATTTGAACCGTATTTGCTCTTTGGGGATTCTAATTGCTCATTGTCTGCGTTGAAAAAGCATGTTGGTGCTATAGAAAAGGTGCGTTCATCACTTCATTATGAGATTTTATGTGTGGTTTATGACTTTTTTTATGTGGCTTTTTCTAAGCCCCAATTTACATGCACAGATCGAAATTGCAATGACCATCTAATTGAACAACGTTTGGACCGTGTTTTAGTGTCTCTTGATTGAATGTGCCAATGTGTCAATGACCTTGTATCTCTCTGACTCATAATCATATATCACATATCAGGTCTGATCATAGATTTTTGTTCTTTCGACGAGTCACTTCTAGCTCTTTACGAGAGAACTTTCCAGTTTGACCTTCATTGGACTAAAATGGCAGAAGCAAACCTTCTTATCCTACTCATTGTGCTAAAACTTACATGAACTAACATCGATCGGACCATCGACTACCATGGTGGAAAGGACTAAGGACTATACGAACGAGATCAAGTTGTAAACAAGTGTTAAATTGGGGTTCTTTTTGTAATTGACCTCTGCGCAATAAATCAGAACTGTGCTGTCCAGTGTCCTGTAAGTAAAGGGTACGGAAATAAATCAGAAACTTCCTCAATTCTTTGCCTCTCTTCTTCTTCTTCCCATTCCTCTGTTCTTCTTCTCCTCCCTTTCTCTCTTCTTCTCAATTCCTATATCCCCTATCAATTTCCATCTTGCTACTCTGAATTCGTCGACAATAGATCCAGATCAAGCCCAGGCGTTACAGAGATCTGGGAACTTCTCTGGTTCAATCAGTCACCGTCGCTCTCTTTCTGGGTACTTCCTATCTTTCCTTTCTTGTCAGTTGGAATGTCTGGCTTTTGCTTGCTGGATCTGTTGCTGGAAGTTAGGTTCTTCGTCAATGGGCTGTATCTGTTATGTCGGTGGATTTGTGGGATTTTGATTTTTCAGCCTGAGTTGAGTTGGGGTTTCTTGGTTCGATTTAATTATTATGGCTCTTGGAGGTGAAGTAATGAAAGAATGGTTTGATTCAGCCACTAGGCTCTTACCATCTAAGTGATAGTTTCTTTCTTGAAAAGCACACTCTCGAGCTGATGAGTCTGTGTTGGTATTTGAAGAGATCAGTTTTAGTTTAGTTCGTCAAGTGGGCATTCCTTGTTCTGATAACAATTGACTTGGATGTGAAGTGTCTTGCTAATGTGCGTTTTCAGGTTGTATACAAACTCTATATGGTGTTCCTTCTGCATCTTTGTCCTAACCAATCATCTGTGATCTTTTCGTATTGGTATGTCTTGTTTCTGATGATCAAGGTTCACCTTTCATTAATGGAAGATAGGGGTTTGATATCAGATCAAGTAGCATGTTTGTATGTTGCTAATTAAGAACCATACTCTTAGGACAGAACAAAAAATGGGGCAAACTATGGTAATGTGGAGTTCAAATGGTTAAGTAGTTATGACCTTATGATTGATTCACCTTTTTCCCCAATTACCACGCAGGGAGGAGAAAAAAGTTGTGAATTGGACTGTTCAGAATGATAAAAAGGACTTCAAGTAGGTCCAAAGGAATCAAGGTGAAGCATGTCTTGCAGATTTCTCTGTTGCTTGGTGTCTGCTTCTGGTTAATATACCAGGTCAAGCATTCCCATGATAACAAAAAGGAGTTTGGTGGTAAAGATGCAGAAGTTTCCACCACTACTAGAACACACGTTAATGATAATGAGATCCTGAAGTTGGGGAGGAAAGACCTGCATCCTCGTGTGGATGATGTGGCTAAGAATGAGAATGTGGCTGAAGATGATGAAACAGTGGCAGAGGAGGAAAACGTCAACGCGGGAGGAGACAATAAGCATGCAAAAGAGCTAGAGCAAGAACTCGAACTTACTAAGCACGAAGAAGAGGAGCGGGATGATGTTAGTAAGCCTGAAGAGGAAGAAAGGGGCAATGATGATGATGATGAGAACAACAAGCATGACGTAGAAGAAGAAAAGAAGGCCGAAGAAGAGACCAAAGTAGAAAGCAGAGGTGCTGGCGATAATGAGTTTGGTGAACATGATCAGGATAAACTGGAAGGAGAAAGGGGAGGGGAAGCTTTATCGGAAGGGGAGAGAGAGAAAGGGAGTGAAGATGGCGATACTAAGGAGAGTGAAGTTAATAAAGAAGAGGACAAGGAGGTCCATGGAACTTTACCTGAAGATGAGGATCATGAGGATGGAAGCCAAAACTCCCATGAAGCTCAAGAGGAGCACTACAAAGGAGATGATGCTTCAAGTGCTGTTACTCATGATGAAAACAACAGTGGGAAGGACAAAATAAATGGTCTTCAGGTAGACGAATTTGCTGATAATAATGGAAATGGGAATGCCAATGAGATTACTCAAACAAACTCAACATTGCAGCAGGAACAAGGTGACACTGCTGCTAATAACTCTCTTCAGGTAGAAGAAGTTGCCAATAGTAATGGAACTGGGATTGCCAATGAGACCGTTCAAACCGACTCAACATTGCAGCAGGGACAGGGTGACCTAGCTGCTAATAACTCTCTTCAGGGAGATGTAGTTGGCAATAGTAATGGAACTGAGACTGCCAATGAGACCGTTCAAACCGACTCAACATTGCAGCAGGAACAAGGTGGCATGGCTGCTAATAACTCTGTTCAGGAAGAGGAAGTTGGCAATAGTAATGGAGCTGGGACTGCCAATGAGATCGTTCAAACCGACTCAACATTGCAGCAGGAGCAAGGTGACATGGCTGCTAATAACTCTGTTCAGGAAGGCGAAGTTGCCAATAGTAATGGAACTGGGATTGCCAATGAGAATATTCAAACCGACTCAACATCGGAGCAGGAACAAGGTGACATGGCTGCGAATAACTCCGCAAGTGTGTTGTCTGGTGGTGAGCAGACGACTGAGGACGAGAAGATCATCAGTCAGCCTGGCTCAGAGAACACATCAACTACAAATGTGACATCCACCGTGCTGCCTGATAATGATCATCAACAAACAAGCAATGAGTTGGCAGTCTCGAATGAAGAAACTGGGAACAATAATAGCAATGGAGATACTGCTCCAGTGGAAGCATCTGTGTCTGATACTACATCTGAAGAAAATGCAACAACTGGAGGCTCGGCAATTGGAGAATCATCCAACCAGGATACCACTGAAGCCGAAAAGGTCAACTCCGAAGGAACAGTCTCTGGTAACGCTCAATCCACAGACTCAAGTAGCAACTCAGAATCTGGTGTTGATCAGACAGTTGCTAAAGATGAAACAACAGGCGAAGGGGTGAAACCTGTGTTGCCAACAGCAGAAACTGACGGCACTCATAATGAGAATTCTGAGGAGAACAAGGCTGAATCAGGTCACAGCGATGACAGTGGGGTGGAAGCTGGAGTTGGGCACGACGCTACTGTTACTTCTGATTCTTCAGTTGGCCAAGAAGAGAACTCAGGGCTTGAAACAAACGCAGAAGGAGTTAGCAGCGAGACTGTTGCAACGGAATGAGAGTTGTTTGAGCACCACTCAAATGGTCCTTTTTATTATCAGCCGTTGCAGTTTACAGTTTGTCTAGCTGTTGTTTCCTTATCACTGAGGGTTCTGTAGTATTATCTCTTGTGAGTAACAGTGTGTCCAGCTGAAGGTACAGAATGAAATATCCATCTAAAGTTAGACTGGAGCATACGAGTTTTAGTTACTGTTCAGTGAGAGTTAGGAAACTGGTGAGTGAGTTTGTTTTGATATTTTTCATTATATGTAATCCATGCCCTCTTGTCAACTGGATTGATTTCCTTGGAAGTGTTTCTATAGGAAGCCATTCCAACGAGTGTAATTTCTTGTTTCAGTTGTGGACTCCCAAAATAATGCCCGAAGTTTGACTCTGCTGTAGTTGCATACAGTTGCTGGGAAGAGCGGGGTATGCAATTGCCATGCATGGTGTACGCTGGGATGTAGGTATGAAAGTAACTCTATCGTGTGAAGCGTGTGACAGCGATCAAGTCGGTTGTAATGGTTATCGTTCTTATTCTGACTTATAGTTCTCTAGTTCAGTTTTTTTTAGGTCCAAATTTCCTTCCTAATTCGTCCCAAGTGTATTTTTATATGAAATTCACGAAAAACTGCTCAAAATAACATAAAAAAATATAAAGTACTCGTAAGATCTATAAATCGCACTTTTGACAAATAGTTTATCATTTCCATCGTAAAAAATCTAAAAATACATTAAATGAAGATGTATATTGTACAAAAAATAGCATTTTTCAGGAGCAATAACCATTGCTCTTACCCTCTGGCATGAAATCAACTTGTTGCACAACCCTACTTGGTCTCCTCTTTTCTCGATTAACGAAGTTGTTGGTATAGCTCATACGTGAGAAACACAAAAACCAACTTTGTTGTTATCCAAGGTTGGTAGCCGGTTGGGAATCGACACTACAACAGCAAAAACACGATTAATTTAGATGCAAATGATCCATCATAAAAAGAACTGAGATCTCAAGAGTGAGCTATCATTTTGAACCCTATGAGAATCGACACCACAATAGTTACCTCTCATTGCCACAACAAACCGATAGCCACGGAAAATGAAGTTGTAGCTAATATAGGTCGATAGCTGTAAATGTTTGTTTTCTGTAGCTATTAAGTGCATTTTTAGTTACAATTACCTTTGACTATAAAGTATAAACTGAGTTATGTATTTGTTAAGAATGTAGTGTAGCAAAGTAGTACATCTATAGCCACCTAAATTTAGTCATGTTACTATAGAGTATAGTTGATTGGTGTGCTTAGCCCAAAGGATTAGTGAGTTTAGCTACAATAGTGAGCTAGCAAACTCGAGCCATGAGAATATTAGATTGTAACTAATGGTTGGATTTAAAATTAATGTAGCTCAATTGTCAATATCAAAGGTCAAGTTACCATGAGATGTAAGATTATAACTAATGGCTGTAATGTGGAAGAAAGAATTGATAGGTGATTTGCAACTCTTTGAGTGGAAGCAAAAAATTTATCTATGTAAGGTTATTTATATAGAATGGACATGCTACCAATAGAATCACTAAACTAGTTACAATACCGGTCCACTTACTTAGATGGTTGGGGATGGATCAAACGATTTTTAAGGGTTTGAAATGAAATTAGATGAACCATAATGGTTTGATTGATCCATCGATTCACCATTTTTAATCACAAAGTTTTTAAAAAACTATACTTTAACGTAAATTAGGACGCAAACTGCCATGCTAACTGCTGATTCACATTTAATTAATGCTTATAATTTATTTTGTGTTCTAGTTTGACTAATTTGTTAGAATTTTAGGTCATGGTTGATATGAATTTGAAATTACGTATGGTTAATGATAAATTCCATCCTTAATCAATGTAATATGTGCCTTTAATGTACAATACATCAATAATTCTGTAACAATTAATCGCTGAACCATAAATCTCTAACATTTTCGGTTCAAGCGTAAGATTCGTTATCAAAAGAGTGAAAAGCCATATCCACCGCCAGCATCTTCAGCATTACAAACAAAACCAACTGCAAAATTGAGAATGAGGACGAAGAACCATCTCTCATCATCACACTTTAACCAAATCCTAAACCAAAACTTTGATTCAATGATGATCCCACCACCACCACAGCCACAACCTCTGAACGGAAAGAAACAATCATAGCCAAAATCCCCCAGCCCAAAGCATCATCTCCAGAAACAGAAAAATCAGAACTTTACATGATGATGATGATGAAGAGTAGAAGCAGAAATAGAAGTAGACCAATATCAATTTAACACTACCTTGGCTTTCTATTCTATAGAGGAAGAAGAAGGAAAGAAAGAAAATGACACATACCAGCCAAAACCCACACTAACAAAGACTCAAACTTTCTCCTATTGCCAAAGGAAGAAGAACCAACTACGTACCCTGCAATTTCAAAGTTCAATAGAAGTTTCTCCAGCTCCTACAACCTTCCTTTCCACTAACCCTATATGTAGAAACTACTACCACTACACTGCTAGCCTTTGTTCCTAATCCTACCCCTTCTCACAGTGTTTTCACAGCTACAAAACCATCCGACCCACCATGCTTCTTCTTCCTAATCTCCAAAACCTTACGGTGCGAATTCGAGTGCAGTTCCATCGAAAAAGTCGGGCTGTTGGCCGGCCTGTACTCCGGCACCAGCCTCCCTGACTTGAACCTCACACCGCAGGCATTGCACAGCGTCTTGGCACCCGAAGGGCCTGCCCGCCACTGCGGCGTCTTCTCAGAGCCACAATGCTGGCACTTCCTCCCAGCCGTCGACGACTTCCTGTCCCCTCCTCCCCTCTTTAACAACTTCTCGTGGTTCCACCAGTACTGCCGCGGGTCCTGTATGTCAGTCCGGCACTTCAATCGCCGCTTGCTCCTCCTCGCCTTCTTCACCGGAGCCTGCAGGCTCCGGCAATAACTCATTATGAACCCAGAACCCAAATTGTGCCTGCTCGTGGTGCTGTTCTCGAGTACCGAGACCGGGCTGTGCTGCTTCGGCAGACTGCCCGGGTGCTCGGATACAATGTCGACGAATGTCTCGAGCGCAGGGAACGCCTCCTTGTTGGAAATCCATTCCAATTCTTCCTCAGGGAATTCCTGAAAGAAACAGAGGTATTTTAGTTAAAGTTTGGGTAGGTAACGGTAATTTTCGGTCATGGGTGGGAGCATTCTGGAATAAAGGAGAAAATAACGTGGCCTATAATAATGGAAAAGATTGGCAGTTGTCTTTTGGTGGACATTTATTGGATACACACTCAAAACTTGTGAGCAACAGCTCAACAAAGAATTCAGACCCACACTTGTGGAATTTACTCAAGTACCCTCACCTACGGACAAACCTATACGCGGTTGTAGTTGAAAAGTTGTGAGGGTCAGAAATGTCATTTCAGGAAAGGCCTTATTCCTAAACCAAACAAACCCCTTGGTTTGAAATTTTCGGGAATTGAAAATAATAATTATAAAAAAAATACGTTTAACATTCAAAGAGTGACTCGGGCGAGTCACGATAAACTCGGACCCGAAACCCCCGAGTTCAACTCAAAAAACCTAGCCTGACTGTCGGAGCTCGGCCGGCCTACAACACAGAGAGAGTCCGGGAAAGCCCACAGCGAGGCGTTCAGTGGAAATCGAGGGGCGGGGGAACTTACTGTCAATGGGTTATCCGGGTCGGAAAAGTCGAAGGGGGAGGGTCCGACGCCATTCGGTTTAACGGAGGAGGAGCGGCGGCCGGGGTATGAAGGTGTCTGTTCGTCGTCTTCTTCCCCTATGTCGGAAGCGAAGTTGAGGAAGTCGTCAATGGAACACGGCGCCGTTGCTGGGTCAAGATATTCCATCTTATCTTCCCCGACGGAGAAAAAAGACGACCGAGTGGGACTGGTTCCGGCGACGGTGAGAACTAAGTAGGTGGAGAGAGAGAGAGAGAGAGAGAGAGAGAGAGAGAGAGAGAGAGAGAACAGGTAAAGAGCAGAGAACGGAACAATGGGGAAAAAAGAGGTTGAATGTGGGAGGATTGATTGTTATTGGAGAAGACAATAAAGAAGGAGAGAGAGAGGGGGGAAAAAAGGATGGAAACGAGGGGAAAAGTCTGCTTCTCTATTTTGGCTTACTAGAGTAGGGCCCGACCCGATGGTCGGATTCATTTGGTCAATAACTTAAACAAAAGTTATAATTGTAGGAGACATGACACATTTTTGTAGGGTTTATAAAATAATTTAAATTATTTCATCACCAAAAAAATCAAAAAGAAATATACATCTATCATAACTTTTTTTAATGACATCCTAACGGATTATCGTCCAAAATTTTTATCAAGAGTAAAAAAAAACATGTGTAAGGGAAGTGATATAAAAACTTTATCAAACTGCATTTAGATTTACCTCGATATCAAAATGAATGCAATTTTTTTGGAACTTATTTGAGATTGCTTCCCCATCAACATCCTTATATCCACCAACAAAAGTGTACTTTATTCATTCAGTTAAATTACTAAAGAAGAACAAAAGGTTTACCTTATCAATTATCTGAAACCTCTCTATGTTCTTCCTCTCTAATGCTCTTAATTTTGTTCTCTCCATACTTGTTCTACATCTTCTTGGATTTATCAAGTCTCTTATGGGCTCTCTAAATTCTATAGTTTGATTTCCTCTAATTATTTATTATCTCATAGTCTATTTATTTTCCTTACTTTTGTCCAATTCTCCTCTAATGATATCTTTATGTTAATCAATCATGGATACCAAGATCCTCTCTTTCATCAAATGGTATTATAGTCTAGTTATCCTATCACCCAACACTGTCACTTATGTCGTTACAACTCATATTAATTGTCTTCAACGAATTTGTGGAATTTACATGGAAGGTTTGGCATATATCTCGGTGTCAAAGAAACAACAATTATGACCAAGAAGGATGGTGCAACTACCTTTTCGATGTTGGCATTGTCAATTGAGAATTTTTCATTCTGATTGTGCAGTGAGACATTTATTTTGTCGTAATGAATTCATTGCAGGAGTTGGATTAAATTGGAAGTGGAAGAGCGGTCGAACCTTGAAAAGGAAGTATATGAATTAGTTTATACCAAATATCAAGGAAAATAATCTTTTAGAGGGGATGTATTGATGAATTATTAGTTATTATTATGATTATCATTGAGGGTAAGAATTTTCTCAACCATTTTTATATTTTTAGCCATCCAAGCCTTATTGTCCCCAAAACTTAATTCTTTATTACATATCCTTGAATTTTTATAAATTTTATTCCTATCGCTCTCAATTCGCTTAATATTCATCTAGCATGAATTATTCTTTATCTCGTTGTCTATTTCTCTCCTTAGTTTTGGCCAATTCTCCTATACTTGTATCTTTCTATTAATCAATCTCGGGTTCCAAAATCCTCGCCCTCGTCATACCCACAACCTTCACCATAGGCATGCTTCTTCTTCTTCTCTTGCATTTTATTGAGATAAAATTTTTAATGATGAAATATAATTTATGCGCAAGTAAAAATTTACTTTTCCTTATCTGTCGAACTCACTTATAGAGTATGCAATGTTGTAACCGGTGATCTTGATATGAAACTCCAACTCCATTGTCTCCATTTGTAGGAGATAGGGATGGGGATGTCCCCTCATTCTATCACTGGCTTGTGTTAGAAGTTAAAGGTTTAAGTACCCATGTACATATTTTTCTTTTCTGACGTGGGTTAGGGCTTGGGGTGCAGCCGAGTATATATGTTTGTGGAGGGATTTCGGCCATTGTAAGCTTCCGTGAACGTGAATAAATGGATCGTTGCATTTGAGGTACACATACTGATAAGTATTTTCAAATTCAAGTTGTTTTTCTAGTCATGAATATAGTAATTATATTTCCATAATGATTTATAATTATGCTAACTTAAATATCTTATTACCTTCAATTTTTAAGATCTAAATAAAGCATGATTTGACTGATTGAATGATTTTCCAAGGACAATATTTATTTGAGATGTAGAACTGCAAAAATAATTGCTAAAAACAATATGATATAGATACAATCTTAACAATAATTGAAATAAAAATATACTTAATGACTACATAATTGAGATGTACATCTTAGACATAATGATGTTGTCAGTTTTTGGCATAATACTATGGAACTATTTGCCTCAATAGGCAGAACCACCTTGGAGGATAAGTAAAAATCACATAGCAAGAAATTCATGACAATTCAATTAACCATCCATCCCTAAGCATGTGTTATTGTGACTATATTTTATAGTGGATGATCTTTATAGAAAAACAATTTATTAGGGGCAATTTATCACAACTAAAACTTGAATTTTTATTCCATAGATGTAACATCGATTGAAACTTATTACAATTAGAAGGCTTCAAATCTAGGAACTAAATATTGAAAACACATTCATAATTAAGAAAGGAATTGTGGGGCTGAGTATTTTTACAATGATATTGATTAGGGATGACATATTTGACCTAACACATTTTATCCGGTCTATTTGACATGTTTTGGAGTAAATAATATCCATGGTACTTTCCTCGATCGGAATGATATGTAATTTTACTTAAACTAATTAGGATTTAACTTTTATGGCCTCATATTTTAGCAATAATAAAATTTTAAATAGGCGTGAATCTCAATACCTTAAATAATTCAAATACACTTATCATATTCTTGAATAATTTTTAGATTTGTATCACATAATAAATTATCTGACCTAATACGGACGAACATATATAGATATGCATATAATCATCGGCAATTTCTAATGCCGGATGGACTGATGATGCAGTGATAAGTCCAAGGTTGTCGTCCTGTGGGTCGAACCACCGGTTAATCCATTTTGATTTGGACCTGGTTAGAAAAATGGGCCACACACACACATCGGGTCGACCGCTGCAAGGTACCGAGCTGGAGGTCAGACTATCTCTTTTTTTCCTTTGGTTTGTAAAATGCTCCGATTTTCCGATTTTTCTTTTCTCCTAAGTCCTAACCCAATCTTTGAGATTCTAAATTGAACATTCTAATATTGATGTTATATATGTGTTTGTGAATTTTCACTATATGCTGGATGCAAGTACAAAATGTTATTTTTGTGTAATGTTACATCTTATTACTCGTATGTTATATGAGATTTAATATAATTTATAAATGTATAACAATATAATGTATTTTCATATATTCGAGCTAAACCGAACTAAAATGATCGAACAATTAACCCTCAACCCACTTGCTCGACGGGTCAATAGGCTAAACCGGGTTGACAACCTTGAATTAGTCGAAATTGTTGAAGTTGATTAGTGGAGCTTGAATTTTGTAACAATGATGCCGCGAGAGTTGTAGGTTGAATTTTATTTTATTATTATATATCAACAATTGGAGCATGAGTTTTAATAAGTTTTTAATTTGTATCTCAATTTGATTAGGCTTTTAGGCACATGAGACAGTAGCGGAATAGATGAGTAAACAAAAGGACTAAATAGTCCTTCCGTTCTATGCGCATAGGCAAGGAAAAATTGGATTGGGTGTGTGCTTAAGGAGAATCTCCATATATAATTTGTAGGATATTATTACTAGCCTATAGCCCGGCCCGTTGGCCGCATTTGTTTAAGGAAATGGAGTTACAATATCTATAATGATAGTGTCGAGAAATGAGTCTTGTTTTATATTATCATAAGATTGTTGCAATTTTGCAATTCGTTGAAGACGGACATGTAATTTGAATGAACATTCATAATAAGTTAGAAATACATTTGAAGATTAGCTAATCACGATAAAATACTTACATGAAATTTTACTAATCACAAATCTAATCTAGTTGAATATTACGACAAATAACATGCAAGTCCAAAATAAGAAAACTCAAGACATTGTCTCATTGTTCATGACATGGTACTCAATTCAACAAAGGCAAAAATAATTTCACCAACACAAGTTCACAATAACCAAATGCATCGTTCCAGGGACCGACTGTGACCATGACTTCAAATGTCTGTTCTCCAAGCATGTTCAGAAGGGCCATGTAGTCAGCATTGACAACATCTGCATGACTGAATACAGATCCAACAATCGTTCGTAACTGTGATGACGGGAAGACGATGCCAACACCAATGAATTCGTCCTCAATTGTGAGGTGGACGAAATGGATTCTGGATGCAGGGGACCAGGACGTCGTCAAATTCGTTACACGTCCGGATAACAAAAAAGAGGTGCCCTGATGTAAACACAGAAACGAAAATTGTCAAAGTAAATCGATAAAATGCAGCATGCCACAAAAGGCGTACGATTAAAAAGAAATTTATTTGTTTAGTTACCTGATTTTTGACATCCACTTGCAACATAATGAGATCGATGGTGCCGGCACGCTCACAAATTTCAAGAGCATCATCATATTGCAGATTAGCAATAAAACCATGGGGAAGCCTATATATTGGACTGTAAGTTTTGGCAGTAAGTAGTGAAAAAGAATCGAAATTACATGATGTAGTATTTGTTGGATGCATGAGCAGTACTTCTGATTGAATTGAGGCAGGCCCGCCATATTGAATGCAATTCGCACGGTCAATGGAACCGAAGTGTTTTGTATGGGAAGTAGTAAACGGAAATTGTAACATGAGAGAAAGTGGTATCTCCATTATATAAAGGAGAGAAAGTGATTCTACACACCTGATTTACTTGGCCGCATGCAGTGGAGTACGTGTGTGTGTGGAAAGTGGGATAGTGGGGGAGTGGAGAAGGATTTGTGGCCTCATGGGGGAGTGGAGAAGGTTGGCCATTTAGAGTTCAAGAGGCGGCTGTGTCACGGAACTCACGACCCACCTTTTTTTTTTTTGAGGGGAACGACCCACCTTCTTAAAATCAAACATGCGCCTTCCTTTTATTTTGTTGCAATTAAAAATTCAAAAACAAAAGAAGGTAAGTACAGAATAAAATATAAAGAGAAGAAAAATCATTTCACTTTTCCCAAAAAAGACCTAGCAGCCGCCCAAATTATGCTTTTTCAGTTTTAATAATTCTCACTTTATTCTTTTATCTCTAATAAGTGAAACAATAATTGTAAAAAAAATAATTGTTAAGTCTACCAAGTAAGTCAACACCGGTTTATGATCGATTTTTAATATCGATTTACCACCGGTTATTTGATAAACCTTGAACCCTTTACTAATCCGGATCGATGTCCGGTTCCGTTTTAACAACATTGCTAATTGAGACTGTGTCAACAATTCTTGTCCAAAATTGCCTCTCAAAGTTGCTAATTATTATTTGATGCGCCAACCCGGCCGGCCCGCCCACACCACCACTAATTAACATGAAATGAAAATCATAATGAATGTATTTAATAAAGAAATAATGGCTTGGAATGCGGCAGCCTTCACCTCATAGAAGATCCAAAAAAATCGGATACTGGGCAGTAGAGGAGGTGGGGGAGTGGGGGAGTGGAGAAAGATCCGCCCAAGGTAGTGTAGGTTGGCCTTTTTTTTTATGGGAATAGGTTGGCCATTTAGTTTCAACAAATCCGGCTGGGCATTCCCTCTCTAACTATATTTTATTTAACTGAACCATGTTTGGGTTGTTTTTGTGGGCTGGGTTGTGGTGTTTGGTGTGTTTGGGTTTTTTCTGGGTTGGGTTACCGTGGGTGTTGGGGTGGGCTTTGGAGTTTTTCTCTTGTGTTTTTTTTCTGATTTATGTATTTGTGGGTGAGCTTTCATTTTGTGTTTTGGGTGGGCTCAACTTTACGATTTGTTTAGACTTCTATCTTTCAAGGATCATGGTCCAACTCTTTATCATTTTCCGATTTCATAATGAAATCAGGTTTCTTAAAAAAAAAACAAAACTGAACCATGCTTAAAGTATCACTAATTAATTAATCTCGAGTCACTACTGAATGAATTTGAATCCTTTTATATAGGTTAATTTATAAAATAATTATTGTAGGTAAATGAGAAGAAAATCTCGCAAATCAAGTGTGATAATAGTTAAATTCTCCATAAGCAAAGTGATATCATAATTAATGTAATTAATAAAAAAATAATTTTGTTTTTCATTTTGTGAATGTAATAGTTAAAAGTTAATGATATTTGTTAGATTGTAACTAAATTCTGCAAATTGAGGTACAATTAAATATAAAGTAGTGTGCATAAATCACATTTCATATAATTGGCTGTTAAAAACAGGAAAATAATTTGGACAAATTGAGAACTCAAGATTCAAATTGTAACGACCCGATAAATTTGACAGTCTTAGTCCTCAAATCGAATAAAACATAATACATCAATAAACCACTACTCAAAAATCTCAGTGAACACAATGTTCTGCATAGTCTTCACCGGTTTACCTTGAGAGTCACAGCTAAGAATCTTGAGTCCCCTTTTCGACGTAACTCGAGACATAGCAACATACAACTGTCCATGAGAAAATACTTGTCTTTGAAAGCAGATGCCAACGTGATTTAATGTTTGACCTTGACTCTTGTTAATTGTCATTGCATATGACAGTGCAATTGGATACTGTCTTCGAACCAGAGTGAAATTTAAGCTCTTGTAGTGGACCGATAGACTTAGGCGTGGTAAGAAAACTGTATCACCAACATGTGTCCCGGTCAAAATTTGGACCTCAATAAACCACTTACCTAATCTCTTAACGATCATCCGAGTTCCATTGCAAAGCCCAGTACTCTGATCCAGATTTCGAAGCAGAATAACAGGGCACCCCAACTTCAATTTCAACTCATGTTCCGGAAAATTCCCATTCTTTAAAGAGTTCAAGAATTCAACTGTGTAGTCCCCTTCTTCAACATGCTGATTCTTGGCATCAATCTCTAGCGAATCCGAACTAAAATAAGAAACTTCTTCACCAAGAAATAGACCCAATACATAATCGTTAATGGCCGCAACAGTGTCATTATGAGGGGCTAAGATAGCTCGCTCAACCAAATAGGTTGACATATTTTCAGTGGAGAGTAACTGACCATATATTTCAGCAACAATATCAGGAATTGGATCACTGCGACGGGGAACACAAATGTGTAGAGGTATCGGGATAATTGATTCTCCAAAAATATTACTATTTGTACCATCACCGATTTCCAAAAGCCATTTGCAAAAATTTGAGATTGCTAACCTGGCCGATGCTTCAGAAAGAGGCAATTTTAATCGCATGTTCTCGGTTAGCTTCAATACTGTCATAGACCGCCACAAATAAGATCTCTTTATGGAAGAATTAACAATTTCAGTCCGTGTACCCTTCGTGATGATAGGTAACGTCTGTCTGAAATCACCTCCAAACACAATAGTCATACCTCCAAAAGGCTTCAACTCAGAATCAACATGCTTAACTCGGAAAATATCCCTCAATGTCCTATCTAGGGCCTCTATGTTGTGTTTATGAGCCATCAGTGCCTCATCCCAGATAATAAGTGAAGCATTGAGAATCAATTCAGCTACCTCAGAACCTTGCTCAATATTGCAAGTTGATTTTGTATCACAATCCAGGGGAATGTGAAATCTTGAGTGTGCAGTTCTTCTACCGACCATGAGCAGTGCAGCAATACCAGATGAAGCAACACATAATACTATCCTCTTCTCAAATCTTAATTGCTCACAAATTGCTCGCCACAGAAATGTCTTACCAGTACCCCCAAATCCATCCACAAAAAAGCATTTACCCTCATTGGTATAAACAGAATGTAATACCATATCGTAAGCGATTTGTTGTTCTCCATTCAACGGTCTACTATGTCGATCCTCAGAACAGTCTAAGTCATCGGGTCCATAATTCATCTCCATATCTATCAGCCTGTTTACCGTATGTGAACGCAAACACTGATCGGGAACAGGCAACCCAGGGAAATCTGCTAATGACTTCGAAAATCTCTCCATCAATTTGTCAATATGAATAAGGCACAACTCCTTAATTTCATCCTCCGACAAATTCAACTGGGGTAAATTCAGCTCTCTACGTCGTGAATGCAAAATGCCTTCACTTAGTAATTCCCAATTCTTTAACCAAAAAGATGTCACATCAGCCACCTGACAATGAATAAGAATTGTGACAAAAAGTTTTCTAAGTTTATAACCAGAAGCCCAGTGCGAAGCTTCTTGTACACAATCATTCCATTCAGAATCTCCTGATAACAGTCCCCGAGCATAACATGCTTTTTGGAATGTTTCATATACCACCCCATTCACTGTTCTAATATCATCATAAGAACAACAACCCCTAACAACATGCAATAGCATTCGCAAATAGTATCGCTCCTTTGCGGATGGGTAGCAGTAATATAATCTAGCAATGCAGGTACCTTTTTTGCGCTGCTGCCACTTCTTGTATTTTTTATTCCATACATAATATTGTGGCATCTCCGCAAAGGTATATTTCCGTGCATCCATTGACTGAAGATTGAGATCCATCCATGCTAACAACATTGAGGTTTGGGAACTGCTAGACTCAACCGCTTCCTCCATGTTAGAATCAACATTTGAATACACTGTATTCTCACCAGGCAAATGACAGAACATACGCAGTACTGTTGGAGAGTGAGTGTATATATCAAACCTAAAAATTCTCCAACATGCTTCTCCCGATGTGATGTAACGGGCATCCATGAATGCCTTTATCTCATCGATATGCACAACCGTAGTTCCACGATTCCGACCATCCATAGCCGAAGCTGTTTGTTGTGCAGCTACAGTGACCATTGCACGATCCTCGGGTTTGTTGATGTACTTAAACAAATATTTCACAGCCCTATAGAAACATCAAATAAAACCAAGTTGTAGATGTTAGATAGGGAAGTAGAAAAAAGTTGTATTACATTTTTTCTTAAATGTGACTTGTATTAAATAAGAAATCAAAGTACAGAGAACAAAAGGCAACAAATGGATCACAATAGCTTATTCAAGGGGCAAAAAAAAAATGAAGGAAAACACACCAAAAAACATTACAAAAATTACAGAGTTGCGGCAAGAAGTCACACCAATAAGATAACACTGGGTTTATAAAATAACTAAAAAAAAGAGAAATCGCACAAATATTGGTTTGGTTTTTATTCATCTTTGGAAATTAAATCATAATTCATATGCATGCATAAAGTTAATAATGAGTGTAGCATATAAGTATACATATAGCCTGTCATTAAGAATCTGAGTTTGGTAATATAATAAAGGAAACAACAACGTCATATAGATAAATACGATTTACTTCAGCCATACCTTGTCTTGTTACAATATTCAATATTGATATGCGCTCCAAATCGTAGTAACAAATATCGATTGTAGGGTACAACCCATCGATTATCCAGATCAACCCCGCCACAGTTGAAAACTCTACCATTGTTCCGCCGAAGATATTTAGCAAACCCAGTTTCATCAATAGTTGTTTGAGAAGAGTATTCCTTGGGGTAATGCTTACTACATTTCCCATTCTTCATGCACACATTATTAGGACGTACTGTACCACACGGGCCATGCATCATTGAACTTGTGACAACTGCATACAGTTCAGGATCAAGATCAGGATCCGGAATTTCAGCACATATTATGGAATCAATAGCCGCAGGACCATGGAATTTATTCTCCGAGGCCAAAAAAAGCAATATGTGTGCATGAGGGAGACCCCGCTTTTGCCATTCAATTGCTTTGACATCTGTACAGCAAGATGCAAATAGTGGAAAAGGAATATTAGGTCAATGAGGTAAGAGAGTAATGGATGAACATTAATAGATAAATAACGAATGAATCAGCACACATACATGCATTGATTTTCCCAAATATTTGTTTCTCGCGAATCTCTAACATAAACTCATCAAGCTTGATTTTGAAAACTCTGGCGGTGATGTCAGCCCGGTCAGGATCTTTGCCACTGTACCTTCTAATCAAATCAACCATTAACTGTATCTCTGGCCAGTTAGAATTGCAAGTGAATGTTAAAAACAAATCAGGATAACCAATCCACTTGCAAATAGCCATCGCATCCTGAAAATTCTCATACTTGTATCTTGGACTACCAGTGTGTGAGGCAGCTAAAATAACTGGCTTCCCAGAAAGCTTGATATCACTATCCCCTCGCAAATAAGAATTCAACAAATCCTTGTAGTAGTGTCCTCTTAGCTTCGACTGATGGGTACGCATCCAGTCTAAGCGTTCAGCCTCAATTAACGCAAATGCATTCACCATATATTGTTGAAACAATTTACCAGATAATAACAGAGAATTCGACTCCTGGAGACGGGTTTGAAGACGATATGCATAGAAATCACACTGGGTTATCATTTTATCTCCAACACTGATATAGAGCTACTGTGACTATAGCTAATGTAGGGATGCCACCCATCCTCGCCATATGGAAATAAAATTGGATATTGTAATGCCATCAGACTTGGATGGTATACGCTAATCCTTTCCATTTCTGAACCCTTCTGTTGAACAATTATATCTGGAGAAAATGATTGCTCTCCTGTTTCATCTACAATCAATGCTGCAATCTCATTCGCAGAGGGAAAATCATATTCTCTACTATTAATTTCACGCTTAGCCAATAGTTTCAGTTGAAGCTCCTGGACACCAGAGTTTTGTATCCTATCTCGTGCAGAACGAAATGTACGTACCAGGATATTATTGTCATCAAACATATGCTGGAGGCCTTCAACAATACATTGGCGCAACGGATTCTTGGCAGGATCAGTGGAGTAAAAGTCCATACGATTCTGCACCTCGTTATCTGAATCGTGAATGTAAAGCTGTGCAAATTTCGGACTATCCCCATCACCAGGAACCAAACATCATATTCGATGATAAATCTGACCACCGATTGAATATACATAAACTCCACGACCATCATTAATAGAGTGATTGACTTCACCTCCGAGAGAAATAAAGCAAAAAACCCCATTATAGGCTCTGATGTTAGTACGAAAGTGACGCGCTAATGGTGTATCCCCTTCAAGTAGAGTTTTAAGAAATTCGGGCACATCTCTGCGGGGAGGCAATTTCACTTTACCATGTTTGCAACATAAAGGAAATGCAGGCAACACATCATTCCGTGTAGATAAAGTACTCTCGAATCGCCACATAACTGCTCCACAATGTTGACACGTACATGAAGGTGGACCAATATCAAAAAATTCAACCAACGGAAGACCTAGTGAAATAGATAAGTAATATTAATAAATTTTTGTCACAGTAATTCATAAATTGAATGAGATTGAGAAACTGTGAAGCCGATTTAGGCGCGCTACAGTAAACACAATTATTAAAATAAATGTTCTCAAGGCAAGATAGATTGGTATACCGCTCATTTTAAGTAAGAATAAGTGAAATTTCAGGAAACACCAAAGTTTGTTCATAACACACAAATTTGCCGTTGACACATCAACATCTAAAAACAATCCACTATTTGCATAAGGTGACATGAAGCGTACATCACTAAATTATATGCATGGCATAAATGGGTACATTATATGTTCTAAAACCAAAATAGGAAACAAAATATGTTGACCAGAACACAAAAACATATATCCAATGTACAAAAACTAAATCAAAATAGAGATGAACCATTTCATGTATAATAGTGGCCATTAGAATCCACATACTTTGATTGACTTCTGTAGGAAAGAAACTTCGGCCACGTCTCTTTCTATGCAGATGAATACGTCGAAGTAATCGACTTTGCTTTTGTAATAGAAATCTAAACTCCGGCTCCAAAACTATGAACAACACCAAAACACATACGATATTAAAGAAATAAATAAAGATTCAACAATCTAGAATAGCCTAATTTGTAAGACTTGCTACAAAATTTAGCAAACAACAACCTTGGTGTTCAAAAGGCAAGCCCCTCCTATGAACCTTCTGTTTCAAAATATGATGTCTTCTCTTACGGGCGACTTGGGATAGTATTCGCCGAAGTTGAGAGAGTTGGAATTGTAAGGCAGCTTCTTCTGCAAAATTTAAATATAAAACCATGTATTACTCATTGAATAGATGAACTAATTAGAAAAATTAAAACACAGATAACACACCTCTCTCAAATGCTTCTTCCTCTTCAGGAGATAAAACACAGCGTTGGTACTGATCTTCAGGATAAATAAACACTGCTCGACGTTTCCCTAAACAAATGAGATTCAAGGGAAAATATTAATGTCAGTTTGCATTGAAGCAGTTGCGTGCTAAACCATGACACTCACATGGTACAGACAATCGATAAATCTGTGGTTGGGCAGATGGGATGACATTTGCACTATCCATATTAAATTCTCCAATAACCTGATGCAATCTGAAATAGAGGTCGTGGTAAATGATGCACCCGTTCCAGTAAATTTTGCAGCTGCCATTCATATAAATTAATTAATTGTTACAACAGAAGTTGAACTCCTCACCAATTATAAGTTTGTGCGAGTTAATGACACATACAACACACCACACAAACATAACAGTCGAAGAAAAATATAACTATATAAGGCATAATTTAAATTGATGAACAAAACACATATAACAGAATGGCTTCCAAGCTTGGGGATGCAAAGGAAGAGCGAGAAGGACAACAATGTAATGGCCAACACAAATATATGTTTATTTCACCGATTTTGAGCTGAGTGATCAAACTTGCAATTACTAAAACTCTTTAAAGCCTTCCCCTGTTCCCATTAGAGAGATCAACCGAACTTGCAGACCTTATTTTTTGGCCACTCGTCTCTATCAAGACTCAAAAAAGTGTTCGTGTTTCCCCTTTTCCAAGCCGATTCTCTTGGCACCACAATGTCCGATCACCTTCCCCAAGATCTCGTCACCAAAATTCTCGTCCGCCTGCCGCCGTCGAACGTCTCTTTCTTTCCTCTTCTTTCTCTGCCGCCCGGAAAAACTCAGCTCAAAATCGGCAGTCGGCTGCTCTCTGGAAGACAGTCTAAGCGAAGTGGAATTTAAAGTAAGCAGCTTTGTTACTTTCAAGAGAAAGGGAAAAATAAAAAATCCCCTTTTGATCTCTAGAGAATCCAATCAAGAGAATGAAGCAAGGAAGGTAAGAGAGAATAAAGAAAACGGAATGAAGGGAAAGAGTGGAAGGAAGGGAAATCGGAAATAAAAAATACAAATTAATACAAATTAAATGAGAACGTGGGCGTGGAAGGAGAAAAAAGTGGGTAGTGGAGAGTTTTTTTGTTCTGAAATCAGGCGGGACTCCTTTTTTTCCCCGCTTAACACTCTGCCACATCAGCTTCCTAAAATCACTCTATGGGCATGAAATTTTGAATGGGGGGTGCAGTTTTACTTTTCAGCTATAAATTATACTGTTGATCCTTATCGCGACGGCTTCGACGTTTTTGGGTGTAAACTCGCAGGTAGGGGTGTACATTTGGGTTCGGTTTTTCGGGTTCTGAAACCGATCCGATTAGATATATTTTTTAATTTTTGGGTTTGGTTTGTTTTGGGTTTGATTTTGCTTATCGAATTTTCGGATTAGGTCTGAAAACCTCCAAGGAATAGAACTCAGCCCATATTTGTTGGCATTCGGGTTTTCGGGTTTCGGTTTTGCTTTAACCGAATCCTAAAAGAAATTTTCGAATTTCGGGTGACCGGAAACCGAAAGTCCTTATCGAGTTCGGGTTCGGTTTCCAGTTATTTCGGTTTCCGGTTTCCGAATTTTTTTGGGTTTCGGTTTGGGTAACCGAACCTGACCCGAACTGACACCCCTACTGGCAAGGGAACAAAGGGATATGTGGATTTGTGATTTTTCGATTATTTGCAGGTAGAGTGTGCAATTGTCCGTTACGGTCGGACCAAATTATGAGATTCACAATTTCGATATTGTATAATTAACAAACTGTTGACTACTCAAACTCATTATTTTCTTGATCTTGATTGTAGAGTGTTTTTATGATGCATATAAAACCGTACCGGTAATTTAACCACAAATTACTAGTATCGGTGGCTAAATTGATAGATGGCATTTTAAAAATACCAATGATTGAACTACGGTTAAATCACGATTTTGCTATAAAATATTCTACCGCAAATTTTTCGTGTACGGTAAATCGGTAATGGACCATGGTTACCTTATCCATTAAAACGCAAACTCTGGGAATTTTTTCTTCCTAAATTCCAAACCCTAAACGGTTAAACATTATTATTAGTGGTAACGGCATTGTGGGAGGGAGGATTAAAAGGATGGGCGCCCCGGCCCGCTAACGCACCCATGGATGGGCCTTGGCCCTGCTCTGCACCAAAATGAGCGGACGACCACTACGATGCACTTTCCGAAAAATCCCTCAAAACAGCCACGTCATAGTACCCAATCACGTCCTTCCACGTGGTACGGAAGCAAGTGCCGCCTCCACACTCTCGCCAATTTTCTTTTTTCAATTTAAAGGACACAAAGAATTTAAAAAATGTTGCTAGTGTTTGATTGTTTGAAAGTGAACGAGAATAAGATGTGTGTTTTCTTGTGTTTGTTGGTTCACTGAGGGAGTAGATTCATTTTTTCATCTGCATAGAAAAAAAAGGAGGTTAGAAGATGAGAGTGAAGGGTAGAAGTAAATCAGGAATATTATTTTCTGGAAATGGCAAAAATGTAGAGATGGCAATGGGTCGGGTCGAGGACGGATAGTGCATATCATTTGCCTTATTTAAAGTAGTTCGGGTTTTACTCATACCTATACCCACATAAGAAATTGGTAAAAAATCAAAACCATGCAAATACCAGTTCGGGTTTCGGTTATCCATGAGTAATAATTTCTCTTAATAACTCCACCCAATATGTTAACATTCACATGTATTCTCACATTACGTAAGAGTAAAAGAACGATAATAGTTCACTAGAATGAAGAAAACTAATTAAAACAACAAAATTTCACGAAAATATTATATGCTAAATATAAAATATGTTAGAGAAAAATAATGATTATTTCTAGACAAAATACATATGCACGTGTATAATTGGGCGGGTTCGGGTTGGATAGTAAGAAACCCATGCCCACCCATTACCCGCGATATTCGGGTTCGGGTTTTATCCATACCCACTAAAAGTCTTTCGAGTTCGAGTTTTATCCTACCCAATTAAATCGGATTCGGGCGGATGTCCACAATTACAGATATTTTTACCATCCTAAAAAATGTTCTTTGACCCGTCCGACTCCGACACCGCACGTGGCGGCGCTAATCATGATGAGAGATGCATGTTTCGTACAACACAAATCAATCTGCTGTTTTCCACTTCTTCCTTCTTTGGCTCATATCTATTAGAGCATCTCCATCAATGCAATTGCAAAAGAAATTGCATTTGTGTTTTTTTATTGTCAACTCAAATTTTTTGCAATCCACATCACATTTATTTCATTCACCTACATCAATGCAATTAACTTGCAATTGCAAATATAATTAAATATTATGTTGAAATTATAAAAAAATTAAGTAAAAGAGAAAAGAAAATAATATAAAATACAAAATCCTCATTTTTAAGGATTTTTTGACTTGCATATGGAATTGCATTTGTTGTAAGCTTGCAAATATGCAATTGGTAGCAACATCAATGCAATTGGTTTTGCAATTGCAAACACCTATGTCATCTCATTTTGCAATTGAGAATGCAATACCAATGTGGATGCTCTTAGACTTTTGCTTTCCTGATAGCATGCGATTTATTAGGATGTTAATTATTTAATTAAACTAATCATGTGGGATTTGGGGCAGTTAATTGTTTTTAGGCAAAATATATTTTTATAGCCGTAACTTTGCACTTTGTGACAAAAATAGCCAAATTTTGAAAAATACACATAAATAGTCATTCCGTCTAATAATGTAACAGAAACTTAACGAATGCTGACCGGACAAACGGTCACATTTGGTTTACGTGGCATGCCATGGTGGAAAATGAAATTATTTATTTTTATTAATTTAAAAAGTACCCTACTTTACCAAATTTTTACTTTTTCGTATTCACCCTCCGCCCCATTCGTTCTTCCCGATTCCTCTTCGCAGGAACCCTAGCAGAAACCCAAAATCCCCACTCTCACCTCGATTCTCTTCACCAAGGATTGTGAATTGACCAACACAGTCATCCGGTCATCTCGCCTCCATCGTGCGGTCCTCTCGCCTCTATCGTCCTGTCCTCGAACTTCCCTCCATTCCCATCTCAATCGACGAACACAGGGGTGGCCATTCACCATCCTGCAGCTTAAAGACAAGGTGAGACTTCGCATCCACTCGTCGACGGCGAAGAGGAAGAGTCGACTGTTACTATCTTTCTTGGCGAAGGTCGAAACTAACGATTCTGGCAAAACCCAGAAGAACGAAGCTCGAACCCTAACCCTTCTCATCAGCTTCTTGTTAAGTGGTGTTTTGGTGAGTACTCCTCGCCCCTCGCCTCTGTTTGTGTTATTGGATGGGAATGGTGGGAACCCTAATTCAAAATTTTTCTTTTATAGGTGAAACCAAGCTGTAAAGTTGGGAAAGCGACGCATCAAGGGTTTGGAGGGACCACGAGGAATCTTTTTGTCACGACTCACGAGATTGCCCCTACATCATATGATAAGAAGATGAAAGTTGTGGATAGAACTATCAATGTATCGTGACGAATTCATTGCTTTGAAATTGTCAGAACCAAATTCGATTTCTTTAATGGATGTTGTTGTGTTGCTTGTTTGGTAGTGATTTGTTTGTACTATTAGTAACTAATGGTTATTTAATTAAGTTTAGGGGGTTAGTTTAGTAGCTAATCACTTAAAGTTCATTTGCACAGATGTTCGATGCTTGAGACGAGATTGATCCAAATCAGATTGGTCATGAAGATATATCAATGGAAACAGATGGTGATGCAGCTGCATCCATTGCACAAGATATCTACCATGTTTACGAATCTGAGGATGCCATGACAAAAGACAATGAGTACCACGAAACTAGGGCTCAACTATGTTCCTATGGGGAAGGGAAGAGGAGGAAAGTGAATGCAAGAGCGGTTGTCGATGGGGAAGAGGTTGATCAACTTGATGAGTTTGAGAAAATCAAAACTGAAGACGATGAGGATGAAGGAGATGATGCAGCTCCACAACCACCTCATAACTCACAACACTCCACTTCCTACCAGGCTTCAGAGGCACCTCCACATGAGCCTCAGCAAGCTGGCAGGGAAACTTCACAGCATTCGAGCTACAGAGGATCTGAGGAGTCTGACCACGTCAGGCCAAACTTGTCAGATGAGGAAGGTGGTGATCTGGACGATGATGCACCACAGTATGATCCCTTATGTGATCACAAGGCTTTAACGTTCGTATGCAAGATGAAGTTTGCTAGTGTGCAGCAATTCAAGGATGTTGTGGTGAGGCACTCTGTGGCAGCTGGTGCTTGTCTGCGATGGGTTCGGAGTAACCCTACAAGGAGGGAGGTCAAGTGCAAAGATTCCAACTGCAAATGGAAGCGTTATGCTAGCTGGTTCAGGAGGAACAAGTGCTTCATGATCCGGAAAGTGGGGCTGTCACATTCCTGTGCAAGAAGTCTCAGGGTTTATTAATTAACCGCCAATTGGATAGCTTCTGACATGCTGGACAGATTCAGAATTAACCCTACATGGGAACCAGAACATATTATGGTCGAGATCAAGCTCAAACACAACATGGATGTCAAGAAGAGAAATTGTTATAGAGCCAAAGTTGCAGATATCAAGCTATTAAGCGGGTCCTTGATTGACGAGTACAAGGGTCTTCGGAGTTATCTGGAAGAGTTGATGAAAAGAGATCCAGATGGACGATTTGTTCTAGAAGTAGATCCACATCCAGATGGTGATAAGTGTTACTTCTGACGTTTGTTCATCGGATTCCCTTGCTTGAGGGATGGATTTTTGCTTGCATGTAGACCTATGTTTGGGCTAGATGGTTGTTTCCTAAAGGGAGAGGTGAAGGGCATGCTTATTTCTGCCTTTGGGAAAGATGGAAACAACCAAATGATTCTAATAGCATGGGCTAGCTGTAGTGGAAGGATAGAATACCTCCTCTTGGATGTGGTTTGTCCAGCTTGTAACTTAGGAGTTGTCAATGAGAGATGGTAGGGGATGGTAAGTGATTTTGGACCAACAGAAGGTATGGAAAGCTACTTTATTTTTCTGAGTGCAAGAGAATCCTTTTAGTGTACTTGATATGCACTGATTGTTGTTGTACCATACTCGTCCTCTGCAGGGTTTGGTTAAGGCGATACATGAAGTGCTTCCTGAGACTGAGCATAAAAAATGTTCCATACATGTGTACGCCAATTGGAAAGCAAAAAACAAGACTGATCGGGTTAGGAAACTGTTTTGAAAGGCTGTGTACGCTTGTAACGAGCCGGATTAGAAAAAAGCCACGAGAGAAACAGAGGAAATCCAAGGTAATGGAGCTGAGTCTAGGGGTTATATGAAGAACAGAGTGGTTATTAAACACAAGATGTTGCTAGAGACTACTGATACTCTTAGTCCTAGGATTAGCAAAACGATTGGAGAAGGACAAAGAGTTTGCTAGGTTGTGTGTGTCTAGACATGCTTTGCATGATAAGTGTGAAGTAGAGATGGGAGCTGAAGGGTATATTGTGGATCTGAGTGCAAGAGAATGCACGTGTGGGTACAGGCATCTGAGTGGACTCCCATGTTGTCATGCTATTTCTGCGATCATCCACTTGAGGAAGGATCCAGATGACTTCGTTCATCCTCTTTACCATTCAATGGACGTGTCTGAGGATTATAAGGTAGGGTTGTCTTGTCTTGATGGTAGACAAGCGTGGCCAGCTGCTCAAGGGTATGAAGTCCACCCTCCTAAGGCTAGAGCCATGCCCGAGCGCCCTAAAAAGAATAGGAGAAAATCTGCAACTGAGTTGGAGGCGAGACCACAACAAAGAGGTGTTGGTGAGGAATTCTGTAGGTGAGGTAACTTGATCCAATGCTCAAATTGTGGAAGTGAAGGCCACAAATCGTGCAAAGCACCTCTTGCTGCCCGACAAGCAAGGGTACGATTCTAACCCAATATCAACTGTTGATTTTCTATTATTTTGATAATTTGACCTATGCTGGTTTTCTATGGTTTTGGATGTAAACAATTCGGCTACCAAGCGATGGCAATGTGAGGCCCAAACGTGTCAAACACTACTCCAAGTGTGGACGACCAGATCATAATTCAAGGACATGTCCATTGAATAAGGGTTTAGGTATACAGGTAAACTTGCAATAGATGTTATGTGTGAATGGTTAATGATATGCATCTATATACTCAATGATGTGAGAATGGAGAATGGTGAATTACTATGAACTATATTTTTTTGTTTAGGCTGTTAGATTGAATGTTGGAGATCGAGCTATGGTTGAAAGGGAAATACGTCGTGCAGCTTCTGGTGTGGGTTTTTATGTCGATGAGAACACGGGGAACCAATATGTTAGGGTGAGTTGACAAATTGTTAGGGTGGGAATTGTTGAATACTCTTTTTGCCTATGTTTGGGCTAATGTATGTTCTTAAATTTACAGCTGAATGGGGACCATGGCCGCCCTCATGGAGATCCACCACCAGTTCCTTTAACCCAAGCTTCTGTGGTGGACTTACATGGAAGCCAATCATCACCAACTCAGCCTTAGAATGTCATGAAAGTTTCCTTTTGAGTCATTTGTTTGTACTGGCCAGCAACTGATGTTGTTAGGTGCTATTTTTCTCGACTCGTGTAATGGCTATAAGAAGCCTTAAGGAATCCTAACTTTTTGTTAGGTGTAGTGCAGTTGAGAGTCTTGCATACTCTTTCTGTTATGCAAACTGTTTATGTTAGGTTATGCTATGTGTTCAAAAACAATGTAACCTAGTGATGTGAACAAGTGATGGGAACAAGTAATGCAACTATTATGTTAGGTTATGTAATGCAGGTTATGCACTCTTTTTGTACACAAATACAGGTTATGCAACACTTCTTTTGATCATTCAACATCAAAATGTTATACCAAATTCAGGTAGACTTTTTTTGATCATTCAACACCAAAATGCAACACTTACATACCAATGGAAGTTCGACATCGAGTTACATACCCAACTTACATCAACGAGAACTTACATGCCAAAATCCTTCCTCCACAGAATCACATACAAAAACACATTCATGAACAACAAAACAGTTAACATATATCCCATGACCCGGATCTCATCAACTAATCTAACTTGGCGAACTTGCATCCAATTCCTTAGTTCTTCTGCCATCAGCTAGCTTTTTCCCCTTCTTCCTCCTCTCAGCATTGGATTCGGCCAACCTTAGTATCTCTTCCAAGTTCATAATTATACTCTACATTTCATGGTTCCTTGACTCTAATCCATCATCATTGCCGTTCACCCACCTAAAAAATATACATCCTTTCCCATCCTACAAACCATCGTCCCTCCTTAGTCAACAAACAACAAACATGTAAAATCATCAAATTGCAATGAAATGGCCTTACCTTCCAATAATGACAGTCATAGAACTGCCTTCCTAGATTCAACTCAGTCCCAGATATATTAATCACAGCTAGGACATTGTGTTCGCATAGAATAGAAAACCCACTTTTGACGTTTGTAGAGCCCGAATCGGCACCATTCTTGCGAGCACCCAGACTACCCCTTTGTGACATCGTTAGGGAAGGGAGATGCGGATTGTGAGCAAGCGGGAAGGAGGAATTGTCAACGGAAATATGGAAGAGACGAGGGGAACCAGAGGTTGGCGAAATCGGCGAATGGGTAGGGAGACAAGCGGCGCGACGACGGTGGAACCACAATTGTCGACGGTGACAAGGGTTTTTCACCGGATTGCGGCTGCCACTATGAGGAAGATGGAAGCCGATTTTGGCTGTTTCTGGGAGGAAGATGAAATCGAAAATTACGATGGGCATATTTAATTGCACCAACCGGTCCTCTCCCTCAGGATAATGTGGCGCGGAGGTGGCACTTGCGATCTAGTACTCTAGTTGGCGCTGACGTGGCATCCAAATGTTGGCCACCTCGGCAACGTGAACAGGTAACTAACGACGTCCCTAACGACGTCACATTTAATAACGGAAATGACTATAATTGGCAAAGCATTTTCAAATTTTTTGTTGTTTCTGTGTATTTTCAAATTTTGGCTATATTTGTCACAAAGTGCAAAGTTATGGATATGAAAGTATATTTTGCCTTTTTTTAAGCAATCTTGGGAAATTTGGCATGTGCAAGCAAAGGGGAAGAATTAATTCGATTTTATTATATTAGATGGGATCCGTCCTTGCTACATCTAATAATGCTTCAGACTGTAGTTTTCGTTAGGCAGTGCCATTCTACTTCTTCTTTGTTTCTATCTAGTCTAAGTCTTTTGGACTATCTAATTTCAATTTTCCTGCTACCTCCATCTCTTCTTCATGGACAATAAAAAAAGGAAGTTAAGTGTTTAACACGGGAGTTCAACTATTATGTGATTTTTTGTTTCAAGTTTCAACCTCATTTCGACACTCAATCCATGCCTCTACATATATCCGAGCTCAATTCTCATATATTCGATCAGATTATTATAGTCATGGGTACTCGAGATTCATGTTTTCATCATATTCATCATACAAAACTAAAGGTTTGAATAATCGAATTGTATGAGTTAGAATAAACAAATCAAGTCATGTATCCTCATTCCAAAATTTTAATATAATTCTCGAAAATAGCTTATTTGATTATAAAAAATTTAACAAAATATATGGATTCATGTCGTCTCATCTTCAGAATCTTGATACTCAATTTGGAAAATGATTTATATGTTGGATCCGATTCAGAAGGTTTTGTGAACTTTCTCAACCAAACCATATTAAATTCTCAACAATATTTTTCTCATCTTTCTTATGGAAAGAAAGCGAGAGTATTTCTTTGAACTCCATAGTACATCATTTCTAATTAGCCAACTTAACCAAATAAGAATTATTTTTTAACATTTGACGAGATCAAGCGAAATTGCTTCATACTATTGGACCATTGCACATTGAACATCAAAATTAGGGTTGGCAACGAGGCGGATCGGGGACGATTTCCCAGCATCCGCTCCCCGCCCGTGAGACCTCCCTGGGTTGGAGAAATCACCCACATCCACACCGTCGGGGGCAAAAATCCCACTGCCACCCGCCCCGACCTCGGAAAACGGGTGTACTCGAAACCCCGCGGGGACTTCGTCATTCCTCCTCCGTCGCGAAGCTCCTGATCGTCGCTGCACCACCAACCATCGTTGGGTAGAAGAGAGAAGAAGACAGAAAAAGGAAGGGATCAGAGCGCCTGTTGTTGATCAGGTTGTCGGATCCCCTTCTTCCATCGTCGCTGCCGTAAGATTCCTGATTCCATCGACGTCGTCACTTCGACATCATAGATCTGAGTCGAGGAGTGAGAGAATCGAGGAGAGGGAGAATTTCCTGGCTATTCACATACCCGCTACAGGGAGGAGTGGGAGACAAAATTCGCATCCTTCATGTCCAAAATGGGTTCTGCGGCTGCAGTTGGCCTGCCTCTTCGATGGAGGCTGGGTATGGTGATTGGAATTCGGAAGACGGATAGTCGCTGGGAGGTTACGGGGTGGATAGTGATGAATTCATCACTGCTACGTCAATTGTTTGGGTTTGCCCGACCCCGATCCGTCACCCGATCAACTCGGTTTTCCCCCGATTTGACTGGTGTGTTTTCTGTCGGGCACCCGAATTTCCAGTTAGGGTTGCCATCCCTAATCAAAATAGACCCCTTGTCGGTTTCTCTCGTATTCTCAACGATTAGGTTGGAAGTTCCACTGCACACGCCTCTACTGCCAGCTTGCTGCTTCTGCGAAACGGTGTCGTAGGAAGTTGATCGTTGCAGTCTATCTTCATTGCACACGTGGCGACATGCCCGTACTTGGAATCGGCCGTCCAGTTCTAGTACCCAAAACTTTCTGCAGAGCTCTCTGCTCAACTGATTTACACAGGCGAAGCAATATATACTTCTGGACAGGAAAGTCGGCGAGAACCTGGAAGACGGAGGATCGTGTTTTTGGAGCTGAGATGGATTTGTAAGCTAATGAGAAGAAAACCCCAAGGAGAATAGGAAACAAGAGCAAGCAACTATGCAGGGGTTGAGTCTCCAAAGATCACCCTTTATTTCACCGGCGAGGCTTCCGTCCTTGACTCCGGTGAACTCATTGCCATGTGTGTCAGCTTCTCCACGTTGAAACCCATCTCTACTTCATGTAAGCTGTCATTTTTCCTTTTCCCTGTCTTTGTTTCTACCAAAGTTTCTCTATCTGTTTCATTGAATGATTTGAGAAACTTTGTTTACGCGATAAAGCTTGCTTCTTGAGTCGCGGCCTATGATTTTACTTAGTTGGTTCTTCGATTTGAAGAATTTGTTGGCGTATTGGATGTGAATTTTGATAATCTGGGTTGGCCATTTATAGTCAAATGATTTGCTTTGGATGATCAAGATTTGGTTAGGAAGTGTTCAATTTTTAATTAAGTAGATGCTTTAAGAGTGGAATTCTCATTTTGCTTGTCTAATTGGCATGCTTCAATTAGCATCCAAATCTATTTGCAACGGTGGGATAATCAACTTCCCATTGTATATAGGCCAATACGCTTCATTTTGCATGGGGCTCAAAGCTACATCATATGAGTTCCTGATCGCATGTTCAGTGAAGTAAGGACTCACCAGACTGTGGGGGCTCATGGTTATTGACTTAGCTACTGCCATTGCATGTGAACAGAGTATTCTTGTGTTTTGATACTTTTGACATGTACACTCCCCGATTAGGCTTTCTAAGTGTAGAGTAACGGTTTGACGATTGTGACCACATCTCCCACCACCCCATATACCTGTTTTGACTGCAAATATTCCTTCACTACGGTCGAAAAGAACAACTTTATGCTTACTTGATTTCTCTTCGTTCTTCTGCATTTGATCAAAGACGTCATGTGCTATCGCATGACCAGAGAGCTCCCTCCCTATAGCTAGCTGAAGCCGATTCACGCGCCACTCGTTGATCTTCCAGTATGACATCTCAACTATGACAGAAACAGGCATCGCTCAAAGGCCCTTGTACACTCTATTTATACTTTCGCCATGATTGGTAGTTGCAATGCCGAATCTGGCCCCGTTGTTCATATTGAACGTCCACATGTGCAAATCTTGACCTTCAGCCCATACTGCTCCCGCTCGGTGATCCGACGGATCGTCTTCATCTTCTGCTCGTACTTTTTTGGTTGATGTGAAACCGCTGCAAGGTGAACAAAATTAAATGGTCAATACATGATAAATACAAAGTTATTAAATGCATAGTTAACTCGGATTAAAAGACATTAGTACCTGCATGCCACAATTGATCTTTTATGTCTTTCTTCTTCCCGACTTTGTGTTGGAAATTGGCAAGCTAGTGTCGAATACACCAGCTCCATGTCCATCCCCATTTAGTAGGAAAACCACCCACGACATTCCTAATGCCCACGTGTCGATCAGATATAATCGTAATACCCTGCTGCTGTGTCACATGTTCGTGTAGTTGGTCAAAGAACCATGCCCAATTTAAGCTGTTCTCCTCTTCCACTAATGCAAATGCAAGCTGGAAAATCCGCATATTTCCATCAACGCCAATGGCAATGAGAAGAGTGCCTCTATACTTCCCAGTAAGGAAAGTTTCATCAACCTAATTAAAAATTAGGTTCTAATTAGTATGAAATTTACATAGCAGGAAAATTGAACTTTTCTAACAGTAATTAGTTATTAAAATACCTGGATAACAGGTATGCATAACGCAAACCCGTCAATGCATGGTTTGAAAGCCCAAAATAGACGGTGAAACATCAAGTTTTCCTGTACTAGAACTTGATCCTCAGTGTATACATTGTTGTATGAAGGCACGAAAACAGTCTCAGGGTTGGACTCCTCCATTGCGGCCACAAGTCTAGGGAGTAAAGCATACGAGTCCTCCCAATCACCATACACCTCACCCATGGCTTTCTGCTTACCATGCCATGCCTTTTTGTACCTTATCGTGTAATAATGTTGATCCTTCACCTCGGCCATGATAGTTTTGACCTTGATATCTGGTTGTGCCTCGATAAGGTGCTTAATAGTTTTCCCCACTTTCTTTGCTTTAAGTTGCCGGTGATCCTGAGAAAGTATGGACGAGGAGCAGTTGTGGTTGTACTCAGCTTTTCGAATCACCCAGACACCCTTTCTCTTCATATTTGCAGCCCGCAGTTGCCACATACAACCTTCTGCAACATTTTTTCATATGACATGTAGTTTATTTATTGTCAGTATATTTTACCTTCCACTCGAAATTGCGTCGCATGGCATCTTCAGTAAAAGCATACTGCACAGCATCCTTCGATGTGAACGCCATATCCACCTCCAAATTGGCCGTCGGATCATACACTGGCATAGGGACAACGTCTATGGCATCATTCCGACTATGTAAAAATTGAGTTGGAACCTGTGTGTAGAATGGCGTCGGTGGCTCACGAAATGCCACCTCGTCGTTTGTATCATCAGTTTCTTCCTCTCCCCTCACTGATCTAAAATCTTCCTCAGTATCATCGTCGCTCGACTCGAATGGATAGCTCGGGCAAGAATGATCAACATGACCACCATCAACAACATCGTCTTCTCGCTCATGTGAAGTACGCCCAAATCGAATGGTATTCTCGATTTCAGCCCACTCTGGCCCCCAAGCAGGCCATTGAACCTCACCGGCTTCAACAAATGAGGCAGGTTCATCCCGTTGCGGGTATTCTTCCGATGCCACCCATCCTGCACCACTACCTCTTCCATAGTTGCTTGAACTACCACCCAATTCGTAACCTCCTGTATAACCACCTCCTTCGTAGTTGCTTGAACTACCACCCCATCCGTACCCTCCTACAAAACCATCATTATAAGAATACTGGTGAGAATGAGTTTCACCGGCCGCCTCGGTCTCAACATAGACCTCTGTAAGCTGCATCCTGTTATCGCCTAGGAACTGTAACATCATCGTAACCGCGTCATCATCGTTTATGACAACTTCTTGGTACACAACCCTACCAGCACTCATGTCTGGATACCGGTAAGTAATTTTACCAACTCTCGTCTGTGCGCTCGTACAAACCATGTCTGCACAAATGTCACAGAGTTCTTGCCACATGAATCGCGACTCAATTTTCAACATATTGGATTCACCGTCCTCATAATCAATCCCAATGTCAGAGTTTGTCACCCTTCCATTACACCGAATAATAAGCTGAAACTTCTTGAATTTACCCATATCTACAATTTACAATAAGTAAATATTAGCTTAATTCCAATAAAACTAACCAAAACCATATCGTACGACTAATATTACTCCATCTCATAACTAACAACAACATAAATTCCCAACTAACATAACATATTTGCTACTATAAGTAATTCATTACATACATATAACTACTAAAAGCATCATCATATAAAATACAAAATTAAATCATACCGAAAAATAGCTTTTGTGTATGTTGCTCGGTTTTTTTTTGTTGAAATTTGAAGAGGGAGGGGGTTACGTTTTTCCAACTGCTCGTGGGAGTGGTATTTATATGAAAATCAGTCAGTATTCACCGTGTTTGTCAACGGCGGTGAATGTAGTCACCGCGTTGCCCTAAGGCGGTGAATGTTAGGTCGTTCTGACCTAACTCTCACCTACCAGGGGTGGGAAACGTGGGAAACTATCACCGCCGTAACCTAGAGCGGTGAAGGTGTTCCCCGCTTTGCATGAAAACAGTGATCCGTTCACCGTTGTTCACAAACACGGTGATTGCTTCACCATTTAAGTAAAACGCGTGAACCTTTCACCGCTTTAGATAAACACGGTGATTTCTCCATCGTCTTCATTAAACGCGGTGACTTATTCACCGTTTTAAACTAATGCGGTGATCTTATTCACTGCCTTAGACAAAGGCGGTGATTGTGAAACATGTGTAGATTGTGAATTTTTTTTATCTTATGTATTTTGCAATTTTTTAATTATTGGTGTATGTTGGGATTTTTTCCTAGTCTCCTCTTTTCTCAATTGACGAAGTTGTTCGTAATAGCTCATACGTGAGAAACACAAAAACCAACTGTGTTGTTATCCAAGGTTGGTAGCCGGTTGGGAATCGACACTACAACAACAAAAACACGACTAACTTAGATGCAAATGATCCATCATGAAAAGAACCGAGATCTCAAGAGTGAGCTATCCTTTTGAACCCTTTGAGAATCGACACTACAATAGTTACCTCTGATTGCCACAAAAAACGGATAGCCACTGAAAATGAAGTTGTAGCTAATATAGGTTGATAGCTGTAAATGTTTGTTTTCTGTAGCTATTAAGTGCAGTTTTAGTAACAATTACCTTTGACTATAAAGTATAAACCGAGTTATGTATTTGTTAAGAATGTATAAATAGTGTAGCAAAGTAGTACATCTATATCCACCTAAATTTAGTCATGTTACTATAGAGTAGGGGTGGGCAACGGGCGGGTTGGATGAGTTTTGGTCTCAAATTGACCCGCCCACTTACTAGCGGGTTGGAATAATTGTGATCCGCAATCCACCCACATACATCTGGGGGTTGGGTTTGATGGGTGGCGGATGGATGCGGTTAGGTCGCGGATCAGCCCGCAAAAGCAATTCTCCAACTAACCATTAAGAAAGTTGACTAGCATTTACAATAAGTATATAGCAAATTAGTAAGACTGTATAAATAATTTATAATTTTGATATCATTAATAATTTATAGTTTGCATCCCAATATTTAATGGTTATTAACAATATTTACATGCCAAAATCCAAAATCTAATGGATATTGCACAACACAATGGCCAATAATAGTAGTCAAAACTATTATTTATTCTCCACCTTTTGAGCTATATGGTCAGACTGTAGTGCAGTTCGAAAATATGATAAATATTCGATACTATAAGAAACAACATTTTTCAAGTAAAAATAGGATGCAGGTCATATGGGTGAACCACAATCCACCCACCACCCACCCACATAAGTGCTGGCGGGAGATTTACCAATCCGCAATTCACCCACATCAATCACCCACTACGTGCGGGTCAAGTTATTTGCGGGTAGATCAATATCAATTCGCGAATTAACCACCCACGTTCCCACCCCTACTATATAGTATAGTTGATTGGTGTGCTTAGCCCAAAGGATTAGTGAGTTTAGCAACAATAGTGAGCTAGCAAATTCGAGCCATGAGAATATAAGATTGTAACTAATGGTTGGATTTAAAACTAATGTAGCTCAATTATCAATATCAAAGGTCAAGTTACCAAGAGATGTAAGATTATAAGTAATGGTTGTAATGTGGAAGAAAGAATTGATAGGTGATTTGCTACTCTTTGAGTGGAAGCAAAAAATTTATCTATGTAAGGTTCTTTATATAGAATGGACACGCTACCAATAGAATCACTAAACTAGTTACAATACCGGTCGACTTGCTTAGATGGTTGGGGATGGATCAAACGATTTTTAAGGGTTTGAAATGAAATCAGATGAACCATAATGGTTTGATTGATCCATTGGTTCACCATTTTTAATCACAAAGTTTTAAAAAACTATACTTTAACGTAAACTAGGACGCAATCCAATATGAGTTACTAATTTTATTTTTGTATCATATTTTTTGTTTTTAAGTTTCCTTGTCGGCTTTGGGCAGTCCAGTACAAACTACCATCCTAATTACTAATTTCAATTTAATGAATGTTTTTATAATTTATTTTGTGGGATAATTTGACTAATTTGTTAGAATTTTGACCAATGGTTAATATGAATATGAAATTATTTATGGTTAGTGATAAATTATGTTCTAAATTATTGAATTATATATGCCTTTCATGTATAATACATCAATGATTCTATAACAGTCAATCCTTGAACCACAAATCTCTAACTTTTTCAATTCAACATTGTGAAGTTCGGTTGTGAATGAAAACAGTGGAAAAGCAATATCAACCGCCAGCGTCTTCTGCATTACAAATAACAAAACCAATTGCAAAATTGAGAATGAGGATGAAGAACATCTCTCAGCATCACATTCTAACCAAACCCTAAACCAAAACTTTGATTCAATGATGATCCCACCACCACAGCCTCAACGTCTAACGGAAAGAAACAATCATAGCCAAAATCCCCCAGCCCAAAGCATCATCTCCAGAAACAGAAAAATCAGAACTTTACATGATGATGATGATGAAGAGTAGAAGCAGAAATAGAAGTAGACCAATATCAACTTAACACTACCTTGGCTTTCTATTCTATAGAGGAAGAAGAAGGAAAGAAAGAAAATGACACATACCAGCCAAAACCCACACTAATAAAGACTCAAACTTTCACCTATTACCAAAGGAATAAGAACCAACTACGTACCCTGCAATTTCAAAGTTCAATAGAAGTTTCTCCAACTCCTACAACCTTCCTTTCCACTAACCCTAGATGTAGAAACTACTACCACTACACTGCTAGCCTTTGTTCCTAATCCTACCCCTTCTCACAGTGTTTTCACAGCTACAAAACCATCCGACCCACCATGCTTCTTCTTCCTAATCTCCAAAACCTTACGGTGCGAATTCGAGTGCAGCTCCATCGAAAACGTCGGGCTGTTGGCCGGCCTGTACTCCGGCACCAGCCTCCCGGACTTGAACCTCACCCCACAGGCATTGCACAGCGTCTTGGCACCCGACGGGCCTGCCCTCCACTGCGGTGTCTTCTCGGAGCCACAATGCTCGCACTTCCTCCCAGCCGTCGACGACTTCCTGCCCCCTCCTCCCCTCAGGAATTTATCATGGTTCCACCAGTACTGCCGCGGGTCCTGTATGTCTGTCCGGCACTTCAATCTCCGCTTGCTCCTCCTAGCCTTCTTCACCGGAGCCTGCAGGCTCCGGCAGTAGCTCATGATGAACCCCGAACCCAAACCACTACCACTACCACGGTTCGAGCTGTGGCTGCTCGTGGTGCTGTTCTCGAGCACCGAGACCGGGCTATGCTGCTTCGGCAGGCTGCCCGGGTGCTCGGAGACAATGTCGACGAATGTCTCGAGCGCAGGGAACGCTTCCTTGTTGGAAATCCATTCCAATTCTTCCTCAGGGAATTCCTGAAAGAAACAGAGAAATTTTTGTTAAAGTTTGGGTAGGTAACGGTAATTTTCGGTCATGGGTTGGGAGTATTCTGGAATAAAGGAGAAAATAACGTGGCCTATAATAATGGAAAAGATTGGCAGTTGTTTTTTGGTGGACATTTATTGGATACACACTCAAAACTTGTGAGCAACAGCTCAACAAAGAATTCAGACCCACACTTGTGGAATTTACTCAAGTACCCTCACCTACGGGCAAACCAATACGCGGTTGCAGTTGAAAAGTTGTGAGGGTCAGAAATGTCATTTCAGAAAAGGCCTAATTCCTAAACCAAACAAACCCCAACTTGGTTTGCAATTTTCGAGAATTGAAAATAATAATTATAAAAAAAAACGTTACCATTCAAAGAGTAACTCGGGCGAGTCACGATAAACTCGGACCCGTAACCCCCGAGTTCAACTAAAAAAACCTAGCCTGACTGTCGGCGCCCAAAAACTCCCCCGCCGCACGGCGGAGCTCGGCCGGCCTACAACACAGAGAGAGTCCGGGATAGCCCACAGCGAGGCGTTCAGTGGAAATCGAGGGGCGGGGGAACTTACTGTCAATGGGTCGGAAAAGTCGAAGGGGGAGGGTCCGACGCCATCCGGTTTAACGGAGGAGGAGCGGCGGCCGGGGTTTGAAGGTGTCTGTTCGTCGTCTTCTTCCCCTATGTCGGAAGCGAAGTTGAGGAAGTCGTCAATGGAACACGGCGCCGTTGCTGGGTCAAGATAGTCCATATTATCTTCCCCAACGCAGCAAAAAGGACAACCGAGTTGGATTGTTCCGGCGACGGTGAGAACTAAGTGGAGAGAGAGAGAGAGAACAGGTAAAGAGCAGAGAACGGAACAATGGGGGAAAAAGAGGTTGAATGTGGGAGGATTTGATTGTTATTGTAGAAGAGAATAAAGAAGGAGAGAGAGAGAGGAAAAAAGGGAAGGAAACGAGGGGAAAAGTCTGCTTCTCTGTTTTGGCTATTGTTATCGTTATCGCGAGTCGCGACGGCTTCGAGGTTTTTGGGTGTGAACTGGCAAGGCAAAACAAAGGGATATGTCGATTTTTCGATTATTAGCAGGTAGGGGTGTGCAATTGTCCGATACGGGTCGGACCAAATTATGTGTATACACAATTTCGATAGTGTATAATAAACACCCTGTCGACTACTAAACAATAAAAGTGTGTTTTTAGCATGATACATATAAAATCGTATTGTATCGGTGGTTCAACCACAAATTACTATTGTTTAGGCTACCTCAAACTTTTTGGCACGATCTCTGATACGGTTATAGACCATGTTACCTTATCCATTAAAACGCATACTCTGGGAATTTTGTCTTCCTAATTTCCAAACCCTAAACAACTAAACATTATTAGTAGTGGTAACCTCCTTGTGTGAGGAGGATTAAAAGGATGGGCTCCGGCCCGCTAACGCAACCATGGATGGGCCACAAGACTACAAGAGAGAGCGGACGAGTTCACGACCACTACAATGCTCTTTCCGAAAAATCCCTTAAAACAGCCACGTCATAGTACCCAATCATATCCTTCCACGTGGTACTGAAGCAAGTGCCGCCTCCGCACTCTCGCCAATTTTCTTTTTTCAATTTAAAGGAAATAAATCAGGAATATTATTTTCGGAAAATGGCAAAAATGTTCTTTGACCCGTCCGACACCGCACGTGGCGGCGCTAATCATGTTGAGAGATGCATGATTCGTACCAGCACAAATCAATCTGCTGTTTTTCCACTTCTTCCTTCTTTGGCTCGGATCTATTAGACTTTTGCTTTCCTGATCGCATGCGATTTATTAGGATGTTTATTAATTAATTAAACTAATCCTGTGTGATTTGGGAGGCAATTAATTGTTTTTTAAGCAATCTTGGGCAATTTGGCATGTGCAAGCAAAGGGGAAGAATCAATTCGATTGGATTATATTAGATGAGATCCGTCCTTGCTACATCTAATAATGTTTCAGACGGTAGTTTTGGTTAGGGAGTGCCATTCTACTTCTTCTTTGTCCTTATCTAGTCTAAGTCATTTGGACTATCTCGTTTCAATTTTCCTACTACCTCCACCTCTTCTTCACGGACAATAAAAAAAAAAAAAAAGTTAAGTGTGTAACACCTTAGGCGAATCCCACATCGGTAAAGTATGGGAGAGATCCATGGTTCATAAGTAAGAAACCGACCTTAACTGATAAGACGTGTTTTGGGTGAAATGGAGGAGTTCTTGTGAGAACTCCGAAGTTAAACGTGCTCAGTGTGGAGTACAACAAGGATGGGTAGTCTTATAGGAAGTCACTTTGAATTGCACCCCAAGTCGATAAATGTGAGGGTCGAGGCTCAAAGTGGACAATATCTTCGTCGGGAAAAGGTTCGGGGATGTTACAAAGTGCTTAACACGGGAGTTCAAATTTTATGTGATTTTTTTGTTTCAACTTCATTTCGGGACTCAATCCATGCCTCTACTCAGATCCGAGCTCAATTCTCATATATTCGATCGGGTTATAACAGTCGTTGGTACTCTAGATTCATGTTTTCATCATATTCATCATACAAAACTAAAAGTTTAAATAATCGAATTGTAGGAGTTAGAATAAACAAAACAAGTCATGTATCCTCATTATAGAATCAAAATATAACTCTCGAAAAATAGCTTATTTGATTATAAAAAAAAAATTAACGGAATATATGGATTCATGTCGTCTCATCTTCAGGATCTTGATATACCCAATTTGAAAAATGATTTATATGTTGGGACAAGATTCATAAGGTTTTGTGAACTTTCTCAATCAAACCATCTTAAATTCTCAGTAAGATTTTTTCCCCCCCCCCATCTTCCATACGGAGAGAAGGCGAGAGTACTTCGATGTTTGCTCAAAGCTCTCATAAGCTCTCACCAAATCAACGTCTATCATCCTATTTTAAATCTCATATTAATACAAGATGTCTTTGAACTCCATATTACATGCTTTCTAATTAGCCCACTTAACCAAATACCAATTACATTAACATGAGATCGAGCGAAATTGCTTCATACTATGTGACCATTGCACTTTGAACATCAAAATAGACCCATTGTCGTGGTCCATGCCTCTAGTAATCTCAACGATTTGGTTGGATGAAGTTCCACTCCACACGCCTCTACCGCCAGCTAGCTGCTTCTGCGAAACGGTGCCGTAGTAAGCTGATTGTTGCAGTCTATCTTCACTGCACACGTGGCGACATGCCCGTGCTTGGAATCGGCCGTCCAGTTCCAGTACCCAAAAAGTCCTGCAGAGCTCTCCGCTCAACTGATTCACGCCGGCGAAGCAATATATAGTTCTGGACTGGAAAGTCGGCGAAACCTGGAAGACGGAGGATTCTGTTTTTGGAGCTGAGATGGATTTGTAAGCTAATGAGAAGAAAAACCCCGAGGAGAATAGGAAACAGAAGCAAGCAACTATGCAGGGGTTGAGTCTACAAAGATCGCCATTTATTTCACCGGCGAGGCTTCCGTCTTTGGCTCCGGTGGGTTCATTGCCATGTTGTGTCAGCTTCTCCACGTTGAAACCCATCTCTACTTCATGTAAGCTGTCATTTTCCCTTTTGCCCTGTCTTTGTTTCTACCCCAGTTTCTCCATCTCTTTCGTTTAATGATTCTGGAAAAAACCTCGTTTATTCGATAAAGCTTGCTTCTTGAGTTGCGACCTATGATTTTACTTAGTTGGTTCTTCAATTTGAAGAATTTGTAGGCTTATTGGATGTGAATTTTGATAATCTGGGTTGGCCATTTGTAGTAAAATGCTTTGCTTTGGATGATCAAGATTTGGTTAGGAAGTGTTCAATTTTTCATTAAGTAGATGCTTTAAGAGTGGAAATCTCATTTTGCTTGTCTAATTGGCATGCTTCAATTAGCATCCAAATCTATTTGCATCAGGACTAGTCATGCTAGTCACAAATTTGCTGAAGTTTGATAAATTTCTGTTAACATTCCTTGTAGCCAGATTCAGAGATATCACAAGGCTAAATTCTGCCCTTCGAACGGTTAGAGCTCAGGCATCAAACATTAGCATCGGATCAGGGGGATATGAAGGTGGGGAGGAGGAAGATAAGCAGAAAAAATTGGTGAATGGACCAAGTGACAGTTCATCTGACATGTGAGTGAGTGATACTGTGCCTTTGACTGTTTTCATTGAGACCCTGATGAAACAATCTAATGGCTTGTATTTAACCCTACTGATTCTGCAGAGTGAAACCTCCCACCAAAATTCCCTATCCCTTATCTATAGCTCTTGTGCTACTTGGATGCGCCGTGGTATATTCCCTCATCGTCTTTGTGAAGGGTGAACCTTCTGCTATCTTGGCTGCAATCTCCAAGTCGGGATTAACTGCTGCATTCTCGTTGATATTTGTGTCAGAAATCGGGGACAAGGTGAGTTAACCAGTTTTGTGCCACTATTGTTTGTCAGAAATGGAACTGAACTAGTAGCAAAGGAAAAATTGTTAGTAGTAGTAATGGTTGCCACAGTAATTTCAGTTTTTCCTATTAAGAACTCCTTCCTTGAGCCTAAATGCTGCTTTGTGTTCGTTTACCAGACATTCTTTATTGCAGCACTCTTGGCTATGCAATATGAGAAAGGACTGGTATGATCTCTCTCACTCATATTCTCCCAATTTCCATATTGAGAGGAATGTTCAAAGTTATGGATAAGTTGTTCCCTTTTGAATCAATCCTTGGCAAGGTTCTCTTGGGCTCAATGGGTGCTCTTTCACTCATGACCATCTTGTCAGTTGTCATCGGACGTGTATTTCGGTCAGTGCCGGCTCAATTCCAAACTAGTAAGTAGTTATATGTCTTGCCATCAATCCCTTGATTTTACTTCGTTCATGGTTTATTCTCCCTCAAAAGAAACACAAGAGTTTTCATGTGGTTTCTACAAAATTATATATTATAATAACTTGCTGTGATTTCTGTTACCTTATTGGTACCGCTACAGCCCTTCCGATTGGAGAATATGCAGCAATTGCTCTTCTCTTGTTCTTTGGGCTAAAATCAATAAAAGACGCATGGGATCTTCCATCAGCTGAAGCGAAGAGTGGCGGAAAAAAGAGCCCTGAACTGGATGAATATGCTTCAGCTGAGGAGCTTGTGAAGGAAAAGGTGATCATTCATAAATAGTAACTAGAGTATCAGTGTAGCTGTTGTGTGTTTATGTCTAAACTGCATTTTAGAGATTTAGAGCTTTTTGGTGATTTTGGTCCAGTACTTAATAAGTTATTTACTCCCATTGCTTCAGCTATCCAAGCCGCTCACCAATCCATTTGAGATTGTCTGGAAGTCATTCAGCCTTGTATTCTTTGCTGTAAGGATCTTTGCCCTCATGGCTCATGCTATGCACAAAACTGTTATATCATTAGCTAATTAACAATGCTTGTTAACATTAAGTAATGCCAGCCTCATTTGTTATAGTAAGTTTCCTTTTGCTAGAGTTTTGCATCACTCAAATGTCTTCATTGCTTCCAGGAATGGGGAGACCGCTCAATGCTTGCCACGATTGCCCTCGGTGCTGCTCAGGTTGGGATTTCTGGTGCACTTAAGTCTCATGTATCAAATGATCATAAAAAACAAGCATAACCTACATGTTTCTATTTCTTACGTTCTCTCTATTTGCCTTCAATAGTCTCCATGGGGTGTAGCAACCGGAGCCATTGCTGGACACCTGATCGCGACATCAATTGCTATAGTTGGGGGCGCATTTCTCGCCAACTACATCTCTGAAAAGCTTGTAAGAACCACAGGATTCTGGTTGCTATGATTTTCTGACCTGCATTATTCCTGTTTTTCCTATGACCATTACTCACCAAGCACTATCTCGTCATCAGGTTGGCTACGTGGGTGGAGCTCTCTTTCTCGTTTTCGCTGTTGCTACATTTTTCGGCGTCTTCTAACAAAAATCTCCTTGGGAGTTCACCAGTCAAGAGCCTACAATAGTGGACTGTGGTTCAACTTGCAGACGGTATACAGTACTGGCTGTGGCCTGTGGGATGCTGGGCAGAGAGCAAGCAAACAAGCAATAATGGTTCCCTTTATCTGTAATTTGACACTCTTCGGGAATAGGATGACCTTAGCTGGATTAAACAAATAGTTCATCTTTGGAGGGAAGAAGGCGTAGCATATCATTGTATTGTACTATTGTTGTAGTAAAAGAGTCGCGAGGAGTTAGGGCCACTGAGAGTTTTGTTGTAACAGTAGATCTCTTTAGGAACCTCAGTTAGACTCTGTCCTTGTTGGTTGAGTATTTGAGGCAAGTCACAGTAAATAATCAGTGTGAAATAATTGGTTACAAAACTTGACCAGCTCCTCCTTTTGGTCTCTCTTGAACTCTGTTTCTACGTGTAGTAAGTGGTACCATTGAGTGGGGATTACATCATTCAAATATACACTGCTGAGACCTGAACCGTCCATTCGACAGCAGTTCAACAATACGCTTCTCAAGCCTCGCTGCTCCTTTTCCAGGTCTCAGAACATTAGCATCCCCCCAAACGGAACATGTACCGTTCGCAGGGTTTCCTAAGCACCAGCCGCCAGGCACAATTTCCCCAGGGCTTCTCCCCAGGACGTCACTGTCTATTCGGTCAAGCACTGGATCGTCAGGCTGGAACTCGGTGGCGAATGCAGCTCCACTACGGATCATGGCATTGAAGTCGGTGGAGTTCAGGGCACGAGGCTCCTGCCTGAAGGACTGATCCAGGATTTTGTACTGCAAGTCCTGGTTTATGACCGTCCTGTTGAATTGAGGCGAGTTGCATAACACTGTAGGGAAGTAGCTGGTTATGGAGGACATTGTGTTTGAGAAGTACATCAGCAAGATCCTTGGGAGGTTGTCTGTACCAAGGATGCAGTGCTCGACGAAGTTACGACTGAGAAATGAGAAGGAAGAGCCTGCAAATAAAAGGAAAGAGAAATAATCGGGGTTTCAATTATCTATGTCCAGAATTACAGGTGGACAGCAGCACAACATTGTCTTGAGAGAAATTCAAGTTATGCAGAACAGTGTTCAACTATGTAAACCAAACGGAGATTAAGTATAATCATGTAGTAAACCTCTCATCAACCAAAAGGAACATGGGAACTGTCATTTACAGAAAGAAAGGTTTAGTTCACTAGTAAGAGTTTCCAACTAGGCCGCCTTTCACCCATGGAAGAAGATAACGCACTAATTAGGAACATTTCAAAGGGCAACTCCATTTTGGAATGCAAACAGCCTTTTCTCTACAATCACAGCATCCTATCATGCATATGCAAATCTTGAATCCAGTGGCATAATTGGCAACAACATATCTTTGACCCACATTTTCACTTACGAATTCAGACGCCATCATCTACATTCCTATCTCTCTTTCCACTACATAAAATTGGTACCTTTTTAGCAACAGAGTTGCTTCTTCTGGCCCCAGAATGATGGGAAATCAAACACCCTGAAAGCTAAACAGGAAAAAAGAAAAAACACAGACCTGTAAATATCTTGAAAGAAGTAGGCAACGGTCGCCGCTGAGTAGCATGGAACATGTAACTTTTCTCTGCCAGATAAAGCCCTGGATCAACAATGATTGGTTTCAATCTTCTAGACCTGTAACCCAACGTTTAATAAAAACACTTGAATCATCACAACCCAAGGAAAAGGAAACAGTGAATCGAAGACCAGAAAACGATGAAAAAGTTAAAAATTTACTCTTTCCAGCCAATGTAATTACTGTGACTCACGAAATTGAGACCCTTGGGCAAGTAGGAGAAAATGTGAAGCAGATCTGCAAGAACAGAGCACCAATTTGATTAGAATCGGAAGAATTGCAGATTCCCCATTGTAGTGAGTGAAGAAAAGTTACCATCTTGGGTAACAAGAGGGTAATCAGCAGCTCCCAGGCGAACAAACCAATCCCAATTCTTGGACAACTTAAGCAACAGAGACGCGCCGTGTAAAGTAGCCGCAACCGGCGACGACCCTCGCCGGTATGCAAAATCCGGCTTCCCAATCACATCTACATTCTGGGCAGCCCGGAAAACGGGGACCGATTCGACGGCCAGGGCCAGCCGCTCCCGCTCGGCCGGCGCGGCGGAGGGGTCGAGGTGGAGCAAGTAGCGGTTTTTTGGGTGGTAGACGGCGTAGAGGAGGCGGAGGATCCGATTGGAGTCGCCTTTCGATCCGGTGATCAGGTAGGCGACGGAAGGCGGGGCGGGATCGGAAGGGATTTTGGAGAAGGTGGGTCGCCGAGTCGGGAAGAGGCGCGGGTCGGGTCGGACCCGGGTGGAGGAGGAGGAATTGGGGGAAGAGGAGGAGGATGAGAGGGATAAGATGAAGAGGAGGGAGAAGAAGGAGACGGTTAGGATGACTGAGATCTTGGTGGTTCTGCTGCCGTTGTCCTTGCCGGCGGTGGGAGTGGTTGGGCGCGGCGACGTCGGCGGCAGTTGGTGTTGGTGTTGCATTTGCATCTCGTTGCCAATGCCACCGGTCTGAGGAGTGGCGGATGAGGATGTTGCGATGTCGTCTATGTGTTTTCTGTCTGTGGGCTGACGGGATTCTTCTCAAGGCTCTGTCGGTCGGAGTTCCCAATTTCCTCGGAGAGTTGTGTTTGGTCGTGGGTCTGGTCTCTAGGGCTGAATTATTGGGCTTTGTCGTGTCGGGGTCTTACCACAGTTTTCTTGTTCAAAAAGATAATTAAAACGGGGATGGGATACGGTGACAATCAGGCGTTGTCAGATTCACAACCAAGGGTATTTTGGGTATGAAAAAAAAAATATTAATTACCTCTTTTGTATTAATTATATTGGGAATTAAAAACCCATATTAAATACAATTTTTTCTGAAATTTAAATCCTATACATTAATATCTCTCTCTCTTCCTTTCTCCAGCAGCCACTCCGCATCGACCGACAAACTTTTTCTCCGGCAGACTCCCTCCGGCAACCTGAAAAAATGTACCGATGCGTTAAAAAGTGTACCAATCTATTAGTCTACTGGTAATTTATATACTAGTGCTAGTGGTACGCTACCAGTACGTTAAAAAATGTACCAGTACTAGCGGTACCAGTAAAAAATGTACCAGTACTAGTGGTACGCTACCAGTACAACGCTACCAGTAGAGAATAACACAATGCTACTAGCACTGGTAGCGCTACCACTAGCATTGGTAGCGGTACCAGTAGAGAATAACACACAAAAAAAAAATGATAGTGGTACCAGATGATAGGGGAGCCACTGGTATTGGTACCGGTGAGCAGTGGTAGCGTACCAATAGCGCTACCAGTGGTATTGGTACCAATAGTGCTACCAGTGGTATTGGTACCAGTAGAGACTATATAAATAGGGATGAGGAAAGAGGGAGGCAGGGAAGAGTCTTGACCTCGCGGCGGCGGCGGGGGGGGGGGGGGGGGGGGGGGGGGGACAGCGGCGCGGCAGGAGCAGCGGGGACAGCGGCGCGGCAGGGCGGCGGGGATAGCAGGCGCGGTGGTGGCTGGTGGGAGGGTTGTGGCGGCGGAGAGAGGGGGAGGAGAGACGGTGATGTCTATGGGAGAGAGGGAGGAGAGAGAGAGAGGGAGGATGGAGGAGTTAGGGTTTTTGTTCTTTTTATATGGTAGGGTGAATGATTGGGTGTGGTAAATTTTTACCCTTCCAAAAATATCCTTTCTTTTAATCTTAACCGTTAATTTAAAAAAAGAAGAAAGAGACAGGAGAGAGAGCGTATCCAAGGGCTATGAAGTGGGTTGTGAATCTGACAACCCTTAGGGGTTGTCACATATCTCGTCCCTTAAAACTGTAAAGAAATAACATTTGCATTATATTTTCCTAAAGTAATCATTTATCCTAGAAAATAATAATTATTCAACACAGAAATCTCATTGGCTAAAATTTTTATCAAATGATCAATTTGTTGACGTTCGTGGGGGAATGTATATGTTTGCCTAGTAGCCGAACCTGTAGCATTGGTGGCCCAGAAGGAGATGCCCAAGAAGAAGAGCACGAGTCAAGTATACAAGTCCAAAGCGGTTAGAGGCCAGTCAAAGGGAGATATCTGACGATTGGAGTGCCTAGAAACAAAAGTTTTGACAAAAGACATGTAACGGGCATAAATGTACAGAAAGTTGAACGGTTTAAGTAATGCGTCTGGGATCTCTGATGACAGTGTTAGATGTTTGGGACGCATGGTAAAAACAAGGTATGGTGCATCAATTATCATGCTGACGTAGGGCGGATTTGGGGGGCATTGGTGGAAGGGGCTCCCCATATAAATAGTAGAGTAGGTAAACCTCATTTGGGCGAGGGAGCTCTCTCACTAAAACTTCTTCTACTTCTCTCTCTAAGATATTGTGTTGACTTGACCATCAGAGGTCTAACATGGGAAGTAAGTCCGTTGTGCGCTTTGTGTGCAGAGATCCACGCGCCTCGGAAGGAGGAAAGGAAAGAAGCGTGTACGGACAGGGGAAGCGTCACGTTGCTCAAACAATTGGCATGCCAGGAAGGAGAGTATGGTCAGGAATGTGACAAGGGGACAAGGGGAGTCATGGAGGAAGGTGGGAGAAGCAGAGCGCGTGCAATAAGGGGTGTCGGAGGAAATTAAGATCTATAACGCCCCAGGGGAAGTCCAGGGACAAAGCGCCCATGATCGCACTGAGCCCACCCGGTCAGTGAGCGCCTCGCTCACCAAGAAAGACTTGATGATGATCATCAAGGATCACGATCCGACGGTGGAAGTGCTCAAGAAGGAGATGAGATGCTGAAAAAGGGGGTGGCTGCCACCCCCCATGCCAGGGTCCAAGCGGAGATAAGGGGAAAGGAAGCCTCGAGCGTTGTGAGGCGCACAAACACCATGTATCACTTGACGAGGCACCTTGCATATGATTTCGACTAACACAACGGATGGGCGCATATGTGCATGGACAAATGGCCTCCAAAATATCCCTAAGAGCTACGAAGAAGAGAGAGTTAAGTTTTCATATCCGTATGATTTAATCGACCGAAAAGGGACGCGTTATCATAATAATAACTCATCATATTTTATTATGGTGATTTGGTCTAATCCCAAGTTAAATTTTACTTGAAATTCGTCAAGTAAATATATGGCGTTGCTCCATAACAAGCTTGGCAAACAGACAAAGGTATTTTACCCTCCCGGTCCCGACCCAATCAAACGTAGAGAAAATCCGAGTTGACTGGATTAATTTCCAAGGATGAGTAAGGTACAGACTTCTTATTATCCGCCCCGAACACGCCATTAATCCTAATTTCCAAATCAATTTCATCTGCCAATAGTCCTAATTAATCATTCTTTCATATCCAGGGATTTGATTTAACTCTCTTGGTTTCGGTCTAAGTATTTCTACACTTCTTGAATAAAAATGAGAAGCATGTTCACTCATGACTCATCAAATAGAAACAAATTTAAATATTTATATACTACCAGACGTGGTTAAAATGATAGTAACTAGAACCCATATACACTAACGATTAGAGTTAATTAATATCGAACAAAGTCATCCCCCAACTAACTCATAGTAGAGGGACTGATTTGATCGCGAACTCAAACAGTTTGCGAAAAAGTCAAACATCAATATCCAAACTTCTCTCCATATTTCGCATAATTTTACTATAGATAATCTTATCCTCATTGTCATATTCTTTGTTGACGGATTTTTCTCATCAACGATGCTTGTTCCTCGCATAAATTATCGTAAATTGAATGATCAAATTTTCCACCACAACAACCTTCTTCTTCTTCTTCATTCATCGCAATTGACCCCTGCGTATAAATTCGAAAACCAAACCCTCACTCATCATCATCATTCATCACCATAACCTCATACATCAAAGCAAACAAATAAAAATTAAAAAGGGAAGGATACAATGGGGAAAAAGATTGGCGCTCTTGTACACGGGCTCCTGCTCTTGTCAACACTACTAACCCATGTGTTGGTCGAGGTTGAAGCACACAATTATTTTCAAAAAACGAAGGTGGTGATATCGAACCAAATTGAAGGAGGACCGAAGTTGTTGGTTCATTGCAAGTCCAGCCATGACGATCTGGGTGTGCGTTGGTTGGACCCAGCTCAGAGTTTCGTCTGGACCATCTCCCAATCTTTTTTCGTATATACCGAGTACTTCTGTGCCTTCCGATGGGAAGATGGAGCTCATCTTGTTTGGTTCGACATCTACAAACCAGAGAGGGATGGTGAGGTGTGCAAGTTGTGTCAATGGGCCATCAGGAGAGACGGGCCATGTCTGGCAGTGCCGGGTTCCAAAATGTGTTATCACTGGATTTCCCATTTTTAGTACGACAATAAGCTCTTTTAGGCACACTTTAGGTGATCAAGTTCATTTGGGTTTTCGCAAGTTCTATCGTTGGGTTTTATAGTTGGTATGTGTGAATAATTAGTTTGGTTGAATCTCTACACTTAAGAATTTTGTTTTGCTGTTTTATTGGGAATCCGAGGCGGAATAAAATGAAAGTTACTCTTCTTATTTATTACTATTTTTTGTGATCTTATTCATTAAGGCTAATATCATCACCAACTTTCTATCCGTTAGCGTTGTCCATTTATGATCAATGAGTTGACTGCTAATATGTTAGTTGACATGAATTAGAAGGATGAGGTGGAATTATTATTGACATCACTTATAATAAACAAAAATATTCATATAAAAAAGCTCAAAATTTTCATTTTTCTCTTGCGAATTCCTCCCTTAACACCACCGCCACTCCCCTTGTTACCGCCACTATCGAGTATCGACCTTCCAATCATTTGCTCAACTATCTCCTCAGCTTTTCCAAAATGTCTTTGAACCTGTTTTTGGATATGAGCTCTTTTACATAGTCGGATTTCCCTTTTAATTTAGCCATTGTTTATACCAAAATAATTTTCATAATTATTGCATGTATGAAAAGGTTGGCCAATTTAAGTAGCTAGTCCATGTGTACATGGATGATCCAATTCATCAAGTTGGGTCGTAGGATTAAAGGATAGTAGTGTTCAACATGATGGATACCATCCAAATCCAATAATGGATGGTAGTGTCCAAATACATGGATACCATCCCAAATATAATGGACACCATCCAAACTCAAAGTGGATGGTGCCATCCAACAACATGGATACCATACAAGTTATTTGGCGTGTGGTGACCATCTAATTGCTCATCCATGGTACATAGGGTTGATTGTCCAGTGACATGATGACGTGTCAAATGTGGTTACCAGAAGCAACAGCTGACTTGCAAAAGACGCTAGGAGAGGAGTTACTGGATGCTACGTGGAGAAGAGAGAGAAGGCGGTTAGAGGGTGAGGCACAATAAAACTTGCAAGGAGCTTCTGGAGGATGGACAGACAAATCAAATCACAAACAATCTCGTCAAAATTTATCCTTTTCTCTCTAGAACAGTAACCGTAGCAGTAGCACCAGGGACCCTCCAACAAGGCTTCTCTATTAGTTGTGGTCAGTAGTTGCAGAGCTCTCAAGGAATCTCCATAGGAGTAGAGGTAATAGTAAGTAGATCCTCAGATATATGCATCAAACACGCTCGTTCGAACAGTGTTTGAAGAGGTGTGAGCCGAGTAACATCGTTTTCTGTTTTCTTGAGGTCATGGTGCATTGATCACGCGAAATTCCACCTAAAACACCCACACAATTGCAAAAATTGTCATGTCCAACAAGTTCTAGGGATGACAAACTAGACCCGCCCCGGTGGATTTTCCCCGATCCGGCCCGTATTTAAACAGAGCGGATCTTGACCCGCTCCGTTGTTAAGACAGGGAGGACATGGATGTTGCCATCTAACCTAGGGGTGGGCAAACGGTTCGGTAAACCTGAACCGAACTGAACCGAAATCGAATTAAACCGAACCGAAACCGAATTAATGCTATTCGGTTCGGAATTCGGAAGGAAAATATGGATAGTTCGGAAATCAGAGTTCTTTTAATCGTCGAATTTCCGACCGAAAAACCGAAATACTATAATTGCAAGCTTCAAATGGTGAATTTTTATGTTTGTAGTTGTTTTTAGACTCAAATATTTGAAATATTTTATGACTTATGTGTTGAAAAGTTTGGTTTTATCATTGATGATGCATATAATTGATATTTATTGTTTATATTAGGGGTGAAAAATAATTTAAAAGTGAGAAAATACAAGTAGCTTCACAAATTCGGTTTTGTGTGAAAAACGAACCGAACCGAATTATAGTTCGGTTTAAACCAACCGAACTGAATTATAATTCGGTTCGAATTCGGTTCGACGTTTGGGAGAATTCGGGGACCCGGTATTTATAATTCCGGTTCGGTCAAAACCGAACCGACCGAATGCCCACCCCTAATCTAACCCACTCCGATCTGCTTCATCCCGTCGTCGAATAACCTGCAAAATGCGAAGTTAAAGAGAGACCCAAAATCCAAGACAAGCAGTCACCAAGGTAGCCTATTTATTTCTTAGAGAGACCCAACATGCCATCCCTTCCCCAATCACTTCTCTAGCTAGCGACCCTGCATGTCATCCATTCCCTAATAAATTCCCATAAATAAATCCTGCATTCGAGAAATATATCTCGCAAATTCCAATTCCCAGAGACCCATTGATAGGGCAAAAGCGTGATGCCTGAATCCTATCTCGTAGTAAAACAGGGAAGTCCGGGTATCGTCTCTCATGGACTGGTACAACATTATATTCTATCAATTCTATGGAGCAAACTATAGGTGAAATGGTTTGAGTGATGAAACTACTAGCTAATAATTACACAAAACAAGCAAATTAAAGTTGTTGGGAGAAAATAAATGGGAGAATGCTCTGGGAGAAACACCGGAATTCACTACCTATCATATCCAAATTAATTCACATATTCTAATCAGTTTAATCCATATCTCTACAGCCAAGATATCACTACTGTGCTAGCTATCCCTGTCGAGAATTACTACGTACTAAACGATTAAATCAAATCCTACTGTCGTAGCTCATTGAGTTAACTATTTAGCCTTAAGGCCGATATCCCAATCAAGACCGCATAGCACCTTATTTAATCCACTGTTGCTTCGATAAGTTACTATGTCACATGAAATAGGTTCACTTATTAGGGTTTCACTGTCGCTAATAACCTAATTAACTACAAATCAATGTATTGGTGGCCAGTCAACACAAAGCATTAAGAAATTTCTTGCAATAGGGATTGGAAGAAAAGAAATATGAATCAATCCATCAAGTATAGAAATAGCTACATCCTATGGTGTTTCCCCCAGAAATTGGGGTTTAGTTCATGATGAAACTGAGATAAAACATTAGGGTTTGGTTCATCATGTTCTAAATCAACAATAAACAACTAGTTCGGTCTAGAGAATCCAACCAAAGTAATCGCTCTAGTTGAAATCAGCTCCTGCTGCCTTGGACAGCTCGATCACCAATTGCCGAATCCGCTCGCTGCTGCTCCTGCTCTTTTCTCTATTCTTTTCCCCCGAAAGAATTCACAGCCGAATTCTTTGCTAGCCAAAAATTGCCTCCCCCTTGTTCTTCCGCCACCCGCCTTCTTTTTTTCAGCTTCGCATTCCAGTCCATCCCAAATACGTAGTTGTCCAATTATTCTCCTCTCATTTGGCCCAAAGAATCCCCCACAAAAGGACAAGAGACTTGGGCCATTTTAATCCAAGAATTGCCCCCTTCAAATTCACTTCCGCCCAAATTATTGTGTCCCAGCTATTCCCACTCCAGGACCAATTAATTCCTTCCAAAATCCCCCCCAAGCAATTATGTTTCCAGTCCTTCCCTGTTGTCCCCTGTAAAAATCCGGTCCAAATAATTCTCCCCAGCTACTAATTAAATGGACTGGTGGAGGGAAGTATGGGCGCTGGCCCATTAGCTGCTGCCGCTGAATATGTGAAATTGGGCTAGCAAAGTTGGCCCGAACCGGTTAGTTTACTTATGAGCTGGATAGCTGGTCCTTAGCCTGATTTGTTTTGCATTTGACATATATTTGTGCATTTCTTGTTCCTTGTTTTTTTCCACCTAAAATATATCACAACACTAACACATGGCGGTAATGGTCTTATAACCATTCCAAAGTCAGTTGGCCTTAAAACAAGCATTATATGTCTCAAACATATCATGAAATAATCACATTAAGAACACAAAATCAATATGTTTTCAACAATTATCACCCATCTAGCGACCTTACACTGCATGCGACCAATTCTTCCCTTATGCCTTTATTAAAACCACTCTTCCTCCCCCAATGGCCAATTCTCAATTCTCCAAATCCTAATCTCCCAATTACTCATGTTCCCTTATTGTATATATATATCCGTGAACAAAGATGTATGGATCTCTTAGAGGATCTACTTCCTCCTTCATCTTCATGTTCTTCTTCTTCCTCCTCCTCGGACAACGCCATTTGAGAGGAACTACTCCCTCCTTCACCGTCCTCTTGCAGCTTTACAAATTTACAATCTGTGTTACTTACAGAGGGTGAGTGCTTATTTCCTCTCTGGCTGCCATGGTTTATGCGGAGAGAGAACTATTATTGTTGAAGAATGGGAACTTGATATGGCTACTGCCTACTGGGCTTTGACGACACCACAAGCCCTAAATTGATTAATAAAGATAGGTCAATATTAGTGGACGGATCAGAGCGGGTATGACCCGATCCGTGCGGGGCGGTGAATGGACCTGAATTTAGTGACATGTCCCGTAGCATGGGGCAGGGCGGATCAGTGTTCTATGAGCCAGTGCAGAGCAAGGATTCAATGCTATCCACTCTGTTCTCGCCCCGTTCCCATTCCTAACAAGCTCTCTATGGGAATCACTACAATAAAACCAACATATAAGAGGAAATAATTAGAGACAATTATTCTATTGATCATTAATTCTCTAAAACTAAACTCGAGGGCCATAAATGTTATTTTTCTCGGTAAGTGGAATTATTGGTCTCTAGAGGCAAATCTCACAGCTTGTAGAAGCAAATATCACAAATAGTATGTGATATAGAGAGACATATCTCATAGTCTTTTTAGCAAATAGAAAGGGCACTTATGATTATGTCATATAAAAACAAATTCAACAATTTTAAAGACATATACAAATTTTCCTTATACATATTTCATATTGATGCAAATCTATAGTATATAAAGACAAATACAAATTCAAATCAAAAGGGTTAATACCTTAATTTGCACGAGGTTTTCTCTCTTATTCTTCTTCTACTCATGTTTCGGTTAATGCTCATTTTAGGTGTGGGGTGGGGGATGTGTTCCCTCTCTCTCAACCATGCCTCTCTCTGTATATAGAGTGGTAATTTTCTATGGTAGTGGTGAGGTAGTAGTGTTTTTGTGTGGTTTGTAATAGTAATTTTATGATTTTTAGTCTCAACGTAGTTGTGGTAGTGGTTGTAGGACGATAGTTGTGATCCGATGCATAATTGATTTGACGACAATGGAACCGTGGAGAAGAATAATTTGCAAAGGCAAGGAAAAGAGAAAGGATAATATGACGGAGACGTTGGATGAAGGAAGCGGAGGAGTTTGATGGGGCAGAGAATGATTTGTGTTGTTACTCCATAGGTTTGTGAACCGAAGTTGATTTTGGTTGAATTGAGCCACCTCAACCATATTGTTAGCCATTTATGAGCCACGTAAGCTCCGTTAGAACGGGGAGTTAACATATGACTAATTTCTGTATTTTGATAGCCGTGACTATTTCTCATTTGCCGTGAAATGTTAGGTTAAAAACATGTATGTAGTATTTACTCTAAAAAAGAAGAAAACATCTTTACGAGAACCATTACACCAAGAACCCTATTAGCACCCTAACCGGATTGATTGAGATTTGTTTAATCTTGAAGGAAAGGGAAAGCGACGCAATATCCTGACAGAGGATTGGAAATAAACAACAGCTACCATTGATTAAATTCCCCTCTCCTTTCTGCTTCCAATCCACCACCAAGCAATGAATTTACGCTACTGACAATTCGCAAGCCACAAGAAAGACAGATGACGACGGAGACGGCGGAGGCTTCTCCAGCCATGCAATCCAACGACGGCGACGAATCCGACCAGTATCCGCCCCACTGGGGTCCGACAGCCTGGTCCCTGCTTTCCGATCTCCGGCAGCGCTCCCCTCTGATCCAGTGCATCACCAATTTCGTCTCCATGGACATTGTCGCCAACACCCTCCTCGCCGCCGGCGCATCCCCGGCGATGATCCACTCTCTGGCCGAGATCCCCGACTTCACCCCTCAGGCCCAAGCGCTCTGCGTCAACGTGGGAACCCTCTCCCCCTCATGGGTTCCCGCCATGAAATCCGCTGCAGAGCTGATGGTCAAGTTGGGGAAGCCCTGGGTTCTCGACCCTGTTGCTGCTGGCGCTTCTGGGTTCCGCTTGAATGCTTGTTTGGCGCTTGTTGGGGTGAAGCCTACTGTAATTCGAGGGAATGGGTCTGAGATCATTGCTCTGTCCAGGGCTTCTCTCGGTGTCTCCAAGGTATTCGATGAAATGTCTAGCTGGGTTGTCTTGGTATTGGTTATGATAAAATTGTATGCTTTTGATAAAATTGTATTGGTTATGATTGAGTGTTTCATGTTCAATCAAGGGGGTAGACAGCGCCCATGGGTCCATGGATGCACTGGAAGCAGCCAAATCGTTGGCTCGAGCGAGCGGATCCATTGTTGCAGTGTCGGGAGCGGTTGATGTAGTCACCGATGGCAATCGAGTTGTTGCTGCTCATAATGGAGTTCCCATGATGCAGAAGATCACAGCTACTGGGTGTGCAGTCACAGCACTCATAGCAGCCTTTGTTGCTCTCGACCCATCACATCCTTTGGAAGCAACAGCTTCAGCCCTCTCTGTGTTCTGCATTGCAGGTGAGCTCGGAATGGATCTGGCCAAAGGTCCGGCTACGTTGCGGATGCACTTGATCGATTCCTTGTACGGGCTCGATGAAGCTGCTTTGCTATCCCGAGTTAGGATCACCGATCTGTAAGGCTGCAAACGCGAGCGCTCGTAATATCGGTAATGTGTCTTGTGACTAATAGTAGTGTACAGAGTTGCATAGATTAGTCTTGGCATGAAACAGCATCATCTATGATGTATGAATAAAGCAGCTCTCAGTTCATTTCCAAACCATATTTTTCATTTCACAACATCGCATTACTTCTTTGTCAAGTATTAAAAAGGTCATGCCTTTGTAACAGCCACAATCTCAAACCAAATATAATCAACAACCATTTTACAACATCGACCAAACAAATTGAAAACATCATCAATCAATTCACAAAGTCAAAAAGAAAAACAAAGCAAGATCCTTTTTTTTTTTTTTTGGGTTTTGTTTTAGTACTTGAGATGAACAGTGACCCTCAGCAATGTCTCAGCACCATCTGTGACATGTTGTCCAGAAGGGATGAGCCCTCTCACATTGGCACTCCCGATGGCGTGCTTGAACTTCCCCGTTCCACCGGTGACCGACAAGTACGACATGGGGCTGCCAATCTTGTACACACCATAGAAGTTGAGGGTGTCACCAAACTCCCCACCTTCGAACATGGCGGTAAACGACATCATCTGGGTGCTGCCATCTGCAGAGCTTGCCACATAAACACCCTGAGCCTTGCCAAGCTGCTGTGACCCAAAGTCAGGGGTGGAAGTGAGAATATCATCGATGACAGTGATTGTCCCGAACCCAAGTCCCAACCCATCTGGTCCCAGCTGCGTCTGTATCTGATTAACATTGTTCTGGTTCTGACCATTTGCTTGCCCTCCAGCATACCGGGTTCCAGCCAGGCCCGTCCCCAGAGGGATGCCGTTGATGTTGACAGTCGGGAGGGCACCGTTGGCGTTTGGGATGGCTACTCCGCCTTTGGGAGGAACGAACCCAACTGGCCTAGCGAAGGGCACCTGACCACTGTAGATGTTCCCCAGCAAGCCGGTGATCGGCCTGGCTGTGGGGCTGCTTCCGCCGAGAATGTCGTGCATGTAGAACTCCAGAACGGGGTCTTCTGCAGCACCTTGTGCTGGTAGTGGCGATACGGCAGTGGCTTGAGCTGCCATGTATGCTGCAGCAACTATGAGTGAAATGAAAACAGAGGATACCATCGAGGTGATCGACATATTTTTGTTTAGTTTTCCTAAAGATTAAGGTAAGGAGCTCTAGGTGGTTTAGTGAGAACAGCAAGGTTGAGCGATGGTTGTTTAAATAGGAAGCCGAAGGGAGCCATGGAAGGGACGGAAGAAGGTGATTGTTGGAGTAGTTGATTGTGAGAGTGAAGTTGGTGGCATTATTTCTAGTTAGCCTTAGGTGAGTCCTAAAGATTGTTCATTATTGGACGTGAACAGGTTGTAGTAATGCAGAGTGAAGTTGTTGGAATTTGGAAATGCTTGTTTCTTTTTGGGTGGAAAAACCATCAAGGTTTAGGTGAGATTGGAGTCGCAGATTTGGTTTCGATCAAAGATGGAATGGGCAAAGCAAGTTTTGGTTTTGGTTGAGAAGAAAGCGATTTCTTTGATTCATCCAAGAAAATTCAGTTATAGAGTCAAGACTTCAGCCATTGCCAAAGAAAAACCTCAAGTTTAGTAACAACAGGCAGAGGGAATTACCGGCTTAGAGTTATAGCTGTTTCAACAAGGCATAGGTTCTTTGTTTTGCTATTAACCTTGGTTGCTATACGAATATCGGACGAACGAAGAAGGTAGTACTAGTATCATATCCCAAATTATGGTTAATTATGTTGTAATCGTGTTATTTCATTAACGATATGCAGTACTCGTGAAAATTTAGTTACATAAGTCACACTATATGTAGGGTAAATTAGCTCGAGTGTCACTGAACAAAGACAAATATACGAGCTATACCATTTCACTAGAGAAATTTATTTGGATACCATTTATGTTATCCATTTTTTGACCGTGTGTTTTGTTGATACACCCACTCATTCCTTCCCTCTTGTAAACCAATTGGAAAGGAAAACTCGTTACTTAATTCAATGATATTATATTGTACAAGTTTAAGAAGGCGCCAGGCATAAGACGATTACTGGAGATTATATCTAATGCCTAATTTGTCTAGGGGTTATCTAAGTGCATAGTGTATAGAAGCTGCAATAAAAATAGCAATTTGTTACTAAAAGATTAATGAAGTACCAGTTTTACAATACTTTTGCAAATGATTAATATTAAGGGTAATGCCTAATTTTTATCCAAACCCTTTTCATATTTTTTTATATTATCCAAACCTATTAAAATTCCATTAATTAGCCAAATCATTCATAATGCATAAAAAGATTAGCCATTTTTACATTATCGTTGATAATTATGTACCTCTTTTCTTAGTTAAAATACTAGAATATTGAAATGTTTAGTTTGTGAATCCCGAATTAATCTCAATCTAGGAGATGGCCAAGTCTTTGCTTACGAGTATCGATTCCGCGTGGTGTGTCTGTACCGGGATGGAGGCTTTTTAAAAATGAACTTGTTTTGTTCGGATTCTCGGGAATGGACGAAGGATGCTCTTGTTCTCGATGATAAATTCCGAGTCCCAGCAGAAAGTGTAGTTTCGTGCAATGGGGAGTTGTTTTGGCTTAATTTTGGTCGCTAGAAGCCTGTAGTTGCTGATTTTAATCCTTTCTTCCTCGATATACCTCCCTCTGCCATTGATGTTCCATCACCAGTCCTTGGGAAAGAGTACTGGAATATCTCGGTCTCACAAGGTGCTCTGCACTTGATTTTACTGGAAGAGAATCCTCAACCGGGTTGTTCACCGTTTGCATCGACTGTTTGGAGGCTGGAAGAAGACCGCAAATCTTGGAGGAAAGTATGTGAAGGGTTGTTGAAGGGATCAAGGTCACGTGAAATTGATGCTTGTCTTGCACCTACCCTCCATCCAGGCAAGCCGGAAGTTGTCTTCTTCGCTCTTCCCTGCAGTCGTGACGTTGATCATCCTCCGCAATTCCCCTCTTTGGTGAAGACTGTGGATGTGCTGTCCTGCAATTTGAAGACTGGGGCAGCGTTGGAGTGGTTCGCTGATCTACATAATTTCCGAAGTTATTGGAGTCTTTTCCTGGTTGAGTTGTCCTGCTGGCCGACTTCAATTCCAAGGTACGAGGAACTGCGAGCTGCATATGATGGATTCTGCAGCTGGTGTACCTCCCTCAATGGCTGGTTCTTACTTCTGCTTGTGAGTCTCTGGTAGGGTTAGTTGTGCACTAGCGAAAATGAAAATGACTAGGCATGCACTAGTAATGAAAATGGGATAATAAAAAAGAAGGGAAATCATTTCTTATTCCCCTAACAGGCTAACAGGATTAGAGGAGATGTCTTGAGTCTGCTCGCTTACTAACTGCTTCCTCTCTGCCTTCTATCTAATTGCTTGAGAATTTTGTTCTGTTTTGCGAACTCTTTGGTCCTTTACAATAAACTTGACCTTAATGAAGTTAGCCATGTTTAGATAGCACAGAGAGACCGCATAATGTTTTCTTATCCTCAGATTTCTTTCTGTGGCCTGCTTTCTAATCATATCTCCCATCTCTATGTTGTGGTTGGTTTGATTGCTGAACCAAAACAGGCCGTTGATGGAGTTGAGCAATCTAATCACTAGAAGGAGCAGATCGGTGAAGAAAGTCTTGCATCCTAAGAAGGATGATGGCACTGGAAAGAAATCAGTATCTATCAGACAAAGGGGAAGGAGCTGATCATTTGCTATCGCTGGTGCTTAGGAGATGTAACGACGTTGCTATCTACGGCCTCTATATTCTGATCATAGAGCTGGCAGAAGGAATTGCATCTGGCGATGGGCTGAATCGGAGGCAAATTAGGAGATGGGAGCAAAATGCAGCTAATCATCAGCAGCTGGGGAAATCCACTGCCCTCATCAATCTGGTCCCACATGGAGTCGGATTCATTTTACTATGCTTTGCTTCCTCCATGTACAACAGAATAAGTGACAAAGCCCTCAATTCCTCATCAAGGATTTGGTGCCTATGATGTCTTGCTAAAACTATATAAACTACAGAGAATTTCAACCATGGCATGGCATACTTTCCCCCTTTCTCTATTTGCTTGCTTCTCACTCTCCCGCCTCATATTTTCATGATTATACTTGATCTGCAGGGTAACACCTCTTGTATGTATATATATGCTCCCTTTTTGCTTATGCTACTACTACTACTGCTGTCTCACCCTGTTGCACGATCTGCACCACTGTCGCACCAACCCCTTCATCCATGGAAACTTTCGGTTGCCTCACAACTGGGAAAATCAGCTTCCATACTAGAAAGAAAAGCACAATGAAAAGGTAAAGTGAACCATACCCATAAAAACTTACAAGATTAACTTCTCATGTGCATGGTTATGGAGAAACATAGATGCAGAGATTGGCTTACTGTATATTGTAGCTGCGAACCACTCGTTCAAGATTTTCACCCATGTACTTGCCCACCCAACATCAATGCTCCACCTGCGATGGTTAGTTGATGTTTCACTGTTGAAGCAGACTTGAAATTGGATTGGTAAAGGTTAATTTGGCCTTGTCAGGTTTTTCTTACTTGGTTGCTGAACTGTTCAGGTTCCAGCTGGTGAAGAGCATTGCAAAATACATTGCCCCCAATGCAAACACCAGATGGAAGAACCCATAATCATAAGGGATGCTGTCATCTTCCTCTTCAATCTTCTCCTTTCGGAACTGTGATCAAAAGAGTCGATCAATTTGGACTGCCTGCCACTGCAACAGCGTTCATTCAAGTGTGAACTGATTGCAAGTTTTTACCTACCTGGAATGCTTTGGAATCAATTCCTGTTGAAAAGGTTGCCATCACAATTGCACCTATGGCTATTAAGAAGCTCTGACAGCCCATGAAGTGATTAGTAACTCGGCAGGAAAGGGCATTCGACTGTAGAAGAAGAGGGTCAAATCAAAGCCTTACAAGTATGGTAGTCCAGTCACTGTTTCCATGACTTTGGTTTCGGTTGTTGCATTTCTCACTGGTAGGTTCACTGCGTACAAAAAAGGTAGGTAGTAAAACCTTGTTGTCTGGAAAACGAAAGAAGAGTTGAGGTTCAAGCCATTGCAGGAGTTAGGGTCTAACCTTCTTATAGCAGACCAACAAAGAAAGACGAGGTACGAAGCCATGATCCCAGACGATAGAAGACCTCTATTCACCTTCATAAAGATTGGCGCATTTCTTGCTCTTAAAAGAGGAATGAATTCTCAGGAAGCTGCTGCTTTTAGAATGGTGTTGTATACATTTATGTTTTTTTTTTACCTTGGAATGCAAGGAAATAGACATCAGTATAGTAAGCAGAACTGCTGTCCACGTGATGAAGAATATGTTGAGAGCACATTCAAGTCTATGTCCATAGAGGAAGTACATTGCTAGAATCCCACAGGCGGAAGCTATGTAAACGATTGTTGACATGAATAGTCCAAAGGAGCAACTGCAGAAGATTATATTAAAACCAGAAAGAGACAGAAGAAATAGATCGATTGCTGCTAATTATGTCACCGAAGGGATACGTATAAACATACATTCCTCCTTCAACGATTAAGGAGATTGATGGTACCTTTGGTTTTTTCCTTCATCAGGCATCCAGTAATTGTTCCACCAGCTGATAAACTCAATCACACTCACAAGTTGCAGAACTAGAAAAACCCTGCAACCCAAAACGAAAACTTCAGCCATTTTTGCTTGCTTCATAATCCTTTCCAGCATTCACAATGCATAAAGAAGAAAAGGGTGGGCGAGAGCATTACCCTGCACCGACGCGAGCAAGTTCACCTGCAAACAGAAATATAGATGAGAATCACCGGATAGATTGTTGGAGAACATGATCTGAACTTTAAGATATACCATAAACTCGAATGTGATTTGAAGGGAGGAAGATACCATAAACTTGAATGTGATTTGAAGGGAGGAAGAAAGGAGCTGTCATTGACACTATCAAAATGACAAGTTTCGACCACCACCAACCAGAATGCCAGCCACTGCGAGCTTGATACAGCTTTCTTGTCTTAACCGTGGTGAACAGCATGACAATGAAGAATATCTATTCACAGTGTCAAGGGAAGCCATAATTTCCCATCTATTTAAGATACTAGTTCATTCACAAAGGATACAAAACAGCCAAGACTCACTCGAAGGACCCCCAGAGTATGACAGCAGTCTTCCCCATCTACTCCGCAAGCTTTTACATCTGCATATGAGGATGACATTAGTTCAAGCAGAAGTTGATGAGATACTAGAATCACAGGAAGGGCATAGGGGAGGAGGAAAGTTACTGGTTACTCACAATTGAACTGACTGAGGACTTTTTGGCCGTAGTCTCGGAAGAACCAGGCTTTGAGATTTGTTAGCAAGAAGATGATGCAATATACGTAACGTGCTCGAAGGGCCGCCCTCTTGGCTACAGAATGATCAAACCTCTTTGCCTGCAACTGGTCAGGTACTTCTTGTCCTTCTTGCTGTGGAACTATGGTGCTGGAACTAACGTGCAACGAACCAGCTTCAACCGATCGTAGATCCCTGCGCCCCATCATGATCTCTTGTTTGGAGACAATCCCAGTGTACGTGATCAAATCTCTCAAGTCTCAATTTCTTTTCTTGATTGAGAAGAAGTGAGAAAAATGGCAGCTGCTTATGATCACCGTTCTCACAAGTCACAACCACCTTTTGTATTGAACTGTCACTACACAGGGAAATGCTGGAAACAACGCAGAGATGGTTTCTCCTGAGGTTTTCACCAACCATTCAACACGAAACTGTCAAACAATATAGGAAGGAAGGCTGCTGCTGCTGCTACTTCAACATCAAACCATTGTTTTCAGCAGAACCCAGTAACTCAAAAACACACACCAAATGAAGGGTTTCTGACAGACACTTACGCAGATTAGCAGCCCACCTGAGTGGAGAAAGAGAAATGCAGAATGCTGCAGAGTGGCTCTTCTTCATCACACCATCAGGAAACCTGCCAAACCTCTTAACCAGAAAAGGAGGGAGAGAAAATTTTGTTGGGTAGCTAAGCTAGCTGTCTAAAGTTTGAAACTTTTGACATATTGAGCGCCTCACTCACACTCAAAACACAATTCATAGCCGTTGTTAGGAAACTTGTAGTGTAGTTCTTTTTTTTATGTCATCTATCTTTTTTTATGCTTTCAAGATACTCAAGCTAGCTAGGCTCTGTGGGTAGTAAGTAGTGTTTTCTTTCTCGCAAATGGATTGCATCATTTACGCGCACCTTCTCTCCTCTTTTCTTAACTCTATCTGCATGTCTGATAGCAAGGAGCGCCTGATCTTTCTTGGACAAGTTGTAAGCAAAAGTCAGTGATCCTCGTGAAAAGAAAGAAAGAAAGAAAGAAAGCAGGGCAGGGAGTAGGTGTGTGTAGGTGGCAACCAGGTGTTTAATTAAACGCTAATCTATCATTAATTGATTGATGACTGGGGTTAGCGCGTGGTGTGGGACCTGCTCCAGGTTTTTGCAAAACTGGAAATGAGGAAGTACATATAAAACTGGAAAAATAATGCCCCCACGCAGGATCGAACTACGGACCTTCAGTTTACAAGACTGACGCTCTACCACTGAGCTATAGGGGCTCTGTTTGCGACCATTTACAGTTGCAATTTACTAAAAAATTTGCTTCCAGCGACATGTCCATTATTTCAAGAAGAGGAGCTCCGGCGTTTTTCGCCATTTTTTAAGTTTCTTTTCTGCTTGATGTGGCTTTATTTATGGGCGCTATTTTGCAGCTCTTTTCTCAGCTGTAAATGTTTCTAAACAGACAGAGACAGAGAGCAAGACAGCAGCTGGACCACGGAGAGCAAGCTCTGTTTCCACTCCGAAACCCAGAAAGGTTAACGAAGGCAGTAGACGACGAGGACTTAACGTGAGCTATGGGAACATGGTTGCTGATGATCCAGATCTAAGTCAACTCAGCAATGCTCTGCATCAACCTTTAAAAGGCTGTGACTTCTTGGATTATGGTTACATTCTGCTAGCAATAGAACAGTTGCAGACATCATTGTCATTCTTTGATTATTTTCCTAAGCAACAAAGGCGACAATAAATCATTTATTGTGGGAAATATCAGCAATGGTTACTCACAATTCGGCTTTCCCTTTGGGGGGAGAAACAACCAATTCCAGATTCCAAGCTACACCTCTACCTGCAAACCCGAAAAAATTCGAAGGGGATCCGCTCACTATGACCAAAATACACAACTAGAACTGTTCAAACAATTCGGGTACAAAATCCAATATTTAGTTGTTTGTAACTCATAAGGGCTCTCAGTAGTCCATGCCCATGCCGCCTGGCATCCCAGGAGCTTCTTTCTCTTCTTTAGGTAGCTCGGTTATAATAGCTTCAGTTGTTGTCATCAAGGATGAAACACTGCATTCACCAACACAATAAAGACTCGTAAGTGTAAACCCCTCATCAGGCAGGCAGATATCGGCTAAGTTATGTGGTAACGATATGGGGTTGGAAGCAGAGAAGGGTACCTGGCAGCATCAACCAAAGCAGTCCTGATTACTTTAAGCGGATCGATAATTCCAGCTTTGATCATGTCGACGTAATCACCTGCAGACAACAAGCATGCAGCCACAATACTTCAGTACGATTTCAGAGAAGACGACTTGCGTGCGTCACAAGGAAATGGATATAAACGATTGTGCTCACCTTTGGCAGCATCGTAGCCGAGATCTGGGTTATCCTGTTCCATTAGCTTGCCAACAACAACGGCCCCCTCAACTCCAGCATTAGATGCAATCGTATGAACAGGAGTCTGCGATTTCAGAATTCATACATCAGCTTCCTCTTCAACGCTTTGAAGCAAGATAAAAATAAAGATTGGACAGAGTCAATCAAAAAATGGTTACAAACCTTCAATGCGTTCTGAATAATTTGAACACCAATCTTTTGGTCAAAGTTGGCCGTCTGAAGTTTGTCCAACTCTTTTGCCGCATAAAGAAGAGCAACACCTCCACCTGAAATCAAGAAATTCAATTAAAACTCTTGGTGGCTAGTTTGAGCAACTCAAACAGAACAACACATCATATAAATAAAGAGAACTTACCAGGGACAATACCCTCTTCCACAGCTGCCTTAGTTGCGTTCAAGGCATCTGTGACTCTATCTTTTTTCTCACCGACCTCAGCTTCACTTGCACCACCGATCTGTTCAAGTAAAAAAAGACAGCGGTTATAGCACACTTCTCAGGAGATAACTAGTGTCTGTAAAAGACTGCTCTACTAGTTAGCAACAAAGCAAAAGGCAGATCGGAAATACCTTCAGCACAGCCACACCACCAGACAACTTGGCAAGCCTTTCTTGCAACTTCTCCTTATCGTAATCGGAAGTGCTCAGTTCTATAGCAGACCGGATCTGTCCAGAAAATGTATAATCGTTAATGCAAAGCTTAACCACACACAACTGGCAAATGGTGATACGTAAACCAGGTATTAACAGAAACAAACCTGTTCACATCTTTCTTCGATGGATTTCTTGTCACCAGCTCCATCAAGAATGACTGTGTCGTCCTTTGATATTGCAAGCTATTACAAAAATACAGTCAAGTATCATCATTGGATTCAGAGTAAACAGAGACCAGAATCAATCAGAGCCTGGACCACATTTCCTAAGAAGTTAAAAGATGTACAAGTAGATTACCTTCTTGCAGCTACCAAGCATCTCTAAGTCAACCTTTTCGAGATTCATCCCAAGCTCTTCAGTTACAACCTGCAAAGTAGGGTGTCAGCGGGTTTTACTCAGAAAGCTGAGCTATAGAGTGAGATAAACAGGTGTGTGGACAATGCACTCACTTGTGCTCCTGTAAGGGCAGCAAGATCTTGAAGCCCCGACTTCCTGTTTTCTCCAAATCCAGGAGCTTTAATGGCACAAACCTACAGAAAGCAGACAAGGAGAAGTAATCATCTATCTGAGCCACGAATCGCTCATCACAGATCACATAATGATGAGTAGATCATATGTTACAGCATGACAAGCATCCAACCTTGAGTCCAGCACGAAGCTTATTTATGATGAGAGTTGCCAGTGCCTCGCTCTCTACATCTTCAGAAACAATCAACAAGGGCCTTTGGTGCTGCAATATGAATCAAAATTTGAGCAAATACACCAAGCAAGAATCTGTCGTATTTAGTGTGATCCACTAATTAAGAGAAATAGAATCCCCACCTGCAAGGCTAGCTCTAGTACTTTAACAATCGCAGTCATGCTGGAGATTTTCTTCTCATGGATCAAGATCAGGGGATTTTCTAATTCCTATTTTTGGAAAGTCAGATCAAGCTCAGTCAGGAATCACTCAACAAGAATTTACAAGTAAAATCATTAGGACATTCTGGCTGGGATTAGACAAAACAAGAGCTTACACATTTTTGGGTTTTCGGGTTAGTGATGAAGTAAGGTGATATGTAACCTCTATCCAACTTCATTCCCTCCACAACTTCTAACTCATTATATAATGTTTTCCCGTCCTGTAACAAATTGAAATGCAGTTAAGATCTTAATGCCACAATCATGACAACATTTTTACATTAAGGATCCATGCCGTGCAACCAAATCCTTCTCAAGTGGACAGAACTGGAGCTTACTTGGATAGTGATAACTCCCTCTTTCCCAACCTTCTCCATTGCCTTGGCAATCAACTCCCCGATCTCTCTCTCCCCATTGGCTGATATGGTGCCAACTTGTGCAATTTCTTCAGACGTGCTGATCATCCGTGCCCTACTTTTTAAGTAGGAGACAACGGCATCAACAGCCATGCTGATTCCACGACGTAGATCCATTGCGTTCATTCCCGCTGCAACTGATTTGCAACCTTCGGCGAATATGGCCTTTGTGAGAATTGTAGCACAAGTGGTCCCTGCAAGAACAACCAAAAAGCTAATTATACAACAGTAAAACCATCCAATTGATCAGTGTTTACTTCATGTCATACTCATATATAATGCTTACAATAAAAACTTTAATGTAACGATCCATTCAGATGCTGGTATCGGAAACCTGTGCTATTATGCTAGAGAAATTTGAAAGGATTTCACATCTCCGCACGATTCCAAATTGTCAGAACTCAAGAACATGATTGTTCCCCTAATTTGCTAACAGCACTTCAGCTGTTGCTTTCTTTCACCACTGCAGCCATCCGCACGGTACAAAATTGAAGAAAATTGTTGCACCAGTGTAGAAACTTACCATCCCCGGCAGTATCATTGGTAGCATTAGCTACCTGCTTGACGAGGCTAGCACCAATATTCTTAACTTTGTCCTTAAATTCAATGCTCTTAGCAACTGTAACTCCATCCTTGGTCACTTTTGGGGCACCAAAGCTTTGCTCAATAACCACATTGCGACCCTGAAAAGAGCAGAGGGATGCTGATTCCATTACTACCCAAAACCCTCCATAATTCTTGAAAAGGGTGGACGAAATGAATGATGAAATGACAATTACGATATGGCATAAAAAATAGCACAGAAACAGCAAGCGAAGATCTGATGCGAGAATGGCGCCTGGCCAGATCGATGCAGGCAGACCAAGGTTATTGCAGAATGTAAGGAAGGCGTATGATGTATTTACCTTAGGACCCATCGTGACTCTGACGGCATCAGCAAGCTCTTCAACGCCCTTAAGCATTAGAGCACGAGCCTCTACGCCAAATCTGATGTCTTTGGCCGCGTAGTTCCTGCTCCAGTTCACTCTGCTTCCAACCTACAATGACAATCCACCGATCAAATCAGCAAGAAGCCCACAACTCGCACCCAATTCAACAACAAAATGAGCAACAAGCACACAGTTCTTACCTGCTGGGCACCATTCCTGGCGATCCTGTAATCGACAAAACAGAACCCAACATGAGCAAAATGAACCAGCAATAACAGAGCAGCAAACGAAACATTGATTCAATTCAAGAGATCAGAGACTTCTTCCCACCAGCAAATGAGATGGGACAGTGAATAACCAAGAGCCAGTTGGAACTCACCGAGCTTTAGTGGCGAGGCTAGAAGCGAATCGGTACATGGTCGTATGCAAATTGCTGGTAGGAGGGAAGTCAAAAGGGACTGAAGGGAAGGATCGATGGAGAGTTCACAGGACGAGAGAGAGGCGAGAAGGAGAGTGGGAGAAGAAGGAGATATGGGTTTTCTAGTGAGAGGAGGAAGGGTCTAGAAGCAACCTCGGCAGCTTCTGGTGGTTAGGGTTTAGGGTTTTTGTGCTTTCTATTTCTTCCTTTGCGGGCGGACGGGGTTTAACGTCTCGAATTAGATTTTTATTGCTCTTTAACTCTGACAAATGGATCTCTGATCTGGGCCATTAGTCGGGTGCAAACTGCAAAGCAGCAACGACGGCGTTTCATAGGAGGATTTTTTGCTCACGGCTCACGAGGTTACGGTCCAAACGGATAACGGTAATACGGGGTAATAAAAAAAGGACAAATACAATTTAATATCCAAACCTTTCATTTTAAACAATATAATAGCTAAACCATTTCGAAAACAATTTAATATCCAAATCGTCAACTTTCTATCCGTTTGACCGTTAGTTGACACTTCAAAAAAGCATTGTTTAGGGGAAATTATCACAATACAACTTTGTTTTCTTGTTTTGGCATTGCAGATGACTGAATATTTAGATATTCTATATCATCATGGTGGAGTCATGGACTTCTTGGGTTTGGAACCACGATATGTTGGTGGTTTTTCAGAGAAGATATCGATGGATATTGATGAAGTGTCGTACTTCGAACTTTTTTGAAGTGTCAACTAACGGTCAAACGGACGGAAAGTTGACGATTTGGATATTAGATTGTTTTCAAAAAAGTTTGGCTATTATATTGTTTAAAATTAAAGGTTTGGATATTAAATTGTATTTACCCTAAAAAAAAGGTTTGATACTATTTCTAGTCAAAATCAATAGGGTTATAGGTATAATATGCCCCTCTACTATGACGTTTTATCAAACATGCCTCTCTACTATTTTTTACATCAAATATGCCTCTGTACTTTGAAAAAATTATCAAACATGCCCTTCTGTTAAAATTTTCATTGAAAAAATCGTCAATCGTGGTTGAACCGAGATTTAGATGACCCGACATCGGCAAATGGGAGGAAAAATGTCAGTTTTGTCCCCTGTTTTATTTCCCTGGATCTTTTCAAAGTGAAATTATTTGAATGATTTGATTATACAAAAGAACGAAAAAAATTCTAAAGTGAATTTATTATGGATATTTTAGTCATTTTTTTCACCCAAACTAAAGTTCGGCCTTGGTTAACGGTTTTTGGATGAAAATTTTAACAAAAGGGCATGTCTGATCATTTTTACAAAGTACAGGGGCATGTTTGATGTAAAAAATAGTAGAGGGGCATGTTTGATAAAGCGTCATAGTAGAGGGACATATTATACCTATAACCCAAATCAATATCATTCTAACAAAAACTTCCTCATTCTACAAAACACCATACATGTACTACGTTGTTTTATCTATTCTTTTGTTCACCGTAACTAAATGATCGGTTAAAATAGCAAACAACTATGATTCACTCATGTGTAACATCACGTTGACACGTTCTAGATTATTCACGTACCATGAATGTTGGAAATTCATGGTTTATCATCCATTTGATGCTTAAGCGGTAAGCCTCATATCTCCTTTTGTTTTACGATTGTTGTGTTGTCGTTTAGGACTTGATAAGGTTATGGTTAATGAGTGAGTCCAGATAGAGGGCGCAAAATATGAATTTTTATCGTATGTGAGATGTGAATTGTCGAAACGTGATTACTAAGATGTGAGTCCAAATAGAGGGCGCAAAATATGAATTTTTCTAGACAGCAAGGATGTAATCAGTATGATGGAACTCATGTACGTTAAAGCACCCAGGGTTGCTTAATTACTTCTCAAATGACGGGTACAAAGCTGGTAATAAACCAGTAAAGTGTAATATTCAATTATGTATGCTTGGACCAAGGCAAAAGGAGTTGAAGATAAGAAAGTGGGAGGAAAATGGAAGAAATCAAAAGCAAGAAATGGTGGAAAGAAAAGCTGGTAAATAAAGTAGAGACTACAAAACTACTTAAAAAAACTGCAGGGAAAGGAATGCACACCATGACACCAATATAGTGGTACTATTCAACAGTACAGGTTTAGCAAGAAGTACTAGTGAGTAAAGTGAATCAACTAACAGTACAAACAGATACAAATCTTAATCTGAAGGATCTTAAGCAGAGTATGTATATCTCTCATCAGTCCCTGCTAAAAAGGATTTACAGATTCTCCATGGGCGTGAAGGGAATGCTCCTGGGCCTGGCAACAGTGTAAGCCACAAAAACAGAGAGACAAATGGAGATTACTGAAAACAGAAGGGCAAAAGCACTGGCCACCCCACCTCCCGAGTCTCCTCCTCCGGGCGGCGATGTTGCCAGCTTAGAACTGCCTGATAAAATCTCCAAAGGGATCCAATCGCAGTTAATGGAGTAATGCCCTGACTTGTGCCATGGCTGACCGTCTACTGGGTACCAGAATGCTACAGCCATCTTGCTCGATCCCCCGATCGTGAACTGAGCATCCTGGAGTCGAGGTAAGAAATCGTTCATGTAAGATAAGCTCTTTGATATTGTTCCTAAATCCTAATCTATCAATTGGTTGAGTTTCAAAGGGCAGGCAATTCAAGTGTGAATCCACTTTTACAGATGGATGAGCTGGGGAAAGATACTTCACCAATATGGCTAGAATATTCACACAGGGCAACTTGATACTAGGGAGCCACAAACATTTTCTTTAGCAATATCTATGAGCTCAGTATATGTTGTTCTCACCTGTTGGAGTCTATCCATGGTTCTTAAAGGCCTTGAGAATTCGAAATAGTATTTGCCCTTTTGGCCATCTGATCCATAAGGGCTGTCATCCTGGATGAAACCTGACAAGGAAAGTTTGAATTTGTTATGAGATTGTGCAGCACGAAACGAGACTCTGAATAGTCACTTTGCTTGGAAACATGCTCAACAACGAAGACAGACGTCAATAGGACGGAACTGAATCGTTTATAGAGCAGTTCAGGTGAGTCCTTCTGTAACCGATAAGCACCATTAACTGCAGATGAAATAGTTACACAAGGTTGGATATACATAGACTTAATGTTATCTCAGGTGCGTTCTCTATATATGTAACATTTCACTATCTATTTAAAAAGAATATTAGCATATCTAATGAAAGATATGAAGCACAGTTGACTTCAGGCAGCAACAGGATATTGTCCTCTCATGTATGGTCTTTGGGCATGTTCCATCATGCTACCATCTTCAATCATTGATCTTGGTCTTAATTGGTGAAATGTACACATTCTTTCTAGGTTTTGTTGATGCAATGCATTATATTACTGGTTTTCAACATACTTAAACATAATCTAAACCATTGATTATTAATCAGTGGGTCAGACAGCAGGTACATGATGAATATGAATACTAGAGCACTTAGTCATCTAAAATCATGCAAATATGGTCAATAGTTTCATGTAGCAAAACCTCATATAAAAAACAATTTTCAGCACAATAAGATGCAACAAATTACCAGTGTGTACATCTAAACTACTATGCCACCACGACCCTTTCCAGTTATTCTGTGCACTGGAGTCATTTCCTGCATATGAAACAGAATACCAGGCAAGTTAATATGTAACCAAATTCAACCAGATGCAGCCACAGCAAAACTGTGGACTTTTACAGCTATAAAGGCAAAAAGAAAAACACCTATTACATCCATTTCACATAAGAAAATTCAACTTATGAATTCACTTGTTTATCCTTTTAGAATATAGTATAAAAAAAAATCGGAGACGTTAACCTGCAGCTACAGCTCAAACCAGAAAACAATCAAATATTTCCATTTTGCTCAATCCTGATTGGATAGCCTTAATCAACTAGATTCAAGTTAGTGCCTTATCACACTTTCTAAGTTTCACTAAGCAGATGGGCCTTTCATTTTGCTCACATTGTAAATGTGTCATGTCAACAGAAGAGCAAAAGGAAGCTTCAGACTTACCTGATGGACCCATTCCATCTAGATATCTACAGTGAGGATTCCAGGCATAAAGATCAACTAGATGACCAAATCTGTAGCAGGGATATGACAATAGTTCAGATAAAAGAAACTAAGCAACATAAGCATATCTGATAAAATACCACAAAGGGAAAAAGCCATTCCATAGTATTGGTTTTATGGTTAACAACTCAACAATTTGATCACCTGTCACCTCCATTCCCATCTCCATTGTCTATGGGATTGCCACCATAGAGACGTCCCGGGATAGCATTTCCAAGTGAGAAGTGCATGATGTCAACTTCATGGCCTTTGCAGGTCTTGTTGGTACAAGTGTCTGTTCCCTCCTTGCAACCGCCCATCTAAATTAACAACAGCCATCTTCCCAAAATTTCAATTCCAAAGCTTGCACAAAAAAAGGGAACAAACATGAATTGACATCAACAAAAGGAAACATCAGCAGGGGGACAGCTTACACTGTGATAGGTGGCATCAGCACCAACTTGGAACATGAGAGAAACAGAAGCGCACTTAGTGTTATCCCTGCAGTACAGACAAGCGTAAAAGCAATTCCACCAAAACAAACTCTGCATCAGTTGGGAAGATCTCTGAACCTCCTAGCTAACTCCATTGCAAAAAAGAAAAAAAAAAGAAAAAAAACAGTGGCACCACTGTGATCCTTTCCAAAACAAGGAAGTGGAGAAAAGGAAATCTCGAAGTGGGCAAAGGAAATATCTCCAATCAGTTGGGAAAGTAAGAAAATACCAAACCCCCAAATCAACAACAGAAGCCAATACCCAATTACATCAAATTGAAATCAGAGAGGGTACAAGGACAGTACAGCTATGGAAACCAAACTCTCACTCACCCTTTTGAATACGCATAATCCCCATCAACTTCCAAGAAGAAGAATACGTCACGGCCATCGTGCAACGCCTGATAGCCAACAAAAAGTTCCCAAACGTTCGTCATCATTCACTGAGCTTGAACGAAAGAAAAAAAAAGGCTAAAAAAACCCGCAAAGCAGGCATTCTATTTCAATTCATTCATACCTTAACGGTCATCTTGCCGGCTTTATACTCCTTATCAGCATCCGGGTCGAGAGCAGGGCGGAGGGGGAATTCGAAGCCGTCGACGTCGGTCCAATCATCGGAGTGGCCATCGACGGTGACGAGTCCCGGGTTGAAGACGGCGCCGACCCGGGTATCGGATTCGGAGTCGCAGGTCCAGGTCCCGGACTCCTGGTGCGAGCTGCCGAACTGGATCAGGTGGGCGAAGGCCGTGATCAGCAGCAGTGAGAGCAGGGCTGGATGCATCACTTAGGGCTTGACGAAAAGGAATGGGGGCCGCGGTTCCAGATCGATCTCGGCCTCTGGCTGGCTGCATTGCGTTCACCGAAATTTTCAGTCGTTTTGACTGGCGGAACAAAGAAAAAAATTTGGGGGAGGTGGCTTTTTTTTCTTCTTTTTTCCTCTGTTGAGAGAAGTACCAAGTGGTGAAATTTCCAGTTTAGTACGTACCTTTGGACTGTTGATTGTACTACTTCCAACTTCTAACGATTTTACTGCTGGGCTTGCAGACTTGCAGTACTCTCCTTCCACTGTTTCAATGGGAGTGGGCATTTTGTTGGAAAAACTAGTAAATGGAGTTGTACAAGTATCACTGTATCCAGGCACTGTAATGAGGAGTGAGTAAAAATTTGTTATTATTTAGCTTGATGTACTCGTAACACAAGATTCGTTAGAGAGAACTATTATCGGTACTAAGAAAAAAGTATCATGTACTTTGGATTATGTTATAATGAGTGATGAACTCCATAAAGCGTCGGATCTATTGTCCACATATTCGTAGAAGATAGTATAAATTTTTATGTTTGATACTCCCACGATGTTATCGTGTGTAATAGATTTATTGTGATAAATTTTCTATAAAATTACTCAGTTGTAAATAATGATGTGATCTGACTTTATGGTATAACATTCCAACTTACATATAGATAATTGTCTTCTAAATCGTAAAAAAAAACTGTCTTCTAAATCAATGGATCTCGTCGTAATTTTAGGGTTCATTTGCTTGAAGTAATTTGGTATAATTATATATGGGTAATACTCAAGTATATGCTGCGTGTTGGTTGCAAAGTGCATTTTGTTCTCGTGATTGATTTTACTATGATAGCAACTAGTGGCGGACCCAGGATTGTCGGAGAGGTGTGTCGCTGATAAAATAAAATAATAATTAAATTAAATTAAAAATTAAGTTAAAATTAAAAGAAATTAATTCATAAAGTTCACAATGTCATGTTTACAACGAACTGCGACGACTTTTCATCTGCTGAAATGTCTCTAAAATACATTCATCACTTATGCTGCAAAGCAAATCTTTTTCAATATACACAACTAAACAATCATTCATAAATTGGTCACTCAACCGATTTCGAAGATCGTTCTTGATTATCTTCATAGCTGAAAATGCTCATCAACATCATCATTCTCATGTTCTTCAGGAAATGAAGAAAACTTACTTGAGATGCCACTTGTTTGATTAATCGATGGCGAGGAAGATTGAGAATCATCATGATTCATTTTACTTGATTCACCTCCTAAATTGTTAATATGTAGAGTAGTTTTTGCTTTCTTTGGGACCTTTGGGTAAAATCTCTCCATGTCTGGATACAGAGTACAACATAAATTAGCTTATAAACAAATCTATTCAATTCATCCATGAATTACAAATTGACAAATAAAATTTGGGTTAAATGGGAAAACAAGAAAAACCCCTAAACTTTGCAATTTAGGGTTCATAACAGTAAAATTACTTACATTTGGCCAGCTACAAGAAGTGCCCACTTGACCGGCTACGAGGAGTTGCCGCCACCCCGCTGCCCGCCGGTGAAGGGTGTCCGCCGAGGCCGAGATGGGTTGCCGTGCCGACTTGCCCGTTCTGCCTTTGTCTGGGTTTTTTGTTCGTCTGGGGTTCTGGGGTTTTTTGCGAGCGAGAGAAGAGGGAACCAGGGGGAATAATGAGGATGGGTTGCTGGGAATTGAGATATGGACAAGGAATATGGCATTGGGCCATTAATCGGGGAGATTGGGCCATTAATTGGGGATGGGGAGGGAAGGAATAATAATGGGGAGGTAGTGGGCTAGTGGCCGACTGGGCTTTTGGCCTGTGGGTTCTTTTCTCATTTAATTAAAGGCTCAGACCCAACACTCATCACACGTGTATATTGTATGGGCTAAGAGTGTTTTTTTTAATAGGAAGGATAGGATTATGCTTTATGAGTTATTTTAAACAAAATTAAAAAGGATTATGATTAAGATTGATTCATTTGGATAATAATTTATTTGAGTATAATGAAGGTGTGTCGGCTATAATTATTGAGGGTGTGTCGGCTATAATTAGGTCCGCCACAACACAACCAATACAATAAAACATATTACAAGTAAGGATAAGATGGTTTAGCAAAGAACATGTCTAGAAATGTCTACATTGCTCAGATGTTTATTATGTTTGGCCAAATAACTTGTTTTGTAAATATATCAAGCCAACGAGGCAATGACTCTACGAGCAATAACATGACAATAAAATTCAAACAGTAATAATGTAGCAAACATATTCAATTGTTTCTCTCTAAATCATTTTACTTCTGTCAAGAACCAGTTGGTCCCAATAACTCGAGTTGTTGGGAGAGGTTCAATCGTGGATCATATACCACAACACTAACACGCCCCCTCAAACGAAAGCCACTCACAAGGGCTTGAAGTTTGCACAGGTCTGAAGACAAGAATATCATGTGCTTAACAAATGGGGGTCACCGGGAATCGAACACAAGACCTCTCTGTCACAGAAGGCTCTGATACCATGTCAAGAACTAATTGGTCCCAATCATAGTTAGTAAATACTCCGTTTAATACACGTATATGTACTAGGGGTGGCTATACGGTCCGGTCCGGTTAAATTGGCCCAAATTGATCCGGTCCAGTCCGGTCTTTTTGAAAATATAAGGACCGAAGATTGGATTGGATACAGTCCGGTCTTGATCCGGTCCGGTTTTGATCCGGTCCGGTCCCAATTCGGTCTTGATTTTACATTGAGATTGTGGGATTTGAGTGGCCTAAGGCCTTAAAGGGTGAGGAGTTGGTTAAGTTTTGTACTAAGTGCAAAGGTTTGTGACCGTTTATGCAAATTACCCTTAAGTTTTGGGTGTTGAGCTCTCTTATCCGGTCTTTATCCGGTTTTTTACCTCAAATCTAAGCCCAAAGATTGGATTGGATTGTTTACTATCTGGTCCCGGTCCGGTCTCGGTCCGGGTTATATGGTCCGGTTTTCGGTTTTTAATCCGGTCCCGGTCCAAATAGCCACCCCTAATATGTACCCGTACGTACTTTATCCGTTTAAAACTTCCGTATCCGTATTATTGTCAAGCCGTTTCTTTTTTGACCGTTCATTTGATGGCTCCCGTATTAAACACGTTTAAAACCCGTATAACACGTTTAATATCCGTATTTAATGAATCAAATTACGAACTTTACCATTATTTATATATTTATTTTTAAAATAATAAATTTTATATATTTATGACAATTAACGTAATATTAAACGTAACATTAGCATAGAAACGAAGTAAAATACCCGTACGTATTTTATACGTAACTTTCCCGTACCGTATTTTACTAACTATGGTCCCAATAACTCGAGTTGTTGGGAGAGGTTCAATCGTGGATCATATACCACAACACTAACAACTTCTCCCCCTTACGTGAAGATTTAGGTCATTTCTGTTCAGTAACATACCTTAAGGAGCGTGGGCTCCTAAGGTTCTACATCCTTGGCAAGGTAATATTCATTTTACTTAGAGGTGACAATTTATAATCAAATTCGTGAATCTACTAATTCATTTAATCCAAAGATCTACTAATTCATGGATCCAATACATTTGTCACGTCTAATTTCACCCTAATATGTCAACATATTTAAGAATATCATCCATATATGTCGTGAATCACTATAGTGAGATATGTATCCGTTCTTATGACAACTGTTAGGCCGTCTACAATATTGGGTTTTTTAGAGCTTTGATACGTAGGGTTCACCTAAAAGAGGTATGTCATGTTATGTCATGTTAGATCTTTTAGAAAGTGGTGAGTTTCGTCCCACATTTTATTTTCAAGAAAATTGAGACATAACAATCTATTTAGGTTCCTCATTTATTAACCTCGTTAAAATACTTGATGAGATGACAATCCGTTATTTTAAAATCACACGATTATGTTTTTTTTTAATTATGAAATCTCTCATCTTCCTAAACAAATAATTGGATGAAAATTCGATGAAAAATCCTTCGTCAAAATTCCCACATAAACAACCCTAGCCATTTTTTAGCAAATAAAACTAGAAAAACTTTAAAAATAACATAACGATAAAGTGACTAAGCGGTCACCTAGCTCACTCCACAGTACTCAATTCTAGGTAACGTGCTCGTTTCTCATTCGTTGCAAGCTCCTTCGCCCACGCAGTCACCACAGCTCCAATCCCCCAGGGTCCCCAACCCCACGATTTCTCAATTCTCATTTCCTCTCAGTTCCCGTCGATCCTCTCCATTCTACAGTCTCTTCGGTCCGCACCGCACCTGAAAAGCGCAAAGATTCCGGTGGCGCTTGACCTGAATCGACGATGACGGAGGCCTTCATCAGGAAGAAGCCCGGCATGGCCAGCGTGAAGGACATGCCGCTGCTTCAGGACGGTCCTCCTCCCGGCGGATTTGCCCCCGTGAGGTATACTCGGAGGATCCCCACCAAAGGCCCTAGCGCCGTGGCTATCTTCCTCACTGCTCTGGGCGCTTTCTCCTACGGCCTCTACGAGGTTGGAAAGGGTAACAAGATCCGCAGGTCAGTTGTGGGCGAGTTGAGAAAGGTTTCAATCTTCGTTTTCAGTTTCGTTTTTTTTCCCCATTCTGGATTAATTATGATCTCCGAGAGTATTGGTGGTCGATCGAGCATCCGTTATGAGAGCGTTTTTGGAGGTGGGTTTTGATTGATTTCAAGAGTTGGAGCCTTCAATCAGGTTACTGTTGGGGAAGATAACCATTTGTCGACCCTCTTTTGATTCTGTTTGGTTCTCAAATTGTTGATCTGTGGAAATTAGGGTTAACTAATCAAAATTCATTGTAAGGAGAGCACGAGATGTGCAATAGACTTTACGGTAGAAAACTAGGCTTCCTGTTGAGGAAGTAGGCAGTAGGCTGGTCTTCTTGATGATAGGTACTGGGTAGTTCCTATGAATGATGTTACTGAATCAGAATGAGGGCACACATAGAACTTCTAGGGAGAACGTATGGCTTTCTGCAGTTTGGTATACCGGATGGTACATTGTTAGAAGAAGCGATCTCTTGAAGAAGCCGTTTTGATTCCTTTGTCTAACTAGCTGCCCCTGGTTTGGCATGCCTCCAAAGGAACACCACTACACCAGTGAGAAAGTGGGGAAGGTTAGGCTGAGTCGAAAATTGACGACATGGCATGGTTGGAAGTTGTATCCCTCATGACCCATTGACAGGGCATAGGTGGTTTGGTGGCTGGTAGAGTTGATTTAATTTTATTTGGATTGATGCATGAATAACGAAAAGGAAGGCATGTAAGTTTTTGGTTGCCATTGATTTCTCAATTGCTTAGTCATAATGTCTGGGAGGTTCCATGTGGAATTGCTGGGATGCTGCTAGTTCATTCAGAAAGACAGAAATTAGAGAAATGCTTCATATGTATGCAGCCCGACAGTAGTGATTTACTGAGTTATTTGGTCTTCAAAAGATGTTTCAGTCATGAACTCCTCTCTCCCTAAGTGACACCAAATCATTTAACATTTTACCTGGCAATTTCTACTCCTTAGTGCTGTTTTTTTTTTTTTGGGTTGATATACGGTCATTATTTGATTGGCTCTGTATGCTTAAACTATCTGGTCTAGCGGCAAGGTTTTGCCTTTTTAACCAGGGAAGTGCATGATCTCTGAATTTTCATCTGCAGAGCACTCAAAGACGAGAAGTACACTGCTCGGATGGCCATTCTACCTCTCCTGCAAGCAGAAGAAGATGAAAGGTAATATGTCTGTCTCTGCCGTTACTCATGCTTGAGCCTGCTGAGACGAGAAAGAATTGAAGTATCTTCCTGTGTCATTGCTTTTATTCAGATTTTCCAAGGAGTGGAGGAAGTATCTTGAATACGAGTCAGAGGTGATGAAGGATGTGCCTGGTTGGAAAGTTGGTGAAAGTGTCTACAACTCTGGAAGATGGATGCCGCCTGCAAGTGGTGAACTCCGCCCTGATGTTTGGTGATTACTTCCGCTTAAATTCTCTCTGGTTCGTCCCGAGGAATTGAGTCTCTAATGATGCAAGTTGCTATTGTCACTTGATCTTTGTTCCTTTCTTGTGAAATAAAGATTCTAGGCAGAGAGAGCTTTCGATGATGAAAAATACTGTCAATGTGATAGTTGTTTTGCCCATCTTATTTCTCATCATTCCCTCCTAAACGTTCACATTGGATCTTCATGTTAAAACGATTTGCTTTTCACTGATATTTTGCTCGCTTTGAGTTGAGCCGGTGCCGAGGTTCAATATGAGGGGCAGCACATCCAATTCCACATTGCTGTTATTACTTCATATGAACCTTATTGCGACATCTAAAAGTTGGCTGGTTCATGTGAGGTTTTGCTCCTCGAGTATTCAACTTATGTGTTAGCAAATGAATTTGATTTATGTATTTAGAGGTAGCAAATGAATTTGATTCGTGAATTTGTGGATTCGAGATTAAGTGGATTGGCGGATTTATGGATTTGATGAAATGAATTGGATTCTTAGATCTAAGTGACATCCAAACATTAGATCATTTTAATGATATTTTTCTCGAAAAATAAAATGTAGGTATCAAAATGGGAAATGTATAGATACTAAAATGTAATTCTTCAAATATTAATGAATTGACCAATTGAATTAGATTTGGACAAAATTGATTGATTTACATGAATTGAACTAGCTTTGGCCCTGCCCTTTGGGCAGGTAATCCATATTTTATATTTTCCTAATTTGATGATAGTATCATATAATTTTTTTTTGTTATAACCAATGATTGTAATATTGTGTCAGAGGTTGTATTAAAAAAGTCAGCAGCATGGTATTTATATTGAAATTGGGGTTTAACAATGACAATCATTTCATACTGTCAAATACCGCTTATCGTCATCGGTCTAAAATTTGATAAGAAGTTTTTCAGATTGAACCATCGGTACGGTATGGTTTTTCAATCTTTGATTATAACAATATTTTTCTGTAGTTTATTGTAAAGAAGATCCAATAATTCGTTCATCAGATGAATTTAGGGATGAAAGAATCACCTCGTCCTAATCTATGAACATAATTTAATGTGCTTTTATAATAACGTTTTTGTTACGAAAATTCAAGTGGTTCATGCTTTTACAACATTGTACTACAAAACTGGTACAAACAATGATCAAAAATTTTAGGTTAAATGCACTTGTATATCCAAAACTTTCACGATTGTGCCAACAATATCCAAATTTCCCGAAATACCACTTATATCCAATTCCTTCACATCCTTTAATGGTGTTTTTGGATATACAAGTGTATTTAACAAAAAATATATTGGAAAATGGATAGATTTGGCAAAGAACAACTGTAAAATATGGATATAAGTGGTATTCCGGGAAATTTGGATATTATTGGCACAACCGTGAAAGTTTTGGATATACAAGTGTATTAAACCAAAATTTTAATTTGTTTCTAATCGGTTAAAAAGGAACAGGATGGGCTTTAAAGAATGTGGGGATTCAACTTTTGAGAGTAAGAAATTAAACTTTTGAATACAAAAAGCAATAAAAAAAAGATAACCATCGTGCATAAGAATAATAGATAACCACCGTTCATTAAGTGGGAAAAAAAAGATAACCACCACATCTGATGTGGATCAAGCAAAATGCAGGAGAGCTTACGTGGCCAATGCCATTTTCTCAAAATGTTTTAGGACTTTGCTACGGTGACATGCATGTCATGGTGACATGTACTTTTCGGTCGACCTCATATAGGATTAGGTCGACCTAATCTGTTGTTTCAGTGTAAAAACAGTTTTATGGTGCCTACTTTGGAGATTCATATCTTACAATTGGCTAGATGGAAATTGGAGATCAATGGCTTGTTTTGAAGCTGAAGTGTCCCTCTACACATTAAAGTACTTGAGAGCTCAATAAGAAGTTCAGAAAACCATTTTTGAACATGATCAAAAGTCTATGCCAAAACTTGGAAACTGGCTGAAAATGACTAAGCCTGGGAACGTGTTTGTGAAGCCTACTTTGGAACTCAATTCGAGAAGCATGGATGCGAATCGAGTCCAGGGGCCTCTACCAAGTTAAATTAGGTATGTTTTTATACAATTAAATGCATTGGATGAAAGATTGGATATCTTTAAGGCTTCAAACAAAAGGGTTGAAGTTGCTACGAAGGCTGTTTTTCTGGCAGCTTGCTTGTGCTCGAAGTCTGCCAAAAAAACAGTCTTTGTAGCAACTTCGACCCTTTTGTTTGAAGCCTTACAGATATCCAATCTTTGATCCAATGACTTGACTTTGTATAAAAACATACCTAATTTAACGTGGTAGAGGACCCTGGACTCTACTCGCATCTATGCTTCTCGAATTGAGCTCCAAAGTAGGCTTAACAAACACGTTCCTAGACTTAGCCATTTCCAGCCAGTTTTCCAGTTTTGGCATAGCCTTTTGATCAAGTTCAAAAATGGTCTTCTGGACTTCCTATCGAGCTCCCAAGCACTTCAATGTGTAGAGGGACACTCCAGCTTCAAAACAAGCCATTAATCTCCAATTTCCATCGAGCCAATTGTAAGATATGAATCTCCAAAGTAGGATTAGGTCGACCTAATCCTACATGAGATCGACCTAATCCTAACTGAGGTCGACCGAAAGGTGCAAGTCACCGTGACATGCATGTCACCGTAGGCGCACCCAATGTTTTAATATATTTTAAGATGATTTAATATATTTTAAGAAGATTTAAGATAAGATTAGTTTGATTTTTTATTGGATGAATTGGTGGATTGAATTCAAATTGTCACTTCTATATGTATTCTATTTCGCTGGTTCTACCCTTTCAAGATTTCAAATGGTCTTTATTGCTAAGATATGCCCTCTAGTCATATCTTGGATAATAAAAAACGTCTGATTCGCTCTTCAATGTTGCGAGCCAAGAACATCATTAGCACTTGCATTATTCGTTGCAATGCAAAAATAGACTCTTCGCAATCCACCGGTCTAAGCATATCGACAATGTAGCTGCAATATATACTCTTGCGAAAACAGGCTCTTTGCAATCCACCACTCTAAGCATATTGACAATGTAGTTGCAATATCTACTCTAGTATGATGTTATTTCAACAAATCTTATGATATTACACAAACAAATTTCAATATCTATCAATGAAATTGAACACCGTACCCTTATACGTTTACATCGAACTTAGAAATCCATATACATCCAAAATCCGTCCCCTACGATTTGAAAAGAAAAAAACCTCCTCTCTTAATAGCTATTTTCTATTTGATAATTCAACCTACCACGTATAACGTACAACAGTTATACACCCTACTCACTCCACAATCCACATCTACCATTCCAAGATCCGAACTGAACTCCAACGCCATTTTTTCCCCCTAAGAAAAAACCTCCAATGCATTTCCTCTATTCTCCAGAACTAATCTGATAATACAAACATCAATAAAACCATGATCCGGACAACCAAAATCCCCAATCACACCACTGCACTAATCAACCGCCTCCGCCGCCACCACTTCCCTCCGGCGAGATCCCTAATCCTCACCACCACCGAGGGCCGCCGCCCCACCATCGTCCACAAGCGGAGCCTCGACATCCTCCACGACCCATGGTTTAACAAGGGCACCGCCTTCTCCGTCACGGAGCGCGACCGCCTCAACCTCCGCGGCCTCCTCCCCCCCAACGTCATGTCCCCCGGCCAGCAGATCGACCGATTCATGGTCGACCTCCGCCGCCTCCAGGTCCAGGCCCGCGACGGCGAGTCCGACACCAACGCCCTCGCCAAGTGGCGGATCCTCAACCGCCTCCACGACCGCAACGAGACCATGTACTACCGGATCCTCCTCGACAACATTGCGGAGCATTCCGCCATCGTCTACACCCCCACCGTCGGCCGCGTCTGCCAGAATTACAGCGGCCTGTTTCGCCGGCCGAGGGGCATGTTCTTTAGTGCCGCCGATCGCGGGGAGATGATGTCCATGGTCTATAATTGGCCCGCCGAGCAGGTCTGGCCACCGATTTCCATTTTGATTCCTCAATTCGATTCCCCAATCATAAGAAAAATTTAATTTCTTCCATTAAAAATCGCACTTTAAAACTTATGCTCACTTTTATGTCACCAAACAAATTTATATGTGGAATGGATCGTGTCACTTAAAAGTGTGACCAAAATTCACGTACTAAAAACTAAAACAATTCTCGATCACCAAAATGCTTCTACACAAAATTGCGATTAACGGTATTGCTTCCGTTCTGCCACTACTGCAGGTTCATATGATTGTCGTCACAGACGGAAGCGGGATAATGGGACTGGGAGACCTGGGCGTACAGGGGATCGGGATGGCGATCGGGAAACTCGACCTCTACGTAGCGGCGGCGGGGATAAACCCGCAGAGAGTTCTCCCGGTGATGATCGATGTCGGGACCAACAACGAGAAGCTGCTGGGAGACCCATGGTACCTGGGACTGCAGGAGCGGCGGCTCGACGGCGACGAGTACGTCGAGATCCTCGACGAGCTTATGGAAGCGATCTTCACTCGCTGGCCGAACGTCATCGTCCAATTCGAAGGGTTCCGCGGCGAATTGGCTCACAAGTTGTTGCACAGATACAGAAACGTCTACAGAATGTTCAACGACGACATCCAGGGCACGGCGGGGGTTGCAATCGCCGGAATTTTAGGAACCCTAAGAGCGAGGAAACGCCCAATTTCCGATTTCCCCAATCAGAAGATCGTCGTCGCCGGCGCGGGAAGTGTAGGAATCGGGTTCCTCAATGCGGTTGGGAAAACGATGGACCGATTTCTGGTACAGAGTACCGGCGGCTCCGGTTGTGAAAGTAAGATTCGGGACCAGATCTGGGTTGTTGATGCTCGAGGGTTAATCACCGAGGAACGCCGGGAAATCGATCCGGAGGTTCGTCGTTTTGCGAGGATAAGTGGGAATCGGTTGAAGGAAGGGGCGGATCTGGCGGAAGTGGTGGGGGAAGTGAAGCCGGACGTTTTAGTCGGGTTTTCGGGTTCCGGCGGGTTGTTCACGAAAGATGTATTGAATGCCCTGAAAGGATCCGGATCCGACCCGGGACGTCGGCCGGCGATTTTTGCGATGTCGTACCCTAATCCGGAGTGTACATTCGAGGAGGCCTTTGCAGTTTTGGGGGACAACATGATATTCGCGACGGGGAGTTCACCGACGGCGAAGCGGTGCTGTAATCAGGTGAACAATATGTATCTGTTTCCAGGGATCGGGCTCGGGGCGCTGCTATCCGGGTCGAAGATGATATCGGACGGGATGCTGCAGGCGGCGGCGGAGTGCCTGGCGGGATGCGCGTCAGAGGAGGAATTGGGGAAGGGGATAGTGTACCCGGAGATATCGAGGGTGAGGGAGATAACGGAGAAAGTAGCGGCGGCGGTGGTGAAGGAGGCGATTGAGGAGGATGTGGCGGAAGGTTACAGGGGAAGGGCGAAAGCGAGGGAGCTGCAGCGGCTGGACGATGATGAGATTGTGGAGTATGTGAAGAACAATATGTGGAGCCCGGAGTACGCCAAGATGGTGTTTAAGTACCAATGAGAAGAGTATTCGCCGGCGGCCGGCGGTGAGATGGAGCTGCCGGATGTTATTGTTTGATGATGATCCACTTCACTCCCGCCAACAATTTTGAAGAGATACATACCTATATCTTCTACTTCTTTCATTTTCTTGTTTATGTTACCTAATCATCTTCTTTTGTTACAGGAAGTTGAGGTATGTGACAAGAAATAACTTCATACAAAATACGTAATAATTGGAATTGAAGTTTGAATTGTCCGACAATTTAAAATACGGATGAAATAATTTAGTTCGGATAAGTTCGAATTGACTGGTTTTTAGGCAAAAACAATTGTCTAGGACATGACAGGTAATTTGGATTCATTCGTTTTAAAAGAATCGTATTGTACAACAAGACAATTACCAAATTGTCCCATTTCCTAATTTATGAATTCAAATCGCTCCTATAAGAAGCCACCGCGTCGATATCCTGCTCTCGCATTACCGACTATCAAGAATTTCTCTTTCATCTTCTTCTTCCTCTCCTCCTCATTGTGTCTTCATCATTTTATTCATCTTCTCTATGACGCGGTGGCTTCTTATAGGAGCGATCTAGTGGTAATATCACTAACCTTGAATCTGAAGGTTCCATATTCGGATCTCTTAAGTGCCTAATGACAAAAGAAGTCATTTATATCACCCTTGTAAAAAAAAAAAAATTTAACTACTGACTTTCTAGAAAAGTAGGTGAAAAAACTCAGAAACATAGGCATGCATCCTAAATACAAGTACACAATACATTTCCACAAAAGAAAAAAAAAATCCTAAATGTAACATATAATGATAATTGACATAAGGTCTTAGGTCAAATATTTCCTTTGATACATTATAGGGAGAAAAAAAAACTGCTTTTACTTGGCTACTAATTGTACATTGATCATAAACCCCATCTTTCATCATGCATGACGTCATAAGGCAGAGTGTACAAATCTGAAATCCCTTCCCTCTTCTCACTCTCACCATAGCAGCTTCCCTAACTTCCTGTTCAAGCAATTTCCATCACTATAAAAATCAATCCATCCCCAAACACATCAGAAATCCCAACCCCAAAGAAAGAAAGAAAAACAACAATGGCAGATGTTAAGCTCCTAGGAACATGGCCCAGTCCATTCAGCTACAGAGTGATTTTAGCACTCAAGCTGAAAGGAATAGACTACGAGTACATCGAGCAAGACCTATCCAACAAATCTCCCCTGCTCCTCCAATCCAACCCCGTCTACAAGAAGATCCCAGTCCTAATCCATGGCGGAAACCCCATTTCCGAATCCATGACAATCCTCCAATACATAGACGAGTCGTGGCCCGAAACCCACCCGTTGCTGCCCGCCGATCCCTACGGGAGAGCCGTGGCTCGATTCTGGATCAAATTCGCCGAGGAGAAGCTGAGCTCTGCCTCTATGATATTCAGGACTTCAGGGGAGGAACAGGGGAAGGCGGTGAGGGAGACGGTTGAGGTGATGGAAATTCTCGAGGAACATGCTTTTGGGTCGCTCAAGGAGAAGGGTTTTTTCGGTGGGGAGAAGGTGAACATGGTGGATCTTGCTTATGGCGTGATGGGTCGTTGGTTCGATGCGATTGAGGAGTGTAGCGGGGTGAAAGTGATCGATCCCCTGAAGTTTCCCCTGTTCTGTGGTTGGGCTGAGAGATTCAATGAAGCGCCTGTGATTAGGGATAATCTTCCTGGGAGGAAAGAGCTGGTTGATTTCTACAAACGTCGTAGGGAGATGATGCTTGCTGCTGCTGCTGCTGCATCTAACTGAAGAAACCTTCAGTTTCTGATCTCAAGGTTTTATTGGATGTGTCTCTTCTTTTGTGTGTTGTATGGGTTGGTCCATTTGTGTCCTCTGTTACACTTTTCCGGGGTGTTGTGTTCTGGATGTTGAGAGAATAAATTACATGACATTTCATGTTTCTCGGGATTGTCTTGCCCTTGAGATGTTTTCTGGTTGTTCTTTTTTGAAGTTCTCTGGTTATTGTATTTGATGATTAATGCATGCTGTGGTTTTAAGATATTGTTGCTCTTAAGACAATGTTCACAAGAATGATATTTGATATTTACTCAATGTTTTTTAGAATCGATCTTAAGTCATTACGACTCAGTATGAAGATTTCTAAGAGTACTCCGCTGCTTTATACAATTATTTATAGAAGAAGATTTCTTCAACTAAAGAAAGTGTAGTCTTTTGTTATTCCAGTCTACTTGTTGCAAGTTTTCTTCATATCTAGTCGAAAACCATCTTTGATAACCATTCGTTTTGATTTAGTCTTGCAATCATAATCTTTGAGATAACATTGTATATGAAATTGCAACACCCCGATTGATGATCGCACTGAGACACTCTTTCAAGGTTTGATATTTTTGGAGTTAACACCTAATGACTATCATTCCGCACCTCTTTCGAAGTTGCAACATTTTTTGTTGTTTCCCTTTGGGAGCTCATCAACTATGGCTATACATTGATAATGGAAAGGATAAATTGTTGAGAAAAGATAAAAGATGGAAAGATATTGTCAGGTGGGATTTGCCTATACAGAAATTCATCTTCCATATAAAAAAATTTCTTTGTTTCGTCAATCATTTCAATTTGTGAAAAAACATTAGACTTGTGCTGGTAATCACATATCGACGATGAACACCCAATGAGGCAGGGAGGTGAGAGCCATACGAGTCATGTTTGAGAAGAGGAGTTTCGCGTTTGATGAACTTATGGAAAAAGGGAACATAATTAGAAATATGATTCGTTGAGTTAACCGTGTAGAGATAATTTTATTTAACGTAATAGGTTATAATTTATGTTCAAATCTCGTATTCTACAACCTAATGGGTTTCAGTTTTAACACTTTTTCTCTCAAACCAAGGGGACTCCCTTTGTTGTAATAGGGAATTCTACAGACTACATAACGACGAGTTCGACAATGTTGGCATCCAGATTTGCTCGCAGAACGCAACACAAATTCACAATGGAAAAAGAAAACAATTTGTATGTTAGAGAATTATCCAACTAGGTTGTCAACTCGATTTAATCTATTGGCCCAGTCTAGCAAGTGGATAAATGGTTAATGGTTTGAGCGATTTAGTCTAATTTAGCCCGAATACATGAAGAAGTCATTATATTTTTCATTCATATATAAATTGTATCAAATCTCATATAACATATGAGTAATAACATATAATATCATACCAAAATAACAGTGTGTACTTGAATCCAACGTATAGTAAAAATAAAAATAAAAACACTTAAATCCACCATATAAGTTCGTGACTGATACCTTGAATGAAATGGAACAACCTTAGGGATATCGATAGAACTCGTGATTAGAAGAGTTGGAATCTATCGTTTTTGCCTTTACTCAGAAGGTTGAAGACGGTTTTGCCAGATTTTGACTGTTTGAAGAGTATTTAATGAATCTGGACCAATTCCAAAATGGATTTGTGGCGCCTATTTTTCCCACCACATTCGGGTAAGCTTGTTGGTCGACCCGAGTTGACAACCTTGGTATTCAATAAGATATTAAGACGCTCCTTTTGTATTTCATTTCTGACTCATTTTTATCTCACTTTTTGATCCTCTTACGTGCTGAGGAAGGCATCAGCATGTCAACATCAATCCAAAGTACAACACTATAGCTCATGAGCATCTCCAATGGTGCAAATGGAGGGAATTGCAAGCTGAGGTGGCAGCCATGTGCAATTGAAAAAGTGGATGGCATTGATGCAAGACCACTTTCAAGGGATGAAAATTTGCACACCATGAAAATCTGACATGCAATTGCAAGTGGGTCCTTTGTTTGTTTTTGTTTTTCTTTCTTCTTTTCCCAACCATTTGTGTGGTATTAAAATGTAAGTGGGACCCAGAAGTGCAATTGCATTGGAATGGCATTGATGTATCTAGTATGAAATTGATGAGTGAAGTAATTGCTAGAGTTGCTTAGGTGGCAGTAGGGACCACACTTGAAAGTGAAGAAGGATTGCATTGTTGGAGATGCTCTAATGTCCTACCATATGAAAGAAGGTTAAGTGACAAATCTTAAAAACGTGGGCGTCAATCCAATATACAAACATAAGGTCCTAAATCATATGTTTCCTTGAATATTGAAATAAGTTATTTGTAAAGCCGTGGTGCACTGTTCGCCTAAACACAAAATTACTATTCATTTAGACTCAAAATTATTGTTCACCCTATTTTGATTGGTCCATGGTCTGCAACTGGCCCCGCCTGTCTTTTTTTATTGGCTGCGTGCTTCTCTCTGCCCCTTGCGGTTTTGTCCTCCGTTGTTGCTGTGAGTGTTGCGTTGCCCTCAGCTGAGCCCTAATTCTCTCTTCGTTATTTGTTTTTTTAATTTTTAATTTTTTAATTTTCTTTCTATGGTTCTCTGGTTCTCTTCGGAATTGCGGGCAATGATGGGCGCGCCTTTCCTTACCCGCCCCTTTTCGTTCGAGTCTTGGGGAGAGCGACCCTCTTTGCTTTTGCCTTGGTATCTGAAACCCGCCGCGCTTGCGCCGAGAAATTTTTTGCCGCTTTTTGTGTTCTTTCTTTATGACGGTTCTCCTATTTCACATTGGCCTTATCTCTTTGCAGAAACACTGTTTCAGTTTCTTACGTACCTGTTCGCTATTGGGCCGGTAACTGACGCGCGCCGCACTTGCACCTTCTAATTCCTTCTCTCATTTTTATACGCTTCCTTTTTTTTACGCCAGCAGTTCATCATTATCTTTCTCTTCTCTTTCTATCATTATGTTCTCTTTCTGGGTATTGTTTTCTCTCTCTTTAGTGTTCTTCGTCTCGGAGACCACGGAGTTAACGTTGCTTTGCAACCTCGGCGGCCCGCGCAATGCGGCCGTTTCTTTGCGACTGCGACTGCTGCATGTCTGGCCGGCGAAGTCTCCGGGGGATATCAGGATTTACAATTACTGTACTCTTTGGACCGACGAAACGGTAAGTCTCCAAATCTTTGCGTCTATATTTTCATGTTTCGTTCTGTGATTGTCTCTGTATTTTGTTTTTTATCCGTTGTGGTGTGCTTTGTGCATGGTACGTTGATTCGTGGCGTTTCGCCAACTTCAATGGCTGCTGGGATCCGTCGTAACCTTTCTGTTGGCAAGATATATGTCATAAAGTCCTTTGGTTTGAGCAACCCGCCGAATCAGTATCGCCCATGTTCCTTTGATTTGGCTTTGGGTCTTTTGCCCTCGACTTCTTTCCAAGCCTGTAGTCTTCCTGCTGAGAGTTTCACGGTTGATGCGTACGAGTTTGTGCCTTTCTCCCAGTTAAATACGCGTGATGGTAATCACCGTTACTTGACAGGTCAGTAAATTTATTTTTACTCGTTTCTTATTAATTGCATGTATATGGTTTTTGTTTGTGCCGTAATGTTCTGTTTCCGTTTTATTTTCGTAGATGTCGTTGGTCAGCTCAATTCAATCAGCGGGATATCGCATAAAATCACTAATAACGGCCCCGCAGTCAAGCAGACGGTTATCATCGAGGATGAAAGGTTTTTTTACGTTTTTCTGGGGTTTCTGAGTTTGGCCGCATGCGTTTTGTTTCTTCTTTGTTGTTCCTTATGTATTCCCATGTTTTTTCCTCCAGCGGGGCGAAAGTCACTATCACACTCTGGGATGAGTTTTCTGCAGTGTTGGACCACGTTGCTCTCACTCAGGCTGACTCGATTGAAGCTGTGATTCTTGCATTTGGCGGCCTGCTGGTTAATAAGTTGGGAGGTATATTTTTCCACTGATTGCATGTATCTTTTATGGGGTTCTGCGAGAAACATTGGTATGACATTATATTTTCCACTTAAGACTCCACATTCTGACCTTGGTTAACTCAAATCATTAATCTCAATTAATAAACATAAGCCCATCTTTTAAATAACCTCTTTTTCCTATTAAAATTAATCATATATAATTTTTAAACCGAGCCAAAAAAACTAATAATTCTGATTTATAATTTTATAATATCAACAAATAATCCTAGTTTCATGAAAAATTATCAAATCACCAAAACAACTTCGTACATTATTTTAATTAATTAAAACCAACATTCGTTTAATTTTTGTAAATACAAATACAGATCCAAAAATTCTAAAATTTATACACGAGCATCATACAAATATTCTAAAATTTATAAAATTATCATGTTATGAAAATACCCACGTAAATGTGTCGGAAATAAACATAACCATGAAAAATACGATTTTCGGGCCAAATTATCAAAACTTAAAACTCCGAGGGACTAAGCTGTATGTGCTGAATGCATGGGGGACTGATCTGGACAATAGACCAGAAGTCTTTAGAGACAACCAAATTCCGTCACTAAAAGACTGTAAGTTTGGTCACTAATTCCCAGAATTTCACAACTCGTATAATTAACTTAAACGTGGAAATTGACGAGAGGTATCGGGTTCGCTTACCTCTTGGGCGTTCCTATACCTAGTTCCTAGTGAGTAGAACTTATGTTTCTTGCTACTGGTTGCGTCCTCCTCCGGTGATGGTGACGATGAGACGTTGGCGGGCGAAAGCAACGTACGAGAAGGGAGGGAATTCGATGATGATGGGAGGAGGAGGTGGTGGTGCTGATCGAGAACCAGTCGTGGCGGTGAGGAGATGAGAATGAGATGGAGTGAGTGACGGTTTGATGTATTGTTGGAGGAGAACAGATTCGTTATTCATGGAAGGAAGAAGCTAAGTTGACTTAAGCTCATTGTTGAAGGCCACCGATCGACAATGCATTCGCACAGCTGCCAACCGTCTTATTAATTTTGCCAGCTTTGTCTTGGCATGGGTAGAGGTATGGGGGTTACACGTTAGCTCTGCTATTCTTGTTCCATAGTGATTGAGAGTAGATCACAGATGGTAAATGATATAATTTGGTCTCTTGTGGGCTTTATAGGAACTGGGGCGAGAGAGATGGGATTAATTGGGGTCATGATAAAGAGAGGGAGAGGTGGGGTGGTGTACAGATGGGTGGGATGTGTTTAATAATAATAATAATAATGATGATGATTAAAGATGGTGATGATTAAAGATGATGATGATTAATAATAATAATTATAATTACTATTATTATTATTGGTCCACTGATGTAACCATTCGTACGTAACCATCTATCCAATCGTTTATGAAATATGGTTGAACTCGATCCAAAACGTCGGGATGTTACATACGAAGCTCATGACGCTTTTTTAAACCGTACAATTTCTTTTTAAGTCGAAATCCACGATCAGGAAAAATGGTCTTCATGGAGGCTATCCTACAAAGACCTCATGATTTAGAAAATCATTAAAAATGCACGCTTGACGCACATTTGGTAAAGTTTAATTAGTTTGGCACTAGTAAACACACACAATAAACGTATTGCTTCGATTCTAGCAACTAAAGTAAACTTATCATCATTACGAGAAAAAAAAAAGTGAACTTATCATCAAAATAAATACTGTCTTCTTGATTGCAACCTTTAGCAACTGGACTAGATTATGTTTCTAGTAATGTTACCATTTTTGCGAGTCTTATTCAGAAATACCCATTTTGTACCTATGGATAGTTTTGTTGAAGGGTCGAGGGGCAAGTTCCAAACTTATGCCCTCTCAAATTGTTTAAGGGGTGGTTTGGAAGTAGTGATTGTTAAATAGATGTGTTATTGCTAAAAACTCAGTTCGCATTCCATTTGACCTGCGCCTAAAACACACGATAATCGACCCGATCAAAGCGAGTTCGATTTAGTGTTGATGAGTTTAGGTTTGAGAGCAAGTTTTATTAACGAGTTGGGTCGAGTGTGAAATTTGCTTAAAACTTGGCCCAGCCGCCCAACTAATCAAAATTTTAGTGTCATTTGAACTTTTTATTGTATTTTCTTTTATGACAATTGAACCCAAACCCATGGATATTCGACCCAATTAAACATGATCAAAGTGAGTTGATCCCAACGTTGACAAGTTTTAGGTCAGGAGCGAGTTTCACCCGCTTTTGAAATGGAAGGACTGTGACATGTGTGGATTTGTTAAAAACTCACCCCCTAAATCAAAACTTAAGTGCCATTTAAACTTGAACTTCATGGTAATTTATTTTATGACAATTGAGCCCAAACCCATGGGTATTCGACATAATCCGACCATGTCAAAGCAAATTGAACCAAATTTTGACGAGTTTTGAGCCGCGAGCAAGTTTTTTTTACCTTCTTTTGCAATTGACAGACAGGGTGTGTATTTTGTTTAAACTAGGTCTGCTTTCCATCCGACCTACACCTAAAAAAATAAAAAAATCGATCTTGTCAAAGCGGGTTGAATTATATGTTGACGAGTTTTGATTCGGGAGTGAGTTTTACCCATTTTTGTAATTAACGGGTTGTGTCCGTGGGGATTTTGTTTAAAATTTGGCCCGCTTCCCATCCTACTCGGACCAAAAAACAAAACAATTGACCCGATCAAAGTTGGTTCAACCTGATGTTGACAAGTTTTTGGTCGGGAGTGAGTTTTACCCGTGTTTTCATTGACGGGTTGGGTCGGGTGTGCATTTTGCTAAAAACTCTGCCAACTTTCCGTCCGACCTGCACCCAAATAACAAATTAAAACAATAGGTTAAACGTAGTGTTGATGAGTTCTGGGTCGGGTGCGAGTTTTATCGCTTTTGTAACTCGACTCGCTTTCCTTGCGGCTCGCACCAAAAAAAAAATCGAATTCTCAGTATAATCTTACTCTCTTACATTTCGATCGAAAACTCATTTCTATAATGAAATGATATAACACAGACCGTGTCTGAAACTATCATGTGATAAATCGACAATAATGTCACTTCTCATAATCTTAATTATCTATTTACAATTTTAAATTACTAAATTCACGACCAACCCGCTTTCTTTCGTGGTAGTTCACTACGGAAAAATGCACCTCTTGCAACACTCGGATTGCAACACTATTTGAAAGTGTTGCGTGAGATATACAATGACAATACTTTTTTATACAACTACATATTGAGTAGTTTATGCAACTCAAATTACTCATGTGTTGCGTTTGTTCTATTATACGCAACACATATATCATAAATGAATTTTGGGTTGCCTAATTGTATAGTTTTTGCAACATTTTATCAAATTGTGTTGCGTACAATGTCAATTTCGTTATTAATGCACGTTTAATGTCAATTAATAAATTAATAAAAACTAATAAACCCAAAAATTAGATAGCAGGAAACAAGTATCGAGAAGGGGAAAAGTAGGGATGACAATGGGTCGGGGGCAGATAGTGCATATCAGTTACCCTACTCAAACTAGTTCGTGTTTTACCCATATCCATACCCACATATGAAATGGGTAAAAAATCAAAACCATGCCCATACCCGTTCGGGTTTCGGGTATCAACGGTTATCCATGGGTAATAATTTCTCTTCATAACAACAACCAATAATTAAAGCAACATAATTTCATGAAAATATTATATTTATATGCTAAATATAAAATATGTTAGAGAAAAATAATGATTATTTCTAGACAAAATACATATGCATGTGTAGAATGTGGCGGGTTCGGGTTGGATAATGAGAAATCCATGCCCACCCATTACCCGAAATATTCGGGTTCGGGTTTTACCCGTACCCATTAAACGACCTTCGGGTTCGGGTTTTACTCTACCCAATTAGGCCGGATTCGGGTGGATATCCACGATTACGGATATTTTTACCATTCCATCCTAGGGAAAAGATGGGATGTTATTTTCAGAAACAACAATAGTATGCGAACATATATATGGGATGTTATTTTAGAAATAACAATAGTATGCGAACATATATATGCAATTGGATGTGATCGATGTACCAGGCCAGCTGGGAGAGCATGCAATTCCTGCATGACTTGTATCTTTTTATATTTAGCCATTTCTGTCCCCGACGTGTACTCGAAAAGAAGAGAAGGTGTGTCCCCGGCGGTGACATATATCGGCGGCCGTTTGCAAGAACTTGGACTCCGACGAGTACTGTAGCGGGTGGGCTTTCTTCGATCTGTGAGGGCTGGTATTTAATCTCTTCCTTTGTTTTTAAGTTCTGATCCTTACTTACTTACTTACTTACTTACTTACTTACTTACTTACTTGAGTTCTGATCCTTACTTACTTACTTACTTACTTACTTACTTACTTGAGTTGCTCCAACCAATAATTAAAACAACATAATTTCATGAAAATATTATATTTATATGCTAAATATAAAATATGTTAGAGAAAAATAATGATTATTTCTAGACAAAATACATATGCATGTGTAGAATCTGGCGGGTTCGGGTTCGATAATGAGAAATCCATGCCCACCCATTACCCGAAATATTCGGGTTCGGGTTTTACCCGTACCCATTAAACGACCTTCGGGTTCGGGTTTTACTCTACCCAATTAGGCCGGATTCGGGTGGATATCCACGATTACGGATATTTTTACCATTCCATTCTAGGGAAAAGATTGGATGTTATTTTAGAAAAAATAATAGTATGCGAACATATATATGGGATGTTATTTTAGAAACAACAATTGTATGCGAACATATATATGCAATTGGATGTGATCGATGTACCAGGCCAGCTGGGAGAGCATGCAATTTCTGCATGATTTGTATCTTATTATATTTAGCCATTTCTGTCCCCGACGTGTACTCGAAAAGAAGAGAAGGTGCATCCCCGGCGGTGACATATATCGGCGGTCGTAAGCAAGAACTTCTCCGACGAGTACTGTGGCAGGTGGGCTTTCTTCGATCTGTGAGGGTTGGTATTTAATCTCTTCCTTTGTTTTTAAGTTCTGATCCTTACTTACTTACTTGAGTTGCTTGTTTGTACCTAATTTCCACAGGATGGCTGATGTTGCCGGAGGAGGAGGTGACCCAGGCCTGAAGGCTTTCAGTTCCGCTGCCAAGCTTGTTGACCGCTTGGAGATGTTGATCGAGAATCCGGTGTGGAGGCAGACGATGAAGATCGCGGAGGCGAGGCTGCTGAGGGACAGATTGGGATGGGCGATGGCTGCCAAAGCAGAGATCGTCGTTGAGGACGCAAAGGACATTGTGACCGTCGGGCGGCTGTGGAGGGAATTTGGGTTCAAAGGGACAGTCAAGCCTAACGGCGAGCTTCCTAGTGAGACAGCTTCTGAGTTGACTAGGCTTGCGGTGAGTGCATATTTGAATCTGTGAAGGTGTTAGAGGAGGATGGATTCGATGGTTTTTTTTTAGAGGGTCGGGGTAATCGTAGTTTATGGTTCGGAATTAGAAGAGATCCTAGTATGTTTTGTTGGGTTGTTGGATGAATATGAATAATATATTATTATTATGAATGATATGAACGAGTGATTAGATGGAAATTATTGCTCTTGCTATGTGCTGATTTTGGTCAATCTTTGATTTCAATTGTCAACTGGATTCAAGGATCTTTTCTTTTGTATGGTTAGATAATAATTAAGTAAAAAGCACCTTGAGTTAATCTTGTTCATATCTCTGTCAAGTCAACACATATCTCTGTCAAGTCAACTTGTTGGCCAGCTGGGAGAGCATGCAATTTCTGCATGACTAGTATCTTTTTATATTTAGCAATTTCTGTCCCCGCCGTGTACTCGAAAAGAAGAGAAGGTGTGTCCCCGGCCAGGGGCGGAGCTACAGCATGTCTCGGCCCCCCCCCCCCCCCCCCCCCCCGAGAATCTCGAAAGTCAAGTATAAAAAAGTCGGGTCGTGTGTACAAATTATAATTTATATATAAAATATAAACCGTGCAAACTTAAGACATAAAGTTTCTTGTAGCCCAGCGGAAGATGAACTATTTATAACCTAAAGATCTCGGGTTCGATTCCAAAGGGAAGCAGTTTATAGCTTTCCCCTAGGTTAATTACTTTTATGGTAGTTTACCTAAACTACAACTTCTCCTTCCTTTTCTTTTATAGTAAGCGGGCATTAGATACTTTAGTCATTAACTTTGTAATTTTTATTTCCCTTTTTAAATTATAGTTTACATCAATTAATTACCGCTTTTGCTTCTTGAAATACATTATTTTTTCTTATTCTAATTTATAGTAAATATAATGTGAAAAATATTTTATATGGTTATAATAAAACAAAATTAGTATAAAAAATAGATTTTTAAACCTAAATATTTTAATTATTAGTATTTTTTTTAGTCTTTTGCAGTAATGTATTATGAAATCCCCCCCCCCCCCCCGAGCACTAAATGCTAGCTCCGCCCCTGTCCCCGCGGTGACATATATCGGCGGCCATTTGCAAGAACTTGGACTCCGACGAGTACTGTGGCGGGTGGGCTTTCTTCGATCTGTGAGGGTTGGTATTTAATCTCTTCCTTTGTTTTTAAGTTCTGATCCTTACTTAATTGAGTTGCTCCAACCAATAATTAAAGCAACATAATTTCATGAAAATATTATATTTATATGCTAAATATAAAATATGTTAGAGAAAAATAATGATTAATCCTAGACAAAATACATATGCATGTGTAGAATCTGGCGGGTTCGGGTTGGATAATGAGAAATCCATGCCCACCCATTACCCGAAATATTCGGGTTTGGGTTTTACCCGTACCCATTAAACGACCTTCAGGTTCGGGTTTTACTCTACCCAATTAGGCTGGATTCGGGTGGATATCCACGATTACGGATATTTTTACCATTGCATCCCAGGGAAAAGATGAGATGTTATTTTAGAAACAACAATAGTATGCGAACATATATATGGGATGTTATTTTAGAAACAACAATAATATGCGAACATATATATGGGATGTTATTTTAGAAACAACAATAGTATGCGAACATATATATGCAATTGGACGTGATCGATGTACCAGGCCAGCTGGGAGAGCATGCAATTTCTGCATGACTTGTATCTTTTTATATTTAGCCATTTTTGTACGTCCCCCGACGTGTACTCGAAAAGAAGAGAAGGTGCATCCCCGGGGGTGATATATATCGGCGGCCGTTAGCAAGAACTTCGACTCCGACGAGTACTGTGGAGGGTGGGCTTTCTTCGATCTGTGAGGGTTGGTATTTAATCTCTTCCTTTGTTTTTAAGTTCTGATCCTTACTTACTTACTTACTTACTTGAGTTGCTTGTTTGTACCTAATTTCCACAGGATGGCTGATGCTGCCGGAGGAGGAGGTGACCCAGGGCTGAAGGCTTTCAGTTCTGCTGCCAAGCTTGTTGATCGCTTGGAGATGTTGATCGAGAATCTGGTGTGGAGGCAGACGATGAAGATCGCGGAGGCGAGGCTGCTGAGGGACAGATTGGGATGGGCGATGGCTACCAAAGCGGAGATCTTCGTTGGGGACGCAAAGGACATCGTGACCGTCGGGCGGCTGTGGAGGGAATTTGGGTTCAAAGGGACAGTCAAGCCTAACGGCGAGCTTCCTAGTGAGACAACTTCTGAGTTGACTAGGCTTGCGGTGAGTGCATATTTGAATGTGTGAAGGTGTTAGAGGAGGATGGATTGGATGGGTTTTTTTTTAGAGGGCCGGGGTAATCGTAGTTTATGGTTCGGAATTGGAAGAGATCCTATTATGTTTTATTGGGTAGTTGGATGAATATGAATGATATATTATTATTATGAATGATATGAACGAGTGATTAGATGGAAATTATTGCTCTTGCTATCTGCTGGTTTTGGTCAATCTTTGATTTCAATTGTCAACTAGATTCAAGGATCTTTTCTTTTGTATGGTTAGATAATAATTAAGTAAAAAGCACCTTGAGTTAATCTTGTCCATATCTCTGTCAAGTCAACACACATCTTCATTACCAAAGAAGATCGGGGTAATTAAGTTCAGGTTTAATTCGGTGGAGAATGTCATGTGAGTTAATAATTCTGATGCATATAATTAACTAGCTTTTACCCGACCCGTTCATTACTTCATAATAATCGAAAGTGATCTTTGCACTACTTGATAATTGTGACATTGATAACAATTAGTTCATATGTATTTTTGTTAATCAGATTATCCTAACTCACTACGGCCTATACATGTTTCGTATTAAAAGAATTTGCCCTATTTATTGTATCATAAATTGCTTAAAATTATTTCTTTATATTGGTATTATTAACTTGGTTTACTATTAGATACAATAAAACTAAAACAATTATGCATTAAATTAAAATAGTAATTAGAATTTCTTCAACGGATTAACTTATTGCTACAAAAGCATAAAATTGATCATCTTAAGATTTCCAATCGTGCTCCATCAGACACAAATCAAAAACCTTTCACGAACATAATAGGAGGGAAGCATATAGCTAAAATAAAGAAGCGAAATGGCAGACCGATAGAAACAAATATCAAAAGCTGGCTGGTTGATGGCTGAGAATTACCTTGACAGAGAGAAGCTGCTAGTGGAGTTTTCGCTGAAATGCTTTCGTGGGTCTGTGTGATTTAAACTGCCTTTTATACGCATAACGCAGAAGGTGATTTCGTTTGCTGGCATGAATCGAGCTTGGGTTTGTAGCTGAAATTACCTCGACAGAGAGAAGTTGATAGTGGCATTTCTAGAGGAAGCACTTTAACACCCCAATTTCTTCGTTAGAACATTACACCCGCCGACGTCGAATCTCAGACATGGAGAGCAGGAGGATATGGGTGGATCTAGCTACCTCCGACACGATCCCTATTCGACACTGAATTTGCCCACTGACATCCACTTGGACGTCGTCCAACCACTGACATGCAAAACAACCGTTTGATCCTGGCTTCCCAATGAAAGGAGAGGACGGAGAACGACGATAGAGATGAAGGGAGCGGAGGAAGGGCCCTCTACGAAACATTTAGGCCAACAGTGGTAGACGACTAATGTATCAATCCCTAGCCTTTCTGACAATCATTGTTATCCTTATCACCCAACATTTTACTAAACCCATTACCTATTGCAAATTTTAGGTAGAGTTCCTACTAAAGTACACAAATCCCCCTACAACAATTTAATCAGAACCACTGGTTAGACATTCACTCATGGCAAATTTGAGAAACTGGTGCAAAACTCTACCATCCTAAATTTGAAAATAGTCAAGTGTAAAAATAATTTAAGTCCATCCAACTATACCTGAAATAATAAGGGATCCTACAGTACATCATCATATACAACTAACATTGCTATGTAAGTTAAGCATTCTAGGAAGGGGCGGATACATGTGCCTCTAGGGGTGTCCCGGGACACCCCTAAAATTTGGGGAAATGATTATCCAACCTCCGGTACTAATTTCGTATGTGTATACAAAATATAATTGGTAATCTGGGACACCCTAACATTTGAAAAAATGATTATCCTACCCTCGATAATAGTTTGCTTATGATTAATAAAATATAAGTGGTAGTCCGTGTTATTCCAACCTAGGACACTACTATTATCAAACATATTCCAATTATGTTGCTACTCATTTGTTATTCTATTTTAAACATCATGCAACAGTAAAACGCTATTTCTTTATCCCCAACTATTTTCAATACCTAATAATTAAACTACGTACACGCTACCCTTAATTTTGAATTGATTTTATGGTTACATGGCAAGTGTTGAAAGAGTCTTTTCTACTTTGAGCTACATTAAGAACAATGTTAGAAATCGAATATGTGATAAGTTCGTGAAGTATTGTCTAGTAGGATATGTAGATTTTTTGAACAGTGCAGACACGGAGTTTATTTATATTATTTTTCAAAATATGAATTTTAATTTATTATTTAATAAAAATTATACAAGTATGATATTTTTAATATACGAATTATTTAATTTATTATATAATTAAATTTAATTTTTGAAGAGGACACCCCTGTGAAAATTTTCTGAATCCGCCACTGATTCTAGGAGCTAGGAAATATGTAGCGTAATGTAGTAGTGTTGCAACTTGATTAGAAGATAGAGCCATAGATAAAAGAGGGGAAGAGATAGTGTATATATATAGTTATTGTTAGAAGGCATGATGATTTGCATGATGCTCCATGCATAAAAAGAAATGGAGTCGCAAACTTGGTGAAATATTCATACAAAGTGACTTAGCAAAATAAAACGTGTAGGTATAGAGAAACACACAATCCACTCAGCTATAATGCGTATAAAGTCATCGATAAACCTAATTGAACATTCATGAGAATAAACATTCAAAAACTCGATCATCTGTGCATCACTTTCTGAATTCACATGGACCTTCCTCTTTAGTGACTCGACTAAAGGTGTTGCAATATAATATCATGGTTCGCTTTATCAATTTTGGTGCATTTGGCAGCATCAAGGTCACCAACTTCATGTTCACTACTAATATTATGGGAGCTTTAGGCATTAATATTTTTAGTATCGAGCAAAGCTTATTGATACATCCACACAACCACCCTATTCATTAAAAAACACGAAATATATGTAGCTCATTAAGCCATGGAGATTCAGGAAACACATATACAATGCAGTGACAATACTAAACCACATAACTCAACTTTTGAACGCCACAAAGTTTGGCAAAACTACAAAGATGTAGAGATAATAATAACTTAACAACTTTACCAAAACTCATACCCCCAACACTGTCTAATTCTATTATAATAATAAAAGTACCTATGTAGCTAATTGAATACTACTTTTCCTTACCTAAACTTATGTAGGGAAGCTATGAGAAACTTCAAATCAAGAATAGACACAGCAAAATAAAACACCATGACAGAATCTACAAAAGGCATTCATCCTTTGTTGGTGGCCAGCTTTTAATTTCCATAGAAATTTATTAGTTTCCAAGAACATAACAAACAAAAAAGGCCCGGAGGAGAAATCAGCTGTGGAACAGAATACTCTACATAATGATATGATAAGATGAATGCATCAGATCTATGTTTGAGACATAACTTAGGCCTATCAACTTCGAGAACAACAGGCTGAATTTCAAATGAGAACACAAAACTTTAAACTAAACATTGTAGATTCTAATTTTTCACTAATTGTCTTATGAATACTAATGCTAAACCCTTATTATTTCTAGCAAATCCTAAGTTTTTGTCATGAACAATAAAAATGAAGGTATCTCACAGAGAGTGAGCCAACCCATGGTATCCCAAAACCGAAGCAGGAAACTTTGGGCATCTCATGCTTCGGTTTTGTGAGACAACTTATCCTGCTGCCACTCACCAATACAAACTAAAAAAGCACATCTCATGAGAATATGTAAAGCATGGTAAGGCTTATCCCACCACTGCTAATGTCACAGTCTGCGCCAGTCATGACACCTTCCAAATTGAAAGCTGAAGGAAAGAGCAAAGTACCAACTTGCACGCCACGACGGAGGGAGACAGTGCAAGTGGCACCAGCAAATCCGACGATGGCTAAAGCCGAAAGCTTGCTTAGAAAACTCAAAAGCGAAAATAGGGGTGATGGGATCCTGGGACGAAGAGGGGCAACCCGGTCTCCCGAAAACAGGGGCGGAGAGAATAGTAGGAGAACATCGAATGTGGGGTTTCCAAAGGGTAACATTAGTGCGACATGCCTGTAATTCAAACATGGAGAATAGAATACAAAGAACAAAACAAAAAATGAAACACAACAAAAAAGGAACAATAAGAAACTGAACATAAAAGAATAGAAAAATGAACCACGATGGAAATCAACAACAAATAAAGCCCGCAAAAGAAAAAGGTTAGATAAAATCGACAGAAGGTGAGCGAATGACATGCCCACAGTTCATAGCACCGGATCTGAACATCCCGACAACAGATGAAGTTGTGACTGGTTAGCGAGCCTCCTTTGTCCTTTGTTCCTCTCCAACCAGAATTGCGAACTATTCGACGTCAAAATCGAGCGCGTGGCCCTCTAGCTGGTTCCCCTTTTGCTGTTGCTCGGTTGCCATTCACTCAGTCTTGGAGAATAGCGTCGTCGACTATATCCATCAACAGGGAGCAATCCAGAACGGGAACTGGAGAATCCGAGTAGAGAAGGCCCCAATAGGCGAGGTCACACAAAAGAGATTTTGAATTTGCTCACCGACGAACCAAAATTGGAATCCCCACCTCTGGCCGTCGCAACTCAGAAACCTAGATCTTCCCCTTTTCGTCGCCTGATACCCGAGTTTCCTTTGCCGACGAAAAAAACAAAGGAATTGATGCGAAGGGGAAGAGGAAGGAGCTTTGCCTCTGGATTTTGTTGTTTTGCAAATAAATACAAATTAAATGAGAACGTGGGCCTGGAAGGAGAAAAAGGTGGGTAGTGGACAGTTTTTTGGTTCTGAAATCAGGCGGAACTCCTTTTTTTTTCCCGCTTAACACTCTGCCACATCAGCTTCCTAAAATCACTCTATGGGCATGAAATTTTAAATGGGGGGTGCAGTTTTACTTTTCAGCTATAAATTATACTGTTGATTTGTACTTCCATTTCTTGAAGATGCAGGAGTACTGTAATAGTACCCTTTCTAATGCTCGCTTAGTCGCTTGCCATGTTGAAGTGAAACAACAATCAAAAGGAAGCCCTGTTTAACTTGTTGCTTTTCTGCTCAGCCGTCTTTTAGCTAATTTTCTTAATTAGGATCACACTCCTACTCTAGTTTCCTAGCTTGTCTATTGAATTTCAGTTGCCACCTCGTGAATAAGAAGTGGTGGTTGTGGAAATGTCCATATTCCTTTGCAACACAACGTAACATATTAGTTGTCCACTTGTCCGGTTAATTAGGTTTAGTGTTAATCCCCTACAAATAGCCGTTTTTCGATGAAGTCATTTTATAGTAAAATCCTTTGGAGAGCATAACCTCTCCCATGGATTAGTCTTGATCGGGGATACCACACGTTAAATCCGTTGTGTTCTTTCGATTAAGCTCATACTAACTGTAAAAAAAATCATGTAAACACATGTGCACACACCCAACTGACATAATCCACTGTCTGTCCTTGAGGAATCTTATTCTCCTCTTGTACCCAATGTTATAGAATGATTCTTCCCAAGATATAAAGGACGGACCTTTTCCAGTGTAGTGCCACCTCAAACTCCGAAAGCAACGAATGTAGTGAATTAGCGAGAACCACATTGACTCGATTTTTCTTTTGGAAAGAATGCTGAAAGTCAATTGTGGATTTTGGGAGAGCAGAGTTTCATAAGGAAAAATTCTTGTGTCTAAAACAAGAGGGGTTTGGTGCTTTTATAAAAAAAAATGAAGGGGTTTTGTGCGAAGAGAGGGCGACTCTTTGAATGGGTGGGTACACCCCAACTATTGCATTGGCTCGTCTAAAAGTTTTCAACCATTGTATCGGTTTAACCCATAGTAGTTGAAACGAGTCGTTTATTCCAACCACTTTGGTTTGGTTGAATTGGTTACACTAACCAATCTAACAAAGGTCGTGCCTTCTCACATCTCACCAATTTGTGGTTCTTTTCCGTTCCATTTTCATTCATACCATTTAAAATCACAACAAGCAGCGAAGCATTTCTTACTGGTCTGCCTTGTAATAATTTTATTAGGTTATATGAACGGAAGCTGGTGTATTTATTCATACTTACACGGTATATCTTGACTCTCCTTTTAACTTCTCTTATGGTCAGGGGCAAAGATGAAGATAGCATTGGGGATAGGGCTATTAATGAGCCAACCCGCTCATGAGTGACTCGGCAAAACTCGTTTGATTAAGAAAAAGCTCGGCTCGTTTAACCGATTTTGAGATAAGCCGTGTTCAGTTCGCGAGACTCGTAAGCCAACTCGACTAGGTGACTTGTTGAGCTCAACTCATGTACTCTCTTGTGTTTGAGTTCATGAGTTGTCTCAGCATTGTGATTAGTGAACTAATTCGACTATCATCTTATGGGAAAATGATATATTATCATATGAGTTGGCTTGTTGATAAATGATAATTTATAAAATTTATTGATATCTCACATATTTAAGATTATGAGTACGTGAGCAAATATATCTCATATAACATGAGATCGTTTAATCACATGTATCATATAATATTAGGGTTTAATTTATAAATTATCATAGAAATGAACTCCATCTAAATTCCTGATTTTAAAGATTACAATTGTATGTTGAATAAGGTGCAATGACTTCGGAATTTTTTAAGTCTGCTTTCAAGGCTGATGGCCAACAAAGCTTTTTTTTTATTATAGAAATCTGTATTTTATTCAGCTCTTAATCCATCCTTCTCAAGAACAGAGAGAATGGCCAAAGGGGGCCTGTGGACCCAAAGGTTTGTACTGTCCCAATTACAATTCAGATAGGCCATGGCATGGGCCGATTCGTTTCCGGTTCGTTTTGTGAATCTCCATCTAACCGACCCAAGTCTGGCCGCTCTGGTTTTGATTTCTCGGGCAAGCACTCCTCCTTCCAGTCTCATCATTTCCTCCGCCTGCATCTGGTGGATTGCATTGAGGCAGTCGCTTTCCACCTCCACCATTTGCAGGTTATGCTCCTCCGCCAGCTCCACTCCGAAGGCGATTGCGCGCAATTCCGCTAGCTCCGGCGGCCATTGGGTCCTTTCGCGTCGCACTGCTGCCAGGAGAAACCGTCCGCTTGCGTCTCTAGCCACCACCCCCAGCCCAGTTCCGTTCTCGGCCAACACCGCCGCGTCCACATTCAGCTTCACCCAGCCTTCCATCGGTGTCTCCCAGGTATCATTATCTTCACCCCGCTCTTCCTTTTCCTCTAGATGGTGCGATTGGAATTCCTCCCAGTAGGTTAGGGCTCGTCCCACGATTTCCCATTCCTCAGCCTTTTTCTTATTAAACATGTGGTTGTTCCGCTCATTCCAAATAGACCACAGTAGGATTCCTAGCTTCTCCAGAGTTTCATCTTCTGTTTGATCCATGACCGCACATAGCCAGCTCCCAGATGATATGTTTGGTTCAAGTTCGAATAGGGGTCTGAACACTGAATTTCTCCAAACTCGAATAGCCCACTGGCACTCCCTAAGTATGTGATTCTGGGTTTCCTCCAGAGCACAGAAAGGGCATTCGGTTGCAGCCTCTTTCATTCTCTTTTCAATGTTTTTCCCTGTGGGGAGAATCTCATGAGCTAATTTCCAAAGCTTTGATCCTACTGTATACCGTGTTTCTCTTGTTCCTCTGCTTCCACAGTCATAATGCCTGCGACTAGGAGTGGAAATCGGTAAAGTATCGGTATTTCAATACAAAATATAAAAATCCTGAATATCGAATTATACCCTAAAGTCAATCCCAATCTCAATCCCTAAATGATTTTGGTATCCCAATCTCAATCCCTAAATATTTTGGTATCCCAATCGGTATACCTAGATAGTGATGGAATGATTTGTGTATAATTAAATGACACTCTTGGTGGTTGAAGGTCATGTAGTAGACTAGTAGTGAATGAGAGAGTCTAGTTGAGAGGATAAAATACACATTAGCTTATATTTCGGTATTGATCGGTATTTCGGTATATACCGATCCCAATCCCGTAATCCCAAATACCGAATAACAATTGAAATTCAATTCCAATCCCAAGAAATAATACGTGTATTTGATAATACCAAATATAGACAAACTCGATACGGTATTCGGTATATCCAAAATACCGATACGATCAAGAACTAATTTCTCAAGCTTGACAAAGGACTCGTTTGGAGAATTGGAGTCTAAATTTCTAGATTCTAGACAATCCAAAGATTTTAACTCTCTGAATTGTTTAAAAAAGATTTGAAAATGTTCATTGTTTGGTAACTATAATTGTTAACATCCAATAAAAAAAGAAATTCTATTTTTTTATCACATAACATATTTATCCTTAACCAAAATAATTAGATTGGCTCGAAAAATATTGAGAATTTATTGGTAAGGGTATTTAGTGGGATAAATGAAAAAAAAAACAAGAGATAATAGGAGGAAGAAAATCTCCAAAATCAAGATGTAGAATCTCTCTAATTATGAGAGATTTGATATCTCTAGATTTTATAGATTTACAATCTCTGAAGATACAATCCACGATAGAAAAAGTAGAAAAAAACATAACATTTTGCTAAATCTATGGATTCAATAAATCCACGATCCAAATCTTGTTCTCCAAACGACCCCAAAGTTTCTGAAATAGCTGCCAATACCCTGGAGAGAGTCAGAGTTGGGTCAAAGCGGAGTTAGACTCTCTTGGGCCTGGTTCCTCCTGCACTGAACGGGCCCTGAATAAAAGGCCCAACCGAAGAAATGCATCTCCGGGTAAACCCTAACGCAGTCAGAGAAGCGATAGAAGCGCACAGAGAGTAAAACCTGGCTGGCTTAGTGCTGACCACCATCTTCACCCAGTCGTCGAGCCTCTTCGTTGCTGCCTTCTCTGCTCTTTCCCGCCGCCATGAAGGTTCGCATTCGCTTTCAGAATTTGCTTTCCCAGGTCTTACTTAGCGACTCTCCATCTTAATCTCTGTTCCTTCGTCCGTTTGATTTGATTTGCAGTTCAATATCGCGAACCCCACAACTGGGTGCCAGAAGAAGCTGGAAATCGATGACGACCAGAAGCTGTAAGCTATTTTCCGTATCCTTTTTTTTCTTCTTCTTCTTCTTTCCGTTGTCTAAGATTTGCTTTCTGAATGTTTGTTAGATTAGGGAATGGCGCCGTTTGTCATTAATGTGAATCATGAAACAAGAGCTTTGATTTGAATAAACCTGTTTGAATCATAAGCGAATGGGTATTGGCATAATATATCTAGCTTTTGGAGAATACGGTTGGAGTCGACAGTTGTTCTGAAAGCTTCCTGGCTACATTTGCTTGTGTACACGATCTGGGTATTTTTGGATGTAATCAGAGAAGGTGTATAATTGATTTCTGTTTAATTGAATAGTAACTAGTCTGGGAAATGGAAACGGATTTCTGTAGGTTATAAGGCCTCTCTTGATGTTTCTTCTGCTTACTGATTTACTTGTAAGGGAAGCAAAGAGAACGGGTATTATTGTACCTTTGTTTCTGTAGCTTAGACAGTGGATTGTGGTATTTCAGGTAAGTTAAATAGCTACAGCTATAACTAATAATCGATTAGTCAATGGGAAAAAAAATCAGATTATTCATTCAAATCTGCTGGATGCTTTAGTTCGGCCAATTGCCTAATTAACTGTGAAAGGTTGTTCTAATAGAGGCTAATGTAGTAGACAGTTGCTCCTTGAAACCCTTGCTTGTATTCTTGTTGTACCAAATGTATGTATGCCTGTTGGTTATGTGTTGCTCACTTGTGCAGGCGTGCCTTCTTTGACAAGAGAATCTCTCAGGAAGTCAGCGGTGATGCCCTTGGAGAGGTACGTATGTGATGATTTTATTGTTCTTGATGCATGTATTCACCTTTGAAATGCTGAGTGATAATTCTTTTCTTTTCTGCATATGTAACTATAGGAGTTCAAAGGCTATGTGTTCAAGATCATGGGAGGATGTGACAAGCAAGGCTTCCCCATGAAGCAGGGAGTGTTGAACCCTGGTCGTGTCCGCCTTTTGCTTACCCGAGGTAGAAGGTCCTTATTTTTCAGACTGACTGATGTTGTGTCATACGTTGATGAATGTGGATGGTCATGCTCTTTTGAAGCACTTATAGTTATAAAGTCTGCTCTTTTCTGGGCTGCTGAGAAGAAATGGGCTTAACTTTGTGGTAATAGGAACCCCATGCTTCCGTGGATACGGTAGGCGCAATGGTGAGCGCAGAAGGAAGTCTGTTCGTGGTTGCATTGTCAGCCAAGATCTTTCTGTTCTCAACTTGGTCATTGTGAAGAAAGGTGAGAGTGATCTCCCAGGGCTGACCGACACCGAGAAGCCAAGAATGAGAGGACCAAAGAGGGCATCCAAGATCCGAAAGCTTTTCAATCTGTCAAAAGACGACGATGTCAGGAAGTATGTGAATACCTACCGCCGAACTTTCACCCGGAAAAATGGGAAGGAAGCGAGCAAGGCTCCTAAAATTCAGAGGCTGGTGACTCCATTGACTCTGCAGAGGAAGAGAGCAAGGCTGGAAGAGAAGAAGAAGAGAGTTGCAAAAGCTAATGCTGATGCTGCCGAGTACCAGAAGCTCCTTGCATCGAGATTGAAAGAGCAGAGAGATCGTCGCAGCGAGAGCTTAGCCAAGAAGCGGTCCAGGTTGTCTGCTGCTTCCAAACCTTCTGTGGTTGCTTAAGCCAACTGGGGTTTTATAGGGATGCCTAACTTTTTGTTCTTCGCAATTGTGTTCCCTGAGAGTTTTGGTATCAACAGTAGGCTAGGCATGAATCTTGATTGTGTTACTAGAATTGGTTTTGTATCCTTGAATGCACTCACGAACCAATATGAATGCTTTCTTGCACTCTAAGTTTCTTTCTTAATAACAGAGATTTTAGTCGAACTAAGAACTAAATTAACATTTATCTTTAGCGAAAGATAAAATCCTCAAAAAGCAGAACAACCAGAAAACATCTTTAGGACAAGACAGTCCTAGGCATTCTATAGAACGATCCATGAACCCAAAAACACACCATATTAGAAGTTCAGAACCACCGTTTCTTCAGTTGTATGCAGCAGCAAGCATCCTTTCCCTAAGACGTTTGAAGTAAGCAAACAACTCTTCCCGACCAGGAAGATTATCCGTAATCACAGGCGCTTCATTAAACCTATTAACCCAGCCATGAAACAGAGGAAACTTCAGGGGATCGATCACTTTCAGTCCGGTACAATCCTCAATCGCATCCAACCAATAACTCGTGACACCATAACAAAGATCCACCATGTTGACCTTATCCCCACCGAAAAACGCCTTCTCCTTGAGCGATCCAAAAGCATGTTCCTCGAGAACGACTCGTCCAAGTACTGGAGGATTATCATGGATTCGGAAATGGGTCTTTCACCATGGATTAGGACTGGGATTTTCTTGTGGATGGGGTTGGATTGGAGGAGCAGGGGAGTTTTGTTGGACAGGTCTTGCTCGATGTACTCGTAGTCTATGCCTTTCAGCTTCAGTGCCCAGATTACCCTGTACCTGAATGGACTAGGCCATGTTCCTAGGAGCTTAAGATCTGCCATTGTTGTTGTTGTTGTTTTTTCTTTCTTCGGGTTGAGATTTCTGTTTCTGTGGATGCTTTTGGGGATGGATGGATTGTTCTGTTGCTGGGACAGATTTTTATAGTGATGAAATTTGCTTGAGCAAGAAGTTAGGGATCTGTTGGAGGGTGAAATGAGGAAGAGATTTCAGATTTGTCTGTTCTAAGGTCAAAGGAATAGCAGGTTGAGTACTGAGATTTGGAATTAATTAGTTCCATGCATGATGATGCTGATAGAGTTAATGATCAGTGGAGTCTTATATTCTGTTTCCGAAGGAAGAGAGAAAAATGAAGGGGAAGGAACATTTGGAGGGAGGGAAAAGGAAGGGAGAGAAAGTTTAGAGTAGAAGGAAAATGTTGTTTTAGATAAGAAAGTGAAAAGGAAAGTAGGAGAGAAAAAATATGTTGGGAAGTGTGATAATTATGTTATTTTAATAGTTATGTAATTGTAAATAATTTAATTACTTATTGATATTATTTTCATTAATTATAATAGTGAATCAAATTTTATTATTTATTTCTAATTTTGTTCATTATAAATTTTCTCGATTTAGCATCTCATTAATTTTTACTCCCATAAAATTACATACGGGTATTTTACTTCATCTTTAACCTAATGTTACGTTAAATATTACGGTAATAGTCATAAATATATAAAATTAATTATGGAAATTTTAAACGGATAAAATACGTACGGGAGCCATCAAATAAATGAGAAAAAAATGAAATTGTTTGACAATAATACGGATATGAAAGTTTTAAACGGATAAAATATGTACTGATACATATACGTGTATTAAAAGCAATATTTACTAACTATACTTCTCAAAAACATATTAACTCGTTTATCTCACTAATTAAACTCATTGGCTAACTAATTATCTCACTAATTAACATATTCATATTCTTAATCTTACAAACCCATCATAAACCACTTACCAAAAAAGAAGTGCCGCTTGAAAGAATTGTGGAGAAGCCACGCCACGCCACTGAATTTAGGAAGGTAAACAAAAGGACATTTTGAGGGGGAAAAAAAAGATATGAAAAAATGAAACCCCAATTCCCACCCAGCTTTCTCTCCGAAATGGAGGTAGCCTCCTACAGTACACTTTCCCTATAATTTCTTTCTTCGGTTTAAAGCTTAAAAAACAAGGGACAACATTTTGGTTCAAGGATCCTTTCTCCTCACTTTCCATCCTAAAAAAAGGGGTTAAAGACAAATTTAGTCACTGAGATTACAAAATCGGGACATGTTTAGTCACTAGAAAAAGTTAATATCAAATTTGGTCACTACAATTACTAAAACTGGACACATTTAGTCACTCGCCGTTAGTCTCCGTCCAACTCCGTTAATGAAGTCCGTTAAGTGCTGATGTGGCAAACAGAATTGCCTAATCAGCCGGATATAACCCAACAAAAATAAAACCCGACCCGCCACGTCATTATAACCCGCCACCTCATGAAACCAACTCATGACCCAACCCCACCCAACCCCTTCTTCCTCCTTTCTCCCACCTCGGCACCTCCCTCCTTCTTTCCCCAAAACCACCGCCGCCGTGACCCAACCTGTCACCGGACTCTTACTGTTGCTTCTTGTCCGGAGAAATTAGCGTTTCTGGAACCCCACACCTCAGCCGGCTCGACGAGAACAACGACGATGGTCTCAAGAACATGGGACTCGTCATGAATTTGCTCCATCTCGAAGAACCGCCGCCGCCGTGGTGGTGCGCTGAGAATCGCTCCGAAAGAGGGAAGAAACCGCCCTCACCTCCAGATATCCGTCTTATGAAGGCGATTTGCCGATTTGATTCCTGATCTGTTGTAGTACCTGAATGACGATAACAATCTGGGCTTGGAACTCGACAGATACAATCCAAACGGAGACGACCGCTTGCTCCAGATCTCCACGGCGATAACGTCGCCGGCTCCGTCACCAGCATCCTCTCCGACCGCTCGAATTCGAACTAGTATGAATGCTTCAGTCGGATGATATTGTTGCTACTGCTGCTTCCGTTAGTGGCTCTATCAAAGTCTCCGATTTCGCCGAGGAGAGTTAGGGATTTTTTCATGTATGCTCTGCGTTTGGGTAGGGTTGGGTGGAGCGAGTCGATTAGGGTTTTGAACCAGTTGATTTGGACGGAGAGGGAGCAGTTTCGACAACCGGAGGCTCCTCCTGTTTCGTTGGAATCGAAGGCGGTGGCGGGGACGACGACGAGGTTGGCGCTGTGGGAGTAGGGGTTGTTGGCGGTGGGCATAGGATCTCCTCAATAAGCCGGGAGGAGAGGAAGGTGGAGATATTGAGCAAGGAAGTCGACGATGGTGCGGCCGTCACTGCAGCGCCCGATGGGTTTGTGGAAGAAGGATTCGTCGTAGGGAGGGAATGCGCAGTGGGGGGATTTTGCTCCAGCCTCCAGGGGATTAATTTGTCCACTAGATAGAATAAATTTGGTCGAACAGGTTTGCGGGAGGAGGTGGGAGGAAGGAGGAGAGCGGCGACGGCGGTTTTGGGGAAAGAAGGAGGTGGGAGGTGCCGAGGTGGGAGGAAGGAGGAAGAAGGGTTGGGTCATGGGTTGGTTTTATTGACGTGGCGGGTTATAATGACGTGGCGGGTCGGGTTTTATTTTTGTTGGGTTATATCCGGCTGATTAGGCAATTCTGTTTGCCACATCAGCACTTAACGGACTTCATTAACGGAGTTGGACGGAGACTAACGACGAGTGACTAAATGCGTCCAGTTTTAGTAATTTTAGTGACCAAATTTGATATTAACTTTTTCTAGTGACTAAACATGTCCCGATTTTGTAATCTCAGTGACCAAATGCGTCTTTAACCCTAAAAAAAGTGTTAGTGCCAAGTCAAACTGGTGCAGACTTTTTCTATAATATTCAAGGAAATATATGAGTAAACCGAACACAACACAAGACCCTACTCAATTAACTTGACAAAGACGAATTTCTTTCCCTCAAACATCGCTAGTATGCCTCTCGCTTCCACCATCCCGTCTCATTAATTAGGTGTTTCCGTGTTTGTTGTCCATTTATGATTTTCGGTTAGATTGTAATATAATAGGAACGGTTACGGTGCTAATTGTACAATAGTTAGCACCGTCCTAATCAAGGAAAAAACTACTACTAGTTTGAAGTAGTGATTTAGCTTAGATGTTGTATTGATTTTATAATAATCCGTAGTGATTTTTGCTAGTTATCACGGTGCTAACCCCTATAAGGATTAGCACCTAATCCCATCCCTAATATAACTTGCTACAAAATTCAAATAATTCACATTTGGTTCATTGAAAGCGAGGATCTTTATTCGCGATAGTAAGTTCACACATGACAACATATATCAATCTTCTATCTTTTCTCTACAATTTATTGTTTCCTTTATTAGTGACTATTGTTTCTGTTATTAGTGACTATAGTCGTTGCTTAAAAATAGTGGATTTTGCGTAGAATCTTGATGAGCCGCAACAACTTAAAGCTAGACTCGAGGAAACACTATGTAATATCAAGAAGGGTAATGCCTATTTTTTATCCAAATCTTTTTCAGATTCTTTTATATTATCCAAACCTATTAAAATGCAACAAATTAAGATCATGAGAAGTGACATTGTTTATTTATCACATGATAGTTTCAGACGGTCTGTATTATATACCATTTCATTATAGAAATGAGTTTTCGAAATGTAAGAGAGTAAGATTATACTGAGAATTCGATTTTTTTTTGTGCGAGTCGCAAGGAAAGCGAGCCGAGTTACAAAAGCGATAAAACTCGCACCCGACCCAGAACTCGACAACACTACGTTTAACCTATTGTTTTTATTTGTTATTTGGGTGCAGGTCGGACGGAAAAGCAGGCCGAGTTTTTAGCAAAATGCACACCTGACCCAACCCGACAATGAAAAAACGGGTAAAACTCACTCCCGACTAAAAACTTGTCAACATCAGGTTGAACCAGCTTTGATCGGGTCGATTGTTTTGTTTTTCGGTCCGAATAGGATGGGAAGCGGGCTAAATTTTAAACAAAATCCCCACGAACACAACCCGTTAATTACAAAAATGGGTAAAACTCACTCCCGAATCAAAAACTCGTCAACATATAATTCAACCCGCTTTGACAAGATCAATTATTTTATTTTTTTAGGTCTAGGTCGGATGGAAAGCGGACCTAGTTTAAACAAAATACACACCTTGTCCAATCTGTCAATTGCAAAAGAAGGTAAAACTCGCTCCCGGCTCAAAATTCGTCAAAACTGGTTCAATTTGCTTTGACATGGTCGGATTAGGTTGAATACCCATGGGTTCGGGCTCAATTGCCATAAAAAAATTACCATGAAGTTCAAGTTCGAATGGCACTTAAGTTTTGATTAAGGGGGTGAGTTTTTAACAAAATTCACACATGTCAAAGTCCTCCAATTTCAATAGCGGGTGAAACTTGCTCCTGACCTAAAACTCGTCAACGCCGGAATCCACTCACTTTGATCGTGTTTAATTGGGTCGAGTACCCATGGGTTTGGGTTTGATTGTCATAAAAGAAAATACAATGAAATGTTCAAATGACACTAAAGTTTTGCTTAGCTGGGCGGTTGGGAAAGTTTTAAGCGAATTTCACACTCGACCCACTCGTTAATAAAACTTGCTCTCAAACCTAAACTCATCAACACTAAATCGAATCCACTTTGATCGGGGGTAGATTGTCGTGTGTTTTAGGTGCAGATCGAATGGAATGCGGGCTGAATTTTTAACAAATTCCGCACCCGACTCAGCTTGTCAATTACAAAAGCGAGAAAAACTCACTTTCGACTCAAAACTCATTAACACCAAGTTCAACTCCCGTTGTCCGGGTCGAATTAGGTTGGATAGAGTTTGAGTTTAATTCTAATATAATAATAAAATAAAAAATAAATCATTTGTTGGTGAAAATGAAAATAACAAGAAATTGTGTTTTTTTAAAGCGTGATGTTCACTATTTGTGAATATTGGATTCTTGATGTGCAAGACGAACTTAGGGTCGTTTGGAAATTGTGATTATTTCTGTGAGATTGTTATTATACTTGTATTGTTTAGAATGCATCTTTTTTTTAAAAAAAATTTAGTAGACACAATATATGGACTTTTTATGTTATGTGACAGAATCTATCACTCAAATGAGTAATTGTTATATCTCATCTCTTAGTTGAGATGATTGTGTTGAGATTTTTATCTCAGCTTTTAGCTGATGTGATATACACAATCACATACACCAAATGCTTTATTTTACAATGCATCAAAATCATCAATATATGTATAATATTAAACATATATTAACAATAATACATCTACTTAACAATCACTACTTCCAAATGAACCCTTAAACCATTTGAGAGGGCATAAGTTTGGGACTTGCCCCTCGACCCTTCAACAAAACTATCCATAGGTACAAAATGGGTATTTCGGAATAAGAATCACAAAAATGATAACATTGCTAGAAACATAATCTAAGCCAGTTGCTAAAGGTTGTAATCAATAAGATAGTATTGATTTTGATGATAAGTTTACTTTTTTTTTTTGGTAATGATGATAAGTTACATTAGTTGTGCATTTTTAATGGTTTTCTAAATCATGAGGTCTTTGTAGGATAGCCTCCATGATTATTGACCATTTTTCCTGATCGTGGATTTCGACTTAAAAAGGGCTGAAGAGGAGCGAGATCGTTTGCAACAGAAGCTCCTCCAGGCCGGAGAAATCGAGAAGACATTGTTGGAGGAGCAAGAGTCGCTTCAGAAGGAGATTGATGTTCTTAAGCAGGACAAGGTCGCTTTGTTGGGAAGTCGTGAGTCTAACTTGGCCGCCGCTCGAGCTGAAGCGGGACCTGCTTATCTACAATCTACAGAGTTCCAAGCGCTTGACAAGGAGAAGTATAAGAATATTGTTGGCGATGTGGTGGCCGCGATTCGTCACTTATTCCGCGAGGACCAACCGGAGGCGGTTTGGGACGCAATCGGTTGTTGGACGGATGCTGACGTCAACTCTGAAGCCGACGAGGAAGAAAATGAAGAGGCGGGTGACGCGGAGGGAGATGATCTTGGTAGCGAGAGGTCGCGCAGTGTTTGAGTCGGGTGGTTTGTTGACCGACCGCTGAGCGGTCTTTTCTGCATGTGAACTACTTTGCTTTTCCTTGCTTTTCTTGGCTGTGTAATGATTTTTGGACCCCATACTTTGCTTTGTGGGCTGTGCGAGTTACTCGTGTGGAGTGCCTTGTTTTCATGTTGGTCGCCTTTAGACCGTGCCTTAATCGAAATATTGTGCGTTGTTCATGTCGTTTGTGGATTTGTCGAGGGTGTGGGTGATCACTTGCCCCTGTTCGACGTCGGCGTGCGTGCTTGAGGACGCATACCGTACTTACAAACCTTTTGAATTGCCTTATTGTGTGTTTTGTGAAGTGAGCGCGTGTCATGAGTGACTTTGCAATCGGGGGTTCTCCGGATGCCAGAGACCGCTCTAGAATTCTTGTCATAGTTTTGCAATCTTTTGGTGGGCCGTTGGTCGCCCAAGGCATTTCCTTGTCGGTATACTCGGCTGTTATTTAACCGTATTGGTTTGACCACATAGGGCGGGCTTTTCTGCTTTCTTTAAGCGGCAATTTGTTGAGACCGTGTTGGAACGGGTTTATGTATGGGCCTTATCTCAGTTAAGCCTTTTAGCAATAGAGACATCATTGGGAGTAAGAGTTAATCCGCGAAAGAGAAACGAGTGTATTACTTTGAGCAAAAGTGGCGCTTGGTAGCAGCCAATACACTAATACATGTGGAGGAAATCTTTCTCCATCCACTCAAAATGCCTACGCTCGAACAAGGAGTACCTCGGATCGCATCTGTGTGGTACTTTCGTAGGCGTAACCCGTTCCATGTCTTGGACACGGGAATGCCTTCCATGGTGGCCAGGCGAAAGGTGTTTGGACCCGTCTTTTCAGCGATGAGGAACGGTCCTTACCATGTGGCGGCCAGCTTGCCGTGACCGTCCTTCCTTTGAAAGTCGCGCTTAAGAACCATGTCTCCTTCCACGAGAGGTCGCGGCTTCACATTCTTGTTGTAAGAAGCGACGACCTTGGCTTTTTCCCGCATGATGCGTTCCAAGGTCGCTTTTTCCCGCATGTGCCACACATGTCGCTCAAAGGTCGCTTGAGAGAACAGTCCTTTTGCAAGGATACTATTGGCCTACAATCAAAAAAGACGCATCAGACGTCGTCCTCAACTGTCATGTGTGTCAAGTTCATGCTTCCAAGCACCACCAGCCAAGCTCCGAGCTTCAAAGCGTGGTGGGAGACATGGTTCTTAAGCGTGACTTTCAAAGGAAGGACGATCACGGCAAGCTGGCAGCCACATGGGAAGGACCGTTCCTCATTGCTGAAAAGACGGGTCCAAACACCTTTTGCCTGTCCACCATGGAAGGCATTCCCGTGTCCAAGACATGGAACGGGTTACACCTACGAAAGTACCACACAGATGCGATCTGAGGTACTCCTTGTTCGAGTGTAGGCATTTTGAGTGGATGGAGAAAGATTTCCTCCACATGTATTAGTGTATTGGCTGCTACCAAGCGCCACTTTTGCTCAAAGTAATACACTCGTTTCTCTTTCGCGGATTAACTCTTACTCCCAATGATGTCTCTATTGCTAAAAGGCTTAACTGAGATAAGGCCCATACATAAACCCGTTCCAACACGGTCTCAACAAATTGCCGCTTTAAGAAAGCAGAAAAGCCCGCCCTATGCGGTCAAACCAATACGGTTAAATAACAGCCGAGTATACCGACAAGGAAATGCCTTGGGCGACCAACGGCCCACCAAAAGATTGCAAAACTATGACAAGAATTCTAGAGCGGTCTCTGGCATCCGGAGAACCCCCAATTGCAAAGTCACTCATGACACGCGCTCACTTCACAAAACGCACAATAGGGCAATTCAAAAGGTTTGTAAGTACGGTATGCGTCCTCAAGCACGCACACCAACGTCGAACAGGGGCAAGTGATCACCCACACCCTCGAGAAATCCACAAACGACATGAACAGCGCACAATATTTCGATTAAGGCACGGTCTAAAGGCGACCAACATGAAAACAAGGCACTCCACACGAGTAACTCGCACAGCCCACAAAGCAAAGT